CGAATTTTATTAATATATTTATTTATTATATTTATTATTTATTTAGATACTATATTTTACTAAAATATTAGAGATTCTTGTAGTCTATTGTAATTATAAATTATAATACTATCTTTAGCTCTAGTCTCTATTTTTATAATATTTAAATAATTATTAATAATTCTTTTATTATAGATTTTATGATCTAATTCTATAAAAGATAGTTTTTATAAAAGATAGATATAAAGTTGTAATTCTCTATCTATTTTATATTAAGATAAGATTATTTTTATTATCTAATCTAAGATATTAGTTTTAATAACTATATTCTGTTTTTTTTTGAAATATACTAATATCAGTATGTTAATAAATAGATCTTTTAGTTTTGTAAAGGTTTATTAGTATTTATTATCTTATTTAAATATAATATTTTTTTTTATAAGTTTTATAAGAGATACTAATAAGTCTATAAATTAGAAGATAAATAGTTAGTAGAAGTTTGCGAATCTAACGAAGTTTTATATATTATATATTAATTTAAGATATTTCTAGGTCTGAATTGTTTTTATTTTCTTAGGATCTATATAGATCTTCTTTTTTACTTAAATAATAAATCTTAGATATTTAATTAAGTCTTATTCGAATTCTGATTTTATAATATTGTATTAAAGATCTATATCTTTAAGTTTTTATAGTATCTTAATAACTTTTTACTAGTAATCCTCTAGACTTCTACTAGAATATATAATAATATTATTGATATATATTAATACAAAATTATCAAGAAATTTATGAAAGATCTACTTAATATATCTTTAGAATATTACTAGTATATCTATTAATCTAAAGAAAGTTATATTCTATTTATAAAATCTATAATATATTTAGAAGGCTGTTTTCTACTTCTTCTTTAGTATTATATAAATCTTATAAAATATAGTAATAATATTGAGTTTTATAAACTATCTTACCTAACTTATATTTTATAGTATTTTGTATATTAAAAGTAGAAGATAACAATCGTTTATTATTTATTTATTTAGCTTTTAATAATCGATATAAAATTATATATTACCATCTAGTTTTTATATAAATAATATTAATATTATTGCTAGTAATTAACTAACTTTTATAAAGTTTTTATTAAGTAAGTCTATTAATATCTTTCTTAGATATAAGAGTTTCTTCTTATTTATATTATATAATAATCTATATAGTAAAGACTCTTCGATCTTATTCTAGTCTTGTCTTAATAAGATTTTGTAATTGATTCTAGATCGATATAATAATAACTAGTCAGCTAGTTATTAGTTAAAGATTTTTAATTATTACTAGTAGTGTTTTAATAGCTTTTTTATGTTAATATATTTTTTTAGCTAGAAGATTTTTTTAATATTATCTGTTAAGATCTTACTAATTTATATCTATTTTATACTTATTTTGTGATATATTAATTTGTCGATTTTTATTTCTATTATTTTTTTAAGCTATAATATTTTTATTTTGATAGGTCTAATTAAGCGATCTATTCGATTCTAGTATCTAGTATATTTTTTTAATTTTAAAAAGATATCTAGATATTCTTTTCTAGATAAATAGTATTTGTTTATCTTATAAAATTATAAATTTTTTAAAATTATATTATTTTTTTATAGTTCGATAATATAGATAAATACTCGATTCTAATAGTAGCTATAAATGTTAAGATTAAAGTATGTGATATAGGTTATTTAGTACTAGTTTAAGACTATTTTATTTAATATTTATAAATATATCTTGATATATAAGAGACTGAGTAATTATATTAATAACTAGTTTATAGTTATATTAATAACTAGTTTATAGTTATATTAATAACTAGTTTATAGTTATATTAATAACTAGTTTATAGTTATATAATAATAATAACTATTATTAATAAGTGTTAGTATAAATTAGATTTTATTAATTTTAGTATCAATCATAAATAATAGTATTTTGTTTTTTAGTAGTTTTCTAACCCTTTTTTGTTTCTATTTATAACTTAGAGTAGAAGCTATTTATTTTCTCATTTATTAGAAATAATTTTTTTGTTTTTACTTAACAATAAAATCTTATTCTTTTTATTATCTATAACCTTCAACTTTTTAATCTATATAATATATTTCTTCTTATTTTTACTCGATTTAATAATATCTATCGATTAGTTTAGGGATTATATAAATCAAAGTTTATAGTTTTAAATAAGATAATTTATTTTATTATAACAAAAATATCTATCTTCTTTTTATTATTATTTAATCTTATCTAGGATTATCTATCATATCTATTTAGAAGAAACTTCTTATAATTACAACTATTTTATATAAGATTTGGTATATTTTATCTATACTATCAATATCTAGTCTATCTTATTATTAGTCTTTATATAAAGATATATCTTATATTAATCTAATTCTAGTATATTATTATCTAAACTAATCTTTTATAGATATATAATTAGCCCTAAATAGATACTAGAGATATCTCGAGTTAATAATATCTCTTTTATTTTCTAATTTATAATTATTTATAAAATATCCTATCTTATTTTATTAGACTATTCTATAATTTCTATATCTATAAGCTCTCTTTTAAGTTATAAGAAAAAATTTATAAAAGATTAATCTTTTTATTAGTATAATATATAGAGTTTTTTATATATTTTTATTTAGAGATTAGAATCTCTATAAATATCTTCTAGATATATTAGCAAATCGAGAATATTTCTATCATTATATTAATAGGTCTTTATAAATAAAATATAGTTTTTTATTATTAATTTTTTTAAATAAGAAAAAATATAAACTAATTAGGTTTATAAGTCTTTAATAATATCACTATCTATCTTAAACTTATTTTCTATTATAGTTTTTTTATACTAGCTAATTAAATAAATTTTTTATAAATATCGCTAAAATCTAGAAAATATATATAAGACTATTATATAATTATTTATATTAGTTCTATTAATATTTTTATCTCTATTTAGAAAAAAGCTAGTAATATTTTTGTTATTTCTACTAGAGCTTCTATCTCTATTATTACAAAGATTAAGATTATTATTATATTTATTAATAAGACTTCTAGTCAGACTTCTAACCTTTCTATCTATTCTCCTATAATCCTTTCTAGTATTATTTAGTTTTATATAATCTAATCTAATAAAACCCGATTTATCTCTTATATCTATACTAGTTAGCTTACTAGTATCTTTTATTATACTATAACAATACTATTATACTTTATATTACTTTATTCTATCTGTTCTATTAATAATTAGATCTATAACGAAAGACCTAATAATCTATCATCTCTATTTATATTATCCAAATTTCCCAATCTATTATCTATCGAATCAATCTTAATTCTATATTAAATTATTATATACTTAAGCCGATCACTATAAGACTTTCGATATCTACTAAAATTTAACATTCGACATATCTGTTATACCAACATCTCCGTTCTACTATTCCACTAAATTAATTATAATTCAGGGATAACCTGCTATATACTCAAGCCGACTACCTCGAGACTTTTTATAGTTCGCTGATATTTAAAATTTAACGTATCTATTAAGTCGACGTCTTTATTCTAGCACTCCACTAAATCGATAACGATCTAGAAATAAATTCGTTACACTTGGGCCGCCAACCTCAAGGCCTCCAATAACCAGTAAAGATTTGGTTAATCTGCAAGCAAAGTTTATCGAATATAAAGAGCTAAAATAAGACTTAATTCAATCTATACTAGGCCACAAACTATATTCGATAAACTTAAGAAAAAAAGTTTAATACACTAGTCCTCCGCTATTAGTACACCAAGGTCACGTGTCCTACATAATCAACGCCAGGCCCTGGCCCGTGACAATATATATCTAGTAGAAAATATAAGTATTTAAAATTGTTTAACGACTATATACTTAGATCTTAGTAATTATTATATTTTTTTTGTTTTTTATATCTTATATTAAATAATTCATATATTAATAAATAGAGTTTTCTTATAATTTTATCTCTTGATTCTGGATTCCTTATTCTATTACTATATTTAAAATTATAGATAAATATACAAAAAATCAATATAATTTATATATTGTAAGCAAGTCACATTTTTTACCTGTTTGTCTTGTTTGCCGACCCTGAGGTGCATCCGCGGGTAACCCTCTTGAGGGTCGGACCTCTAGGTGTGCGACCCTTAGGGTCGACAACTCGATCGCTTACCCACCCGCGGGTGAGTGCCAGGTCTATGTCAAACTAGCCAAAGGGGGGCCGGAATAACGAGCTGGGGGTCAATATAACATCGCCAAATTAGGTAGTTACAGGATCAAGCACTGTTTATACTATTTAACAGCTCTGGGGGGCCTATTTAGGCCCTATGTGTAGACTTTGGGCCTGTCAACAAAGCCTGAAGCTTGTTGTAGGCCCTAACTCTAGGCCTGAAACCCGGCCTACGTGTATAGTCGGGCCGGGGTCGGGTTTGGGCTTTTGTAGGCCTTGAAGATGTCTAATTTACGGATCGTGCTGTAGTCTAAATCTTACCTTATTCTGCTAAAATCCAGCGATAGACTTCAAAATGTGTAAATCAGGGACCCAGATATCATAAAATAAAAGGCTTACCCGGTGTAGGGACCCAAATGTTGCCAGAAGCGCGATTGAAGGTGTCGGAAAGAAGCTGGAGAGCCTCCAATTCGGGGCAAGTTTTGTCCCCACGGCCTTCTATATGGAGGCCTCGGACTTGTTCATTATATGGAGTAGTTGGGCATACATCCAATAGATGCCCCAATAGGCAGTAGAATAAAATCTGGGTGGTTCATGTTATCAAAATTGAGTGTTTCCTCTTAATTCAGGAGGTGGCGCACCTACTTGGGTGGAGAAACGTTATGCCTCGGAGATACTTTCTCGCGGGTCCACTTTCGACCGCGATAAGGATTCTTTATCTCACCCCCAAGAAAACTTTGTATCTTTCACTTCAAAACTCAGCCTAACCCTCAAGACACCATGGGGCTCCAAAAGAAGACGCGCAAATTTGCACAAGCTAAAAGAGCAATTTCCATACGGGACAGCCGATTGTAGGCAGCCGGCAGCCCCCTCTCTAGGCGCCCAAGCTAACTTGCTCGCAGGAAGGAGAACCAGAACGAGCAGAAAAGCAAAAATACCAAGGATGATCTGGTTCGAGAAGCGTTGGTCAAAGTCAACCATTAGCTTAAGAAACTGAATCTAACAAAACCAACAGGCCTCAGGCTCCGTCGTCTCTGTTCTTCCAGTACAACACGGCACTCACCCCTCCATATTCTGTGCTAGTCGATACCAACTTTATTTCTCATACCATTCAGCACAAACTCGATATTATTCCGACTATGATGGACTGCTTATATGCGAAGTGTATACCCGTTATCACTGACTGTGTATTGGCAGAGCTGGAAAAGCTTGGCCCGAAATATCGACTCGCTTTACGTGTTGCCAAGGATCCTCGATTCCAAAGAATCAAATGCGACCACAAAGGCACATACGCAGATGATTGCCTTGTTGACCGACTTGTAAAGCACCGTGTCTATATTGCTGCTACCAACGATCGGGATTTGAAACGACGCATTCGGTTTGTTCCCCCGCTCTGGATTTCCATGAAAGCGCGACACTGACACCTACCAGGAAAATACCCGGAGCGCCTATTATGAGTGTTGCGCGAGGGAAATACGTTATTGAACGACTGCCAGATGCTCCTGAGAAGTGAGAAGTTGCTTGGTCTGTCCTTGTGCCGTTCTACACCAACTACGTATCATATTTCCAAGGGCCAAGTGCCTCATTCATCTACAGTTCGCAGTTGGGCTACTTCAACTTCGTGCTTATTGTTCACAAGCCAACGAATGGTTCCCCCATTTCGCCTGTGGTCCCAGTGTCTCCATGGACAATGGAACCCGTATTTGATTGAAGGTCGAGACTCGATGCTCATTGTCAATAAATGAGCAAGATACTTCGTAATAGTGTCTTGTTCTAGGGTATTAGACACCAAGCAACATCTACGACGTTGATAAGATGACCATGTTACTTATATCCTCTACAGACATCCTTCCAAGTCATTAAGTTGTGCTCGAGGAATACTACTACCGATAGCATTCATAGCCCAGATTAGGGATCTAATAATAGTTCCTACCCATTAAGAATATGAAGACCTCAATTCCCCCCAATCGTACAAAGGGCATATGCACCTAAAGCTTAGAAACCTGTGTCTTACCGCTCTGCATGATGGATAAACCTAGTATCCTTTAGTCCATGTGGGCTTGGAATAATTGATTAGCAGCGAGGCGAGCGGCTTCATCCTTGGAAAATCCTTCTATCATATCTTTCCACGATCCCATGAGGACATGTAGCGGAGGGAAGTCGGAGAAAATACATAGCCAACGAGGCGAGCCGCTCTGGCTCTCGTATACGTGAAGGCACAACTTCAATATTCTCAGTGAATAGAGCACGGCATGGACTTGAGCCATCAGATGCACATCTGCCCACTCAAGACGACAACCTAGCTGCCCATGTTGAAGGAAATGTTGGAGATGCATGGAACGTGGTAACATGCTTGCACCAAGTGAATCACAGTATACATCCAACAGGGCAAATAGTACCCAGAATTGACTCGCGGAAACAGCTCCAAATGAGGCCCGAGTCAGAGCAATACGCTCCCGAAATAGGCCTATATTGTCGGTTGCGCTTTCCTTGCTGGCGGTGGTAATCTGTTCGGATACGATACGTTTCCCTCTTCGCACAAATTCATGCACCACTGGGCATTGGTGGGACTGCGGTTGAGATAAATTGAGCAGAGAATATCCCAGTCCCCGGTATGCGCGCCCTTGTTCCCAAGCACATCTCCTTGAGTGATCTTCGAACAACATGCCTAGGTACACGTGTGGCCCTTCCGGTGAACGAAATAGCTCGGGCTGTTCATATTGCCAGTACAATTCAGATAGCCTGGGGTCGAGATTTGCAGGATGTAGCCTACGGTGACCCACGCTCGACCCACCATCTGTAGGAGAGTATTCCTGTAGGAAGTGCATGAATTCCCTTGGAATCTCCCCTGAATCAGCGGCTTCATTGGATCGGCGTAAAATATCTGTGAATTGACCTCGGGGGCTACGTTTCAATTCGTAGGCAAATCGTCTGATATCCGATATGCCTAAGCGACCGGAAATGCTGCTGGGCTGTATTCTTGACCCTCGAAGCTCTGCCAGTGAAAGGGAATCATCACTATGTGTTTCAACCAAGTACATGGTATTCAAGAAAACCACAGCACCGCAGGGTCCCAGGTCATGAATTATCATGTCTGAATCATTAGTGAGCACAGCAGCACCCGTACGTCTAGAAATATCGGCGCAGGCGATGTCTGCTTCCCCAGAAACCATGACTGTTAACCGTGCCCAAGGAAACCCTGTTTCTGTGTGATGAAAGGTATCGCACTCTGCCTGGATACGTTCTCCATTCCACCATTGGCGGAGATCATTGAATACAGTGGGCACCATGAAGGGGCTTTCTGGGATGTCTTTCCATTGAGAGGAAATCTCTTGGCCTTGCCACAAGAAGGCGGGCTCGATCGTGGCTGTTTCGGTTCCCTTATTGACGTAAGGCGGTCTTGGACGTTGACGACAAATCTCCAGGCGCTGGCGGGCCTTTTCAAGCCTGGAAAGCCGTATATCCCGTTTGGAAAGGGGCAGGGCGCCGTCAAAACATATTTGATGTCTAGATACCCCGTTAGCTCGTCTGAACGAATAGGAGCTTACGCCTATCAATCTTTAATCTGACTACTTTACATTTGAACCTCGTGGTCCTTTAGCTGCTGAAGGCACAGAATTACACCCTTGCTGACCTCTTTGCAAGTAGGCGGGGCGTCAAGCCAAGCTAGCAGCCGATAGTAGACATGATATACCAGACTCGGGCCGTCAATGACCACGGACGGCATACAAGGAAGGCCGCTTGATTTGCTCTCCCTGCCAAAGGAAACGCGATCTGCGTGAGGTAGAATATGCTTTGTGAGGAACGGGATCCCCATAGGAAGTGGTGCCAGATGTGAGAAGGAGGTGGTAGAAGCATGAAAATTGGTGAGTATTGAAGTTGAGATTTTCTGTGGAGACTGTCAATTATATATCCATGCAAGCAGTGGGAAAACAGAAGAAAAGGACGAAGATTATTCTAGCCCGGGTGAAACATTTGAACCTGGAATTTAATCAATTCCTGACTAATTCATGAGGCTCCCGTTGTGGGATCCACGTAGAGCGATAAACTACAGAATTCAAAAAGCACATACAGCAGCACTATCGTACGAAGATCCTTGGAACCAATGCATATTATTCTTAGTGGATAGACCCAGCACAGATCGATCGGTTTGGAACATAGTCTATGGAAATAACCAGAAAAAGCGTGTCAGCAGCCATCCACCTTGAGTAGCCTTTTTCACCGAGAGGATCGCAAGAAACTAGCCACCCCTCGACAATATCCAACAAGCTCATTGAGCCGCTTGCCTTCCCTTCGTTGCTCGCGAGCCCATGCAGCAAGTGCCTCGCGTAGGAGTTGATATTCGGGTTCATTTCGCTGTGAGCTTAAACTCACTGCGTCAGCGTGAATCTTTAGAAAGACCGCCATCCATGCGTTGACCAATTCGAAGTCTCTCTTAGAGATGAGACGCTTTGTCAAAGCATCAACAAAAGCGACTAACTCGGAACCCCCATTTCTCACTCGAGGATCAAGAGACCGGATTTCCAGGTCAGCTCGGGCCGGAGAAAGGGTTTTGAGATGCTCTATCAAAGGGCCGAAATCACCGGTGTGATGGCATGACGTAAGGAGTTGAGTCAAAGCAGATGTATATGCGGCTTCAAGTCCTCGATATGACATCTTGGAGACCCGAGATCGCTCTTCCTCGCTGACATCGGGCTTGACCACAGCGTGAGAGGTGGCCTGGGGATTGCTCGAATCAAGAAGAGATGGGAGAAAGAAAGGAGCCTTCTCCGGAGCCTTGGGGGCTTCTTTCGGCCGATTACGTTCCTGTATTCGCCGAGTTAGCGCCAAACTACCCGGGAGAAATGAGATAAAATAACACGTACTCTGATAGTGTCCAAATGAAGTAATGACTGCCACCTGCTTCTGGGAACCAAACTGAGGGTGATCATATCTTTCTGGAGTTGCTCGTTTGCCAGGATAGGGCCTTCGTCCTCGTCAGTCACAATGACATCGGTGAAAGCATCCTCGATGAGGCCTGCGCCGCTCTCGTCCAATACTGTTGGTGCGGAATTAATTGTATCTTCGTCGATATTTTGCGTAGAGATCGGCATGAATAGGCTGCGATTACTCCAAAGATTGATCCCGATGTTGCCTGCATGAGCAGTTGCGAGGAACTCTCCAGTCGTGGACATAGACAAGGAGACACAAGTATTTGGTACTCGGAAAGCGTCAATCAGATGCCCGGTCGGCAAGTCCCAAATGCGCAGGGTCGAGTCCATAGATGCTGCAATAATCCATCGGCCGTCGTTGGAAAAGATGAAATCATTGACCTGGCCTACACAGCCCCAAAATTCACGGACGAGTTTCCTGGTCTCAATATCAACAACACGAATAGAAAGATCATCGCAGCTAAAAGCAACCAATTCGCTAGCTTTGCTATAGCGTATGCCTGTCACGGCAGCCATTGGGTGCCAATTTAATTCGTGAACCAAAACGCCGGTAAGCAAATCCCAGAACTAGAAAGAAGATTCCTGTGAGCACCCACACTTCATATCACAAGAGGGCAGAGATAAGATCCAAAAAATCGGTGCTTACCTTAACCTTCCCATCCAAGCCGCAGCTGATCACCGTCCTGTTGAGGTTATCGATTGCAAGCCCTGTAACTGCCTTGCTATGCCTGGAATCATCCGCACCAGTTAGGATAGAACTTTTGACTCGAGAGCTAGTCGGCCGTGAGGGGAAGCTTTGGCGGTGAATTCCAGACTGTAAGTTAAACATGTCCACCGCGCCACCAGCTGAGCCGATGACAGCAAAGGTTCCGCAAGGGGAAACCGCAACGCTCTAATATCGATTTATTAGCTTAGGCATTCGATTTTGCGAGACTGCCTGTCATACCTTCACTTCGGTACCATCACTTGTTGCAAACGCCCAACGGCCTGCCTTCTTCTTCCCCCAGAACCACGTCCGTGCGTACTTGTCACCACGGTGTCCAGTAACCACACTTTCCCACCCAGTGGTATTAGAGGCTTCAGCATCAGTGAACTTTGGGTTTGACCAGATTGAGCCGGAAAGAGCAGCCCCCATCCCACCGTCACGATTGAGGGAGCATGCAATGCAGGTGACATCGGGAGCTTTGAGGTCATCCATTGGCATGCCAGAATCGGAAAACCCTAGTTTCTTAGATTTCCTCTCAATATGGCCTTGGGACAGCTCGGTATGCTGACTATCCTTGCGCAAGCTGAGGCCCCATAGACTGCAGTCCTTGCTAGCGCTAAGAAGCCACTTTCCATCCGCTTCAGACCCATCTGACGCCGCGGGAGAAACTCAAGTGCATTCACTGACCCAGAATGCCCACCGCGGGAATGTAGCGGTCTCGGAATAGGCGAAAATGGAGTTTGATCGAAGATCCATGTTCGCAAGGCATTATCATCACCAGTCGAGACTAGTACCGGTTGACCATCCAGAAATTCGACTCTATTGACACCCATTCCGCTCTTTGTGACTCTGTGGGCGCCGCGATGAACCCCAGAGATACGGCCCCCATCATTCAAATCCCACATAGTAATATCTCCACTCCCACTAGAGGCGGTGGCCATCACCCCAGACTTCCGGCCGTCATGGCCGGCGCCGGTGCCATCACTTCTAAAAGCAATAGAAGTTACTGGAAGAGCCTTCGTAGAAGCGGTGCGTAACGATAGCAATAGCTGACCGGACTCAACATTGAGAATTGACAGTGCGCCATTCTTATGGGCAATAGCGACGAGCGAAAGGGCTGGGGCTGGCTGGATTGCCGTGACAGGGCCGGGATCAGAAGTCGGTGGAAGTAGGGTGTGAAGAAGTTTCCCACTGCGAAGATTCCAAATATCCACTCCTCCATCCATACGCCCCACAAAGAGCTTGTTGAGGTACGTCGGCAAGTTACACATGGACCCCGCATAAATCTGACCAGTCGACGAGTTTAGAGCGGCTTGGGGCCGCAGGCTCGCATAATGCTCATAGGTCTCCGTCTTCCACACTTCAAGACCACCCGCCCAGCAGCCGACGATCCACGAACCGAACACCAGGAGTCGCTCCACGGGGCTATCGAGCTCCGAGGCCTGCAGTGAGGCAATCCGCTTCCCGCGCTTAAACACCCAAATACCCCCAGGGGATCGAGGTCGCAGGTAGCCCCATGCGGCAAAGATCTTGTCTTGCCAGGCACATGTAGATGTGATAATCTCGGGTGTTTGTGGTCGTGTGAGGAAGACCAAGTTCAAGCCTCGTCGCACATCGTAAGTCTGTAGCGATTGACCCACTGAAGTTGTAATCTGAAAAGTTGCTTTTCCGAGGCGAACACTCGTGAATGGCACTGAGGTCGGAGAGACTAGTCCTAAGGTCTTGTTGTCGCTTTGAGTTAGCAGGTACGAAAATAGTGTTGCGTGGATATATATGACCGACTTACCCGAAAAGGCGCAAAGACCTTCGAACCAGCTTGGGAAACTTGTCTGCCCTCGTTCGACGACCTCTTCTGCCTTTTAGCTAGAGGCATGTCGAATATATCTTTGGCAAGCGCTGGCATGATACGGAATAAGTGCCAGGAGCGGACAGCTTGACTAATCGAAAAGAAGAAATGTCAAAATAAGCCCAAGTATCAAAGACAGTTTCAGAATGGCATTCGTATCTGGCACTGTTTGCAGAGCATCTTAGGCTTTTCAAAGTAATGGAGTTGATACTTCTATATCGAGATTTCCTCTCTTTTTTTTCTCCCGCTTCTCCGCCCTCGGAGCTTGTCCACCGCCTTCCCGACCAGTCTTGTATTCACGTTCTTCAGTACCAGGAGTTGAGTACATACATACAGAGCGGTATACCGCCCTGGTACCGATTACGCATGACACTGTACTTTGTACTCTTTTTATTCAACCTGTAGCAAACGCTCCATTGATTGCCTTTTATAAAAAGAGAAAAGAATCCCGACTGGCTGAATAACAGGCCATTGGCTCTTAATTTAAGACTACCGGCACACAAGAGTACACTACACGTACTGTGTACACGGATGACAAGTACGTGCGAAACTTCGCCTGCATCCCCCTAGTCGCAAACCGGCTTAGGCGAAGAAAAAGTAAAAAGGATCCCATGGTGACCAGAGCTTATCTATAGTCTGCAAATCACTGAGATCATATGCATCTCCGAAAAGGGGATTGCTTCCCACCGCCATATAGATATCCGCAACCGGAGTCCATACAACATAAAACCAGACCTTGATCGGCCTGGGCTCCGCAACTTGACCTTTTTTTCGGTCCCATAAATCCGCCACTCCAAACTGGACCCGGAAGCCTTCCCCAAAAATGATGCCTTGATTATCTCTTCTCACCTTAGTTACCCGGAAGCGATCTATTTCTTTAGGTTTAATTTCGTTCCCAAACACCCTTCACTGATCGCCGCGTACCCCTCTCTACCTTTCGCCGCCAATTGTGTGCTTTTGACCCGCCTGTCCTTTGCTTCGACAATGGAACCCGAGTATGGCCGCGTGTCCGCCGATATGACCTCTTCCCAACCAGGCCTTATTGAGCAGCTCCATGGCTCAACGTCAGCCTCCGTGGACCCCAATCAGAAAGACGTGCTGTCAACGGATTCCGTGTCACTACGGACCCAAAGCCAAACTCAACAGCCCCCACTGAAATCGAGTCGTGCGGACGGGGTTTTAGATATCCGTCCTATCGCTCGAGTTGGGAACCCCGCACGTTCGTCGAGCCGGGCCCCTCGAAGATTCAGTGGGAGCACCGCAGCAAGTACTGCTGCCAGCTCGATCAGTGAGCTGGAACACAATGGCCCTAGACCATGGAGAATTGGTGTCTGCGCCCTAGACGTCAAGGCTCGAAGTAAGCCCAGTCAGAACATCCTTACCCGTCTACAGGCAAAGGGGGAGTTCGAAGTCATCGTTTTCGGAGATAAGGTCATCCTTGACGAAGAGGTGGAAAATTGGCCGGTGTGTGATTTCTTGATCGCCTTCTTCTCGGATGGATTCCCGTTGGACAAGGCCATTGCATATGCAAAGCTTCGCAAGCCGCTTTGTGTCAATGACCTCCCAATGCAAAAAGTGCTCTGGGACCGGCGGCTATGTTTGAGGATCCTGGATCAAATGGGTGTTCCCACCCCAAAAAGGATCGAAGTCAATCGCGACGGAGGACCGGTCTTGGAGTCGCCTGAGATGGCCCAGCATATCTATCGGCTTACTGGCGTGAAACTTGAAGGCCCTGAAGATGGTACAGGAGGTGGTGCTCCGAGGACTCAGAACGTTTCGATGTCAGAGGACGGAGAGGCGTTGGTGGTCGATGGGAAGGTCTTCCAAAAACCCTTCGTGGAAAAGCCGGTCAACGGCGAGGACCATAACATTCACATCTATTTCCCCAACGATCCGCAGTATGGGGGTGGTGGCCGTAAGCTTTTCCGCAAGGTCGGCAACAAAAGCTCGGAGTATGACCCCAATCTGTCTGTCCCCCGTTCTGTCTCAGAGAAAGAAACAAGCTATCTATATGAGCAATTTCTCCGGGTGGACAACGCGGAGGATGTGAAGGCCTATACCGTTGGGCCTGATTTCTGTCATGCCGAGACTCGTAAGTCTCCGGTGGTTGATGGCCTCGTTCGCCGTAATACACATGGAAAGGAGTTGCGTTATATCACACAACTAAGCAAGGAAGAGGCTGCTATGGCCTCGAAAATCTCAAATGGGTTTGGCCAGAGAATCTGTGGCTTTGATATGCTGCGCGTGGGCGATAAAAGCTATGTCATTGATGTCAATGGCTGGAGTTTTGTTAAAGACAACAATGATTATTACGACAAGACTGCCCATATTCTACGGGATATATTCCTCAACGATATACGCAAGCGAGATCCAACGGTTGAGTTTACTGAACCTCCCTTGCCGGATATAAGCTCTTCTCCGCGGCGAAATACCATGGAGCATCGGCATGCTCTCAAGACCCTCTTGAAGTCCCCAAGCACATCTCGACTTTACGGAACTCCACCCAAGAATAATGAGGGTCCCCAATCTGAAATCGCAACTACCACTCCCTCATTGGCGTCGTTTTCAGGCTTGGAGAACGCCGAACTGAATAACGCCAATCCTGGACATTCAAACTCTCGTGAAGCTTACTCTGATTCTCGAGGCTATAGCCCATCCAACACAAAATCTCCAGCGGTCTCCGTTCATCAGGTCGCCGACAGTGCTCCTCCTCCCCTTCCAGCATCAAAGCACTCGTGGAAATTGAAGGGAATGGTTGCGGTCATCCGACATGCTGATCGTACTCCTAAGCAGAAATTCAAGTTCACCTTTCACAGTCAGCCATTTGTTGATTTGCTCAAGGGTCACCAAGAGGAAGTCGTGATCAAAGGAGCTGCGGCCCTTTCAAGCGTTTCTGATGCTGTGAAAATAGCTATTGATCAAGGTTTGGAAGATATCGACAAGCTTCAACTACTCCGCGCATCTTTAGAGAAGAAGGGCGGATGGCCTGGTACAAAGGTGCAGATTAAGCCTATGTTCCGCAAGCGCAGGCCTGAGGAAATGGGGGACCATGCCTCCCCTTCTGCGGCAACGCCAGCCAATGTACCCCCCCGAAGACCCCATCTCGCCAGTGACCAGTGATTGTCCGGAGAACGAGGCCCTGCGTCGATCTCAGACGAGGAGTGACTCAATTTCTGGTCCAACCTTTTCACGATTCTCTGCCGTAGAGAATGACTTGATCTTGGATAAACTTCAACTTGTGATCAAGTGGGGAGGCGAGCCCACACATGCAGCGCGCTATCAGTCGCAAGACCTAGGCCTAAACATGCGCGACGACCTTAAGTTAATGAACAAAGAGGCTCTCAACAACGTTCGCCTCTTCACTAGCTCCGAGCGACGAGTGAGCACAAGTGGTACGTCAAGTTATTTCCTCCGCCTCACCTGCCTGGCAATGGCATTGACTAACATTCTGATTCCGAACTAGCTCAAATCTGGGCTTGTTCTTTCCTTGATCAGAAGGAAATCCCTGAGGATTTGATCCAAGTTCGTAAAGATCTATTGGATGATTCCAATGCCGCGAAAGATGTGATGGACAAAGTCAAGAAGAAACTGAAGCTGCTGCTCCGCGAGGGGTCTGCGCCATCGCAGTTTGCCTGGCCGAAGGATAGCAACATACCGGAGCCCTCTGTTGTTCTCGCGACCGTGGTTGAATTGATGAAATTCCACCGGACCGTCATGCGGCACAACTTCGCCAAGTTCGAGGATATCTCTGAAACTTACGACGAATCAAATCACGCTGATTTGAAATCTGACCAAACGACAATTGACAATATCCAAGGGCGGTGGTGTGCCGGAGAGGACCCACGGCTTTTCAAGGAAAGGTGGGAGAAACTTTTTGCTGAGTTCTGCGACACCGAGAAGGTCGACCCGAGCAAGCTTAGTGAGCTTTACGACAGTATGAAGTTCGATGCTCTTCATAATCGTCAATTTCTAGAATGGGTGTTCATGCCCCCCGACAATGATCACGACGAGGATGACAAGGGTAGCGTCAAGGGTAGCCGTTCGGCCAAGTCCGACTCAATCGCGGAGACTAAGGCTGGCTCTGACGCGAATGAACGCTCTGATGATCGTACTGAAAATCCATCATTCGCTCAGCGCTTCGGGTTGAAAAAGCGATTGAATGCACCGGAATCTTTGCCGCACCTCCGGGCCCTGGATGACTCGTATGACCATTACTTCAAGCTGTTCCCAGGCTCAAATTCAAGCAAGAATAAAATGGATGAACGACTCTCCAAGCTTCGGGAACTATACAAGCTGGCGAAGGTTTTGTTCGACTATGTGACTCCCCAGGAATATGGTATTACCGACAGCGAGAAGCTCGAAATCGGACTGCTCACGTCGCTGCCTCTTCTTCAAGAGATTGTCCACGACCTTGAAGAGGTACAGGCATCCGAAGACGCAAAGTCTTTCTTCTATTTCACGAAGGAGTCTCACATTTACACACTATTGAATTGCATCCTCGAGGGTGGTATCCAGACTAAGATAGCACGCAGTGCCATCCCGGAACTTGACTATCTCTCGCAAATCTGCTTTGAGCTCTACGAAGCCCGGGACAGCGAGTCCGATGTGAATTCGTACTCTATCCGGATTTCTATTAGCCCTGGCTGTCATGCCTTCGACCCTTTAGATGTGCAACTTGATTCCCGTCATGCAATTGGATGCACGCCGAGGCGCAGTCTGACTGCACATCAGGATTGGAAAGAAGTGATAGAGACGCTGCGGGCAAAGTTCGACACGTAAGTCTTGCTTGAGAGAAACGATTCGATACGGCTTGAACTTCTTTGCTGACGATTCTCTGTTGATACAGAGTGAAGCTTCCTCAGTCGTTCATCGCTGTGAACCTGAGTGACAAGCAAAATTCTCCACCTCTTGATGGACATGAGTCCCCATAACTGCGCGTGTGGGGACGTGGCATCTCTTCGTATCTCCGCAGCAGATGTCTCTAGCGTGTATTTTATCCTGTTTTTGAGCACTTCGTGTACAGTGACTACTTCGGCTTGTTTTGGACAAGAAGGGACTCAAGGGGTTTGCTCTCGCGTGATCAATCTGAGAAGAAACTCAATATGTAATTAATGTTGAAGTGTACATAATACACATGCAGCCTCTTAAGACTACGGATGGCACAACACTGAGAAGTCCGGCCTTGAGGGCCCCCATCTGCCAAGCTGGCAGGTGGTAATACTAGTATGGGGTGAAATGGTAAGATACATCACCACCGCTGCCCCACCAAACCGCTTATCGACGTACTGGTTCCATTCGCATCCTACAAATACATCTCAAACATGGCAAGTGAATCGCACGAATGGGACACAGCGGAATATACAGCTGAGCTCCGGGAGAACAGACTGCTGTACACTTCTTCCACTGGAGCGCATGGCCAAATAGACTTGGCTGACATCGTCGGTGTGCTACCTGACCAGGGCTCTACGGGTCATCGGATTCTGTTCGTAACAAGAGGAGCCAGAGAAGATACGAAGGACTCTTGTGGCTACCTCACGAGCATCAAGGTTAATTCCCTCCATGAACTGTCGCCTCTCCCCGTCCTAGCGGAGTTACCTGCACACCTGCAATACCCAGAGCCTGTCCATATAGTGGTGTCGACCCAGTCCGGGACAGGAACTGCCCAGGTGGTGCTCGAAAATCTCGTACAGCCATTCTTTTCCTACTTGGGGATTGACTATCAAGTTCATGAAACCCAGTCGGCCGAAACTATTCATCAGCTATCCCGCTCATTATTCCTGGAAAAAGCGATTGCTGGGATAAACCAGACAATTATACTTCTCTCCGGCGATGGTGGCCTTGTTGATATCGTCGATGGATTCTACAAATCAACAATTCCTATCCAAGCTGCTCCACACATCGCCCTGATTCCTTGTGGGACAGGCAATGCCATGGCAAGCTCAATCGGTTTACGTTCTGGCCCGGCTTCTGGCTTGGTGACTCTACTGCGGGGTCGGCCATCGTCTGTGCCCATCTTCGCAGCCCATTTCTCCCCCGGCAGTAAACTGGTCATTGATGAGGGTCGCAAAAGGTCCTCGATCGATAGCCAAGAGGGTAGTTCGGAAACTATAATCTATGGCGCCGTGGTCGCCAGTTGGGGGTTCCATGCGGCCTTAGTTGCTGATAGTGACACTTTCGAGTATCGGAAATTTGGAGCAGAAAGGTTCAAGATGGCTGCCAACGATCTTCTTCATCCTTCAGATGGAAGCGAGCCTCATCGATTCAAAGGCAAAATCATGATGGGATTACCTGATCATGCGACAGGAGGCCAATCAGAGGAGTGCATAGAAGACGAGGAGCACATGTACATTCTGGCCACTCTTGTTCCACGACTGGAGAAGGACTTCCTTATCTCGCCCGATTCAAAGCCCCTGGGCGGACAAATTTGTTTTCTGCGCTTTGGAGTCTTGCCTGCAGATGAGGTAATGCGTCTGATGACATTGGCCTATCAAGGAGGCCAACATGTGCAGGAAAAGACTGTGACCTATAAGGAAGTTGAAACGCTTCATATTCAGTTCAAAGAGGACCAGGAGAGATGGAGACGGGTGTGTATTGACGGCAAGATTGTCGCCATCGAAGAAGGCGGTTGGATGAAGCTACGCAAGGAACCTCGTCAGCTGCTTGAGCTTATCAAGTTGGGATCTGAGCGTTTTTAGGGAAGCTATTTATGCGGTATGTGACAGATGGACAGGTAGTTGCTTAGATCTGAATATACAAAACTTTCGTCCACATGCATTGTGTAGGATGCCAGTGGCCCACTTGTGACGAAGCACTGACCCGGCGTTGTTGCTCCAAGTTTCCGCATTGCTCCGCCACAACTTACGAACTGCCTTCCCAAACCCTCGACTTTGCTCTGTCGCGCCGCAAATGGTCTTCGCGATCGGGTCTTCTCGCAACGTGGAGCTGCCTGCATACCATGTCTGTCGATTTCAATGTTAATAACTCCCCGAACCTACTCTGCATCTCAAACACCAGATCAAGGAGTGAGCATTCGCACCACTGAGGGTCTTCCGCAGTTCTATACCTTATCTGGGTGGCGCCAGAGTCCTGCGGCTAGTCGGCCTGCCCCAGATATGCTGCTGATCCATCAAGTTGGTAGCGTGCGCGTCGGAGAAGTGGTGAGGTTGGTCGTCCCATTCACCCACATAGAGCTGCAAAGTATCATATGCTACGATTCCATCCTTCCTTCGAAACTGACCAGGCGCGATACTGTAGATACACCGTGACATACACACCAGCCGCCGATCCTATCCTTCCTTTACCTACGGAATTTCATGTGCGCGTGAAGAACACTTCGGCCATCCCTCTCCGCGCGGCGTATCTACATGGCCCCTACACTCTCTACGCAGCTTGTTACCCTTCCATTTTCGACCCAAACTGCAAGTATGACCGCCAAGAGACAGATGGAGCCCCCCAATTTGAGCCATATCTAAAAGCTGGTGGAAACTGGGATGCAACCATAAAGATGCCGGCCCATTTTGGGGATTCGCACAACCTCTCTGCAGGGCAAGACGGTCCAGACGGCACACCCAAAATGACCTGGGTTATTGAGATCGTTTCGCAGGTCATTTTTTCAAGTAGTGCTGCAGTTCACTTTGAATTGCTCGTTGCTCGGGATGCCAAGTCCCTGGAGTTCTTTTCCTCGAATGGAACTTCCAGCACTCAACTAGGCCCGCCAGCAAAGCTGCATGATCACTGGCCTCCGGGTACTAAGGGTCAGCAAGTCTCTACAGTGAAAGGAGTCTACTCTAGAGCAATGACTGTGCAAGTCGATGACACAGTCAGTCTCTGGAATACTCCATCATTATCTCCTCAACATGACCCTAGCAGCCAGGAGCCAGATATTCGAGAGGAGCCTACCCCCGCTGAAGCCCATCAATCGGATAATAAGATTGGCGATACTCAACGCATGCCCCCCAAAAAACGAGTACATCTGGTGGTAATAACTCATGGCTTGCATAGTAATCTGGGTGCCGACATGCTCTATCTCAAAGAAAGCATCGACCTTGCGGCGCAGAAAACTCGAGAGAAACATCAGAGCCAGCATGGCAGCAAGGAGGACGATGAAGAAGTGATTGTCAGAGGATTTCCAGGAAATGCGGTTCGCACTGAGCGCGGAATCCAATACCTTGGCAAACGGCTAGCCAAGTATGTTCTGTTGATGACCTACCCTGATCAGCCATACTTCCCTTTGAAAGGATCGAAATCGAAGTCATTTCCTCGTCCATTCGGTGCTCGAAAAGAATCCGCGCAAGCTGCAGAATCGACTGCAGCGCGGGATGAAAATAAAGGTGCGGTTGATCACGGTTACCAGATCACCAGCATAAGTTTCATCGGTCATTCTCTTGGTGGTTTGACACAAACGTACGCCATTGCCTATATCCGAAAACACTCACCCGAGTTCTTTGATCGCATACGACCGGTCAACTTCATCGCCCTTGCGTCCCCGTTTCTGGGCTTGAGCAACGAAAACCCCATCTATGTTCGATTCGCCTTAGACTTGGGTCTTGTAGGACGGACGGGGCAAGACCTTGGGTTGAGTTGGACGGCACCGCGTGTTCGAAGCGGCTGGGGTGCTATCATTGGCGGTAAAGGCGATTCCTCGAAGGAACAAAGCAATTCTGACCCTGGTGCAAAACCGCTACTACGAATTTTGCCGTGTGGTCCAGCACATGAAGCACTCAAGAAGTTCCAGCATCGCACCATCTACTCTAATGTGGTGAATGATGGGATCGTTCCCCTGCGGACATCCTGTTTACTGTTCCTCGATTGGAGAGGCCTTGACCGCGTGGAGAAGGCCAGGAGAGATAACGGCCTTGTCGGAACCATGGCTGAATGGGGCTGGGCAGAGCTCACTGGAGCCAACTCCAAGTCTCCTCAAGCCGCTCGGCCCGGTGAGGAATTGGAAGGTGGCGCAAACTCCTTGGCAGAGAACGACGCATTAGCTGTGCAGACATCGTCGCCACCAGCCCCAAGCCAGTTCCTCGAACGAAGAATGTCGTCCTCACACAGAAGCCATACGTCTGATGCAGCCGGATCGGGAGAGAACCAAACCCCCGGCGATGCCCTGTCCGGCCCCTTCAACACTTTTTTGTCGTTTTTCCGTTCAAGGGACGTCAACCAAGGGTCGAAGTCTAAACAGTCCAAAATCTATAAACGTAGCCAAACCCTCGGCTCGTTCGAAGTCAACGAGCGCCCCTCATCCTTGGTTAGGGGGAATTCTTTATACGAGAATGATGATGGGTTACATACGCCCCCGAGGACCACATTTTTTGAGTCGGCTGGAGACTTGCTAATGCCTCCTATTCCCCCTCCGGAGTTCATCATGGATCCTGCTGCCCGGCCTCGAACCATTTTTCATGATCGCATATATCACCCTGATGATGTTCCTCCTCCTTTACCTGTGAAGCGACGAACTATGGCGTTGGCATCAATGCAGAATAAGAAAGACAAACGCGCGACTTCTTCTGCCACTCAGGCCCCTTCCAACCCTGGCGGAATGGCTGCATATAGCGAGAGTGGACTGAAAGTCGAAGAGAAGATTGCGCGAGCTTATCATCGCGACTTGACATGGCGCAAGGTTCTAGTACGTCTGGAGCCCGATGCACACAATAACATCATTGTCCGGCGCATGTTTACAAATGCTTATGGATGGCCTGTTGTTAAGCACCTAGTCGACACACACTTCGGCCATACCCCGGCCGTCGAGACGGATGACACGCAGCAGCTGGCTTTTGAAAGAGCTAAATCCCCGGGTATAGGACCTACCAGCTCTGGCGATGAGATTGAGGGACAATGTACACCAACAGAGGAACATTCAAGCCGCCCCACCAGCCATATGGATTATGCTGTAAACCCATCACAAGATTCAACGCAAGCGTCCTCTCGATCTGAGACGTTTCCTATAGAAGAAGAGCCGCATGAGACGACAAGCACCAACGGACGGTCTCAGCACACTGATGACAGTATACAAGATTCTGCTCGTTGGACAGATCGTCAGGTAGACGAAGACAATGATTCGGAGTCTGACTTTGATGATGCAAATGTTAGAGATATTCGGTGGGCTTCTGGTTCATAATTTTTTTGATTTCGATGCACGACGAAGTATTGTACATAGTCATCCAGGAAATCAGACCACGTCTCTAATGAGCTTGCTCGATCAGTATTTCAATGGGCCTTGGATACAGCTCCAGAACTGCTCGACCAGCTCTTTCTGTCCGGCTTCGGGAGCTCCCCGGATCGCCAGGTACTTTCTTCCGTCAAGACGCGCCTCCCATTCATTGGGACTGCCATCCACCACGATGCCACCAGCCTCCTTCAGGATAACCCACGCAGCACATACATCCCACTCCCAACAGCCCCCTTCCCAGTACAGATCCAGCGTACCCTCTGCCACGGCGCACATATTCAGGGCAGCAGACCCCGTACTTCTCATGGAACGAACCATCGCGCCACCGTTCTCTCGGGTCTGGCCGAGGTGAGCAAACGTCCGCACTTTGGTATCCCAGTTGGGTCCGCCGCGCTCGGAGCCCCATTCAATGGCGATCAGAGCATTGGTCAGTCCTGACAAGGGCTCTGGATTCGCGCCTTTCACCGGTAAGCGGGTGTCGCCATTCAAAAAAGACCCTTGTCCTTGTATTCCCGAGTACAAGGTCTTCGTAAAGGGGTTGTACACAATGCCTACCACAGGCTCCTTGTTAACTGCAAAGCCCAGTGATACACAAGAATATGGGAATCCATGCACAAAATTGATTGTGCCGTCGATGGGGTCCACGATGAAAGTTGGGGCATCTGTCAGTGGATTCTCTGGACTATACGTCTCTTCTCCATGGAAGCTATTCCATCGTAATTGGGCAGCGTTAACGGCCAGGGGTCATTCTATTGTCAAACAGTGCGGACTTACAGATAATCGGGGTATTTGATTTTTAAAGAGGAAGAAATCATATTCTCGACGGCCCGGTCGTATTCGGTGACAAGGTCCGCGCCTAGACAGCTCCGTTAGCATCTTTTATCAGTGAGTAGAGCAGATTTTGACTGACTGTTCTTCTTCGAGCCGGTGCCAGAGGAATCCGGCAGGGCCTTGGTGATAATTTCGCCAGCTCGGTGAGCCAGCGATAGTAGAAAGTCATGGATCTCCCTCAGCTTTGTTGAGTCCATGGTGGGAACAGCCTATTGCTAGTATCAGTGGTATTGGGCAATCGCAGGAAGGAAAGTTGGAAAGTCGAGGGGCAAACAATACTAGTTCCCCGCTTTATGGTAAAACCAATTCACATCCCAGCCATTTCCTCCAAGAACAGCAGGAATGTGTCTCCTGTATAGCTTCCTCAAGTACGAAAGGACCAGGTCACTAGACTGACTCCATGTCCTTTATCAGTCATCTCCTACTGTGCAGCAATCAGCCCCAATGACGTTGCGGCCGCGCTCCCCCACTTTTTTTTCCCCTCTCCGATATCATGATTTTTTTTTCTTATCCTGCATACCCCACTATAGATCACCACTCTGCAAGATGCCCACCGAGCTTGAAGAGGTAATGACTCGGAAATATCCTGCTCTATTTTGCCCATTTCGGACCTGAGCTGACTGAGCCCAGTTGGTGGAGTTTCTTCATCATGGCAATAGTCAAATTCGACAGATTGGTAAGCGACAGTGACAGCACCTGGGCAATAGCAAGTCCTTGAGCGAGACCTAATACGTCGACTCTCCTATAGCCTGTGAAAACCTCGTCGGGTATGCCACGTCGCAACCTTCCCTATTCAAGCGCCATCAACTGCTTCCCGTGCGAGATTTGAAGCTCTTAGCTCGAGATTACACTGTGTGTGCATGCAACTCCTTATGGCTTCCAGACTATCTGGCTGATGTGTACCGCTCTCAATAACTAGCCTATTGCAAAGAATGCCTTGAATATTCTCATAAACCTCTCAGCCGACGAAGAAATCCTGAAGCTTCTTGCTGAAGACGATGCTTTTCTCGAGACGCTCTTAAAAAAGCTCACGGTTGGTGGTCCCACCTATGTCAGTCAAAGGTATTACGTCCAATCGCTGATACCCTCTCGGAATATAGAATGTCAAAGAGCCGAATGCAGACGAGGTGGCTATGCTACTTTCGAATTTGGTTAAGTCGGAACACCTTCACAAGCTGCCAACGATGAAGCGCAAAGCGCCAGAGACAGTCTCTAGCTCTGAAAACGTCATCGACCAGCTGATGGATTGCTTTGTCAAGGGCGCAGAGGGTGCACTCAACAAGAACGCCAATTTTGACTACCTATCATATGTTTTCGCCGATCTATCACAGTCTGAGAAAGGACGGGCATACTTCACCACCCGCCAGGAGTATGACGGCGTCGTGCCGATCACCAAGCTGACCGTCTTCACTGAACACAAGAGTGATATTCGACGTAAAGGCGTGGCATCTACCATTAAGAATGTGGCTTTTGATGTTACCAGTCATCCGATGCTTTTCGCTGAAGACGAGGCAAACCTCCTCCCTTATCTGCTGCTTCCTCTCGCAGGCCCAGAGGAATACCGAGAGGAGGAGACTTTGTCGATGCTGCCTGATCTTCAGCTCCTACCTCCAGATAAAGAACGAGACAGCGACCCCACAATCCTTACGACTCATCTGGAAACGTTGCTTTTGCTGTCGACAACCCGGGAAGGACGTGAGCAGATGCGTGCGGTCCAGGTCTACCCGATTATCCGAGAGTGCCATCTCCACGTCGTGGATGAAACAGTCCAGGAGGCTTGTGATCGCCTGGTCCAGGTTCTAATGCGTGACGAGGAAGGCGAAGGGGACAAAACAGATGCTGATATGGCGCAGGCACAAGCTAAGCTTGAGGCACCACTACCGGCAGAAGATGAAGATAAAAAGGTCGTGGAGCTGTTCTAGGGGCACTTGGCAGCCCCAAACAAAATATAGAACGGGTTGTAGCTATGCCAACATTGGACCCTCCGCCGAGATCACTCTAATAGAAGAAATTATCGTTGAGCATTCTAATTGACCCCGAAATCTTTTTGTATTCGATCTGTACATCGGTATGTTTGCCCATACATGGTTTACTTTTCTCCCAAAGAGATTTACATAATTTTACACAGCTTCGTGATTGTGTCAGAGCCCGAACTTCTCCCCAGGCTCCAATCGTTTATAGGCACACGCGATCCAGTCGCAGCCTTGTTTGTAGATCTCGGTTCCCCACCACTGGAAACCTGCTACCCAGCCTGGATAGACGAAGCCGAAGAAGACTACCACCACTCCAAATGCCAGGCCCGAATCCAGCGCGGCCGAGAGCGTCATTGCATATTTCTCCCACCAGGCTGTTCTACGCCGCCGAATCACGTAGTTGAACACGAAGCAGACTAATGCCCAGATCGAAAAGTTGAGACCAGTCGCGGGGGGAATCCAGCTTAGACTGCCAAAGAGGATGGGAAAATTGACTTTGCGCCAGAAGCTCTTCTTGTTTCGTCGACCCAGTGCCCAGGCACCGATGGGAGCAATTGCCCCCACGAGAAATGCCCATACGAGGGGCCTGTACAACCCCTCCGGGCCAAAAAATCGTTGCGGGCCAACCACCCCCCAGAGTATGCTGCCATTGAAATGCACCCGGGCAATGGGGCAATTAAATCCATTCAGAGCCTCTGGTGTGCATATCTTGGGAACATGGGCGAACATCCAGTTCAAGACGCCAATTTGAGTCATGCTTGAGACAACGGTAGCCACCATCTGAACCCCGAACAGGATACGAGGTGGGATCTTCATGTAGTGTCCAAGTTTCAGATCAGAGGAGAACTTGATACCTTGAGCTGAGCTAATGTAAGAATAAGTCACGAAGATCATGTTTGCGACGGGTCGGCCTGGGAAGACCATGCCACAGAGAAGCTGGCAGATCAGGTAAAGACTACTGTGCTGATTGGTGACGGCCATGATGATTCCAACAGGTATGAAGAATATACTTGTAATCCCCAAGGCAAGAAGTAGCCCGTACCAGGGCAGATGAGTTGGATAACTTGAAATAGGAGTTAATATCCCCGGGAAGATCACACAAGGGAGAATAAGGCAGGGGGCACATACTATTCTACTGTATAAGCAGCAATGGCAAGCATTGTGGCCAGCACAATGAGATACCATGCCAATGGTGCGTCTTCATACCGTCGCATCAGCCGGCAATGGACGTCTTCCAATCCGAGCGGGATCTCCTGGTGAGGGCCGCGTGCATTATTGTCAGGAGACCTGCAGCCCCGGCGATTCGAAGGCCTATTGGTGTCTTGAAGGGGTTGATAGGTATTAAGGTCAGAAAAACCTCGGCGTTCCTCGAAGGCTCTACAGGTTTGTTGCCAAATATCATTCCCATACCAGCACACGGTATGGGTAACCAGCGAAGTCAAAGCCGCAAACTGGACCGCATAAGATAAGACGTAGGTGATAGGAAGATAAACAGGCGAATAATCCTCGTAGGCCTTTTGATCAAAAAGAAAGTCTGAGGTCAAGATCCGGCTTACATCGTAAGGGTGACCTTCATTATCGAAGACAGCCGTTGAGAGAATCGGCATGAACGCAGAGTAGAGAATATTTCTATAGTCTTCAGGAATGGTTAGCTGGAGGAAGCCTAGAAGAACAGCAAAAGGTCACTTACACAACAGGGGCGCAATTATCCAAATAACTATAACGAGACCAGTAACGATATTCGCGGCAGCCCACCAGGGGGTCAGAAGGGGCGAACCGATATATGCAATCTGAGCCCAGTCAAAAGTCAAAGGGAACATTCCGAGCCCAGATGCGACTCCAAACAAATTGGATATCACCACGTTCTTCGGAGCCAGCCAAGTGATTACATTGAAGTAGCTTAGGGCTGGCGCCAGCAAACCAGGAACGAAATACCACAGGAAAGCCCCTCCCCAGACCAGAATGAAAAATTGATACCGAGAAATCACCCAGCCATTCGCATTCTTATTAGATGTTTTGTGCATGGTGGAGAACATAGCGGTGGACATGAGGGTTCCAGGCCAAACCATAGCAGATGGCCGGACAAGGAAGCGCCGAGTCAAGCCAGCAAAGGCGTAGCCAAGCACTTGGGTTGAAATTATCAGCAAAGACTGATATAGAATGGGAACATCCTGATTGTAAAATTTATTTTGTTCCACAATCACATCAGTCGCAAATGCAAACCCAAACGAGACATTGCTACTTATGTAGACACATGCGTGCTCTTTTTCATTCCAACGCCCCTGGGCAAACCAGAGACGAAGTCGAGTCTTCCACGGCAGGGAAGAGCCGTTATTCTCCGGGGATGAAGCTTCTCGATGGTCTAAAGACCCATTCGTGAAAACTTCAACAGGGTCATCAGAACATTTGAGAACAAGGTCCCAAGCTTTCCCCAGCGGATGGACGAGAACTAGAGCAATGATCGGAGTGATAGCAACGCTAGGATAGCGGAGAGAAAAGAAGAGGTTTGCAGCAGACCCTGAAAGCGCAAAGAGTAAGGAGAGAGTCCACATCCGTGGGGTATTGATCGAGAGCGAAATGTCATCAGTGGCTGGAACCGTGGCACGAACTTGAGCATAAGGTGAATTGTCAGGCGGGTCTTCCTCTGAAGATTTGGGACTATCATCTCCTGGGTATTCTTCCTCGTCACTTGTCATGCAAGGCGAAGAGGTTGGGCTATCCTGGAGCACTACATTTTCCGGCATCGCCATTCCAGTTGCGAATGAGAACTTCGAGTCAGCCCCCATACCTACATCAGACGCCGCGGATGAAGGACGTCGATTGTAAACTTTTGCAAGTAGACTGCCATCTCTTCGTCGATCAGACGAGTAAGATTTTCTGGGTTTGGTTCGTTGTTGTGTACCATTCGAAGGGCCCCCTCGGCTCTCTAAGCTCGCCGCCCTTTGTGATTCATTGGGAATGCTTCGTACTGTCCTCCACCTGTCAGTCGGATAAGACTCATCATCTGAATCGCCCTGAATAGGCACTGCTCCGTACGAGGACGAGCCCAATGCGGGCGAGGAGCGAATGAGCGGGGCTCGTGACATGAAGACCCAGAGGCGTTGAGCGAAAGACCTGAGGGGGACGGGGGCGCTATATTCGGAGTTCAAATCCAAATCAGGATCTAGGCCCGAGTGGGAATTGTAGTCGACGCCGGGCCTGCCATCGCCATGGGATTCGAGGGCGTTCAAGTTGCGACTAGGAAAATTCTCGCTGGAAGTGTGCCGGTCCGCTTCGGCAGGAAGCCACTCGCCCCTCGGGTCCGAGGAACGAGAGAGCTTCCGCGTTTGAAGGGGAATTGCAGCCGTGATGGTGGTGGGGACTGTCAGAATAGAAGGGGCTTCAAGGGAACTTCACTAACAGAAGAGGAGCTACCGGGATGTTCAGGTTAGATAGTGCATTGACTGGTCTTGCTAGTTAAGTTAGTTAACTAACTACCAAAACGACAAATCTTATCTAAGCATGTTACAGGCAGCCCTGGAGGTGCCAGGTGGGAGTCTGGATGAGCTCAATGCATGGTCGAGCACAGTTTCAATGTAGAAGTTGGAGGTAGTGATGCATGTCACAAGGAGAGAGCAAGGCACTCTGTATGCACCGAAGGTCCGTAGCCTCCTAGAGCCTGCCGCGGATTTTCTATGGGCGTGGTCTAGAGTGGTTATTTAGATAGATTGTCACATAAGACTTAATCTAGAGGCCTACGGAGACCAGAGTGGATACAGCCATAGGCACTGGGATATATTAGCTATAATCAGTCATTTGAGGAAGCACACAGAATCCTGCAGGTATTGATTGGCGGGGTAAGTATACTGCGTAGTGAATTGATCGACGCGGTTTCACTGTACTTCTCAAGCTCCCACACCGCCCCACCGCGCATCCTGCCATCTCCTGATTACTTAAGCTCAGCGTCATCTTCAACCTTGAACTCCATCCACGTCTTTCTCTTTTTCGCACAGGGTGACCCAACCAGCCTTGGAAAAGAGCCATCAGTGAGCCTGCTCGTTCGGAAATACTTTTCGCTCTCCGTCCCCTCCTCTTCACCATAGTTTCCCCTGTCCGTTCATCCTCACCTTCTTTGGACGCGTCTCTTTCAGCGTAGGGAGACCTATTCAGCGCGAGAACAGAAACACTCTCTGCTCTCTCTCCACTTTCCTATAACCTGACTATTCTCGTCTTTATCCATTTTGACGCGTCTCTTTCCTTTGTCCCATCTCCGAAAGAAGCATCCACAGCGACAATGTCAACCCCAAATAACCCCTCGAGTGGCCCAGCCCCGACGAAGGGCCCAATGAAGCTTCGTCGCAGGGTAGCGGATCCATTGGTTCGTCCTAAGAAAAAGCCTGTTCGACCGGCAGAAATGGCCTCGGGCATGGCTCCTGGAGGAGCACCCGGCAGAACAGCGACGAAGACAGTCCCCTTTCCAAAAAGCTCTTCGAATGCTTCCGGAACCATGCGTCCTGCTCCACCCAGTGAGGAACAAGCTGTCAATGGATTCAGCGGTCCTTTACTCTGCGAGAAGTACGTTGATTACCCGGTTGTCATGACAAAGCGCTCGCTACGTGAGGCCATCAAGCACCATATTGCCCGATTCTCCTCAAAAAAACGCGTTGATCCGCGTGATGAATCCCAGTTCACACGACCTGTGAGGCTGCAGCGCCGAGATCCACGCTCGCGGAACCAAGAATCCAATGCTGAGAAAATGGTCGGTCCAGATGGCCAACAACTTGACGAGGCAGACCGGGAGGCCCTGGATGCTCGGAGGGCCGCGCGAGAGAAGGAACGTGCCGAGAACTTGGCTCAAATTGCTCCCTCGGTTGGCTCGACCTCAAAGCGTCAAAACGCCCCTAAACAAAAGACCCAGCAAGTCTACAAATCGGATCTCACGCCCGATGAGATATCCAAAGCTCGGATCAAGTACGAGGAAGCGCTCCCTTGGCACTTGGAGGATTTTGACAACAAGAACGTTTGGGTCGGCAACTATGAAGCGGCCCTATCGGAAACGCATGCTATCTTTGTTCTCGAAGACGGTAAGATGCGAGTAATTCCTGTTCAAAAATGGTACAAATTTACTGCCAAGAGCCACTTCACACCCTTGTCAATCGAGGAAGCGGAGAAAATCATGGCCAAACGGACCAAAGATCCCCGCTGGTTTATGGAGAAGCAGAAACAGATGGCAAAAGAAAAACAGGAGCAAGAATGGGCCAAGCAGCGCAAAGTTTGGTCCGGGCCAAAAGTAAGACCCGACCGAGGCGAGGGTCTAGAGCTGGCCGGCATGGATTTCGAAGACGACCAATTCGCCGATGACGAAGACCAATATGATCTATTCAATGACGAAGATGAAGACGCCAAGGCCGCCCAAGCACGAATCAAAGCAGACCAATTGAAGGCCAATGTTTTTGACCTCAAGGATGAAAAAGACTATGATCTTGAGGAAGCGCGGGAGAAGCGGGAGCGGGAAGCTCGTCATCGCCTGGGGAAGAAGGTGCGAAAGGCGTTGAAGAAACGGGAGAAGAATTACGATTACAGCAGTGGATCTGATTACAACCCATACTCTGATGACGATGAAGTGAGATAGCCCGCCCGGTCTGAGATGTGTTGCTGATTTTAAAACTAACATTATATGCCCGCAGAGCTCTGATGATAGCGAGGCTGAGAGACTTAAGGAGGAGGAGCGCAAGGCTGAAGAAGAGAAAACCCGCAAGGCCGAAGAAGAGAAGAATCAGAAAGAATCGGCCTCGTCGACTAAAGGCAGCAATACACCATCAGGCCAGGCGAAGCAGATTGACCCTTTGAAGAAGAACCGCAAGCGACAGGGTTCGCCAGGATCTGATGCTAGTGGCACGGATACCTCGCGAAAGAAGCGTAAGAATAAGCCAATGGCCTCGCAGTCGCAGTCGCAGTCGCAGTCAAGCCCTCAGCCAACCTCGCGGCCGATTTCCCCGGGGGGAGTCTAGCACACAGGTACGTGCCATTCGAACACTGCTACTATTTGGATCTAGGTACCTAATTATGTCTATTCTAGGCTAGTAAGAAAAGGGCTCGAAACCTTCAATTGGGTGGTTCTGGATCGGGCAGTGACGTTGAAGCTGCTGCAGGCTCCGGAGCGGAAATGAGCGAGAGTGGCATAAAGAAGAAGTTGAAACTGAACCCGCCCAACAATGTTTCCCGCGGAGGTACACCATCTGGATCGCGAGCTGCCAGTCCGGTTGCTGGAGGCCCCAGCTTCTCTGGTAGCCGCGCCAGTAGCCCCGAAGGAACACGAGGTGAGTTCCACTCCGATAGCATTAAAAGGCATTGGCATTGCAAAACTGACCACTCATCAAATCTATAGGCCTCGGCCGTACATCGACCCCAGTCCCATCTGGAAAAACTAGTGGAGCTTACCCCACACACGCGGAGGTCCATGCTGCGATCCCAGCCACGGGCATTGGCAGTAGCCACCTTCTTCGTATCTTCCGTCATCGCCTTGGAGATAATCATAAACGGTTCATCGACATTGTTAAGGACGTTAGCATCTACGGGGCCGACAAATTGCTTCGACCTGCACCTCGAAAGGAAGAATGGAATTAGGATCGCTACCGTGAATTGACCGTCGAAATCCAGTGCGTGTGAGAGGTGACGTATTCGGTCCCTGGAGCTTCAGATTTCGGTCTACGGAGTTTCAAATGAATAGGAACGAGAAGGAGGGGGAGAAGAAAAAGGCAAAAAAGCCAGATGTACGAATTATGCTCGAAGTGAACGCTCGAGTCTAGCGATTGACTGATTTCAAAGCAACAAGCGGGTTAGTTACCAAGAGACCAGAGATTAGTGAATTGGCTGGGTATGTTTACACATCCATTATGTAGTTTTATTTTAGCGCCGAAATGAGATTATGCCCGCTCTGCACCTAGTAAACATAACAGTTGTAGCCTGAAGATGGAGCAGTGAATCGGTGGTGAGCATGAATGCCATGAATACCCTTGGTTCTAGCGTCCTGTGCACCAAACTACCACTGATGATATTTTATGAGACAGAAATCAATTATGTCTAAGCTTAAAACTAATGACACAACAAAAGATAACAAGACTGAAGAGTTTCAGATACAACTCCGCCAAATATGAAGAGACATGTCACGTCATGACCGAGGTAAGACTGGGTCTTTCTATCATGGGAATAAAGATTAAGCGAGACAGGAGGGGGAATCACAGGGTACAAGAATATTAAGCGCGGGGCGCAGTCTCACTGCTCTCCTCATACTTGTCCCAGTTGGCCAGGATGGAGGCAATGCGGGGGGGAATTAGTCAACCGGTACACATCCTCGAAGTATTCCTTCGTTATCTGGAAGGGACGAGCCGTGACGTTGGGAATATACTTGTCGATCAGCTTGCTGGGGTCGATGGTGGTCTTGTTGATCTTCTTCAGCAAAAAGGACCGGAAAGGCTTGACACCAGAGCGCAGGAAAGTGCTGTGGAACGGCACGTCGATACCCTTGAGTGGGATTGTCGCAAAGCCACGCTCGAGTTCGATAGGCTTAGGCTTGGCTTCGGTCTGCTTCGCACACTCCTTGATCATGGTCACAAGGTGAGCCTTGACATCCTCAAGTGACATGCTCTGCATGAGAGCGGGAATGTCAATGTTCTGAGCCTTGAGGTAGTTCAGCAGGTTGGTAAGGCAGTCAAGAGCACGGTTCTAAGTTGGGTATTAGTATACAGATAGATACGAGAAAGGCTCATGCAAAAGCATGGTCATTAGAAAGAGGATTATCAATGGGGGATACTCACGTCACCAGCAGCAACATATTGCATGTTGGCCACGTTGTAGTTGACAATCTCCAGTAGCCAGCCAGTCTCCTCAGCAATGTTTTCCACGACATACTGTAGGGCCTGCTCGTTGAAGGTCTTGGAGATACGGCTAGGGTTGACGGCGGACATGGAGTAGTTTGAACGACCTTGCTCGTCACGCTCGACAGCGACCTGCATGGTCAGGCCACGATAGAACACGACAGAGACCAAGCTCTCAATAGGCATAACATCGGCCAAAGCAGCCAGGGCAGAGTATTCACCAAGAGAGTGACCAGCGAAGCTACTGGCACGTTGGACTAGGCCCTTGGAAGACATGTCCTCGAAGCTAGCCTTCTCCATTAGAGTCAAAGCAGGCTGGGTGAACTGTGTTGCTGACAATAGACCCGTGGGGGAGCGATATGTGTACGAGGCAGTGGTCTCATCAACCTCCTTGAAAATCTTCTCCGACTTGATGGAGCCGTCAGGGTTGACTGATTCGAAGGTCATGGCCATGTAGTTCTGGCGAATGGCCTTGCCACGTGGACCGCCGAAGTAGACAGTCAACTCCTTAGGATTGTTCTTGACAATGTCAATGATAGAAAGACCGTAGTTCTCGATGAAGTGGCGATCGGCACGATCCCAAACCTCCTTGGCAACAGGGCTGCTGGCATAAAGCTCCATACCCATGCCCTGCTCTTGAGAACCCTGACCAGTGAAGACGTAAGAGGTTACAGGCTGTTCAACCTCTGCCTCACCAAGGAGCACCTTGTCCTCCGTTTCTTTGTTGCTGACCTCGACCTTGATGATTTTGCGACCGGCAATCATGCCAACATGCTGCAACTTGACAGTGATCACATCATTCGGCAAGACCATGCCAACCAATGAGACATGGAAGCCACGGACACGTCCTATATTATTCTCGGCCGCCCAAGTCTCCACGAAGCTACGCACAGCAGCACTGCTGTACATTCCATGGGTAATCGTGCCGGGAAGGTTGGCGTAGCTGGAGAAGACACGCGAAACGTGGATGGGGTTGTAGTCACCAGAGACACGAGCATAGGTCTCGTTGGAAGCTGGAGCACGCAGTTCCAGAGGCGTCTTACCACCCAGAGGAATAGGGTTCTCAAAATAAACTGGCTGCTCAATCGAAGTACCGTTGCGCTGCAAGTAATCAATGACAGGGTTGCCATGGGAAGTACCGGCTTCGTACTCTACAGAGGCAACCTGGATGACTTCTTTGGTAGGCAGCTCGAGTTGAACCTGACCGACAGTTTGAACATTGCTAAAAACATCCGTGTTCTTGAAGTGAATCAAGCTCTGTAGACGGAAGGTGAGGGTTTGGCCCAGCAGCTCCAAGTCAGGCTCATCCACGCGGAACCATTCCTTAGAGCGAAGGATAGCAACGTCACGGCTGGTAGCCAGGTGTACCTGAATAGGCACCTCCTCCTTGCGTTGGAAGGTATTCTCAAAGTCGGTATACACGCCACGGTACAAGAATTGACTAGTGACGTGCATGATCTCTTTACCGTCACGCTTGATAGTACCACAAACCTCGACCATCTTGCCAGAATCCTGGTTGATCACGGCATTGATCTGAGCAGTGGTATCCAGAACATCGCCGACCTTGAGAGGTTGAGCACCTGGCACCATCTTGAAACCGTTTGACAAGTGAACAAGCTTCAGCAAGTCACCGTCGATAGTGCGAGGGAAGATTGGCTTTGTAATGGCCTTCCAGCCAGCTACAATGGCGAAATCCATGGGAGCAAAAACCTCCTTTCCAGGACGGTCGACAAAAGCTTCGCCGGTATTGCCAACGGCATGGACGAAGTCTGCGACGGCTTGGGAAGTGATAGTGCTCTGGCCACCATTGAAGATCGCTGTGGTGGGAGTGTCAAAGGGCACATCCTTGTTGCCAAACCAGATTCGGTAGTAGAACTCCTTGATGCGGTCATTGCGGTCTCCCATCACCTCACGGATAGGGGCGTATCCAGTCTCCGGGTGGTAAGTGAAGAGGAATGTCAAGGGAACAACACCCCCTTCGGCAGTTCGGCCTTCAAACAGAGTGAGACAGATTTGATTCTTCTCATTGAGTTTGGCCTCAACTGTCTTCACCAACTTTCCAGACTGGTAAGGTTCACGAACGCTGACAACAGTCTTGGCAGTGTCGTTGGGGTTGGCGATTTCAACGAAAAGGCCAGCAGTGGGAGCCACGATTCGCTTCAGAGGGTTTGTCTGGAAACGGTGGCCTTGTACAAAGACCTCAGTCTGGAACAGTGCATGGCGCCAGGAGTACTTGTCCCCGGCTAGCAGGCGAAGCCAGCGGTCCAAGTCCGGCAAGTCAGCAGAGGACGATGAAAGACGGAAGCTGACCTTGTTGGCCTCCTCCAAGATTGTGAGGCCTTCCAGCTCCGACTCGTCTTCGGTATCGATGAGTTTGCCTCCAAAGTATTCAATCACGGGAATCTTAGTCTTGTCGCCACCGTACACATCGCGGAGCAAGCCTGCAATGTGACCGTGGTGGACACCTTCCAAGATGTCCTTGACAGGCTCATCAATGGAGGTAGAGAAACGAGCAGCCATAGGACCTTGCAGAATACAGGTACGACCGACATCTTGACCAACGACTGCTTCGAGGTCCTCGCTCTGCCAGAGAGAGTCCTTCTTGAAGAAATACTCGAAGTTTTCATCAAGGGAAGGAACGAAGGGAACAGGCTTCTGTCCGCGACGCTGGCAAAGAAGAAGGAAGTGCTGAACGTCTTGCGCGTTGATCAGCTGGGTCGCAGCCTCGGGGTAGGCGGCGAGGATGTTATCGATAGCCGGGTAAGGGGTGTTCAACTCGGAGTAGTTCTGCAGCAGAGAAGCCTGGCCATTCGCGGTGGTGAAACGCTCCTCAACACGACGCAAGAAGTCTCCAGTAAGGCGCTTCAACGAGTCATCAATCCATCGAGACTCGTGCTTCACATACATGAGTTCGACCATACGATGAACAACTTCGCTGTAAGTCATATCCTCTAAATCGACAGTCTCTCCCGCAGCATTGCGACCAAACCAGACCTTCTGGAAATCATCATTGAGCTTTTTGATGATGTAGTCGCGCTTCTTCTTGAGTTCAGGGACTCGCTTGGCCTTGTCGAGCTTGAAGATCGTCTGGTCCATCTCCTGCCAGAACAGAACACCACGGGTTGCGAGCTTATGGATAGGCTCACCCATTTCAGACAAGACAGTGATCACACCACCTGCCGCACCCTTGTAGGTCTTCTCCCACTCAGAATCGCCGACACCTGGGGCATCAACGATAGCCTGCTTGGCGTTCTTTGAAGTGTGTGCTTCCTTGGCGACCATCATACGGCTACCGAACATACATCCATCAAAGGGCATTGCAGGGTATCCATACTTAGCAGACCAAGCACCAGTGAGGTATGGATAAGTATCCTCAGCCCCGCCGAAACCACTGCCGGCCACAAGAACAATGTTCTCTTGCTTGCGCAAGCGACCATACATCTGAAGGATAGGTTGATGGAAGTCCTCGAAGGAATGGTGACCACCACCTCGGCCGCCAGTCCACTGAAGAATAACAGGGAACTTAGGGTTGGCCTTGGCGATATTGATCACTTGTTGAATAGCATCGGCGGATCCAGGCTTGAAGGCAATGTGACGGAGGCCTAGGGTCTGAATGTATTCATTGGCGACTTCAATGGAAGGCACACCTGCACCAATAGAGAGACCCTCAATAGGCACACCATCGGCCCGAAGGCGGCCGATAAGAGGGATCTGCCAGCCCATAGCACGAGGATTGACATAGATCAGGTTGACAGTGATTCCACGGCCAGGTGGGATAGCCTTTTCGATCTTAGTGACGGCTTCGGTCATAGTCTTGGCGTTGTAGTAACCACCACCGGCCAACTCAATGTGATATCCCGCGTTCATTGTAGCGACCACAAAATCCCAAGGAACGGTAGTGGGGGTCATTGCAGCCACCATCACAGGAGGGATACCCAGAAGACGGCTCAGCTTGGTGTCAACGTAAGTCTCACCGGTAGAGGTCTGAATCAACCGGGGTCCATGTTCCTTTACCCAGTCCACAGCGTACTTGACAGAGTGTTCGTCACGGTCAAACAGCTCAGGTTTGTAGCCCACTTCGGCATTGGTACCGTCCATCTCCCCAGCTAATATGACTCGAACGCCAGTACCATCTTTGTTGCGGTTGGTGAGAACACCTAGACCAGAGATTCCACCGGGGCCGAAATCTATTATGTGGGTAGCACCAGGGAAAACTGTAGCTTGCTCCCAGTTGACGGGATCGTGAGTGATCATGCGGACCAAGGATGGAACGGCATTCTTGGCACCCAACTGACGAAGGTCTTCACCACTCTTGGTGTCGAACACGGCGATAGAGAAGGACGAGGCAGGAATCTCAATATCTTCCAAGTCGTCGAGGATGCGGTCATACGCAGAGGTGAGGTACTGGCTGTGGAAAGGAGCGGTGATTGGAAGGAATCGGTTGACAAAGCGAATCTTACGCTGTGTGAAGGGAATTCGGTTCTGGTCTAGTCCAGTCGGGGCCTTGACCTTGCGGAGACGAACGTTCAAACCGTAGAGAGAAATGGGGGGACCAGTCACCACAAAGTTACGCGCACTGTTCACCAGAGAGATGGCAATGTGGCGGTCTTCGGGTAAGTGCTGGTTAGTTGCGTCGATATGCCCCTGAACTGCAGCCCGAGAGAGATCACGGATAGAGAGCATAGGGGTCGGTACCCCTTCACCATGTTCAACGGAATCTTGAAGTACGGAAGGAGCAAGAGATGTACGAGGATAAGCTTGCTGGCTTCGCAAACCAATCCAGAAAAGCATGGTCAGAGCATTCTTTACCGATTGGCCGAATGACTCCCAGCTGGTGGCAGTGGCAATGGCAGCAGCGGTCACCACGCCCTGTGAGTGGCCAGTAGTTCCCCGAATACGCTCAAGCAGATCACCTGGTTGGCGCCCCAGAACCTTGCAGGTAACCATGTAGTGAGCCAGTTGCACTAAACCAATGAGGGGCAGACTGACGGGGGCGGAGACAAGATAATCGGTGTCTGGCTGAGAATCCCGATCCTGAAGCCACTGCATGATATCCAACCCCTTCGGGTAGAGCTTGCTCGCCTCAGGCTCTCGTGAGAGAGACTGCAGGAGCTCTGCAGAGGAAACGATAAGCTCCTCGACAAACGTGGAATAGGTGTTGTACACTGCGCGGAGTTCATCGAAGTACTCCTCAATATTGCCCTGACCACCAAAGACAGTGTAGATGCCGGCAGCTTCCTCAGAAGCAGCGCGGAAGAGCGCCGAATCATAAGGCTTGGTTGGGCGACCTGCAGCAGCTCGTCCGGCATAATAGGCCTCAACAACATGGTTCTTCTTGGAGACGATGCCTGGCAAGGCGGCCGCGACAGCGTGGACATCATTTCCGCGCATGAAAGCCCGCTCAAACTCATTAAGGACAAGCTTCAAAACCTCCAAGTAGCTTCCCTGGGCATCGTCTTCGCCTTCCTCGACCTCACTGGCCACATAGCCGATATAGCGAGCGACCAGCTCGGCGACGGAGGATGGTTCGTCATCCAGGGCCAATTCATCTGTGGGTTCGGGTAATGAGGCCGTCAAGGCGTCTTTTAACTGAGAGGCATGGAAATGGAGGGAGGTTGGCACGAGGAAAGAAAATTCGAGGGAGCCATGTGAGAGGATAAGAGGGCGGAGCGATTGCGAGGATCGAGGGGTATTGATGCCGGTCTGAGGACCGGTTGATGTGCCGTACATGGTGAAGATATGTTCCAGTTGGGCTCTTCAGTTTCTAGTCTCTCTCCTCATAAAGAGACCCAGGGGGTTCTCAGGAAACAATTGAGGATCTGGAGGGAAGAGCGATGATGTTAGCTCGGCGGGGGAATTTTTTTTGGAGCTTGGGCGTTTTGGCGGGAAGGTAAAGGGGGCTTAGTCTTGCCCCCGGATCGACACTCACCAGTCCTCCGGATTAAATAGATACAAGCGAGAAATACGAACAAAATCCAAAGAGAAAGGCAAGAAGATGTAGGAATCGAAAAAGTTAGAGAAACACCAGAGATGTCGGATGTCAGCAGAAAACGACGGACCCAGTAAAAAAAAAAGAACCGTAAGATACCCAAAAAAGAAAAAAAAGAAAAGCAGCCGCTGTTGAACTGTCGTACACCGGAAACGGTTTAGGGCGACGGGTTCAACAGGAATTTCGGTTTTTGCTCGGTGGAACAAAGTAATGAAAACCGTGTTGATTGGGGTTGTTGGGGAGAAATGCTTGTGTGTGATTGGTGGCGGCTGCGTGAGGAGGTATTGATGTACGGGGCATACGTGACAGCCGTACCTGACAGCTTTTGGAACTCTCTGTTACAGTACGTCCCTACGCTCCTGGGCCATTCGAGCGGGTCATGTTGATTTAGTATGGCTGGCCCATTCAACCCGGTCGTAAGGCTTCGCCCCCCCCCCCAACGGCCTCTCAACTGGATCGTGGTTGAGCGGAGGTTCTCTGCACCACGTGACTCCATCCCTGCTACGGGGCTGGTTTGAAGGCTAGGAAATTTATGACGAGAAAGTCTAATTATATCGTAAGCATCAAATCTAGTCATATTAGAAGATTTTAAGAGTACAAGTATTTCCATCGAACATGCCCTTATGTATCTAGTGTGTCATAATGCAGAAGCTGTAGTAGCAAAAACATAAACAACTCAATGTGTATAAACAAGTAGGGTGGGTGGATATCAACAGCTTGAAACTGGGGTTGATTACTACTATAGTATAAGGTAGCAACCCCCCAAACCCAACATATTCAGAGTCTCGCTGAGATGAATAATATGAAAATTCCAGATCTTTCCAACCATGTAAAAGTATTGATCGACTAATCTTAGTTTCGGCCGGGCTCCAAAAGCGCCCCCTCCCCCAAGGCTTTTCCTTAGCGTAGATTTTCCTTAGCGTTCCCCAATTACAGCCAATTACGATCCATTACAATCCAGTACTCAATACCAACGGGCTGACCGTACCCGGGACACTGACCGCCTGTCGGATCGGGCCTATCGCTTTCCCACCTTTTTTTTTTTGCTTGGATTCCTGGGATAATAGTGGCTCCCGTTTTTGGTGGTACCCTCGCAGCTTCTTCTCAGGCTGGGTTCTTCGCCTTCTCTCTTCTTCCCTCAGTCCCTTGTTTCTTTCTACCCTGTGTGTTTAATTTCAATTTTATTTGCTTTGGTGAGCCTCTAGAAGGCAGCTTGCGACCATTGTCTTTGTCGCACTCTCTACTCTAGGACGCGCTGTCCTGCCTCTTACATCCTAATACTCGATACCCTCATACTCCATCACCATGCGCCCAGAGATTGAACAAGAGCTGTCTCACACCTTACTGGTGGAGCTGCTTGCATACCAGTTTGCCTCCCCCGTTCGATGGATTGAAACTCAAGATGTTATTCTCGCCGAGCAACGCACTGAGCGGATCGTTGAGATTGGTCCCGCCGATACCCTCGGAGGCATGGCTCGTCGAACTCTCGCTTCCAAATACGAAGCCTACGATGCCGCTACTTCCGTACAACGTCAAATTCTTTGCTACAATAAAGACGCAAAGGAGATCTACTACGACGTCGACCCTATCGAGGAGGAAGAGCCAGCTGCTGAGACTCCAGCTGCCTCTGCCGCACCTGCTGCAGCAGCAGGTGCTCCAGTTCCAGCAGCAGCAGTAGCAGCTCCTCCACCTCCAAGTGCTGGTCCAGCCGCTGCAATTGCGGATGTGCCGGTGACAGCAGTCGACATTCTGCGTTCCCTCGTGGCCCAGAAGTTGAAGAAGGGTCTGGCCGATGTGCCATTAACAAAAGCTATCAAGGACCTTGTTGGAGGTATGTTACAACACCAAAACAGTTTGGTACTGTTCAATGGAGAGGAATGCCCGCTGACACTGGGGATCAGGTAAATCCACCCTACAGAACGAAATCCTGGGAGACCTCGGAAAAGAATTTGGCTCTACCCCAGAGAAGCCTGAAGACACTCCATTGGATGAGTTGGGTGCTTCGATGCAGGCGACCTTTAATGGTCAATTGGGCAAGCAGTCATCATCTCTAATTGCGCGTATGGTCGCCTCTAAAATGCCCGGTGGTTTTAATATTACTGCGGTTCGCAAATATCTCGAGACACGATGGGGCTTGGGCGCCGGCCGCCAGGACGGAGTGCTTCTGCTCGCCATCACCATGGAGCCGGCCTCCCGTCTCGGCTCGGATGCAGATGCCAAGGCCTTCCTTGATGACGTTGCCAACAAATATGCCGCAAGCGCTGGTGTCAATCTCTCAACCCCAGCTGCTGGCGGAGATAGCAGCGGCGGTAGCAGCGGCGGCATGATGATGGATCCTGCCGCCATCGATGCTCTGACCAAGGACCAACGGGCTCTGTTCAAGCAACAGCTCGAGGCTATTGCCCGTTACCTTAAGATGGATCTGCGTGCCGGTGATAAGGCTTTCATCACTTCACAAGAAACTCAAAAAGCCTTGCAGGCGCAGCTGGACCTGTGGCAGGCTGAGCACGGTGACTTCTACGCCTCGGGTATCGAACCCTCGTTCGACCCACTGAAGGCTCGTGTTTATGACTCCTCATGGAACTGGGCGCGCCAGGACGCCCTAAGCATGTACTACGATATCATTTTTGGCCGTTTGCAAGTGGTTGATCGCGAAATTGTCAGCCAGTGTATTCGCATCATGAACCGTTCCAACCCCCTCCTCCTCGACTTCATGCAATACCACATGGACAACTGCCCCACCGAACGTGGTGAGACCTACCAATTGGCCAAGGAGCTTGGTCAACAGCTCATTGAGAACTGCCGCGAGGTCATCAATGTTGCTCCTGTGTACAAGGATGTTGCCGTCCCTACAGGCCCTCAGACCACCATTGATGCCCGTGGTAACATCGGTTTCAAAGAGGTTGAGCGCCCCAGCGTGCGCAAGCTGGAACACTATGTAAAGCAGATGGCCAATGGCGGTCCTATCTCTGAGTACAGCAACCGTACTAAGGTTCAGCATGATCTTAAGAATGTTTACAAGCTCATGCGCAAGCAGCACCGTCTTTCCAAGGCCACACAGCTTCAATTTGACGCTCTCTACAAGGATGTCTTGCATGCTTTGAACATGAATGAGAACCAAATCATGCCCCCAGAGAACGGCACTGCCAAGAAAGGTCGCAACGGATTCAAGCGTACGCCCACCCGCCCTGGCAAGGTTGAAACCATTCCTTTCTTGCACTTGAAGAAAAAGTCCGAGCACGGCTGGGACTACAACAAGAAGCTCACCGGTATCTATTTGAACGTATTGGAATCGGCGGCAGCCTCTGGTCTTACTTTCCAGGACAAGTATGTTCTTATGACCGGTGCTGGTGCTGGTTCCATTGGTGCCGAGGTTCTGCAAGGCCTTATTAGCGGTGGAGCCAAGGTCGTTGTTACTACCAGTCGCTTCTCTCGCGAGGTGACTGAATACTACCAGGCCATGTACGCGCGCTACGGCGCTCGTGGATCTCAACTCGTCGTTGTACCTTTCAACCAGGGTAGCCAGCAAGATGTGCAGGCTCTGGTCGACTACATCTACGACAACAAGAAGGGTCTTGGCTGGGACCTGGACTTCGTGGTTCCTTTCGCTGCCATTCCTGAAAACGGTCGTGAAATCGACTCAATTGATTCCAAATCCGAGCTTGCCCACCGTATTATGCTCACAAATTTGCTCCGTCTTCTGGGCGCCATCAAGACTCAGAAGCAGGCTCACGGTTTTGAGACTCGTCCGGCTCAGGTTGTCTTGCCCCTTTCTCCCAATCATGGCACTTTCGGAAACGATGGTTTGTACTCCGAATCCAAACTTGCCCTTGAGACACTTTTCAACCGCTGGTACTCCGAGAACTGGAGCAACTACCTCACCATCTGTGGTGCCGTCATCGGATGGACCCGTGGTACTGGCCTGATGGGCGGAAATAATATGACCGCTGAGGGTGTTGAGAAGCTTGGTGTGCGAACTTTCTCCCAGCAGGAAATGGCTTTCAATCTCTTGGGTCTGATGTCTCCGGCCATCGTCAACCTCTGCCAACTTGATCCCGTTTGGGCTGATCTGAACGGTGGCCTTCAGTTCATCCCCGATCTCAAGGGATTGATGACCAAGCTCCGTACTGAAATCATGGAGACCAGCGATATTCGCCAGGCTGTCATCAAGGAGACTGCCATCGAACAGAAGGTTGTAAATGGCGAAGACAGCGGCGTTTTGTACCAAAAAGTTGTTGCCGAGCCTCGCGCCAACATCAAGTTCGAATTCCCCAAGCTCCCCGACTGGGAAAAAGAGGTCAAGCCCATCAACGAATCTCTCAAGGGTATGGTGAACCTCGACAAGGTTGTCGTGGTCACTGGTTTCTCCGAGGTCGGCCCCTGGGGTAACTCTCGTACTCGTTGGGAGATGGAAGCCTACGGCAAATTCTCGCTTGAGGGCTGTGTTGAAATGGCTTGGATCATGGGTCTGATTAAGCACCACAACGGACCTCTCAAGGGCAAGGCCTACTCTGGCTGGGTCGATGGTAAGACGGGCGAACCTGTCGATGACAAGGATGTCAAGCCTAAGTACGAGAAGCACATCCTTGAACACTCCGGTATCCGTCTTATCGAGCCTGAGCTTTTCAAGGGATACGATCCCAAGCAGAAGCAGCTATTGCAAGAGATTGTTATCCAAGAGGATCTCGAGCCCTTCGAGGCCTCGAAGGAGACCGCTGAAGAGTTCAAGCGTGCGCATGGTGACAAGGTTGAGATCTTCGAGATTCCGGAATCAGGCGAGTTTACTGTTCGCTTGCGGAAGGGTGCCAATCTCCTTATTCCCAAGGCCCTCCAGTTTGACCGTCTTGTCGCCGGTCAAATCCCCACGGGCTGGGATGCCCGCCGCTATGGTATCCCTGAGGACATCATTGAACAGGTGGACCCTGTCACTCTGTTTGTCCTTGTCTGTACTGTCGAGTCCATGCTCTCTGCCGGTGTCACTGACCCATATGAGTTCTACAAGTATGTCCACCTCTCTGAGGTTGGTAACTGTATCGGTTCTGGCATTGGTGGTACTCACGCTCTACGTGGAATGTACAAGGACCGTTTCCTTGACAAGCCCCTGCAGAAGGATATCCTGCAGGAGTCTTTCATCAACACCATGAGTGCTTGGGTCAACATGTTGCTCCTGTCATCCACTGGTCCTATCAAGACCCCTGTCGGTGCTTGTGCCACTGCCGTTGAGTCCGTCGACATCGGCTACGAGACTATTGTCGAGGGCAAGGCTCGTGTCTGCTTCGTCGGTGGTTTTGATGACTTCCAGGAGGAAGGCTCATACGAGTTCGCCAACATGAAAGCCACCAGTAATGCCGAGGATGAGTTTGCTCACGGCCGTACTCCTCAAGAGATGTCCCGACCAACTACCACCACCCGTGCCGGTTTCATGGAGTCGCAAGGTTGCGGTATGCAGCTTATTATGAGTGCTCAGCTTGCGTTGGACATGGGTCTTCCTATCCACGGCATCATTGCTCTAACGACCACTGCCACTGACAAGATCGGTCGATCTGTTCCTGCTCCAGGTCAGGGTGTCCTCACCACTGCTCGTGAGAACCCTGGCAAATTCCCGTCTCCTCTGTTGGATATCAAGTACCGTCGCCGCCAGTTGGATCTACGCAAGAAGCAGATTAAGGAGTGGCAAGAATCGGAGCTCATGTACCTGCAAGAGGAAGTTGATGCTATGAAGGCTCTGGGTGATGAGACTTTCAATGCGTCTGAGTTCATGCAAGAGCGTGCTCAGCATATCGAGCGCGAGGCCACTCGTCAGGAGAAGGATGCCCAGTTCTCTCTGGGCAACAACTTCTGGAAGCAGGATTCGCGCATCGCTCCTCTGCGTGGTGCTTTGGCCACTTGGGGCCTGACTGTCGATGATATCGGTGTCGCCTCCTTCCACGGTACTTCTACTGTTGCCAATGACAAGAACGAATCGGATGTCATCTGTCAGCAACTCAAGCACCTTGGCCGTAAGAAGGGTAATGCCGTCATGGGTATCTTCCAGAAGTACCTCACCGGGCACCCCAAGGGTGCTGCTGGTGCCTGGATGTTCAACGGCTGTTTGCAAGTCCTAGACAGCGGTCTCGTGCCTGGCAACCGGAATGCGGATAACGTTGACAAGGTCATGGAGAAGTTCGATTACATTGTGTACCCCAGCCGCAGTATCCAAACTGATGGTATCAAGGCATTCTCCGTTACATCCTTCGGTTTCGGTCAGAAGGGTGCCCAAGTTATTGGTGTCCATCCTAAGTACCTGTTTGCCACTCTTGACAAGTCCCAATACGAGACTTACAAGACTAAGGTGGAGTCCCGGCAGAAGAAGGCCTACCGCTTCTTCCACAATGGCCTGATCAACAACAGCATCTTCGTGGCGAAGAGCAAGGCTCCTTATGAGGATGAGCTCCAAAGCAAGGTCTTCCTTAATCCTGATTACCGTGTCAGTGTTGACAAGAAGACCTCCGAGTTGAAGTACTCTTCAGCTCCTCCAAAGGCTGAGCAACCCAACGAGAAGAGCACCCGTGAGGTTGTCGAGTCACTTGCGAAGGCCAGCGCTGCAGAGAACTCAAAGGTTGGTGTTGATGTTGAGAACATCGATGCCGTCAACATTGACAATGATACATTTGTTGAGCGTAACTTCACTGCCAGCGAGCAGGAGTACTGCCGCAAGGCTGCTTCTCCCCAGTCTTCTTTTGCTGGACGCTGGAGTGCCAAGGAAGCAGTGTTCAAATCCTTGGGTGTCAGCAGCAAGGGTGCCGGTGCGGCCCTGAAGGAGATTGAGATCACGAGTGACGCTACCGGCGCCCCCTTGGTGAACGTAAGTTTTGGATCAGGTTGATTTCCCTCATTTCAACGTTGACACTAACCTTGAACCCTCTCTAGCTCCACGGTGCCGCCGCAGCCGCAGCTAAGCAGGCAGGCGTCAAGTCTGTCACTGTCAGCATCAGCCACAGTGAATCACAGGCTGTCGCCGTTGCAGTTTCACAGTTCTAGGCATCTGATTGTTGTGATTCCCGACCTCCTTCCGACCTCCTTCCCCATCTCATGTTTACATATGCATGATGCGAAAAGAAGCCAAATATTCATTTGTTCCTCTCTTGGCGCGCTGCTTTACATTTCCTGAGACGTGACGATTGTGATCTATGTTTTCTTTCGCCCTTTTGTTTTAAACTCGAGTCGGCTTCGTCTACTGGCTCGTTGGTGTTCATACTGGGATTAATGATATGTCATAATGTTGTTTGTTTACAATTCATCAATAGACAATCGTAGCATCCTGTAGCATCCTGATTGCAGTACTAGTACAGCCAAGAGTTGAACTATTATCAACTCAGTATCAAGACTTGTAGAAATTTACTAGTCATGCCCAGGTTGGAGCTTCAAGCTTGTGTTTTTTGAAGAGTAACATCCATCACACGTGGTTTCCTAGCGAAAGTAAGCTACTTCATGCCAGACCCTGATGATCTATGTTGACAACCAGGTACTAGTAGGCAGCATCTGGATAATTCCCATTGGGGGGAACGGAGGGTTTGTATGATACACATGGAGACAAATTCAACTCATTCTGCTTGGTTCGAAGTTACCGTAGCACGATTCAGCGGTCCCCAATTTGCTCGAGGATTCATCTGGTACCTCACCAAGCGTTTCTTGGATTGAGCCGCTGATGCTTCCCGACCCAGAGCGCTGTCAAACCTAATATCGAGTGTACTATAATGAGCTTTCTCTGGGGCATTTGACTCAGGATGCTCCTGTGGTGCAGTATCATTTGGCTGACCCTCTGATTTGTTGGCTTCAGAAAAGGGCACGGCAGAACGAGGGCTGGATCGGTAAAGGGAGGCTTCGATCTTCGTGATCAACTCATCCGCGTCGCGCCCAGACTCAACGGCCGCGAGAAGATTTTTCTTGAGCAAAGCCAGTCTAGAGTCTCCATCATGTACTTTGCGCAAGTTCTCACGGCTCTTGCTCATGATCGCGGCGGCAGCTGTGCCGGGCTTCAGGCTTGATTCCTTAATAGGGGAATGTTGGCGGACCCACTCACGCATCACTTCCCAGACGACAGTCCAGGGCGCGTCGGTTCGAATTGAATTCGCTCTAGCGTGGCTACGTGTAGAACGGTAGCCGATGGAATGTAATGCGCCGCGAAACTTGTCAGCGGGAACAGTAGTGCAACGTAAGATGCGCGAGAGATTGCTAAGGGTCATGAAGAAGGGGTAAGGGTCTCTAGCGGTTGGGTCTGATCGTGGAATGATAGCTGGGTACTCGGAGTCTTGGGGATTTGCCTCTGCAGCTTCAGAAGTGATGGCGTCCAAGTCCTCCTCGAGGGCTGTGGTCAACATACCTTCGATACGAGGAATGGTTTGGTATGTCTCAGGGTCAAGGTCGGGGAGGATACCAAGAATCTTTTGGATAAAATGGGTGTTGTGAAGCTTACCACCCCACATAGGACCTGCGAGGTGTGTTTTGAATCCGCAATGTTCACAGTGTGGGCCAGCAGTAGGCGCTTGGGCTAGCCCAAAGTGGTGAACTGGGTTGCCTTTACGGTCAAGCTTTGATTTGGCCACAGCCAATGGTTGTGTAGTCCAAGCACCGCATCCAGAGTCACAGTTATAGACCACCATAGTGTTGCTGGCAAGGAACTTGACCTGCGCTGGAGAGTTATAAACGCGTACGAAAACACGAGCATAGAAATCAATCGATAGGGAAAGAAGTGGCTCGATAGACATTCCATATCTAGCGGCTGAAATAGCAATGCTATTCAGAATCAGGCGTAGTCCGCCTTCATGCGATTGGGGGCCTTTGATAGGAACGCCGCCATAGAGTGCATATGCCTTTTCTGCGTAGCCAGTAGAGGCCCAGACACCAGCATCCGTGCAGGTCACACATAGGAGCCCTCCGTCTCTAACGGCCTGGACTGCGGCATCTGTAAAAGGAGCCGCCGTGCCATACGGATCCAGATCAATGACGTCGAATTTTTGCGCCGGGCCGCAGCCATACATGAAAGCGCGTGCGTCGCCTAAATTAGGCTGGATCCGGCCCTCTAGTTTATTATAGCCGATGTTCGTCTTCATAGAATCAATTGCCGAGGTCGACAAATCGTTGGCCACAACCTTAGTAACCATTGGCAATTCCGAAGCATATCGAAGGGCCCGTAAACCGGTAGCAGACAGCGCATCCAAGACTTTGAATGAGTGACCAGGGAGGGCCACTGGCTGTTGCTTGCCATTCTGTGTCTGTTCCCCAGAAGCGCTTGTGACAATCTCTGGGGAGTCTGAGTTGGCTTCTTCGTCTTCTTTTATGCCCAGCCTTTTTGCGACAGGTTCTTGTGTGTTGTCTTCGCCCTCGCGTTTACGCTTCGTACCTTGTTCCGCACTATTGTCTGTGCCACGTTTCTGGTTCCTCTTCGCCAGTCTTTGCTTCCTTTGGTCGACAGTGTGTTCTCCGAAGGCGCGAATGGCCAGTACGCTCAGGTCTCGGTTGAACTGTTGGATGGGGTTGTAGAAGACCGATTGGGATTCGTCGTTGGATTTGAGGTCTTTCTTTGTTCCCGTTGCAGCTGCCTCTTGAGCAGGCGGGTTGAGTATGTACGCAAGACCCTCCTTAATTACATTGTACTCTGCGCCGCAATAGTTCACTCGTTGGTTCTTGGGGTTCTCCATGGCGGGCGACTGGCAAAAAGAGCGAGTGGGTTGGTAAGGCTTGAGAAACCGAGTGCTGTTGGACAATTTATAGGCAAATGCGCATCGTGGAATGCAGAACACAGCTGGTTGTCTAGGCGAGAAGATCATGAGTAAAGGTTGCGTACCCCAAGTGAAAATGTCCAGTCGCGCCTTTGCGGGAAAAAAATTACGCGCACGGACCAAGTGCTGTTGATGAAGTAGACGAGGAAATCCACTACAATCTACTAGAGATCCAAATGAACAGTGACCATTTATTAGTAGAAGTATTAATACTAGGTTATTCAAGATTACATCTAGAGTACAGAGTGATATTATATGCATGGAAGATCCCCCGAATCCGATCTCTCGTCACAGCCACGCGCCAATCACTGGAACGTGACTGTACATGTTATTCCACCCTTGAGCCTCCCAACCCGCAGCAAGACCAGCACGGCCGACAATTCCAAGGGCACCAGCAAGCCAGAATGCTGCTCCAGCTACCGCGATGCCATTGACAGTCCACCACATCTTGCGCTGTCGCCTAGTGCGGTCAACGCTCTCCGAACTTCCCAAAAGACCTTCCAGCGAGCCTTTGCTCGTGTGTCTACGATCAGTGCGGGCAGTAGTGACCCTCCAGCCCATCCAAGTGGCCCATCCTCCCACAAAGTGCCAGACACTTGAAGTGACAAACATCAGATAGAAGATATTCCAGAACACTGGGCTGCGCGCGATACCATGGGCCACATACCCGAGTCCCACGCCAGAGCTACCACCCTCAATCAATAATGGGGTAGCGCGGTTGACAAGCACATGCAGACAGAGCAGTGGTGCCAGTATGTATCCAGCGCGGGCTTGGAGGGAAACCCTAGGCCAAGACGATAGAAGACTTCGTTGAGCGCGAGTCTCTGCGCCATACAGGCGAGCGCGCCGCGAGCCACGGATGTTTCGAAGAGCAATGCCAGAGACAATATGCGTGATGATGGGGATCGTCAAGAAGATGTGCTCCAATCCGGGCGCTTGGTAAATTGGTCGCGTGAGTAGAAGATACGACTCGCTAGCGGGCACAGAGCGAGTCGCCAGCGGGATCAAGGAGGTGTTCACAAAGTGGAGAAAAGAGAATACCGTGGGAGGGTATGTAGAGTACTTTTGAAGGCCGGAAACTGTATTGTTTGTTAGCACCTTGGGGCACTTTCCAACGACTTCCGAAAGGCACTTCACGTACGAAGTGCATCCCATCGATGAGGCCGAAGACCCAGCACCGGTCTTGGGAAGCCGCATGTCCTCGATCGCTTCTCTTCTGGTCTGGGGAAATATTCGCCTGCTCCGAGTTCCACGCTCGGGTCTCCCAAGTCCTCGTGCACAGGGGAAGGATCCAGCTCTTGCATAGAGATGATCGACTTCGCGTCGATGTCCACCGGTTTAGGGTCTCGAGAATCCATAATATTGGCTTTTGGTGTTTGAATTGAAAGTCAAAAAAAAAAAGGAAAAAGAAACTAGATAAAAAAGAAAAAAGGAGACTCGTAGATTCAAACCAACATCATTCGTAAGTAAATCGTGAGACGCAAAGGAGGAAAATAGTTTGACGGAAGAAAACAGGGAAACCGCGGCGGCGATCGCCCGCCAACTCCGCCCAATGTAATTTCACTCATTCATCATCCCCAACTTCCCGCCTGTAGACTATGGCACCGGTAATGTCCCTTGGTACTCTCACTGTCAGTCAGAACAGTTGCTCAATATCCATGTTCAACAGCGAGGCTTCACAAATCCTGCACCTAAGGTATGAACCAGGGGAAATTTGTCAATGAGCCCTCCCTGCTAACGCGGTCCAGACAGAGTCAGCGCGCGCCGCGCTGAGCGCCTTCACATGCTCGCTATGCAACAAGTCATACGCGCGGCACCCGGAGTATGAAGCGCATATCGGGTCCTATGACCACCAGCATCGACGACGACTTCAAGATCTAAAAGAGCTATCGCGCGACCCCAACGCAGCAGAGAAGGCTCGACGCGCCGAGCGCAAAGCAGATGAGCAGAACGGGCTCACCGTCATTGATACGCCAAATGCCGATACATCTAATACTCTTAATAAGGGGAAGGGGGGCTTCAAGAAAGGCGGTTTCAAAAGTTCTTTCGCCGCAGTAAAAGGTCCCACGGCACCAGCGAAGAAGAACGTTTTAGGCGACGATGACGACGACCCCCCCTGAAGTCCAGCCCGCTGGAAGCACAGAATTCAAGTCGCAGAACCAAAGCATGGGTGATGAGGCGGTGGAGAGTGATACCGATGAGGACTACGCGCCAGACCTGAAGGACGGCGGGGGTTATTATAATCCGAGGAAGCCAACAGCCTGTTCCCCCTCTTGTCCTGGATATCATGCCAATGCTGAAGCTTAGAGCTGGCTTTTAATTATCATACCACATTGAGATGGCGTTTGAGGGGGGTAAGCTTTCGGGTCTGGCTGGGTCACTTACCATGTTTTCCTTTCTTTTTTTTGTTCTCCACACCAACCGTCCCCCTTTCCCTTCTCCCTCATAAAAATTATACGATATTATCAATAATTGAATTACAAGTTAGCCATCGGTGTTGAGATATAATGAAGAGGAAAGTTCAACGTCAACTACGATCTTACACAGGGAAAATCAAAAACTCGAACTGCGGGTAATCGTACACTGGTTTCCCAAAATTTGTCTAGGCTAGAATAAACAATGACATGATGGAACAAACGGGGTCTGAGAAGATGCAACAAATGAAAAGGGTACTAGGCACATAGTTTTATTAAAAGCAGGTTTGGCTTGCGCGCTTACAGACGCAGCAGCTTGGCAGCCTGGGTGACAATGGTGTCTTCCTGGGGGAAGCTCATGTTCTCGAGACCAACGGCGTAGGGAGTGGGAACCTCAGCACCGGTCACACGGACAGCAGGCGCGGTCAAGTAGTCGAAGCCGTACTCCATGGAAAGAGCCAAGATCTCGGAGGCAACACCGAACATGGGGTAACCGGACTCAACCACCATCAGACGACCAGTCTTCTTGAGGGAGGCAATAATGGTCTCGACATCGAGGGGCTTGATCGAGCGGAGGTTAATAACTTCAGCATCGACACCGTACTGTTGCTTAAGGGTCTGGGCAGCAGACAGGGACTGGCCGACACAACGGGAAACAGAAACGATGGTGAGGTCGGAACCCGGGCGCTCGATCTTAGCCTTGCCAATAGGCAGGACAAAGTCGTTCTTCTGAGCAGCCTCGCTCATGGGGAACGCTTGACCGTACATAAGCCTATTTGAAGATATTGGATTAGATACGAATGGTGCCTGCAATAATCATGAGAGAGAGGACTCACTCGTTCTCTAGCACAACGACTGGGTTGGGGTCACGGATAGCAGCCTTCAACAGACCCTTGGCATCCTCAGAGGACCACGGTGAAACAACCTTGAGACCGGGAATGCTACCGTACCAGGCTGAGTAGTCCTGAGAGTGCTGGGCGGCGACGCCGGCAGCAAAGCCATTGGGGCCACGGAAAGTAACGTTGCAAGGCTGGATACCACCGGACATGTAGTGGGTCTTAGCGGCGGAGTTGATAATCTGGTCAATCGCCTGCATGGCGAAGTTGAAGGTCATGAATTCGGCCTATAATCATGGTCTTTTGGTTAGTGGCTCCCTTCTTGCCCGAGTGCTGACAGCAACTGCCAGCCGTAGTATTTCTCATTCCCAATGCACTTACAATAGGGTGCAGACCGGCAAGAGCAGCACCAACAGCGAGGCCAGTGAAACCAGCCTCAGTAATGGGGGTGTCAATAACTCGCTTCGGACCAAACCGATCCAACAAGCCCCGAGTGACCTTGTAACTGCGGGAAAGAATTCCATGTCAGTAGACTGATTCTGGATTCAACCGAAGCTAATTCACTCGTAAAGAGTGACCTCAGAAATGCGCTGGCAAGACTGTGGGGGGGTCCTTACGCGCCGTTGTACTGTGCAACCTCCTCTCCAAGAATGAAAGTCTTCTCGTTGAGCTCCAGCTCCTCCGCCAGGGCCTCGTTCAGGGCGTCGCGAACGGTCACCTCCTTGGTGCCGCTCTCGGAAGCATAACCTCGGACGCGCAGAGCCGATTGGGCGCATGCAGACTGGGCAAAGGCAGAGCGAAGAGGGGCGGCCGCAAAGCGCGAGGAGACCAGACGAGCTGCTGGGCGGAAAAGTCGTGGAGCCACCATTGTGTGGGTTTGGGGATAGATCGAGGAAGAAAAGAGAGGCGAGGATTGACGAGTCCGCAGGACCGAAACGGGCGTACAGGGCGTTCGAAGAGCGAACAAAGTAAAGGTTGGGTAACGGAAAAGCCCTTTGAATCTTTTGAGATGCAAATCAGGAAGATGTTGGGCCCTTAGTCAGCCGGATTTTTCACCGGCAGCTCCTTCCGTAACAGGATGAGGAGCTGGTTATCTGTTATCGCTTATCGACCAGTCTTTCTATCTGAGCTGCCTATCTATCAAGGTCCCTTCGCGTATTCATTAGCTGCCATTTCCCTCCTCCCGGTCTCTTATCTTTCGCGCTCAACGTCTGTCTTTATTTTTGTCTTCAGGACCAACTCTTGTGGAGTATAACCTCGGGAAACCCTCCACTCCCAGGATGTTGTTGTCCGTGTTGCCCTGGCTCCTCCCGTCGGCGCTCGCCGCGCAGCCCGCAGCCCCAGCTCCCATCTCCGCTCCCCTACGTGACCTTGAGATTGGCCAACTCAATTTTCTGCATACAACGGATACCCATGGCTGGCTGGCAGGTCATCTGCAGGAGTATGTCCTTTCTAGGGCTCCCTAGTATAGGTCCTACTAATCAGTAACTCCAGGCCGTCGTTCTCCGCTGACTGGGGTGACTACATATCGTTTGCCTCTCGCATGAGAGAAAAGATCGAGGAGCAAGGTCGAGACCTGCTAGTTATCGATACGGGCGACCGGGTGGAAGGAAATGGTCTTTATGACTCGTCCAAGCCCAAGGGCATCTATTTGTCGGAGATTCTCCGTCATCAGCATATAGACGTGATCACCTCCGGGAATCATGAGCTCTACCAACATAACACATCAGAGGCTGAATTCCTGACGACGGTCCCGAACTTTCGAGCTAGCTATCTAGCATCTAATATCGATATCTATCACCCCGTCACCTCCGAGCTAGTACCGCTAGCTCCACGCTACAGAAAGTTCACAACCAAGAACCAAGGCATCCGTATCGTCGCTTTCGGATTTCTTTTTAATTTCAACGGGAACTACAATAACACGGTTGTACAGCCCGTAGAAGAGACCATCAAGCAAGCCTGGTTCCAGGAGGCCATCCAGATGACGGATGTAGATCTATTCTTAATTGCTGGACATGTGCCGGCCCACTCTAGCGAATACCGAGCCATCTACAGAGAGATCCGCAAGTTTCGCTGGAGTACACCCATACAGTTTTTTGGAGGACATGAGCATATTCGTGATTACGCGCAATATGATTCCAAAGCCGTGGCTCTAGCCAGTGGGCGGTTCATGGAGACCATTGGCTTCATGTCGATCGACGGCCTCTCCACCAGCAAACAGCCAGATACATCATCGAACCCAGTCTTCAAACGACGCTACATCGATAATAATCTGTTCTCCTTCTACCATCACACCGGCCTCGATCACGACTCATTTCCCACTGAAAAAGGTCGCAATGTGTCGCGACTGATCACAGACGCTCGAAGGGCTCTTCGTCTCGATACGGTCCATGGATGCTCACCACGGAACCTCTGGATGTCACGTGTGCCTTATCCTCATGCAGATAGCATTTACTCCTGGCTAGCGAAGGAAGTCCTGCCAGATTCACTCAAAGATGAGAATCGTGGGAGTGTCCCCGCGGTAGCGATTTTGAACACGGGCGGGATCCGCTTTGATGTCTTCAAAGGTCCTTTTTTCCAGGACACGGCCTTCATTATATCTCCTTTCAGCAACAAATTCCGCTACGTGAAGAATGTTCCTTACGAGAAGGTCCAGCTAATCATTGAAGTCCTGAACAAGCAAAAGAAGGTCCTTGGAGCACCTCGCGAAGACGTAGCTTCGCTGGATTCCTTGGCTCCGCCGGAGAAGCTCTCGCATTCTAGTGGGGCCCTGTCGGAGCAAGAATCCATGGCTGCTGTCTATGGCGTTGCATCTCACCAGGTTCCCTTGATTAGTCGTCGAGATGACGATAGCATTATCCCAGGATACACAACCAAAGATGATGCAGGCACAGACGGAGATGACACCATTCATTTTCCCGTATCATATTACGAGGTACCCAATGTTTTCCAGGCTTTGCTTTCCGCCGATGAAAGTTCCCCGCCGGAAACTGTGGATCTGGTCTACATTGAATTTGTTGAGCCGTACTTGGCATTAGCTGCCAAATTTGCTCGTCTAGACGCCGACATCCCCAAGGAAAGCGAAGAATACATGCCCTCTATGGGCATGACAGAACTTATCATTGACTGGGTCCAGAAACACTGGAAATGTGAATAGAGTGGCTTGTTGGCCCGCCATCTGTCCATAGATAGGTCCCTATGTTTCCGAACGATTTAAGAATAAACTGTTTAAAACCAAGACGCTGCGTTATAACTATGGGGGATGAGTCGATGTCAATTGCTCGGATTCTCGGATGTTATATGATACAACGTTTACACTTCATTCTTGCCTACTCATCCCCGCCGGTAAATGTAAACACACCCTTGCCGCTGCGAAATCCTCCGAGAGTGCCTTGGACGCTCTCAGCCAACACTGGGCCTTCTGTGTTCCAATTCCACTTGACATCATCTACAGGAATATCCTTGAAACGGCCCGCCCGAGTAAGCTGTAAGACATCCTTGATGGTGTTTTCTTTAAGTTGAGGGTTCTTATCGCCCCACCTACTGACCCAGAAACCGTCGAAGGCAAGGTTCTTGAAGATGAGCAAGCCCGATGGCAAAGCGACCGGCTGCTTTGACATAGCACCGTAGGTGACCATATGTGAGTCGGGCGCCAGTGTCTTAGCCAGCGCGGTGGCATTCTTTCCACCGACACAGTTCAGAGCCAGACGAATAGGCTCGCGACCCTGGCGGGTGATTTCTTTGACCATATCCCGGAAGCCGCCGGACAGGAGCTCCTCTTCAGTAACAACAGCAGTGGCACCGAGGTCCTTGAGCTCTTGCTTCATTGCATCGGTCTCTTCTGGAGAATTGCGCTGACGGATGACATTCAAGGTCTTGATACCCCATTCGCGACCTAGCTGGATGGCAGCACGACCGACACCGCTGTTAGCCCCATTCTGAATCAGCCACTCCTCACCCGTCCGCATCATGTCCCATTGACAGAAGTCACGGATCATGCGGTAGGCAGTAACAGGGTTAACACTGACGGTGCCAACCTGCAGAGGTGTCAGACCTTCCTTGTCCTCAATACGAATGAGCTGCGACTCGTCTAGCTGTGCGTGTGTTCGCCAAGTGCCCTGTCCAGTCCGTTTCATAATCACCCAGTCGCCTTTGCTGAGGTTCTTGACACCCGCGCCTGTGGAAATCACTTCGAATGCGCCTTCATTACCGCCCACGGCTGCCGGCTCGCCTGTGCCTGAGAGTATTGTCGAAGGGGGGTTTGCTAGGATAAACGCCTTGGATCTGGTTGACATCGGCCGGGTTCATTGGCGCTGTGAGGAGGCGAAGGTTCACTTGTGTTCCATGCGGGGCGGAGATGGAGTGCTTGTGCAGTCTTATTTCAGCTGTCAGCATTGCTGTCTATAAACGATGAACATTGGTAAATCATAATTATCAGTCGCACCTGAGAACATCCTTTGGCTCGCCGTATTTCGAGTAGACCAGAGCTTTGGCTTGTGTGTAGCCGTACATGGAGATGGACCTTCGGCCATCGGGAAGCAAGCTAACGCGCGGAGCTTTGCCGGAGAACAGGATTGATGAGGCAAATGCAGAGTGCCTGCTACTCTGAGCAGCGGCTTTCAAGGTGCTGCGCGAAAACATGGCTGCTATGGGTGGGAAAGGAGAAGAAGAGGACAAGAAAGATTGCAGAGCGAAGAATGACGTCTTGTCCGGTTTAAAGCTCGGGCCGAAGGAGCTTCGGTTTACACAGTAGAACTCGACCTAAACCTAATAAATTGGTCGTCTATTTGAGGCGACAGGCTTTTTAATAGGAGCTCCTTGTCTCCTGCATATGCATGTAATTGACAGAATTGGATAGCTTATTGTCATATTCCTGAAAGTTCAAGTCGCTTTCTTTGTCTCACTATAACTAGTTAACTACAAGTACTTCAGATAATGATCTCATCCATGATGTGCTATTCAGCGATAGTCAGCGCACTACATTCCATTAATTTTATAATGCAAAAATACAATAAATAGAACCCGAAGGACCAGGGACGAGAAAAATTTTGAAACATTGGACGGAATTTGAAGGAAGGGGGAAAAAAGGAAAATACTCCGCTGGGGCGGATTCGAGCCGCCGACTCTCTGATTTCAATAATTGCTATTACAGTCAGATGCCCTGACCAACTGGACCACCAGCGGGAGTACATGTCATCCCGCTCTTTTTGTTGTCTATGTACAGTAAATATCTGCGGTTGTTACTAGCCATACAAAATACCATTCTACTCTTCACTGCCTATCGATCTACATGCATTCCACACCTGCTGCTTTAATAATGACAAGCGGCCTAGTACTGAAAAGCACTGCGTCCCCGTATTGATGCGAAATCGCTTCTCACTGTATTTGCAGAGCACCATCTTATCGATAACGATAAGCGCCACGGAGGTTTAGCGGCCGCAACTTGCATCTTTTCCCTTTCGAGCTTACCCGATCACAACTAAATGTCACTTCTACGAGAAGCTGAGAGGTGCATCGCTAATCAATATGTGCAAAACCTCAATTCTTTCATAACACCTCTGCCTCGTACGGGCTCCTGGAAAGCAAGAGTCCAGGAGGCCGACCAGCGCGCAGACCAAGGTCCGTTGACTTGGTGCCTCATCCAGTTCAAGGTTTACTGACCTCTTGTGTATTCTAGGACAGTCAAAGTCTCAGGATTGACGGCCGCCTCATATCAGTGAAGGATAACATCTGCACTCGCGACCTCCCAACGACCTGTGGGTCAGGTATACTGGACAAGTTCAATAGTCCGTTCAATGCCACCGTGGTGGAACAATTGGAGGCTGCAGGGGCCATAATTGCGGGGAAAACAAACCTTGATGAATTCGGAATGGGATCGCACTCGGTTTACTCACGATTTGGCCCTGTCAAAAATGTGCGCAATGGAGCCGAGGGGGATCTCTCCGCGGGCGGGAGTTCCGGAGGCAGTGCAGTCGCGGTAGCAGCAGACCAATGCTATGCGTGAGTATATTCATTCGATACTATCAGTTAGAGCTGGCCAACAACTGATTATCTTCATAGGGCACTGGGAACTGATACTGGTGGATCAGTCAGGCTTCCTGCTGCATATACTGGAACAGTCGGCTTCAAGCCCTCCTATGGGCTGATCTCCCGCTGGGGCGTTGTCGCCTATGCCAACTCGCTGGATACAGTCGGGATCTTAGGGCTGAAGACATCCACTGTCCGGGATGTATTCACACTTCTCAATCACTATGATCCACATGACCCGACCAGCATATCTCGATCGTCACGAGCGCGTCTATCACAGGTTACATCTCCATCTCCATTACAGTGTAGACCACTTCGGATTGGTGTGCCATTAGAGTACAATATATCTGAGCTCGAACCGTCCGTTCGAAAAGCCTGGCTCTTGTCTCTAGCTCATTTGCAGAAACAAGGGCACGCTATCCACCCAGTCTCTTTACCAGCCACCAAGCATGCTCTATCTGCGTACTATGTCCTTGCACCAGCGGAGGCCTCTTCAAATCTGGCTAAATATGATGGTGTGCGTTACGGAACACGTGGAGACCATGCAGACAGCGATAAATCTCTGGACGCTCCACTTTACTCACAAACTCGCGGAAGTGGGTTTGGGGCAGAAGTGAAGCGCCGCATTCTTCTGGGGACTTTTAGCTTGAGCGCCGACGCCATGGACAATTACTTCATACAGGCACAGCGCGTTCGTCGCCTCGTCCAGCAAGATTTCAACTCTGTGTTTGGAGCTGGACATCCTTTAGCCCACGAGAACGAAAAATCTTCTGAACGTCCCGCGTCTGGTGTGGATGTGCTTGTCTGTCCGACTGCACCATCTCCACCCCCTCTGCTGTCAGATTTGACAGGCCTATCAGCCAATCGATCTCCTTTAGACGCTTATGTAAATGATGTATTCACAGTCCCAGCCAGTCTAGCTGGCTTGCCTGCTATTTCGGTCCCGGTGGCTGTGACCAACACCGGGGGTAAGAAATCTGGCTTGGCTGGCATCCAAGTGGTAGGCCAATATGGGTATGATGAGCTTGTGATGCAAGTGGGAGAACTACTTGAGGGCCAGCGTTTCGCCGATGACTCTTGAATCATTTTGGTTCTAATAGCGCCGTTGGGGGTTTAGGGGCGAGCAATATGTATAATACCAAATTCAGTCCAGCTTATCAATGTATCTATCACATTTCCAATGAAGTGTCGTGAAGTGCGGATCATTTCTCATCGCGTAGCCGGTCCTTGAACATGGGAATTCATCTTGCTTTTGGTCTATGGATTGTCATCTATTGACTAGGCCAGTTCCGCCCCTGGGGAATAAGATAAAGAAAACAAACACATAACGCCATCCTATCAAAAGTGATCATGCCGAGGTCGTGGAAATTATATGCAGAAGATTTTGATGACAAAAAGAGACAAGAGATTCAATCAGCAAAGCATTTACATCGTCACATCCATCGTGTCATCGCCCGCATCAAGAGCATTCTGGGCTTCAGGATCAGGAACCACCACTCCACGGCCACGACCAGCAAGAAGTTCTCGTCGGACCTCGGGTCCAATATCCTTGTGCCCCCGAACAAGCAGAAGGTCCAGCAAAGCCTCACGCTGATCCTCGGTGATGTCGTTGCGGTATCGCTGGGCAAACACCAACAGAGACTGGTGCCATAAGACTGGTAATTTGTAGCCCTTGGAGTTTCCATCTCCCATCATGGTGTCCTCCGAGCCATCAACAGCACGAAAGCGCAGGAAATGGAAAACCAAAGCATCGATGACCTTGTATGGAAGTGCGTACTTCTTCTCGAGGAAGACTCGGATGAATGTGTTTACCGCTCCGGTGCTCTCGAGCGAACGAAGAGACTGCTCGGCTGCCAAGTCACACATACGCAGCAACGCAGCAGCAGAGTGCAAGACTGGGATAGACACACGGCCGATCACTGAAGAGACAATGTGGGCTTCCCGCAGAGAGCAGGTCCCGCTAGACACAAGCGGGAAAAGAAGGCCCTTGAAGAAACAAGCGGGCTTGTAAAGGGCCTTTCGCAATGCATTGTAGACGTGCACATTAAGCTTCTTCGTCTCGTGGATCTCTTCGCGGACACGCTCGAGCAGGACTGTTGAAATGAATTCTTGAGCCACGGCGGGCTTGGATGAAATGAAAATTCGAGTTGCTGCATATACTGCATTTGCGGACCATCTCTCCGGGTTGGTAATGTAGAGAAGAGTTTGCCAATTGGGCACAGTGGGAAGGATTTTGAAAGGCTTCGGAAGAGGACCGGACTTGTAGCGAGACAAGATCATGCCAACCCTATAATTGCTGTTAGTTAGGCACAAATGAGGCAATCGAACTTCTCGAAACATACTTTTCATATACTTCGATAGCTTTGGCGGGGATCTGAACAGCATCTTCAGGAGCACCGCCACCTTGCACAAACTTTCCACCAGTCTCTCCAGATTCCTTCGCCTCGTGCTCTGCAATCTTCTCCAGGATCAAATCGGCAAGGTTTGTTGTTTGGCCGGCAGAATTTGGGTCCCTCGGGTGGAATATTGGGTCTTCTTCGTGGCCTGGCATAAATTTGTTGAACATATCCAAATCATTGGGGTCAATCTCCTATGGGATGATTAGAATACGTAGAGCGTGAAATAGACATATTAGCTCTTACCACTTCCTCTACCTCTTCCTCCTCATCCTCCCAGTTGTCATTTTCAAACTTCTCATCGTCCGATAAGGGCTCTTCGTCAAATCGTGTGTCGAAGTCAAAGGCCGCATTGGGCTTGGCCTCCCCGCCCATCGCCAGTTTTTGTTCAGCAGCATCTTCGTCTGCGAGTTCTTGTCCAATTTGCAAAATCTTGCGCGTCATCTTCGCATCCACATAGCGCTGGCCATTTCCACCACTTCCGTCTCCATCTTCGGATTGGCGCTTGCTTTTTTTGCTACTTTGAGTCCGCAAGTGCCCCGCAGATGTAATGTCGTCTGCCAAAGGGTTATGCCTGCGGGCAGAAGCCGCAGCTCGAGAACTATTAGCCTTAGGCATTACTCATGTACCTGGACCTAGAAAAGGTCGAATTTCGAGAAAGATGGGGCTTGAAGATCTTCAAGTGGAGGGAACGAATACTCCCGGAACCCAAAATGTGTGTAAATTTTGGGTCATGTGATCTAATCAGTTTTTTTTTCTGCCCAGCGGTGTAGATAGCAAGCTGACCGCCTCAAGATACTGGCCCACCGCCTTTTTGCAATGCTTTTTTTGCCGCGTGATGCGGCGCTTTCGTAATCACTGCGCGTTCCTCCAGAACGACTCGAAGACTCAATACCTGCTGTCAGTGTCCGCTTTGGATCATTTCTGCTCAACTACGTACTTGGAAGCCATACTGATCGCTTTTTGAGCATAGGCGGTTTTACAAAACAGGTCACCTTCCCTCGTCAAGCGCCCTGCTTCATTATTGGGCTCGAGTTCAGGTCAAGCGATAGCGCATGCATCCCAAGACCGGCGGGCTGTACTCAGTCTCAGGCTAGCGTTGTGCCATTCCTGCAACGCTTTGTTCTCGAGATTTACGCGTTGATTGAACATGGCAACTACCCAACCGGCGGGCTCGCCTGCCCCGTCCTCCAACATCAACTCTCCGATCATACCTCCGGGCAATGGCCCCCTCTTGAATGGCAGTTTTTCCGAATTGAACGCTCGATCGTCTCCTGCCCCTGCAAGCAATGCGTCAGTCCAAGGTGATAATGGACGCGCTAAAAGAGCCAAGAAGGACAGTCGCAAGAAACGAGAGGCCAAAGGGCTGGATGCAGAAGGCGCTCCTCCCCGAAGAAACGAGCAACAGCCGTCAACACTGCCATCAGTAGCTCTGATTTGCACATGTCCCGACCGAAGATCCTCCGTGAACCTCGTCTTTCTGATCGATTTCCTCCGCCGCCGCGACAGCTCAACCAGGTAACAAGAAGGTCCTCAAATGTGCTTGGACAGACCTGGGACTTTTACGAGGTTGTGGACAAGCTCACCAACAAGGGTGGCTATCGCTATACTTATGCGATTGCCGACCAAGAGTTTCCACATATCAAATACCGCCAGACCGATATTTCACCCTACCACGCGCGTTTCAGCTTCGAGGATTCGCCCCCAGCTATCTTCTTTTCAGAGGACGCCTTGGCGGTGACGACTAGTGATGCATGGCACACGGCGCGAGCAAACGTGTGTGCACGCGAAGGTTCTTATTACTATGAAGCGCGGGTTATCAGTGGTGTGGTGAACAGCGATTCTCCGCATGCGGCCAATTCTGGGAAACGAGGCCATGTCCGACTTGGTTTTGCTCGACGCGAAGCTGATCTGGACGTCAACGTTGGTGTGGATTGCTATGGATATGGGATTCGAGATGTGAATGGAGAGGTTGTCAATCGCATGCGGTGTGAGCCATTCTTCCCCGAAGGAGAAGCCATTAACGAGGGCGACGTTATCGGCATGCTCATCTCTCTTCCTTCTCTCACCCTTCACAAAAAAATCGTTGAAGGCACTTATGATCCTGCCGTGGATGGCGATGGTTTAAGTGTTCAGCCTCAACCGCCCGTCGCTGCCAATATTATTCGAGATCGAACCCCCTTCCAAGGCAAAATCGGCGGGTTCTATTGGCAACAGTCTCATATTTTCCCGACAAAGTACCTCCGCGATTATGCCTTCAATCTGAAGGAAACTCCAACTTTCGGCCATCCATCACCATTTAACAGCGAGGATGCTTCTCTGCGGACCCTGCCTGGTTCTAGCATAACCATTTTTAAGAACGGGGTTCAAATGGGCACACCTTTCAGAGACCTTTATGCATTCCTTCCACCAGCAAGCCGTCTCTCTAGTGGCACCAACAACCAAGGAATTGGAGTTCGGGAGAACGCTGATGATGGAATGATTGGCTACTATCCAGCCGTGAGCTGTTACGGTGGCGGTGCTGTTGAATGCCGCTTTGACGGCCCTTGGTGGGTCGGGCCACCGGAACGAACTGAATCTGGCGAGCCAGTCCGAGCCATTGGAGAGCGATTCAACGACCAGATCGTGGAGGACGTGGTTGCTGATATTGTGGACGAGATCGAGGCTATGTTCACCTGGGGCAACTCCGACGGGGACGTCATTGGCAACGATAGCACTGAAGGACTAGATGGTGCTAATCCTGAGGCTCTTAGAGGCGGTGTTGCTGCACTTGACTCGGTAAATTCGGCTCAGACCCCGAAGTCGACCGACCTAGGCGTGACAGCAGTATACGATTCCGCGGCCAATAGCAACCAGGCTACACCAGCTGCGACTGGAGACCTTGACGTTGGAATTCATATCGAAGATACGATGAGTGTGGGAACGGCAGGAACACCGAATCCTGCGGCTGACCAGCCATCAGCTGCTGCTGACGAAGACGTCGAAATGACCCAGGGCTAAATTTGGTGGTCTCATGACGGTAAAACACCCTTATGCCTTGTCATGATCGACAAGAATAATTACAACTGAACTCCATCAAACGTAGATGATGAGCAGTAAAGGAATAGGGGGTATGGAAAATAACATTTAATATTATCGCCTTCTGGTTCATTGTCCTTTTGAATGGACTGGCAAGATGCGCTCGGTTTTTTCCTTCCAGTGGGAAAAAAAGAATAATCTGGCCGTAAGGCAACATAAGCACGAGGACCAGACGCATGACTAGAATCCGAACTCGGTGCTCGCAAAATCAAACCAATCCCAGCTCAGCATATCGTCTACAGGCACATCTGGAATTGAGGCCCCAAACATGCTCCCAGCCCGATTCACAGCGTCAACAATCTGGTCATCTGACATCGCCGAGAACTGCAATGGTTCAGTCCACAGATCCATTTGGTGCATGGCAGGTTGTGTGACCGTTGAAGCGTGTCCCTGCTCACCAAAAGGAGCAACCGGAACCAACAAATCTGAGCTATCCACGTGCGAGGTCTGTGGCGCTGTTGGTATTGCAGGGCTGCGGCGGACGATTTCGCGGAGAAATCTCCCATATAGTACAGAGGCACCTTTTCTGTGGCTTGGAGTTGCTCCGATCCGCTCTAAAACCGCGGCTGTCTCTTCGATTAGAGCCCGCACGCTGGGCGCGAGGCTTGATTTACCGTCGCCGGGGGTAATGCTGAGACTAAGTGCAGAGCATGCGGCGTAGGATATCATGATGACGGTATTATTGGGCATAGACTTGAGTCGTCCTTCGCCTTGTATAGCCGCACGGAGTACATTCAGTGCTGCCGAGAGACCGGCTGCCCGGAAAAAGCGCTTAACTTCTAAGGGTGCAGTAGGGTGGTTGATGACTCCACCGTAGGTAGAAAGCTGGGTATGTGTTACCAGGATTTCCACGTATGGAGGGAGAGATCGTGCTGCGAATATGTAAGTCTATTAGGTTCACTAGATCTTGAGGGGGTTGATATACTTCCTCCTTCGCTGATAGCTAAACCCCAGGTTGCATACCATTGCTCGTAAAAGCTCTCTATTGTAGACTTTATGCTGCGACGGTGTCAGTTTTGATTTCCTTCTTTGAGTATCTCCCTTCGCACGTACGATTGGGCTGCTTGAGACCCGGGGTCTATAACCCGGTAGCTGTCGCAGCTGGACTTGACTCGTCTGAACAAATCATCCTACTTCTGTTAGTGTTACTTCTGGGAAAACGGGCTTGGAACGTACAAGATCTCTTCTCAGAACAGCCATTGAGTTCATTTGTCCATCCCGCTGGTCGGCAATGTCTGATTGGTGCCATGTATCGCAATGCTCAATCAATGCCGTCAAGGGCACAGTGTAGCTTCGTCCATGCGCGAGACAGACACTATCGCGAAGTCAGCTCTCAGACACTTTTGTGGCATATCAGATAATAAATTACCCCCTCTCAACGACGAATAGCGCAATCCAGCTACGTTCTCTCCGACGTAGTAGTCGACGACCCCGTTCCGAATTAGGGTCAACGTCATCAAATCCATCCATGTACATAGCCCTCTTAGCATCGATACAGTCAGCACGCGCCAGGCGGCCGAGGAGGTCTTGATTGTAACTGGACGATGGAGTCACGATCTTGTTAAGTGACAGATCTAAAGCCACGGTAAGGGCCATCGCAATATACGAGCAAGTATCGTCATCGCCCAGTCTCTCTCCTGGCGCCATCCAGGGTACATTCACTATGAATGCGAGGACTATCTCGACAGATCGGAATCGGTGTGTCACCACCTTTTTCGCGAGCCATTTGCTGTGTCGGAGTAGTCTCTTCGACAAAGCTGCGGCAGAAGGCATGAATAACGCCGCTGCTCCCAGAATAGACGTAAACAAGAAGGCCGACTGGGACCGCACAAATACCGCTGTATGCACCAAGGGATCCAGACCCCATCTCGTATGTGCGAGATTATGGTAGAAGCTGAGAGCAGTTAGTATTTTCTACTTCTTCAACCAGGTTGGTGAGGGGCCCTCATGACTAACAAAGAAAATAGAGACTCCGCTTCGACAAAAGTCACTAGTCCCAAGTCTACAGGATCAAGCTCCGGACCAATATCGAGACTTGCCCTAGTGGGTACAAAGAAAGACTTCACATCTGAGTCCACAGGTGAAGTCGTCTCCTGCGGCGCCGTCGAAGGCGCTATGAATGGAAGCTGCGGAGTCTTGGGCGCCCGACCAACCCCGTTCGGTGAGAGCTGCAAATCCGATGCCCTGGCAAGCAGCTGAAGAGGATTCTCTGCATCATCCAGCATCAAGCTTTCATCTACAACTGGGTCACAGGGAGACGGTAGCTTCCGCACGCGGCCATTCTCATCGGTCAGGTCCTCCGATTCGCCTTCTGCCTCGCTTCGAAGTTGGCCTTGGAAGCGAGAGAGGAGCCCCTGCAGCTCCAAAATGGCTTTCTGGGCCTCATCTGGCTCAAGCCGATCATCAAGTTTGGGCCGCTTGATGGCCTGTTCGATCTGATGAATGGCTTTTTCCAACCCTTTCCGCTTGCTGCAAGAAACGTCAATATCTATCTCATACTTCTTCTTATATACGCGACTCACTTCTTGACCCCCTTCTGCCGTCCCAAACTGTGACTCGAGACAATACATTCGACGTCGCGAAGCCTGCACTTCTCACAGCGAGCATGCCCCTCCGGTCTTTTACAACGTATCTTGCTCCTCCGGCAGTTCAGACACGCAGGCTGCTTACCATGTTGGCCTGAAGATTCCAGATCGCCCTCCATGGATGCACTGCCAGTGACGATGGTGGGCCGATGCGCCTCATTGTACGGGGTATGAGTGATGGAAGTTCATTACCGAGGCCGTTAGTCCTGGGGAAGCGGTCGCTCAAAACCTGGGTTATGAGGGCAAATTGTTTCCGTCCTCCAACAAGCCCTGCCGGGCTAGCTCAATCGGTAGAGCGTGAGACTCTTAATCTCAAGGTTGTGGGTTCGACCCCCACGTTCGGCTATTCCTAAAAAATAACCTGAGATATCTTTTTTTTTCTTGGGGTCCTTCTCGGCTCATTTCTTTCTTTTTTGTGAGCAGTAGTTTTGAAATTTGCGACAAAGCCTTTTATCATAATCCTCGGAGTTCAATATTGCCTGCAAATAAATGGCCTTGGTTGATTATTTTTCCTATTCTCACTTGAAATTGTGGCATGGTTAGAAGATATATCTGGACCTAAGTGGAGGGAAACACCACTATGTACGATACCCGAGAAAGAGCTAATATCTTCATCTTAATCTTTAAAAAGACGCAGGCTATTACCGGACAAAATTGTATTTCTCATATAGAGAGGAATTATTTAGAGGGATCTCAGTTACAAAACAGCCAAAGACAAGCCAGCCTCGATGAATTATACCTGACCAGCACCACAACCTCCACCCATTACTTATGCTTTAGACATTACATAGTTTCCTTTTGAGAATGTAAGGAGTGCATGAAAAGCCTATTGAGCACGGCCAATTTCATCATCCCCACGAACAGTTGCCGATCCCGTAGCCGCCGTGCCGTGGTGAGCAGGATCAGAAGCAGCAACGGGACCAAAGGCTGGGGCGCCATCAGCGGCAGGGCTAGGAGGAACGGAAGAAACAGGTGAGACAGCACCAGAACGCAAAGAAGGCCCTGCCTCACCGAACTCTGGATCCGCCATCATGCCCCGCTGATGACCAGCGCCCGTCATCTCAGGCGCAGGCTGCGCGGCAGCTAGTAACCCGCTCCTCGGCGCGTTCCTGGGCGCATGGGGATCATCTCGGGGCATCTTACTCGACTTGACAAGCGGCGGCTCTGTACCCAGCATATCGGGGTACTTGAAGCGGAATCCCCAGAGAAAGAACAATTTCAGCTTTGTGCCGAAGCCCATATCACTCCACTTCTCGCGCAGCACGGCGGCGTCGGCCAGGTTGCGTGCGCGGTAGCCCTTCCTGAAAAAGAACAGAAGCAGCAGGGAGATCGGGAGGACTGTGAAGGCCCAGCATACAGGGAGTCCGCGGCGGGTTTGCCAGCCGAGCATTAGGCGGCGGAAGCGCAGCCATGCCTCGATGAAGCCGGCGATTAGCCAGACGCCGATCCAGCCGAAGAGGAGGATCATGGTTAAGGCGAACGGGGAGATGCCAATCCAGTACGGGTCGAAGTACCAGCTGTGCCCGTCGTAGTCGTCGCCGTAGTCGCCATCATCGTTGCCGTTGTAGCCGTCGTAGCCATTGTAACCGCTACCGGTGCTGGAGCTGGAGCTGCCATCGTCGCCATTGTTGCCGACACAGTCCTCGTCGCCCTCCTGGCAGTAGTAACTGCCATAGTCGTACGAACAGTAGCCCATGTCGTACATGGAGGAGTACTCATCTTCGCGGAGCGAGCTCATGGAAGCAGTAGGGATTTGGGAGGGCGCAACGGAAACATACTCGTAAGTGTAGGTCACTGGTTGGAATGGTCGGGAGTCGTCTGTTACGAGCGAGGTTGACACTGCTGTATGCGGTAGTCCTGCAGCAACTTCGGTCGGCACGTAAAGAACTGCATCGGTAGTTGTAGTCCATTGGGATTTGCAGACCGATGGTGCCGTCAGGGTGATCGGGACCACATACACAGTGGTGTGTTCAAGACTTGAGGAGTAGTCGTTGCCATAGGAGTCATAATAATCATCATCAGGATCCACGACTGCGGTACCCACACTGCTGGGATACAGATGTTGGATGACAGTCACTGAATCGTACTCGTCGACAGAGGTGATCGTAGAAAGAGCCTCGGGCACAGATGTAACAGTGGGCGAGATTGATTGGAAAGAAGTTATGGCTGTTGGCTCATCTTCGAAGTAGTAGTCATCAGTACCATAGGTGATAGTGACAGCCCGGAAATCCTCCGTGATGATCCAGGGACTGGCAATAGCGAGCAGAGGGAAAGCCAAAACGAGCGTGAAGAGTCGAAAAAACGAGTGGACGGGCGCCATATTGGACGGCCCTAGGGTGGTCTGATCATTAGAAAAAACCCAGGAGGGCGCTGCTTATATACCTGCGCATGGATGGCAAAAGGCGCCTCTGCGACCGCGCTAAAGGCAGGATCCTAGTGCCCTCTAATTTCGGAGGGGGGCTCTGAGAGCCTCACCAGATCCAATCTAGGGCATAGCGCGTCGGTGGCCATCCATGCCCAGAGGAACTAAATGAGGCTAAGAGTTGGTGGAGCTTGAGATGATTGGCTCGCACGGGCAGCTGCGGGGATATGATTGGTTCGATGGTGATTTTCCAAAGGTCCACGTCAGGGTCTCGCTCAATTTAGTCGGTTTTAGTCTCGTCTTTTGGTTTAGGCTCCTTATCGGAGGGCAGAAAGAGCCGACTCGCTTCGCTTCGGTCAGATGACGTCGAAGGCTGTTTATATCTGGCTGATACCTTGTAGATTGACAGGTAGGGTTGTGAAGAATCACATTGCGTGTTCAAATAGAGCAGGAGACATTCCCTGGTCGAGATGGTGGAAGGGGGTTAACTGTGCAAATTTGCTGGGTGGCCCCGAGGGCGAACGCGCTAAGCAACGCACGATGTGACCAGAACCTTGGTTGCCCAAATATAACTACAGCTTTTCGGCACTAGGCGCCTTGGCAGGAAGCGGTGACACTCGGTATCGAGTCCGCCTAGTTTAAAGAATCGAAGATGTCGGATTCATTGTTCATTGGCAAAACAGGAAAGGGTCGACGCCATTCGTAACTCCCGCCGGGCGAGGCCGCAAGACACTCGCAGAAGGAATCAAAAACAAGAACACACTGCATGTCCAGGGGGAAAAAAGCATAACGTCGTAAAGAGTATCGTTGAGGTTCACCTCCAGTAGCCGCACATGTTTCCCAATCTCCAGTCTTTGCAGAAAGGCTCAATCAAATGCCATGCGCCGGGGTCCGAGCAAGTCCATACCGCCTCTGAAAGACGTAGAGAAAAAGCAGGAGCGAGCGAATCGAAAAGAAAAAGGCATAAATGTCAAAAACTGTAGATAAGAAGAACAGGCAATGAGCATGCTTGAAAAAGCAAATGCAAGCAACCTTGAAACCGTGTTAGTTCGCAGCCCGTAGTGCCCGCAACCTTGCACCAAGTCCATCCTCAGCTTCCGCATCAGCCTTGACAGGCTGCTGCTCTTTCACCTCATGCTCTGGTGCCTTACCCTCCTCGAGCGCCATCCGCATATCAACGCCGGCGTCATCAGCCAACTGCTCCATCAGTCGATCAACCTCCGTCTCGCCCTCCGCTCCGTATTCCTGCATTGACACTCCCTGTGCAACATCCTCGATAGCACTACTGGCGATTTTAAAGTCCTCCGACCGGGCCAGGAAATTATTCGCGTGCGAAACAAGGTGCTCCAGGTTCACGCTCTTCGATGCGGCGTCTAGACCTCGCGAAGCCATCGCCAGCGTCCGCGAGGTATCGCGTGTGCTCTGTGCAGCCTTCAGCTCGTTGATTATGACGTCTGCGCGGGCGGCTTCGGATTTGAGGGTGACCTGGCGACGCTTCTCGCGGACAGCGGAGGCGGCGTGGATGCGGGCGATTTGGAATTCGCGGTTCTTCATAGCTTTATCGGCCTTGGCTTTTTCAGACTTGAAGGTGGCCTCAGCGCGCGCGGCCTCCTTTTTGAGGCGGTTGGAGTGAAGCTAGTCATGGTCAGTGGACTTGATCTCTCGAGGGGCATGCGCACCCGGAGGAGGAAGCAGAGTCATGCGCGGCGGGTGCTTACCTTGACATTTGTGCGGGCTTCGAAGATCGGATCTTTGCGAACCATGACGCAGGAGAGAGAGAGAGAGGAGAGAGATGTAAGGACTGAGGATAGAGAAAGGTCAGGGTTGTCCAGATTATGAGTTTGGAGGGATCGTGGAGTGGAGGGAATCTGGAGAGGGGCGGAACCGCGTGGCAAACGTCACTGACCGCATTCAGGGCCTCAAGAATGGCATTTTTAGCATCACACTAGTGCATATTCAGGCAGATGAGATTCCTCTCTTTGGCTAGTGACGGGATGATCTGAAGGCGAGTGCATCAGGCATCCGGGTTGCAGATCCGCGGTCCTGAACAAATACGTCCTGATGTATTATTTCGGATACAAATTACAAGTACAGAACAACTACAAAGGCTAACATTGATGCGAGAGGAAGGGTTGTGAAAAAAAAATCTTGAGCCTCTCAATTTTGCGGCTTGGGATCAACAAAGTGATGTTCAATAATAAATAGTAATACAGCCCAATAAAATTTCGCTAGTAGCCATCCTCATAATTGTTTACCTAGAGGCAGAGACACCAAAGTCGTCTCGCCCTTGGTAGACATTGAACCCAAAGAACTCCGAATGCTCCTTCGATGGAATGTCTTTCCGTTACTGCGTCGCCGGCCGGATTGTGAAGCCTGCCGTTGTCGTCGAGACCGGTCGAGACTATCGATCGCCCACGCCATGGTCAATAACGACTCCCACCGCGGTCGGCCCTCCGGGGCATCGGCCGACTCGGTCTGCGGGGAAAACTGCTCACTAACCGCTAGCTGCAATGCTCTGCCCGTCGCATCGCGAAGTGGACGCGCCAAGGCTGGGCTGCATGCTAGCAGGCGGGTGAGAAGCTTCATCCGGAAGACCGGCCGGGTCGACGCCTTCGAGAGCGACAGACTCGGGGTCGAAATCAACCATAGAATCAAAGGGAAATGCTGATAGATCTCCTCCGTCGAGAACGCCAAAGGTAAACCCATCTTCAGGGAAAGAAGGATTTGATTCAACGGGTGAATCACCGTGGAAAAGGCGGCGGAAGTCATCGTCAGAAAGAGGAGCGGCAACGTCAGTTGCAGCTGGAGCTTCGCCCGCTCCGAGGTCGAAGAGAGGGAGAGGGCCTTCATTTCCTTCGAGGCCAGCGACGGACACTGCAGGTCACACAACACCGCTGCAGGATGTTGTGTCACGTCGGAGGCCTCAGCCAGATTTGAGGGCGAGAGGGTAGGAGAGTAGTCGGCGGAGGGGGGGGGGAACGGAATGCGTTCCATGGGGAGCTCATCACGCTCTTGCTTGAAGAGGGTGGGGGTGAGGGTAGGAGATTCGATGACGGGGGTTCCCGCCTTAGGCTTAGGAGTGCTGCTGCGAGAGCCACGGACTTCGGCAGACAACTGAGCCACTTGTTGGGACAGGCGGTTGTTCTCCATCTCCATCTGGGTCAACCGCTGGAGAAGGAACTGGTTCTGCTCTTCCATGCGGATCTTCTCGGTCTCCAGCTTCTCCATCTCGAGACGCTTGCGCTCGCGTGAGGTCTGAGCAGCGGCGCGATTCCGAAGAACACGCTCGATGCGGCGTTGTTCTTTCTCATCGTCGGTCTTTGCGCGCTTTCTGAAGAGGAGTGATGTCAGAGAGTGATCTACGTATTGAAAGATGAAGGTTGTGGATGTATGCATTATGCATCCTGCACGTACCGTGGGGGTAGGTTGGTCTTTGGTACTGGAAGTTCTTGACCCCAGGATTTCCTCTTCTTCGCTGGCTTTTTGTCATCTGAGTGCTGCTCCGGCTCCGGGGAGTCGAAAGACGTGTCTGCAGGGGAAACAGTCAAAATCTCCGAGTCAGGAGAGGCTGGCATGGTGTCCAGTGGGTTGATAGTATCTGCTGTCATGGTCTCGTTATAGTGCTTGTGACGATCAAAGAAGTGGGGAGCGGACCCTTAAGGATGCACACTCTGAGGCCACGCTGTCATCACAAGGCACCGGCGAAAGAGTCCGGAGCAGGCAGGTGTGAGTCAGCGAAGGTAGAGGACAGGTGGTCTTGGGGATCTTTGGTACCGGAATGGGTGGGCGAGAGGGTGCTTAAGTAGAGGCCAGCGTGTCCATCCCTAGAAAGTCGCTGCCAACGAAGGGTCAGGGGGCCTGACCCTTCGGCGGTACCTGCCTCCCCCGCCAGAAATGTATGCGGCCGCAAGTACCTCCCGCTCAGCGTGCAGGCTGTCGCCAGCCTAATACGGTATGGGAACGTAAAATACAACTAGCTGCCAATCAGGCTTCCAAAAGCCGGCCCATCTTGGTAAATACGTGCGGCCCAGCCCCTGCGCCCCTGGATTCCACGGTTCTGTTTCAGCTTGGGTCTGACTGCTAATGCACCAGGCCCGCTTGCCCTTTCTCATTGATTGATTCGTGCTTCTAGCTGCGTCTATGGCGCTTTCAGCCCCTTTGTACGGAGTACACAGCCCTTCAGGGGCAACAGTTATTCTTATCCCATGGGACCCTTGTAGGGCCTGATACTCGGGTGTTGGAAGAGTTGTTCGAACCGGCCGCACAGGAAAGAATCCTAGCACTCACATGCAACAAGAATTGATTACTGGGGTCTGACAGGGTTCTTGCTACGGAGTATACTCGTCTACTCCGTGCTCCTCCATGATCAGAATGGTTATCGGGAACCACCCACAATTGCGACATGCCGAGGCCTGGGTCATTATTCGCCCGTCTATACGCCGGTGGATCCGGGCGCATCAAAGTCCAGACGCAACCGGTGGAATCGTCGGAGCAATCAGATTCATGCAAGACGATAATGTGTTGCGGAGTCGCCACTGGACGCAAGTTAATACTCCGTATTTCGCTGCCCCTGAACTCCTCAGCTGGGATGGGAGAGAAAGGGGGTTCACGCCCATTCTAGATCCAGATTGGTGGAGAAGTTAAATCCCACCGAAGCATGTCGAACAACAAGGAACAAATGGAACAATTGCAGCGGGGCAATTTAAGCGTCTGATAGTTCGAACTGACGACAGACGTATGCTTGTAGAACCATCGAATATTGGTTTTAACACTGATCAATAATAAAGACTTCAGTTATATTTTTTCTAAACTTTAGAGCATCGCGCCTTAGAAAATCCGAGGGAATCCCTGTCAGGAGTGTCTTGTGCAACTCTTAACCGATTATCAGAAGCAATTAGATCTTCGAGTTAATCAAACTCTGCGCATGGTCGATCAACTCCACTGTTCAGGCACAGTGGAAGTGGCAATGAATATACCCGTGCATCCTCGCCTCTCTAGGAAAGTGACAGGAAGTATGTTACAAGTTCTTCAGGGGACAGAGATGGCAGAGCTCAAACGAAAGGCCGGCAAGACCTGCGCGTTACATCCGAGCCACCAAGCTCCGCCGGAGTCCGTCCTCACCCACTAAACGACGGGGCGTCCCGCAGAACGTTGTGCGCCCAGCCGAGGCCATCCTCTCTGAAAGTTACGCTTTGATAATTATGGCCTGGTTTCAAAATAGGCCGAGCTCCCAAGAGGCATACTAGTGGGTTCTTCCTGGTCAGGTGGATGAGAGAAGTCAATATGGAAGGGTTAACCTCTATCGATCAGAAAACAACCGCCTCTATTTGGATACAATAAGCAGAAGAAATGGAGTGGTGTCCGTAGTTGAGTAGCAAAACGTTAGCTTGACTTGCCCTCTTCATCTGCCAGTTCGAATCCGGGAAATGCCCAAGTTCTGATTATAGTCTTGCGTCAGGGCGTTTTGTCCGGCAACAAAATCCTCAATCATGAAAGATGGGAGGATCGAAGGGATCTACGAGTAGTCGATGCAGTATCAGGCCAGAGCGACCAGCCTGTTCATGATACGGCAACTGCTTGAAGGGAATGAAACTTCAGCGGGTGCATACGCCACTGGTCTGAAGTCGACTCAAGTCGGTCGCAGCAGCCAGTATATTCCCCACGCTCCCTACATAGTAGATGCAACATGCTGCCGCATACACTCGTGGAGTGATTATATTTTAAGCGGAGTTTTGGGTGCCAATTCCTGGTGAAGTGAATTGTACATGACATCGGTGCTGACGGGAGAAAAAAAGTGAGCACCACAAGTAAGATTTGATAATCATGGACCATTGAATTTACTGTATAGACAGAGAAAAGCATATAGTGAAAATAAAAAATATGACTTACTACGAGAAGTGATCATATCGGAGAAAGTAGATTTGGCATCTCGAGACGGCTCTTGAGAAGGCCCACATGTCTCCAGTGACATCAGAAGCCGACCGCCCCGCAGGCCTCGATATCAATTCGCGAACACTGAAGTGTTCCATGAGAACTTAATCTAGTGCAATTACACTCCCCCCTCACACCCGGTTCAGCTCCGACTCAGAAGTTGGAGAAGCTATCTAGCTTGGTCATACTTATTCTACCCTTCACTGCGAGTTTGCAGGGAGCCTCCAAACTCAAAGCCGCGGCCACTTCCCAGTTCTACAACCCGCTCTGAATACAGCCATGGGGTTAGACATAACAATGCTTGCCCCCGGGCCAGCGGGGACTAGCATGATCGGTGAAAGCAATATAGATGCAGCCGCTCGACGAGGACGGGAACGACATCGCCGAGAAGCAGAAAATAAGAGAGCCGTGAATGACGAAAAGGGAACGTCCGGTCAATCTGAGACAAAGAACTCTCTGGTAACTAGTGAGTATGATTCGCAGCGCGACAAGGACTCTGAAGATGCGAGGTATGCGGCGCAAGGGCCGATTGCAGCGACATCAGAGAGGGAAGACCCGAAGAAGGGACTGCGGCGGGCATGGGAGAGGATTAAGACGAAATTTTAGGATGCAAGCTTCAAGCCCCGCGTGTGTATTGTTGGGTGCAGCATTATATGCCACAGAACCACGAAGCATTGTGCCCTAGGCCAGAAGATGGTTAGTTGGTCAAATGTCCGGACATCATTGACTGAGCCTAAAAGTTACACTCCGGACGGAGGCCAGAATTGGGCCCCGAGGAGAAAAGGAATCGTCGAGAGAAGACCAGAGTTAGGCGTGCCACTGTATCGAATACGGGGAACGAACCAAGCTTTGCCAAGTTCTGCCAATCATCGTATGGGGAATCGCGGGTTTCGAAAAACCTGGGGTAACAAAGTGCGGGGAAAGGTAAGAGGCGAGGAGGCCGTGGTCAGCAGCGGAACCAAATGTAGGCGCCGAACTGGTTATTTCCCACCCCTCTGGGATCGTCTGTGCTGCTTCTGCGTTTCATCTGCAGCTTGTTGCATCTTGCTTCTAGGCAGTGGTCATCAATCATGGATACTAAACCAGCGACTGTGGAGATGGAGGAGCGTAAGCAGGAGCTGAGCCGGTTCGGTGACGATGAGGAGCAGCAGAGGCTGACTCGCCGGCTGCTGTGGAAGCTGGATGTTCGGTATACGATCCTCGGAAACCCAAGAAGCTCCGCCAGGACACAATGGCTGATCTGATTATCGTTCGTTTACAGGATCCTCCCTGTGTTGGCGCTTCTTTTCCTTTGCTCCTTTCTCGACCGCACCAATGTGGGAAACGCAAAGATCATCGGCTTGGAAAAGGACATCAAGATCTCAGACCACCAATACGATATCGGACTGGCAATTTACTATCTATTCTACATCTGCAGGTGAGCTACCGGTCAACTCTGCGGAGAACGTAGTCAGAATTGACGCAGGCTAACCGCAACAGTGAGCTGCCAAGTAATCTTGTCTTGAAGAAGGTCTCTCCTAAGATCTGGCTGCCCTTCTTGACAATTACCTGGGGTATCATTACCATGTGCCTAGGCTTTGTACAGAACTATGGAAGTTTTGTAGCAGTGCGCGCCTTGCTAGGGGTGGCCGAGGGTGGATTGCTGCCCGGCATGGTGAGTAACCCCGTACGCGCACATCACTGTAATCTGATGGTCGAAAGATTCTGTACCTCTCTTCCTTCTATAGGAGGGCAGACCTGGCGCTCCGAATTGGTCTATTCTATACAGCCGCGTCTTTATCAGGTGCCTTTGGTGGTAGGTGATTTCCATCAAGTGGCTCAAGCGCGTAGCTGATCGCATTCCAGGGCTTTTGGCACGCGGGCTCGCCGAGATTGGCCCCCGAGGAGGCCTCGAGGGCTGGCGATGGATTTTCATCATTGAAGGATTGCTGGTACGGACATTCTGCACATGTTCTATTCTTCTTCGCTAATTGATTAGACAATTGTCTGCGGCTTCCTAAGCTATGTCGTTCTTCCCAACTCAGTAGAGACGACCTCATTCTTGACGGCAGAAGAGCGGGAGTTTGGACATGAAAGACTGATGCTGGATAATCCTATGTCTTCTCAAGGGTATGGTGGCCGTCCAAACAAATCCGAGATTCACTGAAGCTCCACTGACAAATTCTTAGAACATTAGCCCCCGAGGAGCAAGCATTCATGTGGTCTGAAGTCATTCGAGGAGTCTTGAATGTGCAAGTGTGGCTCTCTGCGTCGGCCTATTTTGCAATCCTGTCTGGTCTTTACTCCTTCGGACTATTCGTAAGATCACTAACCGCCCATCTAGAGAGCCCTCAACTAACGTGTTACAGCTGCCAACAATTATACAGAACCTGGGATTCGCAAAAGATGCAAATCAGGTGCAGCTGTGGTCTGTGATCCCATATGCTGTCGCCACTGTTGTCACAGGTGAGCTCCCACCAGGAACGGTTCCAAAATGGTATGCTGATTCCGATCTAGTTGCTGTGGCTGTTATCTCTGATCGCTTGCAACTACGAGGTGTTGTGATGCTTTTCGTCCTCCCTATCGCAATCGTTGGATATGCTGTGATTGCCAATATTGATTCTCCGCGAGTACAATATGGAATGACGTTCCTTATGGCGACGGGGCAGTATGCGAGCGTGCCATGTATCTTGGTATGGATGTCAAACAACTCAGCCGGTCACTATAAGCGGGCCACCACATCTGCGTTGCAGCTTGCGATCGCCAACGCCGGAGGATTTGTCGCGAGTATGTTTTCTACCCTACAAGACAGGCCCATAAGCTAATTTCTACCTAGCGTTCAATTATCCCAAACGTGATGGGCCACAATTTCATCGCGGCCACACTATTATTCTCGGCTTGCTGGTATCTGCCTGGTTTATGTGAGCACATGCCCATCTATTCTTATTAAACAAATACTAACTTCTTGAAGGATCCTGTTCAATGTTCTATACTGTGCCAAGATCAACCGCGATAAGCGAAGCGGCAAGTATGATAAGTTCTCGGACAAGAATGATGATCGTAACCCAGACTTCAAAATGATCCTTTGAGCACCGAACCTGGCAGATCGTATATATTGGCCGGAAATTGAGAGCATGATGCAAAATGAATACTAGCAAACTATCGAATTGAATTCATCTGTAAACATAGATCCGCCATCCGTAATGAGCCACTCCATAACGTGGGCGGCATCTGTGTGTTAAGGCTCTTGATTATGACATGGTGAAAAGAAGTGACGAAATACAAGTTCTATACACAAAAGGACAGAGTTTTATATGGCTCCCCAAAAACGGCAGTGGTTTACTCTGCCTCTACTCTGCCTCTTCGTCGGCTGCTCGCGCAGCTTGCCTTCGTTTTCGCTCTGCAGCTTCTTTGCTGGCAAAAGTGAAAAGAATTCCAAGATCATAGATCACCTTCAAGCTACCGGCAATCATAAAGGATATGCCAAGCTTGCCATTCCGAGATAGAATACCGGTGATAAGGGGTGCTATGCTTGAAGTGATAGTCTTGACTACGTTGACTGCACCCATAATCGCGGTTCGCCGGTCAGGTGGCAACACAGCGGCTAAGAATGCGGACCGGGGTGCCACGTCCATGCTCTGAGAACAAGCGCGTAAGACCAGGAAAGTAAGTGCCAATGGAAGCTGGGCTGGAACAGGAACAAGCAGTAGGCAGATAGCAGATGGTAGATGGGTAAACGCCATTGTCTAGGTTTAGTTAGTCTATACAATAGGTCATTCTCAAGGAAGAGGCGGGCATACTTTGACATTGCCAAGACGTTTGGCTACCGAAGAGGCAACCAGAATCGATACTGCAGATATGCTACTGGTCACAAAGAAGATGGTACCGAGCTCGCCCTCAGGGATACTGAACTTTTCACGGAAGAAGTATGTCATCCAGGACCTTGAATATGTTAGTAAACGAAATGAGCGGGTATGGAGTGTGACTCACAGAGCTGCCAGCCCTGAGGCAAATGCATCCAGTCCCATGAAGAAGAATAGGCTTAAAACCAAGGACCGTAGCTCCCGCTCCATCGAAGACCAAATGGTTGTCTTCGCGGAGTCTTCTCTCTGTTCGGAGGGGGCATCGGCCAACAGCGGCCGAGTTTCTCCATTGTTCTCCGGTTGCTTCTTCTTTGGAGAAGCCTCAACATTCTTACTCAAAGCTAGAGTCAGGATCAACTTAAGTATGCCAAATATGCCGTAAACTAGAAAGATCAGTCGACACGAAGGAAGGAACTCCCATCCATGAAGCGATTGAAGCGAGGCCATGACCCATCCACACACAAGCTGCCCTAGCGCAGTACCAGCGGTTCCAAGGAGACTATACCAGGCCAGCACATCGCTCAAAACCTCTTGAGGGGTTAGATGAGCCAGAGTAGACTCTTCCACAGCTCGGAAGGGGCCAAGGTCATTACCACTACGAAACGATTAGGACTAAACTCTTAACATTACGCAAAGGGCAGAGAACATACCTCGGGCTAATAACTCCAAAGATAGCTGCCAGCAGAAGAATCCAAAAATTGCCCACGAGTGCAAAAACTACTCCACTGGCAGCCATCATAATCGACCCAACCGACAGAACAGCTTTCCGACCCATGGCATCAGCAAATAGCGTAAGCACGAAGCTGATCGCAGTATCTCCAACCAAGGTTAGAGCCATGAACAGGCCAATCCGGTCATCGGAGATGCCCAGGCATGTAGGTACGATGCCAGGATTAAGGTCGAGGCGCCGAAAGCGAACATACGCACGAAGCGCTGCGCGGAGAGAAACTTGACATCGCGCGACGAGTCCCACAACGTGACCAGGCCTACTTCGTCGAGGGCGTGTACGATTATGCGCCTTGTGCGCGATGGAGTAGGCTCTGCCATGGCCAAGAGTAGCAGAAATGTCGAGGTAGACAAGAGGGGGAGTTCAAGTGCTGCCTGTTTTGTTTTTCTGAGCGGGGATCGACGTTTCAGCAGATTTATCCGTTCTACAATCTACAACTTTTTGACGCAAGTGGATCCACACGTTTGTGGCTGATTGGATACTGTTCTGTCCTCGAATGCTTGTCCTAATGTGCGAATGTCTGGTTTGTCAAATGGGGATTCGCCCGAAGTTGGCCGGGTGGCTCTATACTGGACATCTATTGACCATATTCGGATCTCGATCAACTCACTCCAGACCCCAAGGTTGTCCCGCCGAGGGAATAGCCTCGGATTCCTCTCCATCACACAGGATCTCTGTATTCCTGATCTCAAGTGGGAGTACGAACCCGCCTTTGAAGGTAGACCAGGACACATCGCCTCGTGCTGAACGATCGCAATCAAAATGCTGGGAGCAGATGGGTGTCTCGAAGTTCTTGAACAATACCGCGCGACACTGGGGATCAGTCCGTTCGCCAAGACAGAGAACAGATCCTGAGAGACCTTCCATCCCAGTGTCCTCATGCATTGCGCGCCATATCAGAGCCGCTGTTTGAGTGCGCGACTTACGGCTCCATAAGTATTCTGTCCCTTCTACAATTACCTTCTGCATCGTGCCAAATTCACCACATCCGGACCCGCCCGTGGACTTATTCGATAGCGCATTCAGCCCTATTGCAAAAGTGAACTTGCCATCCAACGCATCTCGATAGTTTCCCCAGTCGACGATTTTCGGCGCACGTGAGGGCCTACAAATTTTAGGGAGACAATCTCCTTTTACGATTGAGATATCATGGCCAATACTCTCGGGGAAAATCGATGATCGCACAACGTGGTGATCGTAGGTCGTCGAGATATGGCCAATTTTCTAAAAAGATGTCAGCAGGCTTGTGTCAGGCCTGTGAGACAGAGTCATATACCTCCTGAGGATCAGTGATAGACCATGCGGTCTTTCCAAGAGGACAGTCCATTGGCACGCCTAGTCGGATGGACTCTGACATTCGGATCACGGTCGACAAGGAGAAGGCTGATTTAGTCTTTGATAGCCAATTCGAGTTCTGGGGCTCACGATGCACCCGCGGATTCTTCACGTCCACAAATGCATGAGTCGGGACCGTGATGCCCTCGGAATTATCAAGGAACTTTAGCTTCAAGCCCAGAGGCGCGCTGCAATTGCTCTCATCTTGAGATTTGGCTACCGCATTTCCGCTCCTTGGGCCTGTTTCGGTCGGAAAATGTTCAGCGATGTCATAACCCAACCGCAGCAAGCCGAATGACGGCACGCATCCTTCTAGCCATGATGCTTTCATATGTTTCCGATCGCGAAAGAGCACGATCATAAAGCCCGAGATCAATACCCGTGCACCGATAGCCGACGGAAAGAACCGGCGAAGGAGATCCAAGTCTGATGCGGTCAAAAACCGCCGGGGGTTTATCTGCCGGGGTAAAGGGTCTTCGCGGCTGCCACTGTATACCTGCGACAGCTGGGGTAGAAGGTATTCTGGATAGATGTGGATTTCGCGCCCGCCCGCATGGGTGTCATAAACAGGTGTCTTTGGCGGGATACTTACGACCCAAATCTCCTTGCCATCGGGCTCGGTGGCCTCATATACAAACGGGCAGGGTGCGAGCGACCGGTGGTGAGAGCGAATCAATTCCTTGTCCTCAGGCTCCACCGTGTTCTCCTTGTGGGCTTTCGCGGCAGCGACATCGTGGGGACCCCACTTGGTGGAGTTTGTTCCTGGAAATTGGAGCTGTCAATCACTAATTGCTGCTTCGCCATTGGGCCCAACTCCCCCTTCTCCCTCAAAATTCAGAGCTAGGAAGGCTGACTATGTACCAGAGTCAATTGTTGCGGCAAGAGGATAGATCCCACCGGTGGCTTTGGACTATCGACGCAATCGGCGGGGATCGGCGGATAAGGATATGGGTCGGACATGATTGCTGCAGGATTGCACAGATCCCATTGTGCTAGGGGTGCGATGGGGAGCCTACCAGGGCGCTGGCCGGAAGTCAGATCCATTCCTTGTCATCCCAGCTCATCAGCTACACACCCGAGCCACTCCAGTTCCCCTCGGCTGGACATGATGTCAATCCCCCGGCGATCACGGACCTATGCTCCGGAGCTATCCTCGTCCATTCAGATCGATGATGATGATGATGACCTTCACACACCAATCATGATCCACCTGAACTCCAGCAGCGCCTCGTCAAGCAAGGTGGAACCTCCCCGCCTCCCCATACGAGCGGTCAAGGATGTGTGACCCCCAGCACGGAAGAACGAACTCTAGAAGCAAGAAACCTCCAGAGTTTGTTCCGAGACACGATCAAGCTGCATGAGCTGACAAAAGAGAAGCATTCTATTGCCCCTCTCCCGGCAATGGTCGCACTGCAGCCCGTGGTCAACTGGGTCCATCTCAGTACGGGCCCCCAGATGGCTGCCGCAGCTGCCAATTGCTGCCAATCCGGGTCCGATCTGCGGGTGCCAATCTGCGCTATTACATCGCGATCGTGCAGATCTCGCCAGCTAGACCGAACCATGTTATGAACGATGGAGCTCGACGGGCCGCCATCTTGCCCTTTCGTCCAATGATTGACCCTGGTGGGTTCTGTTGATCGGGCAAGCCCTCCCTGGCTGAAGAGTCTGGCGAGGGCTCTTTTTTTTTTTTCTCGAGGTCATTGCTTTCCCCGCCCGTGGCTGAAGCTGTTGTGTTCCCACTCGAGATTTTCTCTTTGCTTTCTGGTTTTTTTTTTTCTTTCAATCTCTTAACTCTCCTCACGATTGTGTTGCGTGTCCATATTTTGTATTGTTACTTGTGATATCCCCATCTTTGTTCTCAGCGATAATGCCTACTCCGATCCCCGGACCTCCTGGTGTCCCGCTTCTGGGCAATGTTTTCGACGTGAACCCGAGTGAGACCTGGAACTCTCTGAATAAACTTGCGAAGCAATACGGTAAGCTTGATTTATCTTTCAGTAGTCAGTTGCTAGCAGCGGTCATGATGCTCATGTCTTCGCCAGGTCCCATCTTCAAGATTAATGCGCTGGGTCACCAGCTCGTCTTCATTGGCAACGTGAAGCTGCTGGACGAGATTTGCGACCAAAAGCGATTCCGAAAGTGTGTGACAGGCCCGGTGGTGGAGATTCGATACACCGTCCATGACAGTCTCTTTACGGCCTACGATGACGAGAAGAGTTGGGGCATTGCCCACCGCATCATGGGGCCGTATGCGACCCAAGAAGCTACGGAGCAAGTTTTCGACGACATTGCGGAGGTGATCCCCGATTTGACGAAGAAGTGGAGCGCGAGCCCCAAGCAGCGCATCAAGGCGAGCGATGACCTGGACGTTATTCTCGTTGCCTCCTGCATGAAGTCCTTTTTCAACCAGCGCGTTGACTACATTTCCAATGCTGCCGAGCGGAAGAAGGGTATGGAATGTGTCACAGCCTTCGAGAGTGCGACTATGGAAGCATTGAAGCGTCCTACTCGCCCCGGTATCTTGAATATGCTCCTCAAGCCCCGTTTCGCTTCGTGGACCTCGACATTGCGCAACTTCTCCAAGGAGGTCATCAAGTCGCGACAGAACAACCCGGATCAAGCTCGCAAGGATATGCTGGATGCGCTGTTGAACGGCGTCGACCCCGAGACCCAGCAGAAGCTCAAGGAATCCCAGGTGATTGATGAGATCATCACCATCTTCATTGGTGCTGCCACTGCTGCGAATCTGTTGACCTACGCCGTCTACTACCTCGCCAAGAACCCCGAAGAGCTGAAGAAGGGACAGGAGGAGATTGATTCTATCGTGGGCGATGGTCCCATTGACCTGCCCCACCTGAAGCAGCTGCACTACGTTGAGGCTATCCTGCGTGAAACCTTCCGTCTGTCCGCCACAGCTCCTGGCTTCAACATCGAGCCCATTCCTTCCGAGAGCAAGGCCCCCGTCCTCCTCGGAGGAGGCGAGTACGAGATCCCCCATAACCAGCCTATGATCGCCATCCTAAACGCAGTCAACCGTGACCCCGAGGTCTTCGAGTTCCCCGAGGAGTTCCGACCAGAGCAGGTTCTGGGCGAGAAGTGGGATAACCTCCCTGCTGCCGCCAAGAAGGGCTTTGGGAACGGCAAGCGTGAGTGTTTTGGCAAGGCGTGGGCCTGGCAATGGTCTCTCTTCACCTTGGCGAGCATCATCAAGGAGACCACCTTCGAGTTGGAGAATCCCAACTATGAGCTCTTCGCCAACGGTGCCTTCAGTATTAAGCCCTTGGATATGTACGTGCTTTTCAGCCCTCGCAAGTGATTTGTCTCGGTTGGCCTTGGCTATGTTTGGAATGTGGAAATACCATTGCGCAAGCCGTCAGGACTTGCGTTTGACGTGACGTTCGAATTTTGATTACTAGCGGATATGACCTGTCGGTAATGAGATTGTCTCTAATTTATCAACAAATGAACCTGGGAATTCATTATCTGTAGTGATTGCACGTTATCCCTAGGCTGGAGGAAGCGAGCTGATCTTCAGCCACGCCGTATATTCCGCCACAACTTGATGCAGTGTACTAGTCCGTGTTCAGATTTGCACCCTGCTTAGGAGGCTGATTGCGACGGAGCCAATCTCTACATCACCTGAATCCAGTCATTAAGGGAGTCTCATCAAGCCAACGTCCTGATGCTGACACCGAATGCACCGACACTTCGAACATTCCCCCCCTCTCCGGCCTGTCGGAGTTGTCCCGTAGCTCCCCGGGGCCCCTCCATACAAGACCTGGGATTCCCACATCGCTTTCGAAGCATAAAGACAACCAACCTTATCATGGCGACTAAATTCACTTCGTTTCCCAGCCGGCGCAGTGTCGTCCACAGTCTCAACGGCATCGTGGCGTGTACTCAGCCACTAGCAGCCGCGGCAGGACAAAACATTCTCAGAGAAGGCGGAAATGCTGCAGTATGTACGGCCCACGCTGCCCATGTTCGAGAAAAGAACTAAACTTTCGACACGATCAATAGGACGCTGCGGTTGCAGTCGGTATGCTTGCCCCTCGATACAACAACGACGCTGGCTTATAACCGTTTAGCTGCGTGCTTAAATGTTACGGAACCATGGTCGACAGGAATCGGCGGCGACATGTTTTGCTTGTTCTACGATGCCAGGAAGAAGTCCATTGGAGGCCTCAATGGATCGGGCCGCTCTCCGCAAAGTCTCTCCCTAAAGGACGTCAGGCAAAGACTGGGCTTTTCGACACATGAATATGGAAGTATCCCGCTCACGAGTCCCTATGCTGTTACCACGCCAGGCGCGCCTGCTGCTTGGGTCGATACAGTCGAGAGGTTTGGAAACGGAAAACTTTCGATGAAGGACATCCTCGACCCGGCGATTGAATTGGCTGACAGTGGATATCCAGTGTCGGAGATAGCAGCACATTATGTGAGTTGCAGAACCTCTGCCATACGAACGAGGTTTCGGGTGGGATGTTGGGACTGACTTGGCCATCAAGTGGAAAGATTATGAGCAATCTCTGCGAGACGCCTCTCCAAACTTCAGAGAAATGCTGAAGCGCGATTCTAGTGCGCCCGATGGAGCACGCGCTCCCCGGACAGGCGAGATCATGACCATGCCTACTCTTGCAAATACATTTCGTCAGCTTGCCTCCCGAGGCAAAGCTGGGTTTTACTCTGGTCCTATCGCCGAAGCCATTGAAGAAGTCATGAGAGATCGCGGAGGATATCTCACAAAGTCCGATCTGGAATACCATAGCGAAAAGGGGAAGTGAGCTTGTCCAGCCTGTATCATTGCGCTTTACCTCTACGGCAAATCCTCCCCGAGCTGTTGATATCTGGGAACATCCCCCGAACGGCCAAGGAATCGTCGCTCTGATGGCCCTTGGGATCGTCCAAGAACTGCGGAAGTCCGGAGCAGTCTCACGCATGCCCCCTCATAACTCAGCTGAGTATTTACATTTGATTCTTGAAAGTCTGCGGATTGCGTTCGCCGATGGAACATGGTGGATATCGGACCCCGAATTCAGCCCGACGCCTGAATTGCTGTCAGCTTCGTATCTGTCATCCCGTGCCACTTTGTTCCGTCCAGAACACGCATCTAATTGTTTGGAACGAGGTAGCCCGGCCCTCCGATCAAGCGACACAGTCTATTTCGCCGTGGTGGACAGCGAAGGCAACTCCGCGTCAGTCGTGAACAGTAATTTCTACGGATTTGGCAGCGCGATCATCCCTGCCAACTGTGGGTTCGTCTTACAGAGTCGCGGAGCCATGTTCTCGCTCGAGGCTAGCCATCCCAACGCCCTGGAACCGGGGAAGCGCCCGTACCATACTATCATCCCGGCTCTGGCGACGAATCCTGATGGAAGTCTCTACGCCTCGTTCGGGGTGATGGGTGGCTTTATGCAGCCGCAGGGACACGTCCAAGTCCTCCTGAATATGCTGGAGTTCGGCATGAGTCCTCAGGAAGCATTAGATGCGCCGCGGGTGTGTATATCCGGCGGGATTCCCGAAGCGGATGGAAAGGTCGACCTTACTGTCAATGTGGAAGAAGGAATAGGTGCCGAGGCAAGAGAGGGACTTGAGAGGAGGGGGCATCGTGTTCGGGTTCGAAAGGGCTGGGAAAGAGACATTTTTGGTCGTGGTCAGATTATTCGTAGTGCCGCTCACGAGGGACGGTGTGTTTTTAGTGCAGGAAGTGATTTTCGCGGCGATGGGTTGGCTATACCCGTTTGATAGAAAACGGGAAAGGGCGTAGATGGTGTCCACTGGCCATATGAATCCTGCGCCATTCCCACATAGATCTTTGAAGCCTTTTGGGGACGAGTGGATAAGGGTGGGGGATTTTGCAGCCTTGCTGGGCAATTTTCTTGAATCTCATAGGTCCAGACCAGCGACCCGAGTCAGATTGTCAGCGGGAAAGCTCAGGTCTGCAAGTAGCTATGGACTGGTAGTGGCTACGATGTCCAATAGACCAGCTTTAATTTCCCACACCCCACGTTGCAATAAGAGCCCAGGATCGGTCAATGGAAGCCCTATAGCGTCTGTTTGGAGGAGGTACCCTTAGAGCGATTCCTCAGGTCCGTTCGACTTGGTCTTGAGGAGATTTTTCTACGTCTAAATTAGCATGTTTTGTCTTGTCTTCACCAGGCCCTCGCCTGTCTCAGAAGCCTCGCAGCGACAAACCGAGCGACTCACGCGCGGGTCCAAGAGTTTGATAAACTGGGAGTGATGGAGACTCATGTGTAAATTATGGAAGTATTTGGCTCCGTACCAGACGTGTGCTTGGGCATCTAATGTTCTAACGCTAAGTCCTGACTCGTTATTATATATGAATTTTCCGCAAGTACTGGGGCCCAGCTCAAATGCATCGTCAAGTATCCGGCTCGGACTTTCCTGAGCGACGGACGTCGAGTTCCACATTATCTCGAGGGGGCTCATCCCCCCAGCTGGAGATGCTCTGCAGTCGTTGCTTTCCATGGGAGTTGTAAATGTCGTGGCCGTGGGTGATACTGGCTTTCCGGACAGCATGCGCCGTGCGGCGTCGTTGTCCGAAGGCTTCAGAGAAGAGTCGCCGACAGGCAGATTGGGAACTGATGACATAGATGACGGAGTTCCAGAAGCCTTGAAGAGGGAAGACAAACGACGATGCATAATTGAGACCGAAGTTTTTCGCATTTGGCTTGACGAGGGTATATACTCGGTTGACACTGGTCGGAATCTGATTGCAATGAGATGTCAGTCGCACATGGAGGGGGTGGGAAGATAACGGTCTTACCCAAGTGATAAGTAGTACTAGGAAAAACATGAATGCGATACGAGCATATAGCCAGGCTTCCTGATCCTGAGCCTGCTGCGCAGCGGCTTTGGTGATTTCACGAACTCGTATGACATCCCACATCGCGGGATCAGTCGGCTTTGCACCATCGGCCTCAATTTGAATATTGTAGTTCTGGCCATCAGGAGTGATGTCAGTCACACCCTGTGGGCAGGCATCCTCGATGATCGGTCTTTCATCGTGGGTAATTTTGATCTCCGTCACGACGTTGCCGAAGGGGGTTTCATTCAAAGGGTTCAGGTAGCCTTCCAGCTTATCTCTGTTGTGGTAGATGACTCGGGCAGCCATTCCGTAGATGACGAAAGCTGCGATAAATGCCACCCTACAAAGGAACCCGGTTAGAAACGGAATCCGGTGAAAGTCGAGTTCAGAAACTTACCAAACAATGGCGTATAGGAAGACCACACGCATGAAGTCCCACTTGACTGAGATCCAGCACCAGATGATTGCATCTCCATACAACCGGCCTCGTCCTGCAGTTGAGATGAATATGAAAACCAGAGCGGGAATCAGAGATAACCCATAGGCCAGGAGGAGATACAGAATGTCTAGAGACTTCAGCTGCTCCACTGTGTAATTCTTGAAGAAGACGAGGTAGACATTGATTGCCATGAAAAGAGCCCAGTAGCAGTCTACCCCCAAAAACATCTGCACCAGAAATGCCTGGAACTGACACAGACCCGAGGAAGTTCCTGAAAGGGGGCCTGCTGATGAAATCAGGGCTGCAATGTTCGACCCGAGGTTTCCGAAGCTGGCATAGTAAATGAGACGGTTGATGGGCTTGTCGAACCCGCGAGCGAACCAGTATGTGAGGAAAACAAAAAGCATCGCAGCGACCGAGACGCAGGAGTTGACTCGTTCTGTCACTACCAGAGCTTTGTTCTGGCTGGGACTGAATGGCAAGCTCATGATGGGCAGATGCGAGAGCGCTGGGCCCTGTATTTGGAATCTGAATACGTGAGTTTAGTCTATACTTAGTCCATATTCTGATGTAAACGCATACTTACTGCTGCGTCAACTCTAAATCCAAACCATGCAGCTGGTGGGACGAGTTTGAAACGGACGCACGTGGCCTATATTTTCAACTGCATGGAACTGCAGCATCTTAAGTATGGAGTACAAGACCAATGGTTCCAAAATGGGGGCAGAACGAGGTACGATTCACCCCGGGGGCCCAAGTTATAAAGCAACAGAACATTCCACTACGACACTCTCCGCATGTTTCCTCCATTCATGGGGTAAAAGGATTGCAGGATTCCACGTGCCGCGAGTATCGAGGAACAAATCCTCCCTCAGCGAATCCGCACTGCGAAAGGGCAAATGCACCAGCGTATGAGCCAACCATCCTTGGTGGCAATATCACAGAGGCTTACGTTCCTTTCTGGACTTGATGGGTCCGATCTACAGGCAGAGAGTGATCTGTATCGCCTTCCCGGGATAGCGGAGTGGAGCACGTCCGCCAGGATTCACGCCGGTGGCACTCTAGCGTGCTGTGACGAAGGTGACAAGGATTGGTCCAGGCCACGGAGTCGGCGTGTGCGATATAACGGCTTCTGAAGCCTTGAATCGTGATTCGAGGATTCCTCTCCTGTGGCTGCCCCCGCCCTGGAGGAAGCACGATCATCATTGCTCTCGATCCTGAGGTTAGTCTCGGTCAAAAATTTAAGCACTCCCCTCGCTGAAAAGCCCCGAGAAGCTTCATCTATCTGGTACCCTGATTTCGGATCAGCATAGTGCCGCCGTGGACATATTTTAGATATTTTAGATCCGAGTGGGTTTCAACGGTGTCCATGGAGGTTTGGGCGCAGGGGCGTGTCGAATTCGGCCCCACTGCAGATCAACTCCGGAACTTGTTTCACAAGGCACATATCTCGACCTGGCCCCCATCTCGGTTAGAAATAAACCGTGGATAAGGGAGCACTTGTGATGCCCCTTTGTCCAACTTCTCCTATTTGAGGCCTGATAGTGGGGGGAAAGAGGGCCATCCGAGTTTCTACGGCTTCTGGAGAAAGATCTGCTCGTGGCGCCCCACCAATCTATGCCCATGGATTATATTCACGAACTATTCCAGTAGTGCAGGGCCCCCAAATTCATTGAATAACCAAGCAATAAGCAAAGGTAGCAACCCAGAGAAAGTATGTCGCGACCGCTTGATTCAGATACCTTCCGTCAAATCGAAATTCACCGGGAAATCGAAAAGGCAGCAGACCTTGCTGGGGCATCTGCATTGAACTTACATTGAACTTATCAAAGGTAGGCGAAGAGGGGGAAAGGTACAGGTACCAGTTGATGTATCTCCCATGGACCCGGCTGTCTGGGCTAAAGACCAGGGCTGCGCCTATCTGACGAAAATCAACGGTGCGCCACGCCGGACGATATGGATATGCTAGAAGCGCATTAGGTATCGCTTCCCAATAGTTGGACGCCTCGTGCAACACCAGCCAAGCGGGGTTGGTGTGAAGACTTCCCACCACCCCATCAGGCACCAAGACGGCCAATCATTGGGCAGGAAGTGATGGCTATTCTTCCTCCATACAACGCAAATGCCGACTATCTTCTCCAAGGCTAATACGAAGAAAGCCATAGATAGCCATCATCGCAACGCCCGACACTGAGCCAAAGGACAAGCAACGAATAGCATCAGGTTTGAATGCAAATGGTGGGGTAGTTGCAGGTTTACCCTCCTAGAGAGTACCTATACCTACGGTCGCATATCCTTCTGTGGACGGGGAATCCGGACGAAGCGGCATTTCTCCCGAGTTCAAAAGAACATTGACGGATTTTTGACAGGTGGACGCGATGTCTTTGAGGTTATGTACATGATTTCTGGTTGCCAGACGGGAACCATATCTCCTGAGAAACCAATTCACCCCTCGACCCGATGAAGGACTTTCCGCAACTCTTAGTATATGGCTGGACAGCCTGGAAAGGATTTGTTTCAGAAATCAGTATCGTCCATGTGTTGGGCTTATGGTTAGGCTATCACGTTGTTCTTGCGCTATACAACATCTCGCCGTTCCATCCACTGAGCCACTTTCCCGGCCCCAAGCTGGCATCGGCGACATTTCTCTACGAAGCATGGTTTGACCTGGTCAAAGGGGGGGAGATTCACGAATGAAATCAAGAGGCTACACGCGATATATGGTATCGTCCTTCCGTGTTTCTAAAGGGGAATGGGCTAATTGATGATCAGGCCCCGTTATACGCATCAATCCCGAGGAGCTGCATTTCAACGATATAGCATTCGTCGACGAGATATACGCATCTGGGGGCCGCAAGAGAGACAAGCAAACCCACTACCTGAATTTCGTGGCCGGGCCTATCAGTCTGGCCGCTTTTAGTGCACGCGAACACAATCTTCATCGACTCCGACGTGGGGCCCTGAACAAGTTCTTCTCGCGCACGCAGATAGCGAAGCTGGAACCTACGATCAGGCTCCTGGTGGAACAGTTATGCGATAAGATGATCCGGCTGGGTAGGCGGGAGGTGCATCTTGGCCATGAAAGTCCCAAGCTGATAGGCAACAGGGGCTCAGCCGGTCGATTTGAACGTGGCATACAGCTGCTTCTCCGCAGATGTTGTCTCGGGGATTTGCTTTGGTGAGGCCTTTGGATTTGTAACACAGGTAAGTGCCAGTTAGTGAAAATGTGCAAGCTCCTGGCTTAATGTCTCAAGGAATCATGGGAACCGAATTTCAAAATCGCACTTCAAGCATTGCTGGGCCCTATGTATATTTTTCGGTTCCTTTCCCCCGTCAGGTATCTCGCCAATGCGGCTCCAGCGATTGGCAAATGGTTCGGCAAAGACATTCGCCTGATGCTCGAACAATCCAACCAGTTACTGCCCGCGCGGATCATCAAGGCGCGCGAGGACTACAGCTCCGGCTCAAAGACCGACCAACCGAGCTTGTTTGCAGCTCTGATCGATTCTTCACTGCCGGAGGAAGAAAAGACCGTCCACCGTCTATCGGGCGAAGGGTTCTCTATGACGGCAGCTGGGACTGAGACAACTGCGGTAGGTCCCTGAAGCCCTTCTGATCTTGCCACGCTGACGTATCTGAAAACCTGGAAGTGGACACTGAGTGTGATAACGTTCCATCTGCTCAACCGACCACAAGTCCTAGCCCGCCTCACGACGGAACTGGAAGAGGCGAATGCTCTCAGTCTGTCGTGGTTTGAGTTGGAAAAGCTGGGCTATCTGAATGCGGTTATCATGGAGGGACTTCGTCACTCCTATGGTGTCGCGCCGCGAAGCCCTCGCATTGCCCCGGACGAGACCCTGACTTATCGGGGACAATTCAAAGGCCACAATATAGTGTATACCATCCCCCCTGGCACACCAATGGGAATGTCATCGGCGATAACAAACCATAATGAAGACGTGTTTCCCGAGCCGTATGAATTCATTCCAGAACGGTGGCTTGGTCTCAGACGAGAGCAAGCGGCGCAAATTGGAAAACCACATGACTTCTTTCTCGAAGGGCAGTCGTCAGTGCGTTGGAATGAAGTGAGTCAGTTCGCAGCTATGCAATCATAATTTGCTCTAATGATTCCTGGAAGCCTTGCATACTGCAATCTTTACCTGGCAACATCCATACTGACCCTACGGGTGATACCGCGGATGAGGTTGTATGAGACAACAGTGGATGATGTGAAGTACGACCACGACTTTTTCACACCCCGTCCAAAGAAAGGCAGCAAAGGAGTGAGAGTGACCGTCTCATAGCTGTGGTGTGCACGGTTGCTGCGGCGTGGGTCATGATATTCGAGACCCGATACTCACGGCAAAACTTGAGTACGATCGGCCATTCCAAATGCCACTGAACCCTTTGAAGATTTCAAACAGACAAGAGCACTCTTAATGCTGAATCAATTGTCATGCACTAAAATCCTGAATTCCTAGTGGAAGCTCGGGTGGGAATGAGATGGTATACCCGTAGCCCGTCTCACGGGCGAATCTGTAGAGCTTAGGCGTAGCTTCTTGAGGATTCTATTCCCAGCTTTGGAGGATTAGCGCTACCGATGAAACTGCCTCCCAAAGGTAGCAGTTTGCTTGGCGATACGATTATCTCCGCTTCCTTGAACGCTGTAGATTGCCTTCATGAAAATCCTCGACATCTCAGCTGCATTCGCCCCGGCGAACAAGGTCAACGGCATGCACTGCGTCTACATATCAAGTAGCCGTTCTAAGTACTTTGAGAGCCATGCCAAAAAGTTTTCTCTCAAATTAGCCCAGGTAAACCCCGGGCCTTACCGGTGAAAACCTCTCTTTTTATATTTGTAATGAGCGACCCATCCCACAGACCGCGCTAGGCAGACTGCGCATTCTATCATCCACGACCGGTGGATCAGATACGAACGCAGTGATCAGATGGGCCATCCTGGACAGAGGAAAATCTCTTACAAGGACGGAGATCGAGCGACGCAAGAACGTCGGAGAGAGTGGCCGGAGTGAACAGGCCGAGAAGGAAAGCCCGAGTCAGCGAAGCTCTGGCAAAGGTAGCCTCGGAGCATGGAAATCGAGTCTTTGCGGTCGCATTCAGAGACTCAGTCCGAACCTTAGCGACGCCCAGGTCGAGTATCTTGGAACTATGAGCTCCTTTGATGTTAGATTTCTGCATAGTCTCATCCCGGCAGACCCTAGAATTACTAGGGTGCACTCGCTTATGACATTTGTGCTGCACATGAAAGCGGGACATGTTGCTCTTGGAAGAAAAAAAGAAGAAAAAAAGACCTCAGGAGGCGTTGCCCTATTATGCAACGATGCGGTCATTGCCACTACCCCATGATTGGTGAGATACACCACATACCCAAGAGTTCTATAGGGATGAGATTTTTTTTTTGGAGAGATTTTTTGATTGAAGAAAAGTATTTGAAGAGTTCTCACAAAGAATGAACAAGTCCCAACGCAAAAAGGCCCAGCCTCGATCCCTATATTGACAAGAGAAAGAAAAGCCATACCACCCGGGTATACCACGCACCAAGCGGAATCAGGTCATCATATATAAAATCATAAGTCTAGAAACCATTTTTTTTTGAACACATAAAACGAAAAGAATTCGTCATCAAACAGGCACTTAACCGCTGTAGGCAATAGTGACAACCAGACGGACGGGGCCAGAGGCCAGGTTGCCACCAATGCCGCCAACGTCAGTCTGGGCGCTGGTGTAGGCGTTGTTGACGGTACCCGCGTTGGGGGGAGATGGAAGAGCAGGTGGTGCCAAGGGCATCACAGATCTGCATACCCTGAACCTCGAGGCCATTGTTCTGGGCCTGGATGGCGGAGACGTCGAAACCAGACCAGCCGTTGTTGGAGGTCGAGCCAAAGTCGAACTCTCCCCAGGTGGCGGCGTAGATTCCAGAGCTGCCAGTGGGAACGGTAGAACCAGGAGCAGCAGCCCAACCACCCTGGGAGTCGCCGTCGATGGCGAGGTACTTGGTGGCGCCGGGAGAAAGAGTGAAAGTAGTGGTGGCCTTGCCGAAGAATCCGTCCATGGTGCCGTCGGAGCTGTACTTGTTCCAGACCACGACGGTCCAGTCCTCGGTGTTCTGACCCTTGAACTGGATCACGTACTCGTAGGAGCTGGCATCGGACTCGGAGACCTCGATGATATTGCTGCCGTAGGGGTTGCCGATGTTGCCCTGGTAGGTGGCGCCGCTGCCACCACCGCTGGTGCTGCCGCCAAAGCCAGCGGTAGAGCCGGGACCACTGGGAGTAGCGGTCCAGGCGCCACCCGAGGAAGAGCCAGAGGCCGAGCTGGGGGTGCTGGCAGGGGTAGTGGCCTGGCGACGGGCATGACCTTCAGCACGGGCAAGGGCACCACCAGTGAAAGCTGCCAGCAGCAGAAGAGACTTGGTAAACTGCATTTTTTTTTTACTGTTTAGATTGAAAGGATTGACTTTTGTGTGTGTCTGGAAGAGAATGTGGATGTCTATAAGGAGTGACGGAAGTATGAAACTTCAAAAGGAGCGTCGTTTCAAGAGAGTGTGATGTGAGGAAGGTAGGGGTTTCTCTGGGGTTACCCTGTCTATAAGTACCTCATTTCCACGAGAAAAAGACTTCTCAGGCCCCCGCCACGTCTTGCCTCTTCAGGTCTGGAAATCCAGTCAGAGTGCAGTGCCTGGTACCTGGACCGTTCCATGGCGTGGAGCACCAAGGGTGGTTTGTACGTCAGACACTAACGAGGGTCCCAGAGAGGGCAAATCTTAGAATATGGTTGGAGGGCCAAAAGAGCCGGTGTTCTGGATCAGCATGTGGCCAGACGGGGCGAGTGGAGGCCATGCGAGAGAATAAACTACAAAGATTGGTACTAAGATCAGCAAAGAGGCACGGCCCCCGGTTCATAGGAAGTTCCCATAAACGGTGGATGGTATCATTGGCTCGCTTCATCTATGGAGTTGACTCCAGAATGGCCCAGTCGAATAACAGCGTCAGTCGCCGATCCGCACGGCGGTTTACGGTTCCCCTTCTCGAAGCCTTCTCTTCCTGACCGGAGGCCCCCATATGGCTACGTGGAAATCTTTCGCGTAATCACGAACTGGGAGGAATCTCCACTTGACAGGAATTTGGTGCGGCTAAGGGAAGTCCTACACGCGGCACTTGCGCTGCGGGGAAAGACTCCCACTGCTCCCAATGAAAGAATACATGGCTTTTCATGGTAGTATTTCCCCTGGAGACTAGGCGCGACTCCTGCCATTCTCAAGGTATAAAAACCCTCTGTGAATACGGGAAACGGAGTGCAATCTACGCAATCGCATGCGACAGGTTACATCAGACAAGGGCGTGCCTTGTGAAAATCCTTTCACCTTCAGTTTGTCAATGAACTCCACTGGGTGTTCTCGACCAAGCGGGGCCCGAATTGTAGTCGAAGCGATGGAGTAACCGGACGATCTCCGCTCTAGTGTGCTCTTGCGAACTGGACCAACGAGAGACTTAGGTCCAGACGAAATCTTGGGTGTTCGGGCACGATTGGTGTGGGCTTTGTCTCCTGGTCCTTTGAAGCTTTGGTGTTTCTTGGCATGTCTCTCTTGGAAAAGGCTTTGGCCAACCGTCTCCGAGCAGAGCTCCTTCAGGGGCGCGTTTTGCGGTTTGGAGAGTTTTTGTGGTGCCGTGGACGAGCAACTCTGGTTCCGAAGTGGTAGGAAAGCAGTATCATTGGTCCGCTTGGCTTGCAGTGATCCGCTAACCATAGAACGGCACCAATCACATTGCTTTAATATAGTCTTGGCAGGGCAAAGGGGTGACCTCCGCCAATCACCGTCCGTCCCACGAGAACCAACTTGTGAGCGATGCAGATTCTAACAGAGCCATGGAAAGGCCCTTGTGCCTGGATTCTTTCTCGTTCTTTGCCTTCCGAGCCTGGGAGCTCGCCTTCTGACATAATCCCACTCGTTCCAGTGGTGGCGGCCAATGGGAGAATTTCTGGATGCGGAATAGTTGCCTCCAGCCTCCCATACCGCACCAAAACAAGACGATATGCTAATGGATTTCAGTCAAGCACATCAATCAGAAGCTAACCTGTGACACACCAAGTAGGGTTGCAGCCTGACCGACGGGCCTAGACAGTCAAGTGGATCCGACAGCCTCGATGAGCGGGGAGAATAACATTTTAAGCATACGTTAGCTCGGCTTTTCGTACGCATCTTGGCTTATTGTATTATCGCCCAAGCACCGATTACCGAGCCCTAGCCTCTAGTAGAAGGTCCACCAAGGGCCCGAGGGCTACTGGGAGCAACCTCACTGGCAGGAGCCGGAGAAGTGGAGAAGAGAATTGCCCAGGTGTGACATCAGAGGCTTACATCAGAGTCTCGGCGGGCAGTCTAGAGCGCATCTTCTTCTAGTACAAAGCCATGGAGCTTGGCTCAGACATCCTATGGCCCGATTGACCTGAAATCGATTTCTTGTCACATGGTCTGGTTGGTATAGCTCTGGTCAGCTTTCGTAGAGCTGAGTATTTAATTATTTTTTCCGAAATGGGAAGATGCATTTTCCAGCGCAGCCACTCCAGGTTCGCCTCTGGAATCACAAACTAGAAATTTTCCAGGGGAACAAATGATCGCGTCGCACGTGATGGTGGGCTGAATCGGGCTATTTTCGGTCCTTCTTTATGGAGTAAGAGACCAAGCTTAGTTATGCTGGCCTGGACTCTGAGAATGCCCTTGCCGAGTTCCGCGCTCCAGTCACCTGCTACTCTGAGTAGGAGCTGTAAGATTTCACCCCTCACATACGGGAAGAGTGGCGGCCAGGTTGGCGACGGATCTAAGTTCATCCCTGGGACTCTGCCAACATTGGCACTCTCCAAGACTTGCCTGCCGCTCAGTTCGCAAATAAGTCATGGAGGGGAATACTACTGGAAGTCTCAGATACAAAACTTAGAAAAGGAGACAGATAGTATCATAATAATGTAATGTTTCCACACCCCTTCGAGTCATGATGATCGGGTTTCTGAACACCGTGTCTCATGTTGCGAGAGCTGTATCACGGGATATTTGCTCATAAACGACATAAAAGACAATAGCTGGGGAAAATGACGCTTTGTGGGGTGAGACCGTGTCGACTGAGACCTGGCAGGCACGACGAAGGCCCGGTGCTCGCGCAAGGTAAGACGTGCAGCAACACGGGCTGACCGGAATTTGTGTGCCAAGCGGACATTTGCTCTTCAATTCTCAGCATATGATAGGATCCGATTTTGAATGAGGTAATTTTCGCCGTCGGCGATTGATATGATTGGTTTGATGCTTGAGCCCTTGTCCCTTGCAGCGACCCTCCTGTTGCGGGCTGTTCATGCGCGCACCCCTCGATCGAGCCTCAGGCCACAGAGAAATGAGTATAGACTTGGAATATTTGGTCCACAACGGGAGGGGAGAAAACATTTCACGTAGATGAAGCCCTAAAAACTTTTGAGAAAGGGGTTCGTAGATAATGCATTCCGCGGCCGAGTTGGTTTGATACGAGCAGCCTCGCAAGGCGAACTTCAAGATTCAGGCCTATGACAAACTACCACCGGGTCTGCTCAACTACCTACGCTGCATCGTCTATGCACAATGATCTCAGCAGCCCAAAGCTGTACTCAGAAGAGCTCTCCACCATGAACTCTCGACCCAAGTAAGGAGCGCGAGAGCTCTGCAAAATTCCAGCCAGAGGGCTCTTGCATCACTATCATGCAAGAGCTGGGTAGCATGATAGACCCGGAGTCTGTCAAGCTATTATCTCGTTCACGGACTTATAAATTGAGGCATATCCATCGTGAAAGTCAATCCTCACCACTGGACCTAAGCCACCGAAACTACTCCGGTATCCATTAATATACTACCATACAACCACCATGCAATTCCTCAAGAGCTTTGGCCTGCTTTCTCTCTTCGCCATTGCAGTCTCCGCTGGCCCTTCCAAGTTTGCCCAAAGCTGTCGGGACATCGAGGGATTCGGATCAACTCTGCGGGCAGAATGCCAGGAATATGAAAATGGCGAGACTCGCCCCTCCACTATCGATCTGAACCGATGCATCAAGAACAGCAAGGGAAGCCTCAAGGTAAGAGTAATCCCCACGCAAGAGTTTTTCCTAAAATACTAATGTCAGTATAGTGCGGAAAGAAGTGAGTGTCAGCTTGTCTCCATGATGAAATGCAGAATCCTAACATCCCCCCTAGCGGTAACTATGAGGGTTCTTGTATCAACTGCAGCCTCCGCGGCCACACCGATTTCCAGTGCATGTGCCGCAACGTGGATGAGGGTCATAACTATGTTCCTACCCACATCGATCTGAGTGAGTTTACTTGAATATGAGGATGCTGGTATCGTCAAGTAGACTAATTCAAGCTTCCCAGACAAATGCATCAGCAACAACCATGGGGAGCTCTCGTGCTAAACAATCACCATGAAGGGCACCACGATCGCAAAATGGGACGGATATTGCAATTAGCCTGGTGATGTGGAAGTTTAGACCTACGTGATCACGAGTTGTCATGCGAATACGGCTCAGAGGGAGGAGAGGCAGTACGCTTGGATAATTATGACGCTAGAAATATGATTTGATTGACCTTTAAGAGCTCTATATTCGACCTTGCTTGTCCTACATTATACGTCCTTCCCAGGCGCTCAGAATGTAATGAGAGCAAAGTACAAGACGCATTTCGTATTTTGTCAAAATAACGCAGGAACGCCGATCTTCGAATGCAGGGAAGTTCAAGGAACATGCTATGTACATGAGAGCATCAAGTTCTGTCGAAGGACTTTACACCGTCGAATTGCGGAGGGATTCGAGGATACTTTGACGCGATCACGCTTAACGTTGGATTATGGGGCTTGATATGGCATTTGCCCCGCATCATCATGAGCTTGGGGCGGAGGCTTGGTCGCGAAACTGCTGAGCTTCATCGTCTAAACGCGATGTTAGGGTGTTAAACTGAAGAAAGATAAGCAGGGACTCGTCAAGTATATCTTCTTGTTCCTTTGGCGTAAGGAATTGGTCTAAGTTTGCCATTGCGTCGCGAAACTTTTCTTTCACAGTGACACTGTCATCAATATGCCAGAACGAGAGAGGCGTGGGAGTTCGGTCGGACTCCAATTCTGCTCGGGACAAGTCCCAAAATGCTGGATAGGCCTTGAGTAGTCCCAAGATCCTGTCGCCCCCATAGAGCAGTGCGGAATACATGATCCAAATGTATGCTACCAGGCGGTGTGGGTGGCCTCTGACCCGTTGTCGGATCTGTTCCCGGATCCGACTGCCTGGGTTCTGGGCATGGAACTGCTCTAGGCGGACTGTGTTCATCGCGGATAGAAAAGCGATGTCGGCCTCAAGGGGCTTTGTCCTCGGGATTTCCGGCATGTAGAGCAGTCTCAGCAAAGCTCGGACACGCTCCGTGTCATCGATCGCGTGCACCTGGTGGACGTCGAAATATGCGATCCACTCGATGGGTTCGCCAGTGCACGCGACCCACTCTGCCTCGACGCCAAAGTACAACTCGGCATAGCGTGATAACCCCAAAGCGTATAGGGTTGGCTGGGATGCATTTGGTGGCAAACAGAGAGGAAGCCGGGAGAGGTTTATCCGATGTATGGCTGCATGGGGCTCTCTGGTCACATGTTAGCGAAGCACAGACTGGACGGAGAGGCGCTGGTTACTTTATGACACGACGGAGTCGACTGTAGAGAGTTTCCTCCGCCATCCTGTCCAAAATCCCCATCCGCTTTAGCTCAACACCATGCTCGAGATTTGAAAATTCGCCCAAGGTGGGATCGGTACGTTAAAAAAAGAATTTCATACGACCTCGCAATCCGGATTTCACGCAACGGCTCCGCATTTTCTTTTATCCGACATGACAGCCTCGGATCGCCCCGAAGAGAAAGTAGGGCTACCGGTGCTTGGACGGCTGGTATGACATTTATTTTGTGGAGTCTGCTGAAATCTGGGGTTTGAGGACTGTTGCTATCTAGTATAATGGCCACGACGTCTCTGTGCTATCCCCCGGGTGCTTCCGTTCGTAAGCTGCACCAGTGTTGTAAGGGATACCAATGCCATATCTGTAATGTTAATATACTAATTTGCGCGTAATCATACTCCGGGTGAAGTATTGAGTTATGTCATTCTGGGAAAGTGCAGGAAGAAGGCAAGTGTAGCATGGAAGTTGTTTCCATTTTTCATACGCTCTTGCCTGCTGACCGAATCGCATCGCTACATTGACATCACGGAACTTGCCTGGTGCCAAAGCCCTCTAAACTTGAGGCATAGAGAACGCATTGGAATTATTGGTCGTTTTCAATGTTCTAGCGCGGCTCGCGTCTCTGGTGTTTTGCCTGCACTACATACATTGGGCCCCTGTAGCTTACTACCCAGAGAGTGGCAGCTACGAGTTTGAACTTACTGGAATTCGAAACTCAAGTGAGGCGGATTCGACCGCAAGGTGAGATGAAAGCATGGATGGCCTGTGCTTCAAGGCCTGTGGTTGAAGGCAGGCGCGAGTGGGCGGCGTTGCCCAAATGAGTTTATTTTCTTGCTTACATGGCCGATTCGGGCTATAGATGCTCTTGACAGTGGTTCTTACCTGTTCCTTTGTATGACTTCCCTGCATTCGCTCTTGCCATAAGAACAAGATGAACAATCTGGTTCTGTTGCTGCGGTGCCAGAGTTTGTGTACAAAACCCCCGTCCCATGCTGTTTTGTTTTCTCTTTCTCTTTTTCCCCTCCCATGCCTGTTGGTACTGCTTTTGCTTCTGCTTAGCCTACTTTCAGCATTTTGCTTTGTCTTCTCTCTGAGAAGCTTCCCGTACTCTGCTCCTTGCACCCTTTCCTCTTTCTTTTCTTTTCTTTTCTTTTTCTTCTTTTCTTTTCTTTTCTTTTTCTTCTTTTCTCTTCGTGACCCTCGGACCGGTACGATGTCTCCTCCATCGTTGCCGTCTCCCCGCGCCGCTCGGCTGCTTCTCTATGGGAGCTCCTCACTTCCGGGCGAGGAGATTCTCGGACGAGGGCAGCCGTGGCCCATCTTTTTTCCCGGTTTGGGGCTCTCGGCTTCGCCCTTTGCCATCCGCCCTCAGCCCGGATGTCGCGCCTTTCCAAGGGACGCTGTGAAGCGTGTCCTGGAAGAGCAGCGCATGCGTAAGCTGGGCGATTCTCTGGAGAGTGACTCCCCCTCTCCCTCTACTCCGTCCCCTCTTCGGCGAGTCGAGAGCCCTCGCCGTAGCATCTTGAAGGTGCACCAGGCAGATGAAGCCAAGAGGACGAATGTCCGTCATGTTACCTTCGGGGACACGACGGTTCATGAAGTCTCACGGTGGATGAACCTGGAAGACCTTCCCTCTCTTCCTTGCCCTCCCCCTCCTCGCTCCCCTCCTCGCTCCCCTGCACGTCCTCCCCCTATGCGTGTTCGTCCTGTTTTACCCCCTGTTTTCCCTCCTCCTGTACATGCGCGTTTCCCCGTACCCGGACGTGCTACTCAGAAGAGAGAGCAGGAACTGGCCTCGGCAGCAGCCCAGCAGGAAAGCACACAACGAATCCTCGGTGAGGAAGCCTGTACAACCTTTTCTCTTGGAAAGGTTCTTGGCCTGTATGCGCTGGGAGCCATTGCCACTACTGCGATCGCTTACTGGTGGTCCTGATGGGTGCTTTTCTTCTTGCACATATTCTCGATGCAGTTGAACCCCGGGTTGCCCCCATGGCATGGAGTCATGAGAGTGGTGCCCATTGGATCCTGCTGGTTTCGCCCCCATGTACTTTCTTCTTGTCCGTTTTGCTTTTGGGGACTTTTCTGTTCTTGTTTTCTTCTCACCTTTTTATTTTCATTCTTCTTATCGTGTATCACATATCTGTTGGTGTATGGGTGAAAAGCCTTTGAAAACCTTGGAAAAAAGCCCCGTTTGTACTCCCCCTCTCGATGCAGTTGAACCCCGGGTTGCCCCCCATGGCATGGAGTCATGAGAGTGGTGCCCACCGGATCCTGCTAGTCACGCCCTCATGTACTTCCTTCTTGTCCGTTTTGCTTTTCTTATCTGCTCCCCATCTGGCCACCCATCCACATGTGGGGGCACGCTTTTGCTACGCTGATTTTCACAGAACTCGGTACGACCGACGGCCATTCCAGGTAGAAGCATGGCGCTGCTGCGAAGCCACCGGGCTATCTGGCGCACAGCGTCGGGGGGGATGGTGGCGCCATCGTGGCAATCGAAAGGTAGCTCACTCCCACTCCGTTGTGAGCTCATTCTAACCACTAAGCTCCAGGTCTGTGTCAGATGCGAGGCCCCCGGAGCTACCTGCCGCACTGACAATTCCGGGACTGAGGCATGGCGCTGCTGCGAGGCCATCGGGCTAATTGGTGCACAGCGTTGGGGCGGATGGTGGTGCCATCATGGCACAATCTTCGTAAGTCTCATCTCTGTGCCTATCCGAAAAGCACAAACTGATCTGGCTTGACAAACTCGAAGTGGGAGCGATCTTTTTCTTTTGTGGTCTTTCGCAGCGCGAGGCAGTTGCAGGGTCAGAGAGGGATTGTATATAGCCCGAGAGTTGACATTGAGGCTTATTATCCAAGTGAATTTGAAAACATGCTTTTTTTTTCTCTCCAAATCTTTGTCTCTGCGACGTAGGCTCATTACATATTCGAGGAATCGTATCATCACGGGCACTTGTGTGCGGGCACAACTCGTTGCGGAAAATGCTGATGCTCGAGCGGACTTTTTTGTTCCATGGTGGGAGTAGCTGCCGATGCATGGATGTCTTGTCTTAGTTCAAAGATCCGGTTTATCGATGGCGATCTTGAAGAGAACGAAGTGAAGTTGGATCGGTGACGCGAAACCAAAGCGGGGCCGAGCAACGGTGAGTCGCAAAATCCGGTGTATTTCAGAGGACTTCGAATCGATCAAATGCTCAAATAGACAGGGAAGCCGAGTCTGAATAGACCTGTCACTGGTGCTGGGAAAGGGAAGCCGTTGCCACTGCGTCTCCGCACTGCCCTAAGACAGAACAACCACCGTGTACAAGGATATGCAACATGCTACATTGTTCGCTGCTCCCCGCATGGCTACTCGAGCGGACCAATGAGCCGCTTAGCGTATGGAGTTCCTACTGATCTCGATTGGAACTGCGAACGCGCATGCTGACCGATCAAGTCTACATGGAATTGTAATACTCTGAGGGCATTGGTTTACACCTCATAAGGGTTCATGGGGGTCTGCTTGGAGAAGTCGGCGGGAGCGCGCGGTTCACAAAGCTGATCCTCGATGTAGATGCGGGATGTCTTAGGCCCCCCCGTCGCAAGTTATTACCTCGCTAGGAACGAATGACGTGGAACAATTAGTTCAAGTTAGCCTTGAACCGGTGGAGCTCTTGTGCTGTAAGCCTCTAAGCTTTCTGCAGTGGCGACGTATTCATTGTGCTAGAGCTCCTTCCTGGACTTTCCATTGTCCCTGCTACAGTTACCTGACACCACGACATGACTGAACTGACTTAGTTCGTGACAGGCGCCTCATCAGGTATTGGCGAGAGCCTTGCGCACGCAATCTTGGCCGCAGTATGTATGCTCCCAAGGGGTAACAGTACCCTAATGCAACCGACCTCAGGGACGACAATGTGATTGCGACTGCCTGAGCGCGGGGCGCGAGCGGCCTGGAGCGTCTTGGAGCGTCTTGGTCCGCGCAAAGAAGCTGGAGCTGCTATCATGGAACTCGACGTCACCGCACCTGAAGACGTGCTGAAGAAGAAAGCAGAGGAGGCATGTGCTATCTACACGGACATGTCGATGTACTCGTCAACAACGCCGGCTAGGTTGATGCCGCTTTCTTTGCGGAATACGAGTACGTTTCCCCACCGGTATCCGCTGTTCCTTATTTTAACACCATGTCCAGCGAAGCATTCCTTACCAAGGCCCTCCGCAATAACGCACTGGGCCCACTGAACCTCACCCGTGCTTTTCTTCCGTCTATGCGCGCCCGGTCATCAGGGACCATCTTGTTCATTTCTACGTACGGAGTCAACTTCGGCTCTCCAGGAGCCTCCCCATATCTTGCGTCCAAGGGCCTATTGGAAGCCCTAGTGCCTTGTCTCGCCAGCGAGGTGCAGCCTTTCGGTATCCGCACCTGCCTCGTCCAACCGGGGCTCTTCCGCACGAAAGTGTTTACGTCTGGCAACGTCCAGTACCGAGCGCCGAACAAGTTGCCGGAATATGCGGCGATGAACAAGTTGGTCAAAGACGGCTGTAGTACTATGGACGGTGCGCAGAGTGGAGACCCCCAGAAGGCGGCGCAGACCATTTTCGAAGCTGTGAGGGGTGAGGGACGATGTGCGGGCAGAGAACTCCCTGATCGGCTTCCACTGGGCGAAGATGCAGTTCAGACGTTTAGAGACAGCTCGCTGGCTAAAGTCAAGATCGCGGATGAATGGGAGAGTATCTCGTCATCTACCGGTTACTGAGTCTCAAGAGATATGTGAAGAAAATTGGTGGACCCGGATCCATGTGTTTTTATCGGGATATTTACGATTGCGAGTCGCTGTGTTGTTATCTACGCTACCCAGAGGGAAAGGCATGATGGGACGAAAGCACATGTATTGAGAGGTAGTGCATAATATCAATGATCACGTTGTATCCCTTCAACTGCTTTTAGAGCTTGCTGGACCCAGGAGCACCCTGTGGAAGACCGAACTTTGAGATATCCTCCTTCGTCGTTCCGTCAATAGCCAATTCGGCTAGCACGCGTCCAAAGGCGGGCGCAAATTTAAAAGCGTGCGCAGCGCCTAGCCCGACAATGATGTCTTTGTTTTCCAAGGGACTAATGACAAAGCGTCGTCCGGGGGTGATAGAGTACTGGCAAGTCACAGTTCGGAGAGGCTGGCGGCCCTTGTCTGGCATAAGCTTCTGGAGGAACTCGGTCAATTCACCCAACAGACGAGGGGAATGCACAAATGTCCGCTGCTCGGGGTTCATCATGTTCCTTGCTTGGTCATGGCCCGCTTTGATTGTTGGCTCGCCGTAGCAGGGGAATCCATAATAGTTCTGCGGGCCGCCCCAGATCCAGACGGGGAAGTGAGGAGACTCGAACTCAGCTGGCTCGGTAGGCTTAAAATAAGTAATCTGCTCTTGCATCACCTCGAGCGGGATGTGAACCCCAAGAGGCTCCAGGAGCTTGTTAGTCCAGGCATCGGTGGTCAGAATCACCTTTTCCGCATGGAAAGAGCCCTTGGACGTTCGAAGCACAACTCCCTTGCCAGATGATTTCGGAAGCACACGCTCTACGCGGGTGTGTTCCTTGAGGACGGCGCCTTTTGATCGGGCGAAGTGCTGCATGATAGCAACGGTTTTGTTGGCGTGGACAATGCCGGTATCTGGATCATATACGGTATCCACGCCCTCGGGGATATCAAATTGAGGCCAGCGGGCCTTGACCTCCTTGCTGTCCAAACGCTCGTGCACAACCCCATTGACTGTGAGACTCCTGATATAATTCTCGATTGGATAGGGAGCGTCTTTTGGTAGGAAGAAGAGGCCGCCCGTGGTGGTCAGCAGTTTCTGCCCCGTGAGTCTCTCAAGTTCAGCCCAGTCCTTGTACGCCGATTTGACAAGGGCCACATATTCGGGGTCTGAATTCGACTTGCGGACAATCCGCGATGTATCATGCGAGGCACCGTGAACGTGGCCGAACTCGAACTGTTCTAGTCCCAGTACCTTGGCGCCCTTGAGGGCTGCTTGGTATGCTGCACTGCTGCCGAGCACACCTAGTCCAACAACCGCAACGTCAAAATGTTCCATTGTTTTAGTATGATGGAAGGCAGAGGGCTGTGATCAGACGTGGAACCCAAAATCCCCCAGTGAACTCCTCAATTTAAGGGCCCCGCAAAGACCGCTACATAGCTCCTTGTACGGGACCGGTCCGCTCACGTGGCCAGATAAGAACGATCGACACGAGCCGTCAACACAACTGGGACACGTGGGAGTATGGGCGTGGTGCGGGGAAATCTGAAGTGAGACCTGGACCGACAGCTTGTCTGCAGTAGGGCCTCAGATCTGACGGCAATAGACCGTGTGGGGAGAGTTTAGTTTAAGCGGACCCAGCAATTATTACTCACAGTGACTTTCGCCCTGCCTTTACTAGACTGTTGTTAAAATTAAGCCTGAGAGTACCGTAGAAAAAAAAAAATCAATTTCTGTTCGTTTGACTCCAGCTTGTAGTCGAAATTCACTCGATCGTTGCGGGACAATCCGTGCACGTGAGACACGTGAGCGGGGAATACACCAGTAATTTGGGGGATGAGTATCATTTGCTATTATACTACTGGTTAGATGCATCGATGCTGTATATGAATATTGGGTTGTTCACGGTCTTCTTGGTTGGCTATGCAGGGGACTCATCAATATTGCTGCCATGTCCGAACTGGAGGATTTCGGGATTTTTTTTTTTGGCTGTCGGCAGCACGATATGCACATCCACTCTGACCGTCTTGAAAGGTCTCTAGTGACTACTAGCTGTGAAATGAGCTGCAATTTGGTGACTTTTCAGTGCTGGTGTTCACTATATCACTACTAAATGATCATCGAGCACGCTCGCCCAGTATGGCGTCCATTGGATCTAATAGTATAATCATTCGCCAAGAGACGAAGAGGTATGGTGTTATAAACGCACGAACATGTCAAATTGGACAGTTCGTCTTGGTATACAGAAAGAGCAAATAAAGTGTCTGTTGTTCGCTATCCTGTTTCGATGTCACCGCCGCGCTCTCGCAGCTTCCGGATCTACGAGCATATGGGTGCTTGACGAGCCGGGATATCTTTACCGCTAAAGAAATCGGCACAAAGGTAACATGCGAGTTTCGCTATGAAAATTCCGTCTTATAGAGTGCCTTATGGCCCGCGGTTCTTGGCAGTTGATACAATTGGACCCAAAATTTGAGATACCTCTGTACAAGTCCCTGAGCAGATAAGCAAGCCTTATCCTTGAGAATCTTGCATAAGCCAAGCCTATGGAACCACAACGAAGAAGGCACCGACTTTGTGGTACGAGATATGAGGGTGTTCACGGACGGTCGGATCATAGAGCGAGAACTTTTCTGTGTGGAAGCAGGTCGAATTGCCCGAGGTGGCGAAGATCACGCTGATGGCGAAGTCGCTAGTGAGGTTTGCTGACAGTCCCGGAGGCAACTTGGTTCTAGGGTCAGTCGACTACCATATTCACACCGTCGATGGAAATGTGCATAGTACCGAGCAATCTTTACCTATTCACACGGAAGACGCTTCTCAATAGATTGATCGAGAAACCAGTTGGCTTTTGTATTTTTCGGTGACCTCGGTTTGGCGTTGTCAATCCAGGTAGTTCTGTGAAAAGCTTTGATTGCTGCGGGCGTGACTATTCTGGTGGAAACTGACCGGGGATCTCCAGGGTGCGAGATAGGAACAGCATATGGCACGGATGTTCACAGTCAGATGCATCTTTTGGCCAAAGAGGTCGGATAGCACCTTTTGAGGCCTTGAAGTTGAAAAAAAGTCTCAAATGATAGATATGCATTGTATGGCCGAGAGATGGATCGAGGCAGGACGTATGGCGGATCTGTTATAGATGAGTGGAGATGTATTCGCTACCATTGCAAGTCTGGACTCGCGGTGTTGCAGGCGAATCGTGATGGAGGGATGAAACCAAAGCGAGGTATTCGAATAAGTGAGCCTTCAGAGTGACTTCTATGATTCCACAACTATACTTCCGATCTGGCAGACTTTGAGATTTAATGGGTTGTGTGTACACAGAATTTTGGTGGTGCAGTGTTCCTGTCCCGATCTCCTCAATAAACCTCTCATCAGAACATATCCGTTGGACAAAACACGGAGGGTCCTCTGCTGAAGTGAAGTATGCATGAACCCTTCCAGTCCATCCAGGGATACGATAATTTCAGGCAAGGTATGCAGCTTCTGTTCGGAGGACTGTTTATGCTTATCGCTTATCGCGTACTGTACCCTGATGCGTCTTCCAATTGGTGGAACCAGGCGCTTTTCTGAACAGATTGCCTCCAACTGGAATGAGAATACGACTAGGGTCATGCCTGGGCCAGTCTATGACTTAGGCAGCCATCCTGCTGCCTGGTTTATTGAGCTTCTCCAGATGAAACAAGAAACCCCCGTTTGGTGTTAGCGTATGACTCCCAGTTTCTGCCACCGCCCCGCGTCTATAGCTTTTTTTTTTCTTCGATTCCCCACCATGTTTCTTTCTTTCTTACACCCCAGACCAGGCGGTTCTTTATATAAAAATGAAGTACGTCCTGGTATCTGGCGGCAAGTTCTATCAGTCAATTTATGACCCTTGACCCAATGGCTGACCACGGTCTACAGGTGTCATTTCCGGTGTTGGCAAGGGCATCATTGCCTCCAGCACAGGCTTGCTTCTGAAGACCACTGGCCTGACGGTCTCGAGCATCAAGGTTGACCCTTATATTAATATCGATGCCGGTACTATGTCACCAATTGAGTGAGTGAATACTCGCTGGGGACCGCAAGCGCTAGTCAGACATTGTACTGATCTATCAAATCTAGACATGGCGAGGTGTACGTGACAGACGATGGCGGCGAGATGGATCTCGATCTCGGAAACTATGAGCGCTACCTCCTGACAACGCTGACCCGAGACCACAACATTACCGTGAGCGAGCCTATCGCAGATGAAACAAATGGCTTCCTAAAGAACAACGCTGACTTTTGATCCCAGACCGGCAAGGTCTATCAACAAGTCATTGAAAAGGAGCGGGTGGGCAACTATCTTGGCAAGACTGTCCAGGTTGTTCCCCATGTGACCAACGCCATTCAAGAATGGATCGAGCGTGTCGCCAAGATCCCAGTGGACGAGTCCGGCAAAGAGCCAGATGTGTGTATCATTGAACTTGGTGGCACCGTGGGAGACATTGAGAGTGCGCCTTTTGTTCATGCCATCAGCCAGCTGCAGCGACGCGCTGGTCGGGGCAATTTCATTCAGATCCATGTGTCCTATGTGCCCTTGATCCACGGAGAGCAAAAGACCAAACCGACGCAAAGGGCGATCAGCGATGTGCGAAGCGCCGGGCTGAACCCTGATCTGATCGCATGCCGCTGCGAAAAGCCACTTGAGAGCGGTACGATTCAAAAGATCGCGAACATGTGCTCTATGGACCCAAAACAGGTCATTGCTGTACATGATGTTACCACCACATACCACGTGCCACTGCTTCTTGAAAAACAGAAGTTGGCTCAAACCATTGGGGACCTTCTCGAACTGTCATCGATCCAATTGCTGCCCAAGCTGATTGATGAGGGCAAGAGGAGTTGGAAGGACTGGGTGCAGTTGGCCCAAGGTCAAGACTATCGCCGTGAGACAGTCTCGATTGCTTTGGTTGGGAAATACACCGTCTTGAAGGATGCTTATATCAGTGTGTGCAAGGCGCTTGAGCACGCCGCCATGTTCTGTCGCAAAAAGATCGAGATAGTCTGGGTGGACTCATCTCACCTCGAGGAAGACACTTTCACATCATCGCCTGCCGAGTACCATAAAGCATGGCACGCTGTCTGCACGGCCGGTGGTATACTCGTGCCTGGTGCTTTCGGTACACGAGGAACAGCTGGAATGCTGAAGGCGATTACATGGGCTCGTACCAAAAAAGTACCCTACCTCGGTGTTTGTCTTGGCATGCAGCTGGCAGTCATTGAATACGCTCGCAACGTGCTTGGTATCAAGGATGCCGGAAGTGAAGAGCTTCACCCAGAGTCCCAGAACCAAGCAATCATCTTCATGCCTGATGTAAGTTCGCTGTCGACCATTATCATTAAGATCGGCATTAATATTGTAATCTAGGTCGATAAAGCGAAACTCGGTGGTACAATGCGCCTTGGAAAGCATCTTACGATTTTCCAAAACGGCACCGAGTGGTCTCGCTTGCGCGCGCTGTACGGACTGGACATCCCCCAAATCGCCGAAAGACATCGCCACCGCTACGAGGTCAATCCTGAGATGGTTGCTGACCTCGAACAAGCTGGCCTGTCTTTCGTCGGAAAGGATGAAAAAGGTGAGCGCATGGAGGTCGTTGAAATACGCGATCATCCATGGTTCGTGGGTGTCCAATTCCACCCCGAATACCTCAGCCGTGTCTTGGACCCGAGCAGATCCTACCTCGGCTTCTTCGCTGCAGCCGCGGGTTGCCTGGACGAAGTAACCAAGGCTCTCATCAATGGCGAGCGAAGTATTCGCATGGAGCACTAGGTGTCGTCAACGTTGATGGGTGACAGAACACCCGAAAGTAATCCAAAAATAGGTCATTATCTGTTGGGCGCATCGCATCCATCGCATCCAAATTTGCATAAAAGCTCACATATTTTGAACACTGTCTGGCCTTAAATCTATACAATAAATATGCGTAGCATCATTAGCATAGCCCCTGCCAATCAAAGAAATCCTCCCATGAAAAATAACCTGCACCAGATACTGTCGTCCGCAGCTCATCGAACAGATCATGGATCTCTTGGCCCGGGAGACTTGGGAAAGAGAGACCGTCTAGCCAAGACACTTGATTAGGAGTGTCGAGCGAGGCCATCGCATCTTCAGGCTGAATGTTTGCAGTCGTCGGAAACTCTCGAGAAGCCGAGCGTGGCGTGGGTCGAGTTGGCGAGGCAAAGGCCCCAGGGACAAGGGTGCTTTGCTTGGACTTGTGCAAAATATCTAGCAGAAGCTCAATGGCTCGTGTGATACCACCACTAGATTGCCCTCCTGGCTGGTACTTGTTGATCAGTGTCCGACACGTATTCATGATTTCAGACCTCTGGGCTTCCACTCCTTCTTGATCCGGTCGAGCAATTATATCAATGGACAGTAGAACCAAGGCAATGAAGGAATGCTGGTCAACGCTATGTGAGCGTCCAAATAGACACATGTCTTCCTCAGCCATAGAATTCCTCAACTCCAGAATCATTTTGGCACAATGTATTCCCATTTGGTGAGATATCTCAAAGGTCTTATCTGTGATACCAAGAGTCATGAAGGGCCGATGCAGACGACCGAGTCGAGAATAAAGGCCGTATAGCAAGATAGCTCGTTGCCGTGAGATATACGGGCGGTCTCGTGAAATCACTTCTTGAGATGAGAAATCTTCGTTATGCGACTGAAAGAATGGGGGTAGAGAGCTCAGCAGTGATGTGTACTTTTCAGTCACACGTAGGATGAGAGGATAAGAACTTGATATGGACGATCCTATATTTTGAAGGAGGTCAACGCTCTCGCGGGAAAGCTTGGCGACCTCTATTCGCTGCAGGAAGAATGACATTGATGTCGGTTGGTGGAGCTCTCGCGACACCGGCGGCACGTCGGTTGATAGGTTTTTGTCGTCGATGTTGCCAGGGAGTTCGGTAGCCATGTGCTGAGGGTTTATTGTGTAAGTGCCCTCTTGCGGCCCTGCAACATTTCCATGCAGCCTAGCAACTAACATTAGTGGGGGTTCCTTCGAAGCCCTGGATAACTTACCAATCGGTGCCGACAAGATACCACCATAGGCGCCTCTTGATCTCTGCCTCGATAAAGTCCAAGTCTTTCTCCTGAGCCTCCATATCCGTTTTGTGTAATTTCATTTGGATCGCTCTTGTATGGATAATACTTTTCAGAACATGGTACCTTTTTGACTGTCCTTCAAAGTCCAAGAGGAGCAGAAGGACGATAAAGCTAGACTGAAGAGACATTACAGAAGACGAATACATGGTATCTGGCCGCATGACCTCATGCAGTGCTCTCTCCACCCAAGCAGCGCTCCTTGCGTGTTCACGGCTGAGCTGATCAGTTACCCGGTGGTCATGTACGCGGCAGACGTAGTATGAGCCGGAGGCGAAGATGCAGACGAAAAAGATCAGGGTCTCGCGTGCGGGCACGGAGCTCGGCAGGCCTGCATACGTTGCTTCAAGGAGATCACGGGTGGATGGAACATGGATGAAGCGATCCATGCAGTCGACCGCTTCGACATAGTGCTCAAATAATTGCCGCGCAACATCTATAGGAGGGAGTATTCTGATAAGATCTTTCTCGGCCCGCAGGGCGATTTTTGTGGGCGCAGAGGTGCTTTCTCTTGTGACGGAAGGATCGAATGATTGATCGTGAGGCGAGCTGTTATCAATCCGAGGAGATGCAGCCATATATTCAAGGTGCTCCCAGGTTTTGGAAACATGTTCCCGCGATAGGTCTAACGGCGGATAAGAGTCGATGGACGGCAGCGAACTCAGATCCGCTGGCGATTGGTATGAGGAATTCCGATGGAGGAGCTGTTCCATCCGCTTAAGCCGTTCATTCATCTCGTACATACCCCTGGAGAGTCAACAGAATAGCTTGGAATAGAATGAATGATACATACCGTTCCAGTGATCGTACAGTGCTTGGATGTACCTGGGCATATCCGCCATATTCGCCTTCTAGAAGAACACTATCTTCTACAGCTGGATAAGGCTGGTTAGGATCGACGCAGGCGCAGCGAGGCTAGTTATTTTAGAATTCTTGCGTGTATGCTTACCAGAATCGTATTCGCATGTCACCCCTCGGGCTGTACAGCTTGAGCAGGGGCGCTTCTTATCGCATCGGATTTTCTTCGTTCGACAGAATTTACAGGACGCAGGCTGCTGCCAGGGGCTACGCTTTGCTTCCGAGGCCAAAGCCGCTCCTGGTCGCTTGAGGGAATTCATGAAGGTCTGAGACTGCCTCACATGGCCTCTAGCGACAGAAGAAACGTGATGGACTCGGGCGACACCCAACAGTTTGTACGTGATGATTGGCTGCTCGGACCTCCGCGGACCCCCGGCCCCATCGTTAGATTCGGCTCTGGTTCACTCGCTTTTCGCCATTTTAGAAGCTGCAAAACCCTTGAAAACATGGAGCTGTATGATTTCGAATTCATCAAAATACGCACATGCATGGCATAAACACCGCTCTAATACGATTCTCTGCATTCACGCTGAAGTGCCGTTCTTCCGCTGCTCCAGCCCTGCGCGCACCTTCGGCAATACATAACGACCATAGTCTACTGAGTCATTGAAGTTATCATAGCCCCGAATAGAGATAAGCTCGGCGCCGAGGTCGACGTAGTCAAGAAGAGATTCCGCAATGGTCTCCCACGATCCGACCAAGGCCGTTGAGGCACCGCCCGCGTTAGTGGCTGTCACGGTGGGATACCACAGGGCACGATCTTGAACATCTCCGCGAGAGGCAATATCGAGGAGTCGCTGAGATCCCACATTCTGAGGAGTAGTTCCATCCGGGATCCGCTTGTTGAAGCCCGATTCACGGTTGGCATTTAATGCGTCCAGGGTCCTATAGGCCTTCGCCCAGGCCAGCTCTTCGGTTTCCGCACCTATAGGATGTGGATTAGCTCGCATGATCATTGAACTCAATGAGGGATATATAAATTACCAATAGGTCGGAAAGTCACCCAGATACGAGGGTACTCTTCCCTAGGGCGGCCAACCTTGGCCGCCTCTGCATAGATACGGTCGATCTGCTCCTTTGTCTCCTTCAGCGGTTCACCCCACAGACCAAAGATATCAGCCAGAGATCCACCGATGCGATAAGCGGCATCCGAGGAACCTCCTACTGAGACAGGGATAGTGCCGTTTACGGGGCGGACATTGTTGCTGAAGTTCTTGAAAGTGTAGTGCTTTCCTTCCCAGTCGAACGGGTCCGTAGAGCTCCACGCCCGCTTCAGAATTTTGATGTATTCTTCCAGACGCTCGTATCGTTCCTCTTTGCCCAAGAAGTCACCCTCTCTCGCCTGCTCCGCGTCATTGCCACCGGCGATGAAATGGACTACTGCGCGTCCCCGGCTGAGCTGATCTAAGGTTGCAAGGGCCTTTGCTGCAACGGTGGGGTATAGGGTATTTGGCCGGAGGGCAATGATGATCTTGATGTTTTTGGTGACGGCCGCAATAGTTGCACCGAGTGTGAATGGGTCGAACGAGGATGAGTTGTAGGGAATTAGGGTGTAGTTGAATCCGTAGTCATCTAGAGAGCGGGAGTAGCGAATAAGGAAATCAGGGTCGACGGGGGCTTTGTGAATGGGGTGGAGCTCGTTTGAGGCATTGGCGAACGTGACGCTGATGAACTCGGTGGGCATTGTGGGGATATACAGGATGAACGGTATTTCGATCAGCAGATGGAACTTAGGGATATTGCTATATTGAAGATGCGACTAAAAGCTCTTATAGTTCAATCATGCGCGATCACGCAAGCCATCGAACAATTGCGTCTTACAGGTACCACACGCGTTTCATCGGATAACCTCCATAGCCAGCCATGTCATTGAGTCTGGGGTGTCAACTCGTGGTATTTTGGGGATTGATTGAGGGGCTTGAATGGCATTAGCGCATTCGGAATGGCGCAATGGTTTCGCCGGATGGCTCATCGATCATCTTATCATTACCAATCTTTCTTTTTGTTGGACGATGACCATACCAGAAACGGAGGGTTTTTTTAATTCCACCGGAGGAAAATGATCAAAATACCACCGAGATAGCAGGGTTAAATGGAGTGAATAGATGATTGAAATCCAACCGGTGTGTTTTCTCTTCCTCAAGGTGGCGGGTTTTGGTCGTAGTGATAGTTAGTATAAGCGCTGGTTATATAACTGCAGACGAGGGGATTCTGGACTAGTGGCACCACACCGGTGCGCAGAGCCTTTCGTAGACTCTAGTGTGATTAGATTCAGTTCGACTCTGCAAGTTGATTCTCCATCTAAATTAGAGGTAGTGGTGGACCCCAGCGGCTGTGAGTTGATCATTCAAGCACTTCAGGCCGACGGGGCGAAGTCCGGGCTCTCAGCCAGCCAAGTATCTAATGTTATTGGCTGGACGCCACGGCGCTCCACCTCCCGGGCTTAACTCCGGCTCATCTCGTGTGTCCGACAAGATGGGCACGTCAGATTTGACCTGCTCGAGGGTTTGAGCAAGGAGCTTGAACTATATCCTGTAGTTTCATGATTTCCGCCCCTTGGATCTTCAGAAAGCGCCAATGGAAGACCACCTTGACCCGGAAAGACCTCCGTCGCCAGTACGACAGCTGCGCAATTCATTTGGTGATCCGAAGCCCCCCAGAAATCAGCCGCCGGATAACAAGCTGTGTAGCTTGTCGAAAGCAAAAGATCAAATGTGATATGCCAGGCGCTGAGCCACCTTGCGCTCGATGCAAGAAACGCGGATTGTCGTGCACCGTGAACCGGAGCCTGCAGATGCTGTTGGAGGGCGACACCGCGTAGGTTTGCTATATAGGGAATGATCGAGCTAGACCACTGATAGAATATTTAGATGGAAGTACTCCATGGAAAAGAAGGTCCAGATGCTTCAAGACACGATTGGTCAGCTCGTCGGTCATTCAGCCGGAGACCCCACAAGGCAATTGCATGCGACGGATGGTCCTAGCACTTTGTCTGGATCTGTTGATCGAACCAAAATCGCTTTTCCTCAATGCCCAAGTACATCGAGCCCTATAAATGCAGGAAATCGTTGGGACGTTGTCATGGACCCAAGCCTGGGCCCTGGTGCTGCCCCTGGATCATACATCACTCAAATATCACCAGCAACTACAACCAGTAATGCTTCGGACTTGATTGCCAGAGGGATCATTACTCTTGAGAACGCGAAGCTATACTTCTCGAAATACCAACAGAGGCTTGATCACTTCGTATACCGCATACTTGGAGATCATAGCGAGGTGACCTTTGATAGCACTCGGAGGGCATCTCCACTCTTGATCGCCGCCGTCTGTACTGTAGGCGCGCTCCATTTTGCCTCAACACATGCGGACTTCGATCTGTGTCGAGCAGAGTTTGTTTCTCTCAGCGAGAAGCAGAGCTTTGCGCCATGTTCCTCCATCGAAACCGTGCGGGCGCTCTGCATCGGCGCTTTCTGGCTGACAGACTTATCCTGGCCTTTGGTTGCAACCGCCTTACGCGTGGCTACAGATATGCAACTTCACAGAAGCTTCTTCAAAGCCATGAGTGGGGACAAGGCGCACTACATTCGGACGAGGCTGTACTATCATGTGTACGCCTGCGATCATCATGCATCAATTGCATTCGGCAGACCTCCTATGACTCGGGAATGTGAAGTGATCCGCCAGGCTAGGAGCTTTATTAGCTGTGCACACGCGACCGAGGATGATTCCCGTCTCGTGAGCCAGGTTACTCGGTGGAGCCTTCTCACAAATGTTTTCGACACCTTCGGCGTCGATATTGACCGGCCTATCTCGGATATTGAGATTGCCCAGCTCAGGAGGTTTGGGTCATCACTAGATAATCTTCGTGCAGAATGGTCTGACCGTTTTATCGCCAATGCCCATGTCGGGAATTACCCTCGCAAGGGTGTTATGCTTCAGTACCATTTTGCGAAGCTCTATCTTTGCTCGCATGCCTTCCGCGGAGTGCCCGGCGAGGCTCACCCCATGTCGACGGGAATGCGGATAGAACTCGACGAAATAGCGAATAGCGCAGTCTTTTCGGCTATAGCCATTCTTCGCTCTGTGGTTGATGACGCAGAGATTCAATCTTTTCTGGATGGACTCCCAGCCTACTTTGATATTATGATTACCTTTGCCGTTGTATTTCTTCTCAAAGTCTCAGCCAGAACTTCGCATTATGTTCAGCTCGACCTACTCAAGATAAAGAGTCTTTTAGACAATGTCGCAAGTACACTCAACACGGTCGCCTCTATTTTGCACCCGCGGCATCTCCTTACGAGCATCTCAAAAGGGGTCCAAACACTTGTGAGCCGGTTTGATCCAGCAGAAATGCAGTCTTCTATCGCCATCTCTGAGCTAGCAAGTCCTCTACCTGAAACAGAGTCCTTGAATACCGACCTGGGATTCGATCCCTACTTTCTGGGCGCGTACGATTTCCAAAATAATCAAACGATGGACCTGAGTTTCGACTTCCTTGAAAACCTGGACTCTTGATACCTGAAATGACTGCAACCTTCTCAGGTAGGCTTTGACCAGTTGAGAACCAAATCAAAAGCATCGTAATTCCGCCAGTCCACTTTCTCGCTAGCATCCTGCACATTAGAGACAAGCCGTGAGAGAAGCAACGGAACCTGCTGCTCCGACAACCCACCATGGGATCTCAATGGATGGTCCCCCACGGTTGACAGATCATGTTCATCTCTTCGACTACCGATGACCGTATCTTCGCGCGAAATGACAACAAAGTCTCCCTCACGGTCAAGTGGCAGATCTAATTCTTTCGCAGCCGTCCGACCATCCAACACCAATTCGAATTCCGGGACCAATTTGCAAAAGTCAATCATATCCGCCAGGCTCTCACCCTTGTTCACATGGACCCGAACAAAAGAGCCAAGTGCCCCATGATGCTTGACGAAGGGATCTGTGATTGGGCAGATGACCCTTGCACACCTGGTTCCCCACTTCTCGATCAACAGATCCTCCAAAAATACAATATTTGGTTTGCCATCCGCTCCAGACTTCGCACTCATCCCGTGGTCGCCGGTGACAGCAACCACAGCTCCAAGGTCCACCAATCTACCCAACCGCTGATCTAAATCCGTAAGAAATTCATTCGACTCCGGTGCCCCTGGAGGATACTTGTGCTGCACATAATCTGACAGAGTCAGATAGAAAAGATCTGCTCGATTCTCTTCCAGCAGCTTGATCCCGGCATCCAGAACGAACAGGGACAAGTCACCCGAGTACTGGCTGGGAGCCTTCCTTCCCACCCACTGCTCCACATTCTCGATCCCGTTCTCTGCGAGCGTGCAACTGGCGGCTTTCTCGGAGGAGAAACATATAGCACCATTTTCAGGCACAAGGCCATGGGCCAGAATGCGCCGCAGCTTATCCTTAGCTGTGATCGCGGCGACTCGCACGCCACATTTCGACATCTGTTCCAGGATCGTCGACCCACGCAGCAACGAGTCATCTTGGATCATGATCTCCTTCCCTGTTTCGCGGTCGAGGTAGAAGTTTCCGGCAATGCCGTGGACGGAAGGAGGTTGGCCTGTTATGATGGAGACATTGTTAGGGTTGGTGAAGGAGGGCATGCAGCTCTTTGCCGTGACGTGGAATCCCGCGTCCACGAATCGCGCGAGGGTTGGCAGGATACCGTCTGCAATGCCCCGCGATAGATACTCGGGGTCGAATCCATCGACGCAGACGACTACCGTGGGCTGTCGTGGAAGATTGTAGCTTCGACCGTGTAGGGTAAATGAATCGGCAGTCATCTTGACGATTTGTTCAGGGACAGAATTCTCTTCGTTTCTTCCATAGATGGGTGAAAAGGAAACCAAATCGAATGGTATTCTACCTCATCTTCAAGGAATTCGATGTCTTATATATTGCGATCGTGCCTTCTCTAGTAAATCATACGAACGGACTTCGCCCCGGCGCTTGGGCAGAGCGCAAGCCAAGTTTGGGTGGGGTGGACGGACTCCGTTCCGGTCGCCGCAACTTGACCTTCAATGACTGAACTGGCAAAGCCAAAGTACGAATAGAAAGTGGTAAGTTCAAGATGAACTCCTCAGAGTTCATTATTTGAAGACTTAACGCCCCGGAGTTCTAGAGCGTGGCCCATAATGTAATGGCCATATGCAAGTCGGTCCGGGTCCTTAAGGAGTCAGAGGAGTCAATGTAGCAGCGTTTTGACAGTGTGATTTTTGAATAGCATTGAGAGTGCACAATAATGAGCTGACAGCCCTCGCTCCAGTATGCATTGATATGATCGAGTGGTTGCAAAGAGGAAAGTGGATTATCTCTAACAGGGGATACTTCCTACTAGCAACGTAAAGACGCGGAAAGTTCCACGAGGAAGGTATCATTATTCTATTATGCGCATTTATGCATTGATCCAGTGGTTTCTTTTCGCAATATTGAGAGGAGTTTCCCCATCATCGTCTTTAGCCTCAACACATAGTCCCCGCGCTCGGAGAAGATCGAACCAAGGATGTGCACGATGTGAGTCAAGTCGAGCCACATGATGCAGAAGACTCCGGTTGGCTGCATCAGTCTCCGTCAAGGGTAGCCCGCTCTCTCAAATGCATCGAGTATATTACGACCAAGGGCATAGAACCGCTCATAGTCCTGCTCTTCCTCCTCGCACCAACGCCCATTCTTGGTGGAGAAAAGCATCTCTAACGCCGTCACGCCGTCGGCATTTCGAGCTCTCGGGTCCGCTCGCTGCAAGAATAACGGCAGCAAACCCCTCTGTTCATGACCCGCACGATCCCCCGCACCGAGCTTGCTCGCAGCAAGGTAATGCAAACCGGTATTCCCGCGACTGTCACGGACCGATAGATCTGCGCCGGTGGCCACAAGATCGTACACGGTCTTCTCAAGGTGGAAAAGAGATCGAGGCACATAGTCCTGATTCCGGACCGCGTGGCCCGGTGACCCGCTGTCTGGGTCGCAGAAGTCGCGCATTCGTCGGATCGCATACAGAATGGGGTATACTCCAAACGAGTCCGGCTGATTGATGAGGCTAGGGCATGTCCGGAGTAAGTACTTCAGCGAAGTATTAATAAGAGGAGGTATGTCATAGTTGTCGCGGTCGATAAAGGCGAACAGATGGTGCAGCGCGTTCTGGCCAAACTTGTCCACCGCAAGCAAATCCGCGCCGCGGGAGACGAAAAATTCAAGCAGACTTGGGCCGGTGCATACAGCAGCAAACCGCCCCGTTTCTTGCCATGGGTTTCCCGGCCGCGAGTAAGGGTTCGGCAAGGCGTCGGGGGCCTGCAGACTCATGAAACAACCGTCGACTGCGCCATCTAGCCCGAGAGTGCTACGGCACGCCGAAAGAAAAAGCGTGCGGCCTTGCGGGTCTCGCCGTTCGATATCTAGGTCGTCTCCGAGAAATTCTAGGATGGGCTGGATAAATGAACCAGCTTCGATCAAAGAGTGCAGAACACTGCAGCTTCCGTACTCGTGGTTAAGGACAGGCTCGTAATTGACATGGACTCCCAAATCCCGGGAAACGTAGCCGGGAGAGTCAGATCTTCTTCTTTCCCCGGCCAGGCCGAGTCGATCGTACTCTTGCCTGAGGGTCTCGTTGATGATGCCTTGGCGAGCGAGACTGATGGCCGTCAGATCCAGTTCATCATCGTCATACCCCGGCTCTTCACTGGCCCCTGGGACCGCAGGATAGAGCTGATAGCGGAAAATAGGTTGGCGAAATAACCCCCATGGGTCGGCACCATGCCGCAGTAAAGCTGTCATCAGGCGTGCTGTTTTGGCCAAGTCAATCGTCTCTCGGGGATCGACTCCATATCGCCATCGGTCGGCTAGCCTCAACGCGGGCATTTCTGTAAAATCAACAGTGAACTGTGGCGGACCTGTCGCTTGTGCACGAACATCTTCATCTACCAGCCCGGAGAGGACGGAGTCCGGTGCTTCGAAATGTGCATTTGGATCGACTCCCGAGGCCAATAGAGAGTTCACGCGTCCCTCCCAGCCCTCCGCCGTGGCACGCCGCAGGTCCAGAGCTCGGACATTTTCGATGTGAATTCTCATCGCAATATTACCCCGGAGTGTTCCGTGAGCACAATAGGAATTGGACCGATTGGCGGTCTAAAGAGCGGTCAATCCCGAGGCTTCTTTGAACAAAATGAATTGTCGAATGGCGACAAATGCCGCCCCGTACGCGCTCTGGTATCCGCTGCCGTGAAGATTGAAGATTTCAGGCGGGAGGTTACATTGCGAAGTGGGGACGGGGTTCCCCGGCTTTTCATGACGAGTCCGGGCCCATACTGCGATGAAAGTTTGGTAGCGACTAGAACTATTATTGATTAGACACGACTAGCGTGAGAAGCGAAGTCAAGCTAGAGCGAGTCCGTCTCGATAAACGACACAGATTGTGGGTCGAATTTGTGAAAAGGCCGGAGGTCACCGGCGTCATCTGACGCTAAGGACTTGAAGGTCATGGTTCGGATCATGCAAGAACAATGTGCCACTTTATTCATAGCGCAGGGCTACCCTAGATATATTACAAAGTAATTTCTATTTGGAACCCGCAATGCCCCCGGGTTATCGTCCAGACAAACACTCGCCAAACGGTGCATTCATTGTCAGGAAACATTGACCGGCAACATTGTGCCCGGCCAATAAGTAAACGCAGTGTATATTTCGCTGAATAGAGTGGGTATTATAAGGATTAGTTATTATCAGCCATACCTTAAAAAAGAACTTGGCCTTGATCATCGTGTCCTTCATTCGCTCTCGTGCTGATTCTTTCTCTTACCATGACATCCCTTAAAGTATCGTTACTTCAAGCGTGCCTTTATGAAGTCGACCACATCCTGGTTGTACTTTGCCATGTAGGTGTGGTGGGGGCGTCGCCGTCCAAGGGAAGGATACCGCAGCTACCGATGCACATTAGTGATGGAATCGAATCGGAAACGCTGCGTTCATACCATCGAGAGTCTCCAATGTCACAGTAATTCTGGAGAGCATCGGCGAATGGCTCGCATTCAGCAGGGTCAAGACGAGGGAATTGCTATCAACGGGTCAGACCATCGGGCCTCCAGTATCATAGTGATGAGGTTACTTACGCCCAGTCCCAGGGTACAGTTGCCCTTGTCCCATTTTTGCAAGGGAAAGAATGTTTCGTCCCCGTAAGCAATAGCAGCAATCACTACACAATATTAGCCTCTTGTGCGCTCCGAGTTCGCCTGTCCTATCGCCTTACCAAATTTGTTGTAGGATGCGTCCAATGGCGCCACAGGTGAGAGGAGCAATGACGATGTTCCACAAACCGCGTCTGTCATGACGACTGCGCCCTGTACGTAGATCTGTAAGAAGTTGTTCCGCGGCCTGTAGGGGTAGCGCGAAAGGGTAACCTACCAATGAATATCCGACGACAGCCATCTTGCTCTGCGGGCAAGATTTGTGGTATTCCGTAACATAGCTCTGCATTAGGTGGGCGCCGTTGTAAACCGAGTCAAACTTGTTCTCCTCGTTGTAGTTGAAGGGGAGCCCGAGGCTGGTTGACCCCGGGATCTGGGCAAGGATCAAGTCCTGCAGGGTGACCATAACATCCAGGGTGGAGTTCGGGTTCCCAGGGCCTTGGCCACGGGCAATGATCGCATGAACGCCTGTTGCGCAGTCGTCGGCTGCAACACTTTGGGCGAAGGATGGCTGGACCGCGCCGATGGCGATCAGTGCCACGGAAGCGGCACCGAAGATCTTGTCGAACATCTTGCACACAATAACACAATGTTGTTATAGTTCCAGCGACGCGGGTGATGCAGAAAATTCCCACAGTTCTTGGCTCTCCTGCTGTTTAATAATGCCAAAAAATAGACCACCGACTAAGGGGAAATTGTAGCTTCTGTGCGCAAATCTTGTTTTTGTAGATAGGCCTCCGATTTGGACTAAACGCGGGATCGAGCCCATGTGGGTGGCCCATTCGCGACCCGCCCATCATCTTCCACGTTCACCATTGGGTAGATCGAGGAGCTTCGGCACTGTGCTGCGAGGTTGAACGTGAATCCGCGAATCGATGGTCTTGTTAGAACTGAATAGTGGGGGCTCGATCCGCGTTAAGTTCACCGAAGATTGGGATCGACAGGGGGGCGCCGTCAAAGCGAATTTAATCGCACATAGGCACCATTTGTGGCCATAATAGTTATGTTGTACGCTCGGCTTGGGCGAATCACAGCGCTTGAGATCAATTACCTAGCTTTCAATATTGCTGTCGTAAATATCCTAACTTGGAAATATCGCTGTTCAGCTGGAACGGACTACCGGCCTTGTAAATGCTTGGACCGATATCAACTTCGGATCCAGTCCATGAGGAATTTCGTCCCCTCTAGCTATATTGAAGAAGCTGTCTCTCGGTAGGACTGCCTTGGCCATCCGAGGAAGTGTTTCAGTCCAGCAGAGCATAGCACCGAAGGGCGCTGATATTTTCTTGAGGCAGCGTGAGTCAACTTGCAGTTTCAGCTGCCTTGGCCTGCTAAAGATTACTTGGCAATCTTCGAGGCACACAGATGTCGCCCTCCTCGATCCAAGTTGCTTCCAGTATGACTGGTCTGTCTGGCAGTGGGGAGTCTTCTGGGATGATTGCTACTAGTACATAGCACGGTCAGCAAAATCTGCGATCCTTGAAGAGGTCTATATGAATCTTGCACTAAATCTCTATAAGGATTTATCTGCGAGCGTAATAGTATCGCGATGTGAACACGCGACAGGAGCTTTTGCATTGTGCCTTTCCTGCTCGTAGTGCCATGGGGCTACTAGTACTCCTCCATAGAAAATGCCAGTGGTGGTATGTATAAAGAGGCTTGCCTATTCATAGCTCCTCAAGAAGCATTCAAATTGAGCGGCGAAACGCAGGAAAATGATGTCAACTGTGGGATCTCAAAAGTTGCAATCATCGCTTTGGCAATAGTCAGCTTGGTCTTTGAAGGCTCGACACGGAATCCTTACCAACGATAGCTCCATACATCCCGAGGCCACAAAGAGACAATGATGCCAAGGCATAAACGACATGCCAAACATTCACTGCTACCTGAAATGTACCACCAGAAAAGAAGCCATGAATCCATCTCTGATAAGCTTTCTTTACCCGTGGGACCTCGCCTGTGATCGGGTTAAAGCCTTCGCCTTGGTCCTCCCGAATCGCATTCTTTTGAATGTCGTAGCCTAGCGCAAATATAGGCGGAATCGTGTAGGTCAAGTTTAGCAGCATCGATGCCGAGATCACACTGACGAACCCAAAATAGTCCGGAATAGCAGCAGCTACGTTATGATCAGGTTAGCTGTTGAAGATCGATAGGTTTCCCGGCGGGTCCGACGTACCTATGACGAACCCAATCGCCCAAAAAATCGGTACTAGCGATGCATATATGATCTTCCCCCGGCGCGTCTCCATTGGTGGAGCATGAAAAAGATCAAGCAAGATATTGTTGTAAAAGACCTTGACCCCGATATTGCCGTAAAGACCTCCGGCGATAAGCGCGGTAAGAAGCGTGGTCATGTTGCCGGCCGTCTGCCAGCCGTAGATGCTGACCCCCTGGTAGCTGGGGTTGTAGCTGTATTGTCCCTGCAGGTAATACACCACACACCCATATGTGAGATATAGAACGTAAATGAAGAATTGGGCGCCCCACATCGCCTTGAGAAAGTCTCGTGGGCGTTTCATTTCCGCCATGAACTCGATATACAGCTGCAGACCAGCGTATGCGAGCACCCCAGACATCATGCCGTTGATTGCCCCGACTAGCCCACTGGGCGGGATATTGCCGTAATGGATAATTGCGGGGTAGTGACCGCCCATAGGTGTGATGGTGTTCGGGTCCACGCTCCCACCGGCAGATCCAAGTTTGGAGATCGCATAGTTCGGTGGCGAGTTGGCCATGACGCCCATGGTCATTATCATGACAAAAACATTCAGCCACACTGCGCAGTTCGCGATCCATCCGTATGCGCGAAGGGTTCGAATCTGGGACACGAAGAATCCGACGATCGCGAAAAGGGCGGGGCAGACAATGTAACAAAGTCGGAACTTAGAGACCTGGGAGATGTTTTGTCCGTATTGCAAAGTGACTTGGCCGACAAGCAGAAGCAGTGCGATAGCTTGAAGAGCATTCGTGACATGTCGGCCCCACCGACCAAGCGTTCTAAAGCCCAGGTCTCCGTAATTTCGGACGGGATATTCGTAGCTGTCGAGGCCAAGGTACACACGCCAAAGCAAGTATCCGGAATACCCGGCCATAAACCCAAAGACGGTGTAGAAAGCAACGCCCTGCATCCTGATTAGACTGCGGTTTGGATGATATGCGACGAGGTAGCTTACCGGGCCCCAGCCCAGAGTGCCCATAGTAAAGCCGGTACCATATGGACCCAAAACATCCGTGGTAATTAGATAGAAACCTATGCGTCTGCGTTTAGTGCGAATCATATAAGTCGCCTCGGAGATGACTGAACATACAGGCACCCCAAGAAGCCGTCCTCAATGCCCGGCTCGCATTAGTCCACTCCTCATCTGAAATCTCCACTCTCCTGTCTCGATTTATGAAATCCTGCTCCTCCAAGGTAGTTGAGGGCTCTGGGGGGACTTCACGGTCTTTCTTCCCAAACCATTGCCTGATATTCAACACCGGTGGCTCTAGACTAAGTTCTTCCTCTCGAGTTCGTTTCGCATAATAATTGTACTCTTCGAACGTGATGGTCGGATCGTAAGGCTCGCGAGCTTGCGGCTTGATCAGCGTCGACGAAACTCCATGAGACGTATCAATAACTGGCGCTTCAAGTTTCTGATCCATGTCGGCCACAGGCAACGGAAACTCCTATCTGGGCTCATTAGGAGTAAGCAGAGAACGTGGGCAACTTATACGGAGACGCAGCATCCGCGCTGTCCGTGCCTATCGGGTTCCCCATAAGTCAAGCATTGGCCAAGAGCGCCAGCTGCGGGGATGCAGCCAGCATTTCTCTGGCTTGATTTGTCCGGGATGTCTTCATTTCCGACCGAGCGATAAGCTTCGAACTGCTCTTGGTTGGCCAAGAGTTCTCTGCTGACTGTATGATCGTTGACAAAACTAGATCGTTCTTTGCTAATAATCCCCACCTATGGTCTTATCATCCCATGCCCCTACTACCTCTATTGGGATCTTACCTTCTGAAGGCCCTTTCGTCTGCTGGAAGTGCTTATGGGGCCATGAATAGGGGCTCCGTCGGAGTTAAACGGTGCGCGGAGGCCCGAGCGAGTGTCACAATCTCTCGGAGAGACTAACGTTACATGGAAACTACGGGCCGGCCATAAGCAGCTTCTGAAAGGGAATAAATAATACGCACTGGGATGTACTGTCAAAATAAGACGAAAGGCATTCGTGGGCAAGTGACCAGCGGGACCGGGATATCAGCTTCTCTATGGTACAAAGCGACGTGGGCCCAGAAATCCCCCCCGGGCAGGACTAATGTTATTGTAGCAGGTAGGCCAGCAGAATACGCTTGGGTCATTTCTTCGTTGCCGGGCATATATTACTGTATATTAATATCTCTGTCGAATCGATGTGATTGCTTGCGTAGAGAAGAAGATCACATGATTGCAGGTTGACACCGAAACAGGACTTCAGGGGCCAGTGTGATAAGGCCTCCGCTTTCTAGTCCCGGGGATTATTAGACTGCGAGATCGATAAATAGTATGCACGAAGCTTGAACGGTCGCAAGCGAGGATTAATATATATTGCGTAGTTTGCGGGGGTCTATGCCCAATGTGGCAGCTCCAACGTCGAGGTACTCCGTGGGTGGTAATCGATTGTGAATGCCTTTGCTAGGAAATGCGACCCCGATCCGTCATACAGTTGCACAGATGATTAGGAGAGCAGAATGATATAGCATTCTGGTCTTAAGGTCATGTTTTGATCTGGACTACGTTCCAAAAACGCGTAGGTTAGTTTCCGGACGACATCGTATGATGCATATTCAATCTAGAAGAATACCCGATGAGAGCTTATTCGCCAGGCTTAGCGACCAAAGGAGCCGGTGGCAACGTAGACGCAGCCAAGTAGCGAGTCTCAATGGGATAGTGGATTCAACAGTGAAGTGGATCGTTGCGACAATGAAACCTGCACTGTGTCGCGAAAGCAAAACATCCCAAAGTCTACGCATGCGAAGTTGCTCCGACCTTGGCATAATTTGGGAGACGTTGGCGCACTGGGCTTGATCGGGCCATCCAGAATTACCAAAAGTGACCACCGTTGTCGGCCATGCACACGAAACCCATTTCGAGGCTGATGTTGAGGCTGGGCAACCGCCTAGGCCACAATAAATGCATAGTCATTAGAGAGCCAGCTGGACACTGGGAGGAGTTCACAGACCACGAATCATTCTATGGTCCATGACAGAAACGATATTGTGGTTTGCTTGGAAATAACAGAGGCCTGTCCTCGAGAGAACGAAACAATTACGATCCGACTGCGGACCATGTCGAAGTCGATATTTGTATACCAATGAGAAGCGGACATTCAACTCTTGATACTTTCCGCTGGCCATGTTTGTGCCACGCTCGTTCTTTTGGGTCCCTTTCAAGGTCGCACCCTTCCAATAACCGCAAAGGACATCTTGAACTTTGGTCTCCACGTGTTCTCGCCACCGATAAAGCACCTCCTGTGCCGTCATGGCCAACATCATGTTTCATATACACAGCCTTTACATGTGGGTCCCAAATGGGTTGGGCCAGGATTTCGCAAAGCCTCGTGAGCCTGTCCTGAGCCACATTAGAGCCATAACAGGAGCCGCCAAGGAGCCACCATGGGGCTCAGTCTAATCAGACATTCTGTGCCGCCGTCTTCAGGCAGGATATATTGTCCTTATAACACCCAATGTCTTGGCTGTGGCTAAGTACCAGTAGTGGCTGTGGCTAGCGTGCAGCGATGGAGCGACAGGCCCGGGGGTGCCTGTTGGAGGTACTTATGCCCTTCAATATTCCCCATCTCCTCTTGGTCATGAGGACTTGGGAGATAGGCAACGGTATTTCAGATCCCAGCATGGCCAGTGGAATTCCAAGGAAAAAAGGGCCGGCCAAGGCATTCCTCAAGGCGCGTTCCGTACCGGCTACCCGCCCCGCCTGCAAGGTTGCTTGCCAGTCACTTTTGTGGGCGGCTAATTCCCTAATATTAGCAACTTCGCGCAGATACCCCTGTTAAATGTGATTCAGCTGAGGGGCTGCTGGCTTGGTCCAATAGGACGTGATCTTGCAAAATGTGACGAGAACCCTTTAAGCCAGCTTGGGCCCCCTCCATATCGTATCATGTTAATCTCATCTATTGGCCTCGGCAAATGGTGTACAATATCACCCTCCCCGGCTGGGTCGATGAGCCCGATGGACGGGGGACCTGGGATATCCTGTCCACCTGCGTTCTGACTATATTCTTGTGTTGCTGGACATCAGTCTCTCCTAATGTACCGGCAAGCTCCGATGGAGCGCTCAAGCAATTCAAGAGAAAATTTGACCTCGCGTGTATGACGATTCTGGGGTCGGAATTTATATTGATGCTGGCGCTGGGGCAGTGGTCGTCGGCGCGCCGCTCTGTCAAGGTGCGTGGAGTAATTCAGTCATGCTGATAATTTTCTAATGGCCTCGGTAGAAATTCCATGAGGAAGGTCATACGCAGTGGACCCTCAAACATGCATTTTTTGCCGACATGGGTGGATTTTTGGTCGAGCCGCCAGACGTTGATGAATACCCCTCTTTTCCAATTGATGCCGAACAGCTTTTCCACTTAATTAAAGAGGATATTGTGGAGTATCCAGCAATTACGGAGGACGAGATTGAAGATAAAAGCAAATCTGACGGCTTATCTCGGTCGGTCTCCTCGCAGAATGGCATGGATTCTACTAACATTCACAGGCTGATCACGGTAGCCCAAGCGCTCTGGTTCGTTGTCAATTGCATCTTTAGATGGGCGCAAGGCATATTTGTTACCACTCTGGAACTCACCACGCTTGCATTCATCCTCATCTCTCTGGTCACATCTCTCTGCTGGTATCACAAGCCAATGGATGTCGGAAGCGCAGTCACGATCAAACTAAGAGTCCCGGTGGACGAAATCAGATCGCGGAAAGGAGCCCCCGAGAAATGGTACCAAACGCCGTTAGATTTCTTGTCGCGCGACGAATGCTTTCTGAGTGTGTTGTGGCATTACTACACGCAAATACTACATAATATGCGGATTCCGCTGTTCACACGACCTACAAGGAGGCCATACGACTACATTCCAAGCCATGACTTCGTCAATATTGACGTGCTATCGGAGGTCGTGTGCGCCCCGACAATAATCCTTTTTTCGTGTTTGTTTATCGTCGCATGGAATTCCGAATTTCCATCGCCCACCGAGCATCTTCTTTGGCGTATCGCTAGTATATCTATGCTTGTCTTCGGCCTTATCGGCGGCTTATTCTCCGTTTACCTCCACCATGTCGTCTTCGGGAAAGAAAGGAAGCAAGCACGGGAGAAAGGCCTTCCCACAGCCAGCATCCAGCAGGAAATACCGAAGCAGGGATTCCTGCATCAAATTGCCTCACGGTTAAGGAATATCGACCCGGAGGGAGATCCACAGCTGGATGTCCCTATTCGCGTTTTGATACCTCTATCTTCCCTCTGTGCCATGTATGTCGTCGCTCGCTTATACATACTGGTTGAGGATTTTATAGGTCTGAGGCACCTGCCCAAGTCAGCTTTTCAGACGGTGGAGTGGGCTGATTATGTGCCTTATTTGTAGCGGTTGGGACGAGCGTTGCGAATGGTTTTGTTTTTAGCGGGTTTTATGATATCACTAGAGCAACCTAGACAGGTCACAACTATACAGGAGGATTTCATTAGACATGATAATCATCAGAGACATTATGCGAAACATGGACGACCCCTCAATTAGCATAATCCTTCTTGATTATATCCGCCGCTTTCTCCGCCACCGCGTATAGTGTACTTGTCAAATGCCCACATAGCTGGAAGGGCAAAATAGAGGCGTCAACCACGCGAACATTCCTTGCTCCGTATACCTGGAGTTTGGAATTCACGACCCCCCCCTTCTCGCGAGGCAGCATACTGGCTGTGCCGACCGGGTGGAAATTCGAGCGGTCTGAGGCGTGAGCTTACATCAATTCCATTGAAGAGGGAGTCACTTACATTGACGTTCAATCCAGCCTTGCCACGTGGCATCAGTAGCATTACTTGGGATCGTCTTCAAGCCTGGTGCAAACTCGAGTCCCACTATAGTGTTCAACGGTGTTGTCCCGAATGCCTTCCGAATGAACTTAGCCACAGCAACCTGAGCGCTGAGATCCGAATCGAACATGAAATATCGCGGGTCGATCTCCGCGGGGACCGAGGCATCGGCAGACGTAATATGGATGCTGCCTCTCGAAAACGGCAGCAATGTCCAATATTCACTGCTGAACGAATTTGAGATGGGCAGCATAACGATTTCGGCAAAAGGGACCTGGGATTTGTAGATCAGCTCATGCTGGAACTTCAGTGCCTCGAGGACATTGTCCGCTTTCACAGCTCCATGGGATAGTTCCGAGACGTTCTTTGCATATTCTTCAAGCCTGTCGCTGACCATGCTCGCAATTGTGGAAACTTCCTTGCCGAAGATCTGCTTTGCGGAAGGAAGAACAGAGAATGTGGGCGAGCCAAACCACACGTCCGCCCCCGCATAGGCAAGGGCGTTGTTGGTTTGATCCTGTAAGTTCTCTCCGACGGACGAAAGATTCACCATTACTGGAATGTTGAGACTTTTGAGGAGATCGGGGTTCCCAACACCCGACAACTCCAGCAGTCCGGGGGACCTCAACGAGCCGGCTGAGAGTATGACCTCCTTTGCCGCGTAGATGGTGTAAACACGGTCAATGCCAGTGACTTCGACGCCGATTGCAACAGTCTCGTTAGGTTTATTCGACCAGATGATCCTGTTCACGCGAGTATTCGTGATCAATTTCAGGTTTGGGCGATCTTCATAGGGCCAGTAATAGGATCTAGCGGAATCTTGACGGACATTTGCGTCGCTGTCAACCGTATTAGGATGGGATGTCAGTCCGACCATGCTTCCCCCATTCACGTCGCGATTGTAAGATATGTTGAGTTTGTGGAAGGTCTTGTCGAGGACCGGCAGCACGTCGCTGGGTGTCAATCTCTTGGGCCAGCCAACCTTCACCGGTCCTTCGTCGCCGTGATATTTGATGTAGTAGTCCGCACCGCGAGACACCTGGTCGGAATTAGGTACCTGGAATCTTTCCGACTTCTTGTAGTAAGGGAGCAGGGACTCCCAGTTCCAGCCTTGGTTTCCAAATTGTTCCAAGGCATCGATTTGTTCGCTTTGCGCCCGAGTATATGACATCCCTGTAAAACAGGGTCCATTGTTTTTAGCACGCTCTTTGTAAAGATTGAGGTTTATCCGAACAGGACATACCATTAATTGTGCTGGTACCACCAACTGCCTTTCCAGCCCGTACGATCTGCGCAGACCCTCCAGCGTATGTCTGATTCTTCGTCTGATATGCCCAGTCGATTTCTGTTCCAAAGGCCAGACCATATCCCGAAACGGTCGACACGTTGAAATTGTTGAGGACGGAATCGCCAGCCTCGATAATTGCCACTTTGAAGTCTTTCATCTCTGATATCCTGTTCGCAACAGCAAGCCCGGCGGTTCCTGCGCCCACGACGATAAAGTCATATTGTGAGGACCCGCCATCATCTTTCTTAGCTCCAGCTGCACTAAACAGAAGCGTTGCAGCTGCCAAAGTAACGACCCGCATATTCACTCAAAGTGAGTGGGGGTGGGAAGTCTGGTGATAGAGGTAAGGATCAACACCATCGGAGGGGAGAAAACGAGGCTCCTGGTAACATTTATCCAAATTCCATTTCGAGGAGATTTGCGCAATGCGGTTACTCAGGTACCGGTATGGTCGGTGATGGAATGCTGGGTTGGCTTATTTATCCGAGGTTCAGCACGGCTAGGCGTGTTCAGAACGCAGCTGGTGCTTGTTCTAAAAATTGGACAATTAGCTAGAGGTGCTACGTGAACTGTATAACGAAGCCAACATATGTGTTTCTTTTCATCGTATGGCAGGGTTCGCTGTACGCATGAGTGAAGTCATTGGTCGTTGGTGGTTGTCATTCCTGGTCCCGCATGCCAAGCCAACTATAGTAAACATTGGATTCCCGGCTTTGGACGTCATAAGGCAAATCCTCCATCTCGGTCGCGATGGGCCCGCTGAGGCTGACTTGGGGCAAAAAGGTTATGAACAATGGGGCTCTTCCCATGGTTCGAGCAATACTAGGAGAAGCTCCACCGTATCCTAAATTTGATGGCACATATTCCCCGTGGATTCCCATTGGTCAGTTGACCACGGAGATGATATCCTCCAACGAGCCTCTGGCTCTGGTGTGTGGGTCGGCAGAGTCTGACATCTTGGAGCCCAAAGAACGGGGCTCAGGAGCTCTTGTAACCACTACGAGTACTGTATCAGGAAGCAAGAGAAAGCACAAGGCCTATTGAAGTTGTAGCACGGTTTTGGAATGAATCCGAGCAGTGGCCGGGCTGGTTTGGGCCACGCTGGAGCACGTGGCACCGAGCAAGGGTGAAAACATGAAGCCCTTTGCAGTAATTTGGCAGACTCATCGCACAAGGGTCAATCCGAAGGGAAATTAGTAGATAAGCGCTTAAATCTCACCCCAACACATGTCCAGCCACTAGTCGTCCTTAGAGCCTCTTGGCCAAGAGTTCTCTACCTTTACTAGGTTTAGTGCGCCCCTCAGCCAGCCCGTTCCGACTCCTCATCCGCCGCCACCCACTCGTTCCGTGCCTGAAACACGCCCAGTCGGCAATAGGGTCTTTGGGTAATACACACGGTATACCTTGATGTACGAATACGAACAGACATCCTGATAGCATGGGCGATATGCAAACCACGGCGTGCTTCAATTTGCAGAATTCATCCGAGTTTTGACGGATCAAGTTTGATATTTTGCTGGTAATCTCAGCTTCGAACTCAGCGGAACATCGACGCATCAATACAGCATCGACATGCGCTTTCTTGGAGTCAACCTGAGCTTGCATCTGTTTATTACCTGGTCATAGGACGTTGTCCTCAATTGTGTATGATTCAAAGATTTTCTTCAAGAAAGCCGGGGCATACAGAGAAAAGTCCTGCTCACAACGATGGGTAAAGACCGAAAACCAACGATACGCGCTCTGTTAGGCCGGTACCATACAGCCGCAGTCCCCTATTTTTACAGCAGAGGCTGTTGAAGCCAATCATTCCAAGATTCGCCTAGTCTGACAATGGCTGTTGGGAAATAACCCCCCTCAGCCGCATTTTTAAGATGGGACAATCCCATTCAGCGCTCAGCCAAACGCATCAGTGCTCTCCACCCCAACATCTGGACGAGAGGCGTTCCTACCCTCGTCATGTCTACCGGAGGATATGAGAACTGCACGAGAGGGACGTTTTACGGCTTCAGCGACAATGCAAATAATGAATTTTGGCCCGGCGAGACGGTCAATCTGCAATGGGGCGCAGTCGATAATGGCGACCGGAGGCTAAACCTCTCACTTGGCCGGGTGGGAGGTCAAGTATTGGATGAAATCTTCTGTTCGTCCCGTCCGCATAGATCAGACCACACTCATAAGCTAACGCAGACTTCCAGCGCGAGCAACCTTCACGACCGATAGCAATCTCTACCAACTGGTCTCCAATACCACCGCAAACTGCACCCTCGAACAATACACATGGGCCATCCCTTCAGACTTCAACACGACCAACCCAGAATATCAAATCGGGTTATTCGACGGCGAAGCGAACCTGGGCGACAATGGTATCCCCTTGAACGGCTTCATCTCCTGGACACCCGCCTTCTACGTTCGGCCCAAGGCCGAAGCAACATCTGCGTTGAAGACAGCGAGCGCCACAGGTCTAGTGACCGGCACTGGTACCGCGCTCCATCAACCCCCCCCATGGAAACAAGCGCATCAACCCATTCAAACACGCATGGCCACAGTCAACATCATTCTTCTCACTCATCGAGCCTTGGGATCGGCTTGGGTGTCGGATTAGGGTGTGCAGCTCTGATCGCTCTTGCCGCTTTCGTTTTCTTCTGGCGTCGACGCAAAGATAAGCAAGCTGCTGATTTGGCCGGCGATGAGAAGGGAGGAGTGGACGGATCGGATACCGCTGAGCTCTCGGGAACCAGTAAGTCTATAGCAGAGCTTCAAGGGGCGCACCGGCTCTTGGGTCTTCAACGGGCTTCGCGGAGGTAAAGCCGACTGTTTCCCATGAGATACCTGGTGCTCCACCAGAACAAAAGGGCGCAGTTGTAAGGACAGGATATGACCAAGTGCACGAGATGGAATGATAGAAATTGTTTTATATGGACATGTCGCTTGTTCTTCGGGCAGGTTTTTGATGTATATACCGGGACTTGACGTCCCCTCTAATTTTTTTTCATTATCTGAGCGATACAAGATCTCATAAGCCCTATGGTGATACTCAATTCCACTGCATCGACATCATAGAACAGGGAATCTATCCTTATATTGGCGACCCGCATATCTTCGGTAGCGAGACGCAAAGATGCGACGTAACGCTTTGCCATACAGGAGAAACACGATAAACCCCATGATGATAGCGACTGCAATGACGAGAATGGTGACGAAGGTGTTCAAAAGACCCACTTTTGCAACCCATGGCGTAAGGGCGAAGATGAAAGCGGTGCTAAACATGTTGCGAATAAATGTGACAGCGACTAGGGCCTCCCCGACAATCTGCTTCCAATCAGAATGAAACCCAAGTTAACAGGAATGGAGGAGATCTTACATCTTTGTATGAATCTGTCACATAGGCAATAGTCAGAGTATTGATAGGAGTTACCCCAATGTTATACAATACTAGCCCCACCGCAATGATAGGCCAGGGACGCTGGTTATTAAGGCCAATAGCAAAGAGCAATGCACCTGCCACAATAAATGGCACGAATGGAGCAATGCACCAGAGGCGCATCTCAGGCTCGAAGATCCCCTTGCGGCGTTTAGAAAGAGCGAGGACGGTCCAGTCACTCAGTGGGCCCACAATCACAGCGCCTATAGTGACGCCAATGACTCTCGGGATACTCATCAATCCGACCTGGTATGAGGAAAAATTGTAAGGAGGGCCAGGCAAGTAACTCGACATAGTGGTCGACATGACGTCTCCCAACGCCACGAGTATGCCATAAACGAGCGCCGTCCACGCAACAGCGGGGATTGTGGTTAGTATGAGCATGGGTTGATAAATATGCCGATAGAAGGAATCATTCGAAGAAGGAGTCAGAGTAAAAAGGGCAAGCCGTTCTCGGTAGCTCTTCATGGGAATGCCTGGGTTGATTGTCGTGCTGCAGATGCCGCGGGACGAACATTCATTGGGCAATTCAAGGTCGATGTCTGAGTCTACTGTCTTGTTATTTTCCGTATAAAGCTCTTTCGCAGGCTCCTCTGGTGTCCCTTTAGCATCCTGCTCCGCCGGATGAGAGCTCGCCCTTCTCCCTTCATGTGTGAGGCCCGTCTGAATACCGTTTGTGATTACAGTAGGTACCATAGTAGGCGCGCAGTACTTTGTTTCCTCGTATCCAAATCCGACAACGAAGATAGTCACCCCAAACACAATGGCATTCAACCACCATATCCATCTCCAGCCTAGGCTGCTGGCAACGAACCCGGCGATTAAAATGCCCAGGTAGCCCGACAGAAGCCACGTCCAGACATAGAGCGCATTCATTCTTCCCCGCTGGTGCACGAAAAAGAGATCCGCAATGGTCATTTGGACGATCGCCTCAGCCAAGCTGCCGAAGAAGCATTGCAAGATATTGACTCCCATGAGATCACCCACGGTTCGCATTTTAGCCGACCAGATCGATACGCCAAATTGCACCACCGTGCTGAATAAATACAGTGGTCGGCGACCGTATCTAAGCGCAAAGGGGATGAGGATCACTGAGCCAACTCCTAGTGCAGCACAACCGGCGGCATAGCTATCATTCAAGATCTCACTCGTAAAGCCCAGCTCTGTCTCCATCGGGCCCCACGTGGGCGTGTTGGCGTTGATGAACTCGCCGACCATAGCGACGTAAAAGCAGACCAGTCCCATGTTCCAATATTTTCGAGAAGGTGCCCAATTTAAAGGGTCATTAGGGTCTTCCGATGGCCGTGGATGAAGTACGATGTCTTTCCCGTTTGAAGCGTTCGACTCGACCAGATGCACAGTGCCAGGGGGCCACATAGTGGTGGTATTGGTATTTTCTTCTGGCATTGTCGAAGACATTATGACACAGAAATCACTGATATACTCACTCCTAGGCAAAGTGGAAAGGCAAGCTTGCAGGAGATCTACTATCACGCAGATTACGGCTGTAGTATATATGTCTCGCCCTCTTTCCCACCTTATCTCTATTATCTCCGACTTCAGAGAAATGCACTAGGCACATCAATGATCCTACCAGATACCACCTATGCCTTCTTTCATTGGCGGAATGTTCCGTGCGCTAGACTGGAAGTTGGATTTAGTGTTGATGATAAGAACAAGAATATGCGGGGTTGCAACTATCGCAACTGCTCTAGCGGCGGAATGTCCCGATTTATCTCGTCCAACCAAAGCAGTCTGAAACTGGCTCATCAGGGGATAATCAGGGGATAATCAGGGGCTAATCAGGGGATTATGGTCTTTTATTCAATCTGCCTGGGCGACTTCAAGTAGCTAAACAGCGAGATTCAGGTCACGCTTGGCATAGACCTTGAACTGGCATCCTGTAGTTAGTAAGCTGAGGTAACTAGTTAGTTAACTAACTAACTGACTAACTAGTGGCTAGGTTCCAAGGTTGGAAGATTAGATGAAGCCTTGCATGAATTGACTTAGCGTATCTAGAGCTGAATGACTAGTTCTTATTTGAAGGTGAAGCTTTTCCGATCGCTCACAAGGGACGGGCAAAGAACTTGATCTTCGTCATGAGTTGGAAGAAACCCTATCCGGGATCTTCGGCTTTTCAAAGTTGACTCCTCTCCTTTAAGTTTATCCCTTATAGATAGAACTCCGTAAAACCGGTATTCTTCCAAGGTACTGATAATTTTCAAACCCTCTAAAAGAATCATACATATATACATATACATATATATTATTCGATTTTCAGATCAGTCAACTCTCTCCTTCAATTGAGCGAGGCGGTTTTATGAGCTGGGAACTGATACAGCTGCCTTGTGACTTTGATATTAATTACTAAACACATACATGTACCCATAGACCTACCACGCGAAGACATTTGCTATCTTTCCAATGCATTACATCCAAGAAATGAACGGCGATCGTTGATGATGCTTCCTAGTACCTCCAATGCCAGTAATTACACCACCTTGAGTAACGTCAGATCAAGATTTCGGCGTTCCGGTCTACAAGATTTGTCCTTTCGTTCAAGACCAGTAACGTCATCCTGCGTGAACTGGAGCAGCCCTGCCCCCTTCTCTACCGGGGCAAGGCTCGGAGGACATGGTCTCCCGTTCAGATATCCGCGAAACATATTCGCGAAACAACGGCCTTCCACAGGTCGAAGACCGACTACGAATGAGCCATGCAAGCGAATCACTTTCCTAGCCGGCAGCAATCCAGTGTTAAGCCATAGAATTTCATATCCAGCACCATAGACGGCCCCTGATCATATCCAAAGGGGCACGATGTCTCACCTCGGGCCGAAGTCACGATCCCACCCGTAAAAAGCTTTCGGCAAATGAAGATATAATGCTGAACAGAAGCCGAGTGGGGGAGACGAGGCACCGTGCGAGGGGCTTTGACCTGATAATACGATCAGAACAAGACACGTGAGCCAGCATACAGTCCATAATAAAAGGTTTTCAGCCTATAGCATCCCATGCAATGTCTCGAGTCCCCTGTCGTCTGACGTAGGTGGAGATGAATGGAATATCGGTGTGGCACAAGATGCCGGAAACAAAGAAAGAAATGGTCAAGTGACTAGCGCGATGCAAATGCCGGCCAAACCGAGCACTTCGGGTCGAAACCCGCGGCCAATTGGCTTTCCCCTGCATCGCGAAGTGGGGGGATGCAGGCCGACTGAGCTCGCGTAGTCGGGCAACTCCGTCGCAGGAGAAAGCAGGCGCTCTCAGCCAGTAAGGGATCGGGGAAAAACTGAGGGGTATTCCCACGGGCCTACCTTCCACTTAGGTCGTGATGGGCTGGGAGATTTCTGGGGTGAAATCTAGCGCCAAAACATGGAATGTAGGAGGATTGATTGGTGAGAAGCTCCGACTGGGTCCTCTAAAGCAGGGCAGTCTCCACAAGATCCACGTTTTCTGGCTCGGTAAACCTCCGAACCTCCCCAATCCGGGGGGGCCTGGGGCCTCCGGGGCGGCCGGGGGTGACCCCGCGGGGCCTCTCCAGGTCCTCTGTTGCTCATTTATTAAGTGGATGCACTTGTTTTTCTCTTTTTACTCTTCTCTCTTCTCTCAGCAAGACGAGGTGCTGTATACCGTTGTTAGTGAATTCCGAAGTTCGCAATATCAAACCGGACGATCAAAAAGCTTGTCTTACCCGCCAAGCATCATGGGACTCGCCAAGCTGCGCGGCAAAAAGCTTACCCGTGTCATTGGAGTCATCGGCGCGATCGGGTTCATCTTGCAGGGCTACGATCAAGCAGTCGCCAATGGTCTCCTCACACTCCCAGCTTTCATTCGAGTGTTCCCAGAAATCGATACTCTGAATACGAAGGGAGCCCAGAAGTCCCACAACTCAACGATCCAAGGGACTACGGTCGCAATCTATGAGGTAAGTTCAAACCATTCGCAGTCATGTAAGGGGGTAAAACCATATGTCTAACAAATAACCCTCTTCAGGTCGGTTGTGCGATCGGTGCGCTTTCATGCGGTGTCCTCGGTGATAAACTTGGTCGGCGCCGGACGATTTTCCTAGCAGGATGTATCGCCATTGTTGGCGTCATCATCCAGGCTACACCCTTCTCGCTGGGCCAGCTTATTGCCGGGCGGGTCATCACGGGTCTAGGAGTCGGTGGTTTCACAGCGACCGTTCCCATGTATGTCTCGGAATCATCCAGCGCTGAATCCCGTGGACGCATGGTACTGCTGCAGGGCTGGTTTGCCATTAGTGGTGTAGCGTTGGCAACGTGGCTCGAGTTTGGAATGTACTATGCGGGCCACAGTGAGGCCAGCTGGAGATTTCCCATCGCGTTCCAGGCACTCTTTGCCATCGTGGTTGTCTCGTTCATCTTTTTTCTCCCGGAGTCGCCCCGTTGGCTGGCACGGGTTGGCCGGGAAGAGGAGGCCGCGAGCACTTTGGCGAGACTGGAGGATGTCTCGGTCGACTCGGAGCATGTTGCCCAGGAGCTTGAGATTATCCACGAGGCCCTCGCAGGTCCGACCGATGGCGATGCGGCGCAACTGTCGACCAATCCATTCGCTCGCATCAATATCCACCGGACCTTGCTCGCCATTGGAGTCAACATTCTTGCGCAGATGACCGGTGTCAACATCATTACCTTCTACAGTGATTCGATCTTCGAATCCGAGCTCGGTTACTCGGGCACCATCGCGCGCATCATCAGCGGATGCCTGCAGATCTGGCAAGTGTGTGCAGCTGGTCTAGCCATTCTTCTCATCGATCGCTTCGGTCGCCGTCCTTTGCTTATCGGCGCCGCAACGGGCATGACAATTGCCCAGGCTTGTCTTGCGGGGCTGTCCAGCGATCTGAGCAATCATGGGGCAGCTAGCGCGTCGCTGCTGTTTTATTTCATTGCTCTTTTCTGTTTCCCGATCGGTCTCTTTCTGATCCCATTCATGTACGCCGCTGAGATCGCCCCGCTCCGCATCCGTGCCAAGGTGACTGCCATGGCGGCTGCCGCGAACTGGATTTTCAATTTTGTCATTGCAGAGGCCTCGCCGACCGGCTTTGCCACTATCTCTTGGAGATACTATATCATCTATGCGTGCATCAGTGCCTTTGCGCTGTGTGTGTTCTACTTCCTCTGCCCTGAGACTAAGGGGCGGACGCTGGAAGAGATTGAGGAGATCTTTGTGACTTCCAAATCCATCTTCCACACTGTCAAAGTCGCCCGCGATATGCCTTACCAAGCTGAGCTGCTCAACTATGCGGAAGACGCAGAGAAAGGAGGGATTGACAGCAAGCAAATCGAGGACGTCGGGGCCAAGGGGAACGCGGCCTAAAAGAACGTTATCATGAACGAATATGTATACGAGTATGATATAAACAGTAATGATTATGTTTCTATTGCCCTGGTCGGAATTCAAGTAAGATAGAGCTCCTGGTCCGTCACTTTCGTCGGCATTCGGGCTGCTTGTTGGAATCCGAGAATGTCACGCCTCACGCCTGTCCCGATCAGTCCACCAGTGGATCCTTGCGTCCACGCTGATTAGCCAGCACGGCTAAGGTCCTAGCAGTAAAGCCTCCGAGCCCCAAAACAGTTTGGGGGCCGAAAAGCATCATGCCATCTATAATTATCGCGATGTTCGTCATTTAAGCTTTAAGACTTCCCTCGTGAAGATTGCGCTTGCAACACCGTATAGAAATATCATTACAAGCTCCCAGTATGGGAGAATCTGTAACACCACCTCGGAAAATACTGCTAGTAGCCACAACTGGAGGCTTTACACATGCCGGTACGTGCTTCCATACCACATTCTGATCCTGAACTATCTATCGGGCTTCGATTGACAGCGCTATAGCCCCCATCCTCGAAATCGGGCGGGTCTTAGCAGAGCGTGGCCACACAATTGAGTTCGCCACGCTGAATGGACAAGAGGACTGGGTCAAGGCCGAGGAGTATAGCTTCGTGACGCATGTCCACCTCCTTGGCCCCGGTCCGACACATGAGCAGCTCGAGGGCCATTACCGCCGAATGCAAGGATGGGACATCTCCAAGGGCGTTGTTCCTGTGCTGCGCTCTAAATCCATGTTTGACTCATTCTGGCCGCAGACGTATTTCGGCCTGAAGAGGATCGTAGACACGCCAGAGACCAGGCCGAGTGCAATCATCGCGGATTTCTTCGTCGAGGCAGCTAACGATATTCACTATGAGTATAATCTGCCCATTGCTGTTGTGTCACCTACCTGGCCTTTGCTGCAGTTGCCCTGTCCTTATATTCCAGGGCATCCATTACTGCGATTACCCGGAACCATGACCTCTGAAGACGCCTCCTTACTCCTGCGCATCAAGAACGAGCTCGTCATTGTGCCGGATTTGCTGGAGATCAAAAAGATTTTGAACGCTTATCAGAAAATGCGAGACGCACATGGCGTACACTATCCTCCTCATCGGCCCAAGAAGCCCGACTACCTTATTTTCGTCAATTCGTTCAATGGACTGGAGATCCCACGAGATCTGCCGCCGACTTGCGCCCCGGTCGGCCCTCTTCTGAGTCCGACCTGGGCTCCGCTGGATCCTGCATGCCAGGCGTTCTTTGAAAGCCACAAATCCGTTCTTTACATCGCACTCGGCACGCATATTATTCTACCACAGGCCCACGCCGTCTCGATTATCAAGGGCGTCTCCCGCTTAATAGAAGAAGGCCTCCTAGATGGCGTGATCTGGGCCATGGCACAGACAAATCGCGCAGACCTTGACCGTGAAGCGATATTCGAGTTCAATAAAAAGGACAACAAGAAAACCGTCTCCCTCGGTGAACTGCTCGACGGCAAAGATGGGAGTTGGCACTTTTCCTTCTTCGCTCCCCAGCGCGCCATCCTCGACCACCCTTCCACAAAACTCTACTTCACCCACGGCGGTGGCTCCAGTGCCAACGAGGCCCTCTTCCACGGGAAACCCGTGCTTTCCATGGGAATCTTCTCCGACCAAATCGAAAACACAACCCGGCTTGTGGCAGGCGGCGTGGGAGAGTCCCTCTCCAAATTAGATTTCACGGCAGAGGAACTGTATGCGAAAGGTAAAAAGATCCTGTCGGCGGGCGACGACGGCCCTTACCACCGCAACACACTGCGACTCCAGCGGATCGCGCACGTAGCGGCTCGGCGGAAGTATTATGCCGCAGACCTTGTGGAGGAGCTTATTTATGATCATGAGCTACGGATTGGCACGGATGGCAAAGTGCTACGACCTATGCACCTGCAGACGGCTGATTCGAGGATGCCGGCCTGGAAGGCGATGAACCTGGATATGTATGCGGTTGGCCTAGTCGGAGTCTCGGCCTTTTTGGGCGCCGTCCTCGCGTCGGGGCTCGGTTTATGGAGACACAGAGCTCTCTTAGCGAATCAGGGCGCCGCCTTATTGGCTTGCGCGGGCAAATATTTGCGGAGTTTAAGTGTTGCGCGCGGGCGCTGATTTGTATCCACCTTGTCTTTGTGGGGCTATAAATGTCCGAATTAGTTGCATGTACGTGGCTTGGGCGAATGGGGAATTCTCCTTTCACTAGCGCGGATTTCAGTCTTGCAGTAGTTTTCCGGTTCGTGTGATGACGCACTTCGACAATCTCTAGTTTTTTCCTTAGATCGCCCGAAAAGGAATCGAGTTCTGGAGCTTTGAACTCTTGTGTCGAAATGCTTAGTGTCGGAAAGCACACCCCTTGCATGAGATCACTCGTTGGAGGTGCATATTGGCCAATTTCTTGTTTACGGGAAGAATTGCGCAGAAGGTCTATTAGTTAGTTACCGTACTGCCAAGTTTGTAAGCGCGTTTATGCAGTCGGAGCTTCAGGTGGATCGTTCTCTCGGTCGTTCGCGACGCCCGCGCCGCGGCGGAGCCAAATGCAATATCCGCGACTGATTCGGTGCAGCGTTGCATGGTATTTGGACTCAAGAGGCCATATAACGAGTACATAAAGTGATGTCACTGTATTTACTAGTACATTTCATGACTTCTGTCTAGTGTTAGCTGCAAGTTGTATGGACCATGTTGCCATTGGTAAGTGCTTTTGTGAGGTTGGGCGTACAGCCCTCCTCTGTACTACGTGGTATCCACAACCAGCTCTCTATTGAATGTGTCACTGGGGCTCTCAAAAAAGAATTGACCGGGAATTGGACAGTAAAGCGACTCAACCATGCCCTTTCGGTGCTGACCAGCCTAATCGCTCATTTAGATATCCGAACGAATATCGGATGATAGCCTCAGCTCCAGAATTCACTGGGTTGGATAACCTACGTTGGGCTTGGCCTGAAGACTTGACGTCCCACTTTCAAGAGCCCTAACCAGGACCAGAATTATATAAAACATTACGGAAGCGGAGTTTAGAGCCCCACCAAATACGTACAGAATACATCTACATCGGTAGGTCATCGGTCGGAAGTCGGAAGTTCGGTCGCTATAGTCGGAGCGTCGGAGCATCACCAGGTATTGTGTGCTTTCTCAGTCCATATATGAACTTCCAACCGCCCAGAGGTATTGCCAACAGAGCATAGTCTCCAGCTCCGAACCATGTCAAGTGCTGTCAGTGATGCTTCTGGTGCTGTTGGGCTCAAGGGGCCCATTTTTGCAGGCATTCACAATCTTCAACTCATTGCCGGCGCCATTTTGGCAATTTTCGTTTTGGTAAGCTCAGGGGAAATCCCACAAGCTCTTCCGCTGCTCATATACTCGTATAGCGCCTTATAGTGTTCAGATTCACGAGCCCACTTGCCAAATTGCCAGGACCTGAAATCTCCAAATGGACAAGGCTTGTCTTCCTGTATCACTATTTTGCCGGGGATGGCACTCGATATGTGCACAGCCTTCATGAGGAATATGGTAGATCTCACTCACCCGGGAATAGCGAGTTGGGACTGACAAGTGTTGACTTCCAGGTCCGATTGTTCGCGTGGGCCCCGAGCGAGTCGATATTTGCGATGCCTACGCTGTCAAGGACATACACAACATCCACAGCACATTCCGCAAATCCAAGTACTATTCATATCTCGTGGGCGGTCGGGTTGAAACCATGTTCTCAACAAGTGATCCGAAATTCCACGGCCAACGTCGACGCTTGCTAGGCAGTGCGCTATCTGATTCTGCGCTCGTCAAGCTGGAGACCCAGATCACCAGCCGTGTTTCGCTAGCTATCCGGAGGATTGCGGAGGAAATGCAAGCTCGCAAAACCGCAGATATTCTGAAATGGTGGTTGTTCATGGCGACAGATATTATTGGCGAGCTGAGCTTCGGAGAATCATTCCAGATGCTTGAAACAGGAGAGGTACGATCCACTACCTCTGCTTCGTGGAAATCAGGCGCAGAACTAACGTGCCACCGCCAGAAAAACGATTACATCGCAGCCCTTGAGAGCATTGCGAGCTCTGAACCTTTCCGCACAAATTTCCCTCACGCCCTTCCATGGATTGCAAGGCTGTTCCCACTCCCAAAGTTCAAACGAGCATTGAAACTCGTCCAAAGCCTCATTTTGTACTCGACCCAATCGCTTCGTCGCTACACGAAAATGCTCGAGGACAGCCCCAATCCCAAGCAGACTCTCTTCACCAAGATCTTCGAAAAGGGGGATCTCAGCTTCGAGGAGATCCGCCAGGAAGCCCAGGCCTACATTGTCGCCGGTAGCGATACCACAAGCAACACCCTGACTTACCTTGTCTACACCGTCTCCAGGCACCCTGAAATCCAGGCCAGACTCGTGGCTGAGGTTGCTGCTCTGCCTGAAGGTTACTCCGACAATGATTTGCGGGAGTTGCCCTATCTGAACCATGTTATCCTCGAAACACTGCGTCTGCACACTGCTGTGCCAGGAGGTCTTCCTCGAGATGTTCCGCCCGGGGGTTACAATTTTAACGGATTCTTCATTCCCCCGGCGATGATGGTCACTACGCAGGCATACAGCCTTCACCGCGACCCTGCTGCGTTCCCTGATCCCGAGAGGTAGGAATTAACCTGTATAAACATTATCGATTTGGATCATGTACTAAGCGGCCGCCTGCAGTTTCCGCCCCGAGCGCTGGGAGGATCCAACGCAAGCTATGAAGGACATGTCCTTTCCGTTTGGTGGCGGCTCACGTAGTAAGTCATCACTTTAACATTGGAAACTCCCCGAGAGATGGAACTAATATAAATTCATAGTTTGCATCGGTATCCACCTTGCCAAAATGGAGCTCCGATTAGCCACAGCGATGTTTTTCCGCAGGTTCCCGCATGCTCACATGTCTTCTCGAGAAGGCATGACCACAGACGACATGGAGATGAAGGCATGGTTCCTGATGACCCCAAAGGGTGGGCGTTGCTTGATGGAAGCATGAGGCTTCCTTGGGCACCACTTCTACTGAAGGATCTCCCTCGCCCCTTCTATCATACGAATGACTACAAAATCCAGGTGCATGGACCGTGCTGAAATTATGTTACCTTGTATATACCCCAGGAACATTCACTAATAACCCTCCTCATCTTCCATTTTCAGGAATTTCTTCCCAGGAATGGCCGTCCACGTTAAACTCGAGTAGTTAAACATAAATTTCTCTTGCGTACGTAGCTTCTCTATAATAGCGTCAAGTATACCCTAATCGCATAGATGATATGCTCTTCTGACGTCGCCTAGACATGTGCTCACGCCAGTCATCCCCCTTCTGGCTCCCAATTATAACATCCAGATCCCTCAGAACCTCATCACTGACATCCCTCCATCCATCATTCCCGGCACGTTCCTCATGCGCCGGCAACGTGGTAATATCAAACCGATGCCCCGCCCATTTCCCATGAGCCAGATTCTTATCCCTTCCAAAATAGGCTTCCCGACTCGACCACGAGATCCGCGAAACCAAGATCTCCGCAAACCCCAGAACCTCAATATTCGGTCCCTGCACAAACTCCCCTTTCAGCGCAATGACCTCGCCGCGCACGTACTCTTTCGTAGTCAGATTCCGCAGAATCCACGGCTGGTCACGCGGGTAGAAATCCAGCATCTCCGGCTTCAGACCCATCATGATCTCTGCATGGTCCGCTTCGGACATGGGGTGCGTGGCTTCATATTCCACGACGAATTTCCGCAGTTCTTCGGGGAGAACGGGCGCACCGACTGTTCTCCATCCATGTGTTGGCGCGGAGTTACTCAGATCGTAGATCCCCTTTAACTCTTCCAGATCGGCCTTTTCGGTTTCGTTCAGAATTTCGTCCGGGATAGCGCGCGGATCACTCTCGTCGCTTACGCAGACGATACGCTCGCCGGCCCATGGTGCTAAGGACTCCATGATGAAGTCCTCGAGGCGGCGGAGGCCGACGGCCCAGAAATAGCGATTTGTCAGGCTCAGCCGGAGCGCGTCAAAGGGGTTATCCAGATACCGGAAGATGATGCAGTGGACGTGCGAAGAAAGACTGGATAAGGTTTTCGGGGCGTTAGGAGCGATGGGTTGCGAGTCGTGGGTCCTCACACGCGCGACTTTTGCGGACGATATTTCGACGCTTGAGTTGTTAGTGATGGCTTGACGGCGTCTTGGAGTGGCCACGAACCTGTGCTGATGGAGTGGCACTGCTAGCAGAGGGACGAGGCCTGCTGCGCTGCCACTCAGTAGGGCTTCGTCGAGGGTGCCAAGGGAGCCTGTTGTCTCTTTGCGCTCTGGCGCAATCACACGCCAGAGTTGGGCCATTTGGATTGTTTAAAGAGAGACTTTTCCTTTGCATTATCGAGGGACCTTTTTTTGGCAAGTGCATGGCTGCGGACGTCAGTAGTACGTAGACCGTCGTGATTGGCGACCAAAGTTGTATTTCCGTGGGTGGTAATAACTATCTGTTTGGAAAGGCGCTAGAAGCTTGAGATGGTTTTGTTGAACCTGGCCTGAAGAGAGATATTTAACTATGAGAGACAGGTTAATACTGTTGTGGCCGGGGGGAAGTCATGCCGAAAATTTCGTTTGAAGCCTCATACTCTCCAATCGTCCGAGCTGGCATAAACTAGTCAACTTCATAGTGCCAAGATACACCGGTTCACCGCCATTGGACTTTAAAAGAAAAATAATCTGCTGGGATTTCACATTTCTTTCTTCTTTCTTCTCCATACTTACATTGCCTGGGTGGCCGTGATCAAGAAGACGGCCCACCACAGAACACTCCCTGCATCGCACCTCGTGGCGGAGTGGTCCGTTCAGTAGCCTCAGGGTTGCTTGCAGGCCTATTATTTGGCACCCCCCCCACTTTGTGGGACCCTTTTCATTATGCCTTGGGTCAGTGACTTGAGTATAGAGAAGAGGCTTGTGCAAGTTCCATGTGTGCGCTGCGGTGCATCAAGTGCACCTGTGCTTGTTTATGGGCCATATACAACTGGCAGGGACATCCTATGGCAGATTCAAAATTGAAGGCGTGGATACAATAGACCTACACTCATGCAGGCTATCTACTGCCAAGTCAACTGGTATCTTGAAACTGGAATGAACTGCCTCACCCCACGTCTTCCCATCCCGCACCAATCCACTATCTTAGTCTGTCCCCACCGCCTCCACATGTTTATGGTGCTGAATCTGAGACAACGATGTAATCAAAAAAGAGGAGTGTAGATGTACCAAATCCAGGTTTCAGATGGAAATATCCGCTGTGTTTGTATTTCAGCACGAGTCATAGAATGATATACATATAAGGATATATTTGGGTATTAATCTAGGGTGCTAACTGGTTCCTCTCTGCATCTAAGTTGCGTAAAATGTCCCTTTTGGTTTCCCCAGATGCTATTGATAGCCATCAATGTCAAGGCCCATTGTGGTGCCTTTTTTGAGTTGACTGGAAGCAGTTGATCAAGTTGATCAACGGGTAATCCTTGGTGGGCGCGCGTAGCAATGTATCATGAGGGCTCAAGCACTGCTATACGGCTCTCCCAGCGTTTCCAAAGATGCCCTTTTAGTAATTGCCCTCTCCCCGGCATCATCGTAAACATGTTCATACAGTCGAAATCATGTCGATGGATCTTCGGGTAAGGCGAAAAGATCAAGCAATCTTCGTTCGCTTAGGAGCAGGAGCCGGACCAGGACGAGAACGCTTCCGCTCCATAGCCTCCATTTCCGCCTTCATGATCCGCTCCTGCTCAGTCATCTTCTTCTGGACAGGCATAACAGGCCCCTTCTTGCCGGCTAAGGGATTCTTCTTGGCAGCCGCAGAGAAAACGTTTTTTGGCTTCTGAGCACCAAGAGACATGGAGAATTTAGCGGGGGCCTGTGCAGCAGAATCAGTAGTCGAATCGGCCGGGTCGGGTTGCGAATCTTCCTTTGGCTTCGGAGCGAATTCCAACTTTAATTTCATCTTTTCGCCATCTCCTGGCAACAGCTTATCTTCCTCTGGCGTATCGTCCTTTTTGTCTTTAAGGGCATCGGCCTGCGCTTGCGCCCTCTTGATTTGTTCTTGGATGGCGCGTTGCTCTCGTTCCTCGTCGCCCTTATCTTGCCGCTCTTTCTTTGCGATGGCTTCCCTCTTGCGCAGGGTTTCCGGGCTGTTATCGATCCATGAGACGAATATCCCCTTCTCGGTCTCGTTGACGTGGCAAATTCCTTCCTTGCCAAGATATGAGGCGAACTGTGTTAGGCTCTGTATGTCGTGTGAGTATTCTCCATCGCATAAAGCAGAGGGTTCGCTTCCTTACCTTCCACTGAGTAGCGTTCATGTGAATATGTTGCTTGTCCGCGATAACTGCTTAGCGTTAGCCAACGTATGCTAGGCACGCAAGAGATGCGCTCACCTTGTTGATAAAAGTGATTAATGTTGACCTCCTTAGTACCGTGGGTTGTCTTCAGTAAGTCAATGAAGTTCTTCTTAAAATCCTCCGAAAATTGTTTAATATGGGTGTTGGGGTTCTCTCCGATGATCAGCCTATGTGTTGTTAGCTTGAATATTCTGAGGTAGCGGGCAGGTCTTCAATATATACGCACATTTGGCGAACGTGGGACTCTGATGTGATATGACATTTGAAGCCATTCGCATCGCGCATCTAATGAACGTGTTAAGAGACATCGCTGAGGATATCGCGAAGGGAAACGGACCTGTCTTTCACTTTTATAGAGTCAGAAGCTTGAACCAACATTGCATCAGAAGATAAATGGACTCACCAAGCTTGGCAGTACCATCGCAAGCGACCCAGGCCCTTGGCCTTGATCTTGTTGCCGATGGCTTTGGTGCTGCCGGCCTCTGCGCGGGGCATGTTTGTAGTGTTTTTGTCAGGATTTTTTCGGTCTGGGGGCTATGACAGCGCGATCGTATGGAAGAGAGACCTGACAGACGTGGTTGCGAAGTTTGAAGAGATGATGAATGTGGTCGCGATTGAAGATCCCAAAACCCGCGGTGGCGATAACATATCACGTGACTTCCGATAGTGGTCTTTCATTGATCGATTTCCCTGACGCGAAGTTCCAGTTGATTAACTTCCAGTTTCTTGATAAAACGATGGACTTCCAGGATGCCTTCATTTTTTTTAAGCTATGACGATGACGAAATTACATGATTCATCCGTGGTATTCTCAGGCGGACTAACTAACAACAACTGTGCATCGGAATTGAGTACACAACACTCGAAGGTATTAAAATCAAAAAGCAAAAGCATGCCCTGACACCAATTCGCCGGATGAACTCTCTGAAAGCACAAATTTTGAATGCAGCCCGCTGGGTCGTAGAGTCGTGTCCCATGATCCTTAGACGATGTACTCATGAATGGCCGATGGACCACTCTCATTATACTCGGCACGGGTCAGGAAGCTCTTGGTCGCACCCTGGTCAATGATGAAGAAGACTTTGGCTCCCATCTGAGCGCCAAGGAAGCCAGCTTCTTCAGAACCGTGGCTAGCTGTACTGCTCGTTGGGCCCACCGTAGATCCGGGAGCGTTGCTGTTACCCTGGTCCTTGAACTCCGAGAAGTGCTCAGGCAACCGCAATGTCTTGACCGAGTTTGGGGTTTGAGAGTGACCGGTCGAACGGTGGAGTGACATTCCAGCGGGATCCATCGATGGGGTGCCCGGCGGAACTCCGGCCATGGCAGGGTTGTTGTGTGTCGCAGCCACAAGGAGAGGATTGACGCCGTGCGCAGCTGGGTGGTACATGGGTCCAGGCTGGGCCATGGGGGCAGGAGTATTTGACCCGCCAGTAGGCAGAGGGGTACTGAAATTGGAGGGTATCTCAGAGGTGAAAATCGTAGCGGATGGGGCGAGTATGAACTTCTGAGTGATAACACCAAGAAGAGATTGGGTGAATCCTTTGTAGTCATATTAGCATGGTATAATTCATTACTAGGACCTGGAGGGAAAAGTTTTTTTACCTTTAACCTTGCTACCGCATCCAACAATAATGAGAGAATCCCAGAGCTCACTGCGTTTTGTGGCGTCGGGGACGGCCAGAATGGTGTGATGGATCTGCGTAGCAATGTCCTCCAAAAGTCCCTCACTAATGCGGTCAGTGACTCCCTGGCGAGCAGTGGCCAGAAGGAAACGCTCCACGCCCACTTCGATTTCGCGGGAGTGACGAATGTAGCGCTGGCCTCCACCCGCATTGTTCTCATCCTCCATTTGGACAAACTCCTCGAACTGGAATGTAGCTTTCTCCTTCTTGGCATTGGGAAGACGAGGCTGCTTCGGGTCGACACCGGCTTTTTTGTTGTTCGCTTTTTCCTTTTCCATGTTCGCCAAGTACTCAGTCGTATTACCACTAACGATAGTCGCAACATCCAGAACACCCTCCTCCTCGTCGTCTCCATTCGCTTCGCCAGTCTGAGTACCTGCTCCAGGGCCACGGGGGGCATTCACATCGGCCGGATCCGCTCCACCTGTCGATGCGACGGCAGCTGGGTTGGTGCCCTGGCGTGCGGTTGCGGCAGTGCCAGGAACAACCGTGCCGGGTGGCAAGATCTCAGCAATGTTGCTTCTCTTCAGTTGCTCGCACATCTCACGGGTAAACCCTTTGGGGCCAAGAAGCTCAACCAGCCGATCAGTCATGGCATCACCGCCACAGCCGCGAAGCGCAATGCCTCGACCATGTTCATTGACCATGAAGTCCGTGACGGCGGTCACATCAACCTTGTCTTTTCCAACGTCCACAACAGTCGCAGTCGACACACCGTAGCCATAAATCGCTGCGAGGGCTGAGTCCATCATGCTGAAGCCAGGTACCTTGAACTTTTCGAACACGAATTGAGTAATGGCCTCGCGGTCGCGTGCAGACCAGGCTGGCTGGGAGACCATCAGAACCGGCGTGTGGAACGGAGGACTCAGGGAATTGTAGATATGAGTAAGAAGCGCGAAGAAGCAGGGCCAATCGACAATGGATCCATTCTGAATGGGATACACGGCTCCTTCTTCGGAAGTCACGTCTTCCTCGTAGAAAATGGTGGGAGTATCTGCCTCGTTAGTTTCAGTTGCCCCCTCCGCCTTGTCGGCCGACCCAGTATCGGTGGTGCCCTGAGTCGCAGGTGTCGCGCCATCCTTCATGTCCACATCCTCCGGCTTCGGTGCGTGGGTGCCATTCTGGCCATTGCGTTCGCGTTTACGGATCTTGTATGGTTCAAATTCGCCCTTCTTCTCGGCTGGGAACATGCGGGTGGGGTAGCGATTACGCGCCGGAGTGAAGGACTCTGGCAAGCCGAGCTGCGCTAAGGTCACTTGCGAGCCCGGCGCAATTACCTCGAATCAGGCAGTCAGCATTGAATGTGTAGCAGATGGAGATTCAGAATCAGACTCTCCAGGACATACCAGGACATGCTCATCCCGGAAAGGTGGCATTTTGGACTTGCGGGCAGATTGCGCAGCAGAATATTTGGAGGATCGCGGACTCTTGGAGCTACCCGCACGCTGAACTAGTCGTCCACTCCTAGTCTTCATTTTGGCTTGGCGTGGCCGATAGTATCACGTGATGGTTTGTGGCGTGTTTGTGGCGCAAGAGTACTGTGAGGGAAGGATGTGGCGCAGCGGTGGGTCAGGACTGGGACAAATTTGCTGCAGCGCCAACAGGACAATCAGTGAATGGTCAGTCAACCATGCGCCCCGCCTGGCGCCCCACCAAATCGGACACTCAACACTGCTAGATCTACTTGCTTTTCCCTTCCAAAGGAGAGCCTAGCCCAATATTTACTAGAGAACTAATGTTGGACCCTGACATCAATTGGGAGATGACTTTACGTTGTGGGAGTAGATCAGTGACAGATACAATCTGCTAGCTAATATTGGTCTCAATCAATATTTGGATTCGCATTGCCAGGAGCACCTGTATATAAACTATGAATTGCCCTGCCAATGCTAGGATGGTCACTTGAAGGAGTAAGTTCTAAGTTCTAGACCAGAAATAGATGCGAACGCTACTGTGTCCAAACAAGGATACGGCACTTTGATCTGCCAACCGTTGACGTTCGCCGAGCAGTGTATGTTGTGCTTACAGTTTGCATCGAACTTACAATGTGCTCTTGCATACGAGATTGCCAAAACAAGTCCAAACTAGGAAATCTATACAATGAGAGTTAGACATTGAATAGAAAGAATCATTTCCCAAGACTACAAAACTGACATCCTACGGCTTTGAGAAGTTGGTATTAAGAAACAGAAAGTGCCAATGTATTAGGCATTCAATGCCAGATCATGCTATTAGTGTGCTGCCGTCTGATCATATTGAGTAAAATATCATGAAACGTAACTCCGCTCCCTCATCTCCCATTGAAACATAACGCAAAAACGCCCGGCATCCATTTTTCTCTATGACCAGCATGAGTCTCCGTGGAATATTTGTTTACTCGGGGACCTGGTTGTATTTCTCAGTCGCAGATCGAAAGAGCTCCTGCTGTTGGCGCATAAGCTCTTCCTCTGAAAGACCGCTCTGCTCCATTTTGCTCTGTTTCTTCTCACGCGACTATATTCACGAAAATTAGTCTCAAGGGCATACGTATAGAGCGGGCTCGACCCACCTTTAGCTGCTCCCGGTGCTCCTCTGCAACAGCAAGCACATGTGGAATGTAGTCACCGAATCCGAGATCGCGTAGAGCCTTCTCGACATGCTCACAGGCAATGGTCTTCTTGGCTTCCTTCTCACTGATATCATTGGCTTCGGAGGAGATTAAAGTGATGAACTCGACACAGCACTCCATGAGCAAGTCGCGTGCATCCTTGGAGAATGTTTGACCGGAGGATGGGGGCAGGATCTCGGTGATGATCTTCTGGACTGTCGCTGTAAAGTGGGACTCTTGATTAGCGTGCCAATTACGCGCATCGGCTTGAATGGGAGAACAGGAATCGTGTGGGGTTGGAGTAGAGCAAGAGGCCAGCAGCTTTCAGTACGTATCCACAAGAATCTGAATACATATTGAGAACAGGCAAAGCATCAGAGAGTGTACCTTTGGGAAGCGACAAGTCATCGTTTGCTAGAAGATCGGAAAGGCACGTCAGCATGTGCGGGTGGATCAAGATGGGGACAAGACATACAGTTGAACTCTCGGTCAGACATGACTATGGTAAATCTCAGGTAGTGAGAATATGTAGCTGCAGGCCGAGGCAACCGAGGGAAAGAGAACTGAGAAGGAATTAAAGCGTGTCGCGGGGTTTGGAGCAATATTAAGTACTGTAATCGGCCTTCGCGACGGGGCCATATATTTTCCTGCCGGCAGAACGCCACACCGCCTTTGTGGGTTTATCTTGATCCAATTTTTTCCCGGGCTCTTTCTTTTTCTTCCTTCCCATTATTGCATTTTGGCAGTTCCCAAACTCCTCAGAGTGTTTCTTAATGTTGATTCACTCTGAGGATGCTATACTAATGGTAAGTTTTTTTCTCTTTTATTTGCGTTGCTTTCCTACATGATGAACATCGTTGTCGCCCCTATCTTACAAAACCGTGGTGATTTACCTGTCCTAGCCAAACGGACGAACTGAAAAGAATTTTTTGCCTCTTGATTTTTCTCAATGCTCGAAGTTGAGCCTCTGCTAACTTCTTCAAGGTCAAAACTAGTCAATGGTCGTCGAATCTCCAATTGCTTGGATGTGCCGCAAAATTCGAATTATCAAGTATGCTCTCAACCTTCCTATTATCCACCTTCCTTTGTATGATGATCACCTTACATTCCATGCTAAGTATGAAGGTGCGCTGCACCTGATGCTTATAAAATGTACCTGCTTTTCATCTTTCGGCTGATTACAATGTCAACCCTGAAAACTTTTCACACATGGCATTTCTGGCATCAATACTGATTGCTCTATAGTTGAATATCCAAGATACCTTTTCTACCTAATTTCATGAATCTACTCCTGGAAATCCTTGAGAGCCTCGTCGTTCCATCTGTCTACCGTTAGCTTGGTTACCACCGAAACGTAGTCGTAATACATACGCTAGGAAGCTGCCGGTAAGCTCTTTGGGTGCATTCAGAGCAAGCTTGGAGATCACGTTGCCTGGCTGCTCAGGTTTGAGCAACAAGCCGCCCTCGTGAGCTCCGGTAAATTTCGAGTGCATCTCGGCATCCAAGGTAGTGCCCCGCATCTCTCGTAGGTCTCGCTGCATCTCGGTGTCAACCATTCCAGGTTGAATTGCTAAGGATGTAACATCTGGTTCTTCACATCCGATGGTCTGGGCGAGGTTGTTCAAAGCAGCTTTGCTGGCCGCGTAGATACCCCAACCGCGGTACTTCTTCACTGCCGCACCAGAGGAGACGAAGACGATGTTTCCCTTGGAGCTGCGGAGAGCTGGGAGTGCCGCAGTGGCCTGTTTGATATCAGTATAGTCGATAAAGGGCTAGGGGAGTGCACCAGTAACATACAAAAGCCACCAAGCTGAAGAAATTGATGTCAAAAGCGGAACGCCAGTTCTCGACATCAGTCTCAGCAACCTTGCCAGTTTGACCTAGGACACCGTGGTTGAGGACCAATCCGTCGAGCCGGCCGAATGATTTAATGGCCGCATCGACGGCTTTTTGAGCGAGAGAAAAGTCCGACAGATCTCCGTGTACAACCTCTACTTGGCCCTTGTACTCGTCCTTCAGCTTTTGCAGAGGCTCGACACTGCGGGCCAGCACAACCACATTGTGCGACTGGGGTGCTGACAGCAGGTACTTGGCGATGGCGTGCCCAAGGCCTAGGAAGAGGTAAGAAGAGGCTCATAGTTCACAAGTGTTCGAGGCTGCGCCTACCTCGAGATGCTCCTGTCACGATGATTGTTTTGGCCATGGCGAATCTTTGTTCGGTCAGTATTCGAAAGGTCAAAGAAGATTCGAGGTTGGAGTTTGCTTGAACTCCCACAAGAGTGGGGCAAGGGCAATCGTCATGCTTATATCGGAAGATAAACGAGGTCTCCGTGGAGACTCCTTCTGAAGCGCCTGCAAGTGCTCACCAGCAGGGACGAAGAGGTGAGGGGGGGAAACTTGGAGGAATGGATTGAACTCACCCTTTGGTCTTGTGATTTGTATCAACGTAAGCTAGATACTCAAGACTAATTATATACTAAGAACAGATGATACTCAAAAGAGAGAAAGCGCAATCTTGCCGCCGGTTAAATGCGGTAGTTATTCCTTGGTCACATCATTGGAGCTTAATAAGTGGCGGGGTATCCGGCCGTCGGGGACATCGAGCTAATCTCCGGCCGCTCCAATTTGGAGATCATGGTCATAGCCTTGCTGTAGAGCCTGCGCATCAGATTTTCAAATTCAATCAAGTTCTGACAGGTACTTTACTGCTCCTTCCCCCTCTTGCTAAATTCCACAAGGTCATCAGGTCTCTGAGGATGATTCGAGGGTTAGCCACCTATTTCAAGGCTTGGGTCCTGTGTTGTTCTATCAGCCCTCGGTGGTGTCGTTATTTTATCAATTGTGTTCTCACGTTATAAAAAAAACTAGCTGGCTGAGAGTCCCTTCATAATTCTTCATCGAGAATGCTGCGTTATCAAGACTGACTTGTAATCCTCCAACTCCGGCTTCTCAAGGAGGTGAGAAAATATGCATCGCAGGCAACCTAGGAGATGAATGCCACAATTTACGTCCAGATAATGCTTGAATATCCAAACATGTAAAAACCCAGAGCTTTGTATATTGCCTCCTCGAATCGGCTAGAATTTTGATTTGGGCAAATGCTAAGTTAACATGGCATCGGTTTATCATGGAACAGCAGTGGACTGGGAGAAGTTATCGGGGTGAGAAGCAGCATAATTACTGCTAATACAAGCTAGGTCGAATCTATTCTACATTCTTGAAATTCACCATGGCCGTCTCCCCACTGCTAGGCGCATGAATAGGTTGTATTAACTATAAGCCATGAGACTGGAGTAACTTGCCTAAATAGGTTTTCGGATTAATTATATTCCAGAGAAGCTTCGCCCCAGAACATTTTGTCAGCTTCCTTCGGGGAACTTACGTCTCTAGAAACTTCGCATCTCACCAACGCGTGGGATCGAAGCTCCTTTTGTCTTTTCGCGTCGAGTCCTTGCACTAGCAAACATCCAACTTTCGCATCGTCAAACAACTCTCCGTCGCTCAACTGCCTCGCCACCATGGCGAACTACCTCGCCTCCATTTTCGGTACGGAGCAAGACAAGGTTAACTGCTCATTCTACTACAAGATTGGCGCGTGCCGCCACGGTGACCGTTGCTCGCGCAAGCATGTCAAGCCTTCCTACTCTCAGACCATCCTCATGCCGAACATGTACCAGAACCCCGGAATCGAGAACAAGGGCAAGATGAACGCTATGCAGCTGCAGAACCACTTTGATGCGTTTTACGAAGATGTCTGGTGCGAGCTGTGCAATTTCGGCGAACTGGAGGAATTGGTCGTCTGCGACAACCACAATGATCGTAAGTCGTCACCCATTTTGCCCTGTGGCTCTACTTGACTAACTTCTTTGTCTTTCCCCGCAGATCTCATCGGGAACGTGTACGCCCGCTTCAAGTACGAAGAAGACGCCCAATCCGCGTGCGACAATTTGACCAACCGTTGGTATGGCGGTCGTCCGATCTACTGCGAACTTTCTCCGGTTACCGACTTCCGGGAGGCCTGTTGCCGCTTGAACAGTGGGGAAGGTTGTGTCCGTGGTGGTTATTGCAACTTCATCCACCGAAAGGACCCCTCTCCGGAGATGGACCGCGAGATCCGACTCAGCACCAAGAAGTGGCTTCAGGAGCGGGGCCGTGACCCCCGCAGCGTTAGTCGCAGCCCAAGCCCTGAGCCTACTCGTCGTCGTTATTAGGTATCTCGCACGGACCGAGGCCGCTCCGCTTCCCGCGACTCTGATCGCCGTTCGTACAGTACTAACCGTACCCTCTCTAGAGGTTGCCCTACTAGTTTGGCCTCCGGCAGCTCTGATGAGCCTGTTTTCAATGGACGCGCTCCCGATGGTCGTCAGCTTTTCGGACGCATTGTTTCATCTCCTGAGCCTGAGAATGGGTCTCCCATCATCCGCGATCCTCACTTCAAGCTTGATTGTCTTTTTCTTCGGCGTTAGGTGATATTAGTGGAGGTGGTTATCGACTACCTTGCGCGGCGCAATGTTTCGGCTCGTGGGACTCACTATTTGATTTTCTTATTCTATTCTTTTTACCTCTTCTACTGAGGAACATGTACACTTACGTCACGAGGATCGGACTCTAATCTGATCGAGTCCTAAAAGAAAATTCCAGTATGGTATCTGCCTAGCCTGTGGTGTTCCTCTGGTAATGAATTGTAACTTGCTTTTTGGGAGTCCTTATAAGCTGCCACAACCGGGATCTCAATACTGGACAGTCCAATTGTAAATTGTAAGCTGATTGACGTTCCAAAAAGTTGTTGCCGCTTTGATATTTCCGCTTTGGAGCAACTTTTCTTGGCGCGTCCCCGCGTACCGCGTCGCGCCACCATCATTTTTCAAAGAAATACGCTTTATTCCCCTCGGGGAGCCCGAATCCCAGCATGGATATGAGTTACGATGACCGTAATCGCGCCTTTGCGCAGGCGTTTATGGCACGCTCTTCGATGACATTTAAGGAGGGGAGGGCCGTACTCGCAGCCATCTTCTCTGCGCATGGTACTTGATGATCCCCACACTGGTAGCTCCGCGAACAGGTGTACAAGCTAACACGCATCAATAGATAACAACAGCGTGGATCCCACCGACATTGAAGAGCAGCAATTTGTGGACTACATAGCCGCTGCCAATTCCGCTATCTCCCCGTTTGACTTTGAAATCCGAAGTACCTTGCGCCAAGTGCCGAAGGCGCAAGATCCGGGAACCCCTCAATCACCTCCAGAACGAGTTTACGCTCTCGTCAATACGACAAGTGACCCTCTGACCCAACTCGCTACGACCTACACCCCCGACCAAATCGCCTTTGTGAAACGAGTCCTCGATTACATGTTCGACACCAACAACACCCGCCTATGTGAGGGAATGGTCATTACACACATGCAAGCTGCGAACTTAGCACGTCCACCAGCCGGTGAAAGGCATCGACGAGAGAGCGGGACAGAAGATTCGCAAAGTGGACCCGTTGGCGCGTTAACCATGACCGAGGCAGAGACCATGGTACAACGTCTCATGAGCGAAGGGTGGTTGGAAAGGAGCCCGAAAGACTACATCAGCTTGACTCCGCGCGCCCTGATGGAGCTGCGCCACTGGTTGGTCTCGGAATACAATGATGAAAACTTCCGGGACCGTCCGGGGCGGCAGAAGATCAAGTTCTGTGCTGCTTGCAAAGATATTATGACTGTCGTATGTTGCGTTCTGATCGCTTTAATGTTCCCTTACTGACTGGTTGTTCAGGGCCAACGGTGTGACAACCGAGACTGCCCTGGTCGATTACATGACCATTGCACTGAAAATTTCTTCCGTATGGAACGAGCGGAAGTCTGCCCCCAGTGCAAGCAGGCATGGACGGGCGAAAGTTTCGTTGGCGAGAGGGCTGTGATCCAATTTAATAGGAATCGAGATAGGAATGTGCCGACGCGGCTTCCACGGCGATCAGAACCTGTGTCACGGACTATCTCCGAGGAGACTGTCCCTGGTGGGTCTGAACAGGTTTCTGAAGAAGACGAGGATGATGGCGAGCTGGAGGATGAAGGAATGGAGGATAAGGAGGACGAGGAGGACGAGGAAAACTGAATAGGATGGTCTATTGATGAAACTTAATATCTGTGGCTGGCTTGAACATATACCCTTTGAAACCTTTTACCTATTATGCAGCGACCTAGAGGTCTACGAACTGCAGAAGAGGCTATGGCTTGTCGATCTCCCGGCGATAAACTCATACTTAAACTCGAATGAACTCAGTTGCAAGAACCAGAGTGGAGGGCTTTCAGTCCTAAGCCAAGGGCTTAAGCAGCTGACCCCTTTCTCTTTTTGTAACTATAGACCAATCCACATCCGGAGGGGCTGATTCTCCTGCCCCTCTCTTGATCACTTCCTGGGCTTGGTCACGTAGGCTTCTTCAAGAGTTTCGAAGCTTTTACTGTATGATCTATACCCGGTCATTAAGGATGCGCACATCCCATGCGGTTCGGGTGGAGTCAGACTGAAGCACATCACACAAGAAAACCAGCTTCCAACGATGACATGGTAACCCACAGAAACATCCTGAATAGCAATGTTGTTGCCCAGCCTAAGCTTATTTCACTCCGCATGCAAGAGCGCCGTATTGGACACGTGGTCCAGCAATACGTATGACTTCTTCTAGGACTCACTTCTAGGAGCTAGGGCTGAAATGTTATGATGGCCACACAATCCCAACGCTGTGTCCCTTTACCCCCCCAGTGCTGACGTGGAACTCATCCAGAGTGTGACAAGGTGTCTTGGCAATCAACTCTTACTCACTAGTGTTCAGTGGCCTAACCAAATGAAGATATTAGTCCATGATAGATGATGGTGGAAGTGGTAACGTGTGAATTGCTGCGGTTTAATCCATGAAAACCAACCAGCTCCCTAGAGCTCTATGATCTGGCGCAATAATACGACAAAATTAACATTAGGACCTGGAAACCTTTCATGATTCGATAAGGCGACCTGTTGTAGAATCCTTCGAACTGTCCCATATAATATAACTGGGAACTCGTAGGTACTTTGTTCCCCCCACCTGCATCACATGTCAGCATGCCCCAACAATGTTGTCACCACTTTCACTCTGTCAACATTGATCTGAACTTTGTTTCCGGCACTCTACAACAAACTCTACAAAACCTTTCGCCGAAATGGGTCCTTTCAGTCATACCATAGATCCGGATGGCGACTTGATTATTATATTGCGCAGTGCGAACTCGCCTTTTGCGCTGGCCGTTGGAGAGAAAGGTCCCAGTATTCCCGACAAGGCAGCCAACAATGAGGGTGTTACTGATAAGAATGATATTGACGAAGCGAATGCCGAAGAGCAAGCGATGAGAAGAGATGAAATCCGCTTTATTGTCTCCGGGAAGCATATGATATTTGCCTCCCGTTTTTTCAAGAAGGCGCTCACCGGAGTGTGGAAGGAAGGCGTTGCATTTCTACAAAAAGACTCGGTCGAAATCATGGCTGAGGGCTGGGATCCTGAAGCTCTCTTGATCGTTATCCGTGCGATTCATTGTCAATTCACCCAAATACCCCGAAAGGTAACCCTGGAGATGCTCGCTAAGATTGCAGTCATAGCGGACTATTACGATTGTAGAGATGTTCTCTATCTGATGAAAGATATATGGATCGGTTCTCTGAATGAAAAACTCACGACACCCTATCCACGAGAACTCATACTCTGGGTGTGGGTTTCTTGGTTCTTTCAGCTCCCTGCCCACTTCACGGAATCCACCTTGGCCGCTATATTACGCACTATTGGCCCAATTAATGGTCGGGGTCTTCCGATCCCGGATCGTGTCATCAGTAAGGGAAGATAAATGCAGCAGTGCCTGGTCTCTAATTGAATAGTAGGATCTATAAACAAAACTCGAGAGGAGGCTATCAAAAATGTACTACAACTTCTCCACAAGACACGCGAGGCATTCCTGAATGAGGACAAAGGCTGTGGATATGAGTGCAGATCAATCATGAACGGAGCCCTCGCTATGCAAATCCGATCAAGCCCCCACCTTTCAACCATGCCGAAGGCTCCTTTTCGATGGCTGAGCTACGAGATCCTTAAAGAGAATGTCTTGTCATTCAAATCACCGCGATGGTTCGAACTGCAGATATCGCGGGGTGCCGGCAGTTACCGCCATGGTTGTCCTGACTCATGTTTCGACTCCTTGTTCGCCGTATTGAACGACCCTATAAAGGGTCTGAATATAGGCGAATTTGGTATCACCTGAAAATTCTTCTCAACTTCCGAGGATCCCAGGCAGAAAGTTCGAAAAGTTGTTCGTCATTTGCAGGAAAGAGTCAAAATCAGACAGGAAGCCATCGCCTGCTGCTTGTATCTCTGGGATACCCAAGGACCCAATGTGCAAACCTGGACGATCGTTCTTCGGTAAATCAATATCTTGGAAGTTATACTTGTTGTTTAGGAACTGCTCCAATTGACCTTTTGTCTTTCATGGCCCGGAAATATCCTTTTTAGTCCTTCTGTAGACTGCGAATGGGTAGAGGAGATGCGCTGCGGTGACGTTTCTTCGCTGCTACGTGAAACAAGAGTCCTGAAAATGGTCGGTGCAGAATTTAAGTAATTGGAAAGCCTCCCTTGCATTTGATTCTGTCTGTGTAGCTAGTCTTTGAACACGTCTCTGGATGCAAATTCTTTCAAACTCTGACAATAAAGCAGCTCGTCGGGTCAGTGAGACATGAAGTGATTGGTCGTGCTACTAACCTATTTCTAACGAAGATACGTTACGGAATAGGTAAGCCTGGAGACATATATTAGGAGACTAATTCAATCTCTTCAATCTGTCCCCATCGAGAAAAAACCTTGGATCACAAGGCAATCGGACAGTAAACTCCCGGTCAGAGCATTGCAGTCTTGTCTTGGGCATCTTAGGTCAGTCTGATAGCAAATCAATGCCTGGACTGATCCCCACGTGCCGGCTATAGTACAATCAGACCAGCGGACGCCAAGCTTGCTTTTAGGCAGTAATTAGGTCGTCTGAAATGCCCTTCAAGCTCTCGTCCGTTGGTTCGGAGTGGAGTTGCAGCAGTTGGGCTAGTCGGAAATAAATTCCGGACATGAATGCCATGGTCTCCTGGCCGAAGCGCTCGTGCCGCTCGCATAGCAGACCAAGTGCTTATTGAAAGTTGAGGATCTATCAAGAATCTATGCATTAAGGGACCCAATGCCTGCCAGGGGACATTGCGACCTTTGCACAGAAGACACCCTTGTGTGCATGTCAGTATACTACGTTGCTGACCTTGGAGCTGACTGGGCCGTCTTCTTAATTGCAACATTGCGTGGAAAAGAGAAGAAATTCGAGAAAGGCAGCCAAGGCCACGCAGCGACATCCGGCACGTCGGATCAAGTCTGGGCGTACGGGATGCCGGAGGGCCCCTGAAGAGGGCGGCTTCTACTCGGACTCTACCTCTGAACGGAAAGGGTCAATTCATTTTCTAATCTCTATCTCCCTTGGTCCTTCCACGCCGTACGAGCTTTAGGATTCTCGATAATTGCCCACAGGCTCGGTGAGGTTTGACTTTAGCTCTAGCAGCTCTGACATTTCTCACATTGTAAATAAACAAATTCGTCTCGGCCCATGACGTTGAATGGCAGGAGTTCTAGAATCTTCGCTAGGCAGTCATCCAAAAGCCTGCGCAAGGTCAAATTCGGCCGAATCCTATTTAGCCTTTCAGGCGGGGAAAAGAAGCGGATAGAAATATATTTGACTCGGGGATTTGTCGGGCGCATTGCGGACCCCCCAGACCCCAATTTGTACCCCAAATCCCCACACCCCATTTGATGACAAACGGGGCTTTGGGCAATCTCTGGGTGCTTTCGAGAGAACCAGGGGAAGAGGCACATCGTCATGGCTTCGCAGCTTCCCGGGGGTTCCGGATGCCCATAAGAGCTGCTCAACAGCCTCAGACTTCCTCACAAAAAGGCGCCACAGACCTCACAGACTTCACAGACCTCGTATTGGCGTGTACCCCAGAACTTTGATTTGACGCTAAGTAAGTTTCGACCGATCCCCGCATTCTACACCTGGGGCGGGAGGCAGCGAATGAGAAGCTCCGTGGTTCCTGGATCGGCAGCCCAATTCGCTGTTTTGAGCTTCCAAGGTGTTTAATTTCTTGAATTAATCGCTCGCGCTGCACCTTCCCTCCGGTGATGAAGTCATATTAAATATCTCGCACCTGCCACTTCCATATGTGCTGACCGTTGAGCAGGCTTTATTGCGCTTCTCTTTCTCTTTCGTTCCCTCTCACTCGCTCTCTCTATTCTTAGACTTTAGCGAGTGCTCGCTATGCGGTTAAAGGTAAGCATCTTAGCAGGTAGTCGCTAAGAATTACTCGACTGACTATGCTCAAGCCCAGAACGTGGGTAGCCTTGCCGCTGCTCTTAGACCTGAGTTCCATCGTGCAAGGGACGCGGACGACTAACCGGGTCGCCGATGCGCTTCGACGATATGCAGGCAACAGCATCGCGAACAGCAGCCATGTGTACCCTACGGACTTCGAGGGGGTCACCTGGGATGACGAAAATTGGATCCTGTCAACGACGAAACTGGACCAAGGCAAGTTCCAGACCAGAGGCTCTATGGCCAATGGCTACATCGGCATAAGCGTCGCGAGTGTCGGCCCATTCTTCGAAGTTGATACGCCCCAGGACGGTGATGACGCCATCAGCGGTTGGCCGTTATTCTCTCGCCGACAGTCATTTGCAACGATCAGCGGATTCTACGATGCCCAGGAAACCACGAACTCAACCAATTATCCGTGGCTGGGGCAATACGGATGGGACAGTGTCATTAGCGGTGTGCCTCATTGGAGTGGCTTGGTTTTGGATCTGGGGAATGGCACCTACCTGGACGCGACCGTCGACAACAAGACCATTTCCCGTTTCCGCTCCACGTACGATTTCAAAGCCGGGGTTCTCTCGTGGTCTTATACATGGACACCCAAGGGCGACAGGGGGTCTTTCCAAATCACCTACCGTCTGTTCACCAACAAGCTGTATATCAATCAGGCTGTGGTGGATTTGGTAGTTGTCCCAAGCAAAGACTCGCAAGCAACGGTAGTCAATGTTCTGGATGGCGCATCCGCTGTGCGTACCGACTATGTAGAGTCCGACGAGGACGACCTGGCCATTTACTCAGCAGTGCGACCGAACGGAATCGCCAATGTGACAGCCTATGTCTACAGCAACCTGACTGGAAGCGCTGCAGTCGATCTCTCCTCCCGGAAGCTTGTCACTGATAAGCCTTACCTGAGTTCGGCAGACTCCTCGATTGGTCAGTCGGTGGACATCAAGCTCAAAGCAGGCCAGCCCGCTCGCGTCACCAAGTACGTTGGAGCAGCTTCGTCAGACGCTTTCGACAACCCGCAGCAAGTGGCCAAGGACGCCGCAGCGACTGGGCTGAAGAACGGATTCAGCAAGTCTCTTCGTGCTCATGTTTCAGAGTGGGCGAGTGTTATGCCTGACAACTCGGTTGATAGCTATGCACTCCCAGGAAACGGTAGTTTGCCTGCCGATAGCATCATCGTCGATTCAGCGATCATTGCTGTTGCGAACACGTATTACCTGCTGCAAAACACGGTCGGCAAGAACGCGATCAAGGCATCATCATCAGACCATTTGAATGAGAACAGCATTGCTGTTGGTGGTTTGGTATCGGACTCTTACGCCGGCCAAATCTTCTGGGATGCTGATCTTTGGATGCAACCTGGGCTTACGACTTCCCACCCTGAAGCTGCCCAGAGTATCACAAATTACCGAGTCAAGATGTTTGACCAAGCGAAGGAGAATATCAAGACCTCTTATGCTGGGTCTCAAAACAAGACTAATTTCTCTCCTGCGGCGGCTATCTTCCCTTGGACCAGTGGTCGGTTTGGAAACTGTACTGCAACGGGACCCTGCTGGGACTATGAATACCATTTGAACGGTGATATTGGCCTCGCAATGATCAACCAGTGGGTTACGAGCGGTGACACCAAGGCTTTCAAGAATGATCTATTTCCCATCTTCGACTCGGCCGCGACGCTTTATGCGGATCTTCTGAAGCCCAATGGGTCTTCATGGACTCTGACAAACTTGACAGACCCGGTAAGCATGAATTGGCCCGCATGAGCTACTATGTTGTTATTCTAACTTCCTATAGGATGAATATGCCAACCACGTCGATGCAGGTGGCTACACCATGCCTCTTATCGCTGAGACTTTGCGACGCGCCAACGATTTCCGTCAACAATTTGGCATGGAGAAAAAACTCAAGCTGGAACGACAAAGCAGCTAATGTGCTCGTTCTGCGTGAGAATGGAGTGACTCTGGAGTTTACGACTATGAACGGCAGTGCTGTGGTCAAGCAGGCAGATGTGGTTTTGGACACATTCCCCTTGGACTACACGGCCAACTACACCACCCAGAACTCTTTGAACGATCTTGATTATGTGAGTCCATTTTTCCCCATATAATAGGGGCATTAGCTAACTGATGACACAGTACGCAAACAAGCAGTCGGCGGATGGACCTGCTATGACTTGGGCTATCTTCTCTATCGTTGCAAATGCCATGTCACCGTCTGGATGCTCTGCATATACATATGGACAATACGCTTACAAGCCCTACACTAGAGCTCCATTCTTCCAAATGTCTGAGCAGCTCATTGATAACTCGACCACCAACGGCGGAACCAACCCAGCTTTCCCCTTCCTGACTGGCCATGGTGGATCCAACCAGGTCGTCTTGTTCGGCTACCTCGGACTCCGGCTTCTTCCCGATGACTTCTTGCACGTCGACCCTGATTTGCCATTGCAAATCCCCTATCTGAAGTATCGAACATTCTACTGGCGAGGATGGCCGATCTCAGCCTGGTCAAACTACACTCATACGACAATGAGTCGGGCAGCGGACACACCTCCTCTGGATACAGCCGACCAGCGCTTCGCAAACAAGAGCATCACCGTCCGTGCGGGCCCAACAACCAAAGCCAGGACTTACCACCTCCCGACCAACGGATCGGTTGTGATTCCCAATCGCCAGATATCTGCCAAAAGGACAGTGGCCGGGAACCTTGTGCAATGTCAAACCGTGGCGTCACTCGACTCATACGAGCCAGGTCAATTCCCTATTGCTGCCGTCGATGGTGCGGCTTCCACCAAATGGCAGCCTTCGCTGGCATCTAACTGGAGCTCTATCACTGTGTCACTTGGTGACGAAGTGGGAACGCCTGTGTCCGGGTTCTATTTCGACTGGGCTCAAGCTCCGCCCGTCAATGCAACCATAATTTTTCACAACCAAACTCTCACCGATGCCACCATCGGCTCGCCCTTGTCCAGCGATGAGGCAGGCTACACGGTGGTGAGCTCATTGCGGGATATCAAGATCTCGAACCCTTACGACGAGGCAACCACCGATCTCGATGCGATTGCCATCCCGGTTGGGAACACAACAGACGTCACCCTCGACAACCCTGTCCCCGCAGCGCGGTATGCTTCGCTCTTTATCGTGGGCAACCAAGCTCTGGGCGATATTGACGTCAAGTATAAAAACGGAACTGGAGCCACCGTGGCTGAATGGGCTATTATCAGCTCAACCAACCAGTCATCCACCGTCCATGCCCAGAGAAAGCTTGGCGTTCGTGCTGCACCTGCGGACTCATATTCTAATTCGTTCATGCGCCGTCGCGCGTTTCTTCGGGATTAATTAGAGGAGGTAATTACGAGTTGGTACCTGCTTCGAGTGACGCAATTAGACACAGTTTTTATTTCCGTTATTATTAGTAGCAATTTACCATATAAATCATGGTTCAAGGCCGCTCCAACTTGCCATCTGTTAGGATTTGGACCCTTTCAGCTGTATCTCATTCGCCCAATCAAAAGTACAGATCCAAGATGAACCACACGCCTTTGCAACGACAACGGCCCCACTGATACGCCCCACCGTGAGCCTCACCATACAGCCATCTTATATATACTGCGTGGCCACTTGATAAACAGAGAGGCGAACAATTCCCAAACTTACCGGAGCACACAACAAACCCTCTGGTCTGCAAAGTGCTACACCATCACCTCAAAAATGAGCCCCGAATCCCCCTTCAAACTCGAACCTCTAACAGTAGAGGACATCCCAGCCCTAACCGAGCTCTGGTTCGCCGCCTTCTCCAGCCCCCAACTCCGAACCGCCTTCCCAGACACCCCAGGTGTCCGCGCCTGGATCGCACAGAACAACCTCGACTCGCTCCAAAACCGGCCCTTCCAGAAATACATCAAGGTCATCGACCCCGCAACCCTAGACGCCAATGGCCGGCCCCGGCTCGTCGCGTACGCGAAATGGGATCTAGCGACGCAGGAGGAGCGCGGGGATAGATTCTCCGCGTGGGCGCCGGAGATGCCGAGGGAGATTCTCGATCCGTGGTTTCAGGCGAAGGAGGCGATGAGGCGGAGGCTTATGCAGGAGAGGAAACACGTTTGTATGTGCCTCTCTCTCTTTCTTTGGTGCTTGTGCTGACAGGTGCAGATCTGGATGCCGTTGCCACGCATCCGGATTATCAGCGCCGGGGAGCTGGGGCGATGCTGCTGCAATGGGGGTGCGACATGGCGGATGAGATGCGGTTGAGTGCGTATGTCGATGCTAGTAAGGAGGGGGCTGGGTTGTATGCCAAGTTTGGGTTTGTGGATTTTAGTGAGCCTGGAGCTGAGACGGCGAGTATGGCGCGGTTTATTGATTGATTGGGTTTGCGGATTGCAGGGATTTCGCTTTGTTGGTTATCCCTTAGGGCTGAGGTTGGACCTGGAGGTTGGACCTGGGTGTTGGACTTGGCTGTTAATGGAGTCCGCAATTGCAGACAGTGGTTGTGGCTGGACGGGCATAGAGATTATGACTTCGGAAGGGCGCAGTAGCGCGAGCAGTAGACTGGAGTGTTCGAATGTTGTTCAATGTAAGTAAATTGATTGGATTGTATATGCTCAGTACTGTTTCATCTTCGAGCTCCGCGTATATGACCAAAGAGATATACCAAATCCTTCTACTGTACACGGCCCTGTCATTTGCTTCTCCGCTCCTGATTCTTCCCATACTGCAGAGTAGCCTTGTCCCACTTAGCACGGTAGAAAGGCCAAGCAAAGCTCGCCACAACCCCCAGTAACCAATCCTTGATAGGCGAGTCTCGGGGACTAGGCCCTCGCATATTATTCAAGAGCAGCTCCGTATCGCTATCCATCGTGATGAAGAACTTCCCCTGTCGCAATCCCTGAAGCGTAATCTCTGCGACCCGTGCCGCGCTCAGTCCACCCTCATCAGCCTCACTACCCTCCAACTGCTTGAGAAGGGCCGGCTTCCGCTGCTGCTCCTTGTAAAAGGTGTCCGTGTAGATCGTCCCCGGAAAGCTGCAATGGATCTTGATATCCTGGTGCGTGCGGTACAGCAGTACTTCCTGACGCAGCGTATCGGCGAGCGCCCGGGTCGCAGTCTTCGATGGCGTATAAGCCACATAACCCGGTAAGCCCACGAACGCAGCCGTGGAAGCAGTGAAGACCATGTGGCGCTTGACCGCGGGCGCTCTCGGTTCTCCACGAGGCTGCTCCTTGACCCACCGCCGGAGGAGCGCCTGCGAGATATACGCAGCGCCGAGGTAGTTCCGAGACATGCATGATTCTATGCTTTTTGGGGTGATGTCCACGAAGAACCCTATTTCGTCTGCCGTGCCGCCTGCGACGCAGAAGAGGATTGATGGGGCGGTCGGTAACGAGTTGATGAAGGTTTCAACCTGGGCTGCATCTGTCAGGTCGAGGGCCGCCGTGCGGATCGTCTGCTCCTCGTTTTGGACATGTTTGACCAGTTCTTGGCGGGTTTCCTCCAGGGGTTCTGGTGATCGGGCGACGATCACAACATTTGCGCCTGGGTATATGCTTAGCGTCTGAGGAGATGCTTTGTCGGGGCAGCATACCTTCAGCCGTCAGTTGAAGCGCCAGCTCCCGACCGAGGCCCTTTGAACCGCCTGCGACAACCACAGTCTACTCGATTAGCTGCGATCGCTTTTTGGAACCTCGTTGATTACCTCGCCATTGACGTCGAAGTGGGTTTGCCCCATTGTCTGGGTGCAGCACAGTGTATAGAATTAGCCAAAAAGAACAACAGTGCCACCGAGAGGCACGAGGAGCATTGTATTATTACAAATTATGGATCTTAGATTGATTTGCTCTTATAATCGACGCGACGAGATCGAGCAAAAGGGGCGTCGGTAATGTTATCACGTGACGTCATGTTGCTGCCAGAGAGATCTGACTGGGTGATTTGATTTCTACTGAGATGCTAATATTGTCTCTGCCGAGCTGTTGACCTCTTACTGTCAAGACTCAAATGAATGATGAGTGGTTGCGTGGCCCCATTCTCGACAGCAACCCTGAGCGACCACAACACTTGATCTCCCGGCGGCTCAGACAAAGAACGTCGACTTCTTGTCGTATCCCAATTTCCATTCGAATCTCCTTATTTTCGCGATGTCGAAGCGTTAGACACGTTTCGTCATTCCCATCATCGGGACTCAACTGATAGCGAACACACAAATTGGGTTTCGCATAATCTTTACATAGGTACCTATACGTATCATATTTCCCCTTCAAGATCTCGGCTTCCCTTTCCTTACTGTGGTACGGAGTGCTGTTTTGCGCTTCGCCGGTAGTAGCCATTCAAGGTGTTAAAATTTAAACCAAGACAGACAAAATTAAAAGCAGCGTAAGAAAAGCCAATCAAAGATTGGGAATGGGACAATCTTTTGAAAGTGCTAGAAAGATGACACGATTCGATGAACAGGCAATGGCCATTGTGGCTTCATACATAGAAAACAAAGAGCGACGGAGAGGTCGGTACTCCAAGGGTAACCATAAGATGTTCAGTCCATTGTAAGTGATCCACGAACAGTCGTCGCTCAAACCGTAGACGGGCCGTTTGGGTGGGTCAATGGAAGTACCAGCCGCAGAGGTCATCAGAGGCATGAAGCCTATATCAAAAATCCCAGCATCGGTATGCAGGAGATTTGAATCAGCTTTATCAAATTTGAGGGAATAGGTGAGGGCAGGAAGAACGAAAAACAGGTTCTGGCCAGTTGCTGGGTCCCAAATGCGGACTGAGTTATCTCTTGATCCTGATGCAAGTCGAGTACCATCTGCCGACCAGGCAAGCGCGATGACAGCTTTACTATGACCACAAAGGGTAGATTGAACCTCATAAGTGAGTAGATCCCAAATTCGCACTATGCCATCATGAGAGCCTGATGCAATATACGCCCCGCCTGGTGACCAAGCAACCGATTGGACATCGTGGGAAATGTCCCCATTAGTATACTCAAGGGTGGACACGCTTCGTCCAGTTGCCGAATCATGTATGCAGACCTTACTACCATAGTTCCCGAGTGCAAATTGGCTTCCATCTGGCGACCAGGCAATTGACCGTACCCAGAACGTCAATATATCGAGCGCAGGTACACACTGATCAGTAGCTAGGTCCCATATCACAACCGTATGGAATAAAGACGCCAGCGCTAGTCGGCGTCCATCCGGTGACCAGGATATCAAATTGAGTTGAGTCACACGCCCCTCTAGAGTACCCACTCTCTTTGCGGTGATTGGGTCGTAGATTCGCACTGTCTTATCATCTGATAGTGCCACTGGTCGGTTTGTATCGAACGTCCAGGGTATGAGGATGTCTTGAATTCTATCTCCCCTTAGAGTTTTCACGCTCTGGCCAGTGACTGGGTCCCAGACTCGCACTGTTTTATCATCCGACGTTGATGCAAATCGGCTTCCGTCTGGGGACCATTCTAGCCGGTCAATCGAACCGCTGTGTCTATCGTAGGAGGAACTTGAAGGCCTGTGACGGATGGTTGGATCCCAGATGCGGACCGCCCCATCTCCCGAACCGGATGCAAGTCGAGTTCCATCGGGTGACCAGGCGAATGAATAGACACAACTGCTGTTTCCCTCGAAGACTGATATAAGCTGATTCGTGTCTGGGTCCCAGATTTGAACCGTTTTATCAAAACCTCCTGATGCAAGTTGGCTTCCATCTGGTGACCAGGCGATGGAGCAAAGGTGACCTGTAGATTCCATTGATGTGGGTCCGCTTTGGTCAGTGGCTCTGTCCCATATCCAGACTGTCGGTATAGACGACCCAGAACAATATGCAAGATAATTTCCGTCTGGCGACCAAACAATCGGACAAAATGTTCGAAATGTTTTCTTCCGGCCATTTGCATGATTGAGTTTGGACACGATCTGATTTGTAGCCAGATCCCAGACCAGAACTTGTTCATCGAAGGCTCTTGATGCAAGGTGGCTTCCATCTGGCGACCATGTAATGAAGCTGGTTCCAGGGCCATGTTCATTTAAAGATGATAAACTCTGACTGGTCTTGGGATCCCATATCTCGACTGCTTTATCAGACGCGGACGCAAGCTTGCTTCCGTCTGGTGACCACGCAATTGAGGTAACAAGTTTACTACATCTCTTGAGAGTAGACACTTTCTGGCCAGTAGTTGGATCCCAAATACAAACTCCGTCATCATTTGACGCTGATGCAAGTCGGCTCCCATCTGGCGACCAGGCAATAGAATAGATCTGACTTGTAGCTAACATGATAGGTGCTATGTGACCGGTTGTTGGATCCCAGATGCGGATTGCATCTTCTTCTGATGCCAAAGCAAGTCGGCTTCCATCAGGCGACCAAGCTTTTGGCCGTACTAATGTACCCCACCTAGTATAAATATAGTCGCTATAATGACTTTGCCCTTCGAGAGTTGCAATGATATGGGCCTTGTTTGGATCCCAGACCTGGACTGTCTCATCCGCATTAAACCCCACTGCAAGTTTCCCGCCATCTGGCGACCATGCAATCCAGTCCACAAAGTCATTAGAGTGCTCCAGTGTTTGAAGACAAGCATTCCAGTGTGCCTCCACCAGGGGGCTATTAAGAATCCAATTTTCTCGTTCCTCGTGAAAAGCTGCTCTCGTGAGGCTCTGGAAGGGACTGAAGATGAGGGAAGAGGAATATGTTTGCAGAGGACTGATCTCGATTCCTGTTCTGAAATGCTGAATGAATCTAGAAGCGTCTCGAGCATGCTCTACTAGGTCATCAGATTGGCTCATTCCCTATTAAAAGCCAGAATTCGTCAGAAATCGAACCCCTCTAATTTGGTCTTTCAAACTTACGTCAATAATGATCTCCAACGTTCTCATAGCACCTATGCCATCTGAGAGTTTTCCTAGTAGGCTCAAGGCTTCAAGCCAGTTGAGGTATTTCCGCTGTAAGAATGTATGCAGCATCTCCATATCCTCCTCTAAACTGTGTCTGTAGGCTTTGATGCGCTTGCAAGAATCCAAATGGTCCACCCAATAAACGCATGCATACTCAACAGGCGCTAGTGGATTTGGGTTAGGCGCGATAATCTGGTCTTTGGTCAGGCCCGACAGTTTCAGTTCAAAGATATTCCGTCGAAGTGTCTTGTTAATAGCACATAGACACCGGGAGAATATCGCGTGGTGTTCACTATCAAAACCCTCGGGGAGAATCTCAGTGAAGGCCTCCTTAATCAGAAAGTCTTTTGCAGACTGATGAACAAAGGTGACTGTGTCTTTTCGCAGTGTCAAGAACGACCGACAGACGGCAATAACTTCAGAGAGTGCAGCAAGGTCGTCAATGCCATCTATGCGCCCGACAAGAAGAGAGCCTAGTTCCTGCAGCGTGACAGGGCGATATATTGTCGATATGGTACCCAGGATCTGCTTGCAAAAATCCGCATCTTCTGACTTGCGGACTTGCTCCATCATTCGGTGATAAAGTGCATCCAACCCAGGAGGAAACTCGCTTAGCTTCTTCGGTACGCGCCTTGGTGGTGTTTGAGCAAGATTTTTCAAGACCAAGGAAACCCATAAGAAAGTTCCCTGTGAGTTCAAAGTTAAATGACGATAAACCTCGTCCCTGATTTCAGGCTTATAGCTTTTTCTGCGTGCCAGTAAGTCCACTTTTTGCTTAATGAATAAATTCACAGCTTCAGACACAGATTCCTCATTTAATTCCAATGAGACTGGAGCCACCTGACTAGCAAAGTCAAGGCATTCGATAATTTCATTTTCGTTCCGGCTGGAGATGACCCATTTAATGTTTTTATGGGTTGTTGACTTTTCATCGATCAGACGAAGAAGGTCTTGACAGTTATGTCGACATTCATCCAACGCATCAATCACGAGGTATATGCTTTTCAAAGACGGGTCCTCGAGAATATGCGTGAAAATAGAGACGAGTGCATGCCACGCATTGACATCATCAAACAGACTTTTGCCCGCTGAATCATATCGAGCTCGCACATGGTGAAGGAGCGATCTATTTTGGTCAACGAGCATATATATCAAGCCGCGCAGGACAGAGGTGGCGCTGTTGATCCGTTCATCGGTAGCTTGACAAAAGAAGAACGATATAGCTGCATGATCCCCGTGCAACCTTGTCAACTCTTCCACAATTCCACACAGAAGCATTGTCTTGCCTTTGCCAGGATCACCTCTAATCCAGAGGACGCGGTTGCTCTCGCTGTCTCGCCACTGTTCGAATGCCGGATTACTTAGAACCCACCGATATGAGCTTTCGAGGAGCCCTCCACCCAAGCTTTGAAGACGCTCCTTATCATAGCGCGGGTCAGTCGTTCTCAAATCCCGTAGACAGGGTCCATCTGATGCCAGTGATTCTTGTGGACCTAGCGCGGACTCTCATTCAGTAAAACCCTTATCGGAGTGACCGTGCCACTTACCAATAACGATAGTCCCTTCATTCACTCCTACCTGGGTTCCATTATTTTTCCCATTTTGTGAGATGTTTGTGGTCATCATAGGAAACGATGATGTCCAAAGTGTTGGTGAGTGAAGAGTGGGTTGGGCTTGAGAGTTGGGTCGGGTCTCATAGATCCCAGTCTACCCCGCTCTCAGGCGATGCATCTCGACGCAGGGCAACTACTCAGCCGCAACACCGTGCCTCACATGCATTTGGACAAAAGTTAAACATCTCTATTAATATTTCCATTCAGTCTGACTCTTTTAGATCGAGAGACACCGCCTGTGACTCTAAGAAATGCATGTCAGCTCTGAGGCGGGAGGAGCAGTCTGTGCCCAGGCGATAAAATATATTAATATTAACTGCGAAATGATCAATACACACTCCGGCCCTAAAGAAGCAACGGTAGCCCAGTAGGAGTAAATTTAATTTCATAATGATAGCGGCAATGAGCTTATACGGGTATACTCCCCAGGGAAAGAAACGTAGAATAGATTTTGCAATCAACTCCCTATCGGACCCCATTGGTGTTCATCCAAACCCGCACGGGGCTTTTGCCCAGAGCTTTAATGATATACCACGTGATCCAGTTGAGCTGCTCAGTGAGCTTGCGGTATGAGTGCTCTCATTCTAAGAACGGAATCCAAGAGGAAAGCTCCGCTCTGCTTGACGTAGAGTTATTAGTGACCTGGCTATGTCATTGGGGCTTTTCCTCTTTCTTTGTGGATCCTATTGACGTAGAGTCACGCCATCCTAGGCTCAAGGGAACATGAGATGCCAAGACCCGGTTTAAAAGCGCGGCGCTTAAGGTTACGATATTGGGAGTGGAAATTAAGGGGACCTTGGATTCCAAACTGAGCAGTGGGTCACCAAGCAGAGACCACCTGGGCAGACCTCGCCGTGATTAGTGGATATTTCGGATCGTAGATCTTCCGGTCTTCGGAACTCGTCTAAGGGGTCACGATTGCTCGAGGAGGGAATGTGACGGAGTACAATGGCAAGGATGCCAGAATCGGGGCATTACCAAGCACATTGGCCTTGGCGCAAAGGTCTCGGCCGGGGCTTCTGAGTAAAGCAACCTAAATTTGCTTCAATCACCAGCCACCCATTCAAGAAGTGGAGCCACTTCTGCAGGCCTTACTCCGCCATTGCTCTTGGCATCCTCCATGCAGGTTAGACAAGTTGAGAATACTCCATCGCAGCTTGAGCGGACTCCCAGGGTGGGGCCCGCGAAGGACCCATTTCCAGGCTGGCGAAGGTCAGCATCCAAAATTTGGGATCTCCATTGGCCAATCTCGATATAGAGCGAACTTACGTGCAACTGCCAAGAATTCGCTTTCCCCCGATGGGTTGGACCGGGTGATCTCCACGGGTCTGAAAGAGGCAGAAAGCACACACCACTGCATTGCTGGCCTATCAGCTGTTTTGGATTTCCCCCTTCCCGAGGTCTGGGACATATGGATCAAGTAATCCAACTTGCTCCGGTCCCGGGGGAGTGAACGAGGTAGCCCTGCCACCACTAGTCCAAATGCACCTTGTGAGTCGGACCATGCAGGGGATGACGATTGATCTTCGGTCGCTTCCCCGATCCGTGTAAATAACATTTAAAGGTCTCGCAATCCCCCGAGCTTGGCGACGCGCCGTTGGTGTTTATTCCTCTGGGTTTTGAACAGCCATGCATTCCATCTCGCTCCTGGCGGGCCTTATTAGTGTGGCCAATGCCGCCTGCCCTTATATGACCGGTGAATTGCCTGGTAGCAATCCTCATGTTCAGCGCCGGGATGATGGAGGTGCTGCGGGAGAGACGGAGCAGTTTCTCTCGCAATTCTATATCAATGACCAGAATGCGACCTTGACGTCGGATGTGGGCGGTCCCATCGAGGATCAAAACAGCTTGAGCGCGGGAGAGCGCGGCCCTACTTTGCTGGAGGATTTTATTTTCAGACAGAAGATCCAGCACTTTGACCATGAGAGAGTAAGTGACAGACTCCAGGCAATGGTCTGTTCAACCACTCATATGTTTCCTCTGTAATTAGGTTCCGGAACGAGCCGTCCATGCCCGCGGTGCTGGTGCTCACGGTGTTTTCACTTCCTATGCGGATTGGTCCAACATCACGGCTGAGTCCTTCCTTGGTGGCGAAGGCAAGGAAACTCCTATCTTTGCTCGTATCTCGACCGTCGCTGGTAGCCGGGGAAGTGCTGATACTGCCCGAGATGTGCACGGCTTTGCGCTGCGCTTTTACACGGACGAGGGAAATTTTGGTAAGACCTTCACCACTCCTATGGCCGAACCCTATCTAATATCTGCTAGACATTGTTGGCAACAACATCCCCGTGTTCTTTATCCAGGATGCTATCCAATTCCCTGACCTTATCCATGCCGTCAAGCCCAGCGGCGACAATGAAATCCCCCAGGCCGCCACTGCTCATGATTCCGCCTGGGACTACTTCAGCCAACAGCCAAGTTGCTTACACACGCTCATCTGGGCCATGGCTGGTCACGGAATTCCCCGTTCCATCCGCCACACGGACGGGTTTGGTATCCATACCTACCGCCTTCTCACCAACGACGGGAAGTCGAAGCTTGTTAAATGGCACTGGAAGACCCTTCAGGGCAAGGCCAGCTTTGTCTGGGAAGAAGCCCAGCAGACGTCCGGCAAGAACGCGGACCATCTCCGCCAGGATCTTTGGGACGCGATCGAGGCCGAGCGTTACCCCGAATGGGAGCTTGGTATCCAAATCATGGAGGAGGAAGACCAGCTGAGATTCGGTTTCGATCTGCTCGACCCGACCAAGATTGTGCCCGAAGAATACGTTCCTATCACCCCAATCGGAAAGCTGCAGCTCAACCGCAACCCCAGCAACTACTTTGCGGAAACCGAGCAGATCATGTTCCAGCCGGGCCATATCGTCCGCGGCATTGACTTCTCTGATGATCCTCTTCTGCAAGGTCGTCTGTTCTCGTACCTCGACACCCAGCTGAACCGGCACAACGGCCCCAACTTTGAGCAGCTGCCTATCAACCGACCCCGTGTCCCGATTCACAACAACAACCGTGACGGAGCTGGCCAGAATTATATCCCACTCAACAAGGACGCTTACACCCCCAACTCCCTCAACAACAACTCTCCTTACCAGGCCAACCAAACCCAGAACAACGGCTTCTTCACTGGCCCGGGTCGTACTGCCAGTGGTAAGCTGGTTCGCAACCGGAGCCCGACTTTCGCAGATGTCTGGTCCCAGCCTCGTCTTTTCTGGAACTCGCTCATCGATGCCGAGAAGCAGTTCGTAGTCGACGCCATGCGGTTCGAGAACGCTAATGTTATGAGCGACGTGGTCCGCAACAATGTCATCATCCAGCTGAACCGCATCAGTAACGACCTGGCCAAGCGCGTGGCGGAAGCGATCGGCGTCGACGCTCCCGCGCCAGACCCTACTTACTATCATGACAACAAGACCGCCAACGTCGGTACCTTTGGCCACAAGCTCCTTAAGCTGGAGGGTCTCAAGATCGGTCTCCTGGCCTCTGTTTCGAACGCCTCGTCCTTGACCCAGGGATCTGCCCTGCAGAGCCAATTCAAATCTGCCGGCGTCGACGTCGTCGTCGTTGCCGAGCGCATGGCGGACAAGGTCGACCAGACCTACTCCGCGTCCGACGCCACCCAGTTCGACGCGGTGGTCGTCGCGGACGGTGCCCAGGGCCTCTTCAACCCCCATTCTTTCACCGCGGTGCAGAACAACCGCACTTCCACTGCCTCCACTCTGTACCCAGCTGGTCGCCCATTGGATATTCTGCTTGACGCGTTCCGATTCGGAAAGACTGTTGGGGCCGTCGGCCAAGGTTCGCTTGCTCTGCGCTCTGCCCAGATCTCGCCTGCCCGCGAGGGTGTGGTTGTGGCAGGCTCTGTTAGCGACGCCTTCACTAAGAATCTCAAAGATGGTCTCTACACCTTCAAGCACCTGGACCGCTTTGCGCTGGACTAAGGGGTTAGTGAATTTTGTATTTGTGTATAGTTATGAGTACATATTTGCCTACGGCGTATGACTCATGAGTGTTGACTAGGCCTGAGTCTTTTGAATTTGTCCAATAATAAAATGTTCACATAATATGAATAATCCTTTCCATTGTATGTACTTTACTTGATTGGTAATGACTTGTAAAGCTGGTATAGATCGTAGTAGTCAACTTCACTTCTATCGAGGCTTACATGTCCGGCATCCGTTGGCAGTCATATCTATATATACCTAGGCAAATTATATCCAAAATAGGCAAATATAAGCCCCAGGAACAAAGTCTAAGTCGCTGAGCACTCGACCACTCCTAGGAACCAGAAAGTTGCTCGAGGTATAGGTCACGGATAGCATATTAGCTCCCACTAGATGTATAGATAAGCGAAGCCATAGCTCTAAGCATAGTTGCCTACAAGTTCCTTCTAGTACAGCTTCTACACTTTATAGCTCGTCGGTCTTTGTAGGGCTTTTACTACTCTAATCTTATACTAGTTAACTATATCTTCGGGACAGAGTGGCTATACCGGGACATCGATCACACTTCTTGCATATTATCATTTACTGTCCAAGCTGTCCATGTAGGATAGACCTCGTCTGATACTGGCCCTAGAAAGAGGCTGGTCATGTTTAGGATAGCCACGATTTTTTCGTTCTTCTTAGCGGTATATCACTGCTTGGATACATCACTTAGTCTCTTATTAATCTCGATCAAGTATCTACATATACGTCATCAACAGCACTAGCTTTCCTCTATCTTACACAGGCTACAGACGTTACGGTCGTTATAGATAAACATTTCGAACATAGCTAGGATTGTAATCCTGCTACTTGGACTAGTGCCGGCCAGTCTTTATGCAGCTACCCTTTTCCTTCTATTTCTCGATTATCTTGTGGTATCGACCTGGTACGGCTGGCTTATCACCTAATCAGCCCGTAAATACAACGAGTCGATTGATCCTGCGCTATAGTACATGCTGTCTCGTTATAAGAGATCTCGTGCTGTTGGCCGTTACTATCGTCGGGACGGTCCTGAAAGCCTGGCTAGGGCTCTGGTGATATCTCCCCTACCACAACGTCCGGTCCTGTCATAACAAACAAAACTTCAACTGTCTGTTATCATTGTATAGGTAGTCGCACTAGAATGGATCTTTGAAGTAATGCTTCCGCATGCAACTTTAACCTGCGGCTTTCCAAATGAGCGCGGTTTTGATTTTGATTGCTTAGATACCATAGTCGCGTATGAAAAACAAGTAACCAGCCGTGGTACACAACGTCGAGCGATGCTTAACAGAAGAGTTTTGACGGTTTTAAGTCTGATACAAAGACGGAATGAAGGTCGAGTCAAAGTCAAAGAGTGTAGTGGTAACTTTAATTTCGAATACTACTGTATACCGGAGTACCAAGGTGAACAATTAGGAAATGAATCTATAGACGAGATGTCCTCTAAGCTTGAGGGAAGCTCCCGTCAATCCATTGAATCCATTCACTTGTCAGTTACATAGAATCAGACTCAGCATAACCACAAACACGAGCGACGAATTCAAATTCGTAATCATTTCTGCAAGTCGGAAGGTTTGATGAGGGATAAAATTCTCCATTGCCTGCTTCCTCGTATTCTTCCTCTTCCTTAGCAGCGTCGAACATATACCGAAGCACTGCCCGACAGCCCCCTTGCACCCCAGCACGTTGTAAGAAGTTCCTAGTATGCGGTGGCCACTCACTCCGATTGTTACAAAACCACTCCAGGTTTTCTGGGGTAGGAACTCTTCTTGCCTCAAGACACTCTACGGCAATCTGGAAAATATTCACAAAGCCTTTCCGGAGCGATTTGTTGGTTTTGAGATTTCTTCGCACATCGCGATCGAGGTGCACGAGAATGTCGCTATTACTCTTTACCCAATAATGGCCATCATTGATGAACTCTCGGCTGAGGTCGTAATTGACCTCGCCTTGAGAAATCAGAGAGTCCCTCATTCGGGCAGATATGAATCCTCCGACGCACCCTCCGCAGGTACAGCCGTAGCGAAGGTATGCTTCACTGGACCCCAAACCAACCTGGTCCTGCAGCAAGGATAGACAGGATACTGCAGTATCGCAGTGTCCTTCAAAGCGGTCTGATATGTTCAAGACTCTGACAAAAACGCGCTTTTGACTTCGCATTTCCTCTAACTTCTCCTGTAATGCTTCAAGTGGTGTGTTCCCCTTGATATCACGGGCTGACCTCCAGGAGTCAGCATAATGGACATTCTTAAGTAGCCACTGTGTACTTAGGGGCTTGAGTTCACAAGCTGTCAGATGCAGGAGTGTGGATTCAGAGTTGGTTAACCGATCCCAGTCAGTCCCATCGTCAGCATGATTGACGAAAAAGGCTTTGAGCTCTTCGTCCGTCAAAGTAAGAGCTGCATGATGCAGTGGCAATGTGTCACGAAGCCTTTCCATTCTCAAGTCCTGAGGTCTAATATGACGATCACTCTCGTAAATGAGTTGCAATTCCTCAGTTTCAAGCTCTTCAGCCCGGCTTCTCCGCGGGTTGTAATCGGAAGCCGCCGTAAGAGCGTGAGACTGATGCTGGAGGTTGAATGAATATGCAAAACAATGAGATGCTCCAATTCGGCGGAAACCACAAGATCGCCAGAAATTAATAGCACCGAACTGAAGCTGTTCCTTCATTATCAATCGTTCTTCTGCAGATTTACCCTTCAACTGTGATTCGATTTCGGATGTTAGAATTCCAGGACTGACGAAAGCATGTAGAGTCCATAATCGCTCAGACACCGCATTGGACTCAGGATTTTCATCAAGAAGAATGTCGTCGACTGCCTCGTCTTCTGAGCTAAGCCGTTTGGCTCTCTCCAAAAGCAAAGTCGCCATTTTTTGTCCCAGTCCTTTCCGACGTAGGTCGAATGCTGTCACACAGAGTTCTTCAATTATGAAAAGAGGACTGTGAGAAAGCTCATCCCCCCCAGACGCCAGTTCCTCTTTGCACTGGATGATCCTTATACTTCGTCTGGATAAATCCGAATCGATTAAAGATATTGAAGGCAATATCGCACATGCCCTCACTTTCCTCTTCCATTCTTTCCCAGAATTCAGAGCGAATGCATATTCGATCAATGTAGCGAGCAAGAGCATTGGCGACAACACTGCCATCGCAAGTACATTCCGCAACAAGGGTTTTCATCCACTTAGAGTCGCTGAATCCTTCATCTCTTAAGAATAGTCGGATTTTTATTGTTCGTGCCGGGTCATCGGAGGTAGAGTATTCGTGCTCCTCGATTTCCTGTTCGTCATTTGAATCTTCGTTCTGATCTTCCGCCCACCATTCTTCATCAGTGCTCTCCGAACGTTCGGACTCAAAGTCATCTTGGAAGTTCATTTCTGGATGTCAAACATTGTAAGCGGGGCTCACATCCTTCCTATCACTGGAAGAGGGAGAACGCACGGCTTCGCTCGGAGGTGACTTGCATTACCCCTAAATTTCCCTCTTCTTTTTCCCTCTTACTACAGCTTAGCCTCTTGGCTTATTTTGGGCGAGAAGATTGCAATCTGAAAGAAGAGGGTCAAGTCAGCGGAGAGACAGAGCGGAGCCGGTCAATTCGCGAGGGAATTTCCTATTTCTTGAAGGAAGGCTGTCGGAATGACTAACGTATATCTTACGCTATCCTATCGATAGAAAGTGCGGGATGCACAATAGCCAGTATGCATGTGAGGATGGAAAACTCAGCAAAAAGGGATTCGGCGGCTATCTACTCACTACTATTGGCCCTGGAGCGAATCAACAAGCCACGCATGAGTCAAGCATCAGTCTTTTCCAATAAAACTGTCCAGATGGAATGTTACACTGCATAACAAGCTTTACTATATTTGGTAGTGCCAATGTAGCATCATGCCCTCAGCACTGAGGCAGGCATGCATGAGCTTAGTGGGACTGATAAGCCTCATTTGAAGCATAGGCAAGTGAGGGGAAGAAACCGGCGCATATAGAATCACCTGATGTTGCCTGTTTGCCCGATAGGTCGGGCACTGACTGGTTCTCTAACCCCTATCACATTGACATGAAACGTCCTGTGTGATGAAACACCGACCAGATACGTGCATATCGAGGCACCTTAACTCTCGGTCTTCGAATAGCGTGGAAAAGATCATACAGCTAAAGGTGCTGACGAAGCTTTGCTTTCGCATGGTATCCCGAAGCTGGAAAGAGTCAAGTTCCTCATTAACTTCGCTCTCTACAAATAGTGAAGTACTTTCGAAGGACTTGTGTAGAAGGCTTGAGGAACTTGGGACTCATATTGGTCTTCTCCATGAACAAAGAGACCATATCATCTCCTCCATCGAGGGCGCTATCAAGATGACATAGGGTGCAAACACGACCAAAGAAGATACTGATGACTACTATATTTTGACTTGCTGATCACTATCTCAGATTGAGGCCACGAGCTAAAAAGAGCATAATAGATCCGTTTACTTCAAGTGTAACCGCAACTCTGCTATGCGCAGCTCAACAAAAGGACTGGAACCAAGTGAAGCGACTTGTTGAGGCACACGACGATTCCAGCCCCGTGCCACCTAGCTGGCCTGAATTTGGCATTCTCACTTACTGCCTACCATAAGAAGTGGCAGGTTGTGGAGCTATCGCTGGACAAAAGGGTTAAATCCTAATAGAAACTTCCTTGATGTTCAGCCAGCTACCCTTGTAGCTGCTTCGTCGTTGGCTTGGAACGCAGTGAGAGCTTGCTCCTGGAAAGATACCAACTTAGGGACAAGGGCTATGAATAATCCTACTGCACTTTTGTTCGCCATCTTCCGCCAGAACTGGGATATGGCTGAACACCTTGCTGTAGCTGGAGCAAATATAGAGGTGGTGGAAATTTCTGTCTTGATCGCATCAATATACTATCCACCGCAGCCTCCTATAGACATTGGGGCCGTATCAAGTCAATAATCGAGAAAGACGCCGATTGCGAGTCTTTGACTCTGAACGGGGATCTAATTCTGGTAGTCGCTACAGCCTCCAAGTGATGGGATACAGTATACCTTCTGGTCGAGCAAGGAGCGAATATAAACACAGATTTTTATTCAGAAAGGCTCTGAACCTTTTCCAAATTGTGCAAAATCCATTCCTTGAGCTACCTGTAATTGAGCTGCCTTATTCCAGACTCAAGAATGGGGGTTGGGCCAAACTTGGTGGCCTAGCGCCTGGCCTTTGCAGCACAGCGGAGTCATTCACATGATAACACTAACACGGACACAAGTAGACTGAGAGGCAAAATGAAGTCCCAGGTGCCCTCAGGTCTTCGTTTTCGCTTTTTGTCGCATTCACCTTTTCTTTTTCGTTGCATCGAGTGTATGTATCACGGATCGGAGGAACCTACTGCAGATTCCTGGATCAAGTGGCTTGTCCCTGGTTCTTGCTACTCAAGAGCCAATCAGGCCCGACGAAGTCGAGGTCCCAGGCCATGTTGAGTCAGACTCCGTGTCAAGCAGCCTTTTGATTCTGCGCGCTCGGCCCGATCCTCGGACAGTTCGCGCTCGAGACAGAAGGCCAAGACACTTCGTGGTCCACACTGTGATACAATGTCCAAGTCCAAACGGGCTTAGGCAAACCGGCGATACTGAGGACCGACCTGAGTGTACTGCTATTGCAAAGCTGGCGGAATGCACACCACAAAGCCGAGGCCTGGATCGTGTGGTGTTTCACCAAATCTTTCGTACCCAGCCTTTTGCATGCTGGGCCGTGTCGCAGCAGAAATTGACACAATCATGCAAGAGATCATCATTACTCATTTGCCCTTCAAACTTTCTTGGGACAATTATATGCTATTTGTATACTAGGACTAATATAAAGAGATTAGTCTGCTGTAGACGATTCTGTTTGCCGGACTACGTCGCAAGCACGTGTTGGTATATTCTATGCGGGTATCTTCTAAGCCCCGAATTCGAAAAGCGACGGTCGAGATTATTATAATCGCTCTTAGGGATCTACACCTGTGACCCGAGGCTAGTAACACCAGACATCACGCATACTCATCCGGAAGCCAATCAGTACTATGAATATCGGATATATAAAGACTACATCGCCCGTCATGAAACTCTTTCCCCCCAACACCACCAAACCCGAACCCACCACGCCAGCCACTTGCTACTTCATCATGGCCTTCAGGATCTCAGCTCTTGTAGTCCTCAGCTTGTTCGTCGCTGTTGGAAACTGTATACCCGCGGATATAAGCGTGGATATTTCGGGAGTGCCAGGTGCGTGCGGATACTTGACTCCATTTGTTACGGTTATGCTGATAGAAGGGTTAAGGCGCTGATGTGCCGGACGATTTGTTTTACCGCGGGCCTATTCCTCCGAGCAAAAATTTCCAAGGCAGTTTCGATGGTAACAACATCAACATCAATAGTCCAGGTAATGGCGACAGCAATAATATGGGCAACTAAGATCCATGGATATGACTGGGCTCCAGAGTGTCTCGGTGATTCGAGAAGCCACTAGCTGATCACCGAGGATGATTGTGGGAATAGGAAGCTTGATGATGGTCGCTGATCAATAATCTGCTTATTCAGGGGCGGTCATTGCCGTCTCAGGGCTTTCTTTTGGTAGCGAGATCTATTGCAGGACAAAAAATTAGAGCCCGGTGCTGAGATCGGGAATTTTAATTGAGTTCAGTTCCTCTGAATCGTCGTGTTCATCCCGGATACTAGAGATTCATTCTTTGGCCCGGAGACTCGGGTTCTCAGCTCACTACATTCATAATAAACATGACAAAATTCTTTCGTGGAGTTAGGTCAATTTTCGTCTCAGAACTCTTACACGTAAAGCAGCAGAACTGTATTCTCGAAAGCAGTTGGAATCATGCGCATCCTAAAAGATAGCGATAGCTATGGTGATAGTCTTTACTATTTCGAACTGTGGATGGATACTGCCCGCAGCAGCCGAGACAAGTAGTTCCGTCTCCTGATGCATCGCCGGTCTCTCAAAGAGATGCTGCGAAAGGATGACACGTACTGCCAATGGCACTGCCCATACACTGCCTGCAATGGCCGACTAAGCTCGTGGCTATGAGCTTGACATGCGACTTCCTGCTAGTATACAACTCGTGGGTAGGTGGTATGAAGAATCGACCATGTTTCTCCCTGCGTATGCCTGCTAACAAGCCATGAAACGGAAAGGCGTCATGATCTCAGGGGAAGGATTGCGGCCTGCTTGGCATTGAACATATCGGCTGGTATAAATGAGGACGTGATCATGCTGAAACAGCAGGGATCTCGGAAACTGTGTGCTTCGAGAAGTGGGATTGAACTGTGTTCAAGTCCTATTCTGCACTTGTTTTTGAACACCGAATGGTTCAGAGGAAATGGCGGAGGTCCAGTAAGATATGGCTGGATCCTGGGGAGATCTACAGACAAAGAAGAACACTTCCAACACAGGCAACGCATCGTTCCAGCTTTCGAGTTTTAGTGATTTGGCGGATTGCCTGATATGCGTCGCGATCCATGGCTGATATTGCATGTTCTGAGTGGAGAATCCGAAAATGAAAAGAATCCAGAACAGAAGATCCGGGGCCGTATTTTGGAGCTTATTGAAACTTTGTGCGAGGGCGGGGCGAAGAGCTTTCATGATAGTGTCAACGCATGGCGAGAGTGGGGTGGACCATATTCTAGACGAACAATAGGCCAGGATGGCGAGTCGGATCGTTTCGTGTGAGGGACTGAGCGGGCACTCCATGGGCAAGTGAAATAGTCGACGAGTTGCGAAGATAAGATAATTGTTTTTGATCCGCGAATCCTCGTTTTCTATATCACTCGCTGATTCGTAGTATGCGATAAGATGCTGAAATGACCGAAGGGTATCAAGGAGAGGAGGAGGTATGTCTTTAGACCAGGGGGAACTGAAGAATCGCGACCCCAACGATGAAGGAGGCCAGCCGTTCACCCGCAGATAGGTTTCAAACTCCTTTTTTACTTCGTTCTCCCATTTACTGGCCATGCTAAAACTAGGCGAAAGATTGTTCGCCAACGCGCCTACGATCTCGGCGCTGTACATTGTGATTTAGTTAGCCATCTCCGATAGTGAGCGAAATGAAAGCGAAGAGCAACAGTGGGGTCATACCAATAGAAGACCGATAGAGTATTATTTTTGATATTATCATATCCGCCTAGCGCATTCGCGATCTGCTTCAGAGCATTGAGGTGGGCGTGGATCCCTTTCGCCTTTGTATAGAGCACCTAAATTCCAAAGGTCAACTTTTTGGTCTAGTCTCCCGTTTATCATAAGTTACCTCGATAAAGAGAAGCTGTGCTATAATGGGAACAGTGGATTCCCACGTGCTTCGTCGATCATCATTGAGTAGTGTGCGTAGGGAATGCATTGCTTGAACCTTGAGGGACAGTGCGTCGCGACCGATCTTTTCCACGATATGCTGTGGATACCCCGCTCTGGCATAGTTCCACGACTGTGAATAGGCACCTGAAGCGCCGAGGATCTCGATAAGCGTGGGTTGGTCAAGAGCGATTCTGTAGTGCCACTGCGTCATTGTGCTCGCGCAGAAGGGATACGCTGTCCGTGACGTGTACGACTTGACTATATCCCGGTTAGAGCAGTGTTCGATAAATCTGGGGCGGTACTTGCAGATACGAACAGAAGTAGAAATACGTATTGACATTCTGACTGGTCAGCCCTGATAAAGACGGGAATACGTCCAGCGGCCCACATTGGATGGACGGAGCGATCCGCGTGTGCGGACGTGGAAAATGCGCAACTGTCGTGCTACCGGTGGGGAAGGGTTTGATTGAATCCTTGAGCTTTTGCAGCCTGGCGGCTTTGCTAGACCTTCTGGCAAAATTGCGTTTCTCTTTTGCATTCTCAGCCCGGTCCTGCTCGTGTCCGACCCAATAGAAGCCTCCTGGTGAATCATTGAGGCCCCCCGTCGCTCGATGGGGCGCCGATTGCTGAGCTGAAGCCATGCTGGACGTGTATCAGCCAATCAATTAAACTATGTTCCTTTCAAGGTACTTGCACCGGCAGATCGCTGAAAAGGCCTGCAGGCCCTTGACCCGGGCTGAAGGTTCATCTAGTGGTGATGCTACGACCACGGCCCCAGTTTAGTACTATTTAAGTAATATTGGTGCCCCGTAATGCCTGAATACCAAGTGGGGCTCGTTAAAGTCATCTGACTCTTGCGGGGATAAGAAGAGATTGAACGAAGGTTATGCCTAAGGAGGGAAAAATTACTGCTTTGGGCAAAGGCTTTTCTTCCGATTCGTGTGGTTCTCCGTACGACAACCAAACTCGGCAGTTCGCAGCTTTCAAAAAAGGTGAAAGTCCCACCATGCTGGTGATATGGCCCTGCGCTAAGTGCTATTCCAAAAGCACGAAATGCCCGCTAGGCTCGATGTTCTAAGTCGTGGCGAATATCTGAGTTCATATTTACTTGGGGCTAGTAGGTTTGACCTATCATGGTTTTTCGAATGCGGCTGGATATAATAACGTATGGTACAGAAGATCGACGTGCCCAAACCAGTCCCAGCTCATTTCAGCGCAACGCTTTGATCTTTCGAGACTATGTCTTCTTCTAAAGCAACTCGTTCCCGTCCATCAGCTCCTCTAAAGCGACCGAAGGCGTACCGCTTGTTCAGCGACGCCAGGTAAGCTTTACGCTTAGAGCTTGAGAACGAATGGGTGTTGCGAAAATCTTGCAGTATGCGACTGTGTATGATCCAAGGAATCGTAGCGCCAATAGATCTCGGGAGCCGGGGCCCTTTGAATCGATTTTGCCGTGCGAAAAAGACAAGGAGGATGACGGAGATATCGAAGGATATGAGAACCAGCGCGATGAAGAGGACCGGGAGGGAGAAGATGATGCTCCAGACATCTTTCATTTCGAAAGCATGTTTCACCGGTGGGAATGGATTTTGGTGAGACTGAAGGTAGATGTCGCGAGAGGCGGAGAAGTAGGTATTGTAGTTTAGTTGGTAGAGAGACTCTACAAGCTTAGACAGGCGAGTAGGCGTCAGAGGGTCCCAGTTGGGGTATAGCTCCAGGTAGAGGTCATCAGCGATGTATCCGGCCCATTCGTCGAATCCATCGTAGCGGACTTCTTCCCATTCTGCGAAGGGAACTTCGCTGGCTGGGCCAAAATAGGCCCCGGTAACGAATTTGGTGAAATGTGAAATGCTGGTCGATACGTTCTCATGCAGCGATCCCTCGCGGATGACAGTGTTCTTGATCGGTAATGATTGTTGGATATCGCCCTTGTGGTTGAAAGTCGTATTGAACTTTTGTATCGTGAAGTCGGGCTCGCAATGGATACCAATATAATCAGCTGCCAAAGGAAGTATCTCGTAGTCATCGTCGGGGTCTGCCTGCTCTGACATCACAAAAATCGACGATTCGCACATTGTGGAGTTGCCATCATCAAAGGGCGGCAAGAAATAAATAGCCTCTTCCGTGACGTCGTCTCGTCCGTCCAGCCCCCATGGCAATGGTACGATGCAGTGTGACGTTGGATTGCTCGGATTCTGATAGCGCCAATGAAGCTGACCTTCTGTCTCGTTCCAGAATAAGCTCGTGTTTGTTGGAATATGATGACACTGGAGATGTGTTTCGACGCCTAGAGTCGCGGCTTGGTAAACGGCGTCTGGTTTGGATTTACGCTGGATATGAAGAGGGATAAGTGCATGACTTTGAGTGGTCCATGGTAGAGTTAGGATTCCGCCAGATATGCTTGTCCGAACTAGATCGTAATGGAAGTATTCGTCGGCAATATCTGCTTTCTGCAGGATCCTCTGGCTGAATGACTCGGATAGATCCAGCGTAGGGACGGTTGTTGTGATGGTTGATTGGTGGAAGACACCGGCTGCCAGGACCATCAAGACTAGTGTCACGCAAGCAGCCAGTGACACCGCACCTAGAATGAGGCGCCGATCCCGAACAGCTTTGTATAGAGTTGAAAACGGACTTTGAGGGGCGTAATTTAACGAAAGCGCAACCGCCGAGGCCCCTCTTGTGAGAAAGAGCCAAGGCTCCATGAGGCTCATATGCCGAAGCATGGATGTAAAAAGGGAATTCATGCTGGAGGCTATCACAGCCGGAACCAGGTGAAGAATGGTGTGCAACGAACTATGGTGTGATCCGAGTCCGTGGATATATCGGCCATGTTTGTGAGCAGCTTTGACGCCGAGTCCAAGAAGAACCAAGATAGAACAAATTGCCAAAATCTCTACAAAAACGAGGTGTAGGACGAGGAAATGAGGCCGAGGATCTTGACGGACGGCGACATCCTTTGCGGCCTCAAAATTAGAACCTGGTACTTGATTAGTTGTCGTCCGTAAATTGACGAGAGAACGGGTAATACCTTCATTTGGCACAATATTGAGCCTACTGCCGGATTCGTCAATGCGCCAGTGGCATTGCGCCTCTTTGAAAGTATGGTGCAGCTGTCGTGTAGAGAAACGGTCAAATCCAAGACTCCGGTCTGCGAGGATGTTGTCGGGGTGGATTATGTCCGCTGTGATACTGCACATCGCACCAACCGAATCGGGATCGCATCGCAGGAATGACTCTCGTCTTTGATACAAAACGATCAAGAGCAATGCTGCCACAGCTGCGGCGCCGAGAAAGAGTTCTGACCACATAGCAGCGAAAGGGACGACAGTCAGAGCTATTCTTTCAGATGGTCGGCTGGCAGTGACATAAGTCGGGTCCAGCCAATTGTCGAATAGCTGTTCAATACTCAGGAGGAACGTACTGTTAATCGCGCGCGTAATTTTATATTCAAATTCTTCCTCTGAGATCAGATCCATGGCGTTTTGAAGAAGAGGAGGTGAAATCTGGGGCACGGTCCCATTTCTGGAAAGGGGTTTTGTGCGGCTACGGCTGCCACCTTTGTGAAGATGTAGCGTGTCGCTCAAATAAGTTGATAAGCTTGTGAGAAGATCCTGGAAGGCTTTGATGTTGAATTCCAGCTCGGTCATGACATGTGACCTCTCTTGATAGATATGATCAATGACGAGGGAATTGTTTCGAGGGTATATCTGTATATTTGCCTCTCCCATGTGGTATGATACATCACATGCAAAGACAGATGCAGACGGAGAATGCCCGCCAGACGAGACTGAGAGATCAGACATGTTCACATTCAGGAGTAGGGCATATAAGTCGGGCTGTTTACAGCCCGAGCTGGCCTTAAAGATCTGCCCGTCAACGTAAGAGGTCTCCCATGCACGTGTTTGGAAGTACTCGGTGTCCCGGGTGATCACAGTTTCGTACTGCAATCCAAGTGTACAGTTAGGAATATGGAGTTTCCCATCTCCCACCTCGCCATTCAAGTCGATGCCCGATCTGGCCCAGCGAACAGCTCGAGCACCTCCCGGGAGGTCACGTATCTCCATCGATGGGGAGATATTCTCATCCAGCGGTATGTTCCGGCATACATGCTCGGACCAATAGACAGTGTGATTCATTTTCCAAGGAGTGGTGTCGCCTTCGCGCCTGAAAGGAATTGGCACCCACGGAACGCCGAAATCAGGCGACATCGAAAGGGGGAGCCTGCTATCAGACGTGAAAGCAGCCATCCCATTGCCCTGGGTCAAGATGTATTCTCTCTGAGACTCCAGATCAATCAAGGTAGGCCAAGTCTCCAACTCCTCGTATTCCAAGTTCGGCACGTAGTGAAGGCCAAAAACCATAGTTTGCAGTGGCAGTAGGCCCATACGTATCGCAAAGGTCACCAGGGAAATCCAGAACACAGTCCAATGGCCATGTTTTGCAGCGCGGAATGGCGCCAAGGTCTTCTGGCCAAAATTATAGTTCAGAAAGAGAATATTCGCGGGCGCTCCCTCGGGTCGAGACAGTTGATAATACGGCTCCAGGCGTAGCACGTCGAAATCCACCACGCTCCATACCTGAATCAGAAGCACCGCGACGATAGTCGGTACGTAAGTATAGGCGAATTTCTGCAGTGGGGTGATTTCCTCGACACTAGAAAAGAACACAAGCCCTCCGTGCCACTCGCTGTACTGTCGCAGGCCTTCCAAGACGCCTAGCATCGCTAGCATAAGGCAAGCAATGGCCCCGAGGACCTGCGGCTGCAATGTCTTCGGGCGCCAGCACTGCGACCGTTGAGATGCCACATTCCGCAGGGAGTCTGCCCAGACGCTTGTCAGATTAGGTTACGCAAGGGGCATGGCCCCTGGGGGGAACCCAGATACTCACCGATCGCCCGTCTCCACGAGCTCGATCGCTCCACACTGCCATTCTCCATGCTGCCAGGTCCCACAAGGCAGCATGCGGTTGACTACGAGAAGTTCCCCAAGTCGAGTGGCATAATATCCATTAGGAGAGAATAGAGGAGCAGGACTGAAATTGCCGAGAAAGTCCTACCAAACTTTATTCCGTGGCTGAGGCTTAGGTTTCCCTCGAACATCTCGGGCTGGACCCCCCCTTAATTGGCAAATAGAAAACTGTTGCGAAGACTTGGCACCTGTGGCACCATGAGTCACTTTGCTTCCGTGTGGCCCCTAACGCACGTTGGGCCCAAAGTGGAAAAAACTGTTAGTGGGTCAATGAAACCCTGCTGCCTGGGTATCGGAGAGCCTCTGTCGATCTCGCCTATTTCTGTAACACATGCATGGCGTGTTCCTAAACCCCTGAAAGATATTTATAAATGCTATTATTTGGTAGCCCAAGGAAATATGTACAAAGAATGAGTTGGCAACGTCTTCGTTGCATGCGAAGCTGTGCATCGGACAGGCGCGCACCTACCCCCCTTCCGCTCAGGATCACCAAGACTCCTAACAAATGCAAACGAGCCCGACCGGACTCAATGGATGGGTAACAAGAACGCTCCGACACTGACACTTCGTTAGTTCTCTCAAGATAGATCCTGGGTAGCAGAACTCACGAGATAGCAGCAAAACTGGCGCACAAAATGGCGCCTTCCAGGTAATTCGTCTTGCCCTTCAGAACCAGGAAAGATACCAGAATACCGCTGCCAACGAGGGTGATAAGGCCAAAATAATCGAAATGCAAGGTCATGGGTTTACCCAGACCCCATGCAACGAGGACAATCACAGGTGCCACCAGGAGACCGATTTGAATGGCGGACCCGAGCGCGACGCTAATTGCCAGATCCATTTGATCTCTTGCTGCGACCATGACCGCCGTTACGTTCTCTGCGACATTACCAGCCACGGGGATGACGATCAGCCCGACGAAAGATTCGCCCAGGATACCCTTTTCGTTCAGTACATCGAAGCTCGAGGCAAAGAATTCGGCGCAGATTGCGATCAAAACTGTCGAGGTAACCAGCAGGATAAGGGAGTAGATCCGGTTGGCGAATACTTTGTTCTTGCAGCGATGCGGCTGGGCCTTCCGGAAATCGGATTGGTCGTGGCGCTCGGTCGAATTGAGAAGGGGAACACCGGGCTCGGGGTGGATGTCTTCGGGCGATTGGTCCGGGAACGGGGCTGCAGAGACTTCCCGCATTTCCGGCTGTCGTGAGCTCTCGCCGGTGATGGAATCATCGGCGGATGGGTTCGATTCGATATCGCCGAAGAGTTCCTCGAGCGAGGAGCGGATGGCATGTCGTTCAGCTGGGATATCCGCTACTTGGATCCCGGCGGCGCGAGGTCGGAAGAGATGCTTGTGGGTGTTGAATTGGAAGAAAAGGTAAAGAAAATAAATAATTAGTAGAATGACTGAAACGCCGCGGCTAAAGGCCAGGGACATGTGGTCTGCGGATTTGATGCTTTTTACGCTTCCATAGAAAGCTGTGGGGATCATGAGACATGCGACCGTCAGATTCAAGAGGCCAACATATGACTGGGTGAGATCGTTGTTGTATGTCTGATCGGGAGAAAGGATTCCACCCGCGATAATTGCGCTTCCAAGGACGAGTAGCAAGTTGACAAGGATAGATCCGAGAAGGGAGGCCTGGACGACCTTGATGTTATCTTTCATGAGAGCGGTCCTAGAATAGACTTAGTTTGGAGAACAGTATATATGTCGTTGGTATTCAACATACGCACTATATTGAACAAAATGAATTAGTAAAATTATCATCATCAGGAAGTAGATCAGTGAAGTACGAAAGCACACCAGCCATTGCAATTCTGCCGAACTTATGTATCTGGCGTCCAATCAAAGAGCTCAGACTCAAAGGCAATACAGGCCATGGCGAATGGGAATGGTGTAAATCCTCACCGCCTTCTCTAATCGAGGGAAAAAACACTGGGGGAAACCACTCACAAGATAATCAACTCCGCTAAGTTCCCGATTGTGATATTCAACAAGGCCCCCGTTGTCTCCCCCAAATCATGACTCAACTGCTCGGTCGCCAAAGTGAGGGTTATGCTGAGCGGAACGATGGCGATAAGATTCAAGATGAAGACGAGAATAGCGGGACTCGGACATGCTGAAATGAATATCGTCACAATAGCGAAGGTGATTGAAATGATATGCTTGATCTGAAAGAGCTTTCTCCCCTGTTTCCGGAAAGCCAGTGTCGTGCTGTCGCAAAGCGCGCAGGGTATATCTTCGGGCACCGCAGTTACGCGAGAGTATTGTTCAGTCGGATCGGGCCTGAGCAGCTTCTTGAAATGCATCGATATGCTACCTTTAGCTCTGGCGGAGTGGGTTCGACCTGGGAATTCCTCAGAATATCAGTATGGACCATACCAAGGGTCCGGCAGGCAACGAACGATGGCTGAAATCCCACTCCCGGGCTCCACGCCCACCCAAGCTGGATCGGCGTCGATCTCGTATTAAACGAACACCATCCTCGTAGGGCAAACCTGCCCTAATACTCTCATTTTCGACCGAGTCGGCATCAGTGACCATATTTTAACGAAAAGCGACTCAGTATAGAGACGTTGTACTAGAGAAAAAGCACAAGAATCGAAGATCGCGGAATAGGGGTAGGTCTTGGCGTTGGATTTTAGCCAATTCTAATACGCGGCCCTCCAGCACGCGAGAAGCACAAGTTAGATGGGGCTGCGGGATTTGTTTCGGAGCACCGCCAATCAGGGGCTCACTTGCAGCGCGATACCACTGGAATTGCACACAATGCGGTAGTGACCTGCGCCCGCTCTAACTTTTCCCCCCTGGGCGGAATTCTGGCAGGTGGAGTGACAGCGGATTGATCGTATTCAAGCTCGCAGATGTTACAGGAGGAGAAAATCCGCGCAGTGAGGCTGTGACCCTCTCGGCGGGAGGCCTGATGACGGAAGAAATCTTGCTACTACTTCTACTGTCATTGACACCATGCAGCTCTATGCTCTACGAGGCCATTGATCGCACAATTTCGCGACCCTCGTTTTTCGTTCTCGGGTTGGTTCCACCACGCGATTTGGAAAGCTCTTGGCAACCCCTTATCGGCGGGCTCCACTGCAGCGGGCGGTCTGGGGAACATGACAAATTTGATTTATGCAACTGCATGCACATTGTACTCATAATTATGCTTGTCTGGTATGCATATGCAACGGTTTTGGGAATTTGGCCAGACCAGGTGCCTTGCATTGTGTAGCAGCATGCCCAGGTGCTGTCGCTCAAGCGACCGTCTCAAGAGTGTTAGTTGAGAGACGCAATGTCGAGTGGGTGGCGACTGGTGCAGATAATGAGTCTAGTATTGAAATCGCGAAAAGGATATGTTCTCCTGAAGAGAAACATGCTTGGTGCTGGGAGTATTGGTTCCAGCAGGTATTCGATCTCTGAAGTCAAATGACGCTAAACACCTCAATGCAGGAATATGCCGCTATATACAAACCCTAGGTCCTAATAATTAATCATATGGATTTGCTTCGTCAAATCCAATCGCTATCTCCTTGAACCGTGGTACGTAGCTCTCGGCTCCTGGCCAAGCTGTCTCCCTATCAAGATAGTATGTAGCTATCGACTTACATTCTGGACCCCCTCACTCAACCCCTTGCATGCTCGATCTTGGATTTCCCTTCAGAATATCTCGGTTCTACTGCACATCGCTCTTCATGTTGGGCCAACATTGCGGGAGCATGGAGATTTTTGAGACCAAGAATCGGTCATCTGTCACAAGCAGTGGCGAGAATCACCATAGCCGGCCAACGAGTGATCAGGACGGCAAGGATCTTCGACGTATGGGGAAGAAACCTGTTCTCAAGGAGTGCTCATAAACCGCGACGCCCTGCCACTTACGATTTCAGTGGGCTGAAAGAAACCTCTAGCGAAATTTTAGTACTCTTTCGATCCTTGGCTTTAGTTGCGTCCTCTTGGGGACTTGGGAAGGCCTTCTCGGGTAAGCCCTATGTATTCCAAATTGTCTAAACCACCGCTCACTCCGCTTCAGTACCTTTATCAGGCCTCTAGAGAAGTCTGTGCTCAGTTCAGATTTTCCTTGGGCATCAATATACTAAACGATATTAGTGGTGGTTCTGGAGGCACGGTCTATGCCTTCATATTTTCATGGATCGGGACTGCATCTTGTTTTGTGGGGCTCGCGGAGCTGGTTTCTATGTATGATCCTCACAGTATTCAGACGCTGTAGGTGCTGATTATAACAGGGCCCCCACGTCTGGTGGCCAATATCACTGGGCGGCGATGCTTGCACCCGCGAAATATCAGAAGTTCTTGAGCTATATCACAGGTATGTCTCCTCGCCAAGGTGATCTAAAAGAATGCTCACAAGGATCCTGTGTTGTTAGGTTGGTTTGCGGTTCTTGGATGGCAGACAACTTTTACCGCGTGCGCTTTTCTCGCCGGGACGATGATCCAAGGTGCGGCGATTCTCAGTAGCAGTGCATATCATGCGCTCTCCTGGCACGGAACACTCCTCACTTGGGCGTCGTTGGTGTGTGCCCTTGGCGCGAACCTTGTAGGTGGGAGCCTTCTACCGCGAATTGAAACAATTGTTCTGGTGATGCATGTCCTCGGTTTCCTCGGTATCGTTATCCCGTTGGCGTATATGTCAGATCACAAGTCGAAGGAGGAGGTCTTTCTCGAATTCCATAACAAGTTTCCCACGCAAGGCCTGTCCTGGTTTATTGGGATGACCAGCTGTGCGTTTTCGTTTGCCGGCGGTGATGCCGCTGTCCATGTGAGTCTTGGATCTACGCTCGCGTTGAACAGATTGCTTATAAAGACGAGTAGATGGCAGAGGAAGTCGAGAATCCATCACGTGTGATTCCTCGCGCGATGATGTTAAGTGTCGTCGTCAATGGCTGTCTCGGCTTTGGCATGTTGATTGTGACACTCTTCTGTGAAGGCAATCTGGAAGCCGCCATTCATTCCGCTACTGGGTATCCTTTTATGGAGATTTTCTACCAAACAACTAATTCGGTCCCCGGTGCACTTGCAATGTGCTCGATCGTGCTAATCATTCAATGCAGCGCTATTATCGGCGTCCTAGCTGCAGCGTCTCGCCAACTCTGGTCATTCGCTCGCGACAAAGGAGTTCCGGGATGGCAGTGGCTGAAGCAGGTTCGTCGAGTTCGCCCAGCGCAAGCCATCTTACACCTGACTGATATCTTCTCTAGGTCTCTCACTATAGGAGTTTACCTCTCTGGGCGATCTATCTTACTGTGCTTATCAGTTCAATGCTAGCATTGATTAACATCGGCTCCTCGGTAGCATTAGACGACATCCTATCTATGGCTGTGTCTGGGTTGTACCTCTCCTATCTGGTGGTTCTGGTGATGCTGCTCTACCGGCGCCTGAAGGGAGATATATCCGTGTGTGATGACAGCAAGGACGGTATAGTCAATATGCCGGGTGCGAAGCTCGTGTGGGGATCGTTCTACTGCCCAGGAGTCTACGGAATCTTGATCAACATAATTGCCGTTCTCTATACTATGTTGGTTGTCTTTTTCAGCTTCTGGCCCTCGAAGATGAGCCCAGATGTGAGGGAGATGAACTGGAGCGTGGTAGGCATTGGCGGCACAAGCGTGCTGGCTATCGTCTACTATTTCATACATGCCAGGCATATCTATACTGGTCCTGTGATAGAGGTATCGATCAACTAACACAAGTTATATTAGAGGGTACAGCAGTTCCTTTTTGTAAGGGGCGCTATCTGAAGCCGATTGATCTTATGCGTGGACTATGCTAATCTATACGGTAGCATAAGGGGCAGATCGATTGGCTGGGCAGTGAAGACAGCGAACCTATTGGCGGTCAACCTAGGGTTTACGTTGACAATGAATTGAGATGCTTCAGCTAGATTCCAGATTCTAGGCTACCTTTATCTGTCTCCGGAAATTAATGCTGGGAGAGCATTATTGTGCATCTTTCAGTATCCAGAACCTGGTCGAGTTATGGCAAAGGCATGAGGAACGTAGCTTTTCCATTACTTGGAAATGCAGAAGGATTATGAGAGGACACTGTATACATGATATAGTAGATAATAAAGCAGTCATTGCCAACTCTCATAGCAGCTGCGTATTACAATGGCCCTTGATTGTGATGCTCTGAGAAGATCACCAGCGTCCCGCAGCCAGTCCGGCTCAGTTCCCTTGGGCTTTTCAGTGTTCTGTTGGCCAGCAAGGGTAAGTGTTCCCCGCTGGGGTTCTAAGTAAGCTGCCTGGGTTTGACGATGGGACATCAACAGTAGGATTTCCCAGCTTGATCCCACCTTCTACAACATGAACCGATATACATATTGCGTATTTAAGTGGCTTAGCAAGAGTCGACTGGTGTAAGTTCTTTGCTAATTCAGCGATGGTCCAACAACGACCAGGAACAGCAACGTGCGGCTTATATCCCCAGTTTTGTGAAAACTGTGAACGCAACTCCCAGACTGTAACGACCGGTAGCACAACACCAATAAGAAGACCTGCTCTGGAATTAGAGCAGCCTCCGACTCCCTTAATCAGCAGTGTGACTAGACTGCGGCATATCCGCTCCAATGGATATGACTTCATATCCATATCCTCAATGCGGATGTCCTCAAATCATCCGCATTAGCATAACTCTCGCTTACCTTCCCGAGTATAGGCTGTCACCTGCAGGTGATGCTAATGTAGCTTACCAATATTTCTCCCCGCCTGAAAGAAAACCATGTTTGGTCATGACAGAACCAACATCTTTAATTCATATTCTGTGGTGTGAAATATTAGGAAATGAATATGTATCTGAGATCTGACTGTGTGACGATTAAATATGAGGCTATAGACTTAAGAGAATTTGACTCTAATCTTGAGTGTGGCTGCGAAATAAGGATTTTCCGGTAACTTACTTGAGAAATACATATATATTTGACTATTGTTAACCTCCTTCAATTTCACAGCAAACAGAGTGAATAAGGAAAAAAAATATATTTTTTAATAAAACATCCCAATTCTAGATTCAAAATAATAATACCTCTTCCAGCTCTCGATACATTAGAGTTTAAAGATATTCCGACCGTGGAAGCAAGAGAAATCATAGATAGAAGTTCTCAAGATGCGGACTTTGCAATTTTTAAAAGGGGTGTGGATATTCTGCGGATATCCGCATGACGATGTTGTTACATAAAAAATACTGGAGAAAACATAAAAATAATGCATATCCCTCGAGGTCACGGGTCTTGGCACATTTGTATTGTTTGATATCTATTGGATATCCGCAAATAGTTATCCAACGGATATGAGGTCCATATCCAAATCCGCAGTTTGCGGATATGGATTGCGGATATCCTTGGACATTGCGGGTCGTGCCGCAGTCTAGGATAGAGTGAGATAACAGATATTAAAGGAGTATGTTATTTGAAAGCTAAGATATATAGAACATTACCGATATCGAATGGACTTAGATTGGAATGGTGAACTTCTTGATATCGAAGCTGTCGTGGAAGGCTGGTGTATGTGTCTTTAAGACGATTAGCAACACAACTAGCGTACCATTAACTGGAAGCTTTCGAGCAAATAGAAACCGAATGACATTCTTATCTCTGTAAAGCTTCCATGTCCTCTATCCTAGAACCCACAGGTAGTTCTTGATGTTGCCTCTATCATTCCTTGTAGTTCTTATTTGTTCGGTCGATCGACTGATCCTTGACTTGGGTCTTCAATAGACACGGGAGGGCGACCTTGAATCGTGGACGAAACATAGAACGCAGAGTTGTTTGGTGAAGCCTCATCATTCTGAAAAGCTTCATGTCTCCTGCCATCTGATTTATCTGAGTCTAAGCATCGAAGAATTGACTTAGCTGCATTCCTCAATTGCTGATTTGACTCCCATGCCCCTCACCTGATTTGGGACCCGAGCCCCGCTCCGATTTACTATCATCACACCAGTACCCAATATCCTTAATCTCAAAACCGTCGGAATTACCGTTTTCAAGATTCTGGGCTTCTGACATCTTGTAAAGTCCTCGTTAATGGAGAATCGACTGCAAGGCAACATGTGTTTGGCAAACCACTCACTTTAAGCGAGAAACTTGGTGGTCCAGGCCTTTGGCCACCTTACTCAACAACCGCAAAAATGTCCGGGGAATGTACCAACAGACTCGAGGAGAGGGTATTTTGGCTTGTAAAGGGGTTTTCTAAATTTACGCGCTGAAAGCTCTTCTCTTAGTTAACAGATGAGACAAAACAAGCCGTGCAATTCATCGTAATTCTATGGAACATGATTCGACCCCACCTGTGATTCCCCTCACTTCACCTTGTTGACGTGGTCCAATGGGCATCCTTCAAGTTCAACTTTCCGCGCGCAGAAATAAAATTTGTAATTAGAACGCACAAACACTCGCCTCCCACGCAGCCGTCTGGATCGTAGAAGCACTCGACTAGTATGAACTTGCCTCTTGTCTCCTCAGTCTACTAAAAGCTGTGAGGCACAACGCCGTAATGCCTAGTTCAGGTAGATCAACACCACTATCGAACATTCTAACGAGGGATCCGAGCATCCAAGTCCGGAGCCCCGTTACAAGCCAAGGTACGCCCCATATGTTGAAATCGCTCTCCACGAAAATTTATGAGATACGTGTATGGCTCATGGAAATCTCGACGCAGATAACCTCTATCCTCGAGGTTACCCTGAGCTTGCAGCATTTATGAAGACAGACGCGGAAATCAGCATGTTTCGACGATTTGATTATCTCCACCTGCGAGAACTCCTTTATTTGCAGGAAGAGCTTACATCATTAGAAGAGCAGTTGCAAAAGTTTGACGCTTCAGAACCTACGGAAATCAACAATATGAGCCGGCGGCGGGACAATAATGAAGAGCGAAAGAAACTCATGTCCCAGATTCGAGTGCTACTTGTCGAATATGGTGATGCCACCCAATCACTAAGTACATTCAGAATCATGCTAACCAGCACTAAAATTCTAGATGACTTTCTTCTAAACTATGATCGCATCTGTAATCTAAACAAACCAAAAACAACAATCATTCGTCATTTCCGTCGATGGCTCGATAATATGAACCCGCTCGTCAGAGAAGAGTTGGCTGTCTATCACAATGAGAGTGACCTTTGCACTACGTGTCCTAGTGTCTCCGACTACGCTATATTGGAAACTTCGTTTCGTTGGTTGGCTGGCAAAGTCATCGGAATAAAATTTCTCGATTGGGTAAAATCTCTCTTTCCAGAAGTCAAAAGCGACGAATCTGACAATTGCGATATAACCCAGGTATTCCAAACCAAGGTATCTTTTAGGAAACTCTCGATAAAGTTTGAATGATTTAACAAAACATTATCACCAGTCTGATGATAGGTGGGATAGCAGCCAAGTGCAGTACGCATCTGATAACCGCATTCGGAACGCAGCAAAGCTGATGGCGGTTATTGGGGCGTCCACTTCACTTCTCGTTCCTATTATCACTTTATACTTTGTCAGTGCGCCATCCTCTAGACTCATATGTATAGTTCTTTTTACTCTATCTTTCTCCACACTCCTCGCGCTTTTTACAAAAGCCAAGAGCTCTGACATATTTGCTGCAACTGCTGCGTGAGTTAACGACCAATCACGAAGAACCGTGCCTTTTATATTCCAACCATTGGTACTAAACCGATCTTCAGATTCTCGGCTGTTATGGTTGTATTTGTTGGGACGGGGCTGGGTGGTACTTAGGAAATGACCGGAAGGATTTTGTCTAATGTGTCTGGCTGCTATGACAGTAAAGATTCCTACCTCAGAATCCAAGCGATATCTGACCAACGGATATCCAGAATGTCCCTCCGTTTCATTTCGTTGCTGGAAACCCTGCTAGGATAATTGGACGGATCGAGCCAATGAATCCGAGCCAAGATGGTAGCCCTACTGGAGGCACAGATGCTTGAAATAAAACATGTTCAACTGTCTTAGTAAAGCCTTGGGACTATTATACAAACAAGCAAGAGGACCATAATAGAACTATAACGCACGCAGCGTTATATAATAAATATTAGTTTACCTAAGAATCGACAAGATCTTAATATTAGAATAGTACACATGTAGATTTCTGACCATCCCTGGACTTGTCACGGAATAATGGGATTCGACGGCAAAGAGCCGTCGAACCGGCGTCAAAAGTACCTTTAAGGGTATATCGAGGCCCTTTAAGCCAAAGTCATATCATTTAATGTCGTTTTCAAGCCCCCCTAGATATATATCTCCCTGCCAAATCTGAGTAGATCTCGCTGCTCATCTTCCTCCTCAGTAGGGTCATAGATGGGCCCTGCCTCTGTTTTGGCAAGTCGCACACCATTCTCCGTTACAATCTCCTGCGATGGAATAACAACGCCAAAGATACTGGCGGGATCACCTCCCCTGTTCACCCATTCGTGGTTCGTTCCACGGCAGAGCATGACATCGTGTGGCTTGAAAATCTTCTCGGCGCCGCCGTCGGTAACCAGGCCGACTGTGCCTGTCAAAACAACAAAAAAGTCCAGCGATAGCGTTCGGTGCATCCACCCCCGCTTGGCGGACTCGGGCAGGTGAATGACTCGACCGGAGGGGCCCTTGGTGTCAGCCAGAGGAACCAGGCTTTTATGGGGCTCAGGCAGCGAGCGCATGTTGTCGACTGGGAAGCCGCGCGATCGCTGGATCTGGATTACGCCGAACCTGGAATCAGGGCCGGGAATGGAAAATCTGGGCGCTGTCAACGGGTCGTAGGGAGTCAGGAGCTCGTCAGAGGCGAAGAAAGCGTTCCTTTGGGCATCGTGCTGAGTGATAACGCGGCGGATAGGAGTGTCCATTTTGATGCGATTTCGATGAGTCGATTGACGAGTGATTGTTATTAGATTGCTGAGGCTTGATGTGAGAACGATTTTCTGAGAGCACCGAGAAACTCATATTTATATTCTCGATTATGGCTTGAGCAAAAGTGAGGTTTTTGCCAGAAGTAGAGTTATTGTCTATGCTGGTGGAATTCGTCGCATCAATAAGCGGCGGCCGTCAGGTGGGATGTCGCCATTCCTAACCAGAGGCGGGCAGTTGATTCGACAAGGCGAGTTTCTGCCGTTAGAAATGAGGATGTCAGCCTGGATTGAGTTCAATATTGCGGAGAGTAATCCTTTCGTCGAGGTTCAGCCTGATAAATATTGAGCCCCTTCGCTCAGTTCGGTCTTGAGAGGCCGAGGCGAGAACATGGCTTATGCGATCGGGCTGAGTGGCATTGCATTTGGAAGGGGTTTGAAGGAGATTCGTTCAGGACACTCAGCGCGAAGTAGTGACCACACTTTCTCCAGCTGAACTTGAAATCTGTTCGGCGGGAAATGACCTTCATTGTTCCAAGAGAAATTGCCCATGCTTGTGTATGCAGTTTTTGAACCCAAATGGACTGGAATGCAACAGCTACCAGTGGATCATCCTGTAGAAGCGAGCAGGATCTCCTGTCAAACTAGGTTTGATCGAATATTTTGAAGTCCTGAATTTTAGCCCCAGCGCCTACATTATGCAATTTGAACAATATTTCGGATAAAAGCAGGTAGCTGGTTCAAGCTGATCCAATACCTAATCAGAGACAGAAGAAGTGACAGAAAAAGTGACGGCGGAAGAGAGGGACATGAGTATATTACGAGTAACTAAATATTAATTCATTATCTTATATCGAATCTATACAGACGCCAAGTGATCCAGCAAATCAATGGACCTCAAAGTCTAACGTTTGCTGTATCCCACCTTGAGAAGATGGCGTGCGAACTAACTGGTCCAGACTTTCATCATCCTCCATAATAGTATCTCGCCACTGGGTCCCATGGATGGACGTCCCTACATTCAGACTTCGCATATGGAGATCCCTGCTGAGAGAGGACCGCCTACTCGAGGGCTGGAATTTGCCATCAAGGGATGGAATATCCATCGGTCCTTCGTTGATGGGGAACGAGAAATTACTAGGTTGTAACTCCATCACTAGCCGGCCTAGAGAGGGGATGGCGGTTGTGATGATACTAAGATTCATGGAGACCCTGCAGAGCATGTTAGAAAGACTCCAAAGCCACCTAGCTTTCATGCACTTACTGGTCCCAAATAGTAACGCGGGTCGTCGCCCCTGGAATTATCAGAATAGGTCCTTAAGAGAAAATCTCGCTCGGCGCAACTCACAGACAGGATCATGGGCCCGGAGCATTCTTAACGTGTTGCGAATTTGGAACCCGGTCGCCGCGCAAACACTTCAGAGCTCGTTAGTCAAGAACGGCTTTCAGCGCTTTTACACTTACAAAACTCTGCTTGACAATAACAGCATCATCCTCATTCGCTTGAAATAGGATAATCGGAGACTGCGGAGCATCAAGCATGGCAGGATGGCAATCGCAGCATCCGTTGTTATGTTGATAATGCCGATGGCCTCAAAAAGCATGCGCTGCGAACGGACCCCCGTTAGGCAAAATGAAAATAGCGCCTCCATCATGGCTCTTACCTGATTGACGCAGTGTTCAGGATCGATCCAGTTCCACGGAGTGGGTAGGTCGCACCGGAAGATCAATGCGAAGCTGGATGACACAGCCCAGGCAATAACCACGCCGATGATGGCCCAGTTTGCCCGGGCATATCGGGTGGTTGCCATCAGACTTCGAAATAGCAATCCTAGGGAAAGCTTCCCAAATGCCATCGTTACCACGAGCAGAATTTGGGCCACGTACTGATACTGAAGTACGGTTAGTCACAGACCGGGAATCTCACGAGAATTGCCCATTCCACTCACCTTCAGGAACTGCACGAGCTCCCCCCTCTTGCAGATTCACTTTCCTGCGCCCGAGGCCATTATGCATAGCCTGCTGAACCATGACGGTTTGGAGAATTGCGAATAGCTATCTTGTAATTTAGCATGGTCCGGCTACGGAAATGCGGGCAACCCACTGTCGCCATCCCAAGTAGAATGTCGTCGGAATAGATAATGCGACCGATGAACCATCGCGCCGCGAGTCGGGTGACCACAACCACAATCGTCAAGGCGAGCAAGGTATACGCGGTGACCGCCGCATATCCGGCGTGGTCATCTTCGGTGATCTCGAAAAGAGGCGGCAACGTGCCAGCCATGTTCACATGGGGGCAGTTGAACTCCAAATGCGCTCCGCGCCAATATATAAGACGATTGAGGATGAAACGCCTTAACGGGCGCCGATCGCGGGTAGCAAAGAATACGACAGAGGCAAGAATCCTTCCATCATCGGAGCAATAAGCTCTGGATATTTCTCCCCGAACTTCCAACAAGCTACAGAGGGCAACCGCTTAGAGCCGTTGCTCTAGGGCTGCACCGTTGACAGCTCCCCCAGCGAATAAGCACCAGCGTGTTGCTATCAGTGTTTTCCCTCTACCTCGGTATTTACCGGACTCCGCCGGTTGGGCGCTCGGGCTCATGCCGCCACTTGGGAGCCGCTAATGCCGCAGGCGCGTGCAGAGCAGAGGAGATCATGCTCGCTTCCGGCAATTGTGCCTGTCGTGCGGGTAACTCCGCGCGCAGCTCTTTGCCTCGCTTGGTAAAGGGACATTTAAAGAGTCGGCCAAGTGCCAAAGCATTAAGGCTGACTAGAGATAATCAACAATGTAACGTCCTCCATTCTCACTCTTTTGCCATTGGCCCAAGCCCGCGTGATAAGACATCCACTCTCCTCCACTCTTTCCATCGGTGCTTGAAAACGCCATAGAACTATCGAACTGTAAAGCCTCCACACCACAAGTGGAGTCGCAGGATGGGTTTCACATGTATCGATTCTGGTCACGCTTAGCGAGTACCTTCCGTCTTGGAGATGACGGAAGCGCCACAGGCACCGCGTGCTCTGGTTCCCGATAAGGCCATGTCGGCCTCGCCATGATATGAAACTGCCATTTAACAATTTGGTCTCTTCTTCTTCCTATCAACTCCCCCCATGTCTTCTCCCCAGGATGGGAGCAGACCAGACAAGGGAAAAAAAACAACAATCCGAAACAAGCTTAACGCTTTGACCCGGCATCCGTCAGGAAGCCGAGTTGCATGACAGCTCGGCCATGGCAAGCCGTGCTTTCGAGATGAACCCCATGGGCAAAAACTCCGTCGAGGTGTCGGTCCTGCGCAACAACCACAGTCGCGGGGGTTCAGACGGGATATTCAATGGCATGACCTCGGGATCGACCTCGAACAGCAGGCGCATGGATGTTGGTTTTTCGCCCCTCCGCAGATCCTTGGCAGGATGAAGGAAGCTAATACGAACGGCGATAGCGCAAGTTCGGCACCCTATCAATTCTGTCGCTGTCACTCACGTTGCTATCTTCGTGGGAATCCATTGGCAAGTGCGTATATACTGGCACCTGGTGATTACGCAAGGCTGACCCCGCAGCAGCAATTATGCGGATGGGCTGGCGAACGGCGGGCCCGCTGGGCTCGTGTGGGGGATGGTTCTCTCGTTAATAGGGACCATGGCCATGGCGCTATCGATGGCAGAAATGACCTCCATTTGCCCGCTGGCGGGGGCTCAGTACCACTGGACTGCGGTGCTGGCCCCGCAGCGGATCCGAACCGTCAGTACCTGGTTCCAAGGGTGGATCACTGTTTTTGGATGGCAGGCCTCCTGCACGAGTATCTGTCTTTTGGTGTCGAGTCAAATTCAGGGCATGGCGCTTTTGAATCATGCCGAGTACCACCCCAAACAATGGCATGGGACACTGATTATTTGGGCGATTGTCCTCTGCGCGGGGATTATCAACATCTACGGGATTAAGATCTTGCCAACGTTGCAGATGATCGGCGGCATATTCCATATCATCTTTTTCATCGCTATTACCATTCCCATCTTCTTGCTTGCGCGGCGGAGTGAGCCGCAGTTTGTCTTCACGGAGTTGATGATATCCGAAGGGGGGTGGCAAAATCCCGGGGTTGCTTGGTGTCTGGGCACACTAGCTGTGACCTATTGTTTCATAGGTAAGAGGTCGTGGGGCTGTGTCTGAGCCGTAGTCTAACCCGCTATCCCCTAGGTTTTGACGGCGCTATCCATATGAGTGAAGAGCTCCGCCAGCCAGACATCAGAATGCCTCGGATTATCGTCCAGAGTATTCTGATCGATGGGATTCTAGCTTTCATCTTCCTGCTCGTCATTCTGTTCTGCATCGGGAATGTCGACGAAGCATTGAACCCGCGCTTTATTTTCCCATCCATCGGTCTTTTCAGAGAAGCGACAGGTTCGGTCCGAGCTGCAACCATCATGCAGGCCGGAATTTCTGTAATCGGCATGCTGTCGAGCATTGGCGTAGTCACGTCCGTCTCAAGACTTACCTGGGCATTTGCCCGCGATGGCGGCCTGCCATTTTCAGCTTACTTTGCGCATGTCAGTACGCTTTGGGGCCAGGATGTACAAGAAAATTGCTCACCAGTCATAGGTCGACCGTGTAAGAAGGGTCCCGAAAAGATCCATCACACTCGTCTGCTCAATAGTGATGCTTCTCTCCCTGATCAACATCGCTTCAGAACAGGCTTTAAACGCCATCCTCGCGCTATCCACCAGTTCCATCTACGTATCCTATCTGATCCCCATTGTAATGATGATCATACGGCGTCTCGACAAGACGCGCCCGCCAATCATGTTCGGGCCTTGGTCGCTTGGCCGGTATGGAATGGCGGTCAACGTGTTCGCTCTCATATTTGGGATCTTCGTGTGCGTCTTCGTCCCTTTTCCCACCCAGATTCCGGTGACGGCGCGGAATATGAATTGGTCGGGACCGGTCTTTGTGGGTGTTTGTTTGTTGCTTCTTGCCGACTGGGTCTTTCGGGCTAGGAGGAGTTATGTTGGGCCAGTGAAGGATTTGTTGCAGTCGCGTACGCGTACTATTTCGCTTAATTAATGGGACCGGCTGGCCGGTTGGTATACAACATGATGTAATCGACAACGAATGGGATGACTATGCTGCTTGAGGAAAGTCCTGAACTATCTGAAGCAGATGATTATGGACAAAGGTCACGGTTTTCTCGTATACCCGTAGGCAGGCTGGGTCAATCAACCAGATCTTTCAGTCATGTTAGCGGAGAGCGAGTTCCCATTTCGAACGATGAATAGTATGCATTGAAAAAAAGAAGAAGAAGAAGAAGAAAGAAAGGAAAGAAAGAAAGAAAAATAGGATTAGAGCACTGATATAATCTATTAAGGTCTCCATAATGAATAATAAATGACTTTTATCTCTGCACATAAAAGTGAACCCGAACGGCTTCCTCGGGGCCTTTGCTTCAGTCTGGACAACCGCCAAGAGTCGTCTATCTTGGACCAGCCTGGCAAATATCAACAAAATACCACCAACCAGAAGGGGAACTCCAGAGTACAGGGACAGTGCCAGGTAGCCGTACTTTTCCGCTAGGGCACCACTCACTGGAACGTTTGCCATAGCACTGGTACAGTCAGTAACCAGACAGAAAATTCGCGGGGATGTTCCTTACGAGAACGCAGAAGAGCCAACAACAGTCCCGATGGACAGGCCCAAGGTCCCAGGGGTAGAGACCTGCGCAGCACATGCTTGCTGTAGTGATATAATGCCACCCGAGGCGAATCCATAAGCAGCACACCAGATAACCAACCCCGCGACCGTGGTGGCTTTCGTCCAGCACAGCGCGACAATGCCCGCTGCAATCGTCGAAACGATGCAGCAGTTGAATTTTCCATATTTATCCGCGAGTAACCCCGGCAACACGCGACCGAAGAAAGACGCCCCGTTGACGATCGACACGGTGTAGAAGCTGAGTTCACTAGAGAACCCCATTTTCGTTGCGTAGGAGGTGGCATAGAAGAACGGCGAGAACATCGAGAGATAGATAACAAACATCGACACACAAGTCAACTGCAAAGCGGGCTGCTTGAGAAGAACCTTGATTTCCTCCTTGCGAGTAGGGCTGCCCTTCTCATGAATTTCCACATCGCCATCCGTCCTCTTCATGCTACCGCCTTCTTCACGTGTGGGAGGAGGAGGAGGCGGTGGTGACTTGCAGACGATGCAAGTAAACGCCAACAGAGGAATCATGATGAATCCCACGATGCGCATAGTCCATCCGAACCCGATATTCGGTTTCTGCAGCAGTTGGTTGATCGCGATCGGCCAGACAATACCGCCGAGTGACGAGCCTCCGAGGACAATCCCCATTGCGACCGCCCGCTTGCGCTTGATGTACTGGCCTACCAGGCCGAGACAGGGCCATGTTACCAGGGACATGGAAATGCCCAAGAGAACGCCCTGGGCGAGGAAGAACTGCCAGAATTGGTGGCAGAGGGAGGTCATCATCACGCTAAGTACTGTGCCGAGGGAGCCGGTACAAACTAAGATCTATGAAGCCAGGGTTTAGCTTGGATCACTGTGCATTTATTATATCGTTGCAAAGGTAACTCACGGTTGGCCCGAAGGCATCCAGCAAGGCTCCGGCAACCGCGGAGATGAGGAAGAGGAAGAATATCGAGATAGCTCCGAGCCATGCGATTGTTGACTGCGGGCTACCTGCTAGCTGATTGGAAGCATAGTATTCTTCGAAGATACCGAAAGAATTTCTAGGGTGATGTTAGTTCTATCCTTGAAATTTAGTTAGGGTAGCTCACAGAAAGCCCACCGTGCAAAATGCACAGGTAAACGCCCCCATAATGACGAGCCAAGCTCGGGTCCTAGAATACAGTTAGCTGTCAAGGCTCTTTGGTTCCTGCTCTAGGGATAATTTACGTATACTCCTTCGGAGGGTCGCTTGAAGACATTGCGACTTCCGAGCAAAGAATGTTGAACTTTGAAACCAATGAATTTGGCTGAAATAGTGCTCTTGAAGACTTTTTAAGAGTAGCAGGAACATAGTCTCTCTTTATAGTCTGGGTTGTTGACATTCCGTTTGCGAGACGCCGAAGGGTCCGCGGTGGTCCGGAGTGACCGTGCCGGAGCTCGATATCGTCCGTGGCACGCAGCGAAGCTACCGATAGCGGCGACAATTTGGATTTTCCACATTTCTACTTGCTGCTTCTTCATGATCATCAATGATGCGGTTTGTCCTACTCGTACTGAGTCGAGGCAAGGCAATAATGAAATCCTTCATCCAGTCAAGGACCAACTTTCGAAACACCCAACTCGAACTCTATTATTCGTGCAACAAGGACTAGGGTTTATTCATCGCCAGAGTTCTCATAGCCCTCATCGTAAACCTCATCGCCCAACTCCCTCTCCTTGTATCTCAGCTTCTCGATTGGTAAATACACAAACATTATCCGACACCACGCCTCGCTATTCTTATTCTGAAACTGATGGGCCGTGCCCCGCTGAATACAAACATCCCCGCGATGCAACTGTCTGCTCTCCCCCGAATCAAGAATCAAGTCCACATCCCCCTCCAGCACAACTCCATAATCAAGGCTCACATGACGATGCATCGGTGTTTTCTTCCCTGGTCTCAGATCCACCATCCGGAGTATAGTTCCCGTCTCCGTGGTTAGCCCTGGAGGCTGGTGCAGGAACTCGTCGTACATCGCAACGTCCGATTCCTCCTCGAGCGAAGCCGGCGTTGCAGTTGTCGCGTACAGGAGGGCAATCTCCCCGTCATCGCCTGAAGGTCGGGAGGGCAGGTAGTCGGGGACCTGTGCGTGGGAGAGGAAGACGGCTTCACCTTCTGTGGTGTGGGTTGTTATGTACCGGTGGATTTCGGGGAGGGGGTTATCTTTGTGGGGGTGGTCGTCTTTGGAGGACTGCATTCCGGTATAGCTGGGGCTATACTAGTTTTTTTTGAGACTGGGTGTCCTGCCCTGAGGGGCCTCAAGTAAATTGGACTTGGTAAGTTGAATTGTCGCTCTGAACGACCATTCCGCATGATGATATGATGATGCCGTAGCCTAAGCATATCGGCGACCCAAGGAACAGCCCCGCGCGATGTCGAAAGTAGATATTTGTGTATTCCTTCCCCGGTATCCAGTCCCATCATCTGCTCAATAAAACACTAGTCAGGATGAATGCACCTTTCATCCTCGTTTCGGGCCCAAAAGATTCGCAAATTTGGAGCTCAAATGATCCTCCAACATCCGCTTATGCCCGTTCGATATCTTCGACTTCTCATTCATATGACCCGCAATCTTCTGGATACACTCGTCGAGGCTCGGACCACCCTCCAGCGCCGGATCATCCTCTTTAGCTTCAACCACCGTCTTCCAAAACTCCTCCAGCTCCTCCGTCCACCCGAGCTCCTCCGCAAGCTCCTTCACTCCATCATCGCACGCGCCCAGGATACACACATCATCAGGCCGGTTCCCCAGATCGCCCGACCGCTCCCTATTGATAAGAATCCTCGGCACCCCCTCCCGCACCTTCCTCGGCAGCTGCGAAACAGGCGCAACCTTCAAGCTCGTCCCCATGACAAGCATCAGATCCGCATCCGCAACCAGCTTCTCCTTTTCTTCATATTCCGCCGGAAGAGGCTGCCCGAAGAACACAACATCAGGCTTCACCGCGCCCTTGCATCCCTCATCCAAACAGTACGGCACCTCGCCGTCCCGGACAGCCTTCTTCATCAGCTCATCCGGATACTCCGCATGACACTTATGACAGTGCTGATTCTTCCAGTTCCCATGGCACCAAAGCGTCTTCTCGCTCGGCACCCCCGCATCGCACTCCAGCCCGTCGATATTCTGCGTGAAGCAGAACTGCAGCAGTCCCTTCTTCGCTAGTAGAGCGAGGAACGCGTGCGACAGCGTCGGTTTTAGATTCCCTGGATGCCGCGCCCGAGCAAGCGCGTAGAAAGGTTCGGGCGTGTGCGTGAAGTAGCTGATTGTGAAGATTGCCTCCGGGTACGGGAGGCGGAGCGGGGCGAGTTTGGCGTAGAGGCCGCTTGTTGGGGAGCGGAAGTCGGGGATTCCCGCGGCGGTACTGATTCCTGCGCCTGTGAGGGCGACGATGCGGGTGATGGAGCCGCTTTTGATGCGGGCGGCGATGGTTTTAAGGTCGGTGGATTGTTTGTCGGTGGAGGTCATGGTGGGTTGGCGGGGTAATTTGGGAGAAATCTTTTCGCTTGCGGTCTTTTATCTTGCAAAAAAGATAGGGTTATAAGGCTTGGGAGGGGGGGAGGGCATTCGATACTATATACTGGAGCCGGGACGCAAGTCAGGTGATGTTTTGTTTATGTTTATGTATGCGGCTCTAACTGTCAGGCTGACAAGTTCGATTTTTCCGCCCCAATGGGTCCAAAAAGGATGCTTGCGCGGCTGATCCAATAAGGATTTGTACTACCAGCCCGGCATTGTAGTGGTTCCTAGTTCAGAAAGCATATCCATCCATCCGGGCGTGTCCAGCCCCACCCCACCGCTGTCGTCCAGCAGTTCGGACCAGGCGTCTTCCATGCGGAACGAAGGAAATGAACTCGAGTCTGCCCCTGCAGGCCTGGCTTCATGGATCGTGGTTTCCTGACCCATCGGTGTAAGCTGGGCAGGTCTACCAGTACCATCATTGGGAACAAGGACTGGTCCCTCCAGACGTATATCATTGGCAGAAGATATATCATCTTGGAGCCCCCCTCGAACCAAGGAGTTTGTCTTGCTTCCAATATTTCCGCATAACAGCCATCATATCACTGATGCCTTGGCGCGCAACAGAGGAAACTTGCTGCGCCCGACGCATCATCCGGCAGGCATCCCAAACCTCCTGCTTCCGCCGTTCGGCAAGGACATCGTCCCAGTTGAAACAGACGTCCATGAGCAGGATCACCGAGGCGATGAATACGTGGTGCATGACAGTCCAGAAAAAGGAGCTTGTAGGCACGAACAGCGGCGCCTCTTCGTCCATCACCCGCTTCACCTCTATAACCGTCCGCGCGGACTGCAGTGCGACGACATGCGAGTAAGAATACCGAGGGTCTTTCGCGCCGCGGATGAACCATTGTCGGTGCAGCCGGCATAACCTGGTTTGCCAGCCTTGCTCGATGAAGCATTTTTGCCACGCGAATGATGGCCGCGAGAGGTAGAGAGCTGCATGCTGTCGTTTGGAGACCGTGTCAAAACGGAAAAAGGAGGGGACCTCGGCGTATGCGTCACGGAGTCGGTGGTCTAGATCGAGGATGACTTCGTAGGGCGCCTCGCGGCCGTCGAGATGGTATGGGGCTAGTTCGTCGATAATTTGACGGCAAATTTCGGAGAGTCGGAGGCGACATAATGTGTAGGACATGCAGGTGGGTGTTGAGAGGGGTGCGGCTACTTCTGTCGCTAGGTCTTCGTCTTCGATGTTTAGCGGTCTGTTCACTTTTACCTGGCTGGGGTGGATGGTATAGGTGAATTCTTGGGGTCCACTCAGGAATCCAATGAGCCTGGGCATGAGATTAGTTTATAGTCACCCAACGAGGCGAAGACAACATTCAGTTAGCCGGCAGCAGGGATTCACTGACCAGTCGTACGAAACGATGTCCCACCACAGCCTCCTTTTCAGCTCTAGCCCAACCTTGTCATACTCGCCCCCCCTTCCGCTCCTCCACGGCCTTTGCAGAATCTAAAACATGCAACCCAAGGCGCTTTGCTTGACCTATGGAGGTTGGATGGAGAAAGAGCGAGTGGACGCGCGGGCTCAAGGTTGAGGTAGACAGATGGTGCCCGATAATCAAAGCTGCCTGCAAGCCCGTTATTGTCGGCCGCGCGAGGTAATCCCCCTGGAGCAGCGCAGCACCAGCCAGAAATGCCGTCTCTCCGCTGCAAATCTCCGCAGCTTCTGAGACATCATCTGGAAGGATCTGGAAAAACAGTGATGAAGCGGCGATACTGAAAAGCAAGGCTACTTCGCTCATATCCAAGGGCAGATTCTGTGCATTATTCCTGTAGATCCCGCCGAATTGTTGTTTGACCAAGGACGGTATGATAATATGATATTGATACGAGAGGTGATTTTGGTAGAATTCGAGGAGAGCCATGGCTTCGGCTTCTGCGGGCAGATAAGATGTGAGATCTACGGTCAGGGGATCCTCCTCCGACACGGCAAGTTTTCCATTGACGAGAGCAAGCAGCCTCTCAGCGATCGTCAACGGATTCTGCAGCCCCTGAGCAGGGTTACTCCGTACTGAGCGTGAGAAGTCCGGTCGAGGTGTTTCCGGTAGCGCGCTCGGAAACCGATGTCCCATGAGAATGGTCTCGAGTCTATCCGCCGTAATCGAGGAGTCATCCCTCGCACGAGGCGGAGCAGGAGACTGTCTTTGCGGCAACCATTGTGGTCTCTCCTGGGCGCTGAATCTAACCTCTGAAGGCGACCTGAACTGGCTGCTAGCCGTCACTGTTGCTCTGCTGGGTCCGTGGTCGCCATAGCCGCACTCGATACCGCGGACGACGCAGCTGCTGCATGGAACGGCGCGGTCGCACTTAATCTTCTTCTTTCGGCATGATGGACAAGCTACGGGATCTTGCCTCGGCTGCTTTCTCTGGCTCTGGGGGCTTGATGGAGCCTTTCTTTTGGACGACATGTGTGCTATGTTTTATTGATTGACAGCTGGGGCGAGGACGATGCCCGGAGTCTCCGTGTGCACGGACGTTCGTACTTGCGCTAGTACGGAGCTGCATAGTTGCCCCTGAGGTGTTTCAGTATTAAGCTTTCGCGTGACCCGCTCTCGGTTGCTCGTTCTTTACGACAGGGAGATAAGCCATTATTATCGGCAGTAGAAACTAAGAAATCATGAAAAAAAAAGGGATGAACAAAAACATACAACAGTCAGGATTCCCATGTGGTCACCCACCATAGTACGAACTGACCGGCGTGTGGCTAAAGCGCGGTCAGTACTCGGGTGGGTGTCGCCCGGGTGAGTTTAGGGTGAGCGCCGCTTTACGGTCGCGCGACTGGGGATGAGTAGGGTGAGTGCACTATAGACGGGGTGAGAACCGGGTGATCGTCGGGTGAGAACCCACTAAGGACACACATGTACTTCACAGACTCTCTGCACCGAACATCTGTTGGAACAATATAACTCTGCCGTTCATTTTCTTCGCCTAATTTAACATATAAATAACACAGACTAGCGACCCGATAGAAAACAACCTACATCAGCGAACCAAGATATAGAGAATAGGCCCCAGACTAGGACCGACATGAAGGGATAATCGGAATTTCATTTTTCCTATTACCATAGTTTCTTTTTCTTTGACCCCCTTACCTACCTAACCTAGTACTTAAATAGATAAGTAGTCAGCAGAGCTTCCACAAAAGTCGAGTTTTTCTTAATCCCTCGAAGCAAACGTTGGTATTATATCCGACATTAATACCCATAAACAAAAGCAGACAATCAATTATCACAGCTCTATCCTAGCCTTTCCTTATTCGACATTTATACATAAACTCACTTCTCTCTTTTCCAAAATATCTTGACCTTGTTTCTCCCCGCAACTCAATACAGAGTTTGTTCCTCGCCCTTGCTCGACCGGCAGCTACGAGACCATGCCACAGACACTAGGACCGCTTAACTATGGGTGCACGGATTGGCGGATCAGTAGCCAAAAGACTGCAGAGCTATACAGTTCTGGTATCAGGCTTCAGACTAAAGAGGATCTCCAAGACATAGAACAACAATTACGCCAATCCTACGCGATGGAGAGATTCTCAGTCCGCCGAATCGATGGAAGCATAATCTAAATTTCCAATCCCATGTTCCAAGTACTGAATCCTATCTGGTACGTGGGTATTCGGACCTGATTCTAGCTTACGATCTACTTTTTTCTTTGGAAACCTCATGTCAAGTACCAAGAATATTGGCAACTTGTGAAAGCACAACCAAACGGCCCAATCGAAACTTACTTATACTCTTACATTGTGGATTGGAGTAATCAGACTGCACGAAACTTTCGCGAGCTTAAAGCACAACCTATGCAAGTCTTTGACGAGAATTCAACGCACTGCCAAGCGGACGCACTGCCAGGCGATTACCTGCCTTCTACTTACCAGATACCTCTTACCCCTCCAAGCCACCAAAAAATATATTCACCCCTGCTAAAATATGTACAACACGGCAGTGCGTCGTGAGTACTATGCGTTCTCCCCAGGTGCATCAATACCAACCCCTTACAACAAGCTTCTGATGTATCCTTATCAGATGGAACCTTATAAACAAGCACCGTAGTAGTAAGTATAATACAATAGGGGGCAAAAGTCTGTGTGCATACCACTTCACCTACCCCATCAAATACTGATGTATATTCATGGTTACATATCCTACACTACCAACCCTTATTGGACCATACTAAAATTCAAAATACTGGTTAATCAGGTTTATCTACAGAGTTATCTTGTTTAATATTTTATATAATAATCTTAGTTTATATACAATCTATCTATCCTTCTTCCTATTCAATATTAACATATCAATCTTTGTCTAGTCTAACATATCCTATATAGCACTAATATACTCTTTAAAATAAGCCCGTTCCTCTTCAGATCTGTCTATCTATATATTATCTTTAAATATATAAAAAGTCCAACAATCTAGTACTTTCTGTCACTGCTCACTCGATTCTGCCTCCTGTCACCGCCCTGATGCTGGAAGAAGGACCGTCCAAACTACAAGGTGGGCATAGATGGGATAGAGGTTTGTGTAGGAGTAGATAGGCCGCTACAGTAGCTCCTCCCTCTTTCCTTTCCCCTCTCCCCCTCTAGTTCTAGTATCTCGAATACGAGCGCCGTTGCTGGTTCTTCCTGTTCCCCAACGTAGGCTACTATTAACACTTTCCAGACCATTTTAATAGGATTAAGATCAGGTGAGTATACAGGCCAATCTTCAACGTACATTCCGTGCTCTTTAAACCAAACCTGTATATCTTTCGCTATATAGATCTTTCCTGTTATCTTGCTAAAGTATCATTCCAGATTAGTAGCGATCGATGCCATGGGGGAGATGTAGGAGAAAAAATAAAATTGTGGATAGTTGTTAGGGGGATGATAAGAGGGCCGAGTGCACACAGACTTTTGACCGGGTGGTGTAGGAAATTTAATGTATATTCCAAAATATATTTCAGGCTGTAAGCATTCATAGAAATACACAGACAGCCGGCCATAAAAGATCGGGAAACTAGAGAAACCAGACAAAAGCACAAAAGCCAAATTCGAAAGTGCAAGCATGTCGGGAATTATGCCCAGCTCCAATGAATCTCACGATGGACAATCTTCGCACTGTATGCCACTTTCACCCGCATTTTCAAAGCAGGAACCACCACTGCAGTGTGCATTACACTCATCAAAACCCGAGTAGCTTCCTTCTTTGCAAACTGGGGTTGTAGGCTGGATCACACAGCCGCTACATACAATGGTTGAGTTTGACGAGCTTTGGTCACATGAGCTATTTTCACCGGAGCAAAATGCCATACACTGCTCCATATCCTCGTATAAACCGTCAACACAAGACGGGAAGGGCCCGCCACCTGTTAGAGATCCGACACCTGACATCATCGTAATATCGGTCATGTCCGGTTTGAACGTTTTTGAGGTGTTGGCAACAGGTGCCTCCCACCAACTTGGAGGGGCGTCGAGATAAGTTTCCAAAATCTCTGTTCCAGCAATCGACACAGATGAGTCTGAGCTAGTACCGTACCCCGCTGGAGTGGGAGGACTGCTAAGGTGAAATGCTTGCTGGAGATATATGGCCATAGCGGCCTGTGCGTAGGATTCTGCGTTGTTACTGGCTTTGGTTTGATCTTTAACAGCCAAATCGACAACGTCCTTAGCTTGGTAGTAACCGTAAGTAAAGGCAGGGGGCTGTGTCCACCAGCCCTCATGTATCAAGAATTCCCTTTCAATGTTCTCTGCAGATAACGAGTTAGTTCAAATATCAGACTTCTCTGAGTTCAGAATGTTCGTCTTACTCATCAGGTGTCCTTTTCCAGTAACCCAACTATAATCATCCTTGGGTTTTGATCCTAGATAAAGGGTCATGGCATCTTGCCATTTGCCACCCGGCCGCCACTCGTAATTCCCCTTTGCAAGTTGGTCGGCTTCCTCCCATGCTGGTGTAACCAGCTTTTTCTGCTCATTTGTACAAGTGTAGAGATAGGGATTAATTGCTCCGTCAATACCAGCAGTGGGAGATGCAGAAATGGAAACCGCAGGTGGAGTTGAGGTTGGGAGCGAGGTAGTTGGGGTGCTCTCGAACTCTTCCAAGTCGATGGCCCATTCAACCACGCCTCCCATGTTTTTCTCCTTGTAAAGAGAAGTGCGCGAGTCTCGCAAGGTAGAATTCATGTAGGCAACCCACTGTACAGAATCGTAGACCAGAATGTTGCTGCTGCTATCTTCATCATACCAGTACTGTGCAGTACTATCTTTGTCGATGATCTCGTAGATTTCTGCATCTGCAAGCAGACCGGCCGTTTTTGTACAACGACCCGGCGTGGCTCCTGACTTTTGCCTGTATATGTGCACATGGGGCCGGTGCATCCCGCAGTTGTCATTTGGAAAGACCTTCCGTAATTCCTCAACCCAACAACAACTTTGTCTGATGAAACGTCTGCTTTAGTGATCATTGCGAGGGCATCAAGCGTCTCTGTCATGTTTATATGTGATTGCAAACAGGGTCTGCATAATCGTTTCCATAGTCCTATTGTCTATGAAGATCATAAGTCATATAAACCCAATAATCAACAGAGGGGTCCATATCGGCAACAGGGTAGTCTTTCAAATACCAATAAGAGGCAGGTGCAGCCACTGAAATACTTTTATTCGGAAGCTTCTTCGGTTGCTGGCAGGGAAGCAAATGTGTATGCTGCCGTCAACAGCCATTTTGCCTTGATTGGCCTCATTGAGAAGGCTAGCCGACTTTAAGGCTCGGGAAAAGGCAACATTTGACGAATTAGGATCTTGTAATGGAACCAATGGACATAAAAGGGTGTGTCCTTCGCTCTATTTGGCGAAGGAGGGAAAGCAGGTGAAAAAGAAGAAAAGACAATTTGAAGGAAATGAAGAGTTCAAGCGACTCCGACGAAATGAAAATACACAGTTGTCAGCGAAAGAGAGAATCGTCTGACCACATATATATTGTCAAGATCTGGCGAGGCTGCCCGCAATTAATTTTATGCTGCATATCACTATGAACACAAGATATAGATTCGGAACGGCATCTATCTACCCGCTATGTTCTGGCAATAACAATATTAGCATGCTAATAGCTCACGGTGAGTCTCCGAGGTCCACTTGTCTCTTGGATTTGATATTGTAAGGTTACAGCACTAACAGCTCCCACACATCCGAGAGGCTTTCGGTTAAAATCTAGACCCAACATAAATGAGACTAACGGCGTTAGTGTGTTTTTTATTCAATCAGCCTCCCGGGCCTTTCTTTAGCGAATCACCAGCCATTTCTACTGGTCAGTGACACTACGGTCCATCGGCACTAGCAGGGGTGTGGCTTATCTGGAGAGTCTTGTTGGAACGAAGCCTTCAAGGCTGTTTCTTAAGACTGTCTGCTTTAGAAGACCTGATTGCACCAGATAGAATATTCAGACAAGGTGGAATGTAAGGAAATTTCTAAAACAAAATTCGAAATCTGCAAACTGAATTTACTCCCACTAAACGAACTATTACACTAGAAAGCAGGTAGTAACAATGCCCCACCAACCTCTTATGTATCTAGCTTATTAGCTAGAAAACTTTCCTGTAGAAGACCTTGCTAATTTCTCTTTTTTTCTCTCCCTGAATAGCAAGATTCTGATTATTAGTACAAGCGAACAAGGGTCTATACTAAAAATAGTGGATCTAGCTGCCTCGCGAGACTTTCCGAATGGGGGGCCGAAGTCGAACCATCATGTAATTTTATTTAGGTCATTCGATTTAGTGCCTTGCCTAGATGGATCATGATGGATCTAGAGTCTAAATTGTATGATAACTTGAATATTCCCATAAAATTAAATTCGGGGTAGTATTCTCAACACATGCTCTGCAACCATTCAAATTAGCTGCTGGGCTCACTCCGAAAAAAAAAATTTCCTCCTTTAAGTTCAAGTTGGTTCAGTATTTAAGATTTTTTTTTTTTCAGGCCGCGGGACTGTTTCGATCCTCCATGATAACTTTGAACCTCCAATGTGGAACTTTCTTAGTAGGCCATTAAGCAACTTTGGCGATTCCAAATTTAGAAGCTACCTTCAGTATAAAAGATAAGGATTATTTGAATTAGAAAAAGCCTCAGCTCGGACGCATGTATGAAGTTGAAAAGGCGAGGCTAAGAAGTGCATTAGTGCTTATATTTCGAGTACGCCTTCTAGACCCTGAAACATGGTTCCATTGATTGCAAGTGATAAAGCGGGGTTAAGGCCAATGCGGATCCACACGAACAACACCATTTCCCACCCTCCAAGTCCCTTTCCTTCCACCACGAATTTCTCAACGCCTGAGCAATAGAAAAACATGAGAGATACTAAATACTTTATTGTTATCAACTTTATTTTATCTGCGCTTCTTATATCGCTGGTCAACGCCCTATATGACTGTCCTCGGCCTCGATGTGAGACGTGTCTGCCCGTGGCAATCCATGACGCGCCTGGAGTTGGGTTTGATTTAACCCCCTCATATGGGTGAGCCACCAGAGGTTCCTATTCCGAAATGGCATTTGAGGTAACTAATGATTCTCAGAACGGCCGTGGTTCATTACTACAACGGGACAGTGGTGGAAGTTGGCAAGGTCGCAGGAAATTCCCACTATTTGAAACTAATGGAGGATCTTGCCAAGCCATCCCAATCATTACATCAAACTACAAGTTTCTCTGAGACCCTCTTGCTGCATCTAGAAGAGCTCCTGCCCGTATCAAATGTACTCCCGTCATGGAAAGACTTGTGGCGTTGGTTGAAAGAGAGACTTGGCTGGGAGGTGAACGCGGAAGTGCAAATACTCAGGGACTTGATCAACGACCTAAAGCAGGCTACCGAGAAAGCGACATCCCAATCACTCGATAGAGTTGCCGTCACAGCTCCCGATATGCCCTCGCTCAGAAGCGAGACAATCACCTCCGCTCTCAAAGAGTTGAATCTACGCACATGGGTAGGCGATAGCCCTTCCTACACAAATAAACTGGTAGAGGCCGATACTGTCTACGCGGCGAATGGATATGGATTGTGCCGGAATTACCAAGACCTCTTCGAGTGTTCTGATGAATTCGAAGATTCATCCACGCCTAGGGTTTATCTCGTTTCTTTCAGTCGCCATTTGCTGTACACTAGCATCATACGTCCGACCAACGGCGAAGCGCTAGCTACGTATACGTCGGACAGGACACAAGTTTTCGATTTTGATATAGGGCTGGACCGCATTGAGCAAGCTGAGCCGTCGGATCATTCTTTGTGGGACCAGCTTCGCAGAGACTTGTTGGTCCTTCCTCGCGAAGCAGCTGGCCCTATTACGCACGTCCTCCTAGCTGGCGAGAGTGCAACTGACGCCCGCTTTCTAGCCATATTGAGAGATTCCTTGGCTGGTGTATTACTGACTCCGTCGAGTGATCACCAAATCACAATAGGCCACTCTAAGAGCCAGATAAATCGAGAAACAATAATCGATCCAACATTTGCAGCGGCTCGAGGCGCAGCTCTGTATGCTCGTCGGCGACAAGAGGTTCAGAGTGAATGTACAGAGTCAGCAAAATGTGAAAAGGAGAGGGCGAAAGAGCGATCACATCGACATGAAACAAATACCCTGGCTGATCGATGAAATAAGAGTACGTAGTCTCAGTGCAAGATACGACATTACGCGCCGTTCGTGGGTTTTGAAAAGGACTGTTGAAGCCACGCGGGCTTGAAAATATAAGGAACTATCCGTACACATGCTCTGTACAGCGAAAGCTCTTGGAGACAATATTTATAAATAGAAACTTCTGGTCCATGCTGAAACGTTGGCCGTCGCTAAATAGGGTGTGCGTGAGATCCATAAGATCCATCTGTTTCCCGTTATATGCAGAGCTGAAAAGGGGATGACTGAGGAGTATCAGGACCAGCGCTAGGGTTCCCTGAAGCCACTTCATTAATGGCCAAGCCACCTTGTATTCGCGCAATATACCATATGCTACCCCGGAGATATAGTCTTGCGTGGTCTGAGGCGACACGCACGTACTCTTGGAGGCTGGCTCGGTAACCATGATATATCCTATCCGCCGAAGGCATTCTAGAGGGATAACGAACAGATGAATCAAATTGCACCCCCTTTGGCCATATTATCCATATCAATTCATCACTATAAGCGATATACCCTATACCTAGGTATAAAGAACCTGGAAGCACGGAACAAACAGAAAAGATTGAATCAATGTATATCGAAGAAACAACAACTCACCTTGGAAGAATTGTTTAGTCGCCATTGCAGCTCAGAACCTCTTATAACATCACCTCGTTATTGCCTCGGAGGTATGCCAGCAACTCCGGCCAGGATCTATCGAATCAGACATATCCTCTTTTTTGAGCACTGGATCGCCGAAGTATCGGAAAAGGAAACTTCTTATTTCGGTCACATCTTTCGTGACAGCTTTTTGCGTCGAGTTTCGATGCGTGCATGTCTTCAGTGATACGGAGTACGATTGGAGGAAGTATAAAAACTACCTTAGCAAGCAAGGTTGTTTTCATTATCACCGGCTTAACGTTCCATTAGGGGAAAAACACCAGACTGTATTGATGCATGTGGGGCGATGGTGGAATATCGGAACTTGGTACTTCTTCAGCCTGGAAGTGCCCGTAGGGCCCGAGATGCCGTAACTATGCTTCTCGTCTCTAGATTCTATTCAAAGAACGGCCGAAGCGAAATTCTCGAGCATTGCGCATAGATGGACCTGTTCGTAAGAACTTGAATGATCTTCAAATGCATATTTACTAAGGTACAGCACTGGTCATTGCTAAAAGGGAACCTCGCAGTCTGAGTTTTTGCATTTAGCAAACTCTGAGGAGCTTGGAGTCTCAATGCCATTACTCTGAGACTCTGCCAATGGGTCAGAATCTAGAGACGTGTGTTATCTTCTTAGAAATAGTAGATATGTTACTAACGATCCGGTTCATGGAGGTTGCCACTGGCTTGAGTTGATCCAAGATACACTAGAGCGTTCATCTCCTTCATGTGCTTGGTGGCTCTAATTCCTCAATTATCTCTGTGATCATTTCTTTTGACCCGTATTTGCTTTTCCAGTTAAAATTGTTTGGCAATCGGCGTAATGATCGTAAGACGCAGTAGATATATATATTCCCGTTCACGAGGTATTTGACTAGATCAATTTGTCTCACGGAACATATTTTCGCACTGCAATGGACGCCCGTTCCCCAAAATTTAGTAGATTGTGGGGAACGATATTTATCCCCATTCTTGAGTCCTCGTTGGGATTTGAGCCCTGATTTCAAGGTAAGACTCCAAGATCGACCAACTTGCCCCAGCCGGATGAACTGATCTCCCTTTGCGTCTTTGGGAAGGACCAAAGTGTAGGACCAAAGTGCCGGGTAAAGGCTTCCTTGTTCTGAATTCAAATTTATAGAGCACTCAAGCATCAGATTTGAAGTCTAATAACAGAGTCTAGAACTTTCATGCCGTTTAGTGGGTATGTTTTGCCAATTGATGTCACGTTGAAAGATGGCACAAAGAATAGAAAAGTATGTTACCCTGCCGGCCCTGCCGGTCACGTGGAGACTCATTTAGCTAGCCGTTAGGATAGTATGTATTTCAATATATCACTATCACATCTCCCAGCCTCGGCCACAAAGTAGCTTTAGAATCAAATATGTAAGGAACGCACCGCAACTAGTTAAGTAACTAATTAACTAGTCTACGGGTCCACAGGTTATAGATAGCCGGTACCTGTTATTCTAAAATGATCAAAGTTACAAATATTTCATACAAATACCGTACTTTACAGACTCCATTCCTCCTGACACTCCAACCAGTCCGCGGATACATACAGTGGGGCCACTAGAGTACTTCCATCCATGGGTCATTGATTTCCGTACGCAGCATCCACTTCCTGGTTTTCCCCTCCAAAAATCCCATTTTACCCGCCCAGAGTAGGGATTTTCAATGCCACGATATACCTGGATCTTCTTCCCTCTTTTCCTCAGTCTGGTCTACATCTGGGTTCAAAATACTGGAACCATGTCTTCTTCATCCCAGTCTTCATTCTACGATGAGGAAACAATAGTCAACCAAGTCACCACGATTTATAACCTACTTCTCAAGCTGAGCTATTTCTCCCCTGCTCAAGTTATCTTCCCCCCAGAAGGTGGTCACAATATCAATGAAGAGCTGTGTCATTCGCTCCATATCGCCCCGCAGGTAATTTCTCTCATGAAAAGGATTCCCTATCCGACAGACGGTTACCATAAGCCGATTTTGTGGCAATCACGGGCTTTCGAATACTTGGACGACAGAGAGATCCGAAACGGCCGCGATCCTGAATTAACAGACGCCGCCGATGACGACGAATTGAGGCTAGACTTTTTGCGACCGTGGGAGGTGGCGTTGACTTGTTGGTTGGATGATGGGATTTCAGTTATTCTGGATACCAAGTCAAGTATGTATTCCTCTACACCATATAATAAATAACCGATTCAAAAGAAAGTGCTAACTATAAACGAGATATCATTCGGATTATTGATGAATCTGACCCGGTAGAAGGTGACTTTCGGGAAGAAACCGAGGCACACAATGCCCCCGCCTACCTCCAGAAAATCATCGATGATATTCAAAATTTAGAGATTGTATACTTCGCCGGTGGAGATATCGGTTATCTTCACCTCCCTGGCACGTGGGAGCAGACTGAAGTGAAGCGAGTTCTGACAGAGGACTTCGGTTGGGGCGCGGAGTTCCGGGAGGAGGATTGGCGGCGAGAGGGGAGAGGCGATTTGCAAAGCCATCGGAGATGAGGGTCTTGATAGGGAGGAAGAGAGACAAAGAAATGCTACACCGGTGAATTATACATAGTGATAACTTTTGAGGACAACTTGACTGCAGAACTTGAGATTTTGTTATAATAGACAGGAAATCCCCAAATTGATTCAACTGCCAAATGTATGGCTGTCTATATCCCCACACAGTAATAATAGTCTGGCCATAATCCGCTGCAGTCATTCCCGACCGCTGCATTCCATTCGTAGAATTCATCAAGCGTGATGTCGTACGATGTGGCGATCGCGTAACAGCCGTCACCGCTAACAGCCTTGTAGAAGGTCGTACACCCGCTAACCATGCCAGTCTGAGTCGGAGTAGGGGTTGTGATAGACCCAGAGGCGGTAGCTGTGGTAAGTGTGCCAGAAGTTGTCACCGAGATAGGAGGACTAGTAGATGTAGCTGTAATTGCTGCCGTGCTAGTGCTGTTATTGGCAGTAGCAATACCCGACACACAGTAGGCGTAATCGGGCCAAATGTTACCACATGTGCTATTGACATAGGTATTCAACGCGATAAACTCTTCAAGAGTGATGCCATACTCTGCTTCAATCAGCTGACACGTGTCACCGGAGACAACAATGTGCCATTCGTAGCACTCAGATGTCGTCCCTGTGACAGTAGTGGTGGGTGCACCGACGAAGGTTGCTGTGGTATTAGAGGTTGTGGGGGTTGTGCCGTTGACAGTAGCAACACTATCATTCTGTTAGCTTATAATCACCCTGAATGAGCAAGGTGAGACGTACCAGTAATCCAAACCGACTACTAGGTTTGTGCAGTTTGTGTTGATGGAGGGGTTCATCGCAATGAAGTCGGCCAATGTCAGACTATTACCTTCACAGATGACGCCGCATTCATCGCCTTCTTGAACAAGATAGTAGTGGCCACAGTTGGTTGCAGTTCCTGATGGGGTTGGAGAAGCTGGAACACTAGTGATCGATTTTGAGTTAGTTAAATATAAACCAAATGATCTAGGAGAGGAAGGGAAGAGCGTACGCTATGGACGTGTATGTAGAATTGGTCGAGACCGTGGCAGATGGTGGGATGTAGAGACCTCCTGGGGGACCCACACATATAGCATCACCGTTCGCAATTTGTCTTGAACCAATATACGGATTCCAGGTTAGAAATTGAGTCATGGTGAAATTGTCCTGGTTGCGGATATACTCATCAACATTGATAGACGAGCTGGAGGTAGAGACAACCGCAATCGGACAAGACATTGGCGCACAGACATCTTGGTCATTCACCCAATTGCAATCGAGATCATTGTTGAGATTTCGAATTCCGGCAGTAGGGATCTCGTACGCAATTGCCATCTGTTGACAAGTCAATGTCGTATTTTGTGAGATCGTGATAGTCTGAGGACATATCGTAGTGATAGGGCCGGGAGAGTCAATGGTGATGTTGACGTTTTCAAATGCTGTGTAGTTGTTCGCAGGAATGATATTGATATCCACGTCGCAGTTCAGCTGCATATTGGTCCAAACTTGCTCAGTAATTCCACTGGAAGGTCATTAGCCTGTATCCATTAACGTGCAAGCAGGTATGTTTGTACGTACTCCCAGATTTCACCCCATGAGCTCTCAAATCCATGCTTGAACTTTTGCAAAAAGCAAGATGAACATTGCATTTCCAATGGGTACTCGTCCCACTCCAGGGGTTCAGTCCACCCATAGTTGTCGTCATTAATGGCTGGGGGTCGATCCACGTAGTAGTCCCATGCTGCCAGCTGGTTAAGGCCATTTGCATCGGTTGCATCTTGAAAATAATCGTCGAAGGGTTCCAAGCAAGTTCCATTTTCGAAATAGAACCATTCCCAGTCACCGTACGAGACGTCGTAATAACATTTGTTCGTATAAGTTGGCCAGGTTGCTTTATCCAGCAGAACCATATTTGTGATATTCCAAGAGGCCTCAACATCCAAGCAGAAATCATCCGTCTCTTCATCAGCCAGACAGATAAGCTCATACTTGTCCTGGAAAAAGTCCATATACTCGGTAAAAGTCATGGTGACGTTATTCACGTAGAATGGAACGTTACAGCTGGCTTCCACAGCCGTCGCGAGATCCTCGAGTGAGCTTCTGCAGCTAGGTGTGCAGAGACTCTGCAGCGACGAGGTGTTCCATCCTGAAATTTGGTTAAAAGATTGAATAGTTCTATGGGGTATGTGACTATTACTTACCAACGTTCTGAATAGAATAAGTCACAAGCTGAATCAGATTCTCAGGACAGTCAATCGTGGTATTGAATGCTGCATCACAGGCGTCGCTTAGATCTGCGGAGAGAATCTTTTTTTGCAGGCCATTATAAAGCATAGCGGAGAATGCCTGCGGCACTGTCAAAAACAGATATGCCAGTGATCTCTTCATAGCGACGATGGCTATGATAGTTGAAGGGGATTTTACAAATCAGCCGAAGGCACGCACGCCTGCCTATAGGTAATATTTTGTCCCCTTAAATTTTCTTCTGCTCTTTTCACGGCCCGGTATTGACCAGGTGTGATAGCCCCAACGCGTCGGAAATAGCTCTATGTACAAATATTAGTTACGTTATTCTCAATGGGGATAGTAATTAATACGCACACGCAATTTTCTCCAACCATGGGACACCATATTGCGCATGTAGCACTAGCATTGCGCCTGCAGCACTAGCGTTGCGCCTGCAGCGCTAACAAGAACGATTTCGGGCACCTTGGTGGCGCCGGAATAGAATAGCCGACATGATCAACGTGCATATGGACAACGCTAGATATCGAGAACTATGGCCAAATTATGCAGGTAAGCTCTTATGTGATTTGGGAATACGCTAGTTATTCCAAGACATAGAACAAGGAATTGACCACGTGCAGATGTTTGGATTGGACCCCTTCGAAGCGCTGGACGCCTCCTGACCCACATGGGAGGACGGAGGAGGTGGAGACACCTGGACGGAAGCGAACTCAGACCACGGACATCTCCGGCGAGAGGTCGTGGAAAACCGAATAACAGAGACGGAGTCGACTAAGGAAGCACGCTTTGCCTTTTTTTGCATGAATACCGAGTTTTTGAGCGCCGAAGTATCCAGCGGGCGTACCAAAAAAGTGAGACATTTTCATGAAAAGCGCTTGTGTAAATTAAACCGTGGTACCGGATGCTGTAATTAATGCTCCCACCTGGGCAACATTTAAAAACATTATATCATACGTGAGCACTAGAGAATTATTTTAAGGCTCGAATATTTCATTCACTACTTATGAGTCTCCAAATCCGAAGAGCATATCCAAATTCAGGATGGGATCATCAGCCCTAGTCGTTGCGACTTTGGCTGTACTTCTGCTAACTGGGCATACTACCGCAGAGACAGGAACCTGCTCGGAAACCAAGGACTGTGTATCTGGATGCTGCAGCACGAGCGGATATTGCGGTTTTGGTCCAACCTTTTGCGGGACAGGAAACTGCACAAGCACCTGTGATGCTGTCGCCGAATGTGGTCGTATGTATTGACACGTTCCATCTGCCATTTTCTTGTACCCTGGAGTGTTTCTGGTACATTTTTTTAATCAGTGTATAGAATACGCTCCAAGTGGTAGCTACGACTGTCCTCTCAACGTGTGCTGTTCGCAATATGGCTTCTGCGGCACGACCTCCGAATTTTGTGGGACTGGATGTGTAAAAGGATGCGACGAAGTCAAGGAACCGTAAGTGCTCGATTACGATTGGAAATTATCTGATCCACTAATGATGGGTGATAGGTCATGCTCAGGCTCTAGCAGTGAAGAGAGGGTGATTGGTTACTATGAAAGTTGGTCGTATGGCCGCAAATGCAACTCTTGGTCACCGGAAGATATCACTGTTGGTGTCTGGACTCACCTAAACTACGGATTTGCCCTGATTGGATCTGATTACCGCATCTCCCAAATGAACTCATATGATGAGGATTTGTACCCCCGATTCACCAACTTGAAATCATCTTCACCTGGGCTTCAAGTATTCATTTCGGTCGGTGGATGGGATGCGGGTGGCTCTATCTGGTCTGATATGGTGAGCACAGAGGCCAACCGCGCGACGTTTATCGATTCGGCAATATCGCTCATGAAGACCTATGGCTTTGACGGCATTGACCTCGACTGGGAGTATCCCGCTGCCAGTGATCGTGGTGGAGTTGCTGCTGACACTGATAACTTTGTCACTTTCTTGAAAGAGCTGAAAGTCGCCTGTGGCAGCAAATATGGAATTTCCGCCACTTTACCATCATCATACTGTGAGTAGATCTACTGCTCGACACTAGTGACATAGCTGACTCGCTCGGGGCTAGGGTATATGCAGGGCTTTGATGTTGTTGGTATGGAGCCGTATGTGGACTGGTTCAACTTTATGAGTTATGATATCCACGGCACATGGGATGGCGACAACCCGTATACATCTGCCGTTGTGCAGCCACACACTAACTTGACGGAAATTACTCAGGGTCTCGACCTTCTATGGCGAAACAATATCAGCCCTTCGAAGGTCGTTTTAGGAGAGGCTTTCTATGGTCGCTCATTCACGCTTTCCGACACCTCTTGTACTAAACCTGGCTGTCCATTCAGTGGAGGTGGCACGGCTGGCAGATGTACCGCGACATCTGGTATCCTCTCAAAATCCGAGATTCAGCAGATTATCTCTGACAATGATCTTACTCCCATTCTGCTGAAAGAAGCGGCGGTCAAGTACATCACTTGGGATAAAGACCAATGGTATTTCCCCCACTGATTACATGAGTGCTTCGGGCACTAACAATTATAGGGTGTCATATGACGATGAAGAAACCCTCGAAATGAAAAAGAAATACGCGAATGGTAAATGCTTAGGTGGCCGCATGGTCTGGGCTGTGGATCTAGACGACGTGGACACAAAGGCATCTGTGTCAGACCTCACCCTGTCAGGTCTTCGCTCCATTGGTGATGATGTGACTATCAACCGTCCGTATGGGCTTCGCAAACTCGCCGCGACAAAGTCACAGAACAGTGTCAACCTCTTGGCATACTGGTCTGACTGTGCGGCCGAGCCTCAATGTGAGGCTGGTTATACATCTTGGACACAAGGACACGGAAAGGTTAGCTTACCATTGTGGCTCTTCATTGCCCATATTTCCCTAGAGAAGACTGTTACTTATGAGTGAAAATAGGTATTCGATATAGATACTGGAGTCTACTCCGGAGACGGCTGCCACGGCGGTGGGAATGGGTACAATCGCGCTTTTTGTGTCGAATCTGATGTCCAGCTCAACAATTGCTTCTGGGTTGGCAAACCAAAGGACTGCAAACAGACATGTCCCTCTGGAATGACACTTCTCACCCAGAACACGCATATAGCTGGGATGAAAACTGGATGCAAGAATGGCCACTTCTCCAGTTTCTGCTGTGAATCTATTACGACCAACTACCTCATCAACTGTGAACAAAAAATTCTTGACAACCTACTCACGGGTGGGCTGGGTATCCAGCACAGGCGGTTTGACTCCTTACTTGCTGACTTGCCCAAGCAAGCTGTACAGGAGTGCATTGATGATGACATGAACTCTCTTAGTGGGATCCGTGCTGAAAATTATATCATGAATAACGTCCCAGGATACTAGACTGGCAACGGCAAGTTTTCGGCTGTTAATAACATCGTCTATTCCACTGCCAGCAAACCCATTTGCACGACTACTATCACAGTGGAGACAACTATCACTAGTACAACAGACAAGCCAAAAACTGTGGCCTGTGATGCAAACAGTTATGATCAGCCTTGCCGCCACTACTGGTCAGTCAACTCCCGAGAAGGATATAACACAATTGTTTGCCCAATTAGCAGTATGTCTGTTCGGACGGCACCTGCAGCTTGGGACAAACAACATACAACTTCCTGGAGATGGTGGGTTCCTAATCTTCCCAAGTCACTGGGTGCCAATAAGTGTGACCGCGATGAGTGGCCACCGGCAGCATTCATGGAGCAAAAAGGCTCACCTTATGTACAATGGATCCGATTCGTGCCTTCATCGGCCAACCGCAAAGCAGGCCAGCTCTGGAAAGGAATCTGTGGCAAACCAAAGAAGCAAACAAAGTGGGAAGGAGGCCCTATCAGAGACGGCACCTGCACAACAGTTAAATCGGTCATCTATACATTGAATGCGATGAGCATGTATTTCAAGAACGTTTTCAGTCATCCAGGTCTCGATGACAATCCCTGTCTGCCTATTATCACTGACGATCCGGGATTTGCTCTGTTCACGCAAGATGCATGGTACGGAGATAATGTTCTGGCAGGTTACAATCCTGCTGCATACAAGTACAATCCCGTCTCCTCTCTGACTGCTGGACACAAGATGCCTCGAGGATGGTGGAGCAAAATTGCGAAGCGTTCAGATCAAGAGGATGAGCAGAGATGGGTCGAAATGGAAACTGAGATTTTCGAGGCTTTGGAGGAAGTGGCAGAAGGTACCTATATTCCTGTGCAGCAAATGGATTTTGATCCTGAGAAAGTCATCATCGATGAGGGTAACTCGAGTCGTTATGCTACTCCTCAGGAGCTGTGGGAGGAATTGGGTCTTCTCAAATGTCGCTCTTACAATTGTGAGAAGGAGAGAGCCGCTGTTGGCCACTACGAAGCGGAGGAGATCGAAAGTCAGATGGCAATCCCCACTGACCAAGATTTCCCGGTTCAGACGCCTCCACCAAGTGCCTCGAGATGGAACCCTGCGTCTGGTCCGAGCATCCCGCTGGGCCCAAGGGAAACCGGAACAACGCGGACATCTTCTGAGGGGAATTGAGACGAAGCATATACATAAACAGAGTCCTATCTCTTTGTAGCTGCGGGATGGGCTACGCCTTGGAACCGGTGGATCTGAATAGTGTAGCCATCAATGTATTAACTGGGGAATTGGAAACACAATGAATGATATTCATAGTATCTAAAGCAATTGCTAGAATACTTTGTAGCAGCAAGAGGACCTACCCGTTAGGATAGCCAATTCCCTTGAAAGTTGTATTCCATCGTCCCAGAGTATGTCATAAATAGGCTCGCTGGATGTGCTCGAGATATGGGCTGATGGTAGGTAACGTTCCTTCAATCAATTATTTCTCTAATTTAGCAATCTCCGACCTTGCGAAGGGTCTTGTTCGTGCTAATTTGATATAACGAACTTACTTCGTTACTTAACCAGTTCAGTTTAGTTAGTTATACCACGGAATTAGAAGAGTCCCCTCTTTAGGGCCATATCCCCAGTGGGACGAATAGGAAGCCCATACCATATCTGTTAGTTTAGTTCTAGAAGATACGGTGACATTGTTTCGTTAAAACCGGAAGCCCAAGAATAAATTGCCAGAGACTCAGTTTGCGATAGATATAATCAATATTTTCAACGAAAGAATACTTCAACAAGCATAAGATCGGTTCAATATCAGAGAGAACGAAAAGAAGGTAAAACCTCAGACACCCTCTAAAAAGCCATCTCCCCCCGAAGCGGTATCAATGTTCATCGAATCGGTCAATCCGCAAACCTCAAAGATCTTCCGCGGTCCAAGACCCTCGGGGATTCCGACAATGCCCTCATTCTTCAGCCGCTCAAAGGCAGAGCGGATGCCCAGGTAGGCTGGGGTAATAGAAGCGAAAGAGAAAATCATAATGCGGAATCCCATCTCATGAGCCTCCTTGGTGGTGATCAGCGGGGTAGCACCGTTCTCCACCATATTCAAGAGCAAAGGCCAGGGGGCCAAGTCCTTGACTGCCTGGCGGGCTTGTTCTTTCGTGGTAAAGCCCTCCAGAAGACCGACGTCAGCGCCGAGTGCCCGCGCTGCCTTGAGGCGCTTGATGCACTCGTCATAGCCGTGCTGCTGGAGCGCGTCGGTGCGCGCGATGAGGACGATGTCGGAGTTCAGGCGGTCTTTGGTCAGTTTGGCGGCGCGGATGCGCATCTCATATTCTTCCAGCCCGACGACTTTCTTGCCGGCGAGGTGGCCGCAGCGCTTGTTCTGAATTTGGTCTTCGATGTGGAAGCCCGCGACGTTGGCTTGGATGTACTGCTGCACGGATTTCGAGACCATCAGAGGGCCTGTCGCTGATTTAGCTTCTCCCGGTCCTGCTGCTGTCGGGACGTTTGCTTACCTCCATAGCCGGTGTCCATGTCAGCAATCAGCGGAGGGCCGTAAGGGTCCAGGTTGGCAATCATCTCTGCATTAGTCTTCATGTCGTGTAACTGGGCTAAGCCGAGATCCGCCATTCCCAGTCGCGAGGCTGTTGTACCTGCGCCAGTCTGGTGACGGTTAGAGAGGGCTGCTGATTATCCTATTGATATGGGTGCGAATAGCTCACCATGTACATGGCCTTGAAGCCCAATTCCATGGCGACGCGAGCACTCAGGCCGTCGTAAACACCGGGACAGATGATAAGTTCATCGGTTTCCCTCAGCATACGGCGCAATCGCGACGCCGCAGGCTTCAGCTGGACAGTAAGAGTAGGCGCAGGCACAGGCTCTGGCTGCAGCTCAGTGACATCGTGGAAGAAATCCTTCTGTTGCGCTTGAACGGCGATAGTCATGTTGATGGGAGCACGGTTGGAGCTTGTCTTGGAAGTTGATGTGAAAGTGTCTGAATTGGATATCTGGGAGACAAGCAGCTACTTATGGCTGCCGGCTCTGCTGCTCTCGGAATGACCCTTCCTGATCCGGCTATCTCTCTGAATCAATGGCAAAGTTGTAACTTCTTGGCTCTGAAGGTATCGCGACGGGATCCCCCCGTGCCCAGGATTGATGACTGCATAATCAATTGCGCGCCAAGGTAGATGGCGTTCCGTAGGAACACTTGATGTGTGTCAACAGTATTTTTCGTGAGCGCAATGATCGGTTGCGGAGATCTTCGCCCAGCCGTGACATGACGGATGCTGTTACAGATCACGATCGCCCTCGCCGTCCACGCTGAAAACCCTCCTGTGCCACAAGCTGCTCACTAGACGGGACAGAGCTGAGGATAGGAGTGTGTGCTATTGGTGATGAAAGAAGTCATTTCCGCGGCATAATGTGGCTCGAAGGGTAGGATTTCTCGGGGGTGCGAGAAAGCCGAGAAAGCCCCATAGGTGTTCTAGGCCTTGTACCACTCGACCATAGATGGATTTGGAGCTTTTTTTTCGTGATAAGCTTGCATACGTGGCCACATGTGCGCCATATTCTCGCTTGCATATGCAAGGAAATACGAAGCGACCCACCCGAAGCAAGCAAAAGATGAAGGGCATTCCGCCCACTTGGAGCACTTTGACTGGCGCGGGCCTTTGCATGACTCGGTTCGCGGGAGATCAGCAATCCGGAGCGCTCAGACCGTGCGGGTCAGTATTTCATGCAGCGCCCTATAATTCCCGTCACAAGCCTCTATCAGGGGGCCATATTGCTGTGGTGCAGCGACAGCCACACTTAGAGGAGGCTTCACTCTGGGCACTATTGCCCTCGAAGGCCTCATTCACCCCCAATCCCCTTCGTGTCACTCGGACGCCTCGTAGTTGCATCCTCCGTCTGACTTTCCACGGCCGCCAACTGCAGAGAGCTTGCAGCACTAGAGTCTGGGCATGGGTACTGTTTGAGACGTGAAGATGCTTGGCATTGGGCGGTTACTTTCCGACGGAGGAAATACTTTGCACCTGCGACCGCGCTATCAAGGATAGAAGGATTGATTTGTTCAAGAATCGTCAAGGCAGAACGCCACATGTACAAGGCACGAATCCGCCAAAATCGCGCACAGTATGACTGCTTGGCTTTGCTTGGAAGCAAACCTGGAGTGGTTTTCTTTTTGCAAAATGCAACGTTAATGAAAGGGGCCAAGAAGAGGGGAAGGCGTGGCGACGTCTCGCCCTCCTTCATCAACCTGTCAACCTGCTGAATATCGTTGTGATAGCCCTTTATCTTGATTTTTAGAAGCGTATTCGTACATCTGCATTGGAGAATCGTAATTAACCGAGGGTCTGCAGCTGCGTTGACGTAAAGTACCGGGATTATGGACGGATCGGGATAAGAGGAAACATGGGAGCCTGTTATACTGAGCTATTTTGTGCAAAAGTCGCTATACGGACTTTTGCTTCCTTTTCTAGGCTATCGAGATGAATGTGGCAACCACTGCCCTGAACAAGGGCATATCCAAGTTGGCTCGAAGCGTCTTATCTTTGATGCCCCAATCTTCCTTCCAGGGAAGGCGTTATGGATTGAATGGAATGGATATAATGATACATTAAGAAGCCGAGGAACCCCTTACAAGAAATGAACAAGGAGTGTATGAACCTCGCTAGAGTACACCATCCGCTGAGACCCGAGCGCGATGAGGTAGAACGCAAGGCCCGCGGGCAGGCAGTCGAATATTAGGTAACTGTTCCAATTATACGGGTCTCGCTTGAATGTACATTATCAGCGTAATAGTTACGAACCCCCCCTCATCGATTAAGTTTTGCAAGAATCGGTCTTACATTTCTGCAGGCGGTGGCCCCAGTATCAAATAGTAAGGACGACCTTTGCGGAAACACCCTTCTTCTATCCCAAACGCCTCTGGTATACTTTCCAATGCCTAACCCACAACCAATGGTGGTAGGAACATCATTCCCTTGGGCGAGAGCTCCCGTAAGGGAATCGTTAAAGATGCCTCTTCCGGCAACAGTAAACCCATGTCGCATTCCCAGATGATCTACGCAGCTACACCCTTCATAAACGAAGAGGTAGCGGCCGTCAGCTTGTGCTGCAGCGGAGATTACTTGATAAGGTCCCTTCTATTCGTCGGGATTGCAAGCCCTGCGCTCGCCTTGGCAATGAATTTCGACCCTTGGGTCTGCCAAAGTATAGGTGCACAAGCCTCTAGGCCCAGGCCTGATCGCCAATGCTCCGATTGTCCTCTTGGCCTCAACTTCTGCGACCATATCATGCAGCACAGGCACGCTCCGGTAGTCGAAGACCTCCGCGGCCCCCAACCCTTCAGGTAACCATGGTTATACGGAGACCCCGTAGCCACGGCTTTGTGTCCAGGTCCAACAGTAATTTAGATTGCATTGCGCCCGACGCTGGAGGATCCGTGCTAGACGGTCAATACCAATACTTCTTTAGAAGGCTAGGGGGAGAGGGTTGGTAGATCCAGTCTTAGATAACCCTTCTGCAACAAGCCAGATCCCGCGGTGCTCAGACCTAGAGAGACCACGCACGCGTCCTCCTACACAAGGCGGCTGGGGATTCTCGAGACGGCATTCTCCCTCAACAGAACGTACTTCTAGAAGGCGCTCTGGGAAGAATTGTTTACTTTCGAGTTGTCGCCAAGAGCAAGGCCAAGCACCCGGCCTCCGGGCTTGAATTCGGTTACGCTAGCGTCCACTTCCACGGCTTCCCCGTCTAGGCAATTGCCAAGGGAGCGGGTCATTTGATGTATGGCGGGAGGAGATCTCCAAGGGATTGGTCGGCGAGTCGATAGAATTGATAGCCACCGTAGCAGGGTTTGACCACAATCTCGGCCCCGGCTGGCTGTGTATAAGGCGCTGTCTTTGTCTTGAGAGAGAGTGGGCGGCCTTGGCTACCAGCCACGCAGGTCGATTGGGTGGCATTGCAGATTGTTTTCGTCGAGACATAGGTGGAGTTTGGTGCTGGACACAATCGATTCGATAGTCGAGGAGGGGTATCAAAGTACAGTCGACCTCGTTGCAAGGTCTCAGGTTCTTTTATACAATATGATTCATTTAGCATGTCCCTGCAGAAAACCCGTATGGGCTTTTCTTTCGAGGATCCTAGTCTTTCGCGAGTGTCTGCTTTGGTTGAGAGATTGGGGTTGCAGATACGGGGCGGGTTAGCGCTGAGGGCCGGACTCGACTGCCGAACGCTGCCCGCCAGCAGTCGTCCAGTCCCTGAAATCTCTTCTTGTCCAGTTTGGCTATGATCGTGATCATTTTTATAAACGTCTATGGTTTATAAAGTCATCTCATGATCTTCTGCAACTCACAAGGAGTCAATCGGTCAACTATCGCAGGATAGCTGGCACAAATGCAGGACAAATATATATCAATCTATGGATTCCCTTTTTTGAGGGCTCCTGGATCTCTACTTTCATTTCCAGATTTTCAAAGCTTTGGACACAGTCTAAATACATCATACCTCGCTGTATTCATCGCCAAAGACAAGAAAAAAAAATTATAGCTTGACTTTTGGCGTGCATCTTTTGGGCTACTATCATTACCTCTTTTCTCGACCATGCTTTCAACCATGACACCGCAGTGAACCTCAAGTCTCTCCACCAGGATCACCTTCTGTGCGGCTTGGTCGTTTCTACCACTATATCTTTCTGTTCCAATGGCTTTAGCCTTCTTTCTTTCATTCCTCATCTACTAACACAGGAATGAGCAAGGTTGCGTGAAGTATCCAACCACAGTATTGAACAGGCAAGGCGCCGACACTCGTAATCAAGAAAGCTGCCATTCACAACCTGCAGAACTAACAGGAATTTCCACTATTTACATCGAAAACTCTCCCATTGATCAATGCGATCGGTACATTTTCGAAAGATCCTCGAAAGCAGCGCGTTGGGTATCCACAATCCGAAGGAATCTCTCTGCAGGGGGGAATGGCCCAATCACGATCTGGTCCTTCCCACTCAAGAAGCCTTCAAGTGCCTCATCGGTGAATTTGTCCAAAGGCATGCCCACCTTTCGGCCAGTGTCTTCTCCCATGAAGTCATGGAGCTCGGCTGCAAAACAGAGTTAGTGGTCAAGAAAGAGTCACCGGATCAAAAATCGAAGAGCTGAACTTACTCTGGACTGCCGGAGGGGAAAGCTCAAGGACCTTAACGTTCTGGTTGCGGAGGCTCTCACGAAGAGACAGGGCATAAGAGCTCAAAGCCGCCTTGGTGGCAGAATAGAATGGGACCCAGAAACCGGGAACATAAGAAAGGTTGGAGGTGGTGCTGAGGCAAAAAGAATCAGTATTGGATGACCAGTTGATGAATTGCACCACTCACAAGGCCAGCGCAGTGGGGCTGTTCTTCTTATAGAAGAACGGGAGGAAGGCGTTGGTCAACGCCACCACACTGAAGAAGTTGACCTCGAATTGGGTGCGCGCAAGATCCATAGAGACAGTCTCGGGCTTGCTCAAGTCACTCGGTCTCTGAAGACCGGCATTGAGCAGCACGAGATCGATATCGGGGTGCTTCTTCGTGATGCTTTTTCAGGGTTAATTTAGCTCGGAGCTCGGACTGACTGCCACGTACCTCTCCACGAAAGCTGGGATCTTGCTTGAGTCGGAAACGTCAAAAGCAACTCCATCGGCCTTGTCGTGACCGTGCTGGCTCACGAACTCGTCTCAGGCGCTCCTGGCGACGGCCGACTGCGGTCACTTTCAGGCCTGTCTGCACGAATCGGTCTGCGAGTGCTCGACCGATGCCGGCGGTAGCGCCAATAACGAGGACGTGTTTATATGGGAAAGACATCTTTGTGGGAAGATCGTTTGAGATGCTCGATGTGGCTGTCAGTGAGGAGTTTGAGTGCGAATGATATGATATTCGGATCATCTGGGAGACTCCTCGGTATTTATTTGACTGCAGCTCAAGAAAGCGGGTTTACCTACGTAACAAGGTCTACCGAACATACCGGTGGATCTTGCGCAAGCTCTCTGAAGACCGGAAACGTTGGAATTCTCCACTCGCTACATCATTGTCGGCTTGCGAAACCCTAAACACACCGGATACCGAGAAGGTCCACTTTTCTGCGGGGAATCGAGTGATCTCCGTGGAAAGCCGAACTCTTGTTGAGCTTGTCGTCCGGAAACCGATGCATGGCCGTGACGAGGCTGTCATCAAGACCCTGGTGCAGTGAAAAACGCATCTCTTATCCTGGTATATCCGTTATCCCGATAAGCCCGCTAGGCGATGACTGTGCCTTTACTACTACCAGCACGGAATTCTGTGACTTTATGCCGCGCGCAGCATCAAGTTTCTACTGACGAATCATCGGTCAACGCGACCATGCTCGAAAGGGACGTGAAAGTCATATTATGCCCATCTTTCGTCTCCTGAAACAACTTGAAGCGCACTTCGTGAAATCAAATCTTCAGCAAATACAATGCCTCTAGCATGTAGAAATCCAATTCAGACCACGAAAAAAGCGGATATATAACACGACACTCTACCAAACCAAAATATACATATCAAAACACTAAGCCCGCGAATGCACCAACCTCCCCCCAACCCAAACAGCCTTCACGTTCCGATCATCGCCACTCCACACCCACTTCTGAATCCTCTCCTGCCAAGTCTCCGTCCCAAACAGATCGACATTCCCCACCGACCCATTGCCAACCCCCCTCACTCCCCTCGAGCAACCCCTCTACACTCTCCCTCACAGCCCCCAGCTCAATCAGCTGCGCATCCCAAAGCATCCCCTCCTCAAACCCACCCAGCTCATCGGCCATATCGACCACAGCCGCGCCGCCGCGCGTCGCAAGGTACAGACTCTCATCGACAGACAGTTTCTCATACCCGACCGGCTTCTCCTGGGTCACATCCCCCGTGATACCGGGCCCGGCACTCGCCGCGAAGGAACTCGTGTGTCCCAGCAACCGCGACGAAAGGCAGGCCTGCCGTGCTGCTTCGAGGATACTCGGGCTGTACCCGCCGCTCACGTCTGTGCCCAGCCCGACGGTGATACCGTCGTTGAGCAGCGTGCGGACGGGGCAGATCCCGGAGCCGAGGGCGGCATTCGAGGCGGGGCAGTGCGAGACCTTTGCCTGGCGGGTTGCGATGAGGCTGCGCTCGGACGGGGAGAGATGGACCGCGTGCGCGAGGATAGTGCGCCGGGTGAGGAGGTTATGTGTATCGTAGACGGAGGCGTAGCTCTCTGAGTTCGGGAAGAGGTCCTTGACCAGGGCTATCTCGTTGGTGTTCTCCGATATGTGGGTTTGGATGTGCAGGGGCGGGTTGTAGGACGCGGCGAGGGAGCCGAGGGCATTCAGGGCGGCGGGGGAGCATGTGGGAGCGAAGCGGGGGGTGATGATGGGTTTCACAAGTGTGCCTTTCGGGTCGAGGGTGTGGATGTAGGCGATTGTGGCTTCGGTAGCGGAGAGGGAGTCTTCTGGGGAGTGGTCGCGATAGTAGGATGGGCAAATGAACGGGTTGTCCATGCAGACGCGGCCGATGAAGGCGCGCTGGCCGCGGGCGTGACAGAGCGAGGCGAGGGCATTGGTGGCGGGGGTGTGGATGGTTGCGAAGTAGGAGGCGCAGGTGGTGCCGTGGGAAAGGGTGCGGCAGATCACTTGGTTGTAAACGCGAAGGGCGACTGGAGGGGCATCTTGAGGGCTTGTCTTTTCTTGACGAGGGTTTCCTTGGTCGCCGAAGCCGGATTCTACGGGGAATGTATAGGATTCCAACCAGTCGAGTAGGGTCGTAGAGCCGAATAGACCCGCGTTGGGGTATTGGGGCGCGTGGATGTGGGTGTCTATGAAAGACGCATTAGATCACGATGCTTTCGTTGCAGACTCCGAAGGGATTACCCACCAATGAAACCTGGGAAGAAGAATTCATTTCGATCTTCTCTCGTTCTCACAATTTTGACCTTGATCATTGGTTCATGGTCCCCATTCAAGTCTGTGCGCACGTCGGCCGTTGTCCAGTTATTCCGGACCATCAAGTCTCGAAACGACTCGTCATCTTGGGCACTCCAGTCAAATCCTTTAATGCGGCCATTGCTGGTCGATACCCAAAGCGCGCCGCGATGCCGGACTAATTGAGGTTTGGTGGTTGAGTGATCTGCAATGCGGGGAAGATGGATAAATATTCCCCGGTACACCGTAAGATCGTAAGCGGACATGATGTGCAGCGCTATGGTATATAACAGCTTAAGCCCGCGCAATGAAGATGCAAGAAATAAAGCACGCGAAGCAATTAATCGCAGTCTCCAAAATCAACGCTTGAGGCTGAACAGGAACAGCAAAAGTCCACAGAAGCGCCTAGGAAACGGACCGAGCAAATTTAAAGCGACATTGCGGCGGTAGCCTCGTTTATGTAGGCAACTAGTTCGTCAAAATTAGGTAGCGAGGCCAGTCATGTGGAGCATCCAGGGTATTCTTGCTCTATTTGAATCAGAGAAAAAGAAAAGGCGTTTGGCGGAGGTGCGGGTGAGTTCACCCGTTAGGCTGGCGGGCCCTTTGATAGTGACAGCGGCAACGTCCGATTCCGGCCATTACTAGTATGACACTCCTGATTGGCCTGATAGTCTGCATGAGCGTCGTGTATGGTAAGAGGGGCCCCGATAAGCTGATAAGCACGAAAACCACCTCGTGTTGGCCTCGGACACTTCCGCATGAAGGGTCCAAAATCTCGCAGTAGTATCTATCCTGCATTAGAATGGATAGTGTATATGACTTTACATCGACCGGTGCGCCGGGGCGGAAAAAGGTGGATAGGTTGATTACCGATTCTTTGGCCCGCTGATTGGGAGAAATGAGTGTGGGGGAGGGGCGCGCGATATCATTGTAACGATTAGCCAGAGGAAACTGGAGGCAGTGAATCCTGCTTCGGAGACGGACTTCATTGAACGGACTCAGGTCCGACTTTGATTGTTCTAGTTAACCCTATTGTCACTAGGCATTATGTTGAAACGAACAAACAGCTCTATGTGCAAAGCACGAATCGTCATCATAGCCAAAAAAAGGAAAATGTTGAATGTATACACAGAAACGAAGCGAGACTAAGCTCGGAAAAAGCAAAACATGGGTATCATTACACGGAGTCCTCGACAGGGCCGCATGTGCAGAAAAGGTTCTGGTCACCGTACGCTAAAGAGGAAAGTTAGTTTGGGTCATGATTGAAAGAATGGCTACGGGAGGTAATCTTACCATCATCGACACGGGTCACTGAAGGCCAGAACTTCTTCTCCACTAGCCAGGGCTGCGGGTAGGCAGCGGTCTGACGGCTGTAAGGGCGGTCCCACTCGTTGGAGAGCAGGTCGTGCTGGGTGTGGGGAGCGTTCTTCAGCACGTTGCCTTCGCGGGGCTGCTTGCCGGCCTCGATCTCAGCGATTTCAGCGCGGATGGAGATCAGGGCGTCACAGAAGCGGTCCAGCTCGGCCTTGTTCTCGGACTCGGTGGGTTCGATCATCAGGGTGTTGGAGACGGGCCAGGACATGGTGGGCGAGTGGAAGCCGTAGTCTTGCAGACGCTTAGCGATGTCGATAACCTCGATACCGGCGGTGTCCTTGAACCCCCGGGTGTCGAGAATAAACTCGTGAGCGCAGCGGCCATTGGCATTGGTATACAAGATGGGGTAGTGAGGCTTCAGGCGGGACATGATGTAGTTTGCGTTGAGCAGGGTGATCTTGGTGGCGTGGGTGAGCCCCTTGTCGCCCATCATGTTGATATAGTTGAATGTGATAGGGAGAATGCTGGCACTGCCCCAGGGAGCGGCACTGATGGGAGGAGAGGAGTTAGGGCCGCGCTTGGCCTGGAGAGCCTCGCTGGTGGGGTGGGAAGGCAGGAAGGGAGCAAGGTGGCTAGCGACACCGATGGGGCCAACACCAGGGCCACCACCGCCGTGAGGAATACAGAAGGTCTTGTGCAGGTTCAAGTGGCACACGTCCGCACCAATCTCGCCGGGGGAGCAGAGACCAATCTGGGCATTCATGTTGGCGCCGTCCATGTAGACTTGGCCGCCGAATTCGTGAACGATGTTAATAGCCTCCTTCGCACCGGGTTCGAAGACACCGAAAGTGCTGGGATACGTAATCATGAAAGCAGCCAACTCGTCCTTGTGTTTCTGGGCCTTGGCCTTGAGATCATCCAAATCAAGGTTACCGGTCTTGCTATCACATTTGATGGTAACAACCCGCATACCAGCCATAGCAGCACTGGCAGGGTTGGTGCCGTGAGCGGACTGAGGAATGAGGCAAATATCACGCTTGGCACCCCCCTGGGCCTCCTGGTACTTCTTGATGACACGCAGGCCGGCGAATTCACCCTGGGCGCCCGAGTTGGGCTGCACAGTAACCTCGGCCATGCCAGTAATGTCAGCCAGCTGCTTTTCCAGGTCATCAATCATCTGGATATAGCCCTTGGCCTGCTCAGCGGGCATGAAGGGGTGCAGCTGGGAGAACTCGGGCCATGAGATGGGAATCATCTCAGTAGTAGCGTTGAGCTTCATGGTGCAAGATCCCAGGGGGATCATGGAGTGAGCCAGGGAAAGATCCTTGGACTCGAGGTGACGGATGTATCGCAGCATCTCAGTCTCAGAGTGGTGGGTGTTAAACACAGGGTGGGTCAGGTAAGGAGTAGTGCGCTCCAAGCTAGCGGGGAGGGAGGCAAGAGACAGAGCACCCTCAATGGCGACAGGAGAAGCACCCTTGTGTGCCGCAAAGAGGTTGACAATTCCGGTGACCTCGTCACGACCAACAGTCTCGTCCAACGAGAGACCCACCTTGCTGTTACCAAAACGGCGCAGGTAGATGGACTGCTTCTGGGCCTTGGCAATGAGGGCCTCTGCCTCGGCAGCATCGGCCAGCTCAATGGTCAAGGTGTCGAAGAGAGCGTTACCCTCCGTGTTGGATCGAATAGGAACGTTGTAGCCGAGACCAACAAGCTTCTCACGGAGCACAGAAGTCATAGACATGATACGCTGAGCAATAGCCTTCAGACCAGCGGGACCGTGGTAGATCGCGTACATAGCAGTCATGTTGGCAAGCAAAGCCTGAGCGGTACAAATGTTACTGGTGGCCTTTTCACGGCGAATGTGCTGCTCTCGGGTCTGGAGAGCCAGACGAAGAGCGCGGTTGCCAGTGCGATCCTTCGACACACCAACAACCCGGCCGGGCACCTTCCGCTTGTACTTATCAGCGCAAGCAAAGAATGCCGCGTGAGGTCCACCGAAACCCATGGGCACACCCAATCGCTGGGCGCTACCGAAAGCAATGTCAGCTCCGAATTCGCCAGGGGCTTTGAGCACCGTCAACGCGAGCAGATCGGTGGCCACACTGAAAGTACCGCCCTGTCCATGGATGGAGTCGCTCAGGGCCTGGAAGTCGTTGACACCACCCTCAGTGTCGGGGTACTGGGCAAGAACACCAATCAGATTGTCACCCTGCTCCTTGACCAGCTTGAAGTCATCAGCCAGAATATCTCCCACGACCAACTTAATTCCGAAACCCTCAGCTCGGGATTGCATGACTGCAAGAGTCTGAGGGTGGCAGAGGTGAGACACGACGTATGCCTTCTCGGCTTTTCTCTGCTTGGATGTGGGCAGGGTAGCAAGGGACATGGTCATGGCCTCGGCCGCAGCGGTAGCTTCGTCGAGGACGGAGGCATTGGCGAATGGCAGACCAGTGAGGTCAGCACTCAGGGTCTGGAAGTTGAGAAGAGACTCGAGACGTCCCTGGCTGATCTCGGGTTGATAAGGAGTATAACTGGTGTACCAGGCGGGGTTCTCGAGGACATTTCGGAGGATAACGGGAGGAACGATAGTAGGGTAGTAGCCCGTTCCAATATAAGTTTTTCCAGAGACGTCAATTTGCTTGCGGTAAGTGTCCAGCAGCTTGAGCATGTCAGTCTCGCCCAGACCGCCTTGCACAGGGGATCGGTAGAGGTTGATATCGGCGCTGGGCTCGGTGACCTTGAGGTTCTTCTTGGACAAGATATCCTCGGGAAGCACCTGCTTCACGAATTCGTCCAAAGACGCCACGGGGGGATCCAACACGGTCAGCATATCTGATGCCGCCTCTGGTGAGGGGCCAATGTGACGACGAGGGAAGGTGTCGAGGGGCTGAAAAAGATCCTGCGGATGGGGGTCGCCATGATCGGAGAAAGTACTTGAGTGCACTTTGCGGGCAGGCTGCTGGGAGGTGTTCAAGCTGCGTCGGCAGGCGTTGAATGGTGCAAGCGAAGCTGCGCGCAGAGCCAGCGGGGCAGGAGTAGCTCGCACACGCGACCGCAAGGCCAGCTGGCGGCCAGCGCGCAGAGCGAAGCAAGACGCCGCCATTGCAGAAGCTAGTAGCTCGGAAGTGACGTACAGTTGGGGGGGTGGTGCAGAAGCACGCTGTCGCCACGTCGAGTCAAAGTAATCGGAGAGATATTTGAGGAAGAAAAAAAACCCTCCGCCACCGGTAATATATCAGTTTAGTATTTAGCCCTCGTAACTACCTTTTTTCCTCGGTTCCCTTGATTGAGGCCGGGCGGGCAACGAGGCGGGAAACAAAACTACCCGCGATAAGAGTCGCTATCAAGCCAATGAAAATGCCCCTCGCGCATTCCAGTGGGGCCAGAACATCGCTCGCGGTGGTTTTCCGCCGGGAAACTTGACCGATAAAGCGCGCTGCTCCAGGATTTTGGAGGGTCTGGAGGGTCCACGGAGAGACGGAGAGGGAAGTTGTCGGAGGTCAACCCGTTGAAATCGGTTGAGGTTTGATTGTCATTATCTTCGCCATGACCGGTGGATCTTGGTCCTCAGCTCATATCTTATTCCAGCTTTACAAGTCTCCCAGTACTTGGATAGCCGGGCTATAGATATGGACCAGTCCAGACAGCTCTATACACCGCCTCTCATGATCGCGCGCTGCGCCGGTTCCGTCCAATGGGCAGCTCTGCTGGGCTATCGCGATTGTTCAATGGCCCGAGACGAAGCAGCACATGCAAGGTTCCTAAGACAAGTCTTATCAACCGGATTTCCAAACAGCATGCGCCCTACATTTTCCAGCTATATTGCGGCTACATTTGGGCAGCTGTCTTTCGCAAATTGACCGAATGACTACAGTCGTTTAAATGGAAGATTGCGGGAAAACGTCAGTTTCATGGGCATATCGCATTGGCTAGAGCTGTCCGTGTGTGCCACCTTAAATGGTGTATCTGAAAGTGGGGTCGTCCTCAATCACCTTCTTCCCCTGATCCGCCTGCCGATTACTGAACCAGAACCACACGCTCAAAGCCCCCCACAATCAAGATGACCAGAATATTGCACCTGCGACCGTCAGCAACTAGCCAAGTCAAGCTGGATAACCAGAGCAGAACAAAACTCACGCAATCGCAGCATACATCCCCGGCCTATACCCCGGCGCGTCCTGCTCGCGGAAGACCAAACTACTCGCAATTCCCCCCACACCCCCCATCCCCACCAGCGTCGCGCTGGACAGTGCGCGCGTCCACTGCCCACGCACATTGTTCGCCTGGTACGCCAGACAAGCCGGGATATTCGCATTGGCCCCCGCAACGGTCAAGAACACACCCGCGTACCGGGTCGCGTTGCCCGTGGCAAATCCCATCATCGGCAGCCCGATGATGCTCAGCAGACAGTTGAACACGAGGACAGGGCCTCGCGTGCGGTACTTATCGCCCACCCACGCGGTGCTATACATGACGATTCCGGCGAAGGCATAGGGCGGCGCGACGAGGCATTGAGACTCGCCGATACCGAAGCCCATCCCCGTGCGGAGGATGATAGGGAGGAAGTAGGCGATCGCGTAGGTGACTGTCGTCAGGCAACTACAGTGCGGCTCTTAGTAAATGCGTTCTCAATGGGAGAAAGGGGGTTTCGTACAAGAAGATGAGACCGAATCCCCAGATCTTGAGGTCGAGGCTTGGCTTCAGGAACTTCTTCAGCGAGAACGCTTCTACGTCGCCGTCGTTTCGGTCCTGGTTGATCCGGCGCACGATGAAGGCACTTTCGCGCTCGTTTAGAAACCACCATGATTTCCATGCTCGGTCAGGGAAATCCACTAGGAAGATGAAACAGAGGATTCCGATCGCGCCGGTGATCTAGGGACTGTGAGGATGGAATTCGGGTTCGAGATAATAGTACTTACCACGCCCTCAAGGATGAATATCCAGCGCCACCCAGTCAGCCCGTGCTTCCCGTTCAACTGCATCAGGCCGTAGGCAAGAATACCGGCTAGAGCAGATGCGACGCAGCCAATCAGGTAGAAGATTGAGAAACGCTTCTGTACATCGTAGCGGGTGTACCAACAGGAGAGTAAGTAGACGGATCCAGGGAAATACCCTGCTTCGAGGACACCAAGGAGGACTCGCATGCCCACGAGTTGGCCCCAGTTTTTGACGAAGCCTGTTCCCTTCAGGCCTGTTAGGAGGGATACAGAGGAGGAAATGCGATAGCTTACTATCATGACCGCTGCCCAAGTCATCACGATTGTTCCTATGAATATTGTCGGGCCGATCTTTCGGATGAGAATGGTCATTGGTGGTTGAAAGAGAACGTATGGCACGAAAAACATCAGGACGACGAGTGACTGCATTCGTTCAGTATAACCCCCAGTTGCAGTATATCCATGCACGCTTATAGCTCTGGGCGACTCACATATCGATCTCCAACCGTGAGAGCCAGCTCCGTTGTCATTCTGAATACTGATCAGCATCCACGATATACGTTGCTCGAAGTTGTGACCGGAACTTACCCAGCAATCGCCGCCGCACTCAAGTTCGTTCGGTCCATGAGCGAGATACAGTATGTCAGCCCCGTCATCGTAACCAGACGCAGGTCCACCCGCCGGATGATGGCCTTCTGCTCTGCAAGAGTAAACTCTTCATCGTCGACAGTGCTGAGAGATTTCGGATTGACATCCTCGATGCGTTCCACCGTAGACGGTTTCTCATCCATATCCACCATGGTGGTATTTCTGGTACGTCCAGACTCGGTCTTTCAGAAGTAGAGTCGCGCTTCTCGATACTTAAATAGCCAAGATAGAAACAAAATGGCTCAGACAACCGCGTTAGATATCGCTAATCCCGGAATATCCAGAGACAGACCCCCCCTCCAGCCAGGAGGAAAGGACATTAATTTATAGTTCATGCACCGCGGAGAATAAACAATATTGTGACGTCCATGACTGCGCTTATACCTGCTCACCTGCACCATCCCATAACTGCCCAGCCATGCCAGAACTCTCAGAGCATAATAGCCGACGCAATCCAGTGGATATCGGAGCAAATGTCTTCATCGAGCATCGATTGTCGAGAGGCGTCTGAGCGTCGAAGACCGAGGGGAGAAAGCCCCGCAGCCAAGTAGCCTGGACGGCAGGTGTTGAGTCGTCGACTCCCAGTTCTGGCAAACCAAGACTAATCAGGCGTGGATCTGGGGAAAGACCCGGGGGTGAATGCGGGGAGAAGGACGTGTCTGTAGCTTGGCAGCTTGGCGGGTTCATTGTTGCGGGCTAGTTGGGTTGGGGATGTGGCCTATGGCGGGCTAATCTGACGGATTTATGGTCTCGAATGCGGATTTGTTGCGAGCTCTCTGGGTCGGAGCCGCGAGTGTCTGCTAATGGGGTCGCTTGTACATGCGATGTTTTGCTCAACCTCCTCAACCTCATGTGATACAGGTTTAGGGTTCAGCCACAGATCAATACGGGCCTACTCGATGGGGCCATAGCTCCTCGGAGTCACCGAGAGGCGACCAGCCGAAGGAAAAGGGATGTGGTTTGCTGAAGAAATTGATCCTATGGGAGGGATGAATTGCTACGAGTATCTCATGGGTGGAGGAATTGGGACTGATGGGAATTTCGCAGTTTGCTAGTAGTAAATTATGCTCATGCTCCCGATTGATCTTCATCGACGTGTAGATAACAATATTGATGCCATTAAAATTTCTAATACCATTAGGTGTAGTATCCCCTCGCGACCCTGAGGATGCATACGTCAAACTGTAATTGGAAAAGCAGGTGTACTTTGAGTCCAGGCTAGTCGTCGACCTTGTACCCCGCCGACTGCCTAGCTCATCCCCGCATGAACGTATGGGACAATGGCCAAAGCTCCAAATGTATCTAGAATCATTTCAGACCCAATCTTAGACTAAACGTGGCTTACACGTGGCTGTTTATGGAACCATAACCGAGGCTGCTTTCATCCTCCTCCAGAAGTCGATCTTGTTCTTCGTCGTGTCTAGCTTGAGCGGCCATCTGCCGGCCTTTGATTGCCACAAAGCTGACTAGTACCACGCCCACCAAAAAGCCCGCTGTGGCCAGTGTAGCGTTTATGGGGATCGGATTTTCGTGAAACGTTCGATGGGTAAGGGCATCTAGCCCATACTGAGAGAAATTCACTAGCCCAGAGAGGCAGATGATTGTACCGTACACGCGCCCGAAGGTAGCAAAGCCAAAAACCTTGGTTGCGTAATCCCTTTGGAGGTCAGTATCTATGAGAGGAAATATCGTGTTGGAATGAACAAAGGGGAGAACTTACGACATGGCGGAATAATATAACGGTCGCAGCAGAACAAAGAGCGTAACGGTCGAGTACCCGGCCCACAACGTCGGAATCGAATTGAGGATACCAATAACCGTTGTGAAAGCAACGATGATCCCGAGCATAACAGCCACGCTGAGACGATCAAGGAGCATACCGATGAAGGGTGTAAATAAAACACCACCGACCGGCAGCGCCACATCGAAGAACTCGTTGATTCGTGCAGCCAGATCCACCGAGCTCAGCATATACTCGTATTGGGACCGAACAGTTGCGATGAAGTAGTTCATACGCAGCATCTGGAGAACGGTCATGATGGTAATCAGAATGAACCATGGCGTTGCCATTTGCTTGTGGGCTGGGAGACCATGGAGCGCACCCCAGACGCGACTCGTATGCTGGCGATCCTCTTCCCGCTCTGCGCGTTGCTGAATCTCGTCTTTGCTACCAAGTACCCGACGAAGCTTTCGCATTTTGTTCTTGCGGCGCTGGGCTCGATCTTTCCGCACCCGCATTAGCTCGCGGTCGCTCTCGATTTCGTCATCTGAATCATGTACGTCTTGCGTCGCATCCTCGGCTAACTCCATCTTCGACTCAAGCTCCAGCGTCGAGGTATAGTCGCGACTCGGCATGATGGTGATTAACGCTAGGAATATCACACCTGGAACAGCCAGATATCCGAAAAAGAATTTGTCGGGGGTAAATGACCGATCGGAGGCTTCGTAGGCTGCCCGATAGAATAGGTACACGCCAGCAGACGCATCGAAGGACCCCGTGATAAGTGCGACAATAGTCCCGGAGTATCGGGGAAATGCATTCGCAATCTGGAACGACGGCACGAAAATGAAGGTCCCGCTCAGCGCGACAAGGAAGTTCCCAGGTATCAGCATGTGCAATCCCGGGTTGCGGAAGGTAAGTGCCATTAGTGTGCTTCCAATCGCAAGCAGAAAACAGCCGATAATACCGCAGATGCGGGAGCCATAGCGATCGAGAATCGTTCCGACTGGCAAGGCCGACATGTTGGCGGTGATTGAGGCGACAGTGAAGAAGAAGTTGAGTCTGGGTACGTTAGGCCGCAGTCCGGGTAATCATTAGAGCGTGGGAAGTTCTTACCTCAGATCTTGCTGCGAACACAGCTCGACACCTTTCTGCAGCTCATCCTCGGTACAGAGGTCGTGATAGACCCCTTCCGCAACCAGAACCGGCTTCAGAGCTGCAAATCCAAACACAATCCCGGAGGCCAGCCAGCAGGCGAGGACAGTGATGAAGACCTGTACTGTTCTTAGTTAGAGAAAGGATTGAGCTTAACATCGTGAACTGGACATAGCCTACCTAATCGTTTCGCTGTAGATTGCTTGTATGCTGGGATGCCCGGGGGCTGCTCGGCGACAGCGGCAGCTTGGCTCGGCTGGATCACATCGTAACTGATCTTACGGCGAATGGAATGGACCTCGCCAGCATCATCTTGCGGCGGCTCCCGGTCGACACCTTCAAGGGCGGAGACGTGCTGGACCAACGACATCGCTGTGTTGAACAGAGCGCGAGGATGGCAAGAGGGGAAGGAGGGTCGGAGTTGGAAGCTTCTGCGGTATTCTAGCTTATGGGTCCCGACCTCGGACCAACCACAAAAACCTGAAATGTCATGAATTGTGCAGGCTTGCGCTACCCCAATCGCCAGACCCGTGCCATCAGCCGACGGGTGATTTTCTGATAGGGGCAGAATACGGTGTGACGTGCAACCAAGGTTATTGACAGCTGAGTCCTGCAAAACTTTATAGTTGCCAATGGCGCCGCTGTGGTGGGGCCCGTCTTGTTCAACCGGGAAGCTCCAGCACCACACGATAGCGGAGAGCGGAGAACCTACGAGAATCTACGGAGTACTCGGCTCACTTATCACGTTCGTCCTAGCCTCTGACACTGACTTATCGATCGGTCAAAAAATGCCGAGCAGTACACGCTCGCAATACCGGGACCGTTAAATCCATCCCATAGTCATCGACATTGACCACGGAATGACGTATACATGCCGACGGGAGAAAACGTGCAAGCAATTATCAGCACCAACCACTTAACCACTACTTGAGACCTCAGGACACCTGAGGTTCCTCCCGTAAGCAACTTCTGACTAGCTGAATTGGCTGAATAAGAAAAAGCAGACTGCTGGCTGATACTATTCGACATGTCATAAAAGCAAATAACTCCACATGCTACTGAGTGCCCAGCCGACACGCGGTGCCGGAGGCCTTCACACCTCCAATCCCATATAGCCTAGGAGACGCCAAAATCAGAAGAAAAGCCACTTCTTGGGCTTTGGCATCGTCTCCGTCCTCTTTCGAGGACCTTGCGGCAAGACCTCCCTAGTAGCCCACTTCTCTTCCACCAATGGGATGCGGTAGAATGAATTCTGAGGTTTGATTTGTTGGGCATTACTCTTCAAGGCCCCTTTCGGAGAGGCTTTTGGCTTGTGCTTAGCCGCTGCCGGCTTTGGGGGTTTCCCCTTTTTTTCTTCGGGTCGTTTGCCGGCTGCGGGGGAAGCGGGGGGCGTGATATGACTCCCAGCAGAGCCCCAGTATTTTGATCACGGACTCCTCGCTGGGGCCCAAATGGGTTAAGCATCTCGTGTCTTTTACGGCCAAATTGGTGATCTGGGTGAAGAGTGTATGCGTCCATTCGTCTGGGAGGCTGAGGGATGGAGCTTGCTGGAATGGGCTGCCGAGGATTGCCGGTATCGAACTGTCGAAGCATAAAGGTCTCATGTCGTTCATTTGTGAAAAGTTCCTCATGGTCAGAGAATTTGTGAGGCTCAATGTTTCCCCGGTTATGTGGATTTACCGCCCTTTGAGTAGGCACCCGGTTATGAGCATTGTATACTCGCTCTTTTGGTACGACGTTCTTGTTGATAGGATCATAGTACACCTTCATATGTGTCAGAGCGGATAGAAATTGATCTGTGGATGTGCAACATAATTTGATGGGATCTTACTCTATTAGTGTCTGGCTGAAAGGTTTGCTGCCTTCGTGTAGTTGAAGTAGGTTGATAGGGAGTTCGGATGTTGGGAGAAAGCCCTGACATTATGCTATCCGGTGTTTACATATGTCTTGTTGACGCTTTCGAGGGGTGAGAATCCGAATGATGATCAAGTTCCTTGACTGGAAGGCTTTCATTTTAATAGTGAAGAAGCGCCAACTAAAACAATTTGTTTGCAAGGATGTTCTACCAAGCGGCTAATGAAGGGCCAGGAGACTTATCGTGATCTAATGACTTGGCGCCGGGGAAGATGCTGAAATGTTTGAAACATTCCCCGGCCGAGAGAGCCTCCAGGTACGTAAACATTGAACCAGCCATGATTGAATTCCCTGAATAGAATGAATCTGACCATGACTCGTTCAAAGCAGCTATGGCGAGCGGTCTGAAACAACGTTTGACTAACTAGGGCGAGGGCGCGTAGTCAGGGCGCGTACTCAGGACTTGAGCAAATGAAAATTCCGACGTGGCGCCGAGCTCTTTCCGTAACCGCCAGGGCCATAAGCCTCACAGTGGTCGAGTTATTAAGAATTTATTTTTAGACAAGGAGAAGCACTGACACTGCCAGAGCGGTTCGGGATTATGGTCTGATTGGTTGCATCTCTGTCGGTAGTCAGCGGGGCCAGTCGATCCCCTCGCTACATCCTAGTTAGCGCCCGCCTCTTACCTTTTAATCTTTGAAAATACCTATATCTTTACTCTTTTCCTCCGTTGTTGTACTTCAGAGTCTTTTCCAAAGCTACTTCTATCGTTCATTTTTCTTACCATGGCCCTTAATCTGGCGAGAACCGTAAAGGCGGGGGACGCCGATCCCAAGGTGGTTCAAATATTGACGGAGTGTCTAGAATTCGACACCATTACTGAGAACCAAGCAGCCAGGCGGATTGATGAATATAATAAATTGGACGAGGATCAGTACAACTTGGAAGATATTTGGGGCGCTTTCTTTCGTGCCTCATTTCATATTCCGCATGACCATCCGGCGCAAAGCCGACTGGTCCAAATTCTATTGGAACTGAAGGAGCTTCCGTCTCGAACGGTTCAGTTTGGCGATGTGAGTACTTACGTGCAAGCATGATTTAGCCTACCCGGCGAAATCATCGAATGACTACTCTAACAAACCTCTGTAGAAGGAATTGATATTCTGGTCAGGGATGCCCCTATTCCATGGGTATTTCAGTGAGTGGTGGCAATTCTGTGGTAAGAAGTGCATTTTTGAGTCAAATTAATGGATTGGATGATGCTAAAGCTTGATAGGTCCGTTCGACCGCCCGATGGATGAGGAAGGCAAATCTCCGGAAGAGATAGTTGAAGAGGCTTCGCATGAATGGCAGAATTTCGTCTCCTTTTCCGCTCGTCTATGGAAGGCTGGACTGATTGGTTTGTTCCGATCGTCTGTTTACACTCTACGTGAAGCTTTAGAAGATGATACGGGCGAGTTGGAGCTGAAATGGCGAATTGCAGCTGCATCGGAGTGGATTGTCCATTGTGGGGCCTCTGATTCTCGAAGAGATCAGAGATAACGATTTTATTGATGCTGGAACCCCTCCGAAAGGACCACTTTACGATGGAGAAGGAAAGACTGAGAGTTACAGATGGGAGTTCTGGAAGCGTAGGTTTGAAGAAGTCAGCTGTCAACTGGAGGGTGATTTCAAGACTTTGGCGTTGGACTGTGCAAGTCGCATGAAACAGATTTCCGATTCCCTGGATTAGCTATCATGAGGGAGTATTTACTTTTCATATATCAAGATATATCATGAATGGAACCCATAGGGAAACTTCTTTTTGGTCCGCTAACTCGGAGCTTGCCATGGACCAATTCAAGGTTTGCGACGGTTCTAATTGATCAAGCATTGATCGCGATGGCGAACACAAGAACCCTTCGGGTACTTTACCTCAGAGAAGGGTTTTCTACACCACGTTCTGAATTTCACTATTCTCGAGAGTTACATTACATGCTTAGGCTGTTAATGTGAGTTCACCTACCAGCCGATCGGCGGAACAGGGTACAACCAGGACGTGTATGCAAATTATTGAGAGAAGAGAAAGTTCGAAAAAAAAACTTAAGAGATATCCAAGCTCAAGTGGATCTAATGTACGCCTAAAGAGAACCGCACTCAAAGCCACCCAGAATAACCCAGTCCTTGAGGGCGGTGCTTAAGCATTTTCTTTCTTCAATCAGGCACATATTGCAAGGATAGTGGGCGGTGCAACCACTAGTAACCAAACGCTGCGATGCTCTAGCACTCATTTAATACTTGAAATGTTTCATGGTCATGCCAGACTCGGGATGAAAATAGTATTCGACGGACGATTGCTGGCACCAGGAGATTTAGGGAAATGTTGCTTTCAGGGTAGCTAGCCTTCAAAATACAAGGCAGATTTTCGAGCACGGATGTAAGCGTTTCAGGAAACTGGCGCTGCGCCGAGGCTGTTTTAGAAACGCCCTAACTAGGACGCCAAGGGTGTCGCCCGTCAATGAGCCACTTTTGAACAAGAACTGCAACTTTGCCTTGCGCAGGCGGCTGCAAGGGCGATACTTCATTGGCTGGATTATGTATGTCTAGTTGCTGGGACGGGTCATGCCCGATTCCCCTCCCGTGGTCGAAGTTGGCGCAGCGTCTCCTTAAGCGCCGGGCACAGCAGGGTGATTTCGGGAAGACCACATATTTCTTCACCTTTCCTATCTCTTTTCATTGACATCAGATCCTCAACATTGGAACCGTATCAAGAAATAATCATCCATTTTTTCACTAGCCATCGAAATGCCCACTTTCAACCTTGCAAAAGCAGCAGAGTCCGATGATAGCGATGCCGATCGCACCGTGATTCAAATATTCACGGAATGTCTCGAATTAGAGACCATCACGGAGAACGAAGCAGCCAAGCGCATTGATGAATATCATAGGCCTGCAGAAACAAGCGATGAGGAGGATGAGCCCAATATATGGCTCATTTGGGGCGCTTTTCTTCGTGCTTCGTTTATGATTCCACATGACCATCCTGCGCAGGACAAACTGATCCAGATTTTACTGGAGCTGCAAGACCTCCCGTCACGTAGGGTTGAATACGGCGAGGTGAGTGTTCCGAATTGAAATTCTATCTAAGCCAACTAAAACTTGTTAAACTCTTGCCATCTAACCGACATACTTACAGTTTGGAGAAGTGGAATTCTGGACAGAACTGCCCGTGTTTCGGTTCTATATGATCGAAGTGTGGTCTTCAGTTGGTATGAGTCCAATATATATAAGTCGCTTATATGAAACTGACACTAGAAAGGGCCTTTTAACAAGTACATGGGACGCGAGCGGACCGAGGAAGAGACCACTGAAGCTTCACGCGAGTGGCGGAATTTCATATCGTTTTCCGCTCGTCTATGGGAGGCTGAAGTGATCAATTGCTTCAATCACTCTGTTTACGCTCTACGCGATACTTTGGAAGCTGATGAGGACGACTACGGATTAGAGCTGAAATGGAGAGTTGCAGCTGCGTCTGAATGGATTGTCCATTGTGGGGATATGATTCTCGAAATAATCAGAGATAACGATTTTGTCCATGCTCGCACCCCTGCAAAAGGATCACTATATGATGGAAAAGGAAAGACAGAGATGTACAGATGGGAGTTCTGGAAGCGCAGATTTGAAGAAGTCAGCGGCCAGCTGGAGGGTGATTTCAAGACTTTGGCCTTGGATTGCGCAGATCGTATGCAAAAACTTTCTGAATCACTAGAGTAGCAGCTACACTACGAGAAAGCATTACCAGATTCACCTCTCATTGATCAACAAGTTCTCACATTCAAGCAATAATTGGCTTACTGCCATATAACAAATGAATATAAAATAGAGGGATACTAAAAGAGGATACTTATTCCATACTGCCCCGACTGGCTCCCAGCAGGGCAACAAATACCTGTAAGCAAGCCGCCCAAGTCTATCTTCGCCAGGAAGGTTGGGGTCATACTGAATGCGCATCATGATGACGAATCGGATAACCACAGAGCATTGCGTGGCTAACATGGGCTCTTAACTTCACCCTAGCCTTTTCCACCACGACGCCACTTTTCCCCGGGGTGCGCTTGTATAGAGAAGGCGAAATGCAATATTCAACAATCCCATCATCAGGGCCTTCTCCGGTGATGGCACTCATCGCACCTTTGGAGAACTGGCAGCCAACCTGGACCCATCTGAATTCATACAGCTCGCTCTGCTGTTGTAACTTTTGTTTGAAATCGATAAACCCCCATATAAGGTCCCTCAATTGGCAAATGCGCGTAGAGCGATCCGTATGTGATAGGCCCGCAAAATATGATTCTGCGAATAGAATAACCTCATTACACGACCACTCCAAATCCTCGCGAAGAAGCAGTGGTAGTACGGCGTTTGTTGCAAAGTGCCAGTTTTTCCAGAGAAACTCAGGCTCTTGAGAATGATTAGTAGTATGAAACAGCTGCTGAGGACCTCACAATCGCAGACTCACGTAGTTCCTGTACTTTTTCGTGAATTATGCGGAGGGCCAGGGCAAGCTCGGCACTATTCACACCAACCATGAATTTTTCCAATACGGTGATGAAGATCTTGTTCGATAAGTGAGAAAATATTTCATGGGAGCGACGGAGGCGCTCAGAAATGCCACTGACGGCTCCCGCTGAAGATCCTGGACCCGCGGCAGACGGCTGCAATAGAGCCTGGGCGAAATGGAACCTGATCCATTTCTCGAGACGTTGGTTCAGGCCACGCAGTTGGGACGCAACATCGTCGTCATCCAAGGTCCTATTAGAGCATCGAAATTTTGAGATCTGATTCAAAAGCTTGTCGTTCTCCAAGAGAACGTTATCTGCGGATTTTTGAGCTTCGTAATACAGTTCTCCCTGCCGACGAGCTTTCTCTTCGGCAGTTGAACGCTTTTTCTGCGATATACTCAGCGATTCAGTGACTTCGCCTAGTTTCCTTTTGAACTCTTCTTCTTGTTGATGCAATAATCTCTCCAGGCTTGCTCGTTCTTCTTCGGATATCTTGATTTTGGCGGTTGTTTTGACATGGACTTTGTCGAACTGTGCTTGCTGTTGGCGAATCTTGGCTTCGAGGTGCGTGTGGATTTCTTCTAATTCTTGCTTCGAACGGGTGAGCCGACCGAGTTGAGCTTTCATCTCCCTGTTTTTCCTCTCCAGTCGCTCGTATTCTTGTTGTAAAGGTGGTGGTTTCTGATCCGCTTCCCTGTCCTCGGGACCTGGTCGAGATGTCATACTCAAATCACATTTCAAAGCAAACGGATTGCTTACCACTGGATTCTGAAATCAGAAGCCTCCACTTATCATACAGATTGAAAGGCATGAAGCATTGGAAGAAATTGTTCATGATGCACAGTATATAATAGAGAAGCGAAATCGAAGTATTCGGGAAAGTGAAAAAGGAATCATGAGAGCGTTCCTTTATTAATCTTCTCAACCGTTGGAGTTACCAGAGTATGACAGGTTGAATGGGGAAATTACATTTTGATGTTGCGATGACTTCTATATTCAGAACGGCCACGGCAGTGAGTCGCACCTTCCTTCTCATTTGCGTCCCCTTCTCATAACTCCTTCTTGGCCTTTAGCTTCCCAGATCTCTGAGAGTACTAATTCTCAAAGGCAAGAAACTGTACGAAACGCTTCAGACATGAAGCCCTCTGAGAGAGTATTCCCAGTGATGGCATCCAGGAGTGGACCGAAGCTTGTGGTAGGGATTGATTTCGGAACAACATTCAGCGGGTATGCACCATCGTTTTAGCTTCCTTCCTTCATGATCCACGATCATCGTGCCAATTGTGTCCGCCCAGCCTTGTGGTTCAGGATAGCGCTAATTCTCGTTAGCATTGCGTGGGCGTTAGAAGCCTGCCCAGAGGAGATCGAAGTCATTCAGAAGTGGCCGGACGGACGGAATAGTAAGTTTAAAAAGAACTTTTAAATTACCCTGAAACTAATATATCACACAGGATCGTTACAAAAAGTCCCTAGCTGCCTCACGTACGGCACCTCTGCTGTGAACTGGGGCTACCAGGTGAATGACGAGGTGCATCCAAATGCAATCAGGGGCTTGAAACTGCTGCTCGACGATAGCAAGCCTGTGACATATAGGCCATCTATCGAGGCCAAAAGTCATTTGAAGTCCCTTGGAAAATCTACCGTGGATGCAATTGCAGACTATCTCCGAGCTTTGGTGGGACATGCGAAGGAGATTCTTAGACGACGTTTCGATAGCGCACTGGACATCATGGAGATCCAGTATATATTAACTGTCCCTGCGGTGTGGTCGGACAAGGCAAAGGATTTGACAATGCAAGCTGGTTGCCGAGCCGGCATTCCTCGTGCTCAGCTGTCCTTGTTATCGGAACCAGAGTCGGCGGCGATATATGCGATCCGCGCAATTCAGCCAAATACGATGGCGGTGGGTGCAGTGCCTACATTACAATTTCACTCCAATAAAAACTAACCCACAGAAGCATGGGGATTGCATTATTGTGTGTGATGCTGGCGGTGGCACAGTGGTAAGCATGGCCCGAACAAAGTAGAAAATGCCTTGAGAGTTATATTGACCAATTCAGGATCTCATTACATACGAAATCACTCAAACAGAGCCCTTAAGGTTACAAGAAGTCACGGAGGGAACAGGTATTTATTCTTAATATCACTATAGATGCACCTCTAACATGGCTTCTGCAGGGGGTATTTGTGGGTCAGTCCTCTTAGATCACTGCTTCGAGGAACTACTTGCTCAGACCGTGGGTGAGAAAATGCATATGTCAATCCCAAGGGCTGCGAGGCTAGTTGCTCTGAACTACTGGCAAGACAATATCAAAGCGAACTATACAGGCCCGGAATTAGAAGAATACCTTGATGTGGGCTATGCTGTTCCATTGCCGGGAGCGCCTGACGTACCCGGAATCATTGAGGGAGGATTTTGGAATCTCGAAAGGTAAGACTATGAGACTAAACTCTTTCAGATTAATGCTCACCACACCAATAGCTCCTAGGTCGAGTGCATATTCAAGCCTGTTGCGCAGCAGATTGAAGAGCTTGTTTCGGGACAGATCAGAAAGGTTAACGATACCGGCCTCAACGCAAAGGTGTGGTTCTGCATTGAATCTACCCTTCAGCTACGTCTGTTGAACTAAATATGACAACAGGCCATCATTCTTGTCGGAGGGCTTGGATCGTCAGATTACATTCACAAGCGTCTGGAAACCAAATTTAGCGATCTTAGGGGTGATGCAGCCAATGAATGCGTGAGTAAAATATTATTCATGACAGGCGTGCGAAGTGTGATTGAGATGTTCATCTAACGTATTTTAACAGATGGTCCGCTGTTGTTCGGTAAGATCAAATTTCGGCATCGAATATAATCTTGAGTCAACAAGCTTGTAGGTGGAAGTATTAACGAGTTTAGGGGTGCAGTTCAGCGTGGAATCGAGGGCAATCACGTCGATAATCGAAAGGCTCGATGTCATTACGGAGTGCAAGTATCGAGACCTTATGACCCAGCACGTCATTCGCCGGACCGAAGGTACTGGAGCACGTATGAGGAAGCTTATTTAGTGCGCGGCGAGATGATATGGTTCATCAAAAAGGTTAAATCTAGACAACACAATTTATGTGACGGTTTGTGACTGACTTGATCGACAGGGGGCTACAATAAACGAAAACGAGCCAGTGCGGCTCAGTTTCTATCGAAACGTTGATATCAACGGTTCTTTCAAATTCTGCGATGAACTCAGCTTTTGTGTGACCGAGACTGCCCCGAGTCAGCTCAATAAAGGTAAGCTGGCTCGGTATTGATCATTCTTTGATTTGAAGTGGAAATTAATTTTGTGAAGCCGTTTCTCCGCTTTGTGAGCTCAACGCCGACCTCGACAAGATACCCAAAGAGCTATTTGAGAAGCATAAAAACTCAACCGGGCTGGAATTTTACCGTGTTCACTTTGATCTGGTTCTCACGCCAACATCTGCATCACTTTTATTCCACCTTGAATTCAACGACGTTGAGTATGGGAAGGTTCGAGCTCGCTATTATTAGGACATTTCACGTGTTTATCAGCGGAAATGTGGACATCCCGATCCCCATCGGCCAAATTGGTATATGTGGCTTAGTTGGTTGCTGAAGTTGCTGTAATTTCTGCTGGTCAGAGAGACGGTGTCTCTCTAACTTGGGGGATGTCCCATGAAGCCATTTGGGGAATGCTGAAATCTGGCAAAGGAATAATGTTCACTCTGAATTGCTTACAGGGATGCTAGTATATGTGACTGCAAAGCATTTGCCAATGGACTCTGAACGCATCATGATAGCTTTCAAATCATGCGATTCCGATCTTGCCATATCGATTCCCTACGGTGGCATATTGACGGGCTCTCGCACGCTCAAATGCTAACAAGCCTTTGGCGAACGCTTATGCGCCAATGACTTGGGCCATTCCGAGGGCATCGTTCCTAGTAAATTGTGGCATTGCTGATAGTAGAAGCCCACTGCATCCAGTTAAGCGACACAAGTGCTCCAGATTCGACCCTGCGAAGCTTCATAGCCACTAAGGCTTGGAGTTGTCGGTCACCGGGACTGCCGATTCCAAGAGAAGGCCTTGCCCCAAGATGACCAAGTTTCCATCCTCTGAAACTTTGCCTAACAGATGAAACAAAAACACGATAATATAAGGAGTCAAAACATCTCTGCAGTTAACCTTGGAAGTGGGCCCGCCCCATGTGTCACTCGAGTAGCGCGAGCCTGTCAACGCCCCCGCCCGTCAACGTGGCGGGGCCCCAAGTATATTAAAAATGACGTCGCGTGCGCCCATGACGTATGTGTCACCGAGCTGTACGCAACATCTCAGGGTTTCTCAAGACTGGATCAGTTGAATCAACAAATATCTTGATCAGCAAAAGATCCAAGGAGGTCAATACTCCAGCTTTTCCTTCAGCCGTTGCCGAGCGAAAACCGTTGGAGATCTACCCGATCGCGGGAACAACATGGCGTCCGTTTCAATCAGCGCTCCAGGGCTCAGCAGCGGGTTCCTGTACAATAATGGCTCCAATAATGCGCGTGTCTGTATTACCTCCGAGACGAACGAGTTTGACATGGAGACGATTCGCAACTGGCAGAATGAGGGATTCGACGTAATCTACGAACCGCTGAACGGCGGCGGCAAGGACTACGAGGCTCGACTGATGGCGGTCAAGGGAGGTCTTGGCGTTGGAGAAAACTACGCAGTGATAGGTTAGTGGCACCGCTTGAAGAACGTAACTATAACATGTACCTGACGATATCATCCCTACACAGCGTTTGGCGAGGCGGCTAGCTACTGCTTGCAGTATTATGCGGAGGCAGGAAACACTGCTCGACTTTGCGCCCTGGTCGCATATTATCCAACCACAGTTCCCGACAATCGAATCAAATTTCCCTTCCAGGTGCGACTGGTGGTCCACTTAGCTGGTCAAAGCATTGATATGATAACGACGCCAACTGCGCTGGGGCTGCAAGGCAAAAAAGCGACGTCGGACTCGTGCCCTGAAGCCTGGAGTTGGCACGGGGGAGAGGCTGAAATGGGCTTATCCGGTCTACACATACTATGAAGCTCAGCCCGGGTTTGCAGAACATGACATGGAGGAATACGATCACCTGTCGGCCAGTATCGCGTGGTCGCGGACTGTTAGCGTTCTGCGCAAAGGGTTTTCGAGAGATGTGGATATTGAGAAAGGCTTGGAAGACCACGAAGAAGGTGAGATTCTCTCCACTTAGGAAATTAAGTAAGTACCTCGAATTAACTTCCTTTAGCCAAGTTCTTCAAGTCAAATATTTCGGAAACGATGGAAAGCTATGTCAAGCACAAGACACCGACGGTAACGTATGCCTCGACGCTAAGTGGCGGCATCGGAGCCCAAGAGCTCCAGCGCTTCTACCAGCGGTTCTTCATTGGGAAGCTTCCACCGTCGATGCACATTCGCCTGTTGTCGCGAACAACCGGATCCGATCGTATCGTCGATGAGCTTTATGTCTCTTTCGAACACTCGCAAGAAATCCCATGGATGTTGCCTGGTGTCCCCCCAACCAATAAGCCGGTGGAAATTGTGTTGGTCAGCATCGTCAGCATTCGCTCTGCCAAGCTGTATTCAGAGCATGTATACTGGGACCAGGCGAGCGTCCTAGTTCAAGTTGGTCTACTTGATCCAAAGCTCGTGCCAAATGGCTTCTCCGGTGTTGATAGACTACCTGTCATTGGCCGGGAAGCGGCTCGTCGCATTCTACATGAAGATCCCGAGGTCGAAGGCGTCAACTATCACAATCGACTCATTCGTCGCGCAAATGCCAAGAATAGGAAAAATCAAAGCTCGCGATCTTCCGTCGCCGATGAGTCTGCTGCTGAGCTAAAGAGCGATGCTGAGCTGCCAGTTCGTAGCAAGGGTGATAAGGGGAAAAACGTGCAAGAACAACAAACAAGCCCACCAAAGCTGGCTAGTAAGAATGGAGCAGGCGTCGAACACCAGGAAGAGGAGGATGATGATGGCGATGCGACAGAGACTGAGGCTACCAGTACTAAGCCGGAGGGCGACAAGGCTGCGTATGTCGAAGAGGCTGAAGAGAAAGAATGATTAATTAGTTGTCCCGAAACAAGGAATAATTTGTATAGCACAATGCAAGCGGTATTGGTCATCACACTCGAATCATACCAGGATCGCCTACTAGACCGGGTACATACTCAGTGCTACAGTACTGCTATCACTGACTTGCTATACGAGGTACCTAAACCTAAAACAGAACATCTCGGGTTGATCTCTCCAGCTCACAGCCACCGCCTCATCCATCCGGCTTATTGCGGCTCGTGTGCTATAGGGGCTCTGCTTCACGCTAAGCCCGGGTTGTGTGGGGGCTAAAACCCCCCTTCAAAACAGTGTCGAGATTTCGACAAAACTCAACTACTCAGAGCTGAGGGCTAAGAAGGGAATTGTTATGCGTCGAATGCTGAGTCTCTCAAAAACCTTGGCCCATGTGATACGGTGTCGTCTCCCCCATCATCCCTAAATGGGGCTCTGATGCCCCGATATGAAGGGGCTCGAGTCCTGTGCCGATCCAATCGGCCGCCCCGCATCGCAAGATAAGCAGGTGAAGACAAGTCTGCCTTGCAATTCAGGGATATGCCGGTTTGGTCACCCTATCAAGAGCAAACGTGCTTTTCTTTAGGGTCGAGTGGGCCCCCGTGTAGTCAGGCTAACCGAGACGATGATTAGCATTCAGTTGTCTCTTGAACAAGGCTTCCTTAGCCCGCGAACTATGGTGCGTAGTGCAATTTGATTCATTTCCTGCAGAGGATCTAAATACTGCCTTGAGCTCCATTTTCACTTACCCACAGATATATTATAAAAAGTCATAGCGCCGTTGAGACAAGTCACAAGTCTTGCAAGAATGCAACTGGCTACGGGTATTGCCCGTACTTTCCAGGTCAATAATATCTGCCTATCTCATCAGGCCCCCAAGATAACACCTTATAGCTCCTGTTCAGCATCGTCGCGCTCGGACTCTCTATCACCCTTGGTATACAACAAATCATCGGAGCCGTCCCTCCCCAAACGAAATGGGCGGAGTCCGCAGGTACTCTCGGTGTGGTCGCCGCATTGTTTGGGATTATTATTTCATTTCTTGAGAGTTGGCAGGAGTTTGTTCCTTGGCTTCTTGATCTTCTTGCCGGCATTGCTCTACTGGCTGCCGGAATTGTAAGCCCCGTCCCCGAACACTCAACATCTGCGCATCACACAAATTTCTAAGCTAGTCTCAGGCGTACGCTGTCACATTAGGAAACGTTGACTGTGATAACACTGCTGCTCATAACGGCCTTGCTTGGGACAATGTGCTTATTAGTGGAGGCTGCGAATACAGGGACGAAATCAAGCACTGCTATAATGGGGACCACGGTCAATATATCCGTCCTCGCTGTGTCTGGGCCAAGGTCGACACACTTTTCATGTTCTTGGGCTTCGCTGCCTGTGTTGGGGTAATGATTGTGACTCGGTCTATCGCTGAGGCGTCTCGCAATATCAGTGCATTGTTTGAAGTGTCTGGATGGGGAAACATCATGGGATCATAACTATGATACCCGAAATGAAACTAATGAGAGAATACGACATGGGAGTGTATCTATGGGCTAGGCCTAGAAATGCAGAAACAAATGAACTTAGTGATATACTCAAATTTTGATGTCTGTGTCTGTCAGGCCCGAATTTGAGCTTTATTATCTTGGGATAGCAAGCCAATGCTGACATTATTGACGTAGCGGGCACGACTTTGAGTTCTAGGGTCCCTCGGGTCGGAACTTAGTATTAAAATACTATATAGATCCATTCTCCTCAAGAAGGTCTGAGAAACCTATCCTCATAGGCGATCTTAATTTATGGGAAATCGGTTTCCTCGACCTTGAATCTCTAGTGGGAGATCCGGGGGGAGCACCGTAAAGCTGTGGGAGCGGAATGTCCCCGTCAGGATACTAGGTGACTACCAACTACTGAGGCTCTGAAGAAGGTTGAAATTTCTGTTTTCACTGCTGTTGCAGCGAATTTATTAACATTCTCACTTAGGCTGCAGACCTCGGAGCTGTGGTTTAGAGAATCACACTGTTTAACCGGATAGAAAGGCATGCTAGAGGGGACGCAATTTAAATTTTATCCTCACACAAAGAGTGGCGGCCTTCAAATTCTATGACAATCCTTTGCGAATTCCATAGTAAGGGTTTGACCCGAAAGACAGGCAATTGCAACCCTCACAGTAGTCTGGGTCTCATGAAACGCAATTCCTGAATCTAGACGGGGCCTGTAAGCCGGTGGGAGCCATAGCAATCTTTTCCCATTGAAATATATCCAACTCTGTCTGTCGCCCAATTGGTATTTTTCTGGCGGTATCGCGATCTGGAAGGTGGTATCTGGATCGATGCATCCTACAGCATCGAACGTAGGTGCATTGAGAAACACAAAGAAGTTCTTCCTCCGAATCTCGGTGGGCGAAGTGTCTATTTCAGAAGTTCGTTCGTCCATGGAAGCCTTAAAAAGGCCTTGTGAAGTAGCAACTTTCCAATACCGCTCTTGATCGGTATGCCGCAGCACTGCTGCAACGCAAGCTCCGTCCTCCGACCAAATGAGTCGTTCTACCTTGTAAACTTCATTTTCAAAGGGAAATTCGTGTCCAATAACTTCTCTAACAACATCCCAAATGATGAGTGCATATTGCGTGTTTCTGGCAGCACGCATGCTTGAAGAAGGTCTCCATGATACTGCTGCGAGTCGATTCCCGCTGGGGCACCACTGTATTGAAGAAAGAAGAGAGAAACCGTCCTTCTTCAAGAACCGGACAGGCTTCTCTTTTCCCAGATCCCAATCGCAGGATGCGAGGCTAGAATCATAGCAATTTTACGACCATCAGGTGACCAAAAAAAGTCACGTTCTCGAATTTGAAAACCACTTGTCCATATGCAATTCCACGTCGCTGAGTCCCATATTTTCACTTGCCCACGGCTCACAGCTGCAAGGAGAGGGGTTTGAGGTGACCAGCATATTGACTCGAGATATTGAAGGCCTTGGAAAGTGATGATATCATCGGCAGTGGCATTCCAGACTCCCGCTTCTTCCATCAAGTTTAGTGACAACAGCCTTCCATCATGAGACCAAGAAATGTGGTAAGGGCTTCCACTTCTTAAACCCCCCGGTTGACTCTCGTTAGACAGAACATCGTCGTTGTCAAAAGTTTCCCAGATCTTCACGATATTATCAATCGATTCAGATGCAATATGACCCCCATACGGTGCCCATGAGACTAGCACAATTTGAGAGGTATGTCCATTCAGTACACAGGTGCATTGGCCGGAAGAAGGGTCCCAGAGAGTAATGTGATCTCCTGAACATAGAACTAGACGAGTATCATCAGGAGACCAGCCCATATCCCTAGCACGAATGAACTTTACATGGTCTCGTAGAATGGAGATTTCTTTCCCTTGAAAAGGATCCGAGATTGCAATGTGATTGTCTTTTGTCAGGGAGGCCAGTCGTCGTCTGCTCGGTGACCAAACGGGATTGGTCTTCACATCTGAGAGCACGAATCTAAGCCCACCTGTAGTGAAATCCCATATCATCAGGGTAAAATCCTCCAAAATAACGGCTATTTGAGTCCCATCGGGGGACCACACAATCGACTTTACTATTCCACGGATCGAAAGAAAGGCTGACTGAAGACCATTCGATGGGTCCCAGATCCTAATTTGGCCCTTGTCAGAAGAAATCGCAATTTGAGTTCCATCTGGCGACCATGAAAAGGGGCTGGAAAGAGAGTAATCCCTGTTGATCGGGATACATAGGGTCCAGAGTCCGGTTATGCCATTCCATATGTCAATTCCTTTGCAGCCAGATGCTGCAAGCCAAGTAGAGTTTCTTGACCAACATATATGATCTGGGTATCCCATATCCGTGGCAGATGGCCGGAATACTGCGATGCATTTCCCAGTATCTGTATCCCATGTTTGAATTTGAGAGGTGGAGCTTTCTACTACAGTGAGCTGCTCAATGTATTTGGGAGACCAGGCCATCGTCGAAACTTCAATTCCTTCAACATCCAAGACGGAAAGGCGCTGTCCAGAGAATGGATCCCAAATAATCACACTATGGTGAGCCTCATTCAGTATTGCTGCGAGTCTTTTCCCATCGTGTGACCATTCTATCTGCTTGGCAAGCCTTAGTAATTCGATCGTTTGAAGGCAGGATCCCCAATTTTGATCCATTTTCGGATCGCGGAGGAGCCATTTCGATTTCTGATCGAAGTGGGATAATCGAGTCAAGCTTTTCATTGGAGTAAAAATCAAAGCAGAGCTATATGTTTGCATGGGAGCTTGTTGGATAATCGTGCCGTTCTGTTGAATGAACCGACAGGCGTCCTGGATTCGCTTCATGAACATCCTGGACACATCGAACGACTAGTTGGTTGCATGAGTTCATTGTTCCACTAAATACTCAATATGCAAGAAACATCATTCTCGACCCAGAGCAGAGAGGAGAATGAGGGATTTGTACTAACCTCGAGCAAATCGCGGAATGCCAGCATTGTTTTTATCCCACGATGTATGTCCCTCAAAAGACTCAGGGCTTCCAGCCAATACAGGAATTTGCTTTCGAAAAATGAAGACAGAACTCTGCTATCTTCAGATGTGAGTTGTAGGTCGCTTCTCGAACGGTATGCGTCTTGAAGATGGTCCAGCCAGTTCGCACACACGTATCCTATTGATCTTAGCGGGTCTGGAGCTGGCTTCTGTATCTCTTCAATTAGGCAGCCTGGGGACTGGACATTGTATATATTCCGCTGAAGCGTCCTAGACAATGAATTGATTGACCGTAAAAATATCGTATGATGCGTTGCTTGAATTCCTCCAGGGAAGATCCGATCACACCCATTCTTTGCTAGGAAATCTTTTGCGGATTGGTGAATTAGGGATATTGCGTTGTCCTTCAATGTCAGGAAAGAGCCGCAGAGACCAACTATCTCTGCCAAATATTCCTCATTCCCAACAATATCCTCAGGCATGTCAACCATGGAAGAAAGCTCATCGAGCATGATAGGCCTATACACAGTCGAAGCGACCCCGAGTACCGTACTGCATATCTCTGATTCTTCTGAATCAAGGAGTCCCAATAGCATTCTTTCATAGAGAGGTTCAAGCTTCGGCGGGAAGCTGGAGAGCAGATCGATCGTTTTCCAGGCCTTTGTTTTTGCGAGGGCCTGACAGACGATAGCCACCCAAAGAAAAGTCCCTTGGGCATTTTTCAGTAGATGGCGATGGACAGATTCTTTTGTTTGGGGTTGATATTTTTTTCGCTGAGACAGAATTTGAACCTGGTGTTCAATATACATCTCGACAGCCCGGGCCACAGTCTCCTCGTTCAGCTCAAGGGACACCCTAGAATCTTGGGTTACCAGTCCTAGGGATTCCTCAATAATCGGCCAACAGCGACTCGAAACAAGCCACTTCGTACGGCAATCCAGAGAGGACTTGTCGGCGATAAAATCCAGGAGTTGCTGTAGCCCGCCGACGCATTCGTCGAGCGCGTCAATTACCAAGTATGTAGTTTGTAACTGTGGATCCTCCAAAATGTCTGACAATATTTGGCTCAGCGCAGCCCATGCGTTGATTCCTGTGAAAAGTGCTTCTCCTGTAATGTCGTACCGCTTTTGAACGTGAGGGAGAAGCGAAGGTTGCTGATCGACCAGCATGAATATCAGTCCCCGCAGAACGGCCGTGGAAGTATTGATACGATCGTCACTAGCTTGGCAGAAGAAGAAGGCCACATTAATCGAGCGTGCAGACAGATCATTTAATATCCCACAGACAAGCATCGTCTTCCCTTTACCGGGGCTACCATTGATCCATAACAATCGATTATTTGGGTCATCACGCCAGTTGGTGTACTCTTTGTTTTTCAAAACCCAGAGACAACATTCAGCTAGGAGTCCTCCCTTTTCCGATTCGATTCGATGCTTATCATCACGGGGATCCGTTGTTCGCAAGTCACGCAGACATGAGTAATCCGGTGGTGGCTGCGCAAGGCTGATGGACCCGTTGTTTTGCACCACTTGAAACCCCTGGTTTGTACCGTTTATCACTGCCTTGGCAGATTGCATTGTGAGACTGCGATCAAACGGCCGGAGATACTGTAGAACCTCAGAATCGGGTTTGCCATGGGCTGGGATGATGTTGGAAATTGCCGCCCACAGCCTCAGCCCCGCCTCCTGCAGGTTGCATGGGGCTAGCCAAAAGAAAATATGTTCGCATGGTGATTGGGCGCTTATCATATACGGCTATGCCAGTGCTCATGTGAAGCTCAGAAGTGCCACTTTTGAGTCCCCAGAATAATCTGTGGAGCTATGGCACCTTTGGGCAAATAATCTAATATTCTCAGGGGGTTCTCTCCGCGGATAAGAGCTATCATAAGTCACTGCCTCAGTTAATACCAAAGTTTAAACCGGTAACTTGAATAACATATACTGTATTGGCGAACTAGTAGGAAGTACCATATATGATTCAGTAGGGCCAGCTTGCTGGTACAAAGTAGCGGCGTGCATATACTAGGAGTCTCCCCCGAGTTGGGTTAATTTGCTCATGTCGGAAGTGAAGATCGACTAACAGGCTATGGGCCTAGGACCGGAGCCACGATTCGTGGAAGATATTCCGAGTTTCAACATCGCCAACGTACCTTCATCGAACACCTATATTCCAAAGAAACTTCGAAGCTAAAGCTTCAGGCGTAAGAGGTTCTGTCTAAAGACACATCTCAGGCCAGACAACTTTAGCTAATCACATGTTAACAAGCATAGAATTTCCATATTGCAGAAATCAGGCAACCGGGCAGATACATGCCGCTTCTTCGATGTGCCCATGTTCGGTACCAACGAAATTCGTGGGATTGCATTGGGCACTCGAGTCCTTAGTACGGTTTCCTGAGGAGGCGATAACGCGATCTTGTAACTTCGGACCGCGCGGTGGGGCCAACCGCGGTCGTAATCACGACTCAGCGAAGGAAGCACCTTAAAGCAACAGCCAAACCAGAGACACCCACAGCACGGAAAGAGGACCCAATCATCCCAACACATTTGGCAACATGCCACGAACACTTCGCGTTGCTGTGCTAGAATGCGACACTCCTATCCCCTCGGTGAAGTCCAAGCTCGGCGGGTACGGTGATATCTTCGAGAGCCTGCTCAAGAGAGGCGTCGAAGCGAACGGTGATCCGGAAGTGACCGTCGAAGTCAGTAAATGGCACGTCGTTGAGAACCCGGTATATCCGAATCCCAACGAGGTTGATGCTTTCCTGCTCACTGGTAGCAGTACGGTTCCCCGCAAATTCTGATATCGGTCTCGCCACTGACCTCCAACAGAGCATGATGCCTTCGCGGATGACAGCTGGATCCTTCTTCTGACTGAATATGTCAAAGATGTTGTCCAGACGCACAAGAAGCCCGTTGTAGGCATCTGTTTCGGACATCAGATTCTGGCACGGGCGCTTGGTGCGAAGGTCGGCCGTGGCGATGGGTGGGAGATTTCAGTGGACTCCATCAACCTAACTGATGTGGGCAAAGAGGTATTTGGGAAAGACACACTGGTATGTTCATTTGCATGCTCCAGGGCAGAGCCTATACTCACGTTTCTTAGTACCTTCATCAAATGCACAGGGACATCGTTTTCGAGGTCCCAGAGGGCTGCCAAAACCTTGGATTCAGTGGGCCATGTGCTATCCAAGGCCTTTACAAGCCTGGAAAAATTATTAGTGTTCAAGCGCACCCTGAATTTAACGAATACATCATGACCAACCTCGTGCAGGCAAGACATGACATGGGTCTCTTCAATGACGAGATGTACCAGAGTGGCTCCTCCAGGGCAGGCAACCAACACGACGGCGAGTTAGTGGCCAAGAGAATTATCCAATTCTTGCAAGAGGCAGTTGCATAGAATAGTTCTATTTTAGAAATAACAAGAGCAATAGACACATCAACCACAACAGCGCAAAGCGTAGCCCGATAAGCCATGATAAGCACCGATAAGAGACCGCGGGGAAGCGCGATAAGGTAGAGCTCCACGTTATATAACCGCCACCTCCCCTCGTCACATCAAACTTCTTTCCACCTTTCCACTTTTTTTATAGAATTGTCGCGTTACCCTCTTCAAAATGTTCAACGCAGTCCGAACCATCTCCCCCGCCACCCACGAAGTCATCTTTGAGCACCCGGGTCACTCTCTCGCTGAAGCGACCAAGATTGCCACAGCCTCCAAGGTTGCCTTTCAGTCATGGCGCAACACAACCCTCGATGAGAGAAAGGCCATTGTGAAGAAGGCATTGGACCACATTGATTCGAACATCGACGTGCTTGCCAAGGAGGTCACTCTGCAAATGGGTCGTCCAATCCGCTTCCCCGCTGGCGAGATCAAGACTGCGCGCATGCGCGCCGAACACATGATGGATATTGCGGAAGAGAGCCTGGCAGATCTTCCTGGAAAGCCGGAGGCCAACTTCAAGCGCTTTGTTAAGCGTGTCCCTGTTGGCCCAGTGCTGATTGCTTCTGCTTGGAACGTGAGTGGGCATTGCTACCCTCCTTGATTTATTTTAGCTGATGTTTTCAAGTACCCTACCTCACCGCTGTAAACGCTATTGTCCCCGCCCTTCTCGCTGGAAACACTGTTCTCCTTCGTCCTCGCCCCAGGTCCCTTTATACGGAGAGCGCATGGCCGAGGCTTTCACTGCTGCTGGCCTTCCCAAAAACGTTCTTCAAGTCCTTCACATTGGCAGCTTGGACGTTCTGGACCAGGTTGCTGCCCTTCCTGAGGTCCAGTCGGTCTCTTTCACTGGATCAACATACGGTGGCCTGCGTCTGCGCCAGGCTACCGCTGGTCAAGTGAAGCCTGTGAACCTCGAGCTTGGCGGTAAGGACGCTGCCTACGTCCGCCCAGATGTTGATGTGAAGGATGTAGCGGAGAACCTCGTTGATGGTGCTGTTTTCAACAGTGGACAGAGCTGCTGCTCCGTTGAGCGCGTCTATGTCCACCAGAAGGTATACGATGCGTTCTTGCACGCTGTGCAGGAGGAGCTCAAGAAGTACGTTTTTCGTGAAATCCTTCGTATGTTCTATTTAATAACCCTGTTATAGCTACAAGCTTGGTGACCCCAACGACCCTGAAACCAATATCGGCCCGGTCATCTCCGACGCGGGGAAGAAGAAGATCCAGTCTCACGTCGAAGATGCCCTGTCCAAGGGCGCCGTTAACGCTACCCCGAGAACCCAACCTTTGCCCTCGAAAAGACTGCTACCAAAGGCAACTGGCTCGCCCCTATCGTTCTCACCAACGTCAACCACAGCATGATCACCATGAAGGAGGAAACTTTCGGCCCTGTCATGCCTATCATGAAGGTTGCGGATGATGACGAGGCGATCGCCTTGATCAACGACAGTGATTACGGCTTGACCGCCAGTGTGTGGACCAAGGACTTCGATGCCGGCGAGAAGATTATCGACCGCATCGAAGCCGGTACCGTTTTCATTAACCGCTGTGATTACCCTGCCGCTGTAAGTACTAGTAATCTTCTTTTGGTTCTACTAAAATGCTAACCTATCATCAGGATCTGGCATGGACCGGCTGGAAATCCTCTGGCTTGGGCTCAACTCTTGGTCCCCGAGCCTACGACGGCTTTACCAAGTTAAAGAGCTACCACATTAAGGGTGTCTCTGCGTAAAGTCCCAGAATTTTTCATATAGATTGCCCTGAGCGGTATTGACATGTTTTACGGCCATAGTATAATTGATGAACTTCTTTGAAGCCCTACTAGAATCGAAGAATACTTTTCCAATGGCTTCTTCATTTTTCCATCAGAGCCACGTCAATCTGAAAAGAATAGGCAGCGCGTCCAATAGCGAGACAAGGCCTAATCGCACTGTCAACTTTTTGAGGGCGGAGACCCACACCGCGGTCCGGGAGCGCGCAATGTATCTTTAACCGCCGAGACATTGCGCCCTACGACCCGAAGCTGTTCTGTGTGCCCAGGAAAACGGAAAATGGAGCGGGGAACTTTAGTACTGCACTAGATAGCGCAATATTTTCCGGAACTTAGTTAGGTGTACGTAAAGGTGTGCATGACTTCGTAAATAAGGTTCTTCGTTCATGATTGGTGACATGTTACTAGTATGTACAAATCCTTGCTTATCAGAGGGCGATTATGGGCTTGCCCTTGGTGGTTTTGCATGACGAACAGCGGATTCCCCTTTGGACGAGCCCAATGTAGCCAATGAACTCAAACTAATCATCGGAGACTAGTGTAGAGGCTCGTGTAGAGGCTTCAGATTATACTGAAAATCCGGGACGGGGTTTAGTAGGATACCCCAGCAACTCAATAGGTTTTCGCTTCAAAGAGGACCTAGAATGGCTTCACAAGAACTTGGAAGCCCGTATGGTGTTGGCTTATGGGGAGCTTGGGGTGCAATGAAAGCCCTTGTCTGTCTTCCAAGCAGTTTTATCACAAGCCTTTCGAGTGGGTGTCTAAAATATCCGGAACGTAAGACGGTTTCCCAGAGACTTGGGTGGCTTTCGCGGTGCAGACAAGGGCATAAACCGCTAGCTTGTGACGTTCGGCCAAAAACAGTCTCAATCTGTTATATCCGAATAGATGGCGAAATGAGGGTACATTCAAAGTTCCATTCAAGCGAAGGAGATCCAGATTTGGTGTTGCTGCATCGTGCGAGAGATATTCCAAGGACCAGCCTCGGGAAACGGAAGTCGCCACATTGCCTCTAACAGCTGGAGCGTTCGGTCCATATTACCCAGGCCGAAGTGCGTGGCCATCTTTCTGGTTCTGAGGCGCAGAGTCTCTTGTCGCTCCGGGTCCTCCAAGCACGAGCCAACCACTGCGATAGGCCAGCACATCCCAGAGTTGATCCGAGCGCTAGGCAGCAGTTGCTCGAGATAGTTCATTGCTTCTGATACCGCGCTTTGAATCAGGCCTTTGTAGATACCGTCAGCGGCAAATTGGTACCCGCCAAGGGAAGAATAGAGATATATCAACATGGCTTGCTGGAAGATTAAGCCAGCAAGGTAGACCTCGGGGTCGACTGAAGCGTAGGGGGACCATCGGAGAATCTGGGCCTGGATGGAGGCAAACAAAGCAAAGTCGTCTGCGGTGGGAGCATGATTGTCGGAATCGCCGGTCATCCATTGTCGACCAAGATCAAAGATACATGGAATGAGCAACAGGAGCTCAAGCCAACAACCACAGAGGTTCCCAACGTAGTTGGTTGTTAGAAGGCCCCGTGCGCGCTGCTCCAGGTCGAAATTGAGGAAAATCTGTCCGCTCAATCTGGCGTCGATGGAAATCATGCTCACAGATGCTGTGTAAACGTAGTACTCCACAACAAATGCCTTCAAGTCTCTTGGCACAGCCGCATCGCTTTTCTCCAACAGTTTGACAAGTAATGAATTTGCGGCCGATAGGTGATCAAACACGGTACCCGTCATATCCCCTTTTGCGGTCTGGTGGGTGTGTTAGTGCCCGTGAGCAAGGGAAAAGCCATGCCTATTCTTACCTCAGTAAAGCACATCAGCAAAGCCCCAACAAGAAGCATTAGCGGGTTTGGTTCTTTTCCGTCAAGGAAATCTGTAACTCCTTTCCGAAATAATCGAATCGACTTGGTGTAGTGAGACTGGGCCAAGGAGTCTGATTCATCCCGTCGTCGGAATGCGCGATGGGCAGCGCTTTGCGTGATCACCAGCTGTAGCAATAGATCGCTCGTGAAAGCTAGCGGGACGACTTGTACAAGGAACGGATTGATCGGAGTTGTGCCATTCGCCATACAATCTGCAGTCGTACTCAAGTAATGGCTGAGCAGCTGATAAGACTCTGCGTCGTAACCAGGAAGCATCGATAATGTTCTTGGGACAACATGTCCGACCATTGACGGCGACGCCACCACTTCCTCAATATTCCCGATACTATTCGCAACACTGGCCTTCCGATGTAGAGCCTCTGCGTCCAGAATCGTCGCTCCGTCCAGATCTACTAGATCGCCACCCTCTGCGGACGGAGCCCCGATAGACGAAACCGAAGATAAACGCCGCGACGAGGCACTCCCCGGGATACTCACTATCCCCAACTCTTCCAAAGAACCTCCCGGACTCGAGCGCCGGCGCTCAGCATCCGTAGGGATATCCTTTGGCGAACCAGAGTTCCTGCGCCCGGGAATTGTCGTTGGCCACTGGCATCCGAGGTCGTTGCGCACGCAGCCGCCACAGATCGGGTGGACCTCATCGCACTTCTTCTTACGCCGCCTGCAGGTCAGGCACCCGGTCCGGACGCGGACTATTCGTGTGCGCTCCCGATCTGGTGGCATGGTGTGTGGAAGGAAGAAAGCTGGTAGACGGAGAGATAAGGCGGCTGTGGGGTAGAAGAAAGTTAATAGTGCTCCTTATCAGGCCCATCCCGCTTGCCATCATTGGCATGTCTTCGATTAGAAGATCTGACTACTTTATGGAAATCTGATTCATGACCAGAGCTTGTTTTTTCGAATTGCCAGCCTTTCGATCATGTTCATATATAATTATAAGTATACACACTTTTTGGGAATGACTGGGTGTAGTTTGAAGACGGAGTATCCTAGTGATTCTTATTTTGATCTGAAAAACGTTTCTCCTGTCCGTACTACCAAGTCTGCAGGTTTAGGAACAAACTTAGAGAAGGGGCGAGTTCGCGTAGCCAGCGTGTGCCATTGTCACCTAAACTCTTCTCAGGGTCCAAGATGCTCACCTGATTACCTTCCTAGAGTAGAAGCTAGAAGGCAAGCTACAATGAAAAAGGTGTAAAGTTGTCAAACATAGCGTCGATTTGAATGACCTGATTGATAGTACTACTAAGTGTTCGAAAGTAGCAGCACCTAGTTGCAGGAATTAGCACCAAGACAGAAGGGAGAGCGGCAGGCTAGAAGGAACCTGGTGAAATCTCATCAAAAATGGGGTTGATTCAAACAGACTGTGTGGTAACACCACTAGATCGTAAGCGTCATCGCCAGACTTGTGTAGAGACCGGTAGGCTAAAGTGGAACAGGTGAAGATTCATCAAACAGGGTGTCCATTGGGAAAATGTGGTTGTTAACGCTACACCCTTGATGTGAGACTTGAATCAGGCGGCACAATATCTTTGGTTCAAATACAAGGTAATGGAGAGTGAATTGGTCTATGTCATGCATTGCATTCATCTCTCTATTCTCATTAGAAACCGCCAATTTTTAGTCATACCAAGCAGAGTAGTCTAATTCTAAACAAAGAACTTAGCATCACCCTCTTTGATCTTGCCAGCACCAGCCAGGCGCTTGGCCTCCTCAGTGTAAGCAGTCTTGACAGCATTGCTATCCTTGCCGGCAAGGGTCAGACGCTCAGCAAGGGCAGCAAGCTCATCAACATCGATCTTGCTCTGGATGAGCTCAACATCGCCCAGAACAGAGTCGACCTGCGCAGCAGAGGCCTCACCGTCGGCAAAGTAGTTGACATCCTTGACGGATGACTTGAGAACACGCTTGTTCTTCTTAGCAGCATTCTTAGCAGCCTCCTTGGCCTTCTTGTTCTTCTCACGCTCAGCCTTGGCAGCCTCCTCGGCCTCCTTGGCAGCCTTCTCAGCCTCGGCCTTCTTACGCTCCTTCTCCTCTTGCAGACGCTTGGCTTCCTCCTCCTTGGCCTTACGTTTGGCATCCTTGCCAGCACGGGCCTGTTGCTTGAAGCGCTTGATACGCTCGTCCTGCTCGGCAGCCTGGTCGATCAGACTGCGCAAACGAACAATATCCTCGGTCTTGCGCTTGCGGCAAGCGTTGGCATTCTTCTTCTCAATGTGACGCTTCTGGTCACGGCTCTCGCCGTCATCGGGGACATCCTCATTGAGGTACTCGAAAGTACGCCAGCTGTCGAAGTTGTACCAGAAGTCGTAGAAGGCGCGGACCTCGGCCTCGGGGGTGTTGTCGTCTCCCAGCTTGGGGACGGGTTGCTTGTTGGAGAATCGGGCTTCGGCTTCGAAGAAGGCGCCCCACAGCTTGTAGAAGTGGCTGGGCTTCTTGATCTGGGACTTACTTGGGGGCTCGACCTCGGCGCCCTCGTCGACGGAGTCGAATTGGCGGCGGCGGACGGGGTCCAGGAGCAGCTCAGTGGCCTTCTGGATGCACTTGAAGAAGCGGTCGTCTTCGTCGGTCTGGCCCATAGCGGCCTTCTTGTCGGGGTGGTGGCGCAGGACCTTCTTGCGGTGGGCGCGGCGGATCTGCTCGGGGGTTGCGCGCCAACGGTATTTGGAGAGACCGAGGACGGCGTAATGGTCCTGGCCCTGCATGGGGTCAGTAAACTACAGCGATGTAGTACTCTTGAGCTTCCTTACCTTCCAGTCCTTGGCCTCGCGAGTCATCATCACAGGGTCCTCGTCCTCGGAGATCTCATTGTCATCCTCAGCCTCCGTCTTCTTGACGTTCTGTTGAGCCTCAATGCGCTCATCCTCGGAGAAAGTACGGTTGTGACGCTTCTATAAGGGGATTAGTGACTTGCTCCGTGGTATAATGAAGCGAGGCCGGAATGCTACTTACACGGCGAGCGTGGGCGAGGAAGTGAGGGCCAACGGGCTCCAAGTTGCGCTTGATGGCCGGAGAAAGGGTTCCGACTGGCTTAAAGTCCTTGTCGGCACTCCAGCCCGAAGGCAGAGATGGGAGCTGAACGTTGACAGCCTTAACGGAAGCCATTGTGTTGGGGTTGAGAAGGTGGTGATGGTGAGAAACCCCACTGTGACTTTTTTCTTTCATGTTTTTTTTCCGGCGGTGAGCCCCACTCGCCAATCACCATTTTGATACGACATAATTCTTCTATTCTAATCCCAAACTTGAATTCTCATAATTTCATGACAGTTTTGTCTTTATATAAAACCCATAATGTACAGTGAGAGCTACTAACTAGTTAAGTTCTTATCCTTCCATGTCTCGAGATAGTCATCACTCTGCACTTGCTGAATTCGTCCAAATCCGCCCATATACAAAAATTGATCGCCCTCATGGAATCCCAAATAGCAAACCAAAGCCATTAAACACAGGTCGCCGAGGAAGAGGAGCAAGTACCAGAGAATGTCGATTTCTGATAAAGTGCAAGGAAAGATGATCAGGCTGATAAAGCATTTGCGTGTCCCACAGACGCATCATGCTTTTGAATAGATCATGGTCCACTGGCAGATCGAATTCGAAGAACGTATAGGCGTGCTCGGGTGAAGACTGCAAGTAATGCTGAGTCCAACGGGGTTGATGCCCAGATCGCGATGAATTAGAGAATTCGGGAAAACGAGACTAATGCCACTGTTCTCTGATGATGATGTGCTTCCAGGGCTGAACCGAATTGGACTTGGGAAATTACCAGTTCTAGAACTTTACAACTCGGAGTTAGACCACAAAGTTAAGCTGTGCCATTTTGTATCATCATCAAGTCTAATATGATGGAGGGGATACTCATTTCTATTCGTAGTTTACTTATACTCGCTGAAAATATACATATTGCAACTTCATTTCCCATTGAACCTATACCAACTAAGATTCATAAAAACTAGAAAATATGATACTCAGCCGATGAAGATCCCTAAAACTGACACGTCCAAGTGCCCGTTCTTCACAGCCCTCCTCCATCAAGAAATAGTAAACTGAAGAAAGAGCAAAGAACATCACGTACATCAAAAGCGGAACCCGCGGCGGTGAGTCCAAACTCCGTCCCATCGTCCCGAGTCGCCGCGCCATCTTTTCAATCGAACCCTCTAGTCTTCCCAGTCCACATCCCTCAACCCAACCCATCATGTCCGCCCCTTCAACCGCAGCGCTGAGCGCCTACCGCCAGATTCTGCGCTCTCACTCGCATTGCATTCCGAGGTCCGTCTCGACCCCCGGCGCCTATCCCCGACGGGCTCCATTCGGTCCGCTCAACTTCCTCAAGGTACTAACACGCCATGCAGATGACACCCGAGTCCTCCTCCGCCGCGCGCAAGGAGGCGAGGAATAACTTCGACCAGAACCGCCGTGTTGGCGTCGATACCGGCATGCAGATCAATCATGCGCTGGAGGTTGCGAATATTCTACGCCATAACATCGTGCAGGGTGCTAGGGAAGATGGGGACGAGGCTGCTAAGTGGGGTACGTTTTCTGCTCTTTATGATCTCTTCTTCGACAGATGGCACTTGTCCGGATGTGAGATCCGAGTTGGGTATGGCTGGGTGCTGACTGGTGTTTCAGAACTTCGGATCCATGACGAGATCGAACGGGGCGACAATGATTCTATCAAGGTCGGCAATAAGGACGTGAAGATTCACAAGGCCTGCTCTTCATGATCGGGTCGTCGGGTCGCCGTGGACGGGTAGTCCTGGCCTACGAGGAACGAGTGTACAGAACTTTCCCGCGCTAGCATCTGCAAAATGTACCATAGTATACCCGACTCTTGCTTTCTCTTTGGCGTCAATGGGGTATTTTTATTAGGAAGAACTGCATACAAGAACCAATCCGTCTTAAACGCCCGCTGTAAAACCCATGATGCAAACCCCGTTTTAGTACAGTCTGGCATTCACCCATGCAAGTCTCGCCACTCATTCCCCCGACATACTGGCATACTGCACCGCTCCAGACCCCGGGGGCGGAGCCACCGCGTAGTTCTGAGCCTTCGGTTCTTCGCTCCCCATATCCCCGGCAGCAGTAATAGCCTTCTTGCCCTTTCCTGTCAGGGCCGGACCAGCAGCCAATCGGCCCTCTCGCGCATTCTTCATCCTCTCCTCCTTATCCATGCTATCCAAAGGCTTAGGCTTACCCCAGCGCACGAGCAGCGGACAGCCCTGAATAATCGCCCTACCCTGGCACCGCTCAGCAGCCACCTCGGCCTCTGCACGAGTAGCGTAGTTGATGAACGCGCAGTGCGAGCGGTGCGAACAGACAAGCGATCGCAACTTCCCAACTCCGAAAAGAAAGACCGCAGCGCATGCTCCGGCAAGTCATCCTCCACTCCTGTCACAAACAAAGATGTAATGTTCGGATCAGCCGGGGGCGCAATATCCGCCGCGCTGACTTGCCGCTGTGCCGTGAATGCCCGACCACCTCGAGCACCACCCCGTCCGCCGCCACGCCCAGGCAAGCGGTTGCCCACACGGCTTTCGCTTGTGCGAATCGGGCCTGGCCCGTTGCCGTAGCGGCTGTGTGTACGAGGGGCGTCGGTCGAGCTGGACGCTTGGCCTTCTTCCGCGGCGTCGTCTGTAGGCGCGGCTTCGATGCGTCGCTGCTTGCGGTAGTAGGGCTGGCTGTTTGCCAGGCGGCGGAGTAGATCCCGGGCTTTGTCGTCTGTTTTCTCGTACTCCTCGATCGCGCCGATGCCTTCTTCGATCTCTTTCTCATGGTTCTGGGCGTAGTATTCGCGGTTGATAGAGCTTTCGGGGCCCGGGGCAACCATCTTCAGGGCTGCATCGCGGACTGTGGTGGGCAGCCCGAAGGAGAGATCGAGCATGCAGCACTGGCAGCAGTTCTTGAGCCGGGCGCAGGTCAGGCAGATATTGCAGCGCTTCTGGCGCGCGGTGCGGTCGACTTTCCAGCGAAAAATTGTGAAGGGACGTGTGCACTGAGAGAGATCTTGTTAGTTTGGGGTTGGGGGAGAAGTGAGATATGTGGCTTACAATCTTGCACTCTGCGCCGTGATCTTCTTTGATCATCTGCACGTAGGGGTTCTCGGGGAGACAGTTTTCGCAGACGGAGGGGAAGTCGGTGGTTTCCCAGCCGGAGCGGTTGAGATCGTGCTTGATCTGGGGAGGCATGGTTGCGGAGCTGCCACCACTTGGGATGCGATGAGCCTTAGAACGTTGATCTGATTTCTGATTATGGATATTGAGGTGGCGGAAGGCGGTATGTCATGTGATACGCAGGTGGGACCGCTATATAATGGAGACATGCGGAGTGACTCTGGAGGGAAATGTTTGTCATTTTGATCTTCTGATTTGCTCTCTCTAAGCTTCAATATATTTATATAGGTATCACTCAATAGCATACATGGCTTTTGGGGGGTTTGAATACGCAAAACGACGATGAAGGTCTGAGCCTAACTTGATTTGAGGAACGGCTGCGAACAGCTCTCTGTACACGGCCTTTCTCAAGAGGCGTCAAGCTCGAGTCACAGTGTTTGGCCTTTTGCATACATGTCCAATTTTTCTACCTTTCTATTCTTGCTGAGATGGACGGCCAGCCTCTGTGCATGCAGCTATACTAGGCTTGCTGGTATCACGACTAACAGTGTATCCACGGACTTGTTAACCTCCGCGTCAGCACCTAATGGCATCTTACCACTATATTTTCTTCCTTCTAAAGGCTTCCCAGAGAATTTAGTCGACGCTTTGAACATGCGCTTGGTCTGAGACGGTGAAGAAAGTAAAGCGTATTCCACAGAGACTCCACAATTCGTCTTTGTAAGTGCCGTACTGCTATCAGATGCGATCTAGATACTCATTTCTATAGGCTCGACGATATTGAAGACAACTCTCCTCTCAGGCGGGGAAACCCGTTCCTCACACAGTCTTGGACCAATCCCAAATCATCAACGCGGCAAACTATCTGATCGTTGAATCAATTAGAGACTCGCAGAGCCTTGGTAATCCATAATGCCCTTCCATATCACTAGCCGAACTTCAGAACCGGCGTTTCTAGCTCTGGCTCCGCTGGTGCCAGCGGTTCCGGATCCGGTAATACTGGCACAAGCATCTCTGGCAGCCTAGGTGCTGGCACTGGCACTGGCACTGCACCGGAGACCTTCAGCACAAGCATCAGTTTCTCTTTCCCGGGCGCAACTGGCTCGGTTAGCGGATCAGCATCGGCCCAGGCAGAAGCCTCCGCTCAAGCTGAAGCCTCCGCTCACGCTGAAGCCTCTGCCGCTGCTAGTGCGAGCGCCAACGCATCTGCAAGCGCCAACTCCCATGGATATGCTTCCGCGGACGCCTCCGCAAATGCGTCAGCCAATTCTTACGTCTAAACAGGCGTCCCAAACAAAGACAACACAGCTATTGGCCTAACAATGAATTGTATTCACTTGGAAAAGGCCGCTGCTTGATTGGAAGCGCCCCGAGGATCAGACCAACCTTGTGTTGAAGGATAACTTCGGACTTGTTTTTGATATTTTCGCTGTTTATTAGTATCACTCATTTGGGTGCGATTGCTGCACATATACGCTCGTTCTGCTCTGCAAGTCAGACTCACTTTGTCATATCAAATAATCAAACATCAGTTTGCTTTGCGAAACCCGTCTTGAGTAACATCCGATATAGAGTTGGTCCTTGAGCGAAGTTCGATCTGAAGCGACAAGCTCTGGTTTGACAATCCTCGAGAACGCAATGTGTTGGCAGTAATCAAGATTCACATGCTCACGAAGGTAGCCGTAAGGGCTTATTTTGGGAGTTCACTGCAACTTCCTCATTCATTGAGCCTTGAATACACCAGTCTCGTCTTTCGTTGGACTGCACTGCGCTTTGTCCCATTTCAGGTCTTCAAGTCCCACGAGAAGCGGGTGTTACCAGCGCAAATCCATGCACAACTGACATTTCTGGATAAACTGGACTATTGATGTTGGTATTTGCGGGAAGACCAGCTGACTTGTCGACCGAAGCTATTTTCGGGCATGTGGTATAACGTCCGCCGCCGAAGGTGTAGTCGGGCATGTTTACCACAAATCCCTCTGTACCTTCCCAATTTCCTCCTCCCCAACCACTCTATCACCCTCTTGGCCCACGAGCTACGTCGAGAAAATTTGAGAAACTCCCTTTTGTCAAGCCCTCCACATCCTCACAAGATGGATCTGGAAATCGATTCCCAGCACATCTTCTCCGAGTTCGAGGATCCAGAGCGTCAGGCTCTGGTGGAAAGTATCATGAACCAAGCGGGAGGACTCGCCTTTATTCCCCGTGGCAGTCTGTTCCCGCTGTGGTTCAGCGATATCAGTGTCTTGAGAACCGCTGCAGATCCAAATCAAGATCTCTTCCGCCGTTCCTGGGTTCGTCAGGTCCAAATTCTTCCCATGACCGACTTTGCTGGCGTCTGTAAGTCAACCACAAGATTATCATTCTTATGTCCCCTCTTACAAGCTCTCTCTATTCAGGGGGCGGAAGCAAACAAGCCAACAGACCGTCGACGCAAGCAGGTCTGGCGGCACCGCGCCAGACGCACCAAGCTCGGTCTCGGTCGCCTGGTACATCTGGTGTGTCTCCTCGAGGCCGGTCACTGCCTCGCTCTCGATTACCTGTTCCCTCCCGTGGCCCGAATATGCGCAGCAGCGATGTCAGAGAACAGGTACGCTGAGGCTTATTGACCCCCGTTCCCACCACGACTCCTATTTTGCTAACATCTTCTACTATAGACACTTGCCCGGGACAACAACCAATGCGTCCTTACCAAGCTCCTTCAACCTACGCTGCAGGTGTCCCATATTATGCCATTCAAGCTGAACATGACCACTGGCAAAGTCAACCCAATGTGGGCTTGGTTAGAGGCATTTTGGGGTAAAGAAAAGGTCAAGGACTGGCAAGAGCAGCTTCTTCCGGACCCAGATGGGTCCCTGAATACCGAGTTCATTGCCAACATGATGACCCTCGGTATTCAGGTTCACCAATACTGGGACAATGCTGTCTGTGCATTTCGCCCGATCAGCGTCAACAAGGAAGGGACCAGTATGAAGGTAGCATTCCATTGGCTACCTCTGGCTCTCAAATCCGTACGCCGAGACGAGCTTGTGCCAGTACAGTCTCACCCTTACTCAGACATACCTACGGGATTCAGGGAAGGCCCGAGAGAAAAAGAGGAGCGGACAACGATGAGATTGTTCCACCAAGGATCTGGGAAAATCATACCTTCGGGGTATATTTTCAAAATCACAACACCGGATCCGGTGGCGAAGCCACTGCCATCGATGGCACTGCTCGAATTGAAGTGGCATTTGAGTAGAATTGTGGCAATGCAGGGAGCAGCTGAGGAGGAGGATAGTGATTTGGATGACGATCACGACTCTGTGAAAGTACCCTCGCGGTCTCGGTCTCGGTCTCCACAGAAAAATCCTCTTAAGGAAAACATGCCGATTCGATCCCGGCATGAGTCGTTGTCTCCTGGCAAATCTCAGAGGCTCTCGTTGCTCTCTGAGGTTTCAAGCTTGGAGGAAAACTGGTGAAAGGAGAGTAAGAACGAGACATGCAGAACCTCTTATACTGCGATACCTGTTATACTGCGACCCCCCTTAAACCGCCCTTGGGTTAAGGCATTACCTGGTAGCTTCAATATTTTTCTCGTTTCGATTAAGTTTTAGTACAAGTTTGCTAAGAGTTTGTTCACGAACTTTCATAACCTGTAGGACAGCCCGTTGGCCTAGACCTATGAGTACACCTCTGCAAGATGGTATCACATCCAACCCTAGGAAGAACCACGATTTCACTGTATTTCCCTTTGTTGCAATATCCATTGTTAGTGGAATTGTGTGAAAGGTACGAACTTGCTTGATGGCGGGATAGGCTTTGCTTTCGCTCAGCAAATACTCTCGCAAACAAATCTCCCTGTCGTCGCCACGGCGCGAAAGGATTGCGATGAAGTCCGTGGAAAGTTGCTCTCTAGCAAGGGAGTACCGCCAGAGGCCGAGAGACGACTAATTTATTAGAAGGTGACGTAAAGGGTGTGTCAAATTTGTGTTCCTCCCAATTCCATCGATCTTGTGTATCTTGTACCATTCAAGAATGAATCTAACCTTCCACACTAGATGAATCTACAATATCATCAATGGCAGATACCATTCGCAAACAATTTCCAGAGACGCCCCTTCGCCTGGCTCTCATACTTCCCGAGATCTTACATGTCGAAATGTCCGCATCTCAAATTGACGCTGCCGGTGCACTAAACAGTTTCAAAGTCAACGCTCTAGGCCCACTTCTTCTCATGAAACACTTATCCCCTGTGCATCGTCCAGAGCTGTGACTTGCCATGGACTAGGGACGTAGATTCTCTCACGGAAGATGCATATCTCGAGCTGGTAAATTGGAAGTCAGCACGGGCACCTTCAAACAAGAATTCATACAATTCCCACGCTCGGGCACAGACTGGTGGCCTGTTTAGATTGATTGGACAGTTGATCGCACAGTTCGCATTGTCGCTCCATAATAAGTAGAAAATCGGCTTCTATGGACTCCAAGATACTGACTCTGGTTCCAGGGATGCGTCACTGAAGCTCTTATCTGAGCTCGGATACTATGTCCAGGTCCGAGACGACTACATGAACTTCGTTGACCAAACGGTGAGCCTCTCTCGGGTTAATGAGCCCCGCTGATCCGAATCAGTATACGGACCAAAATGGGTTCTGTGGGGTCCTCGAAGAGAAGTCTCCTTCCCACTCGTCCATTGCTTGCACGAAATTGCGACCGGTCTGGTTCTGCGTGGTGTCTTTCGGGAGAGCAAAGTACCGGATATCAATTCCACCCCAGAAGATAATCTTGGATTCGTTACGCGAGGCCGGGAGCATGCAATACACGTGCCAGAAATTGGATACGAGGAAAGGGCGAATATACAGTGGGCTGGGTGCGGTTGCAAGGGAAACCGCGTTGGATAATTGGCCTATGCGACTGTTGTTTCATAAGTTACTAATTCGAAGAATTCGAATATAGGATATGCATTTGGGAAGTTTGACTAGTGTATTGAATCAATTTCGCGAAGCAATAATATGATACTCAGTGCAGACCAGCGACCGCGGTGGTAAGGTGGAGCATGCAAACGCAGATAGATGGAGTGGACGTGCAGTTGGCGGTGTGTTTACGACCAGATCTTTACTCGTCAAAGTACGAATCTCGGATCGGGAGCAGGAGCAGAAACACGAGAAGAAAAGGTCGCAGTGGAGCTCGTACGGCCCTCATATGGGATTTAGATCTCTTTCCGAGCAGGCAGGGTCTCTCGGGTCAACCCAATGGAAGCTCCGACATTTCTCATTCCTGCGGGGAAAACCTGGGCAGATCGTTCTTCAAGCTACTGCGTTCTTTCTAGAATCAGGTCACTCCCAGGTGCGCCCGGCTTGTCTGAGATCCGGGCAGCTGACCGCCCGGGGGCTGCATGATCCGGCAGTTTTAGTCTCATGCCGGCCCTGTGCGATTGGCTCATTCGAGCGGGCGGTAAATAGACTAATAGCCACCCCAGACTCATTCGGGTCTCAGGGCCTCCCTCCCGCTCAGGGGCTTCGTGATTGGCCTGCATTTTTTTGGCCATCTGCGATTGTCTATTTATCTTGCTTCTGCTCTTGCATTTCCAGTCTCAAAGTCTCATCTCTTTCCCTCTTCTCTTCTGTGCGGCTGAACCATTTCAATTCGCCGTTCGAAGTCGTGGTTTCCATCCGACTTCTTTTAATCCGATCCGTTCTCTACGAAGTCCGCTTTTTCGGCTCTCCCCTTCCCCCCTTTTACAACCACCCATCCACCCCCCCCTTCTTTAAACCATGGCTCCTATTGCTCTGGAACGCGAGGACAAGGCGCGTGATGCTGCCTTCAACAATGCCTTGCACGGCAAATCTGCCAAGGCTCGCGGGGGTCTGACTGCCATGCGCGGCAAGGATGCTGCTGCCCAGAAGGCCGCCGTCGACGAGTACTTCAAGCACTGGGATAATAAGGGCCACGTCGAAGAAACCGAGGAGGTTCGGGAGGTATGTGAAGCGCAGTTCATTATCACCAGGTTTCATTAACCTTGTACTGACCTGTCAACTTCGAATAGGCTCGCCGCAAAGAGTACGCCACGTTGACCCGACAGTATGTTTTTAACCCCTTATAACGCCTTGCACAGGACCGGGAGCACCAGGAACTGACAATTCGACAGCTATTACAACCTGGCCACCGATTTCTACGAGTACGGTTGGGGCAGTTCCTTCCACTTCTGTCGCTTCGCCTATGGCGAGCCCTTCCAACAGGCCATCGCTCGCCACGAGCACTACTTGGCCATGCGCACCGGCATCACTGAGGGTATGAAGGTCCTCGATGTTGGCTGTGGTGTCGGTGGCCCAGCCCGTGAGATCGTCAAGTTCACCGATGCCCACGTTACCGGCCTGAACAACAACGACTACCAGATTGACCGTGCCACCCACTACGCCGTGAAACAGGGTCTGTCCGACAAGATGACCTTCGTCAAGGATGACTTCATGCAGATGAAGTTTCCCGACAACACCTTCGACGCCGTCTACGCCATCGAGGCCACCGTGCACGCCCCCGAGCTGGTCGGTGTCTACAGCGAGATCTTCCGTGTCCTCAAGCCCGGCGGCAAGTTCGGTGTCTACGAGTGGTTGATGACCGACGAGTACAACAATGACGACCCTGAGCACCGCCGCATCCGCCTTGGTATCGAACAGGGTGACGGTATCTCCAACATGGTCCGGGTCTCCGAGGGTCTGAAGGCTTTCCAGGACGCCGGCTTCATCCTCGAGCACCACGAGGATCTTGCTCAGCGCCCCGATCCTACCCCCTGGTACTACCCGCTGGCGGGCTCCTTCAAGCACATGGGTTCCATCTGGGACTTCTTCACCATTGCCCGTATGACCTGGTGGGGCCGTGGCCTCGCCCACCGCTTCGTCGGTGCCGGTGAGACCATTGGCTTATTCCCCCGCGGCTCCCAGAAGACCGCCGACAGTCTGGCTTTGGCTGGCGACTGTCTGGTCGAGGGTGCCCAGAAGAATCTCTTCACTCCCATGTACTTGATGGTCGGTAAGAAGCCTGAGGCGTAAGCGAATGAGCCATTCAAAATTCTCTTTTGTCTTTCTTTTTTTCTGGAGTCTGTGGCTTTGGCCTTGGTCTTGATGTGCAATAACCCATTGCGGCTTATTTCCCATACATCTTGCATCTTGTATTCACTTGTCATGTTATTATTTGTATACCGCTCCGGGGTAGATCTCGGGGCCTTGCATATCTACTGAGTCCTGGTCTCGGTAGGATGTTTTCGTTTCTTTGACATGGAAATAGATATATAATAGGTATTGAGGCAAGATTAATGAGCCAAGAACACTGTTTGTTTTCAAGTTGCCGATGTTTCCGTCTTATCTTCTAATTTTGTGTCCACCTTTGTCTATCCCCCCGCGGCTATTCTGTATTAGGTTTGAGCATTGTAGATCGCGCTTTGGGCGGCCTTATAGGCCCCCCTTCGAAGATCTCAAGGGAAAAAGTACGTCCATGCGCACTAAAAGCCGTCGCTCTAATAGTAATACGAATGACAACATTATGACGATTAAAAGGAAGCCTTACGTCGGACGTATAGCATCTGCACCACAGCTAAAGGATTTTAGATTTATTACGATTCTCTCGAGTGTTCTTCACCTTAATTGAATTGACTAGTAATCTGGTTACTAGGAGCACGGAGTGACGATGGAACATTGCACTCAGCCCGCGAGCGAACCGACTACCCAAGAATACTACGGCTCGGAAAACACAATGAGAAACGTCGCACCTAATCATAAAGATAGTGGTCAGTGATCTAATCTTATATCAAATAAATCCTTTATTGTAGTCCGTCTTAACACCTACCGCAGACGAAAAGTCTATCACGCCAGAAAATGCACAGGGCTCCCATGACGATGAAACGAACGGGCAGGACGAAAGCAGTTCGTATCCTAGTATCCCAGCCCTATGAGATTAAGATTTCTAATCGAGAGACATCTTAGTGAAAGATAAAGTTGTTCATGGTCTGAATCCCCCGAGCGTAAACAAAGTCGCAAATAAACTGGACCCGCGCAGTGATTCAGACAACCATGGGGAAGCACACTCTCAGGATTCCAAAACGCATATGCCTGGATGGATGGCGGCGTGATGAGCGAAGTGTGGTATATATGTACGATGGCAATTTGAATAGCATGCTATGTTCGAGCGATGTCGCTACGAGAATGCCTTAGGATAGGTGTAACGACGAATGTCGTTTTTCCATATTTTCTCCCTTTATATAATAAACAGGTACCGCGGGCCATGCAGCCTGATCGTCCCTTCGGGTCTGTTTTGCACTTCGGAAGCCGCGTTTAGGATGTGGAGTACTTGGCCAAGCTGAATGGCTCCACCGAAGAAGGCTAAGCTGTAGGAAAGCACACTTGGCAGGCACCTACGAACCGCAAAATACGTAGTTCCCTCCAAAAATCAAGTAACAGAGCAGGAAATTGGGCTCTTTCGCCAGTCAAGGATTATAAAGATGGAAATTAAGCTTCTTCCATTCACGGCGGCAGCTAGCTAAGAGACTCGTGGCAACGCATGTAGAGTCGGGATTACCTTGTCATCTAAGTTCGTCATAGGATTATGTCACTCGATTAGCTATGAGTACAAATTCCTGTTATTTTCAAAATGTCCATGGGATGGAGAGTCATTCAAGCAAACGAGTTCTCAGAGGGTTAAATAATTATGACGTAAGAGAAAACTATGTGCTGTTGCAAGTAATCGTTTTAAGTAGCTCGGGATAATGCAATCTCTAATTAAGCAATCAGCTTTCTAATTCTCATATTTCTGAGTATCCGAGCACAGTCTCATTTCCAAAAATATAATCGCCTCCATCTGCCCAAGCTCGACTCACGCGCGGAACCAAGATGCCGTCTCCAACCAAAGAGGAGATACTGCACCAATGGCCTTGCATCGGCATTGTTGGTGCTGGTAGCATGGGTTCCCAAATGGCGGTCGCTTTTGCTGAAATAGGCCTTCATGTATCTATCTGGGATGTCAATGAACAGAATGTCGACAGTGTCGCAGAATTGGTCCGCACGAACAGCGTCAAAGGCCAAATTAGCACCTTCCATGAAATTGACCCATTCGTGGAAAGTGTCCAGAAGGAAAACAGCGGCAAATTATTCCTGTTCTCCATTTCTCACGGTGACCCAGCAGATTCTGTCCTGGGTATGATAAAGGAGAAACTCGGCAAGGGAGATATCATTCTGGACGGAGGTAACGAGCACTACCGTCGCACACAGCGAAGGCAAAAGGAATGCGCAAAGCTCGGTGTTCATTGGATAGGCATGGGCGTGTCGGGAGGTTATCAAGCTGCTCGCCGGGGCCCGAGTCTTTCCCCCGGCGGAGATGCAGGCGCATTGGAGAAAGTAATGCCTCTGCTGAGGCTCTATGCAGCGAAGGACCTCCATGGAAAGCCGTGCGTAACTCGCATTGGGCCTGATGGCGCCGGACATTATGTGAAGATGGTGCACAATTCAATCGAAGGAGGGATGCTCTCAGCGCTCGCAGAAGCCTGGTCTTTTCTGACCCAGGGTCTGGGGCTGAACTACGAAGATATTGCAAATATTTTCGAGCGATGGAATACCTCCGGAGAGCTGCATGGTAATTATCTTCTAGAGATAGCCGTCGACATGCTCCGCACCAAAAAGTCAGTCAACGGCAAACCTCATTATATCCTTGATGAAGTCCTCGACAAAGTTGTCCAAGATGATGATGATACCGAAGGAACTCCTCACTGGGCAATCGAAGAATCCGCAGCTCGTCATGTCTCGAGCCCCACGCTAGCTGCCGCCCATTACTTGCGTGTCGCCAGTGGTAACCGCGCGGAGAGGCTCGAGGTAGCCAAAACAGTACAGATACCAGAGCCAGGCATTTTACAAAATATCGACGCCAAGGAGAAGGAGAAAATTACTTACGAGCTTACATGATGCGCTCTATTGCGCTTTTCTCTCTTCATTCTGTCAGGGCTTGGAACTGATCCAGCGAGCGTCAGATGACGAAAATTGGGACATTGATCTAACCGAATGTCTCCGCATTTGGCGTGGCGGGTGCATCATTCGATCTGACGGCATAGCAGATCTTATCGAACCGATTGTCTCGAGCAAAAAGGGCTGGAGTAACCTGAAACATGCCCCTCAGATTGCTCGGGAGTTATCTCGAACGTATAATCCGCTGAAGACCATCGTTCTCAAGGGAGTCCTGCACGATCAATACTTGCCTGCAATTTCGGCAACCTTGGAATATCTGAAGTATGTGCATGGCACGAGATTACCCACACAGTTTATGGAGGGCCAGATGGACTTCTTCGGATCTCACGGGTACAACAAGCCTGGTGTGCCGGGTGAGGATCCGGGGCCTGTTGCCAAAGGCCCTCATCACTACGAGTGGCGGCCAGCGGACGCATAATCCAAGACTCACTGAAGATAATATTATGTGCTCAAATAATAAACTGTACTCCAGTCACAATTTCTCCCCAGAATGGAACTTGGTTTCTGAATAGCAGCATCAAGGAAAACTACAGGAATATTTGAGGAACGGTATCACTAAGCATCAATGTCATAAGAAGTCGAGTCGGAAGGCAGACTACCACCAGTACGTATAGCTATGTGAACAGCTAAAGAGCGAAGTAGTGAGCTACCTGTTGACGGCTGATTATCAGCCACGCCAGATAGAGAAATGAAACACCGGGAAAACAATTTATTATATGGAGATAAAAGGTAATTCGAGATTTGACGTCGATTTTCAATAGCTGTACTAACGCAGAATAGCACAAGCCATCACTCTGTAGCGCAATTTTGCAGGAGCTTATCGAGAGAACGCATAGCCTTCTGTGCATAACTGTCCATCTCGTACTCAATTCCTTTCCCATCCTGCCCTTGATCGAAGATTTCCACGGAAAACCAGCCTCTGAATCCGGTCTGAAGGACTGCCTTTGCGAAATCCTCAATGGGCAAGTATCCTCCGTCATAGGGCATAGGCCGGTAATCATGGCTCCAGCGACCACGCGGTCGCAATCCATCCACTACCTTGTCTTCTAAAGGCGGCGACACCTTATAAGCATCGGAAATTTGCAATAGATAAATTTTGTCCCCGGGCACCTTCTGCGCAAGCTGATGCAAGCTGTCCGAGAACTTTTTCGATAACTCCGCCGATGACAAACCCTCAATCAAGCCGGACGACGTCGTGGGATCAGCCCATTCACTGCCGCACGACTGGAACGTATCGAGGCAAAGGCCAATGTTCGGCCGGTCGACCGCCTCCACAATCTCCCATACATCCTTCCAGTGAGGTGCATGGGTAGACCAGCACCAGTTTTCGTATGCGAGGCGGAAGCCGTTCTGGGCGAGTAGGTCGGCTAGCTCTCGCAGGTCGGTGACAATCGTGTCACGGTCGTCTGAGATTTTCTCTTTGGGGCTGTCGGTTGAACCGACCTACGGCTCAATTAGTACATTCATGGAAAAGGTATAATATTGTAAGGGAGGTGCTCACCTGAAGTAAGTCCGTTCCGAGGACTTTCATCAGCTCGATCCACACCGTCGCTCTCTCGAATGCATCTTCTCGTTCTGCGGACCCTACCGGCCAGCCCTCAAAATTTGCGAATGGCTGAAGCATCATAATCTTGAGTCCGTTTTTGTCACATAGTTTCTGAATATCCGAGCACACTTTGCGCAGCTCGGTAGTATTCTTGGGTTGAATCGAATGGCCGAGTATCTGGCCACCGTACCCAAGGATATCTGGAAAGGAAAGTTCAATGCCCGTGAAGCCTGCTTTTTTGATTGCTTCGAGCTTGCGTGGCAAGGTATCACTCTCGCGACAGCCGATCGAGCATGTTGCATAAGATTTTGGAATGCCCTGCAGCGATGCACCGGAAATCGCTCCCATCGTGTCTTTCTCGAGGGGTTAAACAAATGTGGTAATTTTACAGAATCTTCACACGGAGTTTGAGAATTCTAGATTCCAGCTGCCACCCATGATCATTTATTCGAGCTGGATCTTGTTTACGATAATTGACGTCAGAACGTGTACATGTCCTTGGATCAGGCCCCGCACTCTGAATAAGCGGCCGTCACAAACTCGGGATGCAGCCATACTGACGTGTTGGAGATCTTGAAACTTCTCTAGAATTTTCCGTTCTAGTTCGGCAACTCGGTTTAATTCCGACCGCAGGTTCTATTAGTTGGCTAGTTAAATGCTATTTTATAAGTGCCCAGGATGCTCCACACGAAGCATATATTACCGGCTACTACATTGAGATCGTCTGGAACCGCTCAGGATGACCCCATCTCCAGCATCGAATAGTCGAACGGAGCTCAACGTTCTACCAAGCACCAGAGAATTGCCTCATACAGCTTTCCATGACTTAGTGTCCACCAAGGTATTTCGTCATTCTTGCGTCCTTGCCATGGCAGCAGCGAGTAGGTTCGAGATTTGATCAAGTCTACCGAGCAAAGGGCTCTCTCATTGGGCTGAAAGCGGAAAGAGAAAGCCAAGAGCGCGTCTCGAAGCAGTACATCGAGAAGACTCAACAGGATGCTGTGGCTCGTGGCGAAGCTGTTGTCGCGAGTACCCACGCATTAAATATAAACGCGTATACATCTTCCAGGGCTCCCATATCATAACCATGACTCGAAGGAAAAACCCCTTACAATCATCCTGTAGCGTTTTCCGTGTCCATTGGCGATTGTCTCTGGACCCTCCGGCTCATTCCATAGACCTGTCCCTGCTGGTCACACAGCATCAATAGCGCAGCCACAGCCTATACGTGTCGAAATATTAGGCAGTGACTGGGGGCTGAGGACCACCATTCTGGATCGCAAACGGGAAGCAGAGTGGCTAAAGCCTCGAAAAGTTCAATAAATGCGAGCGCACATGCATCTGGCACGGGTCAAGGTCGCACAACAGTGATCCGACGTGCAACCACGCATAATCTAGTAGCCAAGGCCCTTCGTCACATATACGGGACCAGCTGAAGACTTCCCCCAGGAATATTCAAATTACAAGCCCAGCGCACCTCATAGCCAGAGAGGCCTTGACGCTTTTGCTTCTCCCAGTCGTCGGCCGGAGAATGCCTGGCATGCAAGATGATGTACCTTCCAGCTCCTGTCTCATTTGTTCGACATGAGAAACAGTCGCAGTCTCTTAGATGCGGCCTGCTCCTGAAGCATTTTTTCTTGTCCACTCTTTTGACTTTCATCTCTTACTGTTGTACCTGGCTGAGCTATATTTTCTGGTATACGCGACCGTCATGGTGACCCGTCATCCCCTATCGATTCGATAAACTGTTCGGGGTATACGCTATTTGGTTGCAATGGGAAGGCTGTTCCATGACGTTTCAGCTCCTACGTCCAGAAAGCCTGGTCGCAAGACCAGTCTCGATAAAACCCTTTATAAGTCCAGCTTTGGGCCGAGTGTTAACCCACCAGAGGCCGGGCTCCATACCTGCTCATATGACCGAGAAGGAAGAAAATAAGGCCCTACCGCCTATTATTCTATTTGCTAGGTTACGTTCCGCTTAGGCAGGGCTGGCTATTTCCCTGAGTAAGGGTGCTAGATCTTCGGCAGATTGTTTGGATCGGCCCTCTCGTTCTCGAAGTCTTCCCACGTGGGCCTGCGAATGCACGACGCGCTCGTTTCGGGTCAGGCCGAAATTAAATCTCAACTGTGGGATAGCTGACAGCTGTCAGAGCATCAACGAATTGGATCCAGTACATCATGGAGTGCAAAGCCTGGTGTTTATGGAAGCTGGACACGCCTGGATCCAGCATGAGTGGAAGCTACAGCAAGATGGCATGCAGCATTCCAGGTACGATGCAGGGCATCTCGATCGCCCCGATCTCTTCAATTCCCCTGAGTTTGAGCACAGAAGATGCAATCAGGATTCGGCCTGAGAGATCGCATTAAGCCCAAAGAACAATTTTAGCGTTTACCCCTCAGGACGTCCAACCAGTCATCCGGCTGTGATTGTCAACGTGCCCAATGATGGCCGGCCCCACCGACCCCATCGTTGCCAGAACCACCAATGAAACTCTTCAACATCTGGACGGTCCCTTGAATCCTCCCCCACTTGTGATTCGAGAAATCCAGTCAACACCCCCCGGAATGCAACGTGCATCGCGAGGTCCCCGCAGGGGGAGTTCGCCCGGCTCTGTGTCGACCCGTTGAGCCTAAGCGAAGGTCCTCCGGGCGTCGAATTTGTAAACTCGCCCGCTTCTACCGGTCGGAGCTGGCTCCCGTGCATTGCTCCGCTGCTTGGCCGTTGGTATAAGATCGCGTGCACCCCGGATCGGCTCTGGTGGTTTCCTTCGCGAAATCAATCATGTTCTCCAAGCAGACCTTGTCTGCCCTCGTGGGCGCCGTGGCTCTGGCCTCCGCCAGGACGATTCCTGCTTCCGACAAGCTTCCCAGCGCGGAGGAGATCGCCAAGGCCCAGGCGACTGTTGTGCCTTACTCTCCGGTCTCGAACGTCAAGGGTCTGGCTTTCGATCGCTTTGCGCAGATTTGGATCGAGAACACCGTAAGCGAGACAAACGTTTAGCGTCAGATCAGCGATGAAGACGCGGCCGTACTAATCCATGACCAGGACTACCAAACCACTGCCAACAACATCGACTTCGCGACTCTGGCGAAGGAGGGCATCTTGCTGACCAACTACTTCGCGACTACCCACCCCTCACAGCCAAACTACCTGGCCTCCGCTGCGGGCGACAACTTCGGTCTCGACAATGACGACTTCCAGCAGCAGCCCGCCAACATCTCCAGTATTGCCGACCTGTTCGACACCAAGCACATCGCTTGGGGTCAGTACCAGGAGGACCTGCCCTACGCCGGCTATCAGGGCTACCTGTACCCCGAGACCGGGCCCCACGAGTACGTCCGCAAGCACGACCCCTTGATCTTGCTCAACTCCGTCACCGACGACGACACCCGTCCCCGCCAGATCAAGAACTTCTCCACCTTCTATGAAGACCTTGAGCACGAGCGTATCCCCCAGTACATGTTCATCACCCCCAACATGACCAACGATGCGCACGACTCCGACATCAACGTTGCCGGCTCGTGGCTCGCCGATTTCCTACCCCCTCTGCTGAAGAACGAATACTTCTCCAAGGATACCCTCATCCTGGTGACCTTCGACGAGACCGGTAACTACACGGAAGCCAACCGCGTCTACTCCTTCCTTGTCGGAGGCGCGGTCCCCCAGCACCTGAAGGGTACATGGGATGATACTTTCTACACCCACTACTCCATCATCGCCTCGCTGTCCGCGAACTGGGGCCTCCCCCTCCTGGGCCGCTGGGACTGCGGCGCGAACCTGCTCAAGCTTGTTGCCGAGAAGACCGGCTTCGTGAACTGGCAGGTTGACTATGACCAGCTGTACCTGAACGAGACTTACCCCGGCCCCCAGTCGGAGGGTGAGTACTCCGAGGAACTCGACCGCTGGCCTGTCCCCACGACCTCTGAGAAGTGTACTGCGGGCCACGGGATTGTGGATATCGTTAAGAAGACTTATGAGGGTCGTGAGCCTACCTACAATTATACCAGCCCTATCCCGTACGACTCGGTGAGTGGGACCAACACTGGTATCAAGTACTGGCGGACCCTGCAGAATGGGAAGAAGGAGACTGGTATTACTCTGTAGTCTCGCTTCCTTCGTGCCTTTCATCGAACTTCGGTGGGAGTGTGGCCGACATGCGAAGATGTTGAAAATATTGCATGATATCCGGAAGTAGGCTGTACATACTACTTGTTAATCCTAGTCTGAAACTTCTTTCAATTTCCTATATTCGTCCTCGTGAGAACGAGGCCCTTGAAGCTCTAGAAGAAGGGCAACAGTAGAGCTAGAATGTACTGAGGGTGTCTCGAGTAAGTTGAGATATAGGATCGGGGTTTTGATACGCATTTGGACCAGCAAGAACGCGAGACCGCTAGGCCAGGCTGCTTTGGGTAAGGTGAAGATATGCCGGACTCCGTCTCCCTTATCCAGTCTTGTAGATCCCGCCCTGTAAACAAGCTTCCATGATAATCTGTTACATACAGGATAGCCATCCTAGAAACCAGGTCACGGATTGCCTAAATAGACGAATGTGACAATGAAAACAAATTGAGCTCCCATAAAAGATAATGAACTGATCCTCCATATCAAACTGGAAATCGAGTCCTCGTCGCTCGCCTAAATCAGGCTCGGTGTCTCAACCTGCGGGAAATGGGACGGCAAATTCCTTGCGTTCTGCTTTCAACTGAAGCACTCGGGACTCCTGCTTGCTCCGTATCGAAATTGGCGTCCTGCTTATCAGTGTCAAGTGTACGGCTGCCACTTGTTTCAGAATCCCAAGATATGATTACAGAATTGAAACAAACTATTTGAGGGCTCCGTAGATTTTCAAGTCTCAGAATTTGACCTGAAAGATGCCGAAAGATGGATTGCGAGAGAAATGTGAGATGCAAATTAGGCTCCAGATGCCATGGGGATGGTGTCCGTTGTATACTATTAAATTACTCCAGGAAGTGGGCAGGAGAGTATTGATGAGGCATGTCGTCGCCTGCTTCACTTCGGTCAGCTATGAAATTGAATAATCTCACGACACCGTGTCACCCTATGCATAAGGTAGATCTTATCCTATCTGCCAGGTACCGGTGCCTGATTGTGAAACATCCCAGGCTGACGAGATTGGCATCTCCCCGATCCCCCGTAGATCGAGCCTCCTTCCCGGAAACAAGGCCATGGAAACGGGTCCCCGGGCGGGAAATCCAGCATAGAATGTTAGACATCCTCGTGTGGGCCGTGGAAAGTAGCATATGACTGGAGTGGCTGACTTGCGTCGCGTCTGCGTGTAGATCGCTTTCTTGATTAGCCCTATTTTAGTCTCGCTCGGGAATGCGGCTCTTGTTAGATAGGGTACAAGGTAGCTCCATCCGGTGGATCCATGTGGTAACTCTAGGTGCTATCAAGGGGGGTGAAAGTAACGTCTTTGGAAGAAAATCCCTTGCCTCGAGTCTTTCAGGGTCACATCTCCACAGCAAAAGCTTCAAACACATGGCTTTGTTTACATTTACACACGTCGCGCCATAGCTACCCCGTTCGTCTTGGGCGTTCCTGGTTCTCTTTTGTGAGGGCTGGCTTCGGTTCTGGCGGGCTATATCCATCATATATCATTGGTCTAGCTAAGCGGGCCTATTCAAGTTGCTGCTGCAGAGTTCCGCGCCCAACCATCATATGCGAAACGCAAGCATTCTTTTCACATGAAAATAGTTGACTGGCATACGGATTACTTCGCTCAGAACTTGTATAATGGCTTGCATCGAATTGGCCTGCGACCGTTGATAATTCAGTATCATCGACAACGCGTAAGAATGTTATCTCTGGCTCAAGGCATGTTCCAGGTACGCAGATCTCGACGGTACTTCGGGCAAAGGGGTAAGGTGGAGTGCATGGTTCTGGCCAACAAGATTGTCCAATCAGGAATGAAACAATACAAATACCGTGCATGCACTGGTTTCATCAGCCATGATTCATAGCCCAGATTTGATCTTCCCCACGATGATTCATTCCTGCCATCACGGGGAAGCTGTCTATCCCTCTCGCGGATATCTCGCCGATCATCCGGAGGGCAAAGGCCCGCACATTGTTTTCATATGATTGGCCTTTTAGAGGAACTCTAGGCGCTTGTCTCCGGCAGAAAGCTTGTTTGGGCAGCTGATTGGCAAGGGAGGGCAGGGCAGGCGGCGCCCGTAGCTCCATTCGAACTAAACTATCATTATTCTGTTTATTTCCCTTGGCGGAATTGAAGCTCCATACGAGAACGTGGTATAAAGAGTCAAAATCAATCCGAGTATTTCCCACCTGACATTATTCATGCCAGCAATACTCCATCACTCCAGACCACTTTGCCATGTCCGCGATGGACAATCTAGACCATTGCGACGATCAATGGTCCACTATCCTGGAGAGATACCCCTACATCTCCACCCCACAAGCAACACCGCGGACCTTCCCAGGCCACTCTGAAGGGGTCCATGTGCCCGGAGCATACGTTCCAGCCACTCCGTCCATGTCCATGAGCGCACCTTTCACCCCAGCGACAGGATCCTCTGGAAACACTCCGTACATTCTGTATACTCCCCTCTCTATATCGAGCTCAACGCCCGCCTACTACACTCCTCAGCCCACTTATCCTGTGCCTCCCCACATGGTTCCCGCATTTGCTCAGCCTCAGCCTTATTCCCCGGTGTCTCACGCCCGCACGACCTCATTCCAGGGAGAGTCACCCCCAGGAACATGCGCCGAGGACGCAGACAAGGAGCCTCCGTCGCCCTCTCCCTCCGCTGCGGGCCCTAGCTGCAACTTCGGAGGCTTATCCCACGCCGGAAGATTCAAATGCGAGTGGAAAGGCTGCAGGTACAACGGCGCTTTTGGTCGCTGGGCAGAGCTGAAACGCCACATCGAGACCAAGCACGTCTACCCGAACCATTTCCAGTGCTACCGGTGCAAGAAGCAGTATAACAGGAAGGACAATCTGGAAGAGCATTGCAAAAAAGCACATCCACATGACCCGTGAGAAGGGTGACTAGTCTGCTTCGCGTTTATTCTCCTCTCCGTCCTGCGTTCCACGATTACGCTCTTTTATATGCCCCGTAATGTCAATCCAATACCCAAATCATGTCGCTCGTTCTCGGAATTGTTTCCGGTTAGTCTTCACTAGCCCCCGCCTGTCGTTTCCTAATGAGCCCGCTGAGAAATAATACATTATACAAATTATATGGTATCCGATGATTATTTTTCAAAGACAAGGATGCTATATACAATGGCTAGTCCGTGGGGAGCTCCCGATGCACTGATCCAGTGAGATGCAGCCAAGCACTCAAACACAGCCCTACATCGTGGGACACTCTCTCTTTTCTTCTTGAGGGGAGACATAACATTCATAGATCATGACATGTTGCCTTAACCAGCAGCATATGTAGTCCGCTTCCGCAACCGCTCGCCATAAAACCACAAGAAGATCGGCGTCGGAATCCCCAGCGCAATAGCCACAAACGCCAAAACGCTATTGCCCCACCCGTACGCCAGCGCATTATACATATACGGTGCGAACAGCGGAAACCCGAACCCGGCGATCGAGCGCAGAAACGCCACCGCCGCCTGCGCACTCGCCGCATACCGCGTATAGGTGTCAATCACGTAGGTCTGGATACACTGGAAGCCAACCACCAGCCCGATACTCATGATGAAGGCGCCGATGTTGGGCGCGATCCAGTGGCAGTGCGCCTCGGCTGTCCAGCCGTAGATGAAGAACCCCACCGGCATGCACAGCGCGGTAATCACCATCAGCGGGAGGCGGAACTCGGGGCGGCCGACGCCGTTGTTGCGGGCCATGAGGGCGCGGTAGACGCGGTCGTTGAGCGGCGCGGTGACTTGCGTGCCGGTCCAGAGACCGAGGGCGAGGGAGAGGTAATTGAGGCTGCCGATGCCGGGGGACTCGTTGTAGTATTTCGGGCTGGTCCAGAGGGTCGGGAAGGAGGAGAGAACGAGGTACATGGTGCCGTAGATGTAGGCCATGAAGAGGGCCATGACTTGCACGATGGGCTGCGTGAGGATGAGGCGGAATGGGCGCAGGAGCGCCTGATCGGCGGTTTGAGAGAGGGACTTCTTCGCGAGATCGGCTTCGGTGTAGTATGTCTCGTCGCCGGTTTCTTTGCGGAGCCGTGCGGCGCGGGCGGCGAGGATGACCGGGGCGTAGGACTCGCGCAGGAAGAATAGGCCGATTACCTGGATACAGGCGTCGGCGATCGAGGTGGCGTAGAAGACCCAGCGCCACGTCGTTCGCTCGGCGATGAAGCCTCCCGCAATGGGACCGACCGCGGGTCCCAGGAGGGGCGCGAGGCTGTACATCGAAACGCTTTTCCCGCGCTCTTCGGGGCGGAAGCAGTCTGCTAGGACACCGCCGCCGACCTGGCTTCAGGGTTAGATGGCGGGCTGGAGCTCAATAAGAATGGTGGCACTTACCGCTAACGAGGCACTTCCGCCCAGTCCTGCGAAAAATCGACAGACCAGAAGCTGTGTTGTTGTCTGGGAAAATGCACATCCGATGTTGAAGGCCAGGAATATCAGATTCGAGAGCTGGAGGACGACCATGCGGCCGTATACTTCCGACAGGGGCCCGATGAACAGGGGACCGACGGCGTAGGCAAGGATAAACATGGATAACGTTAACTGCAGAGTGAACTCTTGCGTGATATGCAGGTCCTCGGCAATGTTGACGAGAGCTGGGGCGACCATACTACTCGACACCGGGGAGATGAATGTGAAGAGTGAAACGGAGACGGTGGCTGCCCATTTCCACTTAAGTGGCCAGTTTTTAGGGTTCTCTGGGTCATCCGGTCCATCCCAAGTTACCTGCAGACACATTAGCGGACTGGAAAACAACAGCACGGGGGTGCTCAAAACATACGAATTTCGATGCATCACGAAGGGTGGATCTGACGGTACTGGATCTTTCGAGGACTTGGTCGATCGTCGGACCCTTTTCTAGGTCAACAGATCGTGGCCCTGCGGCGTCCGTTTCTTCTTGTATAGTCGCCGTCCTTTGCACAGACAGCGCATAGTCATCATCTGGATCATAATAAGAGGCAGCGTCGTCCAGATAGGATCCGGAGAATCGGTCTAATGGCGTGATGGGGTTTGAATTCACGCCAGACCTCCTTTCCTGTCCTTTGTATGGATCTGAGAGATTGCGCGGACGAGGAATGGCAGCTGGAATATCAGCAGAATCGCTGCTGGTTGAAGCGAGCGATTTGATCGATGTGGAGTCCAGCTCCTTTTCCTGCTTCCGTCCCGACATTCGACCACTGATATGATAATTGCAAGGCAAAAACTAGAGGCACGATGATAATTTCTTGTGATTCAAAGGGATGATTTCATTATGACTTTGGAGAATTTTCAAAGATCAGGGAGCCTGAACCGGGCCTGTTTTTAAGCCTGAACACCTTACTGGAAGGGTAGTATCATGTATAAAAATTCTCACGCGACCTACGCATACAATTGGACTGAGCCCGAACCCCGGTATCATTCGTGGACGATGGGCGGGGCGGCGTCTAGTACATTTCCTAGTGCCGGCAACAAGGATACCAATGGGACAGATGCGGATTGGAAGGGAATGCGAGGTGTGGGGGGGGAGGCACCCACGAGGGCCAATCCTATTGCCAGCCCGTGGACCCTGGCCATACGGGACATATTTTGGGATTTCTTTCGTGACTCCGCGGCCACTATACTGCGACCGACATCCAATGATGGCCGGCAACAGGGATAATGCGACGCATTAAACCGTCGTGAGAATTTTTCTTCGCAGTTTTTGCGTCTGCCGGGATCACGTTCTTTGTTCCCTTTTGCCCAAATTTAGCGGTGTCCACACCCTAAGGGTGTCTAAGACATTCTGGTCTATTCGGTGGCAACCCACTATAGCTCCGCTATACGCCACACCGTATATCGTATTTCACCCACGCGAACTACTCTAAATTCTCCTACGCCACGTGAGAATCCTTCGTATTATGCATGTACGACGCGGGCCCGCCTTGCCGAGAACTCCAAGGAACAGCTTGGAAACTTGGAATTGCTGAAGCAGTCGGATGGGAGCGGACTCGAGTTCACACAAATGGAAAGCGCTGCATGCGCGAAGTGATCCCACTAGCTTCGCTGCATAAGATATAGCATACCACTATACCCATGCTGACCAGCAATCATTGACTTGGATGTTCGGTTGGATTGTCCGAACGGGATCATTAAGGCAATGAAAACTAATGATCCTGCACTATCCCGTCTGGGAGATTTTCCCTGAACATCCCGTCCTGGCGCGCATCGCCCATGTGGCATCTCAGGTTGATCTTTCTGGCCTTGTAGGGATGGATCGAAGCGTGAAGGCCTCTGCAAAATCCACTCGAAGGTCGATCTGGTGCGGAGAATCAACAACGGGTATGGTGCAGTCTAAAAACAATAGATACCGTCTTCAGCTTCGGAAAGGAGATTATTTCCGCAGTCTCCTAGTGCTCGTCCTTTTGTCTTGGCCAAAGGCCTCGCCAGGCCTGCGGGCTTATCCGAGATCCGACCGCCAACCACTAAAGCCGGTTCCAGGTTTCTCGCTCGACCGTAACGTTGCTTGAGCATTCATGCCTGGGTGCCGGTTAACCGGTCGAGATCGATCGTATTCATCACCAATCACGGAATACGCCGCAACCATTCCAGGGGAGATGAACGATTAATGTGATCACGGGAGATGCGGGGGTCAAACTCTCCGAAATATACTCCGCAACTGTCAGGAGCTGACTCGACACCCGCTTAACCACCTTGCCATGACATCTTAGAGGGCAATACGTATTTGCCGGGGACGGCGCTGCTGCGGGAAGGTAAGCAGGGCTTTGCAAGGGTTGAACTATTAGGGCTAATACTCTGGTAGGTCCCCAAACGCTGCGTCCAATTTCGATTGAAGGCGGACTCGGATCAAAGATGCATCGTAATTCTCCAAAGATGGAATTTTTATTGGCATCAGTACGTAAAGGCCACGCCATCCCTAGAGAAATGCTAGGTTTGTATTCATAACTATATAAAGGGTGTCCTTATCGTAGTACATACCTTAAGTCGAGGCGCTGTCATGTGGAGCCGTTCCTCAAAAAAAAAGTAGAGCATATCCTTCATTTTCAGTCACTAGCCTGGCATATTTCGCAACATATTTCTCTCTGATTACAAACAGGGTCCCACAGTAATCTGTCAACCTGGGAAGGGTTTTTGTTGTCTGTTCAATCTCATTCTGATCAGGAAGAGGCCTGCTAACTGACCAGCATCCCGACAGTGGGGGGGGTAGAAACAATATTTAGAGGCGGGGCTTTACGGACGGTAAATTGAGGGATGCGGCTCATAGGGCAGCAAGTAAATGTCTCTGATCAGCCGAAACTTGGTAGCTAGGAAACATGTCCTTATAATGTGTGCACTTGAATGTGCCTTGAAAGAAGATATATACAGCATGTACACCATAAGTGCAATGATCTCGCTTCGATCAATCTTCCGCTCTGTGAAGTATCGACTTGGAAATACTTCCTGCTTCATGACTAGCCTACTCATAATCTAGATGTGCCTCCCATGTCCAATGCGATAGTAAATTTGGTGCTTTATTATCCGAGTGGCTAGCAACCGTTTCTGCTGGGACAACCCGATTGCTTTCGGGCAGATGGGAGCTCAAAGCTTGATCTGACAAAGATATGCCAACGCCCCTACAGTGATTGACATGGTAGGGATACCATACAGGCAAATTAGACTGATCTTCCGGGGTGGATCGGATTTTTCAGCGCAGAATTGGCTATAATATTGGCAATTCTTTTGGTCTTTTGTTTGCTGGCCAATGGATGAATGTTTTCCCTCGGCATATGGATAAGCACGAGTTTCGGCATCATCTAGTCGTGCCTAATCCAATGTCAGGAAGGGTACAGCAGGCTTCCAGTATGTCGATCGTCTCTTCAGATTCATCTCACTCACAATTTCCGATTATCTGCCCACATAATCCTGGATTTCCTAGGCGGCCTGAGAACTCGAACATATTTAGTTGCACTATCTCGATTCCTCCAGGCCCCATCATTCCAACATCCCAACGACAAAGCTGAAGCAGATCTTACAGAGACATATACTCCGCTGAAGCCAATGAGGTCTCAGCGAGCCTGGGGAATGTGGCATAGGACCTATTTTTGTTCTCTCCTCCCGGTGGCATCTTGCCGATCATCGACAGGAACAAAAGGCAGTGGCCCAACAAATCTCGAAATTTCCGGTCAACTATATCGTCAATATGCCATGATGGCATATATAGAGAATGATAATGGCATTCAAAAATTCGCGGTACTATGGCACGGAAGTCAACCATTTCACCACGATAAATTCAAGTTCAATGCTTCTACTCAGCCGCACTACTTCCCCCCGAGGATCAATGATCGCACTTCGCGATGGCGCAGACCCTGGAGTATATCGAGCTCAAATCCCGCTCGCGCGACAGGCTACTGACGAGAGATATCTCCGAAAATGAAGGATATCGAGGGCAAGAAGCAGAAGGAATACCCCCCTCAGGACGATTCTTTGGAAGCTGGACTTGTTCATCTTACCAGTGATTGCGAGTGTCTATTTTTTCGCATTGATGGTAAGCTCTGAATTCACGCAAGATTCCCTTCTATTCTATTGCTTCAGATAGAACGAATGCACGAGGGTATACGATGGCTGTGTCGGCGGCTGGAAGCATCGTCGGCTATGCACTGCTGCTTGGACTTACGGAAAACTACGCCCGATTTGCTGCGGCATGTGTTGTCGCGGTTTTCATCTACCCTGTCACTGTGCTGAAGTTGACCTGGGCGGCCATGGGGGTTGTTCGTTATACACGGATGTAAGCATGAAATCATACAATCTATCCTGACGGAAAAACTTACTTTGGCCGATATAGAGGTTCTGCGCTGGTTTCCTTGAATATCGTCGGCCAGGTCTTCCCATCTGCGGAACACAGGCATACAGTGACCCGCCATGTTGTTGGTGAAACCAGTCCGTTATTACGAGAGTGCTAAGATCCTTGCAATCAGACCGATAAGGGAATGCGATTGCATTGACGATTACTGGCTGCTACTTGGCATTCGCTCTTATCCTACGATGGTACTATTCCCACCTGAACCAGAAGAAGCGGGCGGAGAAATTTCTCCGGAAACGCATCGTTGCGCAAATTGCAGAGCACCGGAGATATTGGGGATAAGCCTCCGGGTAAGTATCATGCATCAATCTTGATAAGGGATGCACTCTGATTCATGCCGGCTTGAGACTTTTTCTATACGACATGACCTTTGACACACATGCACGGATTTGCGGGGAAATGTAACACCTCAACTCGATGGAGTTTGAGCTGAATGAGGGTGTGTTTCATAGATACAAGCATTGGGCTTTTTTCATAACATGCATATTACATTGGGAGCGGGGGTATGTTTCATACCTGTTCCTTCGAAGGCGTCGATCTATGGATTTCGCCGAAGCGCGCGCAATTTCGCGAATGGATACCAGCATCAAAGGCGCCACCGTTGAGGGAATTGTGCCCACATTTCATCTTCGGAGCTTTGACTCTCATATATCCGTGCCATGCTGAAGAGTTTGAAAGGCCAAACACGGTCCATCAGTTTCACACGGTAACCGAGTGGGGCCATAGTCTGAACGGTTTCAAACTGCTCTCTCCACCACTACAAGGCGGGTTTTCGAGACTCAGTCGTCGTATGGGGTTTTGGATGCCTATACGTAGGAGGAAGTTCCAGCATTGGACATGGGCATTTAGCACCGGGATGATTGCGATCTAGATCCCAGTCACGGGTAATCTGCTACACCCTACCGAGAAGTTGGGAACTTGCTTGGCGCGAAACCAAGCAGGCTGATAGCAGCTTTAGCTCTCTTCTTTTCCGAAATGAACCGTGAAACCATCCCGGGTTCTCGTCCACTCTCATAGCTCATGGAACGGTATCACTTATCGACTCGACACGTGCACTAGAGTAGAAGCCACATCAGGGTCTAAAAAATAAGGAAAGCATAGATAGGAGGATCCGCGGATCTTAAGAGCTGCTTCGGAAAGGGTTACAGTCAGTTGGGTGAATTGTCGATCTTGACTCTTTCCTGAAAAGAGTAGGTGGGGGCTCAGGATCGGTGCTGGAACGCCGTTCCAACCCAAACTTTCAGCGCGCTCGACGAGCAGATGGTAAAGAACTTAAGAAATGTTATTGAGCGATTGGCGTGCAAAAATTTGGCTCAAAGTTTTCCTCCTATCGGTTAAGGGCCGAGACCACTTCGTCGGTCGCATATCGTCTCTGTTGGGGAGGAGATACGATGAACCATGGAAATGATATCTCGGTGCCAGAGATCTAACGGCCACGAGGGATGGAGATTGTTCGGAGGAGAGTTTTTGATTATCGTTCCTTTTCTATTCACAAGCCAGGAAGCAACACCCCCGCTCTCCGATAGAGTGCCTGTGACGCCGGGATATGGAATGCAACGCCCAGTCATAAGGCCAGAAAGTCGCACTATCGTGTCTATACCGCGTATGCCGTGCAGCTCAAGACTTCGCATGGACTCTGTGAGTTCTCATAAATCATGAGGCTGGCCGATGGCTGGACAGCTGAATGGCACCAGAGAAACCAGCACTTTGGGGATGATCGGCCGAAAGCCCTTCCAAAACTAGTAATGGCGAGGGTCTCGAGGGTACGTACTCCTCTACGTCAGTGGGCGGCGGGCTCCACCGCGCCCGCGAACAAGTCGAGAGCGATCGTCAAGCAGGGGAGGGCAACAACGGAGGCCTGTTGGCCATCGGCGTCGTCCGTTGATGGTGTGCAGGGTAATTCAGTCCCCCAGCCTTCAGGCATCAGATCAAAACCAGCTTTCAAGGCCAGCCTCCGGAAATATCTCTCTCCGCGGGGTAAGAATGGCGATGTTCGCCACTGTTGTTATTTCTGTTGTGGCTGGTTAAACACGCGTGGGCTATCGTCCGCCCTATCGTCATGCCCTGAGCACCGGGCGAGGCCGCTGGCTGCGATCGTCGGTGGGCTGAAACGGGTCCTCCTCGAATCAACCTTCTTAGTGGCGTGGGTTGCAGTTGCGGGACAGTGTCGATCTATCTCTTAATCGGCTATTTTCTTTTTTCTTTTTCTTTTTTCATTTTTAATTTTTTTTTCCCTACTTCATCCATCAGAAACTGGAGCCCCTGTCAGATCCACCCTCAATCTGTTATTAGTAGAGCCAGAGGCCCCGATTTTGAAATGTAGGATTAGTTCGCCCGAGACTTTTGCTCTACAGAGAACGAGCCCTGGTGCTACTATCTATTACGATCGCGACTACAAGGCTATACAGATACTGTACGTGGCTTATCCTATCGCTAATCACCGGGTGGAAATACTAACTGCGACCAGATAACCCCCTCAACATGCCCTCGTTCACTCTCCGCGCGGTGGTGGCAGCGACTGTCCTCCTGGCCAGCACCTCAACGGCTTTCCCTCTCTTCAAACGCGAACCCCAATGGTCCTTTGACCTGTTCTCTACCGCCGCATGCAGCGAGACTGGCGATCTCTACGCTGGCTCCGGTAGCACTGGATGCCGAGCTGATCTGAACAATGAGGCTGCTGCGTATCGATTGAACACACTGTCCGCGGGCTGTACCATCGAATTTTACGACAACACTATGTGCGACGAGAACTTTGCGTCTGGTGTGGCTGGCCCCATTTCTGTGAACGAGTCCGCAGATACCTGTCGCATCCCGAGATCAGAGCAGCGCTTCGGGTCCTACCAAGTGACCTGCCGCGACGCAACCGAGTTGAAGTGATGAATCCTACGAAATTGAGAATACGGGGAAATAGTTTTCCGGGCAGGTCTCGGTGCTAGGTATATAGGTATTGGACATTTTTTCGGTTCGGGATGGTTGGAGTACTGGGCTCTTGGACGGCGCATTGCATCAGATAGATTTTTGACATGATACCTCTAGACTTGAATGAAACGGTTTGTGATACGAAGCAGTCGGCAATGTACACGTTTTGCACTAGTATAGGGCTCGGCTGTCGATGCGCCCATATGCGGGGGCTACGGTCGCAGTGGCGGGGATCATGGCGCTAACTACGACGCCTGCTTACGACTGCTTCGAATGTTGGAGTATCAGAATCCCTGCAAGCTACAAGTCGGCGCCATACAAGTACAAGCATCTTTCTAGCACGCCATGCGGGCGCTAAACTCTGGACTCTGGACCCTTGAAGGCGACAAATACGTGGTCCAACGAACCTAAAGTTTTGTCTTTCAAACAACAACCACCGCGCCAATGAAAGAGGTTCAATCTCGGGTGGAGCTCAGGAACCCCTCCCCTTGAATGCTTTTCATGTTCGTCGAACTATTACATCACCGGTGAGGGAAACTACTTCCCCGTGCGAGGGGATCTAACGAATCACATTCACACTTGGCAAACCCCGTTACCGCTGGAAGCCGGCACCCTGTTGATCAGCACATCTTTCCAATCAATATTCTGCTTGAGGAAATGACCTTCGAAAGTTGGAGCTTCGGAATCTAACGCGCGATTCGCGGAGTTAGAGTCGGAGATCGACCATCAGAACCGGATCGCCGAAGCCGGAAACGGTCGGCCTCAACCTCGAGGTAAGAAGACAAGCTTCTGGCTGTGTCACCCTCCCAGCTTCACCATCATGCAGGCTGAGAAAGGCGCCGTGTCGGAGGATGGGCCGGCTGAGAAAGGCCCTGTCTCCTTCTTTGATCCCGCGCTGGGAGAGCTTCGAAAGCGCGTGTACCTGGAGTGGGCGCGGACAGGTATGGACTCATATCGCGCGACCGATGAAAGGGCCCATCGCCACTGACACCCTCTAGTGCTCATTCTCTGTCTTTTCGTCCTCTGCGTTCTGTCGCTGTTTTGGGGATCTCAGTTCACCACCGAAGAAAAATTGGAGACCCTGAACGTGTGGGTCGTGGACTTTGACGGGAAAGTTGACCCTTACAAGACCAGTGACCCCTTTGTTGGTCCGATCATCACAGATGTCGCGCAGAAATACACCGATTCCAACGGCCTGCACTTGGGCTACCACATCAAGGCTGCCTCCGAGTTCGACTATGATCCTATCGCCGTCCGCCAGGCCGTGTACGACGAGCACGCCTATGCCGCCATCATCGTGAACCCAAACGCGACGGTCCTCCTGCGCGATGCCATCTCGACCCGGAATACTACCTATGACCCTACGGGCGCTGCGCAGACCATTGTTATCTCAGCCCGAGACCAGAACACCTACTACTCCCTACATCCTGCCCGACCTGAATATCCTCCAGACCCAAATCCAAGCTACCTTCGGCCCACAGTGGGCCCGTGAGCTTGTCGCGAACAGCTCCGCAGACTTGTCCCGCGCCCCACCGCAGGCCATCAATCCGGGGATAGCTTTCACCACCTATGACCTGCGTCCCCTTCTACCCGGCCGTCGCCGCGCCCGCGGTGACAATTGGCCTGATCTACCTGATCATTATTGCGTTCTTCACTTTCCCCTTCTTAATGCCCATCCATTCCCAGTTTATGAAGGCAGATGGCCACCCTCCACTCAATGTTCCCCACTGGCTTATCTGGCGGATCGTGTCGAACATCACGGCATATTTCTTTCTGTCGTTCTTCTACTCGCTGGTCTCACTGGCCTTCGAGATCCCGTTTTCCAATCCGCCTGCCCCGGACGTCATTCCCGCCGAGAATGCCAATGCCTACCACCGTGGCTCGTTCGTCGTTTTCTGGATGCTCAATTGGGTCGGTATGACGGCGTTGGGGTTTCCGTGCGAGAACATGGCTATGATCCTGGGTATGCCGTGGAGTTCGCTGTTCTTGATCTTCTGGGTGATCTCGAATGTCGCTACGGGATTTTATCCACTGGACTTGGCCCCGGGTTTCTATCGCTGGGGCTATGCGTGGCCGTTGCATAGGAGTAAGTTCGCTTGTCACGCGTGGACGTTCCGGTTACTAATTTGTCTGTAGTTGTTGAGGCGCTGCGCACGATTTTATTCGGAACCCATTCTCGAATTGGCCTCGACTTTGGTGTCCTGTTTGCTTGGATCGCTGTCTCGTTGGCCTTTTACCCCGTCGCCACTTTCATCATGCGCTGGAAAATGAAGCGAGGCTTGTAACCTGTCTCGGTCATCCTAGAGCGCAAGATCCGTGTCTCGAAAGTGGTGTCTCGGATCTAAAAGTTATTTCGGATTACCATTCGCCCTTGAAATTCCTCTCTTATGGGCTTACGGTGACTTGGTATTTTACATAGAGATCATCTAGAGTTCGTGCGTATATGTTAATTCCTACTGCCTACATGATAGTGCACTAATGAACGAATGGCTCGCATTGATGTCGATGTAATTAAACGAATGGACGATCATTCCTTATAGTCGTCTTGAATAACTGCAGAATATAAGTACCAATTCGATCTTGGAAGAGGCCGCTCGCTTTTAGAGGAAACATACACATTCAACCACACTCCAGTGACCGAGACAACTCCTTTGCCATCAGGATGCCATACAAATGATCCATCTCTTGCACACAGACTCATCATCGGAGTTTCTTGCTTGGGGGCCCTGTGACAAGGTTAGCAGGAACGAACCCTTCTCAAGAGACCAGAACCCACGCCTAGAACCGTGCAGTCTCAAGACTTCGTTTACTCGTCAGATGAGCTTGTCTTATGAGATGCTGTTGTCTGTGTTGCCTTTTGGACACTAGCATCTCACTGCTTTTGGCGTTTGCATAAATCTTTTTTTTTTTTTGGGTTCGATTGTGATTTTGACGTCTTATGTTGAATACTCTCCCCCCCAATTCTTCTAAACTGGATGGTCGCTGACCAGGTATATATACCTTCTTGTCTCGCCACAATGCCACGGTGGCACGGGCTCTAGGACTCGACGTCGTGGTGATGGTGGTATGACATATGTCTTGCGAACCTCCGGGTGCTAAGGCTGGCTTCTTCCGGGCTCAGTTACCGTCCTACCCAGAGTACCTTATCTGAGATACCGTTGGGGTAGTCACGAGAGGAATTGCCAAAGAGAATCAGGTGGAATTGAAACATGATCTGCTTAGCCCCGCGGATGCGCAGATCTGGGGAAGGAGCGACTGGGCCATTCAGGGTGGCGTGTCCGCGCACCTGGCCAGGATGGCCAAACGAGCCTCGAACATGTGCTCGATCCTGCGATTCCCATTGGCTGGTTCTACATCGAGGTGTCATGTTCCTGGACTAAAAGCGCTCCGGTGCCTGAACTGAGCATTGGGGCTGTGGTACCTCCTACTCCATACTAATTACTATGGGAATGGATGTACCCCCAAGCAGTCAGTCTCCATAGATGTAATGAGTGGTTGGACTCCTCGTCTTCTTGATATTATTTCCAGTTTCCATTCAAATCCTCCTCTCTTTGATCCTCCTGAACGATTCGATCATCATATTTTCTTCATCCAGAGCTATGGAGATGGATACCCTTCACCCACGCGTAGGTATGGCGACACCTGATGCCAATGCCAACCCTATCATCAACGAGGAATCAACTGTGCGAGAGGAGGAAGCTTTTCGCAATCAGTTGGCGCAAGAGCGCGCCGCAGCACTCGAGAAAATTGATAACGCGAAATTCAGCTTCAGTCATGTTCGCGCTGTCATCGTCGCAGGCGTGGGCTTCTTCACAGATTCTTATGATATCTTCGCCATCAATCTCTGTGTCGATATGATTGGGGCGGCCTACTGGCAGAACGCGGGATCTAACCCCGGCAAACTCCCTTCCCACTCCGACACTGCTCTCAAGGTCGCTACTTCCGGTGGCACTGTCCTCGGTCAGCTGTTCTTTGGTTGGCTCGCGGATCTCGTCGGCCGTAAGCGTATGTACGGCGTTGAGCTTTTGATAATTATCGTTGCTACACTTGCTCAGGCCTTGTCGTCAGCGGGACCTTCTGTTTCCATCGTCGGTGTCTTGGTCTTCTGGCGCGTGATTATGGGCGTTGGCATCGGTGGTGATTATCCGCTTTCTTCGATCATTACCTCTGAGTAAGTACCACAACTCCAGAATCTAGATATCGAACAAAGAGGCTAAAATGTCTTAGATTTGCGAGCAAGAATTGGCGTGGTGCTATGATGGGCGCTGTGTTCGCCATGCAGGGTATTGGGCAGTTCGCCGCGGCTGTCATCGCCTTGATCGTCACAGCTGGCTTCAAGGAATCGCTCGAGACGGCCAAGGACGTTGCGCACTGCTCGGGCGCCTGTCAGCTGGCTTCGGATAAGATGTGGCGCACGGTGATCGGCCTCGGCGCTGTTCCGGCCTGTGCTGCACTTTACTACCGTCTGGCTATCCCTGAGACGCCTCGTTACACGTTCGACGTGGCCCATGATTACATGCAGGCTGGCCAAGATATTGAGGCTTATATGCATGGGCGGCGCGAGGGCCATTCAGATGCTCTTACTCGTGTCCAGGTGCAGATAAATGAACATTCGCGTGTCCCGAAGGCTAGCTGGAGAGACTTCATCAACTACTACAAGGTCTGGGATAATGGCAAGGTCCTCCTCGGTACTGCAGGATCCTGGTTCTTTCTTGATGTTGGTGAGTTGTCGATTGTTTTGTTCTACCATATATCGTTAATGAGGCTGACACTGATTTTTTCTAGCTTTCTACGGTCTCGGCTTGAACAACTCAATTATCCTGGGTGCTATCGGCTGGACAGGCGGAAAGAACGTGTACGAGGTCTTCTACCGCAACGCCGTGGGCAACTTGATCTTGATCTGTGCAGGTGCAATCCCGGGATACTGGATGACCGTTGCAACTGTCGACAAGATAGGTCGCAAGCCAATCCAGATGGTCGGGTTCATCGTGTTGTTCATAATTTTCATGACGATCGGCAGTGCCTTCCACGCACTCAAGCACTCCCATAACGGTCTTCTAGCTCTCTATGTCATCGCCCAGTTCTTCTTCAACTTCGGACCGAACGCAACCACCTTCATCGTTCCTGGCGAGTGCTTCCCGACCCGATACCGCTCCACAAGCCATGGCATCAGTGCTGCGGCTGGAAAGATCGGTGCCATCATTGCGCAATGTGTCTTCGGACCTCTGGTCAACCACCATGCACCAAAGGGCGCCACAGACTCCCCCTGGTTGAATCATGTTATGCAGATCTTCGCGGGCTTCATGTTCTGCGGGATCCTGACTACGTTGCTGATTCCCGAGACTAAAAACAAGACCCTCGAGGAATTAAATGGGGAGAATTTCTCCTCCGTCTCTTCCATCAGGCATCCCAGCCAATCGCCGCGCGGCGAGAAGCGGGTCGCTATCACTGCAGAACAGTCTACAAGCACTTATAACAGTCCTGTTATCTCGGGAGGGACTGCCCGTGCAGGTAACGCAAACTAAACTACGTGCGAACTCGGGTTTCATGGAATATTAATATGGTGCGGGATGAGATTGGGATATTTCGGGGCGACAACTATTTTGTGGGATGGAAACTATCAACTGGGAGAAGCCTGAGGGATCTGGATATGCTATGGTATTAGTAGCTCTCAGTAATTCGCTAGTCTAATTTGGTCATTTGCGTCTCCCCATGTCCTTCTACTAATGATGCAAGTATGGACTCAACCTTGGAGCGCTATTCCTTTGAACCCCGTTAGAACCATGTTGTATGACAGACAAGAGATTCTTGACAACGCAGTAAAATACAGTTGGTGTGCAATGCCTGGCAAATGGGCGTCCCGGACGCCCACCTTCCCCGCCAAGGCTCAGGTCTATTGAGAAGCAGTACGACCTCTCGTATCCTGCTAGCTGAAGCTTCGGATATGGTACACATTCTTTATAGAGACTATTCCGACGATAATGATAGTATATACAGCTGAACGCTCCCTGAAAGTAAACTATAAACGCCTGACGGTGAGGTTACCAGCCTTACGGCCTCCGATTCCATAAAGAAAGATAAACGTTACTGGACCATGGATTCGCCTGTCCATTTCGACATTTATTCATCTGTTTGTCTCACATGTTTTTCACCTTCTCTGCACCCCTTCTCTGCACCACTAAGCCGCATGTTCCGTCCGTCGCAATACGCATTGAAGTGTCGATCTATTACATCTTGCTGATCTTCGTTGCAACTTCGGTCAACACCCTCGTTTCAGCGACCAACGCAATTCTCATTTAATTAGCCTCTGCCTCGCTGGAGATTTACCGCCTTGATCTCCTGAGCTTTCCCCTGCCACGTAACCCCCTTTGTCATGGCTACAAACGCGCCCAACTCAGCACCAATAGCTCAGAGCATGAAGTCCTGCTCCATATCCCCAAGTAAGACTGAAAAGGACGCCATGCCGGCCGACGAATATCACGGCGAAGAAGGCTTCATCCCAGAGGCATCCCCTCCTTATCAAGACACCGACGCAACCCACGTCACTCGCTCAGACGCCCCCTCACCCTCTCCCGCATCGGCAGAACAAGTCCCCTACACCTGCGTCGCCAAAACAGAGATGGAGATCTTCGCAGCGCTCCGCTTAATCGCGGATTCAGTCGCGCAACAGCACCAGGCTGCCAACCGCGCTCTCCTGCACAGCCCGATCTTCTTGGGTGCTGCGTTTGCGGTCCTATGCATACTCCTATCTCAGGCCAAAAGCGGCCGCTTAGATACGGCGTCTATCATCCCTCTCTGCGCTGCCTTGCTCATGGTCGCGTTCTCGGCCACAAGGTACTGTACGAAAGGATACTTGGATCAGGCAGAGATGGTGGGGACTTTACAATGGCTGTACGGCGATATGGACGAGGTCCAGGAAGATCCTGAGACCTCCCTGCGTCCCACAGAGAATTATGACAGCTTTACGCAGCCGCGACATCGCAAAACGACTCCGGAAAAAGATTCTGCGCCGAATATTCAGATAGATAAGTCCGTTCGACAAGCTCATACTCGTACTATCACGTTCATTTCCTACTGGAAGGGCGAGGTTATCGCAGTCCTTGTCATGACGCTTGCGTGCAAAAGTCCTAACCGCGCGTCTGGCACCGAAAGGGCCTGTTGCACGAAGAATCCAATTCGTGAGAAACCCAGTTCTTCACGCGCCTCTATCAGCCCACGCCCACTGAATGAACCTGTTGCGATTATCCGAGCTTGGACCGTGAAGCAGAAGTATCGGGGTAATAACCTCGGATTGGATATTTTGGAATACGTGGTTCGATTCTCCTATGGGCGTGGATGGAAGCAACCTGTCTTCGCGGAGGATCATGCGCACTCGCTGAGACTGGTGCCGTGGCCTTTCGAAAAGGGGATGGAGACTGATGATGAGCGAGCCAAGAGGAAGCTGGCTGAGGTGGGGAGACAGGTTGTTGGGTTTGGGTTGAGGAGTTGAGGGTTTGACGAATCAATTTATTCCATCGGTTAGTGGGTGGTTAGTGGATCTTCTAGTTAGCTGAGTCTCATATGTGTTCTCCAATTGAGCTGGTTTTGTCCGCTCCTTTTGACCACTAGTAGTTCCAAGTAAACACGTGTGGGAATGTTGACTGGCAGCGAGCTGAATCAACATGGAACGGTAAAATCACCGGTTGCTTCACCTTGAAAGCAGTAAAGAAAGACCCGCAATCAACACTTCATATTCTTCTCCAAGCCTGAGTCACTGACCCAAGATTTGATGAAAAAAATGAGCCTCAATATGTGAGGTGATGGTGGGTCCCAAAAATTATCTTTGTCTCGATGCTTTACTCGCAGATCCATGAATGCGGCTCCAAAAATTCTATCCCCTCAGACCACAGGGACAACTCTGTGCATTGTTGAGCCTGGGTCTGCTGTACAGCTGCGGGGGGCGGGGTGAGGAAAGGAGGAAGAAAGAGAAGAGAAAGGGAAGAAGGGAGAAGGGATATATATATGTAGGCGGACGGGTTCCAGTATATCCGAGATTAGCTCCCTGGTTGACTGCTATGGCTAGTGCCTCGTAATCAGCCTTCAGCAGATGTCGATGGTGCTATTTAATGGTGCTCATGGGACTTGCCGTTTCCACTTGCTAGCGCAGATCCAACGGACTGGAAGCCCCAATATCTAATTGCTTATGTATCTCTGGTACGTGTCTGAGTCGAGGGACCATTCAGTTACCATTTGCGAGCAGTGAAGATACATAACTCCATCGCAGCAGATGATTCGAACGAACAGCCCATATGAGACTCGGTCACACAAAATTTGAGGCACGTGAGGCACATATGTATCTTCTGTATCTCCTACTAGTACTGACCCTAGCCTATGACCCTAGCGTACTTTCTATATAAGTCTTATGGGTATACGAACTTCGACTTGAAGTCAATTATTTCAAACTTAACGCTACAGGCTCACACCGAAAACCATCGAACTGCTTTCTGGGCTCCACTATCTAGCTCATGCATAGGGAAGGTGATAGGAACCGATTGGAAAAGGGATGCTCCACAGCCTACGAAAGAAGCATCCATAAGTACTGTCGTCGGATGTAGACAGTGACCAGGCTGTGTAGTATATCATTGGTTACCGACTCTGCGGCGCTATGCGTGGCCGTATCTTGCTGACTCGGCAACCACCACACTGTACCACACAGAAAAAATTTGAATCCCTGACGGAAGGGGCCTCGAAAAAAGGTGAGCAAAAACATACAACAGTCAGGATTCCCATGTGGTCACCCACCATAGTACTAACTGACCGGCGTGTGGCTTAAGTACGGCTGAGCGGACGGGAAGCCCTGTTCTCCACACCCTATGGTCGTATGTGCTAGCTTTCTATAAGAAGCGGCCTTTATCGGAGGTTTCATTTAGTGACCTGACGTACTTTGCAAGACCGTGTAGAGGTAATTCCGCCCTTTTTTTTTTTGAATCAGGGAACGTGCAAAGAATAGATGTGGAGGTGCGACTTTCACAGTCGGGCATCTTGGAGAATCCGACTCGGGGATCCTGATGTGCTTATGGGACACATAGGCCAGCTGGTCCCAAAGGCGCTGTACGCTTCAGTCTTTGTAGGAGTCAGTGTCGCCGCGGGAGCAAATCGGTTGCCTCAAGCTGGAACTAGCCTCGTATAGAAGCGGTGGGAAATACTTTGAATCATTCAATATACACATTGAAAGACCCTGCCCGCCAGTATCCGGATAGCCGTCATCAGAGAGCGAGATGAGATCTTCTAGAATGACAGGGGGGTTTGCACCATGCCTAACTTGTTAATGCCATTTCGCCTTCCTACGAATGCATGACTTTGGTTCTTCTTTCTGGGTTGATGACCTTGGGTGTGTCGGATTGTCTTTCATAGGTATTTTGGCCCGAGCCCATATCAGACGATGGGAGCAGAAGTACTGCGCACGACGTAGCTGCCCCAAATCCCAACGGCTGTGAACTCGAAATTGGCAATGGCGCGGCCCCGGCCGCGGTGCCGATTCGAGAGCAGCACGTACCGGAACGGCCAGAGAGGCATGGTGGCGTGCATTTCAGGTTTAGATGGCGAGCCAAGCGTTACGCTAGGCCAGGCTGGGCTGAAGGCCGAGCTGGGGGGAGGAAATCAGGCTAAATGGGTCTGGTTTTACCCGGCCCGGGGTATGGGGGATTGGCCCGGAGCCAAGAACCATGCCACCTGAGGGAGAGGCTGTTGGATTTCGCAAAGCATATATTCAGTTTAGCCTGTATGGAGGTAATATCAGCATCATGTGGCTTTTTTGTCGAACCCTCGTATTAGTGCTCCACGTGGAATGGAAGGCATTTCAATGTGAGTTGCAGCGGCTGCGGGGCCCCAGGGGGAAACCTCCAGAGTGGATCCCCTGTCGCGATTCTGCGGTCACCAATCACCCCGATCTCGTACTATTACGCGTAGTTCCTCATCGCTTCGAGGGAGCTGGGCGAGCCGGCTAAATTCCCCACGTACTCACCCCGTTCCGGCCAACTTCCCCAGCCGGTTGAAGGTCGGACCATTTACCCCGGGAATCGGGAATTGGGCCCAGGCAAGCTTGTGGCATGTCATTTAAAAGGAGCGCTGATCCCTAGGTTCGCAGTTGGTTTCTTGGCTTCATTTCCTCCTGACACAGTGTCGAAATCGCTTCGACTGGGCTCAGTGAAAAACAGTTTGGCGTCACGTCAGTTGAGTATTTGCTCTTCCAGGCTTTGATCTGATAGTCCTTGTGTCATGGCTCCCGTCATGACAGAGACCGCCGTTTCGGCGAAGCGGGCTCAGCTCGCGGGCAAGAGTGGGATCTTCGGTATGCTCAGCAACAAGAAGACTTCGTTGATTGGCCTGTTTGCGTCGCTTGGAGGTCTTGTCTATGGATGTAAGTTGTCGAGGATGTCGAGGAAAAAGTGCAAGGCTAACGCAGAATAGACAACCAAGGAATGTTTGCCCAGGTGTTGACTATGCATTCGTTCAAAGATGCCGTAAGTGTCCACCCTCAACCATGCCTGTTGGTTCCGTACCGCGCCTACTTACACTTATCTATAGACGCAGCAATATGCGGCGAAAACCGGCATCCAGCAAGGCATGCTCACGTCGATTCTCGAGCTCGGTGCATGGGTTGGAACACTCCTCAATGGATACTTAGCGGATCGATTGGGTCGCCGCGTGACGGTGCTTGTGGCCGTGGTGGTGTTCTGTGTTGGCGTGATTGTTCAGGCTTGCACGGTAAACAAGGACTATGTATTTGCCGGCCGGTTCGTTACCGGAATGGGAGTCGGTAGTCTTTCGATGATCGTGCCTTTATATAATGCGGTATGTCGAGGAGCCAAATATCACTAACCGGGAGCGGGCCTGACGATCAATTGCAGGAACTTGCGCCGCCAGAAATTCGAGGATCGCTGGTCGCAGTCCAGCAACTCGCAATTACCTTTGGGATCATGGTGTCTTTCTGGGTGAGTGCTCACAACTTGTTGTATTCCATACACCCCAAGAATCTAATGTCGCTCAAGATTGGCTACGGTACAAACTATATCGGCGGTACGGGTGCCGGGCAGTCAGACGCCGCATGGCTCATCCCGGTCTGCATTCAAATACTGCCTGCTATTATCTTGGCGGCCGGCATGATGTTGTTCATGCCCCAGTCGCCCCGCCATCTCATGAACACTGGCCGCGAGGAAGAATGCCTGCAGACCTTGGCTCGTCTGCGTGGCGCCAGCACGGACGATATCCTCGTGAGAATTGAGTTCCTTGAGATTAAGAGTCTGTACCTCTTCGAGTCCGAAACTGCCCGTGAGAAGTACCCACATTTGCAGGACGGGTCATTGTCGTCTCGATTCAAGATGGGTCTGTATGATTATATGTCGCTTGTCACGAACAAATCGCTCTTTAAGCGAACTACTGTCGCTGTAAGTTGCGGTATATGCTTCCATACGCGGAAGCCTCAATCCCATCTGGATATTTGGAACTCGGTGGCTGACCACACAGTGCCTAATCATGACATTCCAACAATGGAATGGTATCAATGCTATCAACTACTACGCGTGAGTCCCGCCCGTAGATAAAGTACTTGCGCTACGAATCTAACTTCAAAAGACCATTTATCTTTGAGGATATGAAGCTCCCTGGGAATACGATTACCCTGCTTGCAACAGGAGTGGTCGGTATCGTTGAATTCCTGTTCACCATCCCTGCGGTGCTCTGGGTTGACCAGATTGGGCGAAAGAAGATCCTCATCGCAGGCGCTGCTGGTACGCATTGATCTTTGGTGATGTTACAATCCACTTCCGAGCACTGTTTAACTTTCCCCACTCAGGTATGGCAATTTGCCATTTCATCGTCGCGGGGATCATTGGTGCCTACCAAAACAGCTTCGAGGAGCACCGAGCAGCTGGATGGACAGCGATTGTCTTTGTGTGGATTTTCGTGATTAACTTCGCTTACTCCTGGGGTATGTTGACTATCATCTGCACCCGCCATCATACTCTTGTTAACCGCTATTATAGGCCCCGTGGCTTGGATCGTCGTTAGTGAGGTCTTCCCACTCAGCATGCGTGCGAAGGGTGTGTCTCTTGGTGGCAGTAGCAACTGGGTAATTAGCGCGCTCTATATATATAACTCGCAACCCTCACTGACCATGCCTTAGCTCAACAACTTCGCCGTCGGAACTAGCACGAGTCCCTTCGTCGCGGCAAGCACCCTTGGGACTTTCCTTTTCTTCGGCTGCATCACAACGGTTGGCATCGTATACGTCTTTTTCTTCGTCCCGGAGACCAAGGGCCGAACTTTGGAGGAAATGGACGAGCTGTTCGGTGACACCGGTATGGCCGCAGCTGATGCCGAGCGCAGGGCCCGTATCGATCGTGAGATCGGTCTCCTGGCCCTTGTTGGTGTTGAGGCGCCGGAATCTGAAAAGGGTATTATTGATTCGAGACACGATGAAAAGGTCATCGAGGCCACGGCCGAACCTCACACGGAGACCACTGCTGAGCAGTAATCAGGTGCTCTCCAGTCGCATTAGTGTGTTTGTAAGGACCTTTCGACGGTTATTGTGGGTCGGTTTCCGGGTTCCCCGCAAGGTCGAATCAATGAATATACCCCTTTGCTTAATTCTTGTGTGATCTTATGCTGCAACCCTGTCGGACTTGCTTGGATGTAATTGGGACTCTCATTAGTTGCAGACTAATGCAATCTAGTTCACATTCTTGGCTCTGGTCATCAAAGCTTTCCTGTATCTACTAGTAGGCTTCCGAACTTTAGTGGATTTTGGCACTGTAATTGGCGTGAAAGCTTGCCTTGCTTCGACCTGGGACTGACGGAACTCCAACCTCGTGACGGATATCATGCAACAGCGGCGGTTTCACATGTCTACTAGGAAGAGGTTGGGGCTTCCGAAAAAGAGCTACAAACTCCGGGAAAAGCTTCAAAGTCGGGTTCCGACCTTGGAACTGAAGGGAATCCACAATTCCTGGAAGTGGAAGCTTCTAGTAGAGCCCGCGCAGATCCGTCCCAGTATTGACCTGTCACCCCGGATGTGCGGGTGCATATACGATGATTGGCCTGGCACGCATAATTTGCATTAGACGCCTCATACAAGGGATAAATAAGTCCAGCTCTGAGTAATCGGACTCCTGGGTAGGTACCAGTCGAGAGTCTCACGAAGGCTACCCCAGAGCGAGGAGAATGCCAAGGCCCAAGGTAAAGCGAAAATTCGGCGAATCTATGTATAGTCACTGTGGGGCGGAACCGCTGCACAAAGCCAGTTTTGAGTGGTTGGGTTCCGAATCCCCACATTTCCATCAGGCCCCCACCCAATCGTAGCTTGCAGTGCCCCGATCCTTGTTTTACATGTGGACTTGGGCGTTCTTTTATTACTCTCCTGATTCCCCAAGGCAGCTTCTTTCTTGCCCTCTGCTCAATTCTCCAACTCCTCACACTCACAGATCTCTCAATTTCTGTTTTGCACCATTCTAAGCTTCACAATGTCTACCACCACCAGCATGGCCACCACTACCGGCACTGCCGCCAGCTCTACCACCTCTACGTGCCCACCCTCATACGAGTACCCTAAGGGATTCTCCGACGCTGCCTGTGCTGCCGTCGTCTCCGGAAACATCACCGACATCTTCGACCACTGCTGCAAGGGTGATGCTCCCACCACGTACAACGACGGCTGCAACATCTACTGTCTGGCCCAGAACCAGAATGTCGGTGATCTCACACACTGCCTGATCAACTCCGGTGCTCGTCCCGTCGATGTCTTCTGCCAGCCCACTAACGGCAGCGCCACTGCTACCGTGGCTCCCTCCACCACTGCCGACTCCACCTCTACTGGCACGGCCACCGGCACCAAGACCTCGGGAGCGACCAGCACCTCCACCAAGAACGCAGCCATTGGCACCCAGCCAATCACGAAGACCGGCCTCGGTGTGGTTGCCATGGTCTTCTGCTCTGCTCTGATGGGAGTCCTCGCCTAAGCGTGTTATCCGCTCGACTCGGGACCAATCCTCGAGAAGAGGAATTGAGGTGGACAAGATGGCGAGGTGAACCGGGTTCGACTATTTGCCGTTGGTGCTCTTCTTTCCATGACCCTTAATGAGGCTTTTGATTCTATGACTGTACAAGTACCCTTAGCGATACATATTTTAATTCGAGTACACCGCGGCTTGTTTTGTAATAGCAATTTCCCTGGTTGCCATGCATAGTCTATTTATCATCTCGAAATGTACGGAAGCTCAACCTAGAGTCATCCGCCGGAAATACTGATTTTCGATCTGCATTGCGGGCTGTAGATCCGGGGCCTATCCGACCGCGAATCAGACCCGGAGGATTCCCCGGATTGTCCCTAAGTGGCAACCACACCACTGCGTGCATTCCTGGATTGCTACGCCATTTCTCCGACGCGAGGAATCAGCATGCCTTGCCATAATGGGCTAATATGATATCCGATTTTCCCCTAGTGCGTTGTTCATTTGGTTTTGTGCGACAGGAAAACATGTTTCTGTGCGTTTTCCAGCATGTGGACGCGGTACTACCCAGGTCACCAATCGAAAATCAAAGACTTGGTTTCATTTGTTAGTACACCGTGTATGGTTTTTGAATTTGGAATAGACAGTTGAACTCTTGCATTCGACCTTGGAAGCACTGTACCAGCACTAACCCGGTTGGGCATGCACACAAAGGATTGTTCTTTAGCTCGGACCGCCGCTACGGGAGGAGTGGAAGTAAGGATTCAATGAACAGGAATGCAAAACGGCTGATCATAACCAATAAGCTCTCAGATTAAGAAAAACCCTTATCGTTGATCATACTAAGTCGAAGGCCATGACAATAGCCTGGGTTGAAATAGAAGGTATCCCACATGGGAAAGGCTACTGCGAAATGTTGACACTGAACTTGACCGGTTTAAAAGTGTATCTACTAGTAGAGTCCAGATACGATGTGAAGGAACGTTTTGAGTATATAAAGGGGTACCGAAATCTTCTAGCTCATAGAACATGCACTCGTCTGCGTGACCCCTGCTCCCTGGCCGTACAGCCTGATTCAAAGTGCCTGATTCAAAGTGCTCGTGTCAATATCGACCTACAGTGTATATGGAGACTGGAGGTACTGGAGCGACTACTCGATATCAGCTAACCCAAAATTTTATAAGACTCATAGTACCCCAGAAAGCATGTTGTAATAATCGTAAAGAGCTGACTTGTGTATCCCCACGTTGTACCTACAAGCTCTGTTTAACGATATGGTAGCCTAAGCAAATTGTGTGCTTAAAAGGATCTATTATTCACATTGTTACCCTTGGTTATTGTGGAGCACAGCGATCTCATGTAAACACTACATGATGCGCAAAGTGGAATACCAATAGCTTATTTATATCTTCGCCGGTTGGTGACGGATGTCTCGATTGTGGGGCTTATCAGGTATTTCGTATCTCTAAGCAGTCCGATATTCATTTTAAGGAAACAGGATCTGACATGAATGCATTCACGACTCCCGTGGCAATAACTTAGAGACTATAGGCAACTCCCGAAACGAAGCGTTGGGACTCAAGATAGCAACGAAAATATGTCCACTCAGGTATAGGATTTAATCTTCCATATTCCAGCGGTAAAAGTCAACATGTAACAACCCGCTAACCCTCGTCCCCCACTTTGTCTATTATTTAACTAAACAGCTTCATCCAGCCATCTCCTACCTGAACAGAGTACCCTCCCGCAAGTATTGAACGACGGCAGTACTAAGGCCCTTAAATATACAAGACTGTAACTAAAAGGCAAGCTTTATGCGAAGGAAATAGCATCGCTGAGATTTTCACGATAATGGCTGATCTCCTCAGTTCCTTGATCAAAGAACTATACAAAGGATCGGAGATACCCATCAAGGTTAATACCCAGCACAAGAAAACTATAGCTCTGTGTAGGAATATGTTCCTCTAGCATCTACAATAAGTACAAATCTGTAATTATGCAGTCTGTATAACTTCAATTATTCGGGAAGGAGGGATACTATAATCAGGGACCTATGCACATTGATGGTAATGGAGCGAGCTAAACTTGGATCTATTTTTGGTGATTTATAAAGTTGATCTGCTTGATTTGGAAGTAGCAAACTGATCTCGTTCAAACATTGATGGATCTAGAAGATTAAATCCACGTGATTAGGAAGGCGTTCTGATCCTGACTTACTATTGGTGATCTGGAGTTGATCCGGGGTTGATCCGGGGAACGAAACGAACAAATAGATTCATGGCAAACGAAGTTTGCCGCTAAAGATCTCGCTAAATTTTACGCTAGTCGAGGTGCAAACAAATCTAGGCACCACTGCTGTGGCCCTCCTCAACTATTTAAACCCCCCCCACCCCCCCACTTCTTCCTCTTTTTTTTCCCTCTTCGTTTTCCAAATTCGTACGATCTTGCCCTTTCGTGCATACATCGTTCTCAAAAGTCTTGTTACCTTCCTCATTCACTCTTTGTCCTTGATAATCGCCTTCACCTAGATCAAGGTCATGATCAGTCCTTATTGTCGTTATCCTGCTGGCACAAAAGAACAACCATTTACACATCTGTGATGATGAACAAGACCCCAAGCACCATCATGCCTTCTTTGACCTCGACAAAGGCTGTCCAGTACTACAACTAATTCCTCTTCAACACTATCTTCTACTTGGTTTTGATGCATTAGCACCAAGGCGGGGTAATCGAATTGATCGAACCTGCTCTCAAGATGAACCATGTCGACCTTGCCTGTTACCACCAAGGCCTTGAGCCTGTCTTGTCCATTCATTTACTCACCGCGGAGAATTGAAGTAGCTTGAGGAAATTTTATCGTCATGATCAAGACATGATCCTTGACGTGAAGTAGCCTAGCAGTGGCGAGGCTTTCAGGTTTGTCTCCATCTATATCCATCGATGTCGAGCAGGTCGAATAACTGAACCAGACAGCCTCTCGCAATTGCTGTGCTAGATGACTCCTGTTTATCGGGATTTTCCGGCCACATGTCTTCTCTATGGCGATTTTCCAGCAACACATGTCTTGTTTATCGGCGATTTCCGGCAAGATATATCTTTTCAATCGGCGTTTTCCAGCAACACACGTCGTGCCACACATGATCCTTCTCATTGAAGACAATGGAACTTGAATTCTCAAGGCCTCTTTGAACAATTGACTACCCACTCCACACCATTCTGGTTCAGCTCTGAGTCCTTCTGCGGCCATTTCACCGTCCACGGTTTGCATGTTATCTTCCAGACACGCAATTATGCACACACTGGAATCACATACCGACATCCAAAATTTCCAGATTGACCATCTGGTAGCACCAATGCAAGAAGACAAGGGATCCTGCTACATCCATCCAACTACCAACCTCCCATATCGTGCTTTACATGTTCGGCATCGCCAGCTACCCATCAAACATCACATGCCGTCATTGAATAGGCTCATGAGTCAAAATTAATACGTTTCCATGAGTCCGTGGTAGCTCACAAGGCCGGCTCTTCTCACATACCAAGAACAAAGCAAATCGACATCTGCATCGCTATATAGTGCCGAAGCATGACAAAGACAAAGCACAAAGGGCCCCGCCATGCCCCTCCGCCCTACATTCGCCCATCACAGGATTCTTCATACAAAACTATCAACTGCGGAGTTCAAAATTACTCAAGGGTACACATGGTCTTTGGAACACTTGTACGAGTCGACAACTTGTACGAGTCGACAGATGCATGAAGCCTTTGTCTACACAGTATCTCTGAACAATTGTTCTGTGCGGGTGGTGTTTGCCAAAGCTGGGTTCCATTCAAATTTATCAGTCTTTCCAACGAGATATCACACCGAAATTGTCATGAGGGTATCCTCTTACGGATGAAGAGGTATATATCAGCGGTCAAAATCTTAGCCTGTCGAAGCATGATGCACTGGATCGATTATCATGAATATCGGATCGGCTGAACTCTCCAGACATCCACCGGCCCGGGATAGGAAGAGCAGAAGACAAAAATGCCTTGCAGTTCCAGCCATCATGCCACAAACGGCTTTCTATTCAGTCAGGTATTCATCAGCTAGGGGGAAAGCAGGACGATCAGGGGTGTATAATTATGTCCGGGTTATATGTGAGGGCTTCAATCTCCTTCCCTTGGAGGACTGAACTTGGGCTCAGTATCCAAGAGGGGTGAGGGAATATGGTAACACGTTCATCCAGACAATGCTGGATGTGCGTCTACCGTGCCGAGTGGGCAGTCTCGCAGCTAGAAGCGCGGTTCCGCTCCGTGGTCAATCCCCGTGTCTCCTCATTGGTGAGGGTGCGTCTGATCAAAATGATGGGAAATATCGCGGCTCAAAGCGCGTTTATAGATCCATTGGCGGGCGTATCTACTCAACTCTGTTGGGGGCGTGTCTCTCTGGGGACATCGGGTAGTCTGGAGAACCACGACGGGGGTACCAGCCCGGCGGGGGTTCTGGTTGCCCAGGGCGCCCGGCCACGTTCGGTGAGATATTTTCTCACTACGATCACGACAAGGGGAGTGGTTGGAGCCCAACCACAGTGTCAGAATCACTGCGGTTGGTGTCGGAATGGGATGGTATGCGAAGATGGCCAGGAGGCTTATCAATGCCTGCCTGGCGGATACCAGAAAACGACGGGGAGAAGTGGGCTGTCTGTTTAAATGTCTTGGATAATAAGAAATCGATTCAATTCCGCTTGCAATTGCTTAGTCCTTATTTGATACGTACATCCCTTGTGCCGACCTGCTGCAACAGCTTTATTTTTTGACGCTCGGGGTTTTACTAGTAGATACCTATAAGGTGTGAAGCCCGAGGGCTCGGTAGTTGACCGCGCTGCCGAGATGGTGGTCGCAGTACTCTTCCGACTCTGTCCCTTTTATATTGCTTATTTCCCAGCTGCTTCGATCGTAGTCCGGATAGTCCTCTCCTGTCTCAGGCAGTAAGTGGCGGCAGAATCTAGTAAGCGGTAACAACATGAAACATAAAACATGTATAAGTCATATGAAGAGGCCGACCATACCTAAAAGAATTTTGGGTCCCAATATTAGTCAGAAAATTTTGGGTCCGCTGAGCTGGAACCTCGAGCTGGGTGCCCCAAGATTACACTTGAAGCGCCATGGCGCAAGCTGATGCAGGCTAGACTTGGGCGTGTCAACCAATCCCGCAGCTAGGACTTTGCACGCTTCATGTGACGCATAGCCCCTTTTCTTTTGCATCTTATTTCTCCCTTGACTCATTTACCAAATTGATAGCGATCCCCACAGGCTGCAAGCTGCTCGTCGACACAGTCTCAGAGTTATCTTCCTCAAACTCCCAACGCCGGTCTTGGAAGCCCTATTTCGCCTTCAGCATGCATTTCTGTCACGTAAGCGGCCTGCTTGCATTGTTCATGGGGACCATAATCAATGCTTCCAACATACTAGAAGTGGATCTCATTTTCCCCCGCAACGAAACATATGCTCCCGCAGAACTGTTCCCTATCATTTTTGCTATTCAGAATCCCGAGCGCGCTCGATATCTGACGCCGGAACTTACTTATGTGGTGTCGGATTTGGACGATGAGAACAAACTCATATGACGATTTTTACGATCTCCCAGGGTTCAACTGGACCGAGGAAGACCCATTCTACCTATATTATTACTTGAGGATTCTGAAGGACGAGGACGGTGGCATGTGGCGTGGGCCATAGAATAGCACAGTTGCGACGAGCACGGCTTCGAGAGCGATCCTGAGACCGCGTATATGATAAGCAACTATTCTACTCGGTCTACCTCGTTCACTCTTCAAAGCTCGGCCCCTAAAGTGGATCTTGTTGCTGGGACGGCCAAGGAAACGTGCCCTACAGAATACGGCATAACAATCAATGTGACGGATAAACTCATGCAAGTCCCCTTGGAGGTATCGTGGACTTGGGGTAGTTACACAAATAATACCTGCGCGGTCGTGGCTTCATCCGGCCCAACTCCCACTTCGGATCCTTGCCGAGTCAATATTGACAAGACCATTGCCGCAAGCATGGAAGCCTCTTTGCATACCAGCCTTTGCAATAGTTTGGATCCCCCATCCTATTGCGTGGACGATAAGGAGAGCGCTGCACAGCAAGTAGCTGTCGCTGGCATATCATGCTTGCTTGCTGCGATCGGGGCTTTCTGGTTCTTTCTGGTGTGATTGTGCTCCTATAATAGCTGCTGGTGCTATATTCAAATCTAAGTTTCAAAATAAATATTCTTTGGGTGCAATCTATACCCTATACAAAATGTCTGTGTGTCATTGTTGGATCTTGGACCGCTTCAGAAAAGCTTTACATCACTGGTGTCTCACTGGTTGAGAGAAGAACGGAAGGAAGTGACACAGAACCTTGCTAGGTTCTGTGGCTAATGGAAGAGTGACCCTGAGAGCCAAACAGGAGAAAAAGGGCCAAAAGAGTCTGAAGGCTGTCGCTAAGACATCCACATCAACTTCGTTAGGAGCAGACTGGGTTCGGGAGCTTATTGTCGCAAGGCCCCAATAGCTACAATGATAAAACCTGGTACAAATTCTCTTGCTACCTTCTGAACATATTTATAAAGTTGTAGGAAAGAAAAAAGAGTTGCTTTATTAACGCCTATGATCTCTAAACAGCCTAGTGCTCTCCAAATATTGCTACAGACCGCAACAAGCTCCAGTAAAACGCCAAAAGCATCCTCGCCTGAAAAAAGGGACTCAAACAGTAGGCAGGATTCCGCTTATGATACACATCTCCAAAGTTATATAGCCCAGAAAGTGCACGAATCACTGAGCTGGTTTTGACAAAGTCAACATTGAATAGCGACATCGGCTGATCTTAGACACTGTGTTGCCCCTCTTCATTAGATGGAGTGTGTGATAAACGTCTCGATGCTTTTCTTGTAAAATCATTGAGGCGGGCTCTCTCCAGACCACCATTGGCTGACCTTACTCCATTGTTCCGCCGTATAAGAGGCCAGATCGACGAACGGTCGCAGGTGGACTTTGGACCTGAAGAAAAGCCAGGCGGCTTCCTTTGCTACCTCCCACCATTTCCAGACATTTGGAGGACTCTCGCTGTCACCTTCTGAGGGGCTGAGGTCTTCTTTTTTGTCATCCTTTCGATCAAAGGCAGCGTCAACATCCAACACCATGGCTTTTTCGCGGAGCACGACAACGGTGATTGAACTTGGAGATGGAGTGAATAGGCATTTAGCAGCCTGGATCTCGTACAAAGACCACCCCAAGTCTAGTTCGGTCTTCACTTGGAGCTTGGGAACGTTCTGGACATGACCGTAATAATCACGTACAAAATTGGCCGCCATTACTCTGCGATCATCCAGAAATTTCTTCCGCGAGAGAGCTTTCAAATCAGCAGAGCTAGATCCGGTTATCAAGCCATGATTGTAAACCCGTCCGCCAATGACGCCATGGGAGGGATGCAAGATCGAATGGAATGCGTCTCTCTTGAATTCCTCTCCAATTTGGTAGGCTTCTTCCAGCTCATCTTGGTGAATTCTGTCCCACTGAGTCAGAACGATGGTGATGTTGTGGAAAAATCGTGGGCCGCAGAAGCATTGAAGCCACTGAATTGTCTTCATTTCGCCTGCTGTCAGTCTGATTTTGCACATGTCGTGTACAAACAACACGCCCACGGTATTGACCCAAGGCCCAAGGGCATATACACAGCCCATGATGTCATCATATACCACCTTGTCGTCTAGGTCGGCCGCTCCATAACCAGGGGTATCCACGAATATGTATTGCTTGCCATGGACAATAGCGGGAACAACCTGGTGGCCAATTGTTCCTGTTGAAAAAACTAAGTAAAATGCCCCAATTTCTCCGGTTTCCAGGTAATCAGACTGTACCTGATCTTGTCCCACTTCCGACTTTCAGATCTTGCTTGGTGATCTCGCTCAACAGGGTTGTTTTCCCAGAACCCGTTTCACCGACGACGAATATCAGACTGGTGCCACTCAAGCTACATAATATTATTAACAGGTCTCACACTATTTGGGTCCCAGTCCTCACTGTTGTTTGATGAAGTTCACCAGTGGCAATGCCGCACTCCTGCCGGTCAATTTAATCAATTTCAAAAGAGATTCGATCTCTTCCCGTTTTCCAGTCTCCAAAGGTTTTTCGTCCTTGACAGGAGAAAAAGCCCTCCGGGGATCCTCATTCTTCTCTTCTTTCCTCAATGCTTCCGATTCCATGTTGGAGGTCTCTAAGGCTTAGGTGTCACAGGAAAGGATGAAGGAAGTTTTGGGTTTCGTAATTTCTCAAGTGGTGCGAAATAAGGGCGGTAATTTATACTGTTGGAAGGGTCCTCCGTTGGAAATCCAAGGAGTTCTAGGCGCTGAAACGAAGGCAACCACCGGTTGTAGTTACTTGTGAATGTATGGACAAGAGGTTCAGCTCAATCTAGGCTGAGCCTCTGAATGTGCCTATCCAATCGTTTACCGCTTCTGTTGATGATATAGTTAGGATGCGCTAAATTGGGGTTACTTTTTAGCCCCAAGGCATAGGATAGATCAGGACGAATAAATTCGGTTCAAGCTGAAACCCTTATCTATACTCACCTGGAAATGGCCAATTATAGTAATCCACGTACGTGTTCTGGCTGGGGTGAGGCTGAGCTGACAGGGGTATGCATGCGGCGCTAACTGAAGGAAAATGAATCCGCTCGCTGGCTAGTCAGCCTACAAAGTATTCCCAGATCCTTGGAATATTTAGATATTGATAGGCTTGCTGAAGGCTCATCAAATCTGCCTTGTCACGTCACGGTGTTTCAATGAACCCCTTCTTATTCCCGTTCGGTCAACATAGCTCTTGTGACTAGACCAATCCTTCTCCTTTCACCTGATTTCATTTGGCTTGATCTCTCCTGTCACTCTTGGAGAAACGCCTGATTCTTTTGCTAGCTCTCCGTAACTTCCAAGAGTCTACAATCATATATTCTCATAATGTTGACCCGTCTCAGCCGGAAAGACTTTACTACATTACGGCTGGCGCCACTTGATATTGAACGCGCTGCAGCGATCCTGATACTCGATAAGGCGCATGAAACAACTGAATAAGCGCCAGGGCAGACATGCAAATACCATATTGGCTGCGTAGAATTTTGAAACATTGCGATAGCTTGTTTCACCGAATTTGAGTTCTTCGTTACAGTATGTTCGTCTATGGCCCTAGATCATCGAAGGGTATATTCCGATCCTTCTCGCGCTCCTTATGAAGGATTCTATCAGAAAACTCACGCGCGAAATTAGCTAATTTCCATGACCAGCTGCTGGGTATGCAAAACACCAACGCTCTTGAAATGGAAGCTACTGTCGCGATGAACATGATTACTGTCGGAGTCATTATAAGGCAAGTGACCTTGCAGACGCTGATAAGGACGATAACTGGAGACTCTACGCAGCAACAACCGCCTCATTTTATGCAAGGGAACTTATCATTTGTCTTGGTTCTGACGAAGATATCCTTGGTATGTAATATGCGGAGATCATGACTTCACGCTCGAATTTCAACTAAGACCCATTCCGGGGGCGGATAACTTGTTTCCAGTATGGACAAATCGAGCTCGGCTGGGCCAAATATCAGAGAAATGAGCTCACGGCATGCCTTTCACAGACCAGATAGAATCTGTTGTAGATCTACTGAGCTTGTTGTCTCTGGATTCATCCTCAGGATTTATTCCCAGGGGCGCGTACTCGACTAGCATGCCGTTGGAATATCCAAGTAGAAGAAAGCGGCGGATTCGCACAGAATCGTGCTTTGCATAAGTGCATTATGGAAGACTTCCCCAAGCATGACGGATCTTCTCGGCGCAACTAAGAAGAGCTATTCCAATGGATGGATAATATGCATACCCTTGTTCATCGGCTTGTTGGCTTATCGGAACTCTTAATTTTCGTTACCTCTAGTTCCAGAATTTTCTGTTCTAGGTTCGACCATCGCCATGCACGTTGTATTATAATCGCAGGGGAATACCATACAGATATCAATGCGCTGCGGTGGGCCGGAAGTTAGTCACAGATCGAGCTGCCCAATATACCACGCATATAGTAAAGACACCGATCAAGGAAGTATGAAAACAACAGATAGCAATGTTTTATTCAATTTCCATACCTAAATAGAGCTATCGTACATGAACCAAAGGGAGCGCGATTATGGCCTCCGGTCCCCGAAGTGCGGGGCCCTTTTTCGATGGCCCAACCACGTTGCCTCTCTAAGCGCCCGGATCATGTTTGTTGCTTGGTCCAGAATACACGTGTCACCTCTTGCAGGGGGCCGCGTTCGTATCTGCGGACTCGAGAAAATCTTTCACTGTAGACACAATCCGCCAGTCTCATCTGTCTGCGCCAGACCGCGAAGCAGACTGAAGTGAGCAAAGCTCGAGCGATGGACCTTCACCAAGCCGCAAGGCGCGGCAGCGTTCTCGATATACAGTCTGCGATTGAAGAAGGGTGCGACGTCAACACCCGTGACGAAGCCGGGAAGACCCCGCTCTGGTTCGCCGTACAGGAAGGGCATTTAGAAGCATGCAAATTTCTGATTGCTCGAGGAGCTAGTGTGGAAGAACAAATCCACAACGTCCTCGAACTCGCAGTGCAAGAAGGATATGCCGAAATTGTCGAACTACTGTGGCCACACTGCGAAGGAGAAAGACAATATCTTTGTTTAGAAACGGCTATCTCACTAGGCTTTCATGGAATTGCAGATTTCTTCATCGAAACCCGGGCGTTCGAATATCAGCATTCTCAATCCAGTCATCTTGAGATGATCCAAAGATACGGATTCCCCGCGCGTGATATTGCAGCTTTTCAGCAATGGGAGAGGTTTATCTTCGTTAGGCGCTTTGAGAAGCTTCCTCTGAATCGTATCTTTTTTGACTACGCCCTTCTTCTTGCTACGAAGGCCGATCGCAATGCTGGGCTTCGACTAGTTACTTTATTACTTCAGGGCGACACCCCGTTGGCCAATCCAAATTGCATCATCAAAATCGACGCGGAAATTGAGACGCCTTTGACAAATGCAGCTGAGAAGAACAATCTGGAGATACTGGATATTCTAGTGCAGCGGCCTGATATACAGCTGACAAGTCGTGGCAAGTATGGCTGGCCGGCTTTTCTCCATCTGCTGGCAACCCCCGACTTCATCGACTCTGAAAAAGGCCGGATCATGGCACGAATGCTGTCTAATGAGCCTTTTCCTCATTTCTTTCCAATTGATGACAGGGCAGCTCGTCTGGAAATTGTGTTCCGAAACGCCCTTCGGCTTGAGGACAATGTTATGTTGAAAAGGCTTATCGACCTTATACACGGTGCTGCAGGGACTTCTATTCTCCCGCTCTTGATCAAAGCAAATGACGCACATGGTCTGAGGTGGTTATTGAATAGTGACGTAGTGCGCGCATCCAAGCCTCCGCCACATCTGTGGGTGCTACTTTGTGACTTCTTTCAACGTAATCCAGGCTCTGAGGCTCTGAGTCTTTTTTTCTCGAGTGGCAGGATACTTGGCAGAAAAGGAGATCTGGAATCGAATGATACTGGTGTGCCTTAATTCAAACAACTTTCGTTTCGCAAAGCAATTTTTCTACCCGCTCAACGAGATACTACCGATGGAGATTGCGGAAGAAACACTAGCGGGGTTGTCCCAGGCATCTATGGATCAATCCCTGATGAAGGAATGGGCAGATAAAGGCTTTGCTAACGCAACGTTGTGGAGCGCCCTTCGATTCGACACATGGAAAAGCCCAGCATTTGAGAGCCTCCTTTCATGCTCTTATGTTGACCTAGACAAGCCATTTCCTAGCACAAGGGGCTTGGGTGCAGGTGAGGCTAATATTGCTTCACCTCCTTTAATCGGAAATTCAACTGGAAATTCAACCGGTCAGAAAAGGAAATTCCAATCTGGATCCGCAGCCGACTCTCCTGGTTTGCATGTGCCCCTCGGTCCGCCGGATAGTGCTGTCCTCACAGACTATCAAATACAACTCATTCTACTAGAACAAGCGAATAAGAGGCGATTGGCCAGAGAAGGAAAAGGAGAGCCGTCTATATTAAAAAGCCCTCTGGTCTGGGCCGCAGCCAATCGGAAACCTCAGCTTGTGGAACTTCTTCTATGCACTTCGCGCGTCGATGTCAATTCACAAGACTCCCTGAATCAAACTTCTCTCATGCACGCCATTGCCGTCAATGACCAGCAAACTGTGGAGATTCTATTGAAAAGCAAAGATATCGATCTTAATTTGCGAGACCATGACGGTAGAACAGCTATTTTTCACGCCACAGAGATTGGAGACTTGCACATCATACGACTGCTCACTGAGACTCGAAGGGTGGACCTTTCCATTCGTGATTCCAAGGGTAAAACTGTCATTGATTTGGCAAAAAAAACCAAGAATCAAAATCTTGTAGCTGCGCTTACTCCTTGACTGCGTTGTTGTTTACTTGGGCGCAATGAGTCTAAATTTCCCAGTTCACTCGGAGAACTAATGGGAGATTTACGGGAATATTTATGGACGAACTCCCTGGCAAGACGAAGATGGGGCTAGGGATTCAAGTATCTTTCTTTTGTTTCATCCATACTAAGGGTCGCTCTACGTTTCGGCTAATCTGGGCTGTAAACCCGTTTTTCTTTTCATTTTCTGTTCTTCTTTTCTTTTTATCTTCTTTTCCTCTTTGCACCATTATATTGTTTCAATATTCCAAGTGATATATGGGATAAATTATTGGGCCATTAAATCCGGGCGAGTGCCTTGAAAAATCTAGTACGAGTAATACACGTTTCGCCTGTGGGATTATCAAGCTCTTGGGATAAATCAGGCCAATTTACTTCTGCGTTGTTCATAACACTCATTATATTGAGTCAACCGCGGTGTCAGCCTTACGAGATCTGGCAAATGGAGAAGAAACCAGGATTGTTTCTCGACTTTATCATCCAAATATAAAGAGAGAAAAATGAAAGGAATGCGACCGGTCGTATGAAAGCTGCAGCCAAATGAGGTAATTTTTGTGAAAGGATCGGTCATGATGGAGATTGAGCTTCCTGATCAGCGATCATTTGTATGGCAAGTGAATATCTATCTTCTGACTCGTTTTGATAGAAATCAGAGCGACATCTTCGGGTTTATGCGCATTTGAACGGTTCGCCCGTTGTCGGAGCTGTTAGGGGCGGGATCTATAACAATAATGAAATGAGTTATGCGGCGTAAAGTAATCCGTTTCCACTTACTAGCCCTTGGTAGATCTGCTTCAACCCCTCATACTTCTGCGCCCACCTGGTGATGTGCTCGTTATCTCTGAGAAGCTCCACAAGTTTAGCTTCCTCGCGGATACACAATACTCGGAAAAGAGGCACAATTGGCACTATCAAGAGCGCAGTGCCTGGACCGAATGCCGCCTCAAGTCGTCTGACTTTCCTGCCTTGTTTCAGATCACTCTCAACGTTATGATCATCTGACAACCCTAAGTGGCGAAGGAAAGACGGCTTCGGCCAGACGCCACATAAGTCTCTACCACGACAGACACGTTCCATCCCCTGCTCCTCTCGCCATTCCTCCTCTTGAAAGGCTAAAGAAGACCATTGGCAGACTTTGTATAGGCGCTCGATCGACGGACGGAAATTGGCCCCTTGTGGAAGCAAATCTATCGCACGATTTCTGTCGGTGGCGCTGGAAAGGGGCATAGCTGGAGTGAGATCCACCTCCAGAAATGTAGACAAAAAGTCCATTTGTGCAGTCATGTCCTGAAAGAGACGATCCGCAGTGACGACTTGCTTGCGACGGGGTGGCATCACGTTTCTATGCAGTAGAGGAGTCAATGAATCTGGAGGAAGTCCTAGAACCTGGAACTCCCTGTGGTGCTGACTCAGAGCCCTAGCTGTAACTAACGGAATAGGTATAGGTCAGAACACATACCCTCCAAGTATTAAGATGCCAGCTTCCTAGCCCATGTGATAGGGAACATGTCACTGCGCTAGCCCTTTTAGTGGCGTTACCCGGTACCAATGACGAGCTCGAGCCCGCAAGCATCGGGCCCAATGTTCCTCTTGACACCCACCGGTTGCTTCGTGGAAACACAATGCCCAGTACCTGGAATCTGTCCTCTGGATGTCTCGGGTTCTATAAGGTATGAACAAGTCAGTCAGTCTCCGACAAATAGACTAAAAATCCAGACACGGATATAACGGAACAAGCTCTGCCACCGAATCACGCTAGGAGCTCCACCCGAGACAAGAACTCGAATACCGACCCCATCCCAGGAACTGCCCTACGCGCTGCTTCCCTGGCCCCTCCTGAAGAGTATCAGGATGACGGAGAAAAGAAGGAAGCCGTTAGAATCGTGTTCGTTAGCTATAAGGAACCCCCATCCCCGGATGGAGCCAGCTGTGAAGCAGAGCTCGAACGGGAAGAAACCACATGATGGATCAAGTATTCAGAACTCAAATATCCAGGTGGCCTAAAAGCAGTGGAAGTTTTTCGGCCAGAATGATATAACCCGACACGGAAGAGCAATCCGCCTCTCTCATTATAGAGCTAACCAAGGATTCCTTCGGATTTATCTGGGGCAGGTTCCGGGTAACCTGGCCTAGAACTAGCATATAGATTTGATATGGTCCGTCGTTATATAGTTAGCCGAAGGAAATTTTGATGGACAATTGCTAAATCAGTTCTTGGACAGTCACCATGGAACAAGTACACGATGGGAAAGGTTTCTGCTCGGTCTTTATATTTCCACGCCGGCTGCGTCTGCACATGTCCATATGACTTCATCTCACCAGTAGGCCCGTCGTGCCAAGTACCTCTAGGCTTACCACCTAGCGGGAGTGTATTTATTCCACCTGGGCGGTTGCAATGTTTCTCTAAGAGTTACATGTATCAGTCCTACCCTCATTGCGTAGAAAATCTGAGAATTATACTACAGAAGCTACCAGTTTCCAATTGCTGCTGTTTTTGCTCTGCGAGTTTCCAGCACGACGAATAGTGTTAACATGGCAAGACAGAAAATTTTGCGAGAAAATAACGAAGCGAATATATCCAGATAAAGCAAGATTCGATACAAATTGGCTGCGCTAGACACTTCTCCAACTTCAAGTAAGGGCCCAGCTTTTTGGCCTTTCATCTCCTCGGTATGACGATGTGCACGGCCAGTTTGACATAGAAGATCCAGTGCCCGAGGAGCCGGAAGCTGTGGTAGACGAATGTAGCCGCCAAAGACCCGGGATCGGTTGAAAATGGGCTTGTGCTTGTGCTAGTCAAGACCGCAGGAGCAGACACATTGCACGAGCTGCCAGAATTGAGTCCATTATCTGTGTACATCCAGCTTTGTTCCCGTCCTGATCAAAGAAAATGACTTCCCCAGTCTTTTTGATCAGGACCCAAGCAACAGGTTTGCTATTTGCATGGACACGTGCTGCGAAAGAAATATAAGTGGAGTCGATGCGTATGCCGTTCACGACCTCGGTCATTTCTGAGATAAAATTTGATTAGCATGGCTCGCTGCTAGCTCCGCCTTGAGAGTTACCTGAACCATCCTTCCCACTTAGACTTGCAGATGATGCAGAACAGGCGGTGCGGGCATGGCTACCGCTAGGGTATACGTGATAACGATGATCTGGAGAGTACCACCCAGGAAATGTCCTATAAAAACTCTCTGGATGACTGTAGCTCGGAGGATCAAAAAGGGCATATTGATGAAATTGATATAGATGTATTAAGCTCTGTGATGGGAAAGAAGGAAGCCCGTGCTATGGCCTTTTATATGTCAATCCCCAATGCAAAGATGTAATGATGCATGTCCTGACATTTAAATTTATCCATCGATGGGAAGGTAATAAAGATTCTAGCTCTTCCACTCGCCCTAGAATCGTTGGCTGCGAGACTATGCTGCAACATCATTATCAGCGCGCAGACCCAGACCTAAGGCTGATTCCAGTTGAACGAGTATACAGTTGAACGGGACCCAAACCGAGATCCAGTTGAACGGGGCCCACAAGCAGTCCTTGTAATTCCCTCTCCCCTTCCTTTCTCTCTCCAGTTCTAGTATCTCGAATACGAGCTCCATTACCAGTTTCCCTGCTCTAACGTAGGCCACCATTGACAATACGAACATACGATCAGCCGACCATGCCTAAAAGGGTTCTGGTTCCCGGTCAGCTGCTGGAGTTGAACGGGACCCAGGATGTCCCGTTGAACTTTTTCTGGGTCCCGGTTAACTAGAACCCGTGCCCGTTCAACTGGAACCCGTTCAACTGGAATTCGTTTTCGGTCTCGTTGAACTTCTTGGGTCCCGTTCAACTACGATGCGTTTTGGGTCCCGTTCAGCCGTATGCCATCTCACGCGAAGCCGACGTAGCAGGACGAGCTGCGGCAACCTTTTTGTCGACTGTCGATTGTCACGGCATAGTGTACCTTTGGTATTGTTCTTCGTCGGTCCCTAACCTGGAGTCAATAGCTGTCGACTGAAGTAGGACACTTTTGCCTTTCAGCCGTTATTACCTATCTCTAGAATACAGTAATATCAGGAAAGTATCGAAAATGGCTGTTTCATAGAACTTTGGCTCCCAAAGTTGGATTAGTATCTTAGTATTCTTTCTCACGAATGGTTGACTGATTTCCATCCCCCGCATGCTTTTACATAAGCCTAGATGAGGAGGCCCCGGGCCCCCACCGGTAGCCGGGTTCCAGTTGAACGGGCCCCAAAAAGCTCAGCGGGCCCCAACAGTAGAAAATCCTTGGGGCCCGCTGAGCTTCAACACCTGACCGGGCCCCAAAATTCTTTTAGGCATGGTCGCCATTCTCACATGATTTATACGTTATTTGTGTATACCATTATATAACAAACACCCAAGTTGAACCCCAAGTTAAACCTCCGAACTCCGTACAACATCGTACAATCGTGTCAAAAAATGCGAGTGGCATATGAAGCTAACCCTCTCTGGCTCTAACCTCAAGGTTTTGAGGGTTGCTGAGAGCCTAAAAATTGTAGTAGGAAAATTGACTCCGCCATAGTGCGAATAAACAAAAGGTAAACAAGAACTAAAAAGATAATTGTTGTTCTCCGACGGTGCACTAAATTTGCCCAGGTGATGACATAAGTGATTATATAAGGCTGGTTTTTGGGGCCCGGTGAGGTGGGGGAGCTCATCGGGCCCCAAAAGTCAGAAAATCTTTGAGGTCCGTTGAGCTGGGACCCGGAGCCAGAGTTGAACGGGCATACAGTTGAACGCGGGTTCCAGCTCAACGGACCCCAAAAATTTCTCAACGGACCCCAAACATTTTCTGACTAATACTGGGGTCCGTCGAGCTCCGCAACCTCGGCGGACCCCAAAATTCCTTTAGGCATGGTCGGCATCATCACATGACTTATGCGGGCTTTGTGTATCCTATTATATAACACGCCAAGCTGCACCCTAAGTTGAACCCCCCGAACTCCATACAACTTCATACAATCGCGTCAATTCGCGTCAAAAAATCCGTGTCATCTAACTTTAACCCTTTTTTTGGGACCTGGTCACGTGATGGATTTGAACGGGTCCCAGAAAAAAGGGGGAATCTTTTGGGGCCCGTTCAACTTTTTTGGGACCCGTTCAACTGTATGCCCCTGTATGCCCGGGTCCCGTTCAGCTTTGGGTCCCGTTGAACTCTTTGGATCCCGTTGAACTGAGACCCTGACCGAGCAGCTACTACTTTGAACTTGATAAACGTACGAGAGCAAGGGAGTAGTGCTGTCATGACTCGCGGACACCATGGTATAGAGAGGAAAGACAGAATCAAGAAGCCTATTAGGTGTGTCAGCTCAAGTTCCCGAGCCGACCCGGAAATACTCGTGCTAGTAATCTTCAGATGAAGCCAAGATGAAGATTGGACGAGCACGACACCCGTCACTGGCAAGCATTATCCCAGTCTTCGTGTACTATTTCTACTAGCATGTAATCGAATATTGAACATTCGAACAATGTCCATCTGCATTAATAGTCCAATTACCTTGGTTGATCTCACCTAAATCCCCCGGGCCGTCGCTGTTTGTACCTGCAGCAAGTCGCGAGGGCTGCAGCATTCGCTTTATTGCCCTGCAATAATATCTACGTTCGGGCGATCTCGAGATGAAGCGGTCGTATTCCGTGCCCGGGGCAGCTGATGGAAAAGAGCTCAGCGTGATTCAACATCGAACATGGAATGCCCGGAACCGAGAACCCCCGCCGTCTCCAAGCCCGGATATTAATTTGAATCAAATGGCTTCGAAGTCCGATCTTATCGCGTGCTTCAGTCAACCGACTACGATGATTGGATCTGATCCGTGTCCCACGGCCAGCTGATCCTCTGCCAAGTCGACAGACCCCTAGCCAACCCTTGGCAGGGCGCGACGGTCGCATTCTGCAACCCCGCTAGATAACGATTGCAAGATCGCAGCGGAATTGCTGAAATTTGGGGGACAGTCAACCGACCATACGGAGTACGTACAGCTATTGTCCGCGGACTGCCCGTAATTGACTTCAGCCACACCTGATCGTGTCGCGTCGCCCTCGCGTTGGAAATGCGGGTGGGGCTGAGAACCCCTGTCGATCCTTTATGTGCGACCAGTTTGCCCGCCAAGGGAGAACAGTCTCCATACCAATAGCATCACCGAGTATCCCGTGTTATCGCGGTGACCTCGGGGCGCAGGAGGACAATGGCCGTCCTCCGTGCGGAGAATCGAGATACACGGTTGGAGCCAGGAACATTGGCATCGCTTGGACTTTGGGAGCTCCCGACGGGCCTCCGCGCAGCAAGGATCCACTCTCTGCACGCTTTGTGGGACAATGCAAGGCCAAGACCTCATTTAGAGTACAGCTGGAGAGGGGAAGGGAGTAGCTGGTGCACCGGAGGGGGCTCCGCATTCTTCAGTTAGAGTCGTTCGCCATTCTCTCCCAGTGCAACCATAATAAACAGTTCAAACGCGGGCCTGAGAGACTAGCCCGAGCTTTTTGCTCCTTTATATAGCTGGCTCGGATCCCCCCTTGGGTTTACGTGGGAACGCCGGTCTACTTTGCTTTCTTTTCTACCGATCCTAGTCATGATCGTCCCCTCATTGAAGCGCGGCACGTTGTCGCTGGCGGCTGTGTCGCTTCTTGCTTCTTCAGCTGCTGCGGAGGTGTTTGAGCGACTTGCATCCGTGCCTACTGGTATGCTTCATGTGACCCCAATATACTCCTCAATTCAGTAATTGACGTTGGTAGGATGGCACCACTCTCGCGCACCAAAGGGCAGCCAGCCCATAAACTTGCAGATAGCTTTGGCACAGGGCGATGTCGCTGGATTCGAGAAAAGCCTGCTGGAGATGTCGAGCCCAGACCACCCTAATTACGGTCAACACTACCGGACCCATGAGGAGATGAAACGCATGTTACAGCCAAGTGCTTCATCGGTCGATGCTGTGAGCAAATGGCTGCGGGACGCGGGCGTTACAGACTTTCAGCAAAGCGATGACTGGATCTCCATCCACACCACCGTCGCGTCGGCCAATGACCTCTTGGAAGCAAACTTCCAGTACTATGTCAATGATGCCCAGCACGTGGAGCGACTTCGCACATTGGAGTACTCAATTCCAGATTCGTTGGTGGCCCATATTAATCTGGTGACACCTACCACCCGCTTCGGCCAGTTGCATGCCGATGGTACTACAATTCGCGACAAGAAAACCGATGTAAATAATCGTTTCCGCCAGGCGCTCGGCGTTGTGGGCTCTACCAGTACTGATTGCAACCAAGCCATCACTCCGCAATGCCTGAAGGATCTCTATTCCATCGGCGACTACGAGGCCAACCCAGACAACGGCAACAGCGTCGCTTTCTCCAGCTTCCTCGAACAGTATGCGCAGTATGCCGACCTTGCGCTCTTCGAGAAGAACATTGCCAAACACGCCGCCGGCCACAACTTCACCGTGCAGACCGTCGCAGGCGGCAAGAATATTCAAGGTGGCAGCGGTGACAGCAGCGAGGCCAACCTGGATGCGCAGTACATCATTGGCATCAGCTCGCCCATCAAGACAATCGAGTATAGCACCGGCGGCCGTGGCCCCCCTCGTTCCCGATCTCGACCAGCCCGACCCCAACAACGACAACAACGAGCCCTACCTCGATCTGCTGCAGTACCTCGTCAAGCTCGACGATTCGGAGCTCCCCAAGGTCCTCTCCACCTCGTACGGCGAGGACGAGCAGGTAAGAAACTAACCCCACAACCTCCGCAATCCAAATCACTCACCAACCCAACCCCAGAGCGTCCCCGAGAAATACGCCCGCAGCGTCTGTAACTTATACAGCCAACTCGGCTCCCGCGGCGTCTCCGTGATCTTCTCCTCCGGCGACTCCGGCGTCGGCGCCGCCTGCGAGACCAACGACGGCAAAAACACCACCCACTTCCCTCCCCAGTTCCCTGCCGCCTGCCCCTGGGTCACCTCTGTCGGCGCCACGACCGAGATCTCCCCCGAGCGCGCCAGCACCTTCTCCTCCGGCGGCTTCTCCGACCTGTGGGACCGCCCGGACTACCAGAACGAGGCGGTGTCCGCGTACCTGACCAAACTGGGCGACCAGTGGGCCGGCCTGTTTAACCCCAAGGGCCGCGCTTTCCCGGACGTTGCCGCCCAGGGCCAGAACTACGCGATCTACGAGAAGGGCCGGCTGGGCTCTGTGGATGGGACGTCGTGCTCGGCGCCGACCTTTGCGGGCGTGATCGCCTTGCTGAATGACGCGAGGATCGAGGCGAAGCAGGCGCCGCTTGGCTTCTTGAACCCGTGGCTGTATTCGTCGGCGGATGCGCTGAATGATGTTACCGTGGGTGGGAGTACCGGATGTGACGGGAATAGCAGGTTTGGGGGTGCGCCCAATGGTGGTCCGGTGGTGCCTTATGCGAGCTGGAATGCTACTGAGGGCTGGGATCCGGTGACGGGGCTTGGGACGCCGAACTTTGCGAAGCTGAGGAAGGCTGCGAAGGTTTGAGCGGGGATTTACGAAGGTCAATCTCATGAGATAGGGGGTTTAATGTTTATGTTGCAAGTTATGAGTATATTCACGGCGGACTGCGAGTGCAGGTCAAGCGCGGAATTGGTATTTACGTTTGTGGCAGGTTGATGTTTTAGCAGTTCCTGCCTTTGATGTTGATATGAAAATTCATCTTGTCATTTCTTGTCTGCTGGCTGCTCGTTCGACCGGTGATGAATTCGGTTGCCAGTGCAGCGTAGAAATCCATTATGTACAATGGGATACGAGCATAAATACTGGTACGATTAAAGCTAGAAATTGGGGGAAATGGAGGCTCCATGTAACTTGATCTGCGGGATCATCATGATTGGGCACTATCTACACACAACAGGCTGAAAATAACTAGAACAGTATATACAATTCCGATTCTCGGATTACAGACATCCATGGGGTATATCGAAGAAACCATCACTCAGTCGAGACAACAGACGACGCGGCGCGTGCAGACTCTGCGTTCTCCAGATACTGTGCATAAACCATCTGGGCCAGCGCATCCTCCGTCTGCAGATATGTCTTCCTTCCCTGGATAAACCAGAAGGCTAGCGCAATGACAAGCATCACGCCGAACACGGCAATGGCGTAGTTCATATCCGCCGGCGACGGGTTCGGCGAGCCAGGGAAGAGGAAGAAGATCGTCGTGATAACACAGTAAATGATACTGACCCAGTTGTACCATGAGCCCCAGCGACCAAGCTTGAACGAACCGCCGGCGGGCAGCTTATCCCGGCCAACAACGAGAAGTGCCAGGATAGGCATAGCGTAAGAGATGGTGAGCGCAATCGTGCTCACACTCAGAATCGCTTCGAGAACGGTGTTCGCGAACAGGTACAGGACGCCCACGATGCCGATGATGACGCCCTGGCCCCAGAGAGCGCGGGCGGGCACTTGCCACACGGGGTCGACATGACTGAAGTACTGGCTCCAAGGGAGTCCGCCGTCTCGGGCGAAGCCCCAGGTGAGGCGAGACGCGGTTGTCAAGACACTGACCCCTTGACCGAGGCCGTTGAAGATGAAGAGGGCAATGAGCGTCACTCCGCCCTTCTGGCCGACTGTTTCCAGAATCAGCTCGATGAAGGGCTGGTTGGCATTGGTCACCTTGTCGACGTTCTGGATACATCCTAGGCAGACGACCATGAAAAGGAAACCGGTCACGGCTCCAAACGTCACGGCCATCCAGATGACTCGGGGGGCGTTCTTGCGAGGGTTCGGAATCTCCTCGACCATGTGGATCACCGAGTCAAACGCTGTGAGTCCATAGGCGGCTTGTACCAGACCCGTGAACCAGACCACCCCGTCACTCCAGCCCGTTGTGTTAATCCACGCTCCGAACACGAACGAAGCAGGCTGGAAGTGCAAGTTACTCTTTGCGCCAACACAGATCAACATCACCAGCGATAACACGATGAACAACCCACCGAACCAGACACCAACAAAGTTGTTGAACCAAGGCAGAATCTGCTCCTTCCGACAGCTGACCACATTGATCAGCGTCATGACGAACACAACGCCGATGTACACAACGAAGTTCAACCATCCCTTATTGACCCCATCCCAGTCCGGCTCGAACATGGTCTTCGTGCTGAGCAGGAACTCCGACATGAACGCAATCTGTGACGCGGTCAAGCACCACCATCCGAACGTGTTGATCCAAGCACACATGTACGACACAAAGCGGCCTAGCGGCGTGCTCCACAGACGGTATACCCAGTACGCCTGTCCGAGTGCCGTGGGCATACTGCTCGTCAGTTCGCCGAGCGAGACCGCCACGCACAGATTGCAGGCTGTGACGAGGACCAGGCCCCAGAGGATGGTGATTGGGCCGCCATTGGTGAGGCCGCTACTCAAGTCTTGGGCGAAAGTAGAGTATGTTCCTGGAGGAGCGCGGGTCAGCGATTGAACAAACGGCAGTCCGATATGCCTGCCCTCCCCCGCACCCGAGAATGGGAAGAGAATTGGATGCAGTGACTACGTAGCAAACGCACCAAGAACACAGAATGCTAGAGCCAGCATGCTCCAGGTATCGAATTTCCGGGTCAGTGCCTGGGCGTGGCCCATCGCCGCCAGGTCGGTGGCATCTTGCACATCCTGCTCGTTTTCCAGCGGCGGTTTTCCCGAGAGCGAGTCGCGCTCCAGATCCATGATATGGTGTTTTTAACCCAAGGCAATAAAGATCAATTGGACTGAGAAGCACGTGGAAGATACGCCCATTTTCTGGCCCTGACGAGGAGAGGCAGAGGCGTGCTTGATTTCTATATATTCCTTCGACAGCGATCGGCCCTGTCTGTGAGCCACTCCGTCAGGCTAGATAATCTGGTCTTCCCCCAGAAAATTATGGGGTCGAGATAAAGATGGAGCCGAGCCTGTAGCCAATGAGAGGGTCCAGGGGTCGGGCGCTCGCTGGGTCGCATAATTTTCGTTGGTCATGGAAACGAACTGAGTTTCTGCGGGGCGGGCGTCATCTCGGAAGGACTTCCTGCAGTGGGTACGCCTGAGATAAGAGCTCGAGGCTGAGATTCGGACCAAGTCTTACAACTGCTAAAATGCTAAATCTATATCATGGTGCTGGTAGAAATTAGTAGATCCATTCTCACATTAGAGATCCTCAAACCTTTTTCCGGTGTACTACTAGTAGTAGGTGCAAGAATTGACCAAAGTCAGTCGCTCAGCGGCCTGTACACACTCCCGCCACGCATCGCGTCTACCCGACTCGCTAGCAGTGCTAGCGCATATATCTCTAGCACTTTCCCCAGAGAGCACCCGATAAGCTCAAGCGCCTCTGTTCGCGGCCTGCAGAGATCGTTGCCCGTCAGTGTGGCAAGGCTGGGCCGTAAATGGAAGGTACAGGCGGTACGATAACGCGTTATCAGCGGACAGGAGTCCGCTATCCTGTAGTTGGTAATGTTATAATGTTAAGGGCAGGCATGTTGGTGGCAACTTGTTGTTATCTGATGGACTCCATTGTGGTGTGCAAGGTGTTTTTGAACGCTTCGGATGACGATGAAGCCGGTAGTCATTGAACCGATGTGTATACGCAGTCGTCACCCTTAACTTCAGAGTATAACTCTAGCTTTGCGGCATTATGTCAATAGCAGCGCTTCGTGGGTCCGCGATCTAGGAAATCCCCCGTCGGGTCATACTCTCAACAGACAACTCGCATTTTGCAAGCTTGCCATGTGGTCACGAACCCACAGTGCCTGTCGTTAGTAACGTCCGCCAATCTGGGTGTATGTCCGCGGCACCGCCTAGGAAAGAAACAGAACCCCCCAGCCAAGCGGAAATATGGAGTTCTCCGAGGAGTAGTTATCAACTCCAATTGGCAGGAGCAGAAGGTTATTCGTTAGCAGGATCATAATGTCATAGATGCGCGTATCAAGATCGATCTTAGCCCGCCCGTGTCGGTTGTGATTCCGATGGCCCTTGAGCGGTCCTGATTGGCCTTTGTCGCCGTTCGGTGTTCGTGTCTCCTCGTCTTTCCTTTCCGGGGACCATGGATACACAAGCGGTAGAGCTTCGCGAGCTTCGAGCGTCTTGGGCACGGAGAATTGGATGCGGGGAAGTTTCTATGACATGATGGATTGCTTTCTCCGGGGCCACTTGATGCATTGTCTGTAAAAAACCGGGGATTGGCCTTCGTTTTTATTTTGGAAATTTGCTGTAAGGTTCAGTCAAGTGCCGATCAGGTACGGGAGTGTATACTCAACCGGTCTAGGCATCCAGAGCCAGACCGTGCTGGGCTGGGTTAGGGCTGAGGGAATCCACAATGTACACCTTAGGCTTCTTTGCGTGCTGCTTGTGATCAATGTTGCTCCGATATACGGAGCGACAAGCTCCGTGCGTATCTTGTCTGATTAGCTGATGGAAGTCTGCAAACTGGGTCGACTCGAGGGTTGGTTCCGAGATCGGTCTTTCAAAGAAATCCCAAGAACTAATTTCCCGAATTTAAAAGGGGAAAATGGCCTTCTTGGTGTCTTCAAATATCTGACCTGACTGTCAGTGACCAATGTCGATGCAACCCCGACCGATCCTAGGGCTCAGACCAAATTCATGGCCCCTTGGCCCCTCGAGATTCATCGCCTGGCCTATCGCGTCAAGTCAACTCTGCAAAGATGGAAGGGAATAACTCACAAACCTGCATATACCAACTTACTCTACAGTCAAACTCATGAAATAGCGAAATCACCCGAGTCTTGGCAATTACATTAAAATGCTTCAAGCGAGCACTATCGTATACAAGCTGTGACCAGTCGCCAAGCGAAGCCACAAAACAGAAGCCACTTTTGTTTGTCACCAGGACCCGAGAACGGATGAGATGGGAGTCATCAATGCCAATGCCAAAACGCCAGATCCAACCCATCCTGAACACCTGCCACGAGGGCTCTAAATGTACATCACATCACGGTCATTAAAGCGAGAGCGAACAAAAAAGAAGAAGAAAAGAAAACAGAAACAATAAGTAATGACATGTCGCCAGAGCCCAGACATGGCTCACACGCGAGATGGTTTCGTTTGTCGCCAGATTCCGCCGGGGAGCATGTTCTGTTTTAGCAGGGCAAGCTCCTTCTGCATGGCCTGGTTCTCGTGTTGAACGTGCTCGATGTACGAGAGAGCGTTGGAGAGGATCTCGGATTTCTTGAGCGAGCCTGCTCCCGCCCGTGACGCCTGCTTGGGGGCACCGGCCGGGGAGATGGCTTTTTCCAGGGCGAGGAACTTGGCGTTCATGTTTGTGCGGTATCGTTTTTCGATGATGTTGTGTGCAGCTCGTTTGGCAGCGTTGCGGCCCTGTGCGTCTTGGCCCGCGGACGGGATCGAGTCTTGTGAGAGACTGCGGGTCTTGCGGCCGGAGGTGGATTTCTCGACTCGTGGGGTGTATTCCTGTGTTTTGATCTCCGGACTTGAGGACCACCGGGCTGCGCTGGTGGAGCTACGGGTGGTGGGTTTGGAGGGCCGTTCAGCCGGTGGCTCGGGCATGCTGAAATCCACCGAGGGGCGTACAGACCATGATTGGTCGTCGCTGTCGAGATCCTGATTACATCTTATCAGCTTTTCCGATCGGGATCTGTCGGTACTTGGCTAGGTTCGAAGGGTCTCGTACCGATGAGAGGGATACTGTGTCTTCAGCAACGGGCATAGAGTATCCGTTGATGGCGGATGAGGATGAAAAGGGGTCCATGAACAAATCCTTTGTGTCGGCGGTGGTCAGGTCGGCGAAGTCAAACGCCGTTCCATCGATGTCAGTGTTCATCGAGAACAGATCGAGGGTATTGTCATAGGACCAGTTGGCAGGGAGGGGTTCGTTTGTTTTGGTGTCGAACAAGTCCAATGGACGACTTGACGGACTTATTTGATCCTCAAGGTATCTGTCAGAGGCCATTGGCATGTCCGGTAATGTATTTGATTGTGAAAAAGGCATTTGGGAAACAGGGCAATAGCTGATCCAAGATGCAGAGGGAGGGGGTTCGATATATAGGATCTGTGCACGGGGCAAAGATACCAAGGGGCGGTAATAAAGAATCGAGGAAAGCGAAAAATCGATTAATCGATCGGGGGTTGATCTACCGTGGTAATGAATTGGGTTGACATCGGTCGCGAGCGGGCGCCGTTATATATGAAATCCGCCAAAATCGATCCCAAAGGGGGATCCGCTACGGATCGCTACTTTTGCTAACGGTATCCTTGGCCGCAAATACCAGCCGAGATACGCCCTGCCAGTCGGGTGAACTACAAGCTTCGAATGAACCCTTGTCCTAGCTACGTTGTGGCGGGACACCTTAGAGGCGCTCGGCCAGGAGCAGCCGAGATCACCTTACGCAGAATTTGCGGCCGGCTCCGATCAACAAGATTCCGAAAAGCGTACAGGACAGCTCGTGTGAAACTGCCAAAGCCCACCTGGGACAGGGCACAAGCAAAACAAAAACGTCAGGGAGGCTGATCCAGTAGTTTGGAGCAGCCAAGACTGCGCCCGGCCGAGCCTCGGCCCCGACATGTATGCCAGCATAAAACCCGCCTTTATGTACTTTGGCGGGTTTCTAGGCCGGGTTTTCTAATTGCTGTGCACTTATTGGGCCGTAGCATAGGTTCCCTGCCCGGAAAAAATTATACCCTGCGTCCCAAACTGGCCTGTCAGTTTCCTAAAACACCGCGTACCTTTGTCGATCTTATGGTCAGGCAGTTAGGCCTTGATTGTGTTACGGATGTTGACCTCTCCCGGCATTCTGTCGGACATTCGCAGTTAGTTGCTATGGATATTGATTTATTAGTATCAGTGTCGAGGACGGCTCGTCCTATTCGGAGATGCTAGGATCTACTGGTGTCTTTCTCCAAATCACAATAACCTCATACTATTCCCATAACTACAAACTAGTAAATTCTGAGGTTGAGAGTGTTCGCTACTTTCAGAGCTGGGCCGAGAAAAGTCCTAGCAGCGGGTGAACTAGGAACAGAAAACCTCCACGGGTCCAGGGTTGAGGCCAGGGTTGACATTCCCACGTCATGTGCCACATCCAATCAACGACGACTCCCCATTTGATGCCTTGCATAGTCGCAGGTGGGACCCGAAAGGGGGTTTCAAGGCCAGATTAGGTGTGGATAAGGGCAACGGCGGTGCCGTCGGCTCTGGCCACTACGAGGGCTTCTAATTCCTGCTGACCAGAATCTGCCCCCAAACCCGCCGGCCACGATGCCCACTATGGACGTGGGGTGATCCGGATCGTTTCTTTCCATGTCAGTTCCATGAATCGCCCCCTGATCTTACCGATCTCTCCAGCGCCTATCCTCGTGACACTAACAATTCTCTTCACCGGGACGAATTGGAATCGGAACGCAGCCTCAGCACAACGGTTTTGTGAACTCTCGAACAACTGGCAAATGTAAATTAAAAAAACGTCATTCCGGACATCTCGTCTTGTGATCCACTCGATACCGGATCTTCACGTGAGAAGCGCGTATATCGCTCCCGCTCTCGCATCTACTGTGTATGAGCGGGAGCTTGTCGGGCTCTCAATCCACCTGCCCGTTTGGATGCATGCCCGGTCAGATACTGCTAGATTAATCTTCCGTAGTGCATTCCATCGAGCATCTCTGTGCTTATACGTGGATACAATCCCGTTGACACCTGCCACCCGGCATTCCGGGCGGCAGCATAATCCCCCCTGCGGCCCGTTTTAGAAAATACTCCGCGACGCGAAATGCCTTGACCAACAGCCGATCTGGCCTCGAAGTGGAGCTGCGGCACTAGATGTCTGCAAGCTAGCCGTTGTGACCTGAGCTCGATCGCGCCCAGCATCGTCCGACCCGGTAGCTTGATAGCCGCTGTGGAGCCTGAACCTTAGCTGGAATTCATCACCTGTATTCCGCTAGATCAGTCGGGATTGATCTGTCGTCTATCCGTTTCCCCGGATTCCAGCCTACGGGGTCGGAATAGACGGCCAGCTCTTACCTCGGCGAATTTTCCGTGAAGATTTCCGAGTCATCTGGTATCCCACATGCTTTCTTGATAACCGTGGAACTGACAATATCAGTTCTTTGTCGAGAAAGACTGAGTCTAAGCTCCTAGCTCGTTACTAGTGGGCTCGAAACGTTGCACTGTAACGCAGGAGGCTCAAAGGCGTGTGGGCGGAAATAAACATGCGGGACTCCCAGTCATTAAGGGATCGTGCCAAGAAAAACTCCGGCGCTTTCTGGGGGTCTCAATGGCGGGTCTCCGAAGGTGACGCTCTGGCTTGTTGGATTTTCTTACGCACGGGCAAGGAGTTTACTCAAGTTGAGCAAATACATCTATAGCTTGAAGGGTGCTAGCTCTGGTGGCTGAACGTGGCCCGGGTCTCCTTGGATATACGAGGAGAGTGCTAATCCTCAGATTTCACTGACCCGACCTATCTGGACGAAACAGTCAAGTTCCAATTCAAACTCCAGCTCTTGCAAGGCCCAGCTCGCTACGCTGGAAGCTTTCTAATCCCTGGTTGTCACTGTCAGGGTGATATACAGTGACTAACGCCACAGGTTTCGAAGCAACCTCGTCTCAGCTACCTTGTAGCTCAAGTGCGTTATATAAAGACGCCTTTCATCTCCGGCCGGCTGTCCCGAGTGGGATGGTACCAGCTACTGGCCATGAGAGTGGTGTATTGAGCCGTCACCGGGATGCCACAACACGCACTGTGAGACATTCGTACACCGGGACGCGATCAGTCACGGCATCTGTCAGCGTCTACGCCCCCCAGGGGGCTGACCAAGGAGCCCAAATGGTAATCATATCACGACGGCCATGGAGGTCTCTCAGGACGCCAAACTAAAAGCTGGGCTACTCGGGCTTTACCGAAGCCCTGTCGACTATAGTCCCTTGATTCGCTTTTCTTCATCGGGCCCCGCAGATGACGAATCACGATGTGCGGCCAAGGCAATCAGCGCCTAAGGACCCTAAGGCTGGCCTCTCCGGATGCCTATAAAGAGTAGGGTCTTGGTGCGAAAAGAGGTAATTGGTGACTGCGATATCAGGGTTTCTGGTTTCGAAACCCTTCGCACTGGCCTGGATTGGGCGGGGCAACGTACTGAGAGAGTGGGTCGTACGCAGAATGATTGCCCGAGCTAAGATCGCCTTGATCCGCGATACGGCTCCACCGTTCACGCACAAAGACGAATCACACGACATGGATTCGATGGAGGGGGGCTACCGTAGATCTAAGCTGGAGTTCAGCTTGGATGATAGTCTGGAATCAGCATGACGCAGCGGACTACCGCCATATCTTTGATTGTCTCCGTAGAGGCCAAAAAGCCCTGTGGGCTGCCGGTATGATGTGGATAATCCGTGACTTTGCAGCCCTGTAGCTGTTACCTCTCCTGGGGGGTTAGGAGATAAACCGCAAAGAAATAATGTCGCACGTCTTCATCCGCTCTGGCCTTGATCACATTGATTCGACTTACGCATCTCTTTCTGGTACCCCGGAAGCCAAGTACGCCGAGCTGGTAAAGCATAGGAATTTCGACGAAAAGGAGCTTCTAGCGCTCTTAGACCAGCTCAAGCCTGTCTGCCCCGAGAACTTCATTGGCATCTGGACCGGCTCAAAGGTCAACACCAAACCGCCCCAGTGAGAAGAAGCTGGAGGAGCTGAATTAGACAGGCCAGGACTTCCGATCCACCGAGGATGTCGACCCTATCGTCGTCTATAATGCCGAGGGAAAGCGATGAGGCCTGGGAAAACGCTCGCGTACGTTATGTTCTAGGAATGCCATATGCCCCACGCTAACATTTTCATAGCTTCATCAGGTCGAATGGGTCTTTCTACTCCTATGGTGTATGGTGACTTTCCCATCGTCGACTAATTCTGCTATGTCAGTGATGATCCGCTGGCCGATGCTATGGATGCCAAGACTGCGAAGGAGGGCATACCTACTTCTGCCTCCTCAAACAACCCATCCGCCTGTTTCGGAGACTGAATAGAATGCCACATGGATCTGGATAATTTTGACTCTTAACCCTCCTCGCGCTAACGCCCTACTAGGTTTACATCGGAATATAAGATTCTGACCGTAGGTCATTGCGCTAGCAGATTGCACACACAGAGACGTCATCAAGATTGAGTTCAGACTAATCCCCTAACCGTGGGCTCATCCAGGAACAAGCAGCACACGGTCGAAACCCTAAATATGTAAAAAGGCAAGGCTAGATTCACACATGCGAAACTGGACGTGGAATAACGCCACACGGGATACATCATACAGCGACTATGTAGAATGCACATCAGATCGACTGTGACGAGAAGTGGACTGCCGTCCTCGTCCCAGGTTCCACAATTCCTCTCACGGCTTTTTAAATGAATGCACGGATCCTCCTGCACGAACCCTGCAGCCTATTAAGGGGTGAAGGGTCAGACAACAACCGGACACCGCGAAATGCAGAGTCCTTGGTCTTCAAATGCGCTAGCTCATTCCCACCATGATTCAAGACTGCAGAACAACATAGTTGAGAAAATTTGAGAGACAAATGTTTAAATGGTAATAGGCATATCACTCATCACAGGAGTTCCAGCGCCGTCCCAACCACTCCCCAGCGTCCCACCGTAAGGCCATCCGAAGTCACCGCAAAAACTGGCCTTTCATCCGCCTCTTCCTTTAACCGTCCCCGCAAGACTTACGAGGAGGCTCCTGGGAGCGCCGGGAGTACACACTATCCACGCAGTTCATGTAGCCGCGCGTAAATGAGGCCTAGGCTGAGACCTATCGCGTAGGCAAAGCTGGCGTCGAGATTCTAGATCGAAAGAGGAAGGGTTCTGTTCAGGTTTAACGCTCAGATGTCGGTCTAAAACAGACTGTGGAGATACCAGGTTGGGGGCATCGATTTCGAGGCGTGACTGACAGGACCACAGGTGCTGATGTTGCGGAGATCGATCAAGTCGGGCTCAGGGGGATGGGGGTGGTTTACGTGATATATATGCTGTAGCTACACAGCGGAACGGCTGAATTTCAAGCTAAGCGTTGGCCTCATTGAAAGTGTGGTCTTTCGGCAATACCGATATGCTGCGTTAATACATTCCAGTCGGTTTCCCAGTCAGAACGGGCCGATTGGGATGAACAGGCCCAAACGCCAGGTTTGAGGGTTGAAATAACAATCCATAATAGAACGGAAGTCGAACTCAAAGCATAACTTGCTATTCTAACAGTCATCACATAATAGAGCTATCAATGAGTGGCCTCATGACTCAACCGCCAGCCAGAACCGCTGTGCCGCCGCCACATCGGCAACGATGATGATGCTATACGACAGTGAAAAATGATCTCAAAACCTACTGCACTAATGGCAGGCGGTGATATTTCTGCCGGCCCGGTTCGCAATTCTCTCGTGAGGAAAATGATTTTAGCCGTCGAACTTTTCCCCGTCCAGGCGCATTGGAGGCCATGGAATCTGGAAACACAATGGCCGACAGCCCCGATCTTCGACCGATTGTGATTTCCGGTCCCTCAGGGGTTGGCAAAGGGACGCTAATTCAGAAGCTTTTCGATACACACCCGGGCACCTTTGGACTTACCGTGTCTCATACCACGCGTGAACCGCGACCGGGCGAAGTCGAGGGAGTCGCTTACTTCTTCGTCTCTCGCTCCGAGTTTTCCTCCCTGTGCTCCCAGGGCGCTCTAGTGGAGTACGCATGTTTCAGTGGCAATTACTATGGCACGAGCAAGCAGGCCATCGAAAACCAGGCTAGCAAAGGTTTAATTGTGGTGCTGGACATTGAGATGCAGGGCATCAAGCAAATGAAGGCGAATCCCAACTTCAATGCACGATACGTTTTTATCAAACCACCAAGTTTCGAAGCACTAGAGACTCGTCTCAGGGGCCGTAGAACTGAAAATGAGGAAAATATCCAGGAAAGGCTTTCCCAGGCCCACATTGAATTTGATTATGCCGACTTGCCGGCAACTTTGATAAGATCATTGTCAACGATGGTGTTGAAAAGGCATATCAGGAGCTTGAGAAGCTTTGTGTTTGGATCACCGTCGCGAGATCATACTTAAGCCCGCATTCATTTTTGCAATCAGCATGACCTACGGTGTTTCCTTTCTCCTAAACAGCGCAGCGGTAGAGTAGAATAGACCCAATCATAGTCTTCCCAAGCGGCTTCAATCTGGTTCCTTCGATCCCATGACCTCAACTCCCATTGTGCCGTCTGCGGACAACAGCTTAGCCTTACCGAATTGAAACCTGTTCTCTTGGGTCCCGTTGAACTATTTTCGTGGTCCCGCTCAACTGGAGACCAATGGCGGGGGCCCGCCATTATAACACGCATTACGTAACAGGGGAGGTTTCCGGGCAAAGTCAGTTCAACGCGAGCGAATTTTCCAGCCAACACGGAAACCGTCCATGCGTGGAATACACCTCCAAATTGGACCAGGATGACGGTTGGGTATCTACCCAGAACCCCTTTACTCATTGCCACATTGCCAAATCTCCAGCCGAGGGCCTGCAAACCCCAAAAATAGGCCAAGTGGATTAGCTTCGAGTAATCTCCGCGACGTAAGCCAAGATCGACAGTGGCTTGGCTCCAACTCTCCACAGAAACCAACGTGATCCCGAATTTTAACCGGAAGCTACCCAACCAGTATCAATGTGGTCAAATGGAACTTTAATTACCCGAATGTCTCAGGGTTCAAGCCTGAATAACTATGGAGCATAACCTTAAGCTGACGAGAGAACCCCACGTGTGTACCGGATACTCTGCGGAGACCCTGACCAAAAGGTCGGTGTGCCAATTATTGCTTACAGATTTTAAGGTAATTCAAGACATGTTTCACCGGCGGGGTCGATGAGCGAATACCAGGGAAATGACCAAATTCGGCTAGTCCGTTGTAAAAGGTATGGTCGCCGATGCTATAGCCTCTAATCGGCTTAAGCATGTCTTAGACTGCCTCAATATTCGACGGGCCATGATCATGATCCGTAGCTATAAAGACCCCAGATGACCCGCTGCGAAAGACCATCATCCCAGAATTCAAATTTCCACCCCATCTACACAAAATGAAGTTCACCATCGCTGCTTTGGCTGGCCTTGCCAGTGCCATCAATGCTGCTAGCCTTCCCGCCTCTTTCAGCCTCGTTGCTCCCGGTGGCAAGACCGTCCAGACCGATGGCAGTACGTGCATCGTCTCGATCGAATCATCAATTTGGATACTGACAAGACTATAGCCAACCTCTACATCAACGCCAACGTCACCGAGCAGCAGGTTGCCGTCCGTAAGTCATGCCAATGTTCCGATGATGCGTGATGTGCTCTTCTAACCATCCCATAGTCAAGAGCCAGGGTGAGCAGGGCTACGTGATCTACACCGCTGAGGGCAGCGTTCCTACTGCCTTCCAGAACGTCTACATCGTCCCCGACGAGGTTAGCCCTGTTGGTTTGACCGTTCCTCACTCCGGCGCCACCCCCGAGGGTGCTATCATCACCAACTTCGGTGTCAACGATGACGGATACTTCACCAATGACGGCAAGGCCTGGTTCGCCATCGACGGCCCGGATGACGGCTCCCTGAAGAAGATCTACTGGTACGGTGCTCACAACGGCGAGTACGGCAGTCTCCCCCTCTGGGTCAAGGAGTTCAAATAAGCTGTTTGTGTATGATATGACAACTGCCGGTGCTCTGCATCTTTAGTCAGAGTAATATAATACTATATTCGCAACTTTTGTCTCGGGATGTAGAGATAAGACCTCGCTGGAGAGGTTATTTAAAGTCCTAGTGGTTATAAAGCAGAGAAACCATCTTCTTTCGCCCGCCATTGATGCGAGAGAGTCCCAGCTCTTCGCTATATCAATAATAAAAGTATTGGACCTGCATACGTAGAGCCCCATCCGGGGAACGTCGAGGCATAATTCACCCTAGTCGGACCTGATCAATTCGCAGGCCCAGGGTAGATATAATGGAATCCTTCTTTCTCCGTCCGCAATAGGCCCGATATCGTGGTTTAGGAACATTTTCCATCGAGGCAGACACCAGGGAGCAAGAGGCTGTATCGGGTACATCCTGGATGATGTACCTGCCGTAAATGTGATACCTTCTGTCCACTGTTCAATTACGAAAGCGCTGCTTGGAAGAGGCGTTCATCTAGAACAAGCCTTCGCCCCCAATACTTCGGCTTGGCCAATAGAAATCCACGTCACCCCCAGCGGATTTTCAGTAGAGCCAATCAGCATGAGACTTCCCCCGTGGGCTTCTGTTTTGGAACCGCAAAGGGTCTCTACCCATAGACAACTCGCGTGGCGGGACCCACCGATCCGAGAAACAATACAAGTATTGACCTCATCACTGCCGACACAATCCTTTCAATATGATGTTCGGCCATGCGCTTGATGACCACGACAGTCGGAGATCTTCCCGCGGCCAAGATGATTCAGTGGTTCGACCAGCTTTTCTCAGATAAGAGGACTTCTCGCCGGCCAAATTATCATTCTTGGGTTCGCTTCTACCGATCTATGGTGAGTTAGTGACGTCTATGATCGGATATAATGGAGTGCAAAAGCAATCCCGAATGAAATAAATAGCCTCCCATGGTGTCCGGCGTTACAATTAGGGCTGATCCTGACCGGGAGGATTATTTGCCTCGATCTGCTACAAGTCCGCCTCTCAGGGTTTTCTAACTTGCGTTGCCCCAATTGCAGCTGTTGTCCGAAATGAAGTTTGCCCAACGTGAAAATTCACAGGCTTCGACCCTGGCTGGGCCACCCCAGCCAGGTTCTCGCAGCCAGCTACCCATGTTAGAGAAGCCAGAGACTCTGCGCAATAACTTGCTTTGCGTATCGGGCGAGTTTGTCGGGACGTTCCTCTTCCTATTCTTCTCATTTGCGGGCACCCAGGTTTCGAACACTCCCATGCCAAAAGAGGGTTCTTATCCTAATACCTCGAATCTGCTGTATTCGGCGTTGTGCTTTGGATTTGCTCTGACGGTCAACGTGTGGGCCTTTTTCCGTATCACCGGTGGTCTTTTCAATCCTGCTGTAAGCATTGTTATGCCACGACTAAATGATCAAGTCTCATCCATGCGTTCCTCTTAGGTTACCCTCGCTCTTTGCGTTACTGGTGGAATGCCTGCCCTTCGCGGCCTGCTTGTTTTCCCCGCTCAGCTGGTTGCCGGTATCGCTGCTGCTGGTGTGGTGAGCTGTCTGTTCCCAGGCCCACTCAACTGTGCGACTCGGCTGGGTGGCGGTGCATCTATCTCCCAGGGCTTGTTCATTGAGATGTTCCTCACTGCCCAGTTGGTTCTTGTCATCATCATGTTGGCTGTTGTCAAGCACAAATCCACCTTCCTGGCGCCTGTGGGTATCGGTCTTGCTTTCTTCGTTTGCGAGCTTGTCGGTATGTCGCCAGGTAACCGTATCGGAATCCTCCTTCTAACAACACGTTAGGTGACTACTACACTGGTGGTTCCTTAAACCCTGCTCGGTCGCTGGGCCCCGATGTGATCAACCGCAACTTCCCCGGGTACCACTGGATCTACTGGGTAGGACCTTTACTCGGTTCCCTCCTCGCCTCTGCTTTTTTCTGGGGGTTGCGTCTGGTTCGCTGGGAAAAGATAAACCCTGGTCAAGACTTTAACGAGTGGGAATCCCGCGCTCAGAAAAATCTCGAGGCTGGCTCGGACCACACTATTGCAGCCGGCGATCAGGTCCATGGCTTCTACCCCAGTAGCCGTACCAATGGAAATCCAGCATCACAGCGAAGTCCCTCAGCAGACCCAGGCCTTGCTGAGATGGACAATGCTGGTAATGCTGCGCCGGATTCCAATGAACAAGCTAATGCGCCTGTCGGAGTATCTGATGAAGAACATGTTTAGGTCCGGTTCCCCGGGATCAAACTATGACTTATGATGTGGGTCTGGCAATTTATTTGGGAACGGTGTTACGGAATGACGAGTTCTGCATTTGAGATTGGGAAGGCGGGCCTAGTATACTGATGAACGTTGCAGTGCTAACCTATAACTGAACTTGAATATTAATTATAGTGTGAACTGTAATATGAGGCAAATAATTAAATGAGAATGGTCGAATATACTAAAGCTTGCTTCATCATAGACCGGTTTACTCAGAGGAACTGAAGGCTTCGTAGCTGAGTCCAATTTGAATCATTGCCCAGTAGGAAGGTTATGACGGCAAGACAAATGTAAGAGTTAGAAATTAAAAATCAAAAGATCTCCTAGTATAAATCTAAGGGCTCAGAATGAACTTCCCTTGAATAACCTGAGCATTTAGCTCTGGTAAACCTCATTCCGACCGAATAGAGAACTTCCCAAGGTCCCTGACTAAGTGCCTTTACACAGGGTTACAAGAGGTAAAATCGGTTATTCCCCTTGACATAATACTATCAGTCTTTACTTTATTTACATGCTTGAACGGCTGGATATGTGTAGATTGAGGTGTCTTTTTGAAAACAAGCAACTTGCCGTACCTAAGCAGGCAATCTCTTGTACTTACTCGGGTGATGTCGTTGCATATGTTCGTCCCATAGCTTGAGCTGTTGACTAAAAATCCCCGAAATAGCAACATTCCACTCCACGTCCCAATAAGAGTTGTCAATGTGAGCACATCCTCAGTTTCCGAGGCGATCCGGAAACGTGGAAATTGAACCGTGATGTTTTTACCGAGTCCAGGGAGGACGTCATACCGAAAACCCTAGATTAAATGTTCGGTTTCAAGGAATGAGCTCCAATTAAAGTCTTGGTAGTCTTGGTTTGGAGACTCGGGCCGAGGCGAGGACAAAGTTACCGACGAAAGTAGCAGGCGTAAAGAGTGGAATCCTCCCTTGCTTGCGATATCAAGGATTTCTGCATTTCCAGCCCTATGTAGGGATCGGCAGTGGGCCAGACTTTTTCCTTTTCTCTATCTCGGAGGTAGAAATCGGGTCCATTCCACGGGTATTCTCAGCAGGAATGCCATATCGGGTTGCATCTCGCCCTTTCTTGATATCACAAGAGGCGACTGTTGGATAGCGCTGTTCGAGCCAAAGAAGCCAAGCATGCTCTGCCAAGCAAGATGCACTGTGGCTTTATTTCTGGTGATGGCGCGATGAGGCGTGCATGGGTAATTATCCATTTCTGCATTCCCTCCTTTTGCAGCGGGGCCTGCGCCCCCTTATACATATACCATCTGGGTCCCCGTTGATCTTCTAGCTGCAGGACGCGTAATCATGGCCATCCTCGCCAGATGGGGATTTCGCGCTCTCCACGTTATCTATTTTCTGGCCACATGTATGATCAGCAGTGTCATATTCTATCTGCTGTCCCCGGCGCCACGGACTCCCGGCTATGTCGACTCGTTGTTCATGTGCATTAGCGCCATGACAGGGACCGGACTTACAACAGTAAGCCGACATGTGTCTTTTATTATTCCGTGCGAGAGCCGATCACTGATGGCACTTTCCAGGTCACCGAGTCCAAGCTCAATGTGCCCCAGCAGGTAATGCTGTTTTGTCTTCTCCTCATGGGCCACGCGATTCCCATTTCGGCAGTCGCTCTTTGGTTTCGCAGAGAGACTTGTGGGGACAAGCTCCGGGTCATTGCCAGTATCGATGGAATCGCGTATGGTAACCAGGAAACGGGCTCCCTCCAGCTTCCACAATGGGAAGGCAAGACGAAAGTTGATGTCGCGATAGCCCCAAGTGTCGATGGGGCACATGGGACTCCATCAACTTCTGGAACAGCCCAGTTCACCACGAAGGCTTCACGTCAAGAAAAATATGCCTCGGGAACTATGCCAGTGACGAAACGTGTTCTGCACCAACTCAAAACTCTGCAGAAGGGCTTTCGGAAGTACCTCCAGGGCTCGATTTTGTCTCCGAAAGCCCAGCCAGCTTCGGTTGAGTACAAAGCACTGTCGATCTTGACGTTGACTGTGGCTATCTACTGGATCACAATACTATCTATAGGTATTTTGGTCATGGGGAGCTGGTTCCAATGGCGTCGTCCTGACGTTCCACATGCTGATGGTGTTGCTCCTTTCTGGGCGGGTGCATTCACAGCAACATCAGCATTTGTCAATTGCGGAATGACGCTCTCCAGCAATGACTTGATACCTTTGCAAAATGAGTAAGTAAGAGGGGAAAATAGATTGCGACGGACAAGTCGCTAACATGCGCCTGATTAGGCCGTTTCCACTTTGCTTCCTCGGTATTCTGATCCTCGCTGGATGTACACTGTATCCGTGTTTCCTGCGAGGGGTGCTTTTCACGGCAAGATGGTTCTTGCCAGAGAACTCCGAGAGGTGGCAATCTTCTAGGGACGCGCTAGACTATATTCTCATATGCCCAGAGAGGGTAGGTCATCATCTGCGGCACAACGTATTCATGTAACTGACGGTTCAAGGTATACCACATGCTTTACCCTACCCCTCATACATTCTTCTTGTTGGGGTCTGTCATTGTTCTGAATGGAATCAACTGGGTATCTTTCGAGCTTCTAGCCACTGGAGCCAGAGATACCAAAGCAATTCGCGCTCTCGATGGACTCTTCCAATCACTCGGTATGATCATCCCCTACTCCAGCACAGGGTATGCCGGCTGACGGAATCCAGCAATTCGTGGAGGCGGATTCGCGGTGGTAGACTTTTTAAAGCTCCCTCAGTCAATGATGGTCCTATATGGTATGTCCTATCCATTCCATGGAACGATTCGCTTGATACTGACCAACTTCTTAGCTTTCATGATGGTTTGTATCCCGCTTTTTCCAAGGTTTTGATTAAATTGCTAACATTTCGTAGTACATTTCGCCATTTCCATTACGCATTGCAACCCAGTATGTTCCCGTGGCATTTGAGTATGACCTGTCCCTAACATCAACCAGGAGCATCATTACCATGAAAGAAGCCGAGTTACCGAAAACCGAGAAAATCAGCCATAGCCTGGTGGCCAAAACGCGAAAATACGGAAAGCAAATCTCCAATCTCGCGCGCGTCGCTTTTATATGGGATCAGATTCGGTCACAGTTTACGAAGGACATCATGTGCGTCACCGTCGCTGTTTTCTCCCTAACAATCCTCGAATCCGATAAATACGAGGCCCAGCCGCTGTCTTTCTCTACATTCAACATCATTTTCGAGGTGATTTCGGCATACAGCTGCATTGGAATCAGTGTCGGATTTCCAGTCACGGGTCACTCATTCTGTGGTGAGCTACGCCCTGCGAGTAAGTTGATCTTGTCAGTGATGTCCTTGATCGGAAGACACCGAGATCTGCCTAAGGCCGAATGCGCGGGATCACGGGTTTGCAACTCGTTGGGATGGGATGCGACATCCGTGCAGAAAGCCAAGATGATTCAATTAGGATCAATAGAAAAGGACAGTTCCATGGTTTGACCATGCGCAAAGGACGTGCGTCCCTACAAATGCCTGGACTTCTTCTTATCGGGACATCGTCGCCTTGTAGAGCTGCAACTGGACCCGAGCCCTACGTTGGGAACAGAAGCCGTTTCCAAACCGCATCCCCACCCGAACTATAGTGGGCTAATTCGGGTTGCCCTCCGTCCTATGCAATGATCTTAGCCCGGAGACAACGGAAACAGGATCCTAGCTACCCTGTAAATAGGTAGAGTGTCTGCATAGCCATGCAACAGGACAGATATGGAGACCAAATTTCAGGCCCCACCCTTCGAATGCCAGCCCCCGAGCCAAGCCCTCCCTGCAACCCGCCAGAAAGTGGCTGCAAGGCTGCGATCTCGGTGAGATTGATAAACCAGGCCGTCTCCACCCCAGCACAGCGCGGCTCGGTGAAAAAAAAAAACTAGACACGGCAGGCTAAAAGGCCACTAGCGACCTTTCCCCTCTGACGATTCTATCTGATTATCGGGCACGGAATCTCCACCTGGAATCCCAGAACCCGCATCTCCACTTCAAACAGACAGCAGACCCCTGGCGGCCCTTTCCAGTAGCGCGACTTTTGTTCCGACCCTATCAGAGTCTAGCCCTGCGTGCCCAGGGCCACAGGCTTTTTTTTCTCTGGAACCCTTGTACATAAACCACGAACCCCCGCAATGACCGCCGATCTCGCCCCGTCAATTTTTCCTGTACCACAACAATGCGAAAAGCATCGATGCCAGACGCCGGCCCTGACGCAGAGCCTCATGTATCGGAGGTCTCGGGCTTGGCTGCTCTAGACGATGCGGACTTACTGGGTTTGTGCTTCGTACTTCTGTTCGTTCGATCGCGTTGCTCACCGGAAACCAGCCAAAATGGGCTACAAGCAGGAGCTGCGGAGGCACTATTCTACTCCCCAGATCTTTGCTGTCGCATTTAGTATTATGGGGCTTGTGCCGTCGATTGCGTCCACTATTGCCTTTTCCCTGCCTGCGGGGCCGGTTGGGATGGTTTGGGTGGGTCGTTCGGAGCTTCGATCGTGCGATTGTGCTAATTGGCATAGGGGTGGTTCACGGCTAGTATATTCATTTTCCTGGTAGGGCTGGCTATGGTATGTGATAGCCACCTCTTGCATCTGCTGGATACTTACTCGTGGCTTAGTCTGATCTCGCATCGTCAATGCCCACGGCCGGAGGGCTGTACTGGTGGACTCATTACTTTGCCGGTGCCAAGTTCAAAAGCCCACTAAGCTTCCTGGTCGGATATAGCAATACACTAGGCTTAATAGGGGGCATGTGTTCTGTTGACTGTAAGCCCGCTGCGATTTTCCAACCGGTAGCGGTAAAAATATTACCTCAGTTCCTAACACTGAATGCGCCCAGATACTCTCTCTCTCATGATTCTTTCCTGTGTGGGCATTGCGCGAGACGACGACTGGTCTGCATCTCGCGGTGTCATCTACGGCGTTTATGTTGCGCTGATTCTTCTCCACGGACTCACCGGTGCTCTTGCTGGTCGTTGCATGCCCCGGATCCAAACCGCATGCATCTATATCAACATCGCGCTTATCATCGCTACCGTCGTGGCATTGCCAGTGGGGCGGATCACTCGCGGCGGGTCGTTGAATTCCGGGGAATACGTGTTTCGCCATATGGATAATGAGACAGGATGGCCTACCGGTTGGGCCTTCATGTTGGCGTGGCTGTCTCCAATCTGGTCGATCGGCTCATTTGACTCTTGCGTCCATATGAGCGAGGAAGCTAAGCATGCAGCGAAAGCTGTACCCTTGGGGATCGTGTTTTCGGCCGGCTCGGCCTGCGTGCTTGGATTCCTGGTGTTGGCGGTCATGGCTGCTTCGATGAACCCGGATGTTTCTATGACAATTAATAGCAAGTTCGGGCAGCCGATGGCTCAGGTAAAGAATTCTCGGACTCTATTCCAAATCTCTGGCTTATTCTTTTTTTTTTTCTGTAGGTCTACTACGATGCTCTCGGCCGCAACGGCGCATTGGGATTCATGATCGTCCTATGTGTTATCCAGTATCTCATCGGGCAGAGCCTGGTAGGCCCTCCACAACCCAGTCATCTCTTGTATCTAACTAACTAACAACTCGAAGATCGTCGCTGCCTCACGCCAGGCATGGGCGTTTTCTCGGGATGGAGCTCTGCCTTTCTCGACTTTCTTCCGCCACATCAGCACACGAATCCACTACCAACCCGTTCGCCTCATCTGCGGGCTCGTGGTAGTATGCCTGGTCCTCGGCCTTCTATGCCTAATTGACAGTGCCGCCGCCAACGCGCTCTTCTCCCTCTTCGTCGCCAGCAACTATCTCTCGTGGGGCATGCCGATTTTCTGCCGCCTCGTCTGGGGCGAGGCGCGCTTTCGACCGGGGGAATTCTATACAGGCGCGCTGAGCAAGTCCATTGCCTCTATCGCTGTCATCTATCTTGTCTTCGGTATCGTGCTGTCTATGTTCCCCACGACAGGGCCTAGTCCGTCCGGTATGTGTGCCCGTCTTGGTTTGGTCTGTGTGTCGCTGACGGTCCTGATATGAATTATACGGTCGTGATTAACGGCTTCGTGTGGACCGGGTGCATGGCGTACTACTTTCTCTTCGCGAAGAATTGGTATACAGGCCCGCGCATGACGGTTGAAGGGAGCCAGACCATGTTGTCAGAGGATAAGTGATCCTTCAACAAGTACCACGCGACGTCGGTGAGAATACTTAAATGGCAGATGGCTCGTGATTGGCTTGCTGAGAGTCGGTAGACTCGGCCTGCAGAGATGGCTCTACCACCCACAATCCGAACGGCACTAGCATGCAGATTTGCATATGCATCCCTATTCATCTCGAGGCCTACGAGCTGCTGGGCCCTCTATCGGTGCGCATTAGTTCTATTAGTATGAGTATATACTTGTAGAGGTGGTTATCCTAGAAAACGTTGTCATAAAGTGGCATAGGTGGCAGTCCGAGTCGCACACTTGCAAAAGATCAGCCATATCACATGGTGTCTCATTAGACGTCGAGATTCCTGGGATCAGCCCAGGAGGCCGTAGAAATTACATAAAATCGCACCTGAAACCGGGAAATGTACGCGAGCCTTATGGCGTACTAGTAGCAAAAAGGACCCCTGCTAGCTGCTGCAACGTGAGCCACGACCCACAGCCATGACGTTCACGTATGAAGTTAATTGAACGCTCAGGCGTCGGGCATGTCCGTCTTACCTCACAGTAGACACAAGAAGAAACTCCGAGAATAGTCTTCTCGCCGCCTTCTTCACACCGCCTCCACTACGGACTATTCTGCAGGACAAATTCAAAGTTCCGAATGGGTTGCATTTATGTGCTCACGGCTTGGACGCGTGGCCAGCCCGGAAAATGGCAAAATGGGATATATATACAGACATAAAACGCCAGTCCAGGCGATTCTCCAAATCCAATGCAAGTTTTGAAACAAGAGTCAAAGAAAGTCGTGAAAAAGAAACATGATCGTTCTCGATATCCCTAGCGCGGATATTGAGCCGAAATTATAAACACTAACAAGCGACCTCGGGGCAGTTTTTCACCCTTACAGAGCAGCCATGAAACCGATCAGACCGACGGCGGCGGCCGCGGCGGCAGGGAGACCAGTCGCGTGGGCAGCAGTGTTGCCGCTGGTGGTGGTGGACGCATCGGTCGAAGCCGCCGCGCTGCTGGTCTGGCTGCTGGTGACGGTCTTGGACTCGGTGGTGGTCTTGCCGTCAGAGTCGGTGGTCTGGAAGCCAGTCACAAAGGTGGAGACGTCGCTGACGACGCGTGAGGAAACGGCGTCGGCGTCGGAATGGATCTTGGAAGCCTCGGTGGCAGCGGCAGAGACGATGGACGAGCCGATCTCGCGGGCGTCACCGCTGAGGGTGGACCAGGCGGCCTCGCCGCCGGTCTTGAGTTCGGTGTAGACGGAGCCAGCCTCGCCGGAGGCAGTGGCGAAGGCAGTCACGGCGCCGTGGGTGATTTCGCCCCAGACGGAGGTCGCGCCGTTCGCGATTTCAGACCCAAGGGACTCGGGGCCATCAATTGCCTCGGAGACAATGCTCTGGATGTCGTCGGCGGCGACGAGGGCGCCGGTGGCGACCAGAGCGTAGGTGAACAGAGTGAACTTCATTGTTGAGTTGAGGTTGGTGATTATGGGTGAACGAGATTGGTTCGGGTAGGGCAGATTAACCTCAATGCAGTATTTAGGTTGGTTGGGCTTAGGAACGTAGAGCAGATCTAGTCGGGAAGGGGGAGTGTCCAGATATTATATACCACGAAGGGATGATGGGGCCGTCTGCCCCAATTATAGCACGTACAAGGTTTTTGGGGCCTTACGCTTAATGGTCGCATGACGCTATTTTGCGGGTTAAACGAAACACGAGCAATAATTCGCATACTGATGGGGCGAATAAAGAAATTTGGGACAAATTTACGAACCGGCCATCGTCATTTCAGGGCTCCACTTCGCTCGAGGCTGAGCCTCGGCGCGGCTTGTGATTCGCTTGGAGGGCTTTCCGGCCTACGACCTTATGGAAAAGGGCTGTATGCTGCGATGGGGAAGATGATCTGTACTATGCAGCGCCACAGGTATGTTGCAGCCCGTACGAAGCCTGGATTTTGCTGCCGCTTCCTGAATCGAAGCAACTTCGACCCGAATTCTTAATATACTGCTGCCTTAACCAAACATCGGCATTGCGGCACAGCGGGACAGCCCCTGACCTTTCCAAGTTTGATTGTTGTGACGGCGATGATCTCCACCGATCCACTACCCACTGCGGCCCCTGTGAATGGCTGGGCCGTGGGCCTTCTGGAAAAGGTATGACCTCATGCCCCCTGCCCATTATCATGAAACTCACGGGATTGGGTAGATGCTGCTTTACCCTGTTGCCTTCGTGCTCAGCCACTCGAGTTGTATCGCTTGAGCGGAAGCTACCGAAATACCCCTCCGTTCAAGCTTTGTAAATGTTGAGGCCTTACACGCCACTGGGGGCGGAGCGTCCGGAATGGCGCGGGAGCCACAGCCACAGCCACAGGTCACGTATTGCTAATTTAAGAACAGTGTGCCTGGTGAATCCGGCATCCATGTGGTCCCTGTTGGGGCGGGTTGTTGGGTTGTTGCGCTATTAACAGGAAGCACAGCTTACGCCTCCACAGGTGGCCTCTGAGAGTTGGTAAGATTGCTGAAGGAAGAGGATCACGCTAGTTCGGGTTTCCAGGCCCTGGGTGCTGATCCGCCCCCTGGACCAGCTGGGGCGGACCCCTTTGCTAGGGGCTACTGTGTACTAGGACAGAAATCACTACTCCCGGTGCCCCAGGGGTGGGCTACTAACGGCTCTGTGAGTTCATGAAACACACCTGACACCAACTTGTACACCAACTGAGCATAGCGCAAGTATCATGAATTATCAATACGTGTACGGAGTAATGTATATGTTCAAGAATTTCTATACAGATTCAATCACGCAGAGAATTCCCCGTAGACCTGGATGATCCCCTCCCATCCACCGGGATGATCAGCCTCACGGGGATTAGACTTGTCGTCCAACACCATCACATCTGTCTCCCGCGTGCTGATCGAGTACCACACCAGGTTCTGCGGGTTGCCCGCTACGCGCATCATGTTGGACTGGCACTTGCCCTCGCAGGGCTCGTTGTACAGCCCGTTCCATTCGCCGTCGAAGAACGCCCACGCTGCAGAATTGTACAGCGCGATGTCGGATCCTCCTTGGATGTTTGTCGCGAGTGAAGTGCGGCATTTAGCGTCGCTCGGGCCACACCAGGTGAAATCTGGGTCTCCCAGGGCTGCTTCTGCGGTCCACGGGGCCGGGGCCATTTCTGACTCGCCGGTTCCCTGCATATAGGGGGTTTCGGTTTGTAGGAGGCCCGCGTAGACGTTGCTGGCGCGGTTGAAGTTATAGTTGTACAGCCAGTGGTGTTCGGACCCGGTGCCTGTGAGCCATGTCCCCTTGGTCGCCTCGACGAGGATACCCCGGCCTGTGGAAATGACTGTGAGAGCGGACCCGCCGTCGAGGTTGTGGTCGGCTGTCCAGCCCCAGAAGTTCTCGATGTAGGCCGAGGAGGTGGCTGTGAGATGCATGACCATGAATGCCGCCATGCAGTTCTTGGTGTCTTGTGACGTGCACTTGGTAGATATACTTGTGTCGGCTGTTCCTCCCACCAGAGCCATGGTATTCCAGAGACCGACGTCTCCGGGTTGGGAACCAGCGGCGTTGACCTCGATGATCTTGGCTCCGGGGAGGATCTCAGCCACGCTGAATCGCATATCTTGGATCTCAATCACGCCGACGTCGCCAGGATTGCCAACGCGGACTACTGGTTTGGGACTGTTCTCATCCTTGAAGTTTGGGCCGAAGCCAGAGATCACTGACCACGCCTCGCCGACAATGCGAGACCCAACCGGAATCAGGATCGTATCGGAAACCCGATAGAGCACCGTATGGGATATAGGTGATCTTACAGTTGTTGGCATTCTGGAGGAGGATTGCGTTCAACGCAGCTGTGTCATCTGTCTGGCCATCGCCCTTGACGGTGAATCCTGGTACGGCCTTGACGTTGACAATGTCCTCTTTGCTGTGTTCGGCATAGGTAGGCTGTTTCTTCGTGAAGAACTTGTCATTCGCGAGCAAAGCGGCAGATCGCTGAGTGGAATGCGTAGCACCAGTTTCGTAAGAGCCCTCGACAAGCGACCCCCATAGCCAGGTGTCAACATGATTTGTGGCAGCGAGATGGACCTGTCCGTCACTGCCTACGGCAATCGGATTATTGGTGTCGTGGTTCAGGTTCTGGATCAGGAGTTGGCTGTTTTGGTATCCGTTATCGTGCGAGGAGTCGTGGAAATTCACGACAGGGCCGGAGCCTGTTGAAACAGAGTCTAGGAGGACCAAACTGCCAAGGGCATTGCTAGTCATATTGATGCCATGCCCACATGATTCAAAAGTGGCGCCCTGCAGCAGGACCGTCCACCCGCCCTTCGCATCAAATGCGGTGCCGCAGGACCTGAAGTAAACGTTCTTGAAGTTGACCTGCTGGTTCGAGTTGATGATACCAGTCGCGCCACCGGTGATAGTCTAGATCGTTAGGAAGTGTCTTGTTGATAGAGGTCACTATGCAAAGAGCTTACCACATCCGTAATCGCGATCGTAGAGCCAGCGTTTATATCAATACCAGTATGAGTCTTCGAGTTGGTCGGCATCCGAATCTCAACATTCGTCAGACCAGACGCCTGCGCAACCCCCCCACTGCAGCGCCGTAATCTTCTTGCCGTCTGTCACTCCCGTTGTATCCAGGATCACGTTCTTGACCAGGGTCATGAAGCTTGTCTCCGGGTGTCCACTTGATTGATCGTATCCCATAACCAGGAACTGGCCGTTAAAGTTCGGACCAGCTCGAATAATGGGCGGGTTTTGTGGATCACCGACGATGATCGTTCCTACAGTCAAGTAGAGCGTGCTCTCGAGCTGGTAGACACCGGCTGGGAGAAAGATCTCTGCCGGATAACGAGTCACACCCTGGCCCTTGCGGCTGCCGCCATTGCCATCGTCCTCGATCGCTTTTTGGATCTTTGCCGTTTGGTCGCCGGAGCCATCGTTCTGGGCTCCGTAGGTCAATACATTACGATATACAGGGTAGACTTTGGAGCCGCCGGCGTACGGCGCATAGCCAGCACCGGCTTCCGTATGATCTTGTTCGTCCAGCCAGTAAGTTCCCGCGGACTGCTTTGTGGTGCCAGGACATGTCTTTGTAGCCGGTGCTTGCACACCCGGGCTGGGGATCGGAGGAGCTGTAGGTTTGCTGGTTGTGCTGCTGATTGAGCTTGCGGTGTCGGGCACTTGAGTACTGGAAGAGCTTGTAGTCGTGCTTGTCAATGTGCTCGTACTACTGCTTGTCTCCTCAGTAGGAGTGGTGGTAGGACTGTAACCCTTTATTAGCGTCACACTATCCGCTGGTCAAATAAACATACTCGGGCGTGATGGCTTCCGATGAACTCGTCGCGGGGATTGTTCCTCTATTTCTCGTTAGCAGAGCTTCTTTTTTCCTCCCTGGTCAATTCACGTACGAGACAAGAAGCTCAAGCAACCACGGCGGCACAAAAAGCTCATTCGTCAGCGGGCCTGGTGCCGCGGGGGCTTCCGGCGCGTGAGACAGAACCGCGCGGACAGAGTCCTCGAGGATTGGGACAATAGAACATGATGCTGTAGCAACCACACCTGCCAGCGCCGTCAATGACAAAATCCCATGCATCCTGAGTCTATACTTCCACATCCACAGTAACCGCAATGAGTCAAAGTCGAGACAGAAAGGTGGACATCTCAAAGATAAATGGTCTGGACCGGACATGCCAAACACGCCGCCCGGCTAAACAGATTGCAACGACTGGCACGCTTGAAGTCATCTGTGGAATGTCGTTGCTATCCATGTCCCTGGGCTGCCGCGGCGATCGTATCCCTAGTTTGGGCGGGTACATGCCTACCTGACTTTCTGATTAGTTTTCATAAGATGGAAAATAACCCTTATTGAGCTCTGCGCCGAGTCCTGTTTTCCTGGAGTTGGAGAGACATGCAGCTACGCCGATCTAGAACCTCGAATTAATCGAAGGCATTCTTGAGAGGTTCCGGCTGTTATATATCCGCGACACGCTAAGAGCGCATCGGAACACCCCGCCAACAAAAACTTAAAAACAACAACTGGTATCTTCGTCTATATCAGTCGAATGCTAAGCTTTAATTCTGCGAAGTTGTGCTTTTGATTGAACTCGATACCGAGAGCCCATTCGTGCCATCAATTTTGTAAGAATGACATTGAGAAATCGGAGCACATGCTGCAGCAATGCGCCACTGTTTCCTAGCAAATGCGACGTCGGCGGTTGTAAGGAAGCTGTTTGGCAGCCCCATGACGACCCGCACGCTGTCCAGCTTGCCTCAACGAGCCAATGCGCATGGGCGCGGTCCTCGCGTACCGTTATGCATTGTATTTTTGTCTGGCTTTTGCGCGGCTCGCTTTAATCCCTTGGGACACCGCGCTTTTTCAGACCCATTACTTCCTGGGAAGACGCAAAATGACGTTTCAAATGTGGGCAATGATGGGCTGTCATTGGCTCCATCTGTTGATACGAGCGAGCTAAAACAGCGACCACAGAGTAGGAAAGCAATATGCTTGCGGTTATGGGATGACAGTAACGTTGTGGCGCAGCTGTTGGTTCTAAAGCTAATCAAGACTTTAGAAGAGGAATTACAAGGGGGCTATTAGCTAGGGGTTGGCGCAGCTCGACACCCTTGACTGCATTTGGGATGCTCGATGCTCAGATCTGTGCCCTGTCGATCTTTACTTAACAGGGAGAGAATGCCGCGTGGGATCGGCGGTTGGTAGTGGCAGACTGCGCTCCAATCGGGCCAGAACCGCGCAACTGCGCCAATCGCCCGCCGTCTCCTAGTCCCCAGATGGGCAAACAGTGCGCGACTCTGCTCAGCCGCACTAGCTTCATCAATTCTGCGCCCTCGAGGCTTCGCTCAGGCTTGAGTCTACTACCTGGTTACCGTTTATGGATAGGGCTGAAGATTCTTTCCATCCCCTATCAGCTTGGACAGGGTCTTTTGTATATAGATCGTCACAGGCCCCGCCAAGCTGGAAATTTAGGAATTCAAAGTGTGGCTTGCCTCTGTTTCTGTCAAAATTTGTAGTGCCCAAACCTACATCTATCACCATGGGTCTGTTCGACGATGACCACCATGGCCACAATCACACTTGTCCAATGCCAATAGACTATGCGGTCGGTGAGTTGGTCGTCTCTTCGACCAGAGGACTCGAACTAAATATGACATAGATGGCGAAAAGCCATTCATCGGCAGCATATCTTTTCATAAATTCAACATGATTCTCTCCGGAGGATGTACCGTGCTTGTTATCCTTACGGTATTCATTCTAATGGCTCTCCACGCAACACATCTCAGCAGGCCAAGGGAGCAGATTAAGTGAGTTTCTTTCCCAAGCACTGGCAACAAGATACTGATATCCCCAGGATTATGAAAATTTCCGCCCTTTTGCCCCTGTACAGCATAACGAGCTGGCTATGTCTTGCATTCCCTCATCAAGCTGCTTATATCGATCCATGGATCTCGGTATTCGAGTCAGCCGCACTCGGCAGCTTCTTCCTACTCATGTGCGAATTCATATCGACCGACTCAAGAACGGAGCTCGATCTGTTCTTCTCTGCATTCCAAGTGCCTCAAAAGAAGGGAGATAAAAAGCGAATCGGCGGGCTCGCTTGGTTCAGAGTGAGGAGTCTCGACTAATCTGTCCTGGAGAGACTGTCGCTAACAATCAGCGACAGAAAAGCTGGATCGCAATTTTCCAATATCCTCCCATCGCAGTGCTCATCGCTATCGTGACTGACATTACAGAAGCGGCTAGTGTCTACTGTGAGGAGAGCAGCAAGCCTTACTTTGCGCATATCTGGGTAGGTCGATTCCTGGAGAAAGAGAGATGCGTTATTAATAGACCCTATTAGCTGATGGTGGTCGGTTCCTTCTCCTTGACTTTTGCCATCACGTCGATTTTCGGATTCTATACAGCTCTCAAAACGGAGCTCAAAGGACATTCCCCGCTGCTCAAGCTTATGGCATTTAAATTGATTGTCGGTTTGTCTTTCTTGGAGACGGTATGTCAACAAATGTCAAGAATTGGCTGGATGAAAAGCTAATAGAAACTCTTTAGATCCTCTTCACTATCCTCAAATCCACCAACGCATTGAAACCAAACTCGACCCTTACCTACGGAGACGTTAATTTCGGTCTGCCCAATCTCATTGTCTGCCTACAGACCGTTCCATTTGCCCTCTTCTTCCCCTTCGCCTACAGCCACAAGCCATACCTTCTGTCTTGCCAAAAGGCCAGCGGTCTACTCACCGCAGAGTACAGCCAGGGTACATACCAGAACCTGCCTGAAGAAACAGACCTCCTCCGCTACCAAGGTGGGCCCTTCGGCATCAGAGCCTTCACCGAGCTAGTTAATCCTAGCGAGCTACTGGTGCAATCAAGTTCGCTTTCAATATGGCGACGAAAGCCAAGGACCGGCAGAGTAGGACAGATGTCTATTCTCGTAGTCAGAACACAAACTATGACATGTCGTACGAGTCAGACCGGCCTTCATCTAACGAACACCTCATGTTGCCTGGATATGGCCAGAATGTGTACGCCGGATACGAGCCCGCTTATGATCCCCATGGAAGATCGCCTTCGCTGCAGGCGTTTGGGGACAGAAGGGATGGGCCGCATGGGCCGTATTAGATGTGCTAGAGATATTCTTTCGCTTATTTTGGATATGGATATAGATTTTATAATTCAGGAAATTATAATCTGTTTTTTTTGGAATTTGGTTTCCTTTCTTTCTCTCCTTTCTTTTTTTTTATTTGTCTCCTTTCTCTTTTCCTTCACCCAAAACGGATCTGTGTCGGGACCATCAATCCTGATAGCAAGGAAAAGTAGGACTGCACTGTGAAGATTATCAAATTACAGAAGTCATGAAAACTCCCTGACCATCCAGCCGACAGCTTGCAATTACAACTAAACACGCCCGAAAAGCCCTTTGGGGGTGGTAATTTTCGCAGAGAGAACCAGAAACCCACCCACAACACACAGGGCACCACTGAACCACCCCACAGGTCCAAACCCATATTTATTCGCCAGGACGCCATTTACCGGGGGTCCGATCAAAGCCGCCAAAGACCCAACTCCCATTCCCATGCCCAGAACGGCTCCACCTTCCTGAGGGTTCTTAATACAGAGCGTAAATGCGGCAGACGCCCCGGAGATGATCGTTCCAGTGGCAAAGCCAGTGGCAAGTGAATAAGACCACTAGACCCGCGGTAGAAGTGGCTTGATTTAGACAGCAGAGCACAACACCAGTCGTGAGTGAGCCGATGGCAAACATATTAAGTTTCCCAAATTTGTCTGCCAGAAATCCAGGGATGATCCGACCAAAGGTTGATGCGGCGTTCAAAATCGCCAGCAGGTAAGAAGCGAGCGTGGCCTTCATGCCCGTGGTAACAGCGTAGCTCGGGATGTAGAACAGAGGGCTGAACATCCCAATGAGGATGAGGAGAACAGAGACCGTGAGGATATCAAACTTGGGATCTAGGAACGCCGATGGAACGAAGAAGCTGGACTTGCGGGGTGGGAGGCGTGGCGTTACGACGGCCGCTGCGAAAGATAGCACGGGGATAATGACAAACCCCATGATTCGCACCGACCATCCGTATCCCAGGTCCGTGGAATTGAGCATCTTGCTCAGCGCGAGAGGGAATACCACGCCCCCTATCGATGATCCCGAGATGGTCAACCCCATAGCGGCACCACGCTTTTTCATAAAGTATTGGGTCAGGGCGGCCATGGCGGGGAACTGCACGAAGCCCATTGCGATCCCCATGAGGACGCCCTGCGCTAGCATAAATTCCCAGTATTCCTTGCATAGACTTGTCATCATTACCCCGAAGACGAGGCATACGGCGGCCAGGCGGATAACCTGGAAGATCGGTTAGCTTTGGCTGTCCCTGACGCCACGTACAGAGAGGCGACTTACTATAGACCCATAGCGATCAAACAGCGGGCCGCCGATGATACCAGCCATGAACTGGAGACATGCTTGGAGAGACCCAATCCAGGCTACCTTTTCATCAGACTGGCCTTTGAGCTGGTGGTGAATATAGTATTCTTGGAAAACACCGAAAGAGTTCGAAAACCCTAAAGCGCAGAAGAAAATGCAGGCTCCGCCAGCGGCAACCAACCACGCTTTGAGACCACCATCAGGAGGGGGGTCAAACACAGGAGCCCCTGTTCCACCGGACTTGGTCACATTCTCTTCTTTAGAGGCTTTCTCGGGAATCCCTTGTTCAGTGTCTGTTGCTGACATGGCGGAGTAACTTTCGAGTAAGATATTCGAATGTTTGAGGGCCTTTCACAACAACGAAAGCCTATGAGACACTGATGCGCAATATATAACTTCAAGTCATATTCAGGGGTCAGATCCAATACTTAAATCATTTACCCCATCACCACTTGAATCAACAATCTCCAGCCCGACTCCCTCGACCGCCCCGATTCGGACTCGGACTCGGGTTAAGGGAGACGAGACGGACTAAACACGCACTTCCCGATCCTTCATGACTGACGCATTTTGGCCCAAAGTGCTTGTGCGTGTTCTCCTCGGGCTTTGCAGATTTCTGCTGCGAACGCATTTGTAATCTCTCGACTTATCTCCAGGGCTGCAGGGCGGCAGGGCTTTGCTGGAGATGAATCCACCATTGGTTGTACCCGAGCGTCGGCGCAGACGACCGCCCGTGTAAGAGCCGCATCAACAACCCTACGAGCAAAAGCCAAGTCAGCTGACGTGTCAAAGGTCTTGTACAATATGCCGACGACGAAAGATCAAATGCAACCGTGAGCTTCCATGCAGTAACTGTTTACGCTCGAAGAACTCGGTCTGCGAGTATGTCAGCATCTCGCCACCGAGATGCGGCCGTGGTACGCAAGAAGAGGAGACGCAGTCCAGCGAGCCGGAATCACACCCAAACAGGAAAGTAACTCATACAAATAGCTGGACCCGCGGTTTGATGGTGTCCCCCAAGGACGTTCGCACTGTGTCTACTGCAGGAACGGTCCTGCACCTCCCAAATGGCCCGTCAATACCAGATGGAGTCGGTGCATTCACGCCGCCGACGCCAGGCAGCCACGCATCGTCCAATCGTGACATAGATGTGTTGAAAGCTAAAATTAAGCATCTCGAAGAACAGCTTTCTGCTGCAAACCAGCGAGCCTCCTCGTCGATACCAACAACGCCCCGATGGGATAGCATGACGGATTCGTCCCAGATTGCGGGCGGCATTCATATACACCGCGAGGCCCCCCATGGCTGGACTTGATCTGACTGTAGCACGTACTATTTACCACAAGACCCGTCTCTTTGGACAAAGCCACTGGATGGTAGGCGTTGGAATGGTAAGATGTCCCGAGATACACAATAATTTGGTCTTCGCCTTGGCGATCTCCATCCTTGATTTACCTTGGGCTAACCTGGCGCCAAGTTCATGGATATCCTGGACACCGTAGAGCCACTCCTCCAGGATGCAAATTCCAGAGCTTTATTTGATCTCCAAAAGTGCAAGCTTCTCGGAAAGTTTATCAAAACAAGACGATCACCAGCATGGCCCACAATCCCCACTCACAACTTACCCCCCAAAGACTTAGCAGATACTCTTGTTGGCATTTACCTCCGCACATTCGAGGCCTGCACTCGAGTCTTCCACATCCCAACCTTCAAACGGGACTACGAAGCACTCTGGGCGGCGCGGGCGCCCCCTGACATGGCATTCGTCATCCAACTCAAGTTGGTCCTCGCCATCGCCGCGCCCATGTATGACGACGAGTTCTCGCTCCGCGCGTCCGCAATCCACTGGATCTACGAAGCACAGACATACATCTCAGAGCCAGACTTCAAGGCCCGTCTGAGCCTCCCGCATCTCCAGACCATTATCCTGCACTTCATGGCACGCGAGGTCGTCGGCGTAGAAGGCGGCCTGATCTGGATCTCCGTGGGCGGTCTCATCCGCACCGCGGTGTACATGGGCCTCCACCGAGACCCCGTCAACCTGCCCATGCGCAGCAATTTTGTCTGCGAAATGCGCCGTCGATTATGGAACACGATCCTGGAACTTGCGCTGACCACGTGCATGGCGGCCGGTGCACCCCCGCTTCTCTCCCTGGATGACTTCGATACGAGCCCGCCCGGCAACTTGGACGACGAGGATCTGGCGAGTCCTGACCCGATTGCCAAACCGCTGAATCAGCCGTCGCAGATGAGTATCGCGCTGGCGCTGCGCAGCATGTTCCCAGTGCGGCTGGCGATTAGCGAGATGCTCAATGGGATCGGGAGGCATGCGACCTACGAAGAGACGATCCGGTTGGAGACGGAGCTCAGGCGGCAGTACAAAGGGATTAGCAAGACGATGCAGGCGTTTGACGGGGACAGCGCTTCCCTGCCGAATAAGTTCCAGACTCAAGCGTTGGACTTTCAATTCCGGCGGAGCTTGTTGGCGCTGCATACGGCTTTTTTTGTGCCGGCTTTGACACAGGAACGGTATGCGTTTTCGCGGAGGGTTGTTGTTGACACTGCGACCCAGATTTGGGCTGCTGCAAGGCCGCGGTCTGGGCTGGTTCTGTCCCATCTGCGGGATAGCGTTTCTGATGATTATGTACGATTGGCGAAGAATGGACATGGGACGCTGCGTCAGATTGCGCTTTCGGCAGTCCTTCTTCTGGCTGGAGAGCTCAAGGCCCAGATCAAGGAAGATGATTCGCTGGGGCCTGTGGTTCTGCGACGTGACTTTCTGGATATCCTCGACGATGCCATTGAGTGGCAATGGGAAACTATTGAGGCTGGGGAAGTGAATACGAAAGGGTTCCTGTTCTTGAAGCTTGTCAAGGCGCAGATCAGCGGGTTCATGGAGGGTCTTTCGAGGGATCAGTTTGCACCGCGGTACGTCCGGGCGGCGGAGGAAGCGGAGGAGCGGTGTTTGGCTTTTCTGGAATCGCAGGTCGGGCTAGAGCAGGAAGATCTCAGAGCGGATTTGCAGGGGATTAATGAGATGTCGGTGAACTCTTTTCCGGACTTTATGGATTTTGATTTTTCGGTGAGTGGCACTCTGCTTTCGGGGCTTCGGATCTGCTAATTGGTCAGATGAACTATCCGATGGCCTTCGATCTTGATATGACGGACCCGAAGGCTTGGCTGGGGGGCATTGATTGATCTGCTCGTGACAGATGCTCTACGTCCCTAAGAGTGAATGTCCTCGGCCATTGCTCAGAGTCTGACGAGCTACTCGCATTCCACGGCCTGCAATCTCTGCTCCGCTCGACGAGAACCCTTCCTAACCAGAATTGATCCCCATACGGAACCGGGAAACCACCATACCACCTGCACGTTTTTGGTGATGAAAATGCGCCATCTTGTTGTACGATTCTCGTCACAATAGCTCGATTCTTCTGGGGTGTCTTGTTGTACATGCTTCGATGAGACGCGATCGGGACAAGCTAGGGAGTGAAGCTAACACTCCCTAGCAGGGTCTTCTTCTCTGGGGATTGTCCTGAAATGGCCAGTATGTCAAATCCCTGGAGGGAATTAGACGAAGATGAGGCGCGCCGATGATGACTGCTCTCAGCTTGTATTGGCCGTCTTGACACAAGACCAACCTGGATTTGTCCTGACCTATGTCCTGATAAGGAGCATTAGGATGCCTTTCCAGAAAGTTCATTGCACTGGGCCGAGCAAGAGAGAGCTAAGAGGTGAAGTTCACCGAAAGTTGGAGGGGTCATGATGGCAGACGCGAGCAAGATGTAATCAAACGAAGATGAGGCGCGACAATCGTAACTGCTCTCCGCCTGTATTGGCCGTCCTGGCACAACGCCAACCTGGATTTGTCCTGACCTATGTCCATCAGTAGGACATAGGATGAAATTCCGCTCCGACTCCAATAGTCCGCTACCAGCAGATCTCAGTTACTCATCCGCTGTAAGACGCTCGGACTGAAAATCTACAGTGAAGGATCAGGACCTTGAAACCCCGTTGCTCTGTAACCGAACATAGCGTAGTCCGACATGTCGCGCGGGCTTTGTAGTGGTCTACCGGGTCTTTCACAATATCACATCGAGTAAAAGTATACAGTTGGCTCTCGCTAAGCGGCGCAGCTGACGGTCTCCACGCACGTGCTCGTGATCAGAAATATCTCCAGGCCCTCCAAGATGCAGAGAAGCTGCAGGAAGGATGCTTCCCCTGAATACAAAACAAGCCAATGCAGGTTGCGTAAGCGAGATTTAAACTCCGTCGATCTAGGCACCACAATTGTATTGTGTAGCCCCGCACGCCCAATAAGTATCGGAAATGCCCGATACGCCGGGCATTCTCGCATCGCCCATAGCGGTAGATCAGAGGTCATGGGTCGTTAAAAATCTATAGCATAGCGCAGAATAATTGATCGAACCGAGAACGCCAAAGATGACAAGCCTTCCCCATCTGCGAACAAGCAGGGCCTGTTCGATCGCTGCGGGGCGTGGGGCGCAACTCACTATAACGTCCGAAGCTTAGCCGTGCGATCGGCCGGCGAATCATGTCGGGGTTCCAGCCCATGTCGGTGTTTCATACGCCAGAAATTGGACCCGAACGGTCGATGTTGCAGCAGTCCTAGTACCTGGATCGGCGTCGTATTGCGGGCCCGAACTTCGCTCTGGGCGTTTACTCGTCCACGGCTGCGTCCGGAGCTTCCCACGGCGCCGGTTTACTAGAACGATCAAGGTGCTCGGAATCCCTTAAAAGCGGATGGGACCCTAGCCTTATTTCTTCCATACTTTACAACACACGAAACAATCAGCACAATGTTCAAAGCGCTCCCTCTCGCTCTTCTGGCTGCGCTTGCTGTCGCCGACCCCACAGCTACCTGATTCGACACGGCGAGAAGCCTGACAGCGGCAACGGACTCAGCAGCCAGGGCGAAGAGCGCGCCCAGTGCCTGGTCAACGTCTTCGGCGCGAGCTCCAGCTACGACATCGGCTATATCCTGGCTGAGAAGCCAGAGAGCAGTAAGCATCGCACTCATTCTTCGCTCGGAGGGTTCTAGACCCATATTGACTTCACCAGACGGCAAGCGCGCCCGCCCCTATGATACCGTCGAGCCCCTCGCCCAGTCCCTTGGGCTGACTGTCGACACGTCCTGCAGCAAGACTGACGCTAAATGTGTTGCGAAGGCTGTGAAAAAGTACAGTGGCTCGGGGAACGTTCTGATCTGCTGGGAGCACGGCGAATTGACTGATATTGCGGAGGCCCTCGGAGACAAGAACCCTCCTACCTATGACTCGAACAGGTGCGTTATTAATTCATGAGCAAGGGCTGTGACTGACGCAGGGTAGCTTCAATATTATCTGGACTATGCCTCCTCCGTACAGTGAAGTTACCAGCCAGACCTCGGAGGACTGCCCTGGGCTTGACAACTAGATGGATCTGCGGATAGTTGGAACGACAGGGAGCCTGCTATTGTTAAAATACGATTCATGATTGGGATGAATTGAAATAGGCTCGAGATTTGGACATTGATAGACGGACTACGACTCCAGCCTTACGAAAACTATGGCATGTGGAAGAAGTTTCTGTGCAAGTACAGAGAAGTCTCACGAGGTGTTGAAAATATTTAGAGTCAGACCATTGACGAATTGGAATCCCGGTTGTACAGGATAGGTCTCTATAGCGGGCCTTAACTCGAACGTATTTGATGGCTCTGAGATTCTTAGACGTCATAGCCTGTCTATATATACAGCTCGCATGTGAATTACGTTAGAGAAATTTTCTAACTCAGCCCGGTGGTCCAAAGTGTTAGGGGGGTTTCTCATCCCAGAAGAAGCATCATAGTTCATTTTACACTACCTGGAGACTACCGAGAAAACACAATATGGCGAACAGAAGGACCCCAAATCGCATCAACATCCACCACAGGTGGCTACGAGACAACCAAATTAATGGTGGAAGACCTCCCTCATAGACCCGAAGACCTTGACAGTCAAACCAGTGGACCAGACAGGAGACTGACCCTTGTTGACCGTGTACGCGATAGCCTTGGCGGGCGCGTCCTTTGAACGCTTCTCAAACCAGTACACGTGGCGGTAGTCAATGAAGATTTCATAACCATCACCTTGGTCATGAACCAGGATAGAAGGCTTGTCGGTCCGGAAACGCTTGTCGAGAGTAACACGTTCCTCCTTACCCCATGAGTTTCCAATGAGAGTGTTGAACACGATTGCGTTCTCGGCCCGGCGAACGGATAGCAAGAACACAATGTCGCCCTTGCCATCAGCGCCAGATGTGAAGTAGAACTGGCTGTTGTCGATGCCGTTGCCTTTGAACGGGGTCAGGTTCAAGGAGGTCGAGTCGATAATGACGACAGAATCGGGGGTGAGAGGTTTCTTGAACTGCAAGACCTTGCCCACATTCAGGTTAGCCTTGTGCGACTCGGTCTTTGGCGGAGGGGGTGGCGGGATTGCGGGCTGCTTCAGGGCAGGGTCGAGAGCGCCGTCCGATCCTCCAGTCAGAGTGGGCTCCTTCTTGAAGTTCTCAACAAGCGGCGGCTTCTTGGGGTCGTTGAAGTGGGTGCAGTCGTTGCTAGCGCCGATGACCTCCAGCTCCAGCGGGTCCAATTTATGGCGAGGAACCTCCTGTCCAAACTGGAACACACGCCAGTAGACCTTCTTCTGAAGGTACTTCAAGACATCGTTTCTGCTCAGGCTGGGCAGGTCTTTGGCACCCGATTTGATAATGTTGATAAGCACCGGGGTAATCGACAGGTTCGCAGTGACTTTGAGATTCTGCTTCTGGTTATTCTTGCAGTTGCGACAGGCGGCCCTTCCAGCGGCATCGTCTGGTGTCTGACTAAAATTGTAGACTTCGGCGATGAGATCGGTCGTAGCATTCTGCTTGCTGCCCTCGCGAGCAATGTAGACACGAATCCAGAAAGGCTCTCCACCAAATGCATACTTGGCAAAACGGATACTGAAAGAATATTCCAGAGCTTTGAGAGCGTCGGGGCCGTACTCAACACCTTTCAGGTTTGTGGCCTTCTGCAATGCCTGGCGGGAGACACCGTACAGATTGTTGATGCGCTCGCGGACATCGGCGACATAGCTTGCAGAGTCGAAAGCACCACCCTTTTTTGTACTTCTCAAGCCATGGCTGAAGGTCGACATAATTGTAGCCCAGGCTGTATGTGTTTCGCACATCGGTTGGCTTGATGAGAGTACCTTTGGTGTCTACGTGGAAGGGCCGGAGTCCAACATCGGGACCAAACTTGGCGCCTTGTTCCAGGCCAATAGTCTTTTGGAAGAACTCATTGACGGTACCCTCTGTGAACCACTTGTCAGGGTTCAGGGTTTGCCATAGTGCCCAGATGCGATCGATGTTACTGAAGGAAAAATTTTAGCATGACACGTTCCTTCTGGATGGCAGTTTGACCCAAGTAAAATTGGACGAAGCTTGATCTGCCGAAAAGGCTATCCATACTTACCAATGGTGAAGCCAGAAGAGAGGATCAAATGTGGCGACTGGAATCTGAGACATATGGCCGTTGAAGTCACCTCCTACCCATCCGTGAATGTTGTTGTGAACTAAATAGTAGGTCAGTGCGTGCCGTGAGACAGAGATTAGGTAGTACAAGACATACTGTACTCGAGGTTGATATCGTTCTCAACCTTTTGGTCCGGTGAGGCCTGAGCAGTTGTAGCGAACGTGGAGTATTCCATGGGGACAGTAAGCAAACGATAAACGAGTTCAGCCGGCTTCGCTCCAGCCGGGGCTTCCGTCATCCACTCGCTTCTCTCCAAAGACTCCTTGACCTTCAAGTTGTTGACGGTACCGTGCTTCCAGCCCTCAGACCCTGACTGGACATCAGGTTCATCAGGCCAACGGCTAGTGGCCACACATTCGGAGAACTACATCGTCAGCTCGACCGGATCCATATCCAATTCAAGAAAAGGCACTTACAAAGAGGAGCTTTCCACCCTCGGGGACCCAGGGGTCCTTGAAGTTCTCAACCTTCAGCGCACCCCATGGCTGACCCTGAGGGTTGCGGAATTGATACAGGGGGTTTGGGATAGGCTGTTCCCCCTTGCCATCGGCAGTTGGAACGATGGCAATAGGGGACTTGCTCAGATTTGGAACAGTAGCCTGAGTTCCCCAATCCCAGAAGGGAAGACGCCAATTTTCTGCCGCTTCCTCCCATTCAGGGCGGACTTCCTCATCGAAGCCGGACACGATCTCCTTTGCCAACTCTGAGATTCGTTGCTTCAGAACCGTTAGCGATACTCTAAGGTACCATACATTAGACACATGGAGAATGATAATACCTCGTACAGAGCAAGGTACGCTCGATGCCAAATCGGGAACAAAATGTTGTTATGTGTACAGTACCCCTTCCCTTTTGCCTCTGCTTCCTCAATCGTTTCGTCCCATGGTACGTTCGGCTGTCCATGAATACCAGCGATCTGGAAGTAGGAATCTCGGTCGCTGGGGTCGATCTTCTGGAACCGATCAAGAGCAGCCACAAACAGCTTCACTTCCTTATCGTTCGCCGGGTCTCCGCTCCATGTGTCAATATTCTGACGAAGAGGCACAGGGGTCTGGGCAGTGATATTGGCTTTGGCAACCCCCTTCACTGGAACACCCTGGATGGGGTAGTAGACGTGGGCGGGGAGGAGGTCTCGGAGTCTTGGCTACCCTGCGACGACATGCTGGTAGACAATCTTGCGAGCGTTTCAGAGATGGATTCTGCTTTCCGTCCCTTCAAGGATGAATGGCTATGGTTCGGATGCCTGAAAAGGAACATATGGAACTGACAATGGCGAGCGCCGCGGCAGGGTCTTTTATATGCCCAGCTCGATGGCACCGAGATCAAATGGTACGCTGCAGATGAATTTACAGATCCAAGAACGGGGCGCTGGGCTGGTTTCTCCCACGAACTTCCTTGTCCCGCGGCAACTTTTCTGCACCGTGATGAGGGGTTCTTGCATGCTGATCATGGAGGCTGGCAACTCTATGGCTCTCTGGCTAGCTGAACAAGAACAAAAGGCCGTGACTTTACCCAGTATGGGCACCTCCAGCTACACCCAATGCGACGCAGAAGGTCTCCCATTGGAGGATTGAACCGCTGTGGCAGTAGTGCAGGTATACCGTACGCCATTAGTATCCACTTCCAGCGACCTAAGAATGAAGCTGGGACGTCAGCGCACATCGTCGATGCCGAATATAGAATCTCACGCTCAAAGCACGAACCCTACTCGGCGACGATCCCGATCCCCATTGCTTCTGCTTTCCACTCATCTTCTCGGTGTTGCATCCCACAGCGGCAAATCCCCATTCATCAGTTGCAGGTCCACGGGTGGGGCGCGGGACAGCGGGACAGAGCGGGAGCTATTGCAATGATGCACGATGATGAGATTTGTGACAGGAGGGAAACTTTGGTGACGATCTGAGCCCCATGAGTCCTCGAGACCGGGAAGAACCAAGTCATTGGGTTGACAATAGACGATCCAAGGGGCTCGCTTGCGGGGAAAGACATGGAAGGAGAGAGTAAAGCAAGAACTGCCGATCGGCGGGGATGAAAGCAGTGGGGAGCTGAGCTGTAACTAGTGGATTACCCAGGGTGCATGGGTCCCGGTGCGTCGCTAAATGGAGCTAACGCAAGCCACGAACATATGTTTGCTTTTTGTTCCCAAGTCCTGCAACTTCCTGCAACTTCCTGCAGCTCTCGGCACGCAAGCTGCAGTACACTGAAACCGGCTCCCCGTGCATTTACAGGTTACACATTGGGGGCGTTGGTTGAGGACTTTTTCGTTTGTCCGATCGCGGATCGCGGGATCTTCGTCGATCCTGTTTTTTTAACTCCTTCTGGATTCTCTGTCCGCGACCCTTCCCACCCCCCACCCCCCATCTCTCCCCGCATCGTCCGGTTCTATCAACATGTTTGGTTCATGGGGCAAAGGAAAGCAACGTGAAGACTGGTCCCCACGATGGGGGCGAGATTGGCGGTCATCCGATGCTTTTATTATAAGTACCATGTCGCTGGCATTGTTCACAGGTAGGAAGAACACATGTCCACGAGGTCGACTTTGCTGACCCCAAAACACTAGATGAATTGCTCTTCGCGTTTATGATTCCTTTACTTCCGACCGTACTCGAGAACCGAATCGGAGTTGACCCCAGCCATACGCAATGGTATATCTCTGCGTTCCTCACGGAGGGGGCATTTGTCTCCGTCGTGTCCAGCCCAATCATCGGGTCAATCGCGGACGCGGTGTCCAGTAAGAAGGCACTCTTGCTGAGTTTACTCGTGATCGCACTGATCAGCATTGTGTGCTTGTCGCTCACGACTGACTGTAAGTTCGGCCCGTGAACCCATCGGCCCTATCTAACAAGGTTACAGTGGCATGGCTATTCGTCGGTCGGTTCTTCCAATGCATCGCCAGCAACGCGCTGTGGATTGTTGGAATGGCTACTATGGCAGAGAATATTGGGACTGAACATATGGGTAAGATCGCGGGCTTCAGTTCCACCCTCACTGCGGCCGGCACAACAGCAGGTCCGGTCCTCGCGGGTCTCTTGTTTGCTGCTGGGGGCTACTGGGCTGCATGGGCCGGGGCAGCGGCCTTCTTGGTGATTGATATCATCATGCGGCTTCTCATGGTGGAAAAACCCCCCGAGGACCAGAAGACTGTTGACGAGCAGGACCCCTTGCTCAATGGCCGTCCAACCGCGGAAGCGACCGAGGTTGTAGGTGGTTGGCGCTTCTATGCGTGCCTCTTCCGCCAACCACGCTTCGCAGCTGGGATATTCTGTTACTTTGTATTTGCCTGGGTTATCGCGTGCTTTGAAACTACCCTGTCAATCCACGTGAGAGAGGCTTTCGGATGGGGAGTGCTCCCCGTCGGTCTGTTAATGGCAGCCATCCAAGGACCGGGCACTCTATTAGCGGGCCCCGTAGGCTGGTTGAAGGACCGCGTAGGATCGCGAAACCCAACAGTCATCGGATTCCTGGGTCTCGTGCCTTTTGTTGTGATCATGGGATTCCCAGGTGATGAACGATTTCCATGGGTTGAAGGAGATCGCGGCAAGGTTGTTTACGCAACAGCCATGGTGTTCAGTGGATGCTTCATGTGTCTCATGAATGGTGTCGGGTCGATGGAGGCAGCTGGTATGTTACGTGGACTCCTTGACGCGGCGAACGGAACTGACGATGGTAGAAACCGTTGACATTCTCGAGAAAGAGAAGCCCGGGATTTTCGGCCCCAACGGTGGCTATTCCCGGGCCATGGCGGTAACAAGCATGACTTGGATGGCCGGACTGATGATTGGACCACTTCTTGGGGGTCTCATTGTTCAACAAGCAAGCTATTTTGTCCTCCAATGCTTCATTGGTAAGCCTCCGTACCTTCATCTGTCGAGTGTCGCTAACAAAATTAGGCGGCACGGCTTTGATCGCGGGTATAACTGCTTTTTGCTTCTTGCATTCGCATGAAGCTCCGAGTCCAGAAGATGTCTCGGAATAAAAACATTTCTGTGCATTTTATTTGTATTCCATTTGTATTCCACTTCGAGTCTCTGCATCCACCGTGTACCATTTTTGATTTCATAGAGCCCAATCAGAGCACCCGTGAGCCTCGACCTTCGAAACCCATCTACTAACACACTTGCGCTTCCATGAATGTCGTCGCAAAAGTAACTCTAGGCGATACATGTGTGTAAATGAAAAGCCTCTACACAATCCTCATGCCCACAGGAGCCGAGAAAGCAGATCCGACACCAGTCCGGCGCGGTAGCATCTATTCCACAGACGAAGCACCATAGTGGCAGGGTGCTGTGCTTGTCCGCTTCGATCGACAACTGCTTCCGGTGCTCTTTACTCTTTGACCCTAGGATGTACTGCTGTAATATACGACGGTCCACTGCTGCACTGTCCAGTTTTGGTAACCAGCGCACCCACGGAGAGCGACGACGGATAGCAGCCATGACGCGGAAGTCAGCAGAGATCTTTCTGTCGACGGCGATGAAAGCCCCCAACCCGCGCACAATCTCTCTATCCGACATTTCGGGGTTCTGTCCCACCACATGATCCCGTATAAAGCCTTGAATGGCGTCGCCTATCTTCGCACTCCGCGCCGGCCAATTCTCTTTATCCGCCAGATTGAGAATACCGAGAGACTCGATCAGTACGGGAGTGGGTACAGGTCGACTGACGAGTGCACGCCAGAACCGGATACTTTGAGTCATCTGGGCCCTCTCGCGAAACGCAAGACACTGTGTCATCAACCCGTCGAAGTTGATCGCAATGCCACTCACGCAGAGCCCTTTGCCAAAGACAACCAAGTCGGGCTGAAGATCATCGTCCATGCTCGAGTACTCTGGTCTCTGACACGCCCATGGCGCTCCGCATCGGATAGCAGTCATGGCCTCATCGACGACGAGGAACAGCCTCGCGGCTAAGCAGCAGCGTTTGAGGAGCGCGAACTTCGCAGGAGGGAATACCGCTCCATCTGACGTGCTGACTAGGTCGACGATCACGGCAATGCACCCCTGCTCTTTTGCAGCGACTAGCTTCGCCAGCAGAACGTCGGGGGCGAAATCATCGGGGCCAATCACAAAAGGGGGTTGGCCGGCTGCAATGATATTGTATTCCCATTCTTTCGATGCATGTGCCTGGTACCAATCAGTAATGCCCCATTGACAGTCCATTTCCCCACTCACCAATGGGCCAAACGCTACCTCCGTAAATCCCCCTCGACGATCGCAAACCTTGGGCTTTGTACATGCACGTCTTTCCATCCTAGCAAGTTCCGGACAAAGCTTTGAATCCGCTTCGGTTCGGGCTCATCTAGAATCATCGGAGACAGTTCGGGAGACTCAATTATTAGAGGGCTCGTAGATGCAGTGTTGAGAATCAGGGTGGCCATAGTTGTCGGCACCAAGACATCGCTGACATGAGAGTGCAGAGAGATGGGCCAATATCCCTTGAAGAACTTTTGAAATGTCTCCGTGTACTCATTCAACAGAAGATGGTACTGGCGTTCAATTGCGCTGGGGTCGTTGCAATATTGCTTCCAAAGCTCGCGCGCCCTCTCGTCTGCAACAAAACCTCGCATAGAGTAGTTCGAGCCCCAGGCGCTATGGAAGTCATGGTCTAGCAACCCTTGAACACCATTCGCGTCCTGTGCCTCGTCCTTGGCGCCATTGCTAGAACCATTTCCGTTCAACATTTTCGCTTCTTTTAGCCCCTGTAGCTGTACGTACGATTGCAGAATGGACGGGCACTGCAGTAGGGACAAACAAAAGAGCGCCACACAGCAAGGACTGCACCTCTCATCATTGCAGGATAGGGACACGCCCCAGGGCCGTGATGCCACACCCAATCAATACCGACTGGACGAATCCGGGTTCGCCCCATGGAAGCTCGTATTTTTGGACCCAGGCGCCCGCAAAAATCAAACCCACCCCCTGCGCGATCCGAGCCGCTTTGGCCAAACAATTACGGGATTATGGCGCAGTTCTGGCCACGAGTGGGGCCCTGTGGAGAGCAGCTTGTTGAGACTTTGGGGTCTGGATCTCGCGAGCTCGAACCTGTTCTGCGGAGTGCATTGCTCATGGCGGAACGATTGGCTGCGGGAGTGTTCGTGGCGTAATGACTTGACGACAACACGTCACCAAAAAATCGCATCCACTGTGGGTCGCAGCCGATCATTCTTACATGTCTGGTAGCCACGAACCTGAATCTGTCATGTAATCGTGACACGATACGGAGCGCTCGGTGGGCAGGTTGGCAAGAATGTGGAAGGATGACGAGTCGGGGTAGCGGGTAATACGGAACTTGAGCGTTCTGGGTCAGAATGGCCGAACGGTGCTACCTGAAGCTGTGCTGAAGCACCGTGCGAACAACTTGAAAGACCCCAGCCCTCGCGCTTCGAGATCATCCTGGTCTTTATCATTATATTGCATTGATTCCTCACAATGGCTCCCGGGGTTGCAAGAAGACAGTTTCCACGTCAATTAACCCCTCGTTGGAAATACCCTCATACTCTGCCCAAGCGGATTGCTTTGTCCAGGCAGATCCAACTGCCTAGAGACACTCTCGAACTTGATATAGACACCCCTGGTCTTTTAGGAACTTGCACGTCACTGCACTTCGCTTGCTTGAAGGCGGCATGGGTGCTTACCCTCCAATGCTTCCAGCCAGCAGATGTGATCCACTTTAGCTATGAGCCCGACAATGACTGTCCAATAGTTTATACTGTTCGAGTAGATCCCGAGCTGGGATGTGCAGACACTTTTGCAGCTGATCGAATCCGCCGACGTGTCTGAAAAGCGGGACGCACAGCTCTATGGAGTTTATGCATCTCCATCCCCGCTGCTCGAGGCTCATGTACTGCATTTCTGCACTATTTTGACAGCCCCCCGGCTGGATCGAAATGGCCGGTGACCAAAGAAACAACCCAGTCGAAGGTAAGCTGAAAGTAAGGGATGCCGCTCTTGCATGTCGCTGACACCCTTCCAGTCTTCCACAGATCTAACCCTGACGAGAAATGGCAACCAAATACGAGCTAGCTTAAAGAAGAAGACCCTGCCGCCCCACGAAAACCCAGACAGCATAATTTGGACATTCAGGCATGTCCTGAAACAAATCACAACCCAACGCGAGACCTTACTGTTGAAGGATATCGACTATTGCTCCTCTTGGGATCGAAAACTCCTCCGAGTCCTCACCCGCACCAAATCGATCACAAACAATGTTTGCCTCCACGATCTCATACTGTCAAATTGTCGCGAATATCCCAGTCGAATGGCAGTGCGATCTTTTGACGGGGACTTGACCTACAAGGAGCTGGACGACCTGTCATTTCGCTTGGCTATTCACCTCAGAGGACTAGGCGTGGGGCCTGAGACTTTTGTCCTGAGCAGTTTCCAAAAATCAACATGGGCAATTGTTGCTCGACTGGCGATCTTGCGCGCTGGAGGAGCTTATATATCTATCCACGCAAGTAATCCACCGGCCTATTTGAGTTCAGTGATCGAGCGGACCAACGCAAAGGTCATGTTGAGTGATCCTGCCTTTGCAGACCAGTTCTATCATTGCATTGATACTGTGGTGGGGGTAACCCCGGAGTGGCTTCAAACTCTTCCCATGTCCTCCGAACATAAACTCCCTAGCATTGAGCCCTCGAACGCGTGCACTGTCCTGTTTACGTCAGGAAGCACAGGAAAACCAAAGGCCATCGTTCAAGAGCATCGCTCCTACGCCTCTGCGATACGGGATTATTCGCGGAATCTAGGACTGACGGAAGAAACACGCTATCTCCATTTCGACGACTACGCATTCGACATTAGCAACCTGGAATTCCTGGTCCCACTCATTCTTGGGGTTGTTGCTGCGTGCCAGGGCCAATGAAGACAGTCCAAGACCTGACCGAGAACATCCAAACCCTTGCGGCAAACATTGCTTTCCTAACCCCTACGGTCGCCATCAAGCTTAACCCAGCGGCAGTACCGAACTTGAAAATCCTCTGTGTTGGCGGCGAGCCTCTCCCAAAGGACCTCTTGAACAACTGGGCGGGCAGCTCCACCAGGCTCATCAATCAATTCGGCATGGGCGAGGCAGCGGTATGCTGCGCCTACAATGACAGTGTCCACGAGCCAGGAACCCCAGTTGCGACGATCGGGAAGCCTTCCAGTGGCGCCATCTGGATCGCCGATCCCACATACCCCGAGAAACTAATGCCGGTCGGTGCGGTGGGCGAGATCGTGATTGAAGGGCCCCATCTGTCCAGAGGATACCTGGATCAGAATCATCAAGCTCTCGACAGGACTAAACCTGCCGGGTTCCTAGATCAAACCCCCGATTGGCTGGGCCAGTTGCATCCCGATCGCAGCGGGGCCCGGTTATACCGATCGGGCGATCTGGCTCGATGGTTGCCTAGTGGACGGATCGAGTACATTGGCCGAAAAGATACGATTGTGAAACTGGATGGCTGCCGAATTGATGTCATCGAAGTCGAACACCTTGCGCGGAAATGTCTCACGCCCAAAGATGCGATCGTGGTTGATCTGCTGGGAGTGATTGACGGCCGGGAAGACCCCTGCTTAGCGGCGTTCCTTTATTTGAGCGACCATCCCAATAACTCCGAAGCTGTCGACGTTCGTTTAACAGACAGCAGTGAGGATTCTTTGGCGACGGCAAAGGTCCGTCAGATCCGGGAAGTGCTAGCCGAGTTTCTCCCGCTGTATATGATCCCTACACTTTTCCTTCTCGCCACACGAGTGCCGAGGACAGCATCCAATAAGACGGATCGACGCATGATTCGAATGCTTGGACAGCAGTACCATGCTTCAGAACGTGAGCGACGAAGCCAGCATGGCCCTCGCGCTGAAGCCCAGCTCCTTCCTCCATGATCCATCTACTTTCTCATAGTTAAGGAAAATGATGTGTTTCAATAATCAAAGCATAAGGCACTTGAAGGCCTTCACCTGTACACGAATGCCTATCTGTATTTTCCAGACTTCGCAAACCTCGACTGATCTTCAAGTGGGGCAATCAATTCAAATCACAGTTTGCGGGGCCTTCCGGCCTTCCAAGTTTCAGCCGCGGAAATCCGGTTCATCTTGTAATTTACCACGCTAATGTAGTACACGATGGAGTAGTGTGGGGTTGGGTAGACTGAAGCCTTGGAAGTGGAACAACGCAAAATGCACGTCCGATCTGCAAGATTTCGACGCGAAATCGCGAAGCCCAAGTTGCCTGCACATTATTAGGTTATTCCCCTTTGGCATCTGCACGTGCCCTGGGTAGCATTCAGACGGCATTCCAACTGACATCTTGACATTTTTCCTTGCCGCATCATCGTCCTTGTGCATCGCGTCAACATCCCTGCCAACGGCCATGGCGAATGCCCAGCACCTGCATGGTACGATCCATGAATACGTATGTGGTTGATATTTTGGTATCGTTGGGCGCCTGTGCCTATGCCTACCAACGCGACTGGTTGTAATGCATTTTAATCTGGGGACCACAGATCAAGGGAAGAAGCGTGTTCGAGTTTACGAACAACTCCTCCGTTCCTCATGGACGACCTCATACCCTGCTCTTCATTGCAGGTCTGAACGATGGCCTCCCAACCGTCCCCTATGTGGAACACATTGCCAAGGCACTGAAGCCCACCAAATGGTCACTGTTCTGGGTTCAGTTGTCCTCTGCATATGGCGCATGGGGCACCTCCAGTCTCAGCAAAGATATTGGTGAGATCTTCAAGTGCATCAACTTCATCAGAGATCTCAGGAAAATGCGGTCTCCTCACGAGGAGCATGGAAAGATGGTTCTCATGGGCCACTCCACCGGCTGTCAGGACATCCTATACTACCTGACAGACACCAAGAGCGGTTGTAGGGGGGATATTAATCCGACCGTCCCTTTGGCTTCTCGCCGAGTTCTCGACGGAGCCATACTCCAAGCCCCTGTCTCGGATCGAGAAGAGCTCCACATGAATCTTCGGCGAAGCCAGAACCCCCCATGACGCTTGGGCTACATACCACCAGCTCGTGTCGCTAGCCATGTCACAGCCACCCTTGGAGCTGCTACCACTCGCTATGACCACGAAGATGGGTTTCACGCTCGATACGCCATTCAACGGTTACCGCTTCCTGAGCATCGCAAGTCCCGAGAGTCCTGGCTCCCCATCAGACGACGACATGTTCAGCTCGGATCTACCTGACGCTGCATTAGCGAAGACATTTGGCCGTGTTAGTGCATGTGGCAAGCTCAAAGGGCAATTGCTCGTGCTCTATTCCGAATGCGACGAGTACGTCCCGTCAGAGGTGGACAAGCGTGCATTGATGCAGCGATGGGAACGGGCTACAAATGCTGGGGGAGAGCAGAAATGGGACCCGGAGAGCGGGCTTATCCCAGGCGCAATCCACAATGTGGAGTTCCATGGCCAGGACTGGCTTATTGCGCGAGTTCATGGCTACCTTCAGCGGGTGGAGCGAGGTTAGGGTAAATGAATCCAGGGTATGCCCTTAGAAAGTTCTGGTTATCATGTGCCTTTTTGAACTCGGAATGTTTCAAAGCATGCCATTTCCTCGGAATTCGATGACTGCATTGGGATAATTCTTGATTAATTTGAACGGCGTGATTAGGCGTGGTAGACCTGTTTATCAATTAATTAATGACGTGATGCTGATTGAACCCAGCTAACCCCCCAAGCACTGACCACTGAATTCTTCACTTCTGTCCATCTACTCTTAGAAACCCGATGCAGCAGCTATGCGGATCTGGCCGAGATAATCACATCTAGATTATAAGGACCTGTGACATCGACTCCGAGGCGGCCGGCTTTTGACTTTACAGTGGCCTTTCCACCTATACCTTGCCGATCACAAATTCACCAGCAGCAATTAGAACAGCTGTATCTTCCCGCGTACGAAGACAGACTATCCTCCGGCCAAGGAAGTTGACAGTCCACAGACTCACGACATTTACAAACAACCCGAGACCAATGCCCAGAACGAGAGAGATCAGGTTCCACTTCAACATACGACTTGATTCGCATATTGCTTGCTATGCTGCCCACCTGGAGCTTACGATCAAGGGCCAAGCTATGCAGGACCTCCATTCTTATGGGTCTAGCGAGGAATTTTTTTTCTTCATACAAGGTGATATGGATATTTGTCTTCGCAGTGATTCTCATAAACCCCTATCCGATTGCATCCGCTCATCCCTGCGCTTTCGCAGCCTATCGAGATCTGCTTCCAGTCTGGCAATCTCATTGTTTAGCTCCGTGGTAGACGCGATCCGATACTTGAGAGTCAATACGGCAGCAGAAATCACGAGAAGAGCGATAGCGACTAAGTACGACCACTGCCCCACCTGCTGGGGGCTCTCCTGTGATGGTCCATCATTATAGATCCACCACTCCGCCCAGACCACAAACGCAATCGTCGTGAAAGGACTCGCAATAATACTGAAAATAACACAGATCAATATAGCGATATCGAACACGACCCGGAGCAGCGCTTTGATAACCCGAACGGAGAAGAACGGACGTATCCGGCCCCAGAAAGAATGCTCGGCGCTGGAGGGGTTGGATTCCTCCTTCCCAGGGCTTTGTGGGTTCCTTGGCCATGCACCACGAATTTCCGATTTGATGCCGTGCCAGATAGCCTTTCGTTCCTTCCATATCGGCACGATCTGTGCAGACGGGACATGCGATCTGAAAGGTAACCATTTGAAAGTCAAAAGTACAAGATTCAGTACGACACAGAGAACGATCAAGCTGTAGATATATTGCCGGGAGTAGATCAGTCTGCTCCACAGCTTATTCGGGTGGGACAACTCCGAGCTCTCAGACGCCGTGGCCGACTCAAGGGACGTTGGCTTGCGCAGGATCTGGCTAGTATTGAAACAAGGGTTATAGCAAATGTCACCAAGCTCGGCCCAGTTCGTGGCGTTCGAGAACGTCATCCACACGCTAGAGTTCCAGTCGGAAGGCCTCCACGACGACTGCCACCCGTCGCTGGTGGTCAAATCGTAGGAGGAATGTCAGGATAGCAGAACATGTACTGCGTCGGAATGTTCGCCGCATTGGCCGAGTAGACAAGGGCACAGATGGAGCCGGCAAGCATTAAAATATTCCAGAGATAGAATAGAACATTTCGTGCCCTTTCCTTTGTCAACACGCGAGACCAGGCTTGTAACGGGACGAAAACAAGGTATCCCGTGACCACAATGGCCATGATGGCATCGATGTCCAACTCCGACGCTGCAGGCTGGATCAGGACATAGTCCGTTTCAGTGATGAGCTGTGGGAAGTCTTGCAGGAGAGTCGTATTCCTCGGCACATATGGAATGGTGACAGGCGCAGGAGCGGCGATTTTAGCGGGATTCGCTACGAGAATAAAGGCCTCGATTGCCGCGGTGCCTGCATATGTCGCGGCTGTGCCTAAGAAGACATCGGCAAGCCAGCCAGTCCAGCGCGATACGCAGCTGGCTATCAGCAAAGCATAGAAGAGATAGCGAGGACATGCATCGTAAATGGTGCTTATAGGGTAGTAGCATATGGTCTCCTGTGCTACGAACAACGGTCCGTTGGTGCCCATTGGCTCTGGTAGCGCGAGCGCTGAAGTAGTGACTAGTATGTACAGGGAGCAGACATCGCTGTTATTAGTCTTGGAGAAAGAAATTCCCCGCGCCCCACACAAAGTTTCTGTGCGAATTTAATTTGACTTTTTCCTCGCATTCTTCAGCTGCTGCCTTGAGTGGAGCGACAAGCGCCGCCTCGTGGTTATTACGTCACCATTCTCAACCACACCCGCCTAGGTAGATATAACCGAAGTCTTCTCAGGTATAACTGTTGACGCCACTTGGTTTTATCAACAGAATAAATCAATTGCCCTCTGTTAGTTTCGCATGCAAGCAATGCCGTGGTGTGCGGAGATCAATGCTACATGCTGCTAGTAACCAAGCGCTGAAAGATGCGAGGCATCAAATGCTCCATGGAGAGCTACCCCAGCCTTGAAGAGGTCTTCATGCAATGCTTCTCTTTATTCTCTGCCAGTTTCAACCATTTGTCCAACGACCAACATGTCAAATTGAAAAGCCATTGGTTAAGCCTGCAGGACGCAAGTCATGTACGGTAGGCTGAATAATAGACTCAAAGAAAGCTCGTGTAAGACCTACATCTACCGTCTTGAAGCGATGCCAAGCTCAGCCACCCTTTAACCTGTAGACACCATCATGCGATACGATTATTAACCTTCATTAAATAAAAAGAAATAACGAAATGCAAGAAGCCACACGAATTTGATCCCACTCGGCATTCCAGATAGGAGCAGCAACCCCTCAAAATCTGCGTTTAAGAATAAAATATCCTTTTCAAGACCTCTCACAGTGTCAATTAGTCGTAGCATGAGGCCTTCGGAAAGGGTCATCCCGGTGACGATTAGGCGGTGTTCCTGCAATTCTTGCGCAGATGAACCGATCTCTGCGGTTGTTATCGACAGCCTTTTATTGTTCCCAATTTTCTCTTCGAATCCCGTTATTTTCGTGGACGACTTGAAGTCTGAGGCGCATCTTATCGTCACTGGGATTCAGATAATAGCGAATATCCAAAACGAGATAGATATCGCATTCGCTTCTGCGACAGATTAGTCAAGCAATGACAATAAAGGCGGTCTACACAGCTTCACATACCAATACGCGTGGCCTGGCTTAGGGCTTCGACGTCTTCCAGGGAATAGATTGGTAGAGCCGCAGAGGGCCTCGTGAAGATGAACTGGACTTCACCCTTCCTCGATCGCCCGCCGTTGCCCCTGCGTCCGCATCGGATGTGAGCATAGTTCTGCCCACTTAAGAACGTGCTCCCAAATGAATTCAAATGCTCATCCACGTAGGATTTGTCCCCTAGATACTTATTCTCCTGATCTCTTTTCTTGGAGGCGAGTTTCGGGTGCCTGGAAGCGAGTGTCGGGCGCGACGGGGTCCTTTGTCTCTCCTTGACGGTGGAGAAGAGGAAGGGGAGGGCAGTTCCGGTTGGCACAGCTGATCTATGCGTGCCTCTTCTTCAGATTTCAGGATCCATTCTTCTTTGTCATCTACTATATGTTTCTCGTAAGGTTCTGTCGCCATCCAGGCGTTCCACTTGCGAACGACCCGTACTGCGTGGTCCTGAGACGTTTCAAACCACTCGATATGCTTTTTATCACAGCCTGGGCATTTAGGTTCGCATCTCCGGTAGTTCATCAGCTCCGTGTGGACCAAAGCCTCGATACGCCCAATGTGGCGCAATTTTTGGAAATCGGGCGAGCTCTCGTTTGATTCTTTGGACAAATCAGGGAAAAGTCCCATCAACTCCTTTTTGCATTGCTTGTTCCACTCTTCTAGACGGCCGCGAACATTGTTTGTCCGGCCAATCTTGAGGTGACCGAAATTTGGGCGCTGCCAGAATATGTAAATTGATCCCCGGCGTTCGACATCGGCGTTTGGTAGAGGTTTGGTGAGCAGCTTTTTCAGCTCTTCATTCACCGACCCTTTCAACCTTTGGGGTTTGTAGGGCTGGAGCTGTTGGATTGGGTTTATAGGCAGGGCAATGTTTTCAACCTCCACGGGCAGGAGTTGAGTGTCTTCAGGGATTTCTGTACCTGCTGACTGATGAAGAAGACACATCCAGCGGATAATAGCCTGTAGTCGCTTGTTCTGGGGCAAAGCTGTCGATTTGAGCTCGTGCATTTTGGTCAATTCTTGGAGCTCCTCTTCCCAGTTTTGGATTTCTCTCAAAGCGACCTTCCGATGCACAGCGCAGAACGACAGTTGCACCAACTGTTGGATATTTTCCATGAATGTTCCAGTGCTGAATGACATGATGCTCTGGATCTGAGCTAAGGAGCACCTTGTGGCATGGCCGATTCTACACCTCCGACCCTCAGGCAGCAAGGATAGACATGTTGTATTGTTCTGCAAGAAATGCGATATGATTCCAGGTGGAATCACCTTCAGAAGTGATTTCCCCAGGTACACCTGCTTTGTGTCATTTGTAGGTAAGAGACTCCTGTCGTATGACTCTCGAAGTGCATCCTTATTGCCGCCTTGAATTGTTCCCGTAAGCTGTAGAAAAAAAGACTGGTCGGTTTCACTCGAAGACTTTTCCTTGGCTTTCTCTGTCTGGCTAACACTACTGGCATGGTTGGAGATGGCGGGCAGTGGCTTCGGAGGCTGCCCCAGTCTGGTAGGCCTCCCGGGCGATCCACCGGTCGACGTGCGTGCTGGAAAGACGGTACTTGGATGATCGAATTGAGTGTCGACAACGCCAGAATTTAGCAACAAAGATAGCCCAGTGCGGTTGAGGTACAGGGTTTTCTCGTCTGTGCAGAGTTTGAATATGGGCTCGCTGGTGGCCTTCGGTGCTGTGGGACATGTATTTGCTTTACTGAATGGCGATATTCCTTTACCATTCCGCTTCTTCTCGGTCAAAACCGAGATTGTGCAGTTTGAAGAACTTCCAGTATGGTCTCGCACTTTGAAGCCACAGGTGCCCAGCTTTGGCTTGTTCTGGGAGGCTCCTCCTCTCAACGTCCTCGCCAACTCCTGTCCTGCCGAGTTCTCATGTTTCTCACTCAACGGAGGATCAACTTTCCTGATATGATTGTTAACGGGTAGGTTGGATAATGGCGGTCTTTTCGAAATTATGGCAACCTGTTTCGACTCGTCACGTTCCGAAGATGCACAATCAAGGAGCCGTGGTTGTACAGTCCGAGGCGTTGTGGACTTGAGGGTAGCCATTACTCCACAAGTTGTTCAGTAATATCATGGGGCAAAACTTCGGTGGAGACACCTCGAGCGTCATTTATGTCTTTTGAGAGCCAAAAAAAAAAAAAGGCAACCGTTTCACATAGCCGCCGGGCCGAGGGCTTAGTGCTGGGGCCAGCAGCTGCGCCATTGAGGGGGGCGTCCAAAGTACAGCCCCATTCCGACATGTACCCAACTTTCCGAGTCGACAATGTAAGAACTCAAAGGATAGGTCGAGTTCACGAGGTGATAGGCAAGCCTAGATCTCCCAGCTAATTCTAACCGTCCCAGATTCCAGATTAATACGACTTGATGCTAAAAGAGCTTCCTAGGCGCTGGAGTATTGGAACCTCGTTTTCACATGGGGCTTGTGCCAGATGGATGGAGAAACCGGGCACTCCAAGCGGCATGCAACCCCCTGCATCCCCATGCACACCAGGAATGTTAGCAGGGATCCACTATGAGGTTATCTCTCTCAGATGGAACGCTGAAACTCCCCTTATCTCGTCCCTCGAGGCATTGCGAATGCTCAGATTCCTGCAGTCAGCCTGCATGAAGGCTAGCGATAGTTGCAGGAAAACCCTTGGCGAAGCTTTCACATTGGGGTATGGCGGTAGATCTACCCATGTTAAGCATCGCTTTAGAATGATGTGCCACGCCTGGGACCGGATTGTCTGTCGGTGCCCTTGGTCAATCCAGATTGTTGAAGCGGTTGGCTGTAGGCTGTATATTAGAGCAATAGCACTACTTGATTAATAGATGAGAAGAATGCGAACACCCGAGCATGACCAGGAGTCTCAGGCAAGGCTGCGCCGGCCATGACATGGTCGCGTCCTATGATTGGTAGCGACTCCTATAAATAGTAGTCCTGTGCTGAAATGCAATGCAGTGAGGAGATTAGGCGGGTACGGGTGATTGCGGGCAGCACTTCGGCTGGTACAACCAATTGGGAAGGCCCGGGTATCAATCCCCTTCGATCTGGTCTTCTCCCAGGAAATGCCTGGCTGAGCCGCTCGACGGCATCTGGCCACGTGAGGTCTTCATCTTGGCACGAATAAATGGTCTTTGTCTGCCGAGCTCGTCACCGTCCGGAAAATTTTCACTCTGGACATCAATCGTCAGCCTTATGACCACCTAGTGAAGCACAGGTGATGTGCCTCCATTAATACGACTGCTCAAAGGAGCGTATTCTACGTCTCAAGCAGGGATGCAGCAACACAGAACATCCTCGAAACCAGGAAAAGAACAACAGCCCCCCTATAGAATGCCTTTTTCCTACCCAAACATCCGTTGTTGTCTTTTGGTCAGTCCCTCGTCTAGAATAGCGTAGCTATTCACCATAGGACAGCTACATCTTCGCTAGCATGTTGCCTTGTAGCCTAGCATGCGCCACCGCTATATAAGGAATTTAATGATGATTGAAGCCGTTATGATAAGCGTCCTAACTAGGCCTTCGGTAGTGCAACTCGAGTCATGAGATATCAGCTCCAAGGATCCGTTTACGTGCTTTCATTCGGCAAAACGAGATATCTGCGCGATTTCCCAGGTATAGCGCTAGATTCTTTCGCGTTCTACGAGGCGGGAAGGATGGCCGAAAGACTCGGGATTAAAGCCGCTACGCGGTCCCGATTGAGGCCCTTCGCACGGTACAACCGTTCAAACGAGGGCCAGTATGAGATATTATCTTGAAATGCACATATGAAGAGTATCAGAGTTGTGGGGCTTGACGATTACCTCGCACTCGTCTTCCTATTTGGGCGTGGATTCAGTCCAACTCCGTTAACTCCGCGTGGGGCACCTGACCCAGGGACAGGTTCACGGCCACTCTACAGGCGCACAAACAGACTGATGAACAGTATAAAAAGAGTAGGAACCCAAGCATGTAGAATGGATGGAAATCATTATTCTCAGCTACAATTCAATTGACAATACACCATGAAGGAAGCTATCGTGAACGGAGACACGAGCGTGTCTATCCATGATGTGGAGATACCCGTTCCCCAGGCTGGCCAACTATTGATCCGCGTCGCTGTCACCGGCACCAACCCTAAGGATTGGAAAATGCCCATAAAGTACCCCGATGCTCCCGCTCGTAACCAAGGCGATGATTTCGCCGGCTACGTCGAGGCCCTCGGGGAAGGGGTGGTTGGATTCAACAAAGGCGATAGAGTAGCCGCGTTTCATTCAGTTATGGAGCTTCATGGGAGTTACGCTGAATATGCAATCGCCCCAGCCTACACGACCATACACCTTCCTGCCAAGGTTAGCTTTGAAGGTATCGTACTCTGCTGGATCTGCCTACCGTAGCTTTGGTGTGAAGCTAATGCACTTCTAGAGGCCGCTACGATCCCTCTCGCCGCCATGACAGCTGCGGTCGGCCTATACCAGACATTAAGACTGCCTCTTCCCTGGAACCCGATCTCACAGCCACAGCCGCTGATCGTCTACGGGGGAGCGACCGCGTGTGGGGCCTTTGCCATCAAATTCGCCAAGCTTTCCAACATTCACCCACTCCTCGTTGTGGCTGGTCGAGGCTCGGCTTTCGTCGAAACGCTTATCGATCGCGAGAAAGGCGACACGATCATCGACTACCGCGAGGGCGACGATGCGGTTCGTTCAAAGATCAAAGCCGCAGCGGGCGGCCAGCCTATTCACTATGCATACGACGCAGTCGGAGAACACGGCAGCCACGAGAACATCGGCGCTGTGGTGACTGCACCTGCACAGGTGACTAGCGTCCTCCCTGCGCTGAACTACCAGCCGCCAGAAGGGGTTCGCTCGGAGCAGTGCATCGTTGGTTACATCCATTTCCCGCCGGGGCCGGGCAAGACCATCCATCACGCGGAGTTCGGTGCTGCGTTTTTCACATTGATGGCCCGTGGCCTGGCCCAGGGTTGGTTCTCAGGTCATCCCTACGAGGTGCGCCCAGGGGGCTTGGGTGGGCTTGAAGGTGCATTGCGCGATCTGAAAGCGGGTAAGGCGTCGGCCACTAAGTATGTGGTGCGCCTAAGCGAGACTGAGGGAGTCACGAACTAGATGTGAAGAGCGGGTGTCCGACGGTGGATTTATGTAACAAATGAATGTCGACCGTGCCGAGGCGGACTTCATGAATTTTGTTATGCTAAGCAGAGTCCTTTATGATGAGTTGCCAAGACATATATATGAATGATCATCATCGAGGCGGAGCCAGTCTAGCGCGTGTCGTGTCTTGAGTTTTCATTTTGGTGATTCTCGCAGTGCATGTTGGCTCAGAATAGTGGGTCGTCCCAGGCTACTCCGGTTTTGAGCAGAACAAGCAAATAAGAGGTGCCTAATTTGGCTTCTTTGCGCAACGTCTTTGCAGCCTGTTTCCCGTCAATCGGTTCTGCATGGAAAATATCGGATCCACTGCCAAGCCACGTATCTGCAAGGCAGCGAACATCCAAAAAATCTCCGTGAAAAAGTAAGGGTAGCATTGTGATTCGAGGACCACGATTCGGAACCCCCTAGATCGGCCCACCACAAACCTAGGATCAACCTGCACGTGCATTACAGCAGTTTTGTATACATAAAATGTGCATTTCGGAGGCTAGATACTCGCGGACCTTTACATAGCCGAAATTGACGCTACGTCTTCAGGAGTTCGGTCTCAAATTGGAAAATCCACCGGAATCGCAATATACGCCGAAAAAAACCTAGTTAGATGGGCTCGAGATAGAGCCGCACGTGTCCGCACGGCGGATCCCCATAAGTCCGGAACTGCACGCGAAGTGGATCTGTAATTTAGGCACCCCTTTTGCTCTCATGACCGAGATTGACAATCGCATGCACGAACTCGCGTGGGTTTTCTGTGCAAAATGATTGGGTTTGGCGGATCGGCAGCAGATGGGCTTTCTTTTGGCCCTTGGTATAAATCAAGCGCCCTGACTAGACAATTTCTAGAACAGTTCCACTGCAGTCTTTCTTCCCTGAAGAAAGCGCACAGACTGTCTGCATAATGGTGGGCTCGTTTTCAGTGCTCAAGTCATTGCCAATCGTGGCTGCGGGTGCCCTGGCTAATGTGAACTATCCTCCTATCCCGGAAGACCTCACAACCCCTTTTCAGCAACGACTGGCTGTTTATGGACCTAATGGTATGTCTTTGAGAGGGTTCGTTGTGATTCCGTCCCTAATATCTGGTCATAGCGGTGTCTGTTGGATGGAACACTTATGAGCAGTTGAATCAATCCTGTGTCCAATACGGGACCTCTTCAGACAACTTGAGCTCCAAGGCCTGTTCCACCGGATCAACCACTTATAGCACATCCCGCACGTGGGCGAGTGCTGTCGTCCTGTCCGATCTAACCCCGGCGACGACCTACTATTATAAGATTGTGTCGACGAACTCGAGCGTGGACCACTTCCTTAGCCCTCGAAGTGCCGGCGACAAGACCCCCTTCAACCTTGATGTGGTCATTGACCTAGGGGTGTACGGCGCCGATGGCTTCACTGCTTCGAGCAAGAAGAAGAAGGACAGCATTCCTTATGTCCAGCCCGAGCTCAATCATGCTACGATTGGCCGTCTTGCCCAGACTGTTGATGACTATGAAATTGTGATCCACCCTGGTGACTTTGCGTATGCTGATGACTGGTATCTTAAATTCGGTAACCTTTTGGACGGCACAGAGGCGTACCAATCCATCCTAGAGCAGTTCTATGACCAGCTCGCTCCAATTGCCGGTCGTAAGCTCTACATGGCCAGCCCCGGCAATCACGAGGCAGACTGTTCAGAGATCCCGTACATCTTGGAGCTTTGCCCAGAGGGCCAAAAGAACTTTACCGATTTCCTGCACCGCTTCGACCGAACCATGCCCAGCCCCTTTGCTTCTTCCTCCAGCAACGCGACGGCACAGTCCCTGGCTAGCCAAGCCAAGAGTCTCGCCGTGCCCCCCTTCTGGTACTCCTTTGAGTATGGCATGGCCCACATCGTCATGATCAACACAGAGACCGACTTCCCTGATGCGCCTGATGGCAAAGACGGCTCCGCCAAGCTCGACGGCGGCCCCTTCGGCTACCCCCACCAACAGCTCGACTTCCTCAAGGCAGATCTCGCCAGTGTTGACCGTACCGTCACTCCCTGGCTCATCGTCGCTGGTCACCGTCCGTGGTACAGCACCGGCGGCTCTGGTAACATCTGCACACCCTGCCAGGAAGCATTCGAGGACCTGTTCTACGAGTATGGCGTCGACCTCGGCGTCTTCGGACACGTGCATAACTCGCAGCGTTTCACCCCCATCTACAACAACACCATCGACCCGAACGGTCTGAAGGACCCGAAGGCACCGATGTATATTATTGCTGGTGGCCCGGGAAACATTGAAGGTCTCCTCCTCGTTGGCACGAAGCCCGACTATACTGAATTCGCGTACGCGGATGACTACAGCTATGCCACGCTGAAGCTCCTTGATGAGCAGAACTTGCAGGTCGATTTCATTCGGTCTTCGACCGGCGAGGTTCTGGATACGAGCACTTTGTTCAAGTCTCACAAGGATGCTTTCGTGTCTCAGTAATTTTGTAGGACCTGTACTTAGCAGTCTTAAGTTACAACGTACATTATGTAGTTTACACAATACTTTGTTGTTTTATGAAATTGATATATGAGCTTGAAGCAATTTTGTGGCGTCTTGATTGTCACATTGACTCATTCCACGTAACAACCCTGCAGCCGACGCACCTCTCATTGCCAAGCAGATCATAGTCGAATTTGTGATACAACCCAGGCTCCGGCCAAGAAAGATGCACGGGGCACCGACAAGAGGTGGAGCCCGTTTGAGATCGATCGTGAGCCGGAGATCCGGTTGGGCCAATCCCGGCCCCGCAAAGTCGCCTTTTTCAGGGTGACCCGCTCGCCGGCGATGAATCATTATGAGTAGCTCGGCTCCAGCAGACCGGCTCCAGCAGACGCAGATCACAAAACATGTGGCCACCAGAACTATATAAATCGTCAACCTCGAAGCTCTGTGCACAATGCGTTCGTGTTTAATACGAAACATTCCATTTCCAACAAACCCCCAATCATGATGGACACTATGCCGACCGAGACAAGCCCCCCGAGTCTCGTCTTCTACGATATCGCTTTCCGGCAACCAAGAGCGAAATTCTCCGCCGCGCCCAATCCCTGGAAAGCCCGCTACACTCTAAATGTCAAGAACGTACCCTACACCACCCAATTCGTGGACCTGCTCCGCATCTCAGACCTACGCCAGGAGCTGCACATCCCCGCTTCCCGTAAACACGCGGACGGAAGCGACTACTTTACGCTGCCCATGCTTGTCGACCAAAGCACCTCCAGCAAGATCGGCGACTCGTTCGACATCGCGGTATACCTGGACCAGAAATTCCCGCAGTCTGGCGTCGGCGAGCTGTTCCCGGCACAGACGCTAGACTTCCAGTACGCATACAACATGCCCGGCCTCCCCCCGCTCTCGGACCGCGAGGGCATGGACCAGGGCGTGTATCGCGAGTACGCCCAGTTCAACACGAGCGTGGACGCCGTCTTCTCGACGCATTGCGGGCTCATGGGCTCCGGCATGCGGTTTGACGATGACCGGGAGAAGGCCATCAGGAAGGTCTTCGAGGACCGTGCGGGGATGTCGTGGGATGAGATGGCGTTGCGGGGCAAGGCGCGCACTAATATGCTTGCCGCGTTCAGGGAGGCATTGGAGCCGTTGGCGCGATTGCTGCGGAAGAATCAGGCTGGACCTTTTGTGTTGGGTGAGCGGCTTAGTTACGCGGATTTGATTATTGGGGGGTGGTTACGGATGTGCAGCGCTACCCTGCCTGAGGGGGAGTGGGAGGATATGAAGACATGGCATGACAGTGTCTTTGGAAAACTGCATGATGCGCTGCAGAAATATGCAATGATAGAGTAGGTCTTTGGCGTGGACTCATCTTCGGTGGTCAGAGATTGGGTCTCGATATGTATAGCTCACTGAGATTAGCCCTAGTAAGAATACCGGAGGAAAAGATGAAAAAAGTGCAAGATGCATCACTATGATTTGGCAAGCATTTAGTTTATGCGAGTGCTAGTCACGAAATTGGGAGAAAAAGTTTGTGATCATTCACCTGAGTGGATCCTAGATTGTATATCATAGATCGAGGGCTCCAGAAGCACTACGTCACCACCGCATTGCATTCGCGATATCTCTCCCAAGCACGCGTCGAGCATTCAATCCAACATCAACCCTAATACCAAGCCAATGCCATGTCCAAACGAACCATAGACGCCTTCTTCAAAGCAAACAGCTCAACCTCGCAAAACGAGCCAAAATCGAAACAAACGACCCGAATCCACCAGCAGAAGAACAACCTCAATCCACAGACGACAATGGTCCTCCCAGCACCCACCCAACATACCCTTTCCCAATCCCAAACCTCCCATCCCACATCGCAGTCGGGTTGACCCACAGCACGCCTGGCTGCGACCCCCGCGTAATCAACAACCAGCCCGACCTCGACCTCCTCTACTTCCAGCCCTACATCCCCCGCGTCACCGCCAACGAGCTCTTCAACTTCCTCCGCCGCGAACTCCCCTTCTACAGAGTCCAATACACAATCAAGCGCGGCAGCACCGAGACCCAAATCACCACGCCCCGCTACACAACCGTCTTCGGCGTCGACGACACCGCCAAATTCGTAGAGCACCCTTCCACCGCCCGCACCGCCAGCACCAAGGCAGCCCACCCCGTCCTCGTCCACGCCCAAACCAACCAGCCCATCCCCACCACCCCAGCCCCGAAATACCAGTACCCGCCTCGCCCGATCCCCGCCTGCCTCGCGCACCTGCAGCACCTCGTGCAAGCCGCCACCGGCTCCACCTACAACTTCTGCCTGGTGAACTACTACGCCTCCGCCGAAGACAGCATCAGCTTCCACTCCGACGACGAGCGCTTCCTCGGCGCGGAGCCGTGCATCGCGTCGCTGTCGCTAGGCGGCGAGCGGGAGTTTCTGATGAAGCATAAGGCGGCAGGGAAGACCGGTACGCAGACGGGCGACCCGGGGCTACTCGCGGGGGCGTCGGTGAAGATGGGGCTGGGGTCGGGCGATATGGTGGTTATGCGCGGGCGGACGCAGGCGCATTGGCTGCATAGTATCCCGAAGCGGCGGGGGAGGAACGCGGAGGCGATTCGGGGGGCGGATCAATATTACGTTTCGGCGGGCGGTGGTGCCGGCGGGCACGAATAACTATTATCATTATAATGTTGGGGGTGGGGAGGTGTATAGGTGGGATGAGGGAAGAGGGCTATGGTTTTGTGGTCGGGGACTGAGAACTCACTTAGTAGATAAGATAGGAGGACGATAGCAACGATCTACGAATGACACGCGGGCCTAGGGGTCGGGTCTACGCTTAATACGGGACTTCAACGCTGAGTTGCATCGTATCTATATTCGTTCACGCTCGGTCATCTGTCTCTCCTCCCACTCCGGGCCCCGGGTATCCAGGAGTGCTAAGTATGCAGGTCGCTTTTGCGCGGCCGTGATCTCGAAACTCCATGTACATTGCTCCCAAATGAATCAACAGAGAAGCAAGTCGTAACATGTGCATTGGCGCTGTCGTCCTGACCATAAAAATAAGTTTTCCCAAAAAAAAAAATAATACAAGGGGAATTGAAGAGAAATACAATAAGGTGGTAAGCGCGGACCGTGGAAAAGGTAAAAAAAAAAAGAAAAAAAAGAAAAAAAGAAAAAAAGAAAAAAAGAAAAAAAAAAAAAAAGAAAGGGGGATAAAAAGAGGATACAGTGTGATGGTGAGGACAGAAGGTAGAAGGGGTCAAAAGGTGATGACCTCTTCGCCGTAAACATCGGCGTAGCACTGTGCAACATCGGGACAGCTGTAGACGTTAGCAAAGGTGAGGGTTATACAAGCATCTTGTGGTAGGAAGGACTTACAAGACAGGCTCCCTGCCGAAGATAATGTGCCACGAGTACTCCATAATGTTCGAAGTAATCTCATCGGGTAAGTCGTTGTTGAGCACCCAGTCATACATGCGCTGGTAATCGCTCAAGGGGCGCTTGAGGATCTGGTCGCGGGAGACGGCGAACTGGGAGCAGCAGGGGGCGCCGATGACCTCGGGAACATCGCTGTTGTTGAAGAGCTCCTTCCAGGCCTGGGCGTAGTATTTCTCGCCGGTGTCGCCGGGCTTGGGAGGGTTGCGGAATGGCTGTATTTCGCGGGGCAGCCGGGGGACATTTGGCAGCGCAGGTTCACAAAGCCCTCTGCTACGACGAACTCGCGTTGTAGCGCTCGCACCGAGTCTACATTGCTGTACTCCATGGTATCGGTGTGCCAAGCCTCGGGCCAGCCGTTGCGGTGCGCGTGCAGGAAGACACACACGGTGGGGAGGTCGTCGTAGTGGTCGACAATAAATTGTAGGTACGGAAGGGCTTCGCGGCCTTGTTCTTAGGGGTGTGGCGGGGAAAGGAGGTATCGTCGACGGTGTAGATGAAGTTGCGCCATCTGGAAGAAATCTCGTGTCAGCTTATTCTGGCCGCAGAGCGCTTGAAGGGAGGTTTTGGCCGCAAAACGGGGAAGAAGGCATCCATGATCCAAAAGCGTCCAGTGTAAAGAAGAAGCCGTGTACATACTCAGAGAGTTCAGCACCGACCCAGGCGGTATCTTGGTCGCGCATTCGGCCCATCACAATCACGCCTTCATTGGGAACCTCAATGGGCGTCTTTGACCAGTCGAGGTTGACCTTGTTGCTGGAACCAGTTCCCATTTCCGACGAGCAGCCTCCTGGGGCGTTTCTTGGGGACGAAGCGTGGGCGCGCGAAACGAGGTGGTGTCGAAGTGCCAGAAACGCTTTGGGGCCTGGTCGACCGTGGGGAGGTTGCGGTTAATCACGAACAAGGCGATTATGATCAGCACAGCGGCCGATCCGACTCTGAGAGAGAGCCTCATGGCATGCTATGCTGAAGAGAGAAGTCGAGGGGGAAACGAGGGGAGTCCGGAGAAAAAAAAAAAAGGGATTAAGCCAAGGGAACGAGGTGAAATCCTGCGGGCCCGGCTGTCCATGCGGAAGCCAAAACGACTATTTTCTTCAACGAATGGATAATCAGTTAAGATTAATTCGCGACACGGTCGCCCCGGGGGGAAAGAGAGTTCCCTAATAGTCAAGGATGTCTTAGTTAAGGTAAAAAGGGTACCGGACTTCCCCCAAAAGGTAAAAAAGACCACCCTGGCCGCGGTTAAAATAAAAGAAATCTCCACCCATAGATTCGAGGGGGGGTAAAAGGATATTAATCCACAATGGCCTCGACCAGAGCCAAGCGCGGTCAAGTCCGGAGAGCGATCTGATTGGCAGTGAATCGAGCTTATCCCACTGGGACTCTCGATTTCTACGGCACACTGTGATTGGGAGCGAATGGGTGGGACGAACCTCGAAAGTACTCTGGTAGACCTTAACCGTAGAAAGACCAGAGCTTCTCCACCACAGTGTCTTATCCCGGTACTCCGAGGGTACTATCGGGGCCTACAGAAACGGATCTGCCGATCAATTGCGTGCCAACCCCGATGCGGGAAGTGGGCGACCCCTGAGATGAGCAGGATGAGGGCTTTCCCAGCCTATTCTACGGTATATGCAGCTACGGCTTCACGTTGTCGCGATAGGAAGGGGGTTGACCGGGGGGTTTTGGTCACAACCCACTCAAGATCGGCATATCCGAGCCCCATGGACGCGTTAGGGTGGCTGTTTATTTGTTCAGACTCCAGGGGATATTTGTATGAATCGGATCGACCTTTTTTTTATCCCCGATTGCACTTTCTGTCAACTTTAACCCGCAAGGGTGCGCCCCACGGACACGCTACAGACGCAGGGGGAAACGTTGCTACGCAGTACTACATTCCCCTCTCTGCTGGACCGGCGGCCCACCGCGTAATGGCCTTTTCTTATGAGATCCGTCCACCGGGGTTCGGGATCAGGGGTTTGCAGGACACGCGTCCAGTGAGCCTGAGAGGCAGCTCTTCTACTTCTCGGGGGGGCAGCGTTATTGCAGGTTCTTTTGGAGAGCCTGAGGATTTGGATGTAGACATTCCTAAGCATAATATGGGCCTTCACCGAAGCGTGAAAATCCGATCCCTGGTTCAACTCACTGCAATTGAGGCGCCGGGAGATGAAGCTTGGGCCAAGACCTTCACCTTATTCCTTGAAACACCCTACTCAGGCGCCTGCATACGTCGATGGCTGCAGGCATAGACGCCACGACTGGGGAACCATGTGCCTTCCAGAAAGAAAAGAAGGGATGACAGCAACGCCACTGCGAACTTGACAGGTCAAAAGACCGGACTACTGTTGCTAGTGGCGTCTGCAATTTCCAGTCGCGAGGAAGACTCACGTGATCGATGCCAGCTGGCAGGAACCAATGCCGATAGCTGTATCTGGGAGTTATGACCGCTCTAACACTCGTGCGCCGTGTTTCCGGCTCATATGTATATCAGGAAAGCCCACAATATGGAGGTTCCGGAAAATAAGATGAATTGCGCGTGCAAAGGGGAGACGGGCAGAGAAGGTCTCGACCCAGAGACTGGGACAAACCAGTGTCACGGCAGTTTTGTTCACTGCGGTTTGTGCAGGCAAGCGGGGGTCATTTGAAAGAGCCGGAGTGTCAGGGTATGAATGGTCCTTTATCTTCCGCTCTTTTCGAGGTATCGTATGAATGGATATTTATCACGAGTCTTGCGTTTCGATTGCTCGCTTTTAAGATCAAATACCCAATGTTGTGATATACCCATTTAGCCATTTCATCATTCACTTTTCTGGGGTCGACATCAGATTCTTCAGGCTACTATGAAGGAAACGAATCTTTCGGAGTGGTACTAAGCGACTAGAATGTAATATAGTCCACACTTCATTGATCCTTCACGCTACGGGTATTGCTAACGCACTATGTACTGAGCACAGCCACACGTCTCGATAATCAGAAAGCAAGCTAGGATCCAAATTAACCCCTTTTATTATAGAGAACGCCTCGCACAAACTACCTTGAATACGGTTCAATATATCTCATGTCCGGAATCAGAGCGTCACTCGTCATTGACAGCCAATGGCCAGCCACCGCGGCCCCATCAAAAGAATCATTCTCCACCAACTAGCAGCGGCGGTATGTTGATATCAAAGTCGTCGCCATCCTCAGCCACGCGCCCGACCACACACTTCGTCAGAGCCAAGAGTCCGTCATGATCAACCCCCCGATGAGACACCAGATGAAGCATAAACTCATCGACAGACGGGAATAACGGCGCAGCTGTATCATGCTCCACACAACAGAAGACACACCCAAAGCCCATAATCACCGACATGCCATCCCGCTTCGGAACATGGTTCTTCGCCAGGAACGCCCAGCGGTACCGGATCCCAGTCGAGACATGCGTATGGATGGAGTGGTCGACGGCTGCATCCTTGCGCCTCGCGACGGGTCCGGCGAGCGGCATGCCAAAGAAGCAGGACGAGGATGGGCAGCGCCAGCGCAATTTCCGGCCGTAGATTCCGTAGGGCTCGGTCATGAGCTTGAAGGTACCTGTTCCGGAACTGAGGCTCCACGCTCCTTTACAGAAGCCCAAATAGCGGTTGTCTTTCCGAGGTGGCCAGAAATTTTTATTGTGTAGGGAGTCTGAGACAGTAGTTTCGGTGGATCGACTCGAAATATCGGAGGTTCCTGAGGCATGAGATATTACCGAGGGTGGTAGGGGAGGAGAGTGTGAACGGCCGGGGGGTATTGCAGGGCGCTGAGGCAATGAATCTGGGCAGTTTGGGAATGAGCCTGCCAGGGATGTCTTTTGGTGAGATCGTGGCTCAGGGTACTCTTCTGCCATTGTGAAGATAGCTTCGTCGTCAGATGACCCGGGGTCGCTCTCGAATTCGACTCCGGAGTCGGATTTCAATTCATCTGCCCATGGGTTCGAGTACAATGGGTCTTCATCTCCTGTGATCACTTCTTCTTGATCGAGGCTGGGGCGGCGCTTGTCCCTCTTCATCTTCCGCGGAGAGGCGGCTGTTCTCTTTTCGGCGTATCTTCAGGCATGATCGACAGACCGGTGGTGTTAGCTAGCTTTGCGACGTCCACCTCCGGCTCCATGGGTGGCCCATCAGACTTGCTGCTGTTCCTCGACATGTTATTGAACCAAGAAGACATGGTCGTCCCAATACTTGATGACTTTCGTTCGTGGCGCTTAGGTGAAGGGGAAACCTCCCGGAAGCTGTCAGACGCCCCAGCCATATCCTTTGGTGAAACGGACATAGTATCCCGAAAGAAACTACCAGTGGACGGCTTGGGGGGAGTAATGGAGGGAATAGGCCAGCCTTTCGGTGCGGATGTCTGTGAAAGATCTTTGCCATTATAAAATTGCATGTGATGGGCAAGACTAGAAAGAGGGTCGAGGGAAGGACGGGAGGTAGGCATCGGATAGGGAGCTGGGCTGGTCAGAGCGATTCGCTCATAAAGCTCATGAAGAACCATGATGGTGCGGGCGCGGCCCTGATTCGAAGCCATGAGCAGGGACATCATGTTGAGACTGGCATTCTTCTCCACGGAGGCACGAAGATGAGTTAAGAGCATTCCTTGCAGTGTAATGACAATATCCTTCATTTGATCACGGGATATATCATCTCCTTCCTCGTACCTCCTACCCAGCTGCGCTGCATGAATGTTCCAATGTGTGAGGATCTCGGTTTGCCCCAGCGCCAAGGAGCATTCGAGATCGGCCACTGTGGTCTCATTTGACTGTCGACGGCGATCCCTCTTCTTCTTAACTGCGTTGAATAGCTTCGCGCCATCGCTGTAAGCGGAGACAACTAAGCCATGGTCAGTAGATGAACACGACAGAGATAGCGCAGTGCCATGACCCCGGGATTGGGCAAACGTACCAGCTGCAACACAAGCGACTACAGCGATGACCTCTGCTCCGGACATCTTGGCAGCCTAGTGGGGACCTATTAGGGTTCCATATGCTACCGGCTGTTCAACTCCAAGGCCCGCGTGTACGAACTAACTGGGGAGAGTGGACAAGAAGGCACATTCTTGGGCGCCAGGAGAAGGAAATATTTCCGAGGGCTGGGAAATTACCGGGGGAAAAAAACAAATAACAAATTACGAGCACGAAGGCAGACAGGCCGCATCTGCGGACTGCCCTTGTATGTGATGATACAGAGCCGACAGATGCGCAAGTCTCTGTGGCAAAACCCCAGGTAATTTACGGATGGGCCGGGCCTGAATACGATAGGCAAAGCCATCCAGCGGGGGATATACCCTGGTTTTCACACGTCATCTCAAAGCCCAATGCAGCAAGATCTGTCGCTTTTCAGCAGCTCCCAATTTACCCGGGCCAGAGGCCACGGCGCTTGTGATCTGGGAGACTGGAACCCTTCGTACGAATTATTATGGGCTTAAAAACAGTACAAAGTAAAGACCTCATTCACGAAGAGACGGCGATCAAATAGATTCTTGGCTTCGTGGAAGCCTTATCTGTACAGGGTCGGGTGGCTGAGTGGCGGCGCTAAAGCAGCCCTGTTCGTGTCTCGTCACCTTTGATGTGCTGTTCCCGCTCTCGCATGGCCTCCAATCGATTGATTATTCTATCCAGGGGCTAGTCAGACGGCCGATCAATTTCCCCACCAAGAGCTTCAATAATCCTGGCGCACTAATGCATAGGTACTTTGGTGGACGCTTCCTAAGGATATACTTCCATACTAGTAGACTCGGATACAAGAACGCAGGACATATTACTTCAACTGCTAATTACTTAGCCCAAGATAAGAAAAATATCCGAGAGAAATGAAAAACCATTGCGTAGATATACGGTAAAGAGGCCCGCATAATATTTCTCTATATTGCAGGAAAGCTGTGATAGGAATCGAATCACTTTGCAGGGTTGTCCAAGAGGTAACGGCGCTGGGACTACATAGCGGAAATCGAGAGCGTCTGCCAAGCTTGAGCCATCTGAACGGAAAAATTGTATTTGAAGCGCCATGTTAATTACTAAAGTCCCAAGGGCAAGACTGATGCACAAGTTCAAAGTTGGATAAATACCACAAACCCGCGCATGCAAATGTAACGCCACAAATAATGCAAAACAGCCAAATGGCCTAGGATATCAGTCAGCATAAAGCAAGAAATAACAATCAGATATGTCGCCCCTCCACATCAACAGCACCGTCCACGTCGCCGAGCAGTCTGCATGATCTGCACTTCCTCGGCATCACCCACCGTCGGGGCCTGCCCAAACCAGCTCCGCCGCTTATCCCCATAACCCAATCTGAAGCTGCCATTCGGGTCTATGTACCCCGGGGTCGCAGGAGTCAAGCTATCAGGAACACCGGGGGTTCCCCCAACCGACCCCGCAGCCTCGGCATCACGCCGATTCCGCTGCTCAACCAACTTCCGCGCAATAACACGAAAGACCTCGTCAATCCCCTCGCCATCCTTTGCACTGATCTCGTGACAACAGTCCCACCCAATTTCCTGGCCCCAGAACGCAGAGCTGCGCTTACTATCAGGACTCTGCAGGGCGGTCTGTGACACACCCACCGTACTCCCCCCGTTCGCGCTCCCAGCGGCACTGCTCCCAAATACCGCGGACCCAAATCCCAACCCCATCGCCCCGATCCCAGCAGACGGAGGGGGTGTCGATGCCCGACTGGGATACAGCTGCTCGGCGACATAGGCAATCGTGCGCTCGAACGGTACGCGACGCTTGGACGGATCATCGGCGACGATATCAGACTTGGTGCCGACGACGTGGATGACGAGGGGGTTGGAGTCACCCTCGCCGCCGCCAACGTTCATCCTCAGCTCGCGCAGCCAGCCGGCCATTTCGTGGAAGCTGTTTTCGTCCGTGATGTCATAGCAGAGGAGGCAGGCATGGGCGCCGCGGTAGTACAGGCGGGAGATGGAGCGGAAGCGCTCTTGGCCTGCAGTGTCCCAGATCTGGAGTCGCACGGTTGTGTCGGAGGTGGTGTCGATGACGCGTTGGGTGACGAAAGACGCGCCGACGGTGGAAGTGATAACGGCCGGTTTGAACTCGTTGCGGACGTAGCGGTGCACCAGGGAGGTTTTGCCGACGCCTTGAAGGGGAAGGGAGCGGTGTTAGTATTTTATAGAGGGGCCGTAGTTTGGGCCGTAGTTTTTGGGGCTAGCAGGGATCTACCTTGTCCACCGAGGACAACGATCTTGGCCTCAAGGGAGGAACTCATGGCGCGGGGTTGCAAAGGTGGGGAGCGGGTATTTGCATGGCCTGGCGATAGGAACACGGGGAAGATAAAGAAAGGGTCCCGACCAGGAATATGTACGGAGAAGCAAGCAAACTTGAAGCTTTAGAGAGAAATAGCTCGGATCGAGAAATTAATCAACAGATGGGGGAACTTGAACCCTTGGGACGCCCAGCGGGATCAGCCGACCGGTTTGATCACGTCCATCACAGCCCCCCTTGCACTCTTTTGACTCAACGCAGGCAAGGCGTGAGTCATGTCATATTCCTGGGACTCTTTGGAGCCTGAGCGTTTCAACTTGAAGAGTTGACAAGGGGGGGGCTTTTATGTTCGGCGCTGGAGATAACTAAGGTGATGTCGGCCACGTCAACAGAGCCTCGTATTCATATTAACTGGGGGTCGACCATGCACGACCCTGCGAGGCCCCCCCACTTTGTCTCGAATCCCCAGTCTTTTTTGAAAGCTTATCCACTATGGCGCTCTGGGTCTGTGATAGCCTCTTTCTGATGAAACGTATATTCGAAAATCGGATTGGCTGGAAATAGGTCCATGCCGGTTGCGTCAGATATATATAAGATCAAAGTCTATTGTGGCGAAACAAAGCACAATTGTCTGAGAGGGACACATGATTGCATTGAGATCTCACATGAATCATTACAGAGCTACCTTCGAGGCTTCGTATATAAGAGTTTCAAATGTTGCTTCTAATACAAGCCCGGGAAAACAAAAAGCACGCGGTTACTCCATACGTTCTCCAAGTTCGCCGAGAATAGCCTTTTTCACGCATGATCTCTGTGCTCGAACTCTGAAGTTGGTAGGAGAGTATGATTCAACCCAGAGGTTTACATTCGAAGACAAAAAAACCATTTACTCACAGAGCATCGTCGGTAAATGATCAACGTTTTGCATTCGAGCATCTAAGCATCTAAGATCTAACATCGCAGTCAAAGTGGGTATAGAAAGTGATCATCCTTGGCCAGAAGGGACCAGTAACATGAAAAAACAGAGGAAGCCGGCCAAAGATGAACATCAAAAGAAATCATGACAAGGAAATTCATTCACAAAATCCAGCTTTTATGCTCACTCGTTCGCCACGATATCCTGGTGAACCTCTTCCTGAAGCTCGTTGGCATCCGAGCTTGTCGAGTTGTGGCCCTTCTCCTCATCGCTAGCACCGCTGCCAGCACCGCCGAAGCCATACTCAAGGGCCTTCTCCTCGACCTGCTCGTCGGTGAGCTTGGGAAGGTCCTTGGCGGCCTTGACATAGCTCATGTTTTCGCAGTAACCCTTGGCAAAGATGATATCGATCTCTTCCAGACTGCGGCCCGCGGTCTCGGGGTAGAAGAAGTACATGACGGGGATGAAGACGGCGTTCCAGGCAGCGAAGAACAGATAAGTACCCCACCTAATTCGGTCTACCATAACAGGGGTGATCATAACAACTGTGAAGTTGAAGAGCCAGTTGGAGCAGGTCGAGACAGCGTTGGCCTTGGCACGGGTACGGATGGGCGAGATCTCGGCAGGGTACAACCAGGGCAGAGGCAGGATTGAAGCACCGAAGAAGGACATGTAAAGGAAGAAACCGAAGACAGCGCCCTTTGATGGTTCCGGCTTGTCGGGGATAAGACAAGCAAAGACGATGATCATGGCGACAAGTTGACCGGTCATACCGCCGATAAACAGCTTACGACGACCAATCTTCTCAATGAAGAACCAGGAGAAGGTAGCAAAGAGTGCGTAGACAATCATGTTCACACCGGAGATAATCATGGATAGCAATCGCTCCATGCCCAGCGACTGCTGCATCAGGACAGGCAGGTAGTAAATGACGGCGTTGCATCCAGAGAGCTGTTGAGCAATTTGCGAGGAGGACCCAATCAACATGCGACGGAAGTGTTGGGTACGGCCACTAGTAAGGAGATCCGAGTATCCTGCACCCTCGGCAGCACCAGCACTATGATATGGTTAGCTTATGTTTTGCAACATCTCAAGTAAACGCCAGAAGGGGACGGAACATACGCTTCGATAGATTCCAATACAAGCTGCTTCTGAAGCTGAGTCTCATGGTCGTCAATCTCTTTACCAGCGAGGGCGGCCAAAGCATATTCTCCCTCATGGACCTTGCCACGAGAAATCAAATAGCGGGAGACTCGGGCATATAGTACATGCCCACAACGATGACCAAACCGAAGACGATCTGGAAAGCAATGGGGAATCGCCAAACAAGGTCCACTGGCCCGAAGGAGGCACCGAAGTCGATCCAATAGGCGATAGCTGTTCCAATAGCAATAATACCTCCCTCAATACAGATCAGAAGACCACGGTTGCTAGTCTTGGAACATTCAGCCTGGTAGGTCGGGATGGTAGAAGTATTCATTCCGTTACCAACACCAGTCACGACTCGTCCCACAATGAACTGTGCAAGAGGCGTGGCGTCTTCGACAGCTGTGACTTGGATAACAACGCCGATAATCATGACAGCGGCGCCTGCGATAACCATCTTGCGGCGACCAAGCCTGTCACCGGTGAACAGAGCAAACATAGCGCCGAACAAGCATCCAACTTCGTAGACAGCCGTGACAGTGGCCTGCAAAGTGTTGTCTCCGTCCAGCATGGGAAGCAGCTTGAAAAACTTCGGTGCGCTGATAATACCGGACATAACGCCTTGGTCATAACCGAAAAGGAGGAAGCCCATCGTCGCGATGGTAGAAACCGTCAGCGACAGTTTCTTCCCCAGACAGGCCGGCAAAGCTCGGCGAGGAAGTGTGACCCAGCATGGCCGATTGTGTCGCTATAGTAGGTGGTACAATATACGTAGAGGCGACCCTAGTGAGGTAGTAGTAAGGCCCGTGTCCGATATAGATAGAGATCTGTCTCCCCCAGGAACACGTGGGACAGGGAGCGTTGCCAGCCAAGAAAAACCTTGGAAGTGGGACAAGACAAAGAATGGAGTCTGTAGGAAGGAGAAAAAAAGGGCAACCCGGGGAAAGGGGGAATATTTGAATGACCGAGAAATAGTCATTCAATGCACAGAAGTGGCAAGGACCTGCGCCGTGGGTCTCCAACTTACCCCGTCTTTTTACTGCACCCGTGGTGTCTCAACGCCTAAACCAGGGAGAGTAAATCGATTGCACAGGAGGAGCGCAGACCCAAGGACCGAGGGAGCAAGCTGATCCCCAGAGCTGCTCCACCCATACTGAGCAGGGACTGCGAATGAGAGCCACCGCGATGGAGCCAAGCTCCCGGATGCGTCAATAAAGATCGATTAAGCATTCGCGGGGACCCACGGGGGTCTTCGTGTGGTGTCCCTGATGACATCAAGGGCGGGCTGGCACCTGTGTACCATGGCAATTGTTTAATTTTCTTTTTTCCTCTTTTTCTCTCTTTTTCTCTTTTTTTATTTGGCCTCTTTCTTTTTTTTCTCTATGCCGTCCGTCATCGCTGGTATTCTCGAGTGGCTGCCCTTTGGCCTCCATCCTCCACATAGCGACCAAGGTCGTTTGAACGGCCAATCATGGCCAGTATCATGCCGAGGAGCCCATGCTTAGTGTGGCGCTAGCGATGATTAGAGGGCTTCCCTGTGCTCTTGGAAAGTTTTTTTTTTTGTATCAGAATGTCAATAAAGTGTGTTGGTAAACAAAGTGCACTTTCATTTGTCGGCAGCAAATCAGTTCTTGGAGCAAGGGGTTTCTCTATTTACTCGTAAGGGTCTGGATATTATATCCTTCATGTAACGGTTGTTTTTACGGGGCAGTCAGTCAAACAATGCAGAGAATGCTTGCGGGGTCTGTTATCGTCTCGGTGAGGACCCATCTAGAGGTGGATTTTGCATCGCCCTAGTGCTGACACAAGCTAATCAACCTGGAGCCCTGTCGCATGGACCGGAGCATAAAAGCTGGGGCCAAGAGGGGAACATGCAGGCCTCGAAGGAAAGGAGGGAAAGCCGAGGACAACACTCGGCATCTTCTCGGGACGCCGTCACCGTACGTCCCGATGGAGAGAAGACGGGCTGCGAAGTGGGCGAGTGTGGATGCAGCAAGTGGAGGGGGATGATGCAAGAATGCCACCGAGCGCGAACTAGCGGCTTCGAGGCGGATCAGTGGGCCCTGGAGACCCACCACACGCCCCCCCCTGCTGGTATGCTCGAGCAGCGAGAAATGCAACTTCCCCGAGCGCTCGCTCCTTGCGCGGTGCAATCTGACGGATGGCAAAAGTTACCCTGGGCCGTAGCAGCCGTTGATTCGTTTCCCCGTGGTTTGAGATCCTCCTTAGGCAGCTATCGCGACGGCGAAGTCTAGGCTTAAAAAGTTGCCCGCAGGCCCGTTACGCTAGATGATGTAACTTGCTATTGGCAACCATCTGGGTTAATTCTATCCCCTGTCCAAAAAAGGGATTCAAGTTGCTGGGGGTTATTGCGGGGTTTTCTTTATTGGTCATTGAATTGAATATTTTGGGTCGAACTAGCGAAGGAGGACAGGGCATGTGGTCCAGTATTGTCTCCAAAGTTAATGGTCCATATTATCCCCGGATCCAAAGTATCCCGTGGCTTTTTCACTACAGTATGCGTTATAAAGTTAGGCCGTGCGGAGATAAGGATCCCCACTTCGTCATTGTCCATACCTTCGCCCAGTGCGAGGTGCCACTCCGATCCCGTGGAGGGTACGTTATGGTATAGTCGGAACGGGTGCAATGTAGGGTATATCGGAGTCTGCGGTGAAAGAAGATGAGACGAGCGCTTCGCACTTCGTCTAGAGATCCGCCTATACTTGCCACGAGTCTTTCAGGCGAACAACCTGCGCCTGAGATCGTCCAGTTTGGTATCGTGTCTGAGAGAAAAATAGACCATATTAGTGCTGCGCGCAAATACTCACGTACAACCCCAGAGCTGAGTTATACCATCTGAAGTAAGGCCAACGATGATCGGACCCGGCAGTGTAGTATTACTGCGTCGTTATGCTAAATGGGGCGGGCGTCATTCGCCCGATCGTAAAAGACACTCTCAGAAGAATGCTGGATATTTTGGAAACATCCCTCTCCCTATTATGAGTGTATGGGGCCCTTAACATGTGAACTTGCACAACAGCGTCACATTACAATGAGCCTACCAGTACCCCAGAAACACATCTTCTGGTCTGATCAATAAGCATCTTTGTAAAAGAGGGCATGAAATGACGTTGATCGAGGGCGAAACAAAATTTGCCTCACGATGTAATGCCGATCCACCGCGACGATCCCGCCACGTCATTCCTGGAACCATCGCGCGGCTGTCAGCACCCTACTTGTTGGAAACTTCGATAATTATTCGAGACAGGCTAGCGGTATGGCACTTGGAGAGATCGCCTTAGCATTGGCTACCAGGTATGGGGAACTGCATCTCATCACCATCAAAGCTGGACTGAACTGCTCGTATCCGAAGTCAAGAGCCCGGTGACCGTGAAAGTCCGGTACCTCCAGAAAACGAGAATTGGGAAGAACAAAGCACTGGACGGAGCTCAACTACCCCAACCACAACCAGCCGCGCCCAACCAATTGCCGTGGTGAACTTCAATACTGAGGTAGGGTTAGTCCGGATTTTGCGGCTGACCAGGGATTCGCATCCCGCCAAGCGCATAGCCCCAGATCCCTGAATCTGAAGAAACTGGGGAGGGAATCGTGGAGTCTGCGGATCTGTTCGGGGCTGCAGACAGTTCTTGTGGAGAACCCTCCGGCGAAGGGGGAAACAAATGATCATGGGACCAATCCAGCCTCAGCCCTGAACTCTGGTTTTCTATGATTAATGTCGCATATCTCTGCAGAGGCCCACTAGGCGAACTCACTGCGGTGAATGTTGCAATAGTGATGCCTCACGTGCAATCTGTTTCTATTCCGGTGTTCTACGCCAGATCGACGCATGCATTGCTCGTCTGACCTGCCTTCTTGAGCGTGCATTCTAGAATACGGAACCTCAGGGATTGGTGCGTGCTTGAATATGCTATACAGGGCAGCCGGTCCCGCATATAATCGTCCAATTGGGTAAAAGTAAATACAACCGGCTCCAAGTCTAGGACATGAAACCGTAACGGAACTTCACGGTAAATCTATCGAGGAGGTTTGCTCCTACCCAACCTTACCCGACCTTCGAGGGTCTGGGGTGGGCCCCTTTGTTCTCATATCACGGGCTTCGAGATCGAGATAGTCAGGACCAAGGGGAGGACGCGATGTTGACAGTGCCATATTGAGTTTTCAGCTCGCTTAGAGAAATCCATGTTGCATGGCTGGAATCGACGGTTGCAACCAAAATTGGATGTGTACAGGCTACGAACACGAGACATCGTGAGTCGATGATGTAAATCTACAGATCTGGGTAATGGGGATCGAAAACTTGATACGGGTAGCAATATGTTTGGTAAGAGTAGGAGTACAGAAGCTCGCATTCTGAGACTAGTAGAGCTAAGTGATCCAAGGAAAGATATGCTCCCAGTGGTAGCTGTTTATCTGCTAAGGCCACAACGGGAAAGAGATGCATGTTGAAGCCCTGATAAGTTGCTCCGGTATTTGCTAGTAATTCTAAAAGATACATGGTGAACCATCACCCAGTTTTTGCTGCATGTACACTTCGAGTGTACAAGGTAAGATCCATGTGAAATGAATTCGACTCAAGTCGAAAGACGAGTATCAACGCCACCAACGTGCCTCAATGCCCTTTGAAATCCCAAAAAAAGGCCATGGCCTCCGCTTACAGGACAATGACCTGCGGCGGATTACCCAGTTTCCCAGACCCGCGATACATGCATGCCGCATTCACCATCCACCCGCCCCCGGGACTCTCACCACCCCATATCTGAGCCCAGATGACGCCCAGCACACCGTAGACAATGACCCGAGCCGCATCAACCCAGCCGGAAGGATCAAAGAGGTCTCGGAAGAAGCCACCAAGAGCGACGACCCGGCTATAGCGAGCACGTACGCGCCGCGCCGCGCAGAGACGCTCCCAAGCACGCTGGGCTTCGTCCCAGAAAACGGGCTCACGGCCTGCAGACTCGTGGATGTGGCCAAAGACATGCAGGAGGGGCCGAACACGCCAGGCTTCGTTCAAGAGGTTGGGACAGCCTGTGGAATAGACCGGAGACAGATCGAGGTGTGCCTGGGGCGGGGTATGAGTGACCAGGATGTCTGTTTCCTGAGGGACAGTGCCGGACCAGGCGTCGAACTTGGGAGGGTAGGTGAAGGCATGCTCGGGGCCCATGGGGACGATAGCGGGTATTTGAGGTGCACCATAGACCGTCAACAAGCGAGGATGGGCGTGGGTCAAGGGTGTTTTCGCATCTGAGACAGACGTCGTATCGGGCGGGTTAAACTCGAGGGTAACGGCGGAGTGCTGAAGGTAATGAATGTCTCCCCAATCGATGCGGGAGCCGTTCCTGTCGTCGATCTCGTGGATGGAAGCTGTGGAAGCAGAGACACCCACAAAGGAGCCGTTGGGAGTCTCATCGCGGTCCTCCTCGAGGCGTGATCGCGGGTCGAAGTAGCCGTCATGGTTGCCGCAGATCACGACCTTGTGCTTGTGCGGAAGGGAACGTAACCAATCAACAGCAGCTTGGATCTCGCGCACGGAGCCATCGTTGGCCAGGTCCCCGGCGTGTATTAGAAGATCGCCATCGGGCACATCGGGCCATTTCTGAGTATGAGTATCCGAAATGCAGACCACGCTGATCGGGTGCGCAGCTGGCGGAGGAAGCCGAGGGGAGCCGCGAAGCCGGAGCAACGCCTGGTGCAGGGGATAAAGCAGGGCGACCAGCGGAGATGATATGAAGTAGTCCGAGATTGGACGTCGGTGGAAAGGGCTGGACATGCTGAAACAGTGTCGCCTTCCCAACCGACCCCTTGAAGGAATGTGCTTTCCAAGTGGAAGCTTGAGAACTGTAGAGTGCCAAGGCCCGAACCGCATGCGGGGACCCCAAGCACGTGCAATACTCCAAATACCTTCTTGGGGCCAACCAGGTGGGGGGTTCGGCGCTTTCGGAGCACAAGCACAATCGAAATAATTCGATAGGAGCGGCCGTAGATCTCTTGCGACTTCGAAATATTCCTCAAAGACTGAACCTCGGACCCCTGCACTCTTGGGAATGGGCGGTACTATACAGGATAGAGGCGGTCAGTGCCGAATTAGAGAGCATTTCGGAGGGATTCAGATGCTTTTCGGCCAGTCAGATCGCATACTATGCTACCATCTGATATTAATCACTCAAGCCCCTGCTGCTACACATTAGGATGTCTTTACCCAAGCTGTAAAGCTGTACCGCAAAATGGCAGATAATAGACTATGATTAATGACTGCTGCTAGTATCATAAAGTAATTTGGCTAGACTTGGTCATCTTCTGGTAAAAAGAGTACACATAGCGAAAGATCCTACGCGATGATGACAGTCCAAGTGCATACCATCGCAGCTGTCAACCGAAGAACCCCGACTGATATTATTGTCTGGATTCGGAGCCTTGGATATGACAAGCTTCACCGCCCTAGGGGACAGAATGAGATACATAACCCTAAGTTTTGGATCCGTGGACTTCTCTAAAGACTAAAACTAGCACAGGGAGGCACAACAAGTGTATAGCTTCCCAGTACCGGTGGCTGGCGGAAATTCATAGAGAGAACCAGATCCCTAACAGTCGTGTACAAGAAGAACCCGACCGCTAGATTTACCTTAGAAAAACCCTTACTTCTTCTTAGAACTCTTCTTGAACTTTCCATAGGACGATGTTACGTGGGGATTGCGCATGGGCAACAAGCGGGGACGATCGGAGCGGTGACATCAGCATGTGGCCCAGATCGTCAGCATCAAGATAGGCCTGAGCCGAAGTACATCAGCTCCAGATTGACTATCATGGTATGGCAAGTACTGTTACCAATGCAGTAACTGTTCGCTTTGATTGTCTGGAACAAATCAAATACTAGCTTCAAAGAGTTTCCTACAATTATAAAACACCCAGCCACTTCGAGTATATGGCTAAAGCAAGACTACTGAGTAGGGCAAGGCATGATCATGAAACAAAACCGCTGGATTTGAGGATCTATACATATTTGAAAGCGATCTAGAGTACAAGACCAGCCCTTTCACCTCGGGGCCCTTCCCTTAGTATTTATGAAGTGGTCGCTTGTTTATATGCCTTGACTATTTACCCGTTGCTCCATCCGTCACTTTTTGCCACATCCGTCCCAAGTGGCTGCTTGCGGAATTACCAGCCCTTCTGCCCTCGAAACTTTCAGCGGAAGCACATGCTGGCGCCCTCGACCGAAATTCACTTCTCGATAGTTTCTGTCCTCGACATACTGCGTACGCGCTCCGCAACTCACGCTATCGCCTCGTAGCCTGATCGCGCACCCAATCATACCCGCACTCCCAGCCATCGCAAACCTGTCGCACTACGCTACTTTGTTTCGTTTTACGGGGGATTTCGCATTTTCACTTTCTTTCAACCCCAGCAACAAAGCAGCATCTTGCCTACGATCTGATATCTCGCGGACTTGACCCAATCTCGTTGCCCAACTGAAATCGAACACGGCGGGTCGTGGCCCCTCCGCACCGCCCTCTCATCACGCTTTTCTCCTTCCCGCCATCCAAACACCTGCCCCGCCTTTCTCAGCTTGAACTTGTTCCCTCATCAACATGGATGGTGTCGACCTCAAACAGGCCGTGTTGAACAAGGGAAAACAGATGGCCAGCGTCGCTGCCTCTGCTGCCAATGGCAACGGTGGCAAGAAGCGGAGAAAGGGCACCGATCTCAAGCCCATCGTCACTAACGAAGCCAACCCGGCAGATCCCACTGAATCGTATGTTGAGACCTTGATTCCCTCCCCCGCCCCCCCGATGTTTTTGCTTCTATGGCACCGCGATGCGAACCGAATTCGCCCGGTCGCTTCTGCATCCCCATTTGTTCATACTTTATCTACCTCCCAATGTCCAGCTCCGATGAGATCCCAGCTAATCGCATCTTTCCTGAAGTAGTGGCGCCGCGCCCGCAAACCCCAAAACATCTGGCGCCGCAGCCTCGCGCTCGCCCTCCAGTTCCTCCGGTGACGAAATCGAAACTACCGCGGAAGAAGAAGACTCAGAAGATTATTGTAAAGGTGGTTACCACCCAGTAGCGGTCGGCGAGACCTACAACAACGGTCGATACGTTGTCGTTCGCAAACTCGGGTGGGGTCACTTCTCAACAGTCTGGCTGTCCCGAGACACGACGAATGGAAAACATGTCGCGCTGAAGGTGGTGCGCTCGGCTGCCCATTACACCGAGACTGCGATCGACGAGATCAAGCTACTCAATCGCATTGTCCAAGCAAACCCGTCGCACCCTGGGCGCAAGCATGTTGTGAGTCTGCTAGACTCTTTCGAGCACAAGGGTCCCAATGGAGTCCACGTATGCATGGTTTTTGAGGTTCTTGGTGAGAATCTGCTGGGACTCATCAAGCGCTGGAATCATCGAGGTATCCCCATGCCCCTGGTCAAGCAGATCACAAAGCAAGTCCTGCTTGGTTTAGATTATCTTCACCGCGAGTGTGGCATCATTCACACCGACCTGAAGCCGGAGAACGTGTTGATTGAGATCGGAGACGTCGAGCAGATCGTCAAGGCCCATGTGCAGCAAGAAGAGACGAAAAAGGAAAACAAGGAAGACAACCGCAACGGCCGCCGGAGGAGGCGCACCCTGATCACTGGCAGCCAGCCTTTGCCCAGTCCACTCAACACCAGCTTCAGCAGTTTCGACTTTAAGCACAGCTCCTCAAACTCACACAGCAGCCTGAGTCAGATGGTAAATGAATCAAGTGAGTCGGACCTGACCCCGGAGCTTTCTTCCGAGAACGGATACTGACATTCAATAGCACCGCCCATTGCAGAGAATCCGTCTATGAAGGAAAAGCTCGGCATCCCAGAAGATGAAGTCGATCACCAGAAAGAGCGAGAAAAGACAGCGTAAGTCCGTCCTTCAACGATGCTGAATTCTGAGCGTAACCAAGCTGATATTTTGCAGGGACCTCTTAGAGCGAGAAGTGTCTGGAATTTCCCTGGACAAAGGCTCGTCATCTACTAAGTCTGTCGAAGAGGAGATTGACGCGAGCATTATTTCAGTCAAGATCGCTGACTTGGGTAACGCTTGTTGGGTGGGTCATCATTTCACCAACGACATTCAGACCCGGCAATATCGGTCCCCCGAAGTTATTTTGGGAGCCAAGTGGGGTGCTAGTACTGATGTGTGGAGTATGGCGTGCATGGTATGTCTTTCTCACGTACCTCTGCGAGCTTCATTTGCTGACTGACTGGCTCGCTAGGTATTCGAGCTTATCACTGGCGACTATCTTTTCGATCCGCAGTCCGGTACGAAGTACGGCAAGGACGATGACCATATCGCCCAGATTATCGAACTTCTGGGTTCATTCCCCAAGTCTATGACCATGTCTGGCAAGTGGGCGGGAGATATCTTCAATAGGAAGGGAGAATTGCGTAACATCCACCGACTTCGACACTGGGCCCTGCCCGATGTTCTTCGTGAGAAGTACCATTATTCCGTTGACGAGGGCATGCGGATCAGCGAGTTCCTTCTGCCAATGCTTGATCTCTCGCCCGAAAAGCGCGCCAATGCGGGTGGGATGGCATCGCATGAATGGATGCAGGACACTCCAGGGATGGAAGGAATTGATCTGGGGATCAAGCCGGGGACTCGGGGTGAGGGGATCGAAGGTTGGGCGTCGGAAGTCAAACGGCGATAAGCGTCCGGTCTTGTCTTTCAGCGTTCTTGTGTCTCAAATTACCCTTCCCATTCCCCATCAGCTTGAAAGGATCTGGATGTCCTAGATGGGCTCCTTTTCCATCTCCTATGTCTTGTTTCACTTACGCCGTGGTTGATGTGTGAAGCTTAACGATCTTTTCTTTCCATCCGCAGGAATGATACTGGTTGGATCCATGTTCACTATGCTTTTCCATTTCGATTTCCTTGTCTAGGGTCTCGGTAGCTGGGTGGTCAAGGTTGATGTCATCATCTCTTCTACACTCCCAGTACATGCGCGTCGTCTGTTGCCTCCCTTTCCACCTTGCCTTTCTCTCCCCATTCCTGGCTCTCAGTATTCCCGATAGAATCTCTGTGCAGAACCGCCTTTTCCAGCGCAACGGAACTTTCTGTCATACCAGACCGGGCAATTTTGGCCTGAAGCTCGACCTGCAACTGATAGTTGAGATCAATGGCTGGACATGTTTGACGTGACCGACTGGTGTCTTTCATTGCGTTGAATTGTTTTAGATTAAATGAAGACGAATTATCATGGTCGTACGTGTTGCTTTTACCAAATACGAATTAGCAGATGCCAGTCTACTCCAATTTTGATCCTTTTAACCCTTATGATTGTGCAGCAATTGCAATGAAATTTTGATGAAAATAGCTGTCCTGTGTTCTAATCAGATTTTGAAATTCGTTTGCTTCATAGTCACACGAATGGGAGAGTTTATTCAGCCCAGTAATGGGAATCAGGGGTTGTCTTCATTCATCATCACTGTTTCCCCCTTCTTCGCTAGGCAGTTTCTTTGGAAACCAGCCATAACGTGAAAATGAAATGTGATATTCGTTCAGGCTGCCAGTAGTGATTTCGACGCCTTCCTCGCGTAGAGCCTCGGCCTGGCGCTCCGCACTTCCAGGTCCCCTACACCAGATCAGTTATGGATTTTCGGGAGATAATCAAGGATTGAGGTGGGCCGTAGCAGATGAACATGAAATAGAGATAGGAAAGGGAGGGCACACCTATGTGAGATCTTGCCTTGAGCGTTAATTACCCGCTGCCAGGGAACCGTACTTGAATTGAATTCCAAGCCAGACTCAGGATCCGGCAGGGACTTGAGACAAACCCCGACCTGACGAGGGCGTTGTGCTACCACATTTAAGCATTTTCATCTTCAAACAAGAACGTGGAAGAACTCACGCTCGCCTAGAAGTAGAGCAATGTGCGCATAGGTGGTGACTCTACCCGGGGGAATTTCCTGAATGGCTGAATAGACAGCGTTGGCCCATGCTTCCGCCTCTTCCGACCTAGCCATTAGAGCTCACTGAAGGGAGCACTCAGTCAGCCTTGGACCTGATAGGACCTGAAACTCTCTGAGGCTTTTACAGGCCAACAACGGGGTTGGGATACAGATGGTACAGTTCGGGCAAACCATAATCCGTTATCGATAACCACCAAAGCTCAAGTCGAAGACCGGATCGACACCCAACTCCAAGAAAGACTTGCAACGCCAAAATGCCCGGATCTTTGGCCGATTACCTCGCCAAAAACTACCTTAATGCAGACCCGGCTCCCGAGCGGCCTAAGAAGAAGCGCAAGAAGACCAAAACTGCAGATACAGCAGACACAGGCATCACGATCGCAGACGACGACCCTCCAGACCTCCGCAATTTCTCCAACACCGCACCAGATGACGAAGACTCTCCCTTCATCGACACATCCACCGCCACAACTGAATTCCGCCGCACCAAGAAATCCAACTGGAAGACGGTCTCCGGGCCAGACCCGAACGAGCAAGCAGCCGCAGACGCGATCCTAGCCTCCGCGGCGGCCGAACGCGCCACGCAACAAGGCGTCGACGATGAAGCCCCAATGATCGAGGACACCGAAGGCGATGGTCCACGGATGGAATCTGGGGCCCGAGCCGGTCTCCAGACAGCAGAGCAAACAGCTGCGATGGTGAAAGCACAGGAACGGCGCAGAAAGGCCGAGGAAGCGCTTTTCAAAACCCCCGAACGCTACAAACGCCAAGGCCCAGGAAACTATCTACCGTGATGCATCTGGTCGAATCATCAATGTTGCCATGAAGCGCGCTGAAGCGAGACGGGCAGAAGAAGAGAAACGCAAAGCGGAAGAGCGTGCCCGGGAAAGTCTGCTTGGAGACGTGCAGCGACAGCAGCGCGAGGAGAGAAAACAGCAGCTGCAGGATATCAAAACCATGCCTGTTGCTCGGGGCATTGACGATGAGGAGCGGAATGCGGAATTGCGGGGGGCAGAACGATGGAATGATCCTGCTGCTGCGTTTTTAACGGAGAAGACGACGGCGCGGAACGCTGTCTCTGGGAAGCCGCTATACAAGGGATCTTTCCAACCCAACCGGTATGGTATTCGGCCGGGTCATCGGTGGGATGGTGTTGATCGGTCTACTGGGTTTGAGAAAGAGTGGTTCGCTGCTCGGAATAAGAAGGATATGATTTCGACGTTGGAGTACCAGTGGCAGATGGACGAGTGATGTGCTCTGTGTTCGGTTCCTTTTGCATCAAGACCATTGTGGGTGCTGGCGCCCGGTTCTCATAATGTTTCGATATCCTGGGCAATATATGCGGGGTTCTCTGGAAATATAGTAGGATTTCAGATGGACGAGGTTTAGTTCTCGCGTCGGGATGGATACATGCAACTTGCCGCTTCTATAGCCACTGTAGCAGACAAAGCGGCTTCGAGTTTTAGGAACAGCCCAACGTATTCCAATGCGACCAACAATCTTGATCCAAGTAGTGCATCTTCCAGTTCTCCAAGTCTCAATCTGCAGAGCCCCATGATAAGCCCCGATCTTTGTGGAGTTCTTATCGGTTCTGCCGAGCGGGTTGCTCCGGTGTCTTGTTTACCCAAACAAAAACTTCCAGACTCCGTCATCCCGCTTTCGTTCCCCCATCACCACCATGCAACAGCGCACGGCGGAGAGTCCTATGGACTTTACCTGGGACAATCGCCCCATGGATGCGTCGTCCCCATTTACACACTTGCATGGGCTGAAACGTAGGAGCGCAATCCTGGACAACCCGCGCAAGACGCTGACCCCTTCGATAGGAACCCACAGCGCATTTGAATCACCGACAAAGAACCCTCCTCCTTCCGCGAACCGAATAACGAACCATTCTTTTTCTCCAACGTCGCTCAACCTAGGCCACCGGTGTTCGGGCAGCCTGGATTCACAACTCCTCAGAAAGTCGACCTCGACTTCTCGTCCGGTCCGCCGAGTCCAGCCACGGATAATGACAACGATGATACCCCAGAGCCCCCTGCCCGCGCAGACCGACGAGATTCCCTATTCAACATGTTTTCAAAGGCAACATCAAGCCCGGGCCGTGGCGTACCTGCAAATAGAAGGCCCAACACAAAGAAATTCTCGCACAAAGCTGGGCAAAGAATTGAAAAGAGGAGAAACCAACATATTATCCGTACATTAGGTCTCGACGATCCCGAGGAAAAGAATGCACCACTCGACAATATGTCTCCAAATGCATCACAGATACCGCCCAGGAGCGGAGTGTCGGGCTTCCTGTCGTACTTGGAAGAACACCCTGCGCTCCCGACCATCCTCTCTTGGTGGTTTCAGCTACTGGTCAATTTTGTTGTCGTTGCGGGGGCTTTCTACATCTTGTATCTTGCGATTTCGTCTATCGGCGACGAATTTGATTTGGCCGCCAATGACATGACTGCGGAAATCTTGATCGAGATGAAAAAGTGCAGCGACAATTATAACGACAATGGGTGCCATGAGACGGCTGTTTCCCCTGTCCTTAAAAGCTATTGTGAAGAATGGTCGCGGTGTCTGAAGAGAGATCCACGGAAGATGGCCCGGGCTAAGCTGTCTGCTCAGACCATGGCCGGGATCATCAACGGCTTCGTCGACGCCATCAGTTGGAAGACAATCGTAGGTGGTGTTCTCAATGCCTTTAGAGACCTTCTACTAACCTTCGTCTCTTAGATTGTTTTTCTCGCCACCGTCCTTGTAGTTCTGCTTGGCAGCAATTGGTCATTCCGCACATTCAGGAACCGCCAAGAAGAACGACGATATCAGCAGTCCAACCAACAGCACTACCCACCACCCTCGCAAATCCAGAACAGCGGTCACTATCCGTACAACTCCCATTATCCCCCGCAAACACCTGAAAACGACCGGTACTACCACCCCTCTGATACGCGGTCTTTGGTTCAAACCCAGCCAGAGCAGCGCCTGATTGGAGATCTCCCGCTGTCGAAGTATGTCACTGAACGTAGCCAAGAACGTCAAAACAAGGGGGCCCTATCAAGCTCTTCTGATGGCTGGCTCTAATCAAAGAAACGAGTGATAATCTTTGGCCTGGCGTCTATCATAGGGGATATCGGCAGCATGGGCCCAGGATGGGCGACGGTGTTTTGTTTCTTTCTCTGTATACAAATGGGACCTTCCTTTCATTCTTGTACTTTATATCCTTCCATCAAAATAAGCTCTACGAAAGCTATCAAAGTCCTGCTCCGAGGTATTTTCCATAGTATTCCTGTATGTTCATTGAACCCCACCCCTATACCTAGATATATTTTGCGCATGGGCTAAATCACCTTGCCCTTCATGTTAGCCAGCCATTTTGCGTCCTCTATAAGGTTCATCTTCTCGACGGACTAAGTGACCAAGTCCGCGCCACGGAGGTGTTCCCACCCCATGAGATCATTGCAGGGGTCACAATTTCCTTATAAGAGCTGTATCCAGACCCATTGTCTTGCTTAGCTTCCTTATCGCCGGCTGTTGTCACAGCTGCTTTTGGAATAGGGCGTGAAATGATGTTCCTTGGACTGTAAAAGAGCAGCAGTGCCCGGCGAATGGCGACGGCGGTTATTAAGACAGCTGTCTCTGAATTTAGTCTATAGAAGAAAATATAGCTTCTTTCTTTTTATGCTTCAACTATCGAAACTGCGTATCGCGGTACTACGGATATCCGATCCAACATCACCCATCACTCATTATGCAGCGGTTCTTATACGCACTCAGGCGTGAATTTCAACTTCAAATTAAATAGGACTATTGATGGAGTTCGAGAAGAAAGAGGAATTTTACTATTGAAGTCCGAATCGTTGAGCCTTAGGAATTTATAAATTGACAAAGCCTACCTGGGCACCTAAAGCCAACAGGCTAGGATATGTAGATTGGAGCTCCCACTTCCTGGAGATAGAGATTTTGGAAATCTCTATAACTCAAGAGCATGTCAACCTGTGATCTGTTCGGCATAGGCGTCCGCATCGTATGGTCGCTTTGTCCGGCTACTTTGTGTGCATCTGGGGCGAGCGACTTACTACAGGACACCCGAGAACCGGTGTGCCTAGAGTATTGATAGGCTCAATCCTGATTAAGTGAAAGTTTGGTATTTCCCATGTGTTGCATAATTCATTCCAAAATCCTCATTCCCTGATGCAGCTAGCCGGTAGATGTATGTTGTTCAATAATGACAGGGCCACTCCAAGAGATGCACAAGCGCTATCAATGAAGAAAAAAGAGGTGCAGAACCAATCTTGGAGCATGTATACTCAGCCTCTAGGCTGTCCTCACGATTGGTATTTGCTAATTCGTGTCTTTTCATAGCCTATAGGTGTAAGCGGATAGCTGAATAGTTCAGCTCCTTAACTATTCATAAAACATGTTAGAGATTGGAATAGGCCTATAACATTGAAATTGATCGATTGCAGCCTTGAAGAACCTCTCGGATGTGGTGGGAGAGGCAAACCGTCACACTGTATGGGAGCCATAGTGACTGACCGGAGAGGTCCGTCCCTGGGTTGGAACATCCCGGATGACGTTATCTCCTCATTGAAGCCGCATTAACTCTGTATACTGCCGGTACGTATTTCCTATGCGGCACTGTCTTCTGCGTCGATTGCGATATCGTCTCCTTCCCGCAAAGGAACTAGGAAATTTTTGAAAATTGATTCTCGAAGAGCTCAATATCGTCGCTGGCGACCTCGTGAGTTTTGGAAAAATGTGAGGTTGACCTCGTCGAGGATCATAGATTGAAAAGCTACGCTGGTCCACGAGGGCATAGCACCCGAGTAACCTGAGTATAGCCTCATATTATGATACTGCACACCGACGCCGCCTTGGGGGATATACGAGCCCTTCCCTCCATCTTCTCTTCTTTTTCTTCCTTCTCCTTTCTCCAAATATTTTCCTGTTGAGGTTTTTTTTTTTTCTTTTCTTTTTTTGGTTTAGCCTTGCCTGGATTTCCTGAACCAACCTCGTCGACTTTATCGTGTCTTGTATTGCTTCGCATCTATGATGGTGCAAAGGGCATGCTCATTTCCCCAACAAGGCATCTCCACAATATGATGTCTTGGATCTGACTTACAAGCCTTTGGCTTCATGGAAGCTTGGTATGTAAAAATATTTGTTGATTCTCGCGCGCAGTTCATCCACCTTTTCGGTGATATCCATCCTCGAGACTTGATATGGTGCGTCGCGTTTATGGGTCGGGCGTGGTTACACCATATCCCGCGCGTTTGTGGATTTGGGCGCGCTTCCACGCGGCTTGGTGTCTTTACACAACCGTACCCCACCTTACCCCACTATACATCTCCCTACCCACGCACCAGTCTCCCCTTGCCCACGCACCTTGCCCTATCGCATTGATTTTCCCAACCCATCTCTTGGAGTTGTTTTGATGAGCTTGACCACGCCGTTGATGAAAGCCTTCACGATTATGAGAACAAATTCTCATAAAGCCTAGTCTTTCATTCTGGCATTTGATGTGTTTTGTTGCTGGTCTGCTTGGCGATGATGACACATTACTGGGCTGCAAACTTCAATGATGACAGCAAATGAGAGGTCTGAGCCAAACTTCTATCTCGCGCTTTTGAAATCTCTTATGTTGCATTTTGCAAACCTTCTGCCTGACACTGATCGCATTTATCTGCTGAGACTTGTTGACGGCTTTTCTACTGCTTGAGATTGTGAGTATTCGTTGATTCCCTTGCCACTTATTCCTGTTTTCCGTTATTTGGGCATGATGACAAGATTTTAGAGATGCGTTTTGAGTTGGAGCTATGATGAATTCACATTGTCTGACCTATCTGCTACTACGTTCGCATCTTTGCTAGTAGTCGTTGCTCCTTGATGGCTTCTGTTAACTACTCTCGCAGACCGACGCCATTGGCAACATTCCCATTCCTCATTCAATACCGAGAAGGTAGGATGGTCAATTATCTGTGTTATTACACCCAAGAGCCAGCGGGAATGATGACCGAAAGTTTCGAAGATTGCAATATGAGTTGAGACTATGATGAAACCGCACAGTCTGACCCGCCTCCCACTCCAGTGGCAGTTTCTTTCTGCAAACTTAACCATGTTTATTTCTACTTGTCGTCTTGCGCTGACTGCCCTGCAGATTAACTCCGTGAGAGTACCTTATGTCCTGGTCTTGAGGTAGTAGAGTGGCACACGTTCCGTGTCCTTGAGAGCCTTTCCAGGCGGGGCCCAAGCTTTGGGGATTATGGGCATCCTCGGTTTGCGTTGGCTTGCATCAAGTCTTGCGATCTATCCCCAACATTGTGAGATACAGCACCCCCTTTAGTCATGCCCACTCAACCCGTTCGCTGTGCAATGATGATAAAGGGGCCGTGGTCCCCTTGTGGACGGATGGCCTCTGTACCTGAGCACCTTACCCCTCACTGTGCGATGATGAAGCATGATATCTCGCCAAAGATAGGATTACACGATATTTGGTGTCTATGGCTGAGCACATCGTTTCCTACTCTGGATGCTGTCCATAGTCGGCGAAGGTGTGCGGTGGTGAATGATATCTACATGTTGCGTGCGGCTCGAATTCGCACTTATGCCTTCGGCAGACTGCAACATATCCCTGAGCACACTCAAGCTTCCCTCCTGCATTTGAAATTTAGTTCATACTTAACATTTGTGGCTCACAATTAACTCTGTGACTAGGAACCCGTCAGGTTTGTGCGTCCTTTCGCTTCATTTCCCAGTTGTTCGTGCAATGACGATAAAGGGTCGTGGCTCTCGTGGCCCTCGTGGCCACGGGTGACCTTGTACCTGAGCACGTTCCCCTTCTCTGTGCAATGATGAACTACGATATCTCGCCAAAAGAGAAGATTTGACATGACTTTGGCGTCTACAGCTGAACACATCGTTCCCTTCTGTGGATTTTGTCCATAGTCGGCGAAGGTGTGCGAAGGTGAACGATATCTAACTAGGATCAAGGCACGCTTCGCGGCGAAGCCCTCCTAGTATACCTGAGCACATTATTACCCTCTACACTACTGAGATTTGGTCAACATTTTATCTTCCAAGATTCAAACGAAAAATGAGCCATCATAAAAAGCGTTCAAAGTTCTTGTTTTGGCCGAGAAATAGCAACAGATTGCTCTAAGCAAGGTACCAGAATAAGGATATCAGGACGGAAAAAAGAGCTCATCAAAAGAATAAAATAAAATAAAAACAAAAACAAATGATTTGGCGTTCTTGCTCTAGCCACGTGTATTTCGTCGACGTGTATTTCGTCGACGCGTATTTCCTTGAGGTGTATTTCCTTGAGGTGTAAGTCCTTGCGCGCGCCAGACTAGAGCGGCAAGGTGCTGTAACTGAGGCACCTGAACAAGGATATCAGTCTCACCCGGTAATGGAGGGCGTGCCATTATCTCTTGCACGGTAATGCGAAGTGGCACTGCGGGTGTTGTTGTTATGACTCCGTTCTGATCCCGTACGATAACAAGCTTCTGTCGAGTTACTGGACAGTAACGGGGGCGAGCATGGCGAGCCGGTGGGGCAGTTCGATCCAGCACAATACACTCAATAGTGATCTGTGCTTGAGTTCTGTGGATCGCGATGGTAATTACCAGGTTGACTGCTCCATTCGAGTTGGCTAGCCACCATGCCGCGTCACATTTTAGTTTAGTCTGGGATTCAGAATATCCCACTTCTAATACCACCGTTGGCCAAGCACGTTCCTGATCCTCTGGCATATATTGTGAGTCAGGTTCTTTGTGACTCGAATTTCCAGTCTTTCGAGCAGTTCCATCAGATATGATAGCCAGGTTTGAGGATATCGCTAGGATTGTCATAATAGAGTTCCATTGACCGATTGCTCGCTCATGTGGCCCTCCAGTAATAGTAATGATCATGCAACGCGTCTCGAAGTCGTAGAAGTTCCGTGTAGCCTTGATATCCGTTCCGGTGGCAATTTCCGGCGGCACGTTCGTAAACTTCAGATAGACCGTATCGTCAGGATTTGTAGAAGCTTTAGTCCGGTTCACTATCCTTGTAATCACGCTTTTTGTTGAGCCAATATATTCTGGAGCGTGCGGTAGGTCAAGACAGCCACGGGGGCATAGCTCCATTGTATCCTGGATAGATTGCGAACGAACAAGCTCAGTCGGCTCTGAGAAACCGCTGCATTGTACTTCGTTTGACGTCATTTTGATCAGTTGATCGGCAGCAGGGATATGAAGGCGATGGTGGAGTCTTGGTGGGAACAGTCGATCAGTGGGTAGGCGGCAGTATGCAAGATATGAGAGAGAGGGATTTAAGCGATGGTTGAGATGAGGTAGAGAGGTGTAAGGGATAGATTGAGATGAAGTAGAGCGGTGTAAGCGATGCTTTGAGATGAAGTAGAGAGGTGTAAGGGATAGATTGAGATGAGGTAGAGAGATGTAAGGGATGGTTTGAGATGAAGTAGAGCGGTGTAAGCGATGGTTGAGTCTCGGTGGGAGTAGTGATCCGGATATCTTGTGTAGAGCTGAGACTGACACTCAAGCTAGTGGCCTCAGGGGGTTTGAGAGAAGGGAAATTGAGACGGAAGATGTGGAAAAAAGAAAAGAAATATGCAAAGGAGGAAAACATAATAAGATCTAATGCACACCGTCCATATCTAATATATCACTTTTTGTCTCCTGTTGATGCTTTACTATGATTTGGTGTCTTCTTGCTGTTAGGTCGAGTTCATAGATATATTCAACAAATGATAGCCTCCCAAGCCCTGTCAATACCCACTACTCGCCAAGAAATATGGCATGGTCTCCTCAATTGCCCTTCCTAGGATACATTCTAAGTTAAACAATCCTGGCAGCGAATGTAATCCTATACTACCGAGCCCTCAAAATCAAAAGTCATCGGCTTCCACATTGCTAGATATCACTCCAACCCCCAAGTTACACATGCAGCGCCAAGCACCAGAGCCCACCGCCATACCGCGCGACCCACCCATTCCCATATTCGGATCCATAACAACCTGCAATTGGCGCAAAGCTCACGAGCCCCACGATCTGCACGCCTTTAAGATAAGGAAGCACACCATCGGCGGCAAATGAACGCGACCGCAGCTCGACTCGCGATGGCACCATGTTCCCCGCAAATCCTGCCCCAAAAAAAATAACAGCTCGGCACGCTGTCCCCTCGCGCAATTTCCTCCGCTTGAACCCAGGCACCGACAAGCTCAGCCGACAATGGCAGATAAGAGCTATGATATCACCGAGTCAAGCCCCTACGGAGCATCCAAAGACGACGGATCGCAGTGGGGTACCAAAAATGTGGACGAGCAGAGTATCCGGTCGGAGGGCCGCGACGAGGAGGCCGACCCGTTTGCGAAGCCGCTGAAGCGACAATTGAAGTCGCGGCATCTACAGATGATTGCGATTGGCGGTATTATTGGGCCTGGCCTGTTGGTTAATTCTGGAAGTGCGCTGGCGCAGGGTGGCCCTGCAGGAGCTTTGATTAGCTTCTGCTTGGTTGGCATCATTGTGTTTTTCGTCATGTGGGTGCAGAGCCAATCTGGTTCTTGCAAGGGATGCTAATTGGTATAGGCAATCGTTGGGCGAAATGGCTACATTAATTCCAGTATCGGGGTCATTTATCGAGTATGCGGAGCGGTTTATCGACGATGCGCTGGCGTTTGGACTCGGGTGGGCATATTGGTATCTATGGGTTACGGTAGGCAAAGAGATCTTTATGGAGAGTGGAGATGAACTGACTTTGGCAGGTTCTCGCGAACGAGTACAACTCTATCTCCCTAGTTATCGGATACTGGACGCAAGCGGTGCCCCAATGGGGCTGGATTCTCATATTCTGGTTTTTGTTTCTGACTCTTTCGAATCTGGGCATTTTAGCCTACGGTGAAATGGAGTTTTGGCTGTCGATGTAAGTCGAACGAACGCCTGCCGGGTTCAGCGCTAACGGCCACCAGTATCAAAGTTATCGCTTTGATCGTGTTTTTCATTTTAGCGATTTGCATCAGCGCGGGTGCCATCGGCCCTCAAACGATTGGGTTCAAGTACTGGCATAATCCGGGGGCGTTCGCAGATGGAATCAACGGCGTGGCGAAGATTTTCGTCGTGGCAGGAACATTGTACGCGGGTACAGAAATGTATGCTCGATGCGTCAAGCCAATAGCGTATGCGGCGAGCTAACGGTGGCAGGGTCGGTATTACCGCGGGCGAATCGACAAATCCGCGAAAGGCAGTCCCCAGAGCTATCAAGCAAGTCTTCTGGCGTATTCTTATCTTTTATGTCGGTATGTTGATCTGCCTAACCTGCAACATATGGTACTGATGAGTCAAGGCACAATTTTCTTCATTGGCATTCTCATGCCATACAATAACAAGGAGCTGCTCAGCGGCTCTTCCAAAACTGCGAGCTCGCCGCTCACCATTGCTCTATCCGAAGCCGGCATTCTTCCCGCGGCGCACTTGATCAATGCCCTGATCGTGATCAGTGTCATCTCTGCTGGAAATAGTTCCCTATACGTTGGCTCTCGAACCCTTCTCTACATGTCACGAAGCCGGAAGGCTCCCAAGTTCATTGGACGAACCAACCGTGCCGGGGTTCCTTGGGTGGGGCTGATCTTCACGAACGTCTTTGCATGCATTGTGTTCCTCGAGCTTGGCTCAAGCGCTGGAACAGTGTTTGAGGCCCTTATCACGCTATCTGGAGGTACGTCACAATCACAATCTAGACTGTAGAGGATATTAATGTTTCTGCAGTGGCCACATTCATTGTCTGGGCCGTCATCGGCGTCTGCCATATTCGATTCCGTCGTGCTTTGGTGGCACAAGGGCAGGACCCTGCTAAGCTCCCATTTGCCGCTGCTTTGTATCCATGGGGCACCTACCTTGCCCTCGCAGCGAATATCTTCCTTGTGTTCTTCCAGGGTTATACCTGTTTTTTGAATCCGTTCAGCGCCAAGGACTTTGTGATCAACTACATCCTGCTTCCTGTCTTCGTTTTGTTCGTCATTGTATATAAGTTCTGGAACAAGACAAAGTGGGTTAAGCTGGAAGACATGGATATCTGGACTGGCCGGCGACACTTCGAAGAGTCGGAGGAAGAAGTTCCGAAGGAGAAGAGCTGGTGGGCTCGGACCTATGCCGTGGTTATAGGGTAAGAGTCGAGGGCTTGCTTTAGGCATAGAACCATATACCCCAATCGAAGCACGCAATCACCGGCTGAGGATTACCTTCACGAATGGGAAAGGCTTGCAGTAGGTCAAGATAACCGGAAGGATCGGGACGATCTCCGCCGGGCGCCCGTATAAGCAACACGAAGCACGAGCCCGACATCGCAGGCCTTCGCCGCGTAAGCGTGCAAGAGATAAGTAAGCACGAGTGAATGGCTCCGCTTCAGAGCCGAGACCATAGCTCAAATACTCCTGATGCAGACGATCCCTCTCGACGTTCTTCACGGACCCCCCGCATTCAGGGGCGGGTGAGCGTGGCCCCCGTCACCCCCTCCCATTGGCCTGATAACCTTCACGCTAAACAGCCAACAACGCCCCATCGCAGTCTCACGATCCACCGGCTCAAGCCCGGCGCCAAAGCCGGTTGATCCCCTCCGGTACCACGGGCGACCCCTCGACAACCAGTCGATCGTTCACGCTTTCTCCGCCTCGCCAATCACGATCCGTGCGTACCTCGGGTAGGCAACTGTTTCCTTCAGGGCAAAGACGCTGCAGATCGGTCCAGCTACCTATTGTGGTATGGCTAGCTCAAGGACTATACTTGATTTCTGAGATGGCATGCGCCAATGAGATCGCATACTCTGTCGAAGAATGGGATGTAACATCGGGAAGCACGGGGTGCCTCAAGAGGGGAAATTAAGCTTTCGAGGATCAATGTCTCGCACAGCACTGAAGGTCTATATAAAGCTCACAGCAACCCAATCTACAAGCATCACTCGCAGATCAGCCAAGCCCGGTTCCTCGTTGATCCCCGACTCAAAATGCAGTTCACCAAGGTATGCTCCAGCATTTTCCCATCAGCAATCCCTCAGCTTTATCCTACTAGCCCATACTTACTCTTGTAGCTCGTCGCCTTCGCCGCCCTCTTTGTGAGCGGTGCCCTCGCAGCCGACTACACCTGCGGCTCCCACTCCTACAGCGACAGCGAGGTTAGTGCTGCCCAGCAAGCTGGATACGAGCTGTACGAGGAGGGCTCCACCGTCGACTCCTACCCCCACCAGTACAAAGACTACGAGGGCTTCGACTTCCCCGTCCCGGGCAACTGGTACGAGTTCCCTATTCTCAGCTCAGGCGAGATTTACGATGGTGGTTCCCCTGGTGCCGATCGCGTCATCTTTAACGAGCAGGGTGAACTTGCCGGGTTGATTACCCACACTGGGGCTTCGGGTGATGACTTTGTCGCTTGTGAGGGTGATGACTTTTCTTAAATTGATGAATCAAAATAGACTATGCTTTGGATGTTATGAACTTGCATATGCCCCGATCGTCCGGGTAAATCTCATAAACTTTCATGCAGAGGCACTGTGTATGCCGAAGCACTATGAAATTGTCCTTGTCATTTGGTAGAAGATTGGATGGCACTCGGACCGAAGGACAGTATTCAACTCCAGTACTCATTCCTAGGACTTCAAGCTGCGCTCCTTTGTCTAAGTACTACATGTTGGAGACTTACTTTCATGCAGACACACTGAAACAGTGCCAACATGCTGTAATAGCTCCTTCTATCTCGGTATTCTGAGGCAGACAGCAATCGACACCTGCACAGTGCTGTGGGAGCTTGTCGTCGCCGGGGTTTGATACCGTTGTACGCCTGAGGGGCAGTGAGGAATCAATACACAAGCTAGTGTGTTTCTGTCCAAGGGGAAGCATAACGTCGTGACAGAGGCTGAACATGAGCCGGAAAGTTGAAACCTGCTCGGGTATGTTTGATCGCTGGGCCATACGCAAATGGCCGAAGCTCTGTGGGCTGCAAGAAACACGTGTGAAACAATCGATGTCTACTACGGACCCGATATGGATACCGTCATGATGTATCGTCGGTCGCATATCTGGAGATCACAAGGAGGGAGAAGTTCATCAGCAGGAGGACGTCAATATTTATGTTTCACCAGGAACGGGCTTTCTAAAAGTCCGGGGTAGTGAAATGCGGGCGGAGGCCCGTGCCAGAACAAGGGGAGCATAGGGGCATGTCACCAGGCTGATACTAATATTTGCTTGAGAATATAACGGCCAATCGTTGAGATTACAGAGTTCAAGATGTAGGGACGAGGGTTTTAGAATCTAATCTATTGAAATAACACAAGTCTCGGTACCCAAACTGTGCATATATAGTGTCCACCAGATCCCTCGCTATCGAATTGCTGGACAAAAGCCTCGCCTTCGCAGCAAACTCCGTCATCTTCGGTTTCGCTATCGATATATAGAGGCCTCGGGGCAATGGAAGTAGGAGAAACCCGTTCCGAAACAGCTACCAGTGGCCATGCTAAGGCCGAGGAAAGAGGTGAAAAGGAACGAAGCAAAAGAACAGATCCTTGATTCCGAGCAGCTGAAGGAGTTAGTGGACGCATGTCAAACCCCTACAATAAGCAATGGTCATAAATAACTTGTACAGACTTAAAACTGGATCTAAAACTTGATTCATCCTTATGTAGGGAAACCTCAGCTGATATTAATAGGTCTGGAATCCTTGGAGTTCGGCTGATACTTGCTCTACATCTTCATGCAGTCACACGCTAGGGCTTACTATTTCGAGGTCTCAAAGGCGACTGTTATGCAATTCTTTGGGTGATTCATTGTGCTATTACATATTCCTCTAAAACAGCCCTCACGCAAGCAGCAGCTGTGGTAGCAGCATATTCCTGCCAAGATTTGTTCTTATGACTGTCCGAGTAATCGCACACGCCTTTGATGACAAGGCACGGCAGCATATCCCACACACCAGATGCCTCCATCTCGAAAGCAACAAGCTTCCATGGTGACGCTGTCTTATCGCGGTGTTGGCCAGATTTCATGACTGTGTCTCCTGACCCAACATGCCCAAAGTGGATCTTAGGCTTTGGTGTACAACCTCCCATTGATGCCTCATACAATCGTTTTCGCGGCGTAAGTGAGCTCTTCTCACATCCGAGTTCGTCGCAGCTCATCGTCCGTGCTTTTTCGCACACTCGCTCTGAGCCCTTGATGTTACATACTGCACACACATCTGGGTCTTGATGCTTGTGAGGATATGAGGGATGAAACAGCTCGTCTCTATCGGTCCCAACGTAGACAGATCCTCTAGTACCGAGCTCATCTTGTAAGGCTTGGACATGCTGAGAGATTCTTCTCTCCATACGTTCTTTCACTCGCTCTCCCTTCAGTTTGGCCAGAATACCCCGAACCCGATGGTTAGGCAGGGCAACAACTTCTGGCGCTGCTCTGCTCATATAAGTATCGGGAAACTGCTTTCCGAAGTCGTATCGCACAATCCCATCACTAATCACAATATCGCCGAGTATCATTTCATCCTTATCCGCTGTAGAATAGGTCGGGACTCCTCCACATATACCAACGATCAGGGCGAGCTTGATTTCTGGATAGCTGGCCTTGATACCCGCAGTTGCTTGAGACGCCGCATTTTTACCCATGTCGCCCATATGAACCAGAACCACATTATAACATACAATCCTGCCAAAAGTATAGGTATTTTCGTCTCCTGCTGACCTCCACGAGTTTTCTCTTTCCTCGTTCCATACATCGTCAAAAATGTCATTGACCGCTGTTGCCTCTAATGGAAGCGCGCAGAAAATGGCAATGGAGAACTGTGGGCGACCGGTCAGCCTGAAAGAGACTTGTTTTGGTTGCTGGGTTTCTTGAGCAGTTGGATCCTGTATGGGATTCTCCTGTATATCCCAGTCATCTTTGTATGCACAGTAGAGCTCTTGAAGAGGCAAAACAACCTTCTCATAAAGGAGATCCTGTCTGGCTTCAAGCTCGTTTCCTGGAAGAGAAGTGTCGATTGGACAGTCTCTGAAGAGCTCACCATCGAGACAATGATTTATCGCCTTTTCATAAATCGGCCCAATTGTCTCTCCCAGGTTGGTGGCATTTGCTGTCATCCATGCCCATTCGTAGTACTCGTTTATTGTTGTCTCATTCAAGACAGATTGCATATTATCAGATTGGAAGGCCCTTTTGATCCCAATCTCGACAAGGATCACTCCCAATGCGAGTATGCTTGGGAACATGTGACAAATATTATCCGCGGTGTAGTAGTCCAACATTTGACCCTGAGGTTTAGAGAGTGTGGTGGTGAAGTAGGGATGTGGTTGACTTTGCTTCCGATCTTGGATTGTCTCCTTTATTATCTGTATGCTCTCGTTGGTCCACGGCTTTCTCATCCAGTTGGAGTCATAGTACTGCCAAACAGATTTTGCAATTATGTATGCCAGTGTCACCTTGACTCTGTTAGATATGTGTGAAGTCTGTTCTAGCCATTTGGCAAGAGGGACACTCGCTTGTGGTGGGAAGTGCCGATGGGAAGTGTATTCGATATTTTCATTCAACTTCATCGCATTATCTCGTATTTCAAGATGGACGGAACTGCTTCCTTCGCTTTGGATGAGCTTACAAAGCTCTCCCAGTCCGATCTTCCTGGTGCTGCTTGGTGGAGGTGATGATGCAAGTGTTGTAAGTGGGAGTTCTGTATCCACATCGGAAAACACCACTCGTTTCTTCTGATGCGACCTGTCGTCTCTATTAATAGTTGTTAGAAACCAATATATCAGTTCATTCCTTGTGGACTTCAGCGTATTTCGTACCTGGCAACTAGAACTCTCCCCTCCTTCCACCGAGGTTGGGGGTGTGATTCAGGGCAATGGCTAGGACTAGCAGCAAACAACAGATTGAACTGTACTAGAGCATGATTCCATGATGTCTGGTCGGAATCTAGCCGCAGCCGAGCATCCTCTAAGTGTCGTGTATTGCAGGAACATGTTGAGTATATTCGGAGCTGGTTATAAAGAGCATTGTTGACTTGCGCATGGGGCCTATCATTTGCTCCCCATGTAACAATCTGCTCCTTGGAAGATTCACTTGGCAAATCCTGTTTACCTAGAAATTCTGTAATCAACCGCAGGAGGGATGGATATTCGGGGTTCTTCAACGAAACGAATTGCGCTAGACCTTGTTGAACGTCGTTTGCGAGAGCTCTATCTGCCGCTAGCCTAGATTTCTGAATCTCTGATACCCTCAGGAGGATGTGGTAAGGTCTGGAAGGACCATCGTTTCCGTTTCTCGAAACCTACAGAATGTGTTAGTGGCGAAGATGGCAGATTTTGATCAGGATTTTGCTGACTGATTAGCCACTTACAGAGCAGGCTTTGTTCACGAGATGTACAATCTGGACAAGCTGAGGACTTTCCACCAAGCTCGATAAGGGGAAGGACTGAGACAAGAGCACGAGGTGGTATCCCAGCTGAGCAAAGCTGTTGTCTTTTGTCTCTATCCCCAGACGTATTGCCTGGCCGGCAATCCAGGGAAACGTAACATGACACAAATCACCGATGTTATCCATCGTAGTGGGGCGGTGGCACTATGAGACCTAGCCCGTGAAGGAAACCATGAAGCACAAATGGGACAAACTTTGGAGACTGTTTCAGCCGCAGTCGAGTATCTTGGCCCCGCCCCATACAGCCCCGCACTAGGAGGTACATATTCCGCGCACCTTCTCTCCCCAGAAGTCATCCCTCTCTCATGGTTCATGAAACTCAATAGTCCCATCAGCCAGAGCGAAGAGAAGCTACCAACTATCTTATGTCGCTGATAATTCATGATATATCCTTATTATGGCAGACTCGGAACCTTCGACAATATTTGAGGCTGTTATATTATGCCGACACGCATTCAGGAATGCAATGGCCACACCACGGCTGATGCAGAAAGAATGGGCTGAAAATAGACAGGCAGATTTCAATCTCTGGTGCAGGGGTTCAGGTGCCTCGTCTAAAGGGAAGGATTCCTTAGAGCACCGACTGCATGCAAACCCAGACGTACGGATTGTTATGGTCAATCTCTTGATCATGTTGAGTATCCTGATACAGAAGTGCATAGATAAAGGTATGTTACATCTTCCAGAAGACCTTGTCATATTTTCTCGAGGTCTGATCTAGACCTGTAGGCAGTGAGATAAGAGAACTTGACTCCGAGCTATCCACGGAAGAATTTCACTGTTTGAAAGATGTCGAAGACGCCTTAAGCCAACTTACGAGGCTGACAACTGTGATTCGAAAAGCTGGATCTCAGTCACGATTTCGGAAGGCAGACAGTACTTTTGATCCGACCAATCCTCAAATCCAAGCCTTGCGTCGACACCTCGAACTTCTTCTTCTAGCGCGATCAGACCCGCATGGTCATTCAGACTCTAGCTCCCAAAATCTCGCGCGGGGAAACTTGACCACTCTACAATCGCACTTGATCATGTGCAACTTGATACGACGTAATCGTTTTCTATATGCTCAGCGACATGCTCAAAAGTTAGGACTTGGTTCGGACATCTCAAGTACTCCAAGGGAGAACTATAGACGGGAGACGCAGCCACTGCAGCAAGAAGCTGGTCTGCTAGTTCTGCCCTCTGAGCAACAGAGAGTTGGGGAAAATGATGAGCCGCCGGGACCGAGTGTTACAACCGCTACAGCAGTAGACGAGCCCATAGTGACCCTGCCAAAGCAACCTGGACGGTCTGCAACCACAGTTATATCAGCCACTGGCTCGCGAATTGCCTACCCAAGCCCTCCGCCCATCAGAATCCATCAAATGGTCTTTTCTTGTCCGTGTTGCTGTCAGTCCCTTCCTGTCGCAGTAGCGCGGGGCAACCACTGGAAGTGAGATTTATCCATATTTCCCAAAAATGAGTATCGATTCTGACTTTTGTCTTTACTCAACAGAAACCACCTTGCGGAAGATATTCTACCATACACATGTATTTTTGAGGGCTGCGCTCAATACGACACCTTCTATAGGAACAAGGAAAGTTGGATAAGCCACATGAACGAGCACCACAGTGGTTCAGACCAATGGATGTGTCATATATGCACCCAGAAGAATATATATGCTAGCTTCACGATCTCCGACGACTTTGTTGAGCATCTCGAACACCAGCATAGTGAAGGAATCGAGCCTCGACAGATACCTATGCTGATTTTGGCTTGGCGGCGTAAGGCTCCTCCCAAATTTACTTCTTGCCCACTTTGCACCTTCGCGGGTGAGGAGGAGAAGGCTGTTCTTGACCATATTGCGGAGCATATTCATTCATTTTCACTGAGGTCTTTGCCGTGGGCCCCAGCAGAAGGCTCTTCAGAACCGGAAGGGAAGAACGTAAAATATGGAGCCTATTTCGACGAGCATCCTTATTTCGAGGTTCACAGCTGTGTCTCAGACAAGTCGCCCAGTTCGACGGGGGTGGCACCCTTGGCCACACAGTTTAGCGATTTCGAATTAGAATCAGACGCCGAGGGTCAAGCTAATTCGAGACCTAATGAAGGAAAAAATTTGTCGAACGACCATGTCTACCAGATCGCAGACAACAATTCGATATCATCAGATTTAACTCATTGGCTGGAAAGGCTAGAAGGTGACTTAAACCAGTATCAGCGTTCCTTATTCAGCACGAGCGATTACAACATAGCGTGGATTTGTCCTACACGCTTGGTATATACTGCCGCCCGGACATTTCTTGACCAGGCACAAGATCCATCTGGTCATTTAGTGTCTCTTAATACGGCCTTTCACACCTTGGGAAGCATTGGAAAGCGTCGTATACTTATTGCCACTTGCAGAGACCAGGAGTATGATGAAGTTGGCTCGCCTCTTTCATCAGATGTCATATCGGATGTGCTCCTCCATTATGACAATATCTGCATATTTATGATTATCGGCCTTGGCAGCGGTTTGCCGACTCCGAAAAATGACATTCGACTGGGTGACATTGTCGTCGCTGTTGGCCCAGAGGAGCATCTTGACTTTGCTACTCCCATGCCACAATCCGAAACTCAAGCTGGACTTCAACTTATAGGGGGTTGGCTGAATGATTCGCATGTGGAGCATTTGGATGACAACACACGTCTACGTACAGACCTGATGGATCTAAGTCGCAGTTACAATCATGAAGGTTGCCCTCTTGGAAACATGGTCAATCAGGTTCTAGCAAACCGTCCACGAATGCGAAGGAGGTACGGACGTCCAGATCCCGTCACTGATCGGCTACACAAAAGTGATACCCAGCATCCTCAAGAGATCGAGAAATCCACTTCTCTTGATATGGCAGACCAGAACACTTCATCTTTGGTTTCTCCCCCCGAGCGGACTGGAGATAACGATAAGCCCAGTATTCATTTCGGCACGATCGCATCGAGCCGTGATATCATTAAATCAACTACAGTGCGAGACAAATTAGCGTCAGAGAGGGGAATTTTATGTATTGAGACTGAGCACACTGAGGTTCCTCACTACACTCCATGCCTTTCTATCCGCGGCATCTGCGACTATGCCGACTCGCATAAGACCAAAGACTGGCAAGGATATGCTGCTATGGTTGCCTGTGCCTACGCCAAAGAAGCTCTCAGCTGCGACACTATTTCCGCAATAGTGGCATCAGGTACCAAATCCCAGCGGTTTTCCAGCGTGCCATCTAGAGGCTGGGGTACTCCAATTGACCAAGATGCGCACAAGTACTCGATTTACTCCAAATAATGAAGAATACTCGGTTTTCCACCCTGAAGAAAAGGCATACATATGGCTCTGATGTTATCTCGAAGATATAATAGGATTTGATGCTTTTGTGTAAAGCTCCTTTAACCCCGCGACAGCCTGAAGGACTCGGACGCGGAGGACATTAATTCCGCTAAATCCGTGTAGTTGCGGCTCTGCAACTCGTGGGATCAAAGTCGATCTCGATAATCTACGCTCTAATCGTAAACAAGGATGTTCTGATTAGCCCTCTAACTTTCGTTCTAACTTTCGATATCACTACCAAAGCAGCCCCTCCCCCAGATCTGAATCCAGTTTTGTGGCGGACTTCCCCATAAACACCGCAGCCTTATCACCGCATAAGTCCGACCCACTCAGAAAATACCCACAGCCTGAAGATCAAGGCATTCAGATGCAAGTAGTTAAACGAACTATAAAACTATCGTATCAAGAAGCCATCAATATGTAAGAAATAACAAAACATTCAAGCAGACAAGAACATCTACTCGCCAAAATGAAAGCCGCAATCCTCCCAGCCTTCGGCCAACCCCTCGAGATACATACAAAACCAGACCCCCCCAATCGGCACCGGCGAAGTCCTCGTCGAAGTAGTCGCAGCCCAAATCTACCACTACACCAACGAAGTCCTAAGCGGTGCCCGCAAATACCTGCTCCCAGCCCCCGTAACGCCAGGCTGCGGCGGCATAGGCCGTGTGATCGCTACAGGGCCCGACGCAACGACCCTGCAGCCTGGCGACTGGGTATTCTGCGACCCAACCGTGCGCAGCAGAGACAGCCTCTCCAACCCGGACATCGTGCTGCAGGGTGGAGTGCACGCGGACCGGGCGGGCAGAAGATTCAGGCGTACCATCGAGACGGCACGTTTGCGTCGCGAGTGCGCGTGCCGACGGAGAATGCGATCCCCATTGGGGAGATCGAGGATGCGGAGGCGGGGCATTGGTGCGCTCTGGCGGCGCTGCTTATCCCGTACGGGGGCCTGTTAGCGATGGAGTTTCGGGCGGGCGAGACGCTGCTTGTTAGTGGTGCGACGGGGCCGCTTGGGGGCGCAACGGTGCTGCTTGCGCTGGCGATGGGGGCGAGGGAGGTTATTGCGGTTGGACGGAATGAGGGTAAGTTGGCGCAGCTGAGGGAGAGGCTTGGGCCGCGGGTTGTTCCTGTGAAGCTTAGTGGAGATTCTGAGAAAGATATCGCGGCGATGAAGGCGGCTGCGGCGGGGGGCATAGATGCTGTGCTTGATTTCCTGCCGCCGGCTGCGAGTGCGACTGTTGCGCGTAGTGCGATCATGGCTGTGCGGCCATATGGGCGGGTTGTACTGATGGGGGGTGTCGGGATGCTGGGGGGAGAGGAATTGCAGTTGCCGTATCCTTGGATTATGCGCAATCTGATTACCATCAAGGGACAGTGGATGTATGAGCCTTCTGCGGTGCGGACAATAGTTGGAATGATTCGGAGTGGACAACTGGATATCTCTGCTTTTGATGTGACGGAATTTAGTCTGGAGAATATCAATGAGGCTGTGGATCATGCTGCTGAGACGGGAGGTCCGTTCAAGTTGACCATTGCGCGTCCTTGAACGTTTTGTCTGGCAATGTTGATATGGCAAGTTCTCAGCTTCATCCTCAAGTTGAGTCTTTCCAGGATAGGATATAGCATTGCCGGATAAGCCTTGTATGTTCCAACTGTCCTATACGTCATAGCTTGTTAGTGCCTCGCGAGAAATACAATCCTTTTTCATATGCAATGCTCGAAACTGGAACAAGGATCCGAGTAGATGCACCAAGACTGAGGACAATTCCATGTTCCCGTGAGAGCGATGCGCAACAGAGGTCGTAAAGAGCTGCGCGAGGGAAAATTGCCCCTCGTGGTAGGCATCTGATCACACGTCTATGTGGGAACAAATTCCGGCTGCACCCGGCGAATCCACGGGCCACTTGAAAGAACCAGAAAAGTCGTGTCAGGGAGCTCGGCGAACTAGCAGATTTTGAAAAGGAACCCGTGCCAGAAAGAAGACTTTCATTGGTATCAGGGAAAGATCAAGTCGACCTAATCATAAAAATGAAACAGCTAGGCACTGCAGAAAATGCATTGCACCCCGTAGAAATAATAATAAACAAAGAAAAGCTCATTCCCCGAACCCATGCGATATCGAAAAAGCCCACGCTGCACAATGGGCCGTTACGAAGGAGCGAAGCGAGATTACCAGCCGCCATCATCCTCGTACTGGTCCTCGCGGCCATCCTCGTAAGCCTCACGCTCGTCCTCCTCGTTATTCTCGTCTTGGACGGGTTAGTGGGCAATGTAAACAAAAGGACAACTACGTACCAATCTCGTGCTCGATGAAACCACCAGCAAGAGCGCCGACGGCCAGACCACCGACGCCTGCAGCCATCATCTTGCCAGCGCTACTGCCGCCACCGCTGTCATTGCGCTGCTCTTCAACTACAACAGTTTGCTGGTAGCCACCGCCGTAACCGGGGGGACCGGGAGGAGGCGCGTAGTAACCGCCGCCGGCGGGAGGGCCGTAGGGAGGCTCCCACTGCGAGCGGCCACTGTTGGTATCAACGAAGAAAGCGCGGCGGGTGCTGGGCTCCCATTCCTGAATCCAGCCTTGAGGGAGCGGGGGCGGGGGGGCCTGGAGGGGGCCGGAATTGAGGTGGTGGGGGACCGCCATATCCGCCGCCGTAAGGAGGGGCACCGTACTGGGGAGGGCCGCCGTAGTAGGCCATTTTTGTGATGGGAGTTTGATGGAAGAGGGAGGATGGGAGAGGGGAGAAAGAGAAGAAGTGAGAGGTGGGGTGGGAGGGTTTTTAAAACAGAGGGGAGACTAAGGGGAAAGGGGGGGGGAAGCGCCGATATGAAGAATCGAGATGAATACTTACTATCATGACAAGAACCGTACAGACTCCACCTGTGGGGAGACAATGGCCAGGCAGATACAAATCACGCCGTACAAGGGGAGTTTACCCGTACGATCGAATACAGAGTATCCAGAATTGCTGCCCCTGAAATGACCGAAGAGCCCATTTGCTCGTCAGCACGCGCCGGGCCTCCACGGGAGTCCCCGAGGCGGCTACCAAGAGAAGCAGCGGTGTCATCTAGTGGAAGCCTTCATTACTGAACTCAATCGATATTACCGGCGTTCCACACAATCCCATAAATCCCTCATCTCTGGCCATCCTTACTCCTTTGATTCTTACCGCCAGAACCCTCGACAATGGCGTTACGGAGTAAGATCAAAACCAAGTGGAAACCACTCACCGCGAATTCCCCTTGAGAAAATACTCGCTAGGACCAGCTAGTCCGGCGCTAACAACGAGCCAAGCCACGATGTGGCTCATCCTCGGGTGCGACACACAGCCACTGGCTGGCCTACACGTGGCTGGTAACAGTCACACTGTATCGCTTCTTTTTATTACGGGGGTTCTCGATACGATGCGTATTGGCTGATGAGGTGCGTAGAATCCTGCATCTCGGAGAAGGCCAGTTATAAAACCTGCATTCAACGGGAGAAATAGGGACAGGTGGAAACCCGAGGATACTCTAGAAAGGCAAGTGCAACTGGACTACACCATGGTCTGAGACCCTTCATATGAGAACGAGTGTAGATCGTATTGTACTTAAAGTTCACTCCGACCGGTGGCGTCGAGGATCCGAAGGTTTCCACCGGCGCAATGGCACTGCTTACTAAGTTTTAATCTATTCCCACCTGGATCAGCAAGCAGTGCTTGATACGATCAGCAAAATTGAGCACGTAATGTTAAACGCAGAGCTCAGGCTCCTGCATGACTACTCGGAACACCCGCAGCGCAGACCGCAGTGTGGGGGCGGGAGATCAGCGAGTACCGCTGTTCTAGGCCTTGGCTGCCAATAGAGTTCAGCTATGCAGAAGTCCTCATCCTCAACCCAGATGCGACTCAGGTGTCACACCCTTAATGCTCTACGGACGTCATGCCGTGTACGGTAATTACGGGGAATCGTTCTTCGTTCGGCTCTGAGGGATCAAAGAGTGATCACCCTCTTCAAATGATGGCAATTTCGCATGAAAATCTCGAGTAGTATCTACAATTTGAAATGGAAACAAAGGCGAATGGCTAGGACCTTATATTCCTAGCTGGTCCCATTGAGATGGTCCAGGGCAAGTCAATCGTTATGGCATTGGGGTAGCGAGCGCTCCCAGGGCTTAATTTGCGCCAGCCAAGGCGCTGGCGTTATTGCCGTCAGGGTAGAAGTAGGAGGCCAAACTGGACATAGTATTAGCGATGATCAGGGAGAGGAAGATGTCGCGAACTTACGCAATAATCACGTAGGCGGCAATCAGAAGGGCTCCTTCAAGGTAGTTACTGCGCCCGTCCAGAACAAGGAAGTTGACGACAAAGGCGGTGACGAAGAGCGAGATGGTCTCGAATAGGGTAAAATACAGGGACATGTCCTTATCCATACACCAGCCGAGAATGACCACCAGTGGGGTGACGAAGATAGCTAGAAAGGGTTAGGAGAATAGCACAATACGAAAAGCAGAACAGCTTCACTCACCAATCTGGATACTACTTCCAACAGACACACCGATGGCCAAGTCCATCTTGTTCTTCGTAGCAACGCTGACAGCAGTAACGTGCTCGGCTGCATTACCCACGATAGGAAGAATGATCAACCCGATGAAAGCTTCGCTAACATTGGAGCTTTGAAGCATATCGGGAATAGCATCAACCAAGAATTCAGCACAGACAGCAACCAAAGCCGTAGAGATCAGAAGAAGAACCACGGCAGCAGTACGAGACATGTCCGGCTCGTCTTCCCCAACAGCGACAGTGCCACCGTCCACAGGAGCAGTAGGAGGAGCACCAGCGGTACGGGCAGCACCTCGAGCAAACTGGACAGGATTTCCGGCGGCGGGGGCAGGTCTCATCTTGGCGGGAAGAGAGCTGCTTCGGTACAGAGCCGGCCGGGCAACAGTATTGCCAGGATGAGGCGACTGAGAAGGATTCTGAGAGCTGAAGACAGTGTTGGTGAGCAAGTTGAAAGGCGAACGCTTGCGAGAGCCCTCGTCAGGACCGACGCCCTCCATCCCAGCGAAGTTGGGAGTCGAGGCAAAACCCTTCATGGAAGGCCGATTGGCCTCGGTCATAAGACCATGGTCCACAGGTGTCTCGACACGCACTTTGCCAGGCTTCGAGAGACGCTTCCTGCGACCACGCTTTTCGGACTTCGTGCTGCCGATACTATTGATGCGGCTGGCAGGAGCACCAAAATCCCGGGAACGCACGGCTGAGGACGGGTGAATGTCATCGTCAGCATCATAACGGACCTCGTCGAATTCAATGGCAGTCGGAGTATTGTCGATCGAGTTGTCTGCCGACGCGGAGGCTTGGGACTTCTTTCGGATGGCATGGCGAGTGCTCCCTTGTCCTTGGTGCTGCTGCTTTTGGAGCTAGTACTTGATTTGCGGTGTCTGCGATGCTTCATGGCACGCTTGATTCGCTTAGCAGTTGTCCAAGAAGTAGTGGTATCCACAGACCCTTCGCTTGAACTACTGGATGAATCCGAGGAGCTATTCATCAAGTCATGAAGCAGACCAGGGTGGGACTCTTCGTCAATGATGGCTTGAGGAATGCTTGCGTAGAGGTAAGAATGCGACTTAAGCTGGAAGAGAATATACAAAATGTAAACCAGCAAAAGCACGACACTCGTTCCACGGCTAACTTTGAGGGTGAAACGGTCGGCGTCGCCACTATTTGAAAAGGAAGCATGGAAAGCAGTAGGCAGCAGGAGACTAGTCACACTCAAACTGAGCAGACACGCGCTCATTTGCGTTACAGTACTGTTGTAAATTTGTTCTTGGAAACGAAGGCCTCCCAGCAGGAAGGCCATGCCCAAAATTAGAAGAAGGTTGGCGAGAATGGAGCCCAAGAGGGAAGCTTGGACGATGCGGATTTCATTCTTGACAAGAGCAATGATGAAAATGATCAACTCCACCGCGTTACCAAAGGTGACATTAATGAGAGCACCAATTGTATCACCGAGCCGGGTGGCCACGCTCTCGGTAGCGTGACTCAAAAGTCCAGCCAGGGGAATAATGGCCACGGCGTTCATCGCGAAGATGACGTTCGGGTTGAGGTGAGCCGCCTCTGCGGCGATACCGATCGGCACGAAGACCAACAGGATATTGACCCAGGTGTGGCAGAGGGCATCCTTAGTATGTTGGAAGAACCGAACGGACCCATTGCGAGCACGGAGGAACATGCTAGGGTTGGATTTCTTTTCCTTATCATCCTCGGGCCCGGCCGTGGTAGGCGATTGGGCCCGAGCGGCGCCCGTATTCACTTGTCCATCGTACGAGCGAGCGACGTCGGGTCGCGTCGAGGATTCAAGATCGGGTGAATCGTTGCTTGAGAATGCGTGAGCTTTCGCCCACGATTTAATCCGGTCTGGAAAGGCGAAAGATGGTGGGTCAGCTTCTTCAGGGGAGACCTTGGCGTCATAGGGCTGCAGGAGGATCCGGCAGTCGGCCGGGAGAGCAGCAAAACTCACGCATGTATTTATGGAACCAGGAGCTGATTCGAGCGAGGCACACAAGCCTGGAGTGGTGAAAGAAGTAAGTCTTGAAAGACCACTTGGGGGGGAAATATGGGGAAAAGGGAAACCACGTTTTGGGGGAAAACAAGACGCTTTATTCCACGGGAGCTTGGCAGGGCTTGGCGGTAGATGATCGAACCAACGATTCCTTCCATGCCATCGCCTCACATTATGGACTGCCAACTAAGCAATCCACAGTTTTCGGAGCGCACTAACCAAGGGTCAGATCATCCGCCAATTCTAGTTCGTCCCCGAGGTTCTACTATACGGAGATCGCGCCGATCCATGAATGTGGACATTGACAGGAATCCTCCACGTCCACCAGCCTCGTCAGCTCCCGTTATCCCCTTGTTCGTGATGTCAATTATCCGTTACTCGACATACAACAAGGGCAACCCCCGGCCAAACATGACGAATGACGCGTTCACCCTTGCAACCTCCTATGAGGATTGACAAGGGTCGCTCGTAAGGGAAAACGGATCCACTGCTTCCTATCTACGATTGGGTGATACGGTCGCGTCCTTTGATTGGCGCCCCAACTCCACTTGCAGATCGACCTCCGCCATGCGATGAATCAACTCGTCGTACGGAACTCGGCAGTGTCTCGCCTTCACTTCTTCCCCTAAAAGGGCAATCGGATTGCTTGTCGGGCCAGAGGTCTCGAATTTGTATAATCCGTGGAACAGAGTATATGCAGCAGCAGCCTGCGAAGCTCTGGAATACTCGCAGTGATTTCCATCTCGGTGCCGCTAGCCCCGATGTCCCCAGTTAGTTTATCTCCGCCACTCGCACTGATCCCCAAAATAGTCTAGACCCGGATCCGCCCTACAATGTATCCGCAATGGCAAGTCTCGTATCCTGCTATCAGATACGAGCCAAGCTGCCAAAGGCCCCAATCTCCTCCGAGAGCAAACCGTTAGCCCACATGATGTAATGGGCGCTGACCTGCATATTCAGGTTGTGTAAAGAGCACAGCAGATAAGAAGCGGGTGTGACAAGTCCCGTTGCGGAGTCTGGCCTCTCGCCTCACTTTCTGTAGGCCGCCTTGCTGCGGTGACGATCCGTGTCGCTGAGCCACATGGTCAAGCCCCACTGTGGCGGTGTTGGTTCCGCCTGTGACGTCCGTGGCGTGTGCCAAGTTTTGTTAATGCTCGAGCAAATGGACAAATTTGCACTGGGCGTTTCGACCATGAGAATTGGAGGGACTGCCCAAACTTGGGTTGTCGCCGCTACGCAGTATGGCGCTAGTTGAATGTTGAATCTGGAAATAGGAGCATGACTGCATCGTATGTGGGGCTGGATATATAATGACCTTAAGCACGTACTTTTCTCAGCTTCTTCGCGGATGAATTTCGCAAAATATGACCACCAGCTTGATACCAATAGCCAGTATAAGCACTAGGCTCAGTTCATACTGGCATATATTTGAAGAGGTGTAATCTCTGGTACGAATGTCATTCAAATCACGTACCGCTGCAAGATTATCGTCGTCTAAGCCCGATGCATTGGTGGCCGAAGCCGGAACTCGACAGATCAACATTTCTATTCAAGCTGAGAAGCGCATTACCGCCAGCTTATGCCTGATGAAAGTATTCTTGCTTGGCTTCGCCTTCGTGATAGCCATCTCACTACTAATAAACCTCATCGCCTCGCGAGGGAGCGTCTTCCACGGCATCAAAGAATTAGTCTTCGCAATCCAGGATGCGCTCCTCCCAAGTACGTAAAGTATAAGGGCTTTCATAATTGACCATGTGAAAAATCGTCAATGACGAATCACAGGCCGAGAAAAAGATTAGCGTGAGCGGGAAAAAGCCGCAGGCGTCGATCAGCAAGCTCAACGGTCTCCACAGCAAACCGCAAGCCGCTCTCTTGCAGTTCAAGGACATATCGCCATGGGATAAATTATCAGACAACGACCTTAGACCTTAGCGCCGTGGCACTGAAGTTCCGAAACCTTCTACTTCAGCTAGCCGGAATGTTAATGGTGCCAGAAATACTGCAGATTATAGCCAAGAATGAAGGGTCGCGTGAGCTGCAACCACGAGGGAAAAAACAAAAAAATCTCTAGAAGGGGGCGCCGGAAATGCAGAAAGTGGTGAAGACGCATCATGCGCGCCTCATCGACACAACGGAACTCAGTACGCTAGGCTCCACCATTTTCTGTTGTCCCTGGCACCTATTCCAGCTAAGCATTTGAACAAGCATTCGGCTGGCGCAAAAAGACATTCGGTGGGCCCAGGTTCGAGGGACGAGGAAGTAAGGGGGAGAAGTTTGCGCAAGCAGTCCGGGATGTATGGAGCGGTTCAAGGATGAATTGTCTCGTTACCATGAAGGGAGGCAGTACTTGCCGGAGGCAGCGGCATTGAAGGTATTTTCGGTTCATCGAGTTGATGGCATGGCTGATCAAACCTTTGCAGATCCTAATTTGTAGTGGGGATTCTCTTTGCTCCTGGACATGGGTCATCTGCATGATGAGATTACTCAAGACTACAGACTACAGTGCACCAGATCAAGTTTAGGGGTAGCAAAATAGCGGAATGCACGATAAAGTGTGATCTACTGATATTCTACAACCACCATTAACGATTGGTTATTGCTTGGCGAAGAAGTAGACTCATCGACAGCTACTAGATCCATCCTCTGTGAACCCTTCAAATAACCAGGGTGCACAAAAGACCCAAAACTGTTCTAGACCCGGACCATCTTCGACCTGAGAGTGGATGGAGAGAGGGATCACGATATTAGGCACAGTCCCTCATATTATCAAATCTGATCAGAGTGTTTTTGGGTCCCGTGTGGCGGCTGCTTAATTTCTGGGTTATTTTGGCCTTTACTCCCCCAGACAGAGGATTTTGTCGTTCGCCAGGGATGTCCATGGGCTATGTTGTTATTTTCTTTGGCACAAACCGGCAAGCAAACAGACCACGTTCGGATTCGCAGCGTGGATCATCGTCTCAGTCCTCCTGAGCCTGACCGTCTAATATATCGCTGATGGCAAAAGCACCGGCGTGATAGTGCTCCTGTACCTGGCCAATGCCCTCGTGTTAGGCCAAAGAGACACAATATTGCACCACCGGGACCTACTAATGAAAGTAGTACTGCTTTTAGATAAGGTTTTTGCAATTTGTTGGAGCATCGGTCATCATGATCCTGGCCGTCAACGTGATAGTCAGCTACGAGATGCAAGTACGTAAAGTAGTATTCCATGTGCAGAGTCCCACGGTCAGCCATACTAATCAGTAGGCCTAGACACTTGCCGTGGTGGCCACGGGCTGCGCCATATCATTCATGAAAACGATATTCCCATACCTGACAACCACAAAGTCACAGCTCCGCTGCCTGTTCGTGCTCACCAATTCTACGGTGCAACGCACACATGCCTCGAAAATTGGCTCAGAGACGAGCTCGGCAATGCTGAAGATCTATAGTCACTACGCGTGCAGTTCCGCGCTACAAGACAGTAAATCTTTCAGAGAAACACCTCCTACTGACCGTCCAAACGTACAGTCACTTTCGCACCTACGAGCCGGCTATGGGGGAAATTTCCGGAAAGAAGTACCATAGAACTTTTGCCCATTCCAGTGGATCCTGCACAGAGGCGCTGATGGCACGTACAATGCTGAATCCGGAGAGTTTCCCGAGGCTATACCGGCCGAAGTCAGCCCCAATGATTGGAAGGTTCGCCCGGCGGACATTGCATTTCAATTGGCAGGCTTTGGTTTGCACTGTATAACCTAGTTACTTTGCCATTACTTTGCGGCTGTTGCAAAGGCGCAGAACTTGCTGCCTTTCTTGTCGAGAATAGATGCTTTGCCGCCTGCGAGGGGAATGCCTAAGGGTCAAATGAACTATTGAGTATCGGATAGGTCCGAGAGCCAAATTCCTCGACGCTTGCGGCAATTTCGTGGTTGAGTCAGTCGTGTCTAGTTTGCAGAAATTGATTTAAGTATTCTCGTTCGGACCAAGGTGCGGTACATGTTGATGATCGGTAACAAATATATCTAGTGAATGTGAGGAATCCGGTTGGCGAACTCACTATCTGGTTCAATGTTCAACAGACAAAGCAGTCATCTCACTTTTTCTAAACTAATCCAAAAAGCGAAGCATAGCTTAGCACCGAGGCCTCTGTATTCCCATAATACCCCTCAATACTCGTCCACTACTAACTCATCTCTTATTATGTTCTGTCCTCTTGGTCAGAGATCATCTACCGAGGAAATCCATGAAAACCAGAGGGAAATTCTATCAACCATTAGCACAGCTCTACCACAGCCTCATCCTCTTCGCAACAGTCACAACCACAACCGTAAAAACCAGCATAATCCCCATAATCCCAAAGAACCACCCCAACCCCCCGGCCTCCTCCCCCGGGACCTGTACATTCATCCCAAACAGACTCGCCAGTAGATGGCATGGCCCCAGAATAGACGCAAAAAGCGTAATTTTCCCAATCGCCCTATTGATCGTCAAACTAATCCGCAAATTGTTCGCGCTCAGCTGCGCTAGGCAATTCGCCTGCGACCGCGCAACGATCTCATCCAGATGCTCCAGATTCGACAGCCCTGTCTCCAGATGGTCCTGCACGTCACCCAGATAGAGCAGATACTCGCCGCCGGGGAAGATGGGGCCGCCGTGCGGGGACTCGCAGCGCTTGACGAGGGCGCTGAGCACGTCGACTTTGCCTAGGAGGCAGCGGGCGATGTGGGTGATTTTCCGACGGAGAGCTTCGATGCGCGGAAGGAGGGCATGCAAGTCGTCGAAACGGCTGATGAAGACTTGGTCTTCTATTGCGTCCGATTCGTGCTCTGCAGCGCGGGAGGACGGCTCGAAACTGTCGATTATGTTGTCGCTGGATCCTGTTAGCGGGGTATGGGGATGGGGATTGGGGCGAGTTAAGAAGGCGGAAAGAAGGCTTACATGAGGGCATAGCCAATCCAGTCGCTGGAAAGGATGCTTGGATTGTGCATCTTGTGGATACGGCGATGCACCGCGTCGACATGGGGACAGGGACTAGCGGAGAAGGTCACGACGCTGTTTTGGAAGACGAGGATGAAGAACGGAGCGGAAGAGGGGACGATGGCTTCGGCGTTGAAGTCGAGAAGAGTTTGGAGGCTTATCAGGTAGTAGTTCCGGAAAACCTCGACCTTCTCGCGAGGCTCTTGCACGACAACATCCTCTGCTGTGAGGGGATGGATGGAAAGTGTCTGGGCGACGCTGGCTACATCCATCTTCTTAGCATCGCGGACATCTAGCCACCATAGAGGAGGAGCCAGGCCAGGACTTGGACCGTCAACTCTTTGGATATCTTGCGCCGCTGAAAGCATATCAATAGCCTGAGCATGGCTCAAGAGTTCATCCCAGCTGGGGGAAGAAATCACATCGCCTGTCGCTGTGTTGAGAAGCTTGAAGTGAGGCATGTTTGGTTTCTCTTGCATTGACATCGTCGTGGTGACATGAGCTTGCAGGAAGAGCACTGGGGTCCGAAAACGTAATGGGATTCTGCAGGCCTGCAGTCTTCATGTTGTGTTCTTGATGGCGGAGAGCGTATTCCTGCAATTCAGCCCATACTTCCCAGTGAGATGACGGCCACGGGCAAACCACTGACTCCATTCAATCTCGAGAGAACCTCAAGTCCTAATACAAGGTCAGTTGGTTACAGAACGGATATCACGGCAGCAGAGCAAAATTCTCCTGAATTAGTCAGGGTAACCGAAAATTCTGGGGCCTGTGAACCCCAACGCATCAGCCCTACCCGTTTGACCCACTCGGGCTCAGAGCGAGCCATGGAACTCAGTTGGATTCGACCAATCGATGGGCGCAACTCGGATCCCGTTCTTCTCCTCGGGGCTAATAGTTCGAGACTACGGGGCTTCTTGGCACCAGGCATCATCATTCTAAGCGCTTGGATTTGTCAAGATCATCATCTATGTACAAAGGACAAACCACGACACACTGGAACCGCGAGGAAGGCTTGAGCCTGCGGCTTTCTTGACGGTAAAAATCAAATCAGGGGAGGCGTGATGGGCCCCATGGTATTGGTGATAAACGCTGAATAACTCCCGGATCAGTCGCACAGCGACCGATTATGCAATACAGCAATTCAAAGGTCATAATTTCGATATTGTCAACTTGTGGTTGAACATGGTGACGGTCGCATGCTCCATGGAAGTTAGAATCGTGGTGAGATAAAGTATAGGAGTGTCAGGGCTGAACTTACAGAGATGAGTTTTTGTTCTACTCCACAGTCTTCCTCGGTTGGAAGCCCAGCTCTCGGTCCAGGACTTGGGATTTATGGAGCCATGGATAGCAGAAGATGACGAATAAAACCACGGCGAGAAGTACGAGCAGCGTCGGCAAGAACATGAAAATGAAGAGCACGACGCTCAGTCCAAAGGAAACATTTTGGCCGAATGAGACATTTTGGCCGAGGAGGAAGCGGCGGACTAGGAGGTCAAGGACTTCGGACAGCATAGGTGCAGTGAAAAAACGGTGTGGACGAAAGAGCTCCAGTCCCGCAAGAGCGAGGCAGTATGAGGAGTTCAATGCAGTTGAGATGGCAGCGGTGGGAAGGTTGGAAGTTCAAATAGGGCCTGGTCGATTGGGTTTCCAAGAATACCTCGTTCCACACCAGCATTCATCGCAGCTTCCAACCCTCAGGCTGGGAACTTGAAGGAAGCCCGGGGTAACAGGCGCACCGCCTTAGTGTGGCGCCGAGTGGCGGGAGCGGGAAAATGGTGGTGCCTGTTTCCCATTCCTACTGCGTAGTTCCTCCCCACTCTTTGGTCCCACTGGTGATTCCCACACTATGAAACCCTCGTTTTTCCGACGGTCCGACTGCCTGGGGGATTCCTTCAAGTTCCAATCGGTTGGTCTACACTCGAACACCCTTACGGTGAAGCGGTGAAGCCTACTGTATCAGGCAAGGATTGCACCCTTCTTATCTCATTCCTTGCTGTGGAAACTCAACCGCCGGGAAATTGGAATGCCCTCTTGGCGCGAATAGCTTCAGGCAGCAGCTTTCTGGGTGCGGAACCCCGGACAATACAGGACTCCACCACTAGACCCTGTGCGACTTTGCAACTTCAAGTTCCAGAGGACACACTTCCAGTATTCAGTATGAAGTACGAAGGACAAATATAGAATCGTCCTACAATGCCAGGCCAACGCAATGCGGCTTCAGCCGGTTTAACCGCTGCTCATGGCGCCGCAAATATGGTACCACCATTGATGGCTCCAGTTGCTGCGCGTGGGGACAGGCGAAGTCTCCGATTAGTTAGTAGTTAGCGCCCGCCTTGTGACGTTACCTACCTTGCATCTGCCAGCATTCGCACCTCGCTGGACCGTAGATGCTCAATTCACTCGGAATAGCCCCGTAGTTGCTCAGGAGTCTATAGGTAAACCTGTTTATGAAACCCTGACCATTTCAAGTTTTTTCGGGGAACTGCAAGAGCCCTGTACCAGGCCTGCAGGACAATACAAAAACCCGGTAATCCAGGAATTATTCTGCCGATCGCATTTTCCTCGTGTCTCCGGTCGTAGGGCTGAAGCTTGGCCGCGGATCCCCGAAGCCTTCTTTCCGAATTGCCCATTTATAGCTTACTTTGCTTTGGGAGACCCCAGTCCTGTCCAGGGTTAGGCGCCCATGCGGATCCTCCAGAACGCCCGGTCATTTGCACAATCAAAAACCGCTCTAAATCGCCTTGTTCGCAGAGTGGAGCCTTCTTTACCCCCCCACAAGTTCTCTTCTCTCGATTTCATGCACTTTCTTTCTTTCAATCCCTCCCCACTTTCCTTACTCTTTACCGTCTTTTCTAACTTTTGTTCCCTTTGTATGAGTCTCGGCCACCGTTCCAACCATGTCTTGGCTCGCCCGCCGCAGCACTATGACCGAGGAGGAACATGACAACCTCGGCGTGGATTGGGTGCTGCAGTATGAATTTGGCGACATCGGTACGAGCTGCATGAGGCATGGACTTTCTGCATTTGCTAACGATCCCCCAGATCAGACGCAGGCCGTCACCGAGTTTCGTGAGATGATGCACGACCTGACCGAGGCAGGTCTTCGCGTGCAAGTCCGCCACGGCCATGGAGCGTCGTTATTGCTGTGTTTACGAGTCCCCCGCGACAAATTGGGGAGGATGATCCACCAGCTCAGGTAGGAAAGTGCCAGCTGCAAGCCAGATTAGGGGCTTACTTCCGCAGAATCAAGGATTGGTTATATGGTATCAGTCATAATTTGCCAATCGGCGACGAAAATACGACTGCCTCGGCGGAATCACCAGCAGAGGAATTGCGTACTGTTTACCACGCTGTGACGTGGTGTGACGAGCTTGGGGGCGCGGGCGTTACACCCAAGCATGGCAAGTGGGAGCGTGTCACAGCTTCTTTTCCTTTACACGATAAAGAAGCATGCTCTCAGCTTTTACGGGAATGGAGTCGGAAAACCATCTTGACCACGCAGGATCTAGATACGATACGGGCGCTCTTTGGCGAAAAGGTCTCTGTCAACTCTCGATTACGAGCGGACCATTGCTGACTTCATTCAGGTTGCCTACTACTATGCCTTTATTCATTGTTATTCGCTATTCCTAACGGTACCGGCGGCGATGGGGATTATAGGATGGCTATACCTGGGTCCCTATTCCATCATTTATGGCGCTGGACTGTGTGTCTGGTGTGTTGTATTTGTGGAATACTGGAAGATCCGAGAGCAGGATCTCAGTTTAAGATGGAATGTGAAAGGGGTAGCCGGACTGAAAGTGAACCGACCTGAGTTCAAGTGGGAGAAGGAGGTTCCAGACCCGATATCTGGTCAACCGATCAAAGCTTTCCCGCAGTGGAAGCAGTTCCTGCGCCAGCTTCTGTTGGTCCCATTTGCTTCAATTGCGAGCGTTGCTCTAGGAAGCCTGATCGTCATTGCATTCGCATCGGAAGTCTTCATTTCGGAGGTCTACAGTGGGCCCATGAAAGGCTACCTCGAGTTTGCTCCTACCATTATCTTCTCGCTATCCCTGCCAGCCATTACTTCGTTCCTCAACAGCATCGCTACGAGATTGACCGAATACGAGAACTACCGAACCCAAGATCTATATGATCTCGCTCTGACGCAGAAGAACTTCGTGATGAATTTCATCACCTCGTTTCTTCCCACCATTCTCACTGCATATATATATGTCCCCTTCGCCCAATCAATTGTGCCGCATTTGGACATTCTACGGAGGACAGGGCTAAACGTCAACCTTGGAAACCAGGTGGATTTCAAAGTGGACACGTCCCGATTCCAGCAGGAAGTGATATACCTCTCGATGACCGCGCAGGTGCTCGACTTCGGCGAGGAAATTGTCCTCCCCCTACGTCAAACAGATATTGTGGGAGAAATGGCGCAACTACCGAGACCGGCGCGATGGGTTCGGTGCTCACAAACGCAGGTTCTCGCAGGGAACGGACTTGCTACTGATTGACACCCCAGAGGAAGCGAATTTCCTGGCCCGAGTACGCAAGGAAGCAGATGCAGATGAATACAAGGTCGAAGAAGATATCCTTGAGATGTGTGTGCAGTTTGGCTACTTGGCTTTGTTCGGAGTGGCCTGGCCATTAGTTCCACTGGGGTTCCTGCTGAACAGCTGGCTCGAGCTACGAGGCGATTTCTTCAAGTTGACTCTCGAATGCCAGCGTCCTCCACCCATACGAGCAGACTCAATTGGTCCCTCAGTCCTGGGTCTCGAACTCCTCGCGTGGCTGGGTACACTTTCTACTGCCGCTATCGTGCATCTGTATCGAGGCCCAATGTCTGAAGTGCGGCTTTCCTACCTTCTCCTCACGGTATTTCTTGCAGAGCAAGCGTACCTTGCTGTGCGATTCACTGCGTCGACAGCTCTTCAAAAAATATACTCCGATACCCTCCGCCAGGAAGAAGCCAAGCGCTATGCTGTGCGTCGGAGTTTCCTAGAGGCCAGCGCAAACGCGGGCCGAGGCGGGTCCCCCGGCTCTGTCGGGTCACGCGTGCGGCACGTACGGTTCCACGAAAAAGTGAATGTGTATAACACTTGCGAAAAGGAACCATCACCTGATGGCTCTCGGCCAGCATCAATCGAGGAAGCCCACGATGATGTCCTACGAGGGTCTGACCGGGAAGCGGACTTCTGGAATGCCATAACCAGCAATCCGGCCGACATAGGAGTCAAAATGATCCGGGCGATCAGCATATCGAAAGACGAAAAATTGACCAAAAAGGCATAAATCTGTTCTAAAATTAGCTTCGGCATTGCAGGCGCTAGGGATTACATACTAAATTAATTTCCCCATCTCTCCCATTTCTACCCCCGTACATCTGACCTCGCGTAATTATGCAGTTGCCTGCTATCCCTTGGCCAAGTAAGACTAATCCACAGTGGAACCAATAGTGGCAAATCCTAGAGACCTCGACTCGTCAGCCCAGGGGCAAATAGCGTATGGGGGAAGACGCAGTGTAGCCTGGGTGGAGCGAGTAAGCGTAGCAGCAAATAATAAGCGGCCGTTATCGCCTTATAGTTCAGCCCTACGAGAGACCCGCACTGGTAGTGCCGCGGAACTTCCCAATCTGTTCCCACCCATCCTTCACCTCCTTCTTGGACTCGCCTTCCTCTGCTCTGTGCTTTTCGAAGTGATTATATGTCAGGGGCTCTAAAAAGGCCCCATTATGCTCTGTTTCACTTTTTTCTGAACCTCAAATCACGCCATGTGAATGGCCATCCAGCAACATGCCCGGCGCATTCTCAACAGACACGCTGGTAGACGATATCGCCAGCGGTTCTCCGCTCGACCCCTCAGACAAAATGCCAGCAAACAGTTCCCTCTCCGAGCCGGAACTCGAGCCCAAACCAGAAATCCCCAAGCTCGCCTCCCCGTCACCCTCGTCTGCTTCCAAAGAAACCGTTCACTTAATCAAACGCTCCACCCTCTTCGGCCCACGCCTACACCTCCAGCGCCAACAACAATTTCGTAACTCCCTCCTCGCAAGCGTCGGCTACCTCGAGCTAGCCAACGCCGCCGACTTCGCTGCTAACGTATGGAACGAGATCCCCGTCCCGCGCTTCGCGGCCGTTTTAATGGGCATAGGCGGCACAATCGCACTCGCAATGACCAGCGTCGCGGTGCAAGACTTCCGCCTGAGTTGGCGAAATGTAAAGCTCCTCCGCTCCGAACGAAGGGGACTACAACACCTTTCCTCGCAAGCTGACGGCCTCGAGGCCCGGATTCTGAGCGCCCGTCTCGGCGTCGAAATAAGGGAACTCGGCACCGAGATCGTCGACAGGCTCGCCATGGATCTGCTTATGGGCATTGGATCCGTGCTTGTTGGCGTTGGCACGCTAATGGCCATTGGCGGCGCGGATCCGAAGGTCTACAAGGCATCGAATCTGCTGTCCGGGTACATCGGGAACGCGGTAGCGGCTGCGTTCGGAGTGATCAACGCGGTGTGGTCTGTGTATCTCCTCGTGCGGTTCTACAAGCATGAAGTCGCGGTGAAAAGGAGCCGTGTGGATCCCGCGATAAAGGAAAGGATATGCACGCGGTTCCGACGGTTCGGAGGGCATGCGTTCTTGAATGGGATAACCGGGTTAGTAGCCGGTGCCGGGTCACTAGTTACGGCGACGCGTTGGTGGGGGTATGTTGTGTTGTTGCCGTGTATCATTTCATTGATTTTCTGCAACTATTTCTGGCGCAGGCGGCTTGGGTACGACAGGCCTGTTTTTGGACCGGGGGAGGATACGGAGTCCTTGACTCAAAGCCTCGAGTACGTACTCGCAATGCAGGGGATGCTGGGATCTAGGGACGTGGAGAGTGGACTGCACGCTGCCCCGATGCAGGGAGACCAGAGCGGGTCTCTGGAGGACATCCTGCGGCTGATCGAGGAAAATCGAATGCTGGAGAGGTATGTGGAGTCTCTAGTGCGGGAAAAGGAGACGCGAAGGCTACTGCTGGAAGCGTTGCCCGTGGATGAGGCAGGGCATATGAGCGTTTCGGTAGAAGACATGGGGCGCTTTTTGTCGGGGCCGCATGTTCCAACAATGTTGAGCCACGCACGCCGGTTCTTGCGCGTGGAAGGTGTGGATATCTTCGTGCACCGGGAGAGATACCTGTTGGAGCTCCTGGGGTATGCTATCTGGATGAGCCAGGCAGACATACAGGAGGCTGCTTTCGAACTCAATGAAATTAACTGTGAAGGATAGGTAAAGTCGCAGTCTGCACCTCCCTTGTTTCTGTTGCCATTTTCTGGACGAGGCGCTGGCGCCTGATTTCGTGTATTGCATATCACTAGGTGTATACAGAATTGCTGGTACAGCTGCCCACCTAGGAAGAAAGGTAATGGATAGAAGAATAAAAGAATCTCAGAGAGCTATCAAAGAATACGACCCGGCCTAAACCTCACTGATCAGATATTGTAAACAGCCGGCGGGATTAAGCCAGTAACATACTATGATAGAACCCGGCTAGAAAGCCCTTGGAAGGCAATAGAATCGCGAAGATAAAGTCTCTCAAGGTTGGTTACACTCCAAAGGCTAATCGGATGCCTTGGTGATTTATGAGTCAGAATCTACCTGTTGGATCACCCCCATTTACGCATGCGAGCAGCAGAGATCTTCAGAATATTCACTACAAGTCTCTCGTTCTATGCGCAGGAACCTTCCTGTCGGCTCGGCTAGATCAAAAGATTCCACTGCACCGTTATTCCTGTGACCTCTCTTCGGTCACGACCGTCCTGTCTCCAATGCGTCCTGTTGCAACACGCAGCCTACTCGTCTAAAAACACGGAGCCCCGGGTATGTTATGACGACGTTGCTTGAAAGCAATCCGAGGATGTGTCCGACAACTGATTGGTTCGATTCCTTGATATCGACGTCAAGGAACAGATTGGGATATTCATCCTGGAGCAGGAGTCTGGAGCCGACCCCGAGCTTACGATTCTTCGAAAGGGGTATTCAATAACATGCAAATAAAGTACACATAACGCGATCAACTTCCATATTCCACGGCCTGGCACCACCCTTTTTGACAGTTAAAATCGGAGTTGCTGTGATGTGATATATCTTGAACCAGACATTGATGCGAGTGCCAATCATTATCCACTCAAGTACATGGGAAGAGAGCTCTCTCAAATTGGGACCTCGATCAAGAGCTTCCATTTCTGGATGCCAATTTCGCCACGGCATCTTCATACATTGAAGCCCTAGCACGGCTCAAGATTCAACATTCATTATAGCAAAGGAATGATGCAGCACATCCTGCAGATAAGTGTCGTCGGAAGTTTGTTACAAGACAGCTGTCTGACACGTTTGCCAGAGACAAAAAGTTGACTCGGTCATGTTATAAGCATAGTCCAGTCAAATTTTGGTTTCATGATCCCTGACTAGCCAATGATCTTCTCAATGGTAAAGTGCATATTTCCGGTGTGGACTAGGAGTTCACATATGCAGCACGGTGGAGTTTTTGTACGCGCGATCATGCCGGCTTCTTATCGAGAAGCCCGAATACTGGTCCACAGGGCATTGAGGACTAGGCCGGAGTCTTCGACCGCCGCCTACAGATGTTCCTCACAGCAATAAGGTGCTGTGAAAATGCAGATCCTTAGTATAGCTAGCCCCAGCTCTTAGATGATACAGCGGAGCTGAGAGAACGGAGACTTTTGAGTGGTGTATACCATTATGCAGCTTTGTCTTTGATGTGATCTACAGTCCGAAAATTAACTAGTGGTTCTTTGGGCCCACAAAGATCGATGATCCCTACAAGGCATAGAAAGAGCGGTTGCGCCTGCTGGATGGGAACCAGATAGGTGAGATGGAATGGCTGGTGGAGGCTTGAGAAGGCGGACGACAAGGCCTTGGCATGGGACCCTGGCGAGTATACCGAGGCGTTTCGCCAATGGTTAGTTGCAGAGCAATATATGAGGCAAAAGAATCTCACTAGGAATGATCACCAACAATAGGGTCACATATGTGAATTGGTTGGACGGTTGGGTATTAGGCGTTCAAAGCACATATAGGCCTGCGGGAATTACTACTGTTTGGTAGGTCTCCGAGAGATAATAGTTGCTTCTGATTAAAATATAGCTTCCAGTGCAAAAAGCTAATCTCCGAAGCTTGCTGACCAGTGCTCTGGACTTCCAGGAGGCCAAGCCACAATTCCAGGAGACAACGGAAGTTCCCCGAGGGCCTAAGACTTAGGGCACTAGGCGGAAGCCATTCGAGTCGCTCGTGAGCGCCCAGTTTCAAACCAGATAACCGTATCCAATTATATTCAGAGAACCACATGTGCCCCCGTCAACCCCCTGGTCGGGGCCGACTCCCCAAGAGCAAAGATGTTTTCAAGTTCGCAGTTCCGAATATCCTCATTCAAAACCAAGGCTCTCTATATATCACGCATCCGTCGAATGGGAGCTCTCTCACTGTTGAACAAAAGGAGGCAGGAATGCCTACCTTGCAAAACTTGCTGCCTCAGTGGAATTACGCATAACCAGTTACCGTCCATTACCATTGCAGTACTATCAGAGGTTCCGGCGCTAGAAACAGACAGCTACCCAAGGCAAAGGCTGCAGGATGGTGAGTGCTACGAAAGGCCACGAAGTCCTTTTTTGCATCACTCGAACCGACTGGGGTTGAGACACGGGGCAGTGTGGTCCTTATACGGCAAGTCCATTTCGCTCTATACTGGTATAAAGCTTGGCGATAAGGCTTCTATTAGCTAAGATGGTGAAACTCGATCTGCAAACTATAAATAGAGGCACGTGAAGTAAATAAATACCAGAACAACCTTCTGGAGAGCCTGAACTGTTAAATATCATGGTAGCGCTATATTTGTCGGGCAGAGAATGCCTGCATGTGCTGGAGAAAACTATGCACGCCCGAGCTATTCGCAGAAACGAGAGACCTAAAAACAGAGAACAAAAACAGGCAGCAGCTTCGTAGGCAGTCATAAATCCAAGGGGACTGTAGTAACAGGCAGTGGCTTCGAGGCTCATTACATGAATAAAGCTATACCAAACGGAAACAAGAGTAGTATTGACCAGGCTCAACAGCATGAATCAACAGAGCAGCCTACATTAGAACGCAGCAAGAGTTCTGCTTTTTGGCCTGGAGATAGGTGTCAGGTAAGATAGCCTTCCCGCCTGGACGTTGTAACTTACCTGGGTATAGAACATCTTACTCTGAGCTGACAAGCCGTCACTCTTTTGAACAAGAGAATCGATCTTCTCGCCACGCTCCAAAACGCTCTCAATCTAACCGATAGTCAGCTTCCAGTTATATTCTCGTGTATGGTACCGGATGAGAAGGCGTACAGTCTTGTGGAGGACGATCTTGGTCTCGTCTAGCTCTTGTTGGATCTTCATGATGCTGTCGGCCTGCTGGGGGTCCTGATATTTCACAATGTATTCCTTGAGCTGGGGCAAGGGCATGCGTTCTCGCGAAGAGATGGGTCGGAGAAGGAGGTTCGGGGATACTTCGCAAGGAACTCGTCAACGATCTTGGAAAGGAGCTGGTGGGCCACAAGGGCAGGGTAATCGCCGTCGGTAACGATGACTCCGGCTACACCCTCTGTCCGGCCGTAGGCGTGGAATGTGTATGACTTCTCCTCGACGTCCTGGCGCTGACCTGGCTTGGTGCGCTCGGCAACGGTGCGGCAGAATAAAATGAGGAACTCCTCGTAGCTGTGGGAATAAAAAAAATTAATTGGTGCGCAGGGATGGAGGGCAAAGGCACATACTTCTGACGAGTGAAACGAGAGAATCTATGGAGCGTTAGTAGCGGCATGCTAAAAGCAGGATAAGAGGTCCAAGTACTAACGCAGTAAGGTCCTTCTCAGCGCACAGCTGCAGAGCAGGCTGGGAATCGTTCCGCAGAACCTATGAGAAAAGCCGAGAAGTCAGCTTTTGCTAAAGGTTTTAGGGGGCAATACTTCGAGGTAGAGACGTACACCCATGTAGAGGATCTTCATAGTGGCGGGGAAGTAACTGGATCACACAGAAGATAAGGTCGTCGAGAATCAAGGGAAGGCGGGAAACGGAAGCTCTTATGAGTTCGCGGAGGAGCAGGCGACAGAGTTCTAACCAACGAGCTGCAAGTAAGACCGGCCTCGAGATGTTAAGGAGAAGGCTGAGCTGTGAGTTTCGGCAACTCCTGATAACAAGTCTCCGCACTGACGGCCATGGGCAAAATGTCACACCGCCCATGACACACTTGCAAGCCGGGATAGTTACATTTCTTTTAATTTGACCTTACTGCCCATCTTAGCGCTGTCGCTACTACGAGGGATCTGGTTTCCAGATAATGGAGTCGATTGCCAACACAGAGTCGCAGTGGCTGTCCCAGCTGGCAGCCATGCGCCAGGCCATCGCCGAACTAAACCTCCCCAAAGAATTATCCCACGATACGATCAGCTACGGTAGCGACGTGGATCTAGATATCGACGATGACTACTCCTCACCGGGCACAGTTGATGATGTCTGGGATATAATATCTTCGGACGATGAGACCACAGACGACCTTGATGATCTCACCGGCGCACCGCACGACCAACCTCTGCCATATGACCAGCAGTGGCTTGCAGCAAAATGTCACGAGCTATCCGCCCGGAACTCTACACTGGACGCCTCGGAGCTCACACAGCAGATTGTCGCAACTTTGGCCACCGACAGCAACGATACTGAGCTCCAAATGTCATTGGCGGAAATTGTAGGCTTTGATGATTTGGATCTGGTCATTGAGCTGATCGCCCACCGAGAGGAAATTCTTTCGGACAAGTCACACCGGGCTGAGGCACAGACGGACGGACTGGCTGCTGGCAAACTCCAGACACGAGCTGAAAGGGAACAGGCCCTATGGGAACGGGACATCCAACACAAGAACGCGCCGTTGATGGCTGCGCAGACTCGATCCGAGCCCGTGTATCCACATGTGTTCAAAAGCCATACAGCAGGAAACTTGCTCAGTGCAAGCGGGAAAAAGTACGGTCTACCGGTTGGTAGTGAAACGATCGAGGAGCAGCGGTACACAGAATATGCGATCCCGGCTACGAAGGTTGGATCGATCGCTCGAGACCAGAAACTAGTAGAGATTTCTTCCATGGATGGGCTCTGCCGAGGTACATTCAAGGGATATAAAACCTTGAACCGCATGCAGAGTCTGCTATATGATGTGGCTTACAAGACTAGCGAGAACATGCTTATTTGTGCACCCACTGGTGCCGGTAAGACAGACGCTGCTATGCTGACAATTCTCAATGCGATTGGCAAGAACACAGTGCCAAACCCATTAGATGAGCCGGATTCAGAGGAATACATCGTGCAAGTTGACGACTTCAAGATTGTTTATGTGGCTCCCATGAAGGCCTTGGCCGCTGAGGTTACCGAGAAGCTTGGCAAACGTCTGGCCTGGCTGGGTATCAAAGTCAGAGAATTGACTGGTGATATGCAACTGACCAAACGGGAAATTGTCGATACCCAGATCATTGTCACGACCCCTGAAAAATGGGATGTTGTGACTCGCAAGAGTACTGGCGATACGGAACTTGTGCAAAAAGTACGACTACTTATCATCGATGAGGTCCATATGCTTCATGATGAACGGGGTGCTGTCATTGAGTCTCTGGTTGCACGAACCCAACGCCAAGTTGAAAGCACACAGTCCTTGATTCGGATTATTGGCCTTTCTGCGACCCTTCCCAACTACATTGACGTGGCCGATTTCTTGAAAGTCAACAAGATGGCTGGCTTGTTCTTTTTCGATTCGTCTTTCAGACCAGTGCCACTTGAACAGCATTTTATTGGTGTCAAAGGCAAGCCCGGCTCTAAACAGTCGCGGGAGAATATTGACATTACCGCCTATGAGAAAGTGCGTGACATGATGGAAAGGGGCCACCAGGTGATGGTGTTTGTTCATTCTCGCAAAGACACTGTCATGACAGCACGCATGTTAAAACAAATGGCTGCCGAAGACGGCTGCGAGGATTTGTTCAGCTGCCACGACCACGAAAATTACTCGAATGCTTTACGTGACATGAAGCACGCTCGCGCGAAAGAACTGCGTGATCTTTTCGCCAGTGGATTTGGGACGCATCATGCGGGCATGAGTCGCAGCGATCGTAACCTGATGGAAAGGATGTTCTCGGAAGGTCTCATCAAGGTCCTCTGCTGTACGGCCACCCTCGCGTGGGGTGTCAATTTGCCTGCGGCTGCTGTAGTCATCAAGGGAACTCAGCTGTACAACCCGCAGGAGGGTAAATTCGTCGATTTGAGTATTCTCGATGTCATGCAGATCTTTGGTCGTGCTGGTCGTCCGCAGTTTCAAGACACTGGTATCGGCTTTATCTGTACAACTCATGATAAGTTGCATCACTACCTGTCTGCCGTAACTGCACAGCAGCCGATTGAATCTCGCTTCTCCAGCCGATTAGTTGATAACCTCAACGCGGAAATCTCTCTCGGCACTGTCACTTCTGTCTCCGAGGCTGTGCAATGGCTCGGATACTCATATTTGTTCGTTCGCATGAAACGGGAGCCTCGAAACTACGGTATAGAGTATGCCGAGCTTCGTGACGACCCCATGCTAGTTCAAAGACGACGTCAACTCATCATTCAGGCTGCTCGGACCTTGCAGAAGAGCCAAATGATCATTTTCAACGAAAAAACCGAGGACTTGAGAGCCAAAGATGTTGGTCGAATTGCTAGTCAATACTACGTCCTTCAGACCAGTGTGGAGATTTTCAATGCAATGATGCGTCCCCGTGCAGGCGAAGCTGATGTTCTCAAGATGATCAGTATGAGCGGAGAGTTCGACAACATCCAGGCCCGTGAGACCGAGTCGAAGGAGCTGCAAAGACTACGGGATGAGGTTATTCAAACCGAGGTCGAAGGGGGCAATGACTCACCGCATGCGAAAACCAACATTCTGTTGCAGTCGTATATATCCCGTGCCAAGCTTGAAGATTTTGCCTTGGTGTCGGATTGTGGGTATGTCGCGCAAAACTCCGCGCGTATCTGCCGAGCGCTGTTTATGATTGCACTGAACCGCCGATGGGGCTACCAGTGCCAGGTCTTGTTGTCTCTTTGCAAGTCTATTGAAAAGCAAATCTGGCCATTCGACCATCCCTTTCACCAATTTGATCTGCCTCAGCCGATTCTGCGGAACTTGGATGAAAAGCTCCCAAGCTCGTCTATTGAGTCGATGCGAGAAATGGATCCTGCCGAGATTGGCGCACTGGTACACAACCAAAAGATGGGAAAAGTGCTCTCGAAGCTCCTGGACAATTTCCCCACCCTTAGCGTCGAGACTGAGATTGCTCCGCTAAATCGCGATGTCCTCCGTATCCGCCTTTCTATCTACCCAGAGTTCACGTGGAATGATCGTCATCATGGAACATCTGAATCTTTCTGGGTCTGGGTAGAAAACTCAGAGACCTCTGAAATTTACCATCACGAGTACTTCATATTGAGTAGGAAGAAGCTTTATGACGAACACGAGCTGAACTTCACTATCCCGCTATCTGATCCTTTACCTAGCCAGATTTATGTGCGACTGATCTCTGATCGTTGGCTTGGTGCTGAGACTGTGAGCCCCGTCTCTTTCCAGCATCTCATTCGCCCGGATACGGAGAGTGTGTACACAGACCTCTTAGATCTTCAGCCTCTTCCCATTTCGGCTCTCCAGAACCCCATTCTGGAAGAGCTATACGGGCAGCGATTCCAGTTCTTTAATCCCATGCAAACCCAGATTTTCCACCTGTTGTACCACACACCGGCGAATGTTCTGCTTGGATCTCCCACCGGTAGTGGGAAAACAATCGCATGTGAGCTTGCTATGTGGTGGGCTTTCCGCGAAAAACCTGGGTCCAAAGTTGTTTACATCGCCCCCATGAAAGCACTTGTTCGGGAGCGTGTCCAAGATTGGCGGAAACGCCTCACCGGCCCCATGGGATTGAAGCTTGTCGAGTTGACGGGTGATAATACCCCTGATACTAGGACTATTCGCGACGCGGATATCATTATCACCACCCCTGAAAAATGGGACGGTATCTCGCGTAGCTGGCAGACTCGTGACTATGTGAGAAAGGTCAGTCTCGTCATCATTGACGAGATTCATCTGCTGGGTGGAGACCGCGGGCCAATTCTAGAGATCATTGTCTCTCGAATGAACTACATTGCCTCCCAGTCTAAGGGATCTGTTCGTTTGATGGGAATGTCTACTGCGTGTGCCAATGCTACTGATCTGGGCAACTGGCTTGGCGTCAAAGAAGGCCTGTTCAACTTTCGTCACTCCGTTCGCCCGGTTCCTCTAGAGATTTTTATCGACGGCTTCCCAGAACAACGTGGCTTCTGTCCTCTCATGCAGTCTATGAATCGACCTACTTTCCTTGCAATCAAGAACCATTCGCCAGATAAGCCAGTCATCGTCTTTGTTGCATCGCGAAGACAAACGCGGTTGACTGCCAAGGATTTGATTAATTACTGCGGCATGGAGGACAATCCTCGCCGCTTTGTACGGATGTCCGAAGAGGACCTGCAACTGAATCTCGCTCGGGTCAAGGATGACGCTTTGAGAGAGGCTCTTAGCTTCGGAATTGGCCTGCATCATGCCGGTCTGGTCGAATCAGACCGACAACTTTCTGAAGAGCTGTTTGCTAATAATAAGATCCAAATTCTGGTTGCGACGTCTACTTTGGCCTGGGGTGTCAACCTTCCAGCTCACCTTGTCGTCGTCAAGGGCACTCAATTCTTTGATGCCAAAATCGAAGGATATCGCGACATGGACTTGACCGACGTACTTCAAATGCTCGGCCGCGCCGGTCGTCCGCAATTCGATAATTCTGGTATCGCGCGAATTTTCACACAAGATGCGAAGAAAGCTTTCTACAAGCACTTCCTCCACACTGGCTTCCCTGTGGAATCTACTTTACATAAAGTCCTGGACAACCATTTGGGTGCCGAGGTATCCGCGGGCACAATCACAACCAAGCAGGACGCACTCGATTACTTGACCTGGACGTTCTTCTTCCGTCGACTTCACAAGAATCCCTCATACTATGGCCTCGAGATCTCTGCTGAAGAGCAAAACACCACGGCTGCCCAGGCTATTGCCCAAGACTTCATGGTTGACCTGGTGGACAAATCTCTGGGGGATCTAGCCGAGTCCTCTTGTGTCCTTGTTGACTCTGCGACTGGCGAGATAGACCCAACGCCATTTGGCAAGATCATGAGTTACTACTACTTGTCTCACAAGACGATTCGATTCCTCATGGCTCATGCCAAGCGGGAGCCCACATTCCACGATGTCCTGTTCTGGATGTGCTCTGCTTCTGAATTCGATGAGCTCCCGACGCGACACAATGAAGACCTTATCAACGCTGAGCTCGCTGAACATTTGCCGCTATCCACCGAGCCAATGGGCAATCTGCCTATGTGGGATCCTCATGTCAAAGCGTTCCTGCTCTTGCAATCTTATATGTCGCGGATTGATCTTCCAATCTCGGATTATGTTGGTGATCAGACCTCTGTTCTAGACCAAGCAATCCGTATCATCCAGGCTTCCATCGATGTCATGGCCGAACTTGGGTATTTCCCCGCATGTCGAATGCTGATGACGCTCCTGCAATGCATCAAGTCTGCCCGGTGGCCTGAGGACCCCCAGCTGTCGATTCTCCCCGGCGTAGAAGTCGAGAAGCCTCAGCGCGGCTTGCCATCTTCTCTGGTTGCTCTGTCTTCTCAGTCTTCCTCTGCAGTTGCCTCCTTGGTCAACAAGTTCAACTTGCCTCCTTCCTTTACCCGAGCAGCTTCTCAGCTTCCTCATATCTCTTTGGCTGTCGCTGATGCCTCCCCGAAGGGCATTGCATTGACCTTGACGAGGCACAACGTGCCGACCAATCCAGACCACCGGATCTATGCCCCCCGTTTCCCGAAGCCACAAACCGAAGGGTTCTTTTTGGTTGTTTGCAGTGCTCATCCTGATGGTACTGATGGGGATCTCCTGGGCTTAAAGCGTGTCTCATGGGCCCCAGCCACCAAACAAAATAACCGCCAGCAAGGCGGCGCTGGTCCCAGCCGGAATGGGCCAAATGAAAAAGATAAGAAGGGTGGCAAGCTCACCGTCCGATCTTTAGTCAAGTTCCCTCAAGGCGCCCTGGCTGAGTCCTCATCCGTGACGACTTCCGGGACTGCTCGAGTCAATGTCAAGCTGATCAGTGACTCGTACATTGGAATGCAGTGGAATTTGTCTAATGTGGAAGTTTCCATTGGCTCCGATGCAAGTGCACAGCTGATCGAAGAGCCTAGCGCCCCTGTCAAAGAATAAGTGCTCGAATGCTTCCAGGAATCATATCTTAAATTTAAATAGTTCTATGTCATCCGCACAATATCTACTTCAGCTGTGTGTCTATATCCATGAGAAAGTACTTCTTAAACGCCACCCGTTTGTCCTCCTCCGTCTCGCACGTATGGATGACTCTTGTTTTCCCACCGAGATTCAACTTCACAACTCCATTCACAAACATCAGCTTCCCAACAATCGCAATCTCCCCATCCACCGCATCGACCACTTCCCCCTCTTCCACAGGTAGATTGCCCGTCTCACCTCCGCGGAGGAACTTGACCAGCCACTGGTTCCTCAAATCAAATGTCTCCCAGCTGGTATACCGGTTAATCACCTCGAAATCAACCTGGAACCACTCCGCTTCCCCAAAACTGTAGAATGAATTCCACTCCATCTCCGGCCCATTACGGTACTGATATATCCACAGCTTCTGCTCCGGCCGGCTCTGATTCGGAATATTGCCGTAGATCAATCGCACTTCCTGCCTCCCCATGTTCTGAACCGTGTACCCCGAGACCAGCCGAAGCGGCCTGGTTGGCCCGTCTCCCCGAACGCTGCGTCGACGGCGTATCGCACGCCTGTGGGGAGCTCAAGAATGAGCACCACATGCGTCCTGTGAATGTGAGCAGCGGGATTGCGAAAGCCCCCAAGTTGCGTAGGTTGTTTAGTCTACTAAACATTCTTTGCCGGCGCAGGTCTTGGTTTCTAGGCGAGGGGGGAAGAGCGGCACTTACCACCCAAAATAGTCACCCTGCGGCACCCCATTGGTACGCCTGCGATTGCGCACGCCGGTTGCGTAGGCGGAGAATCCCTAGCCCTTTCAGCACGTGGTGGAAGAAAATGCTACACTCGAGGCAGTAGCCTCCGCGGTGGGACGGTGCTGCGTCTCCGACGCCCATGAACTTGTTATAGATGGCGGCTGGGTCGATGTTCGCCAGGTGCGTCGCGGAGTAGTGCACCGTGAGATTGTCGTAGGGGAAACGAGTGACCTGGCATCGGAATAGATGCGTTAAGGCCTCCTCGGTCTTCGGGAAGGACTGCGGGTCGTCGAGGTAGGGCGCATATTGTGCGGGTAAGGCCATATACCGTAGGTATTTGGACAATTGTTGCTGCGAAAATGCTGAAGCCATGGTTACTGGTATAAGAGATTGCTTTACAGTTAAAAACGAGGGAAAAAAGGATGATGGAGGGCCTAGTTTATCTATATAACTAGTAAAGCGCTGGTATGACTCAGGCACGTAAGCCCACCGGACCCGTGGATCTGGGCATAACGGGGCTTAGCGTGGGCCCCTGGATTTGCGATTTGGAAAAAAAAACGATATCGAGAACTTGATGTATATATTCGTCTTCTATATTGCAAAAGCGAGCATATATAGTTTCCCTTGGAAAGCGTATCAAACGGCTCCCAAGTCATGTACAAACTTCGCCGCAGCTTCATGGATCTCCGCCTGCTCCTTTGGCCAGCCCAGTATAGCGCCAGTAGCATATATATCATGAGGGACTCCAGGCACTTCCAGATATTCGATTTTATTCGTAGGGATTCCACTCATCCTGTCTGCGAATCCTCGCACGGTATCGCAAAGAACCTCGGCGCCACCTGCCTGGGCAAAGATGGGCACGGGGGTAGCGAACGGATGCAGCGCCGGTGAGAGGTAAGGGTCGTCGAGGCGCACGCTGTCGGGCGGGGCAAGGGCTCTTGCTCCCCAAGCCAGCATCTTGCCGTCGACATAATCGGTCTTAATGTTCCGGTGGGAGTCTATAGCCTCGGCATCTCCCTCAAAAGAGTACTCGACGGAGGGAGAAAATAGCAGACATGCTTTCGGGGTTGCGAGTCCGGCGAGTGCGTGATCCGCCGTATCAATCGAAGCAAGATATCGCAATAGTCCAACCGCAATGGTTGACCCGGTCGAGTCCCCTGCTAACACAATGCGGGAGGGCGAGATTCCCAGCTTCTTGACGAGATAGAAGTAGGCTGTGACCGCGTCTTGCATCGCTCCCGGATATGGCGTCGGATCATTGCCGCCACCGAGGCGATATTGCACCCAGAAGGAGAATGTGTTATTCCCGAGCTTTCTGTTTAGCATCTTTGCGATGGGCCCAGAGTCGTCGGGACGCCCGGTAAGCCAGAGGAGAGACCCAGAGTGGAAAGCGAGTACGATAAGTCCTTCATCGCCGACCAGCGACGCTTTCTCTGGGAGCGCTGGATACCACGTCCCGCCGATCCGCGCAGGTTTGATACTCTTGCTCGAGAAATCCGGATGATAGGCTTCAGCCGGGCCAGGGTCGATGAGAACCCATCGGTCACCGAGCTTCCCTGGAGAGAGGGTCAGGGACTGCGCGAAGCCGATATCGGTGATGACAACGAATGCGCACTCGAAGACCCGGGACATGAAGGCTTGCCGGTAGGTCCATGTTGGGTTTTGACGCGAGGAGCGAGGGATATACCAGATGCTATAGAATATGGCTTGAAGGACGCCGCGGAGGAGACCAACTAAGATCCAGATCGCCATCCCCGGCTGGCGAGTGCGCCATCCGCTAGGGAGAGCGCTATTGTCTGCGTATTCCCGTGCCATGATGAGGACTAACCCTGGCGAAAAATACGACAGAGACAGAGGCTTGGCATACGGGATGCTAAGCTTTTTAGTCTCCCGGATGTCCAGGTGAGTTGCCTGGAGGACAGAGATCGTCGCATCTCACGCCGTTGGTAGGCTAGCGTGGCGGAGGAACCCGGCAGAACAGACCAATCAGACCCCCCATTTGGATATCTCCGACCCGAGCCCCCGCCCAATCGCTCTTCCTTCGATACGCCTCTCGGTACCAGCGGGACTACGATAATTGCTTCAACCATTAAGTGACACCAAGATCTAGCAAAATCCACCAGGATCAACTTTCGTGACTTTTCCGCCAGACACTAGCAAAATCTGCTGATTCTGAATTTTCTCTTCTTACAATTACTCGACCTCCATAGCTTTGATTGGGGGTAGCTTGACCGTACCGGTTCCACCAATTTCCAGCAAAATTCACCAGGATCGACTTTCGTGACTTTTCCGCCAGATACTAGCAAAAAAAAATTTGCTGGTTCTGTATTTTCTCTTTTTACAACTACTCGACCTTCATAGCATCGTTTGCTGTAACGTCGAAGCCCCGGTCGTAGAACGTGACACCTATTTCTAGCAAAATCCACCAGGATCAACTTTTATGACTTCTCCGCCAGATACTCAAAGATTATGAAATATGTCACATGCTATTGAAATTATATCTCCACCGCGGGGGTATTAAAGTATTAACCGAATCCCTATTCACAGGCCCACATAAACAGGCAAACGCCAAGAAACAAAGGAAAAGACAGTGGAGTCTCGATTAGTGTGTCTCACAAGGACTCAATCTGCAGCTCTTGTGACATTTGGTACTTATGTCCTCCAGAGATCTGCGGCGTCAATGCTCTCTGCCTATTAACGTAACGCTCGTGGGCATGGAGCTGGTCAATTCGCGACCCGACCGGGACGAGCATTTGCTTCTTTCCCTTGGAAACGGAGACGGATCGCGCGGTGGAGACTTGGACCGCGGAGGGGCGGCCACGGGTCTCTTTAGGGCTGCTTGATCGGTCTGTCTTGATGCTGGGAATGTTGGTCTTCTGGCCGGTGGGAGAATTGGAGACCTGAGAAGCGTTGCGAAGAGGGGATGATGCCGCGGGAGCCTTGAGTTTGCCGCGCTGTTCGCGGGGCGAGGGCGTGTTGCGAGCCAGTGTTGCAGGGGAAGCAGATGGAGACGAGCGATTCGAGCGATCCTTTGCCGGCACAGCCGGTCCAGCCTGCGTCTTGACGCTGAGATTGGGCTTACGTGTGCTGGTCTCTTGTGGCTTGCTTGTCGGGTCGGAGATCTGGGAGGCTGTTCGAGATCGAGGGCGAGAAGTGGGTTTATCGGGTTTGATGGCCGGCAACGGCTTCTCTTCCCAACTTAAGAATGGGTTCGACTGGGGCGTATTAGAGCGTTCTGATCCAGAGAACGGGTTGGATGTTGACGAGCTTAATGGGGATCGACCGCTGCTGGGAGCCGGGACTCGAAGTTGGCCTGCTGGTAGTTCCTTTACCGGACTCTCCGTCGGTTCTGGATTCACAGCCTTCATCAAGTTTGGGCCTCGCGAGAAGTTCTGCGTGCCGAGGACCTTGGCGGCTTTGGCGGGCTGGGAGGTAGGGAACAGGGAGAAATTGGTTGCAGCTGGTGATGTAGCACGTCGCTGTGGGACTGGCGGGATCTTTCCACGGAGGAATTCCTGTGGTCAGTTAGTATGGGAAAATGGGATACTGATCATAAGTCATCGAAGACGAACCGCTGCGGTAGGAACATGCAGGCTATCTAGAGTCTTGCTTCGTCTGCTCAGCAGCGAGGGCCTCTTATCCTTGTTCATCACCTGGCTAAACATCACGCTGTACCGTTCCATCTGCACGTCCGGAATCTCAACATCGAGGACGGGGCCAGCATGCGTACCATTCTGCGGGCCCTTTCTCTCGGATCGCTTACTCTTGTTTGCTGGCATCTTGGTCCTTCGCGCAGGGTCAACCTCGAGTTTAGGCCACTCTTCGAGCGAGTCTCTCTGCGTCACGGCCTTTTGCTGCGTGGCCAACGGTTTGTTGACTTTATCCGGTTTTTCTTTCGTGCCTGCTTCAAGTGCATTCTTGGCCTTGAACAACCCGCCTATCTTCTTCCACTTGCTAGGCTTCGGTAGCGTCTGGGTACCCTTCTGCTCGGTGAAGATCGTTGTGTTGAATCGTGGTGGTGGCTGCCCCTTTTGGTCATCTAGCAGTCGTGGACTGCCCAGAGCAACCCCAATCATGTATCCGGAAGGGCTACGGCCACCGGCGCTGGCGGGCACGATTTCGTCCGGAGGCAGCGTCAGTTGAAAGTCGAATGTTGCCCCCACACCAGGCGGAGGCGTTTTGTTCGAAGGCCCGTTGACAGGTCGTGGGAATTTCCACTTGGTCACATATCGTGGGTCGTCTTGGAAGATGCCGTTGCTGATATCGTGAAGATCGTCTCGGGGCAGAGCATCGGTGTAGGTCAAAAGAGGGAACGAGATAACATCATTCGCATTTCGAGCGTTCTGACCGGTCAACGTCACAGTTGTTGCCATGATTTGCGTCGTTATGAATGTGAATATATAGCTAGAATGAAAATAAAGAACAATTTGATGGTATACTAGATCCGGCAAGTAAAATAAATGAGCGGACGGTCTTGCCCGAAGACCCAGGAAATGAAAGTGACAGGCTACAAATCTAGGCCACGCGAGGCAGGGGAAAGCAGAGCTCTTAAGCGATTGAGAACCAAACTACCACGGGTTGGGGGGGGGGGATCTTGTCGCAGGTGGAGATCACCATCCACGCTAAGCCCGTGGAGCTGAGACACCCCGTGTTCTGCTCGGAGCCCCCCAGAGATCCTGCACGAAACAGCCGACCAGAGCTCAAAAATCAGTGTCTGGGTGGTCCCAGGCCTTTAATCTGCGGCTCCGCTCCAGGTCTATGAGCCTCCTGAGACCAGAATTTATGGATACAGTGGCAGTATGGAGAAAAAAACATGAGGGAAATGAGCCCGCCCTGCGGCGATTAGGATAGATCGGGGGGCCTTAGTGCCTCAACTGGCATCCTTTGGCGCCGTTTGGCGGCACAGGGGAATCATTGGCTGCACGCGAAAAGGGCCAGAGGCCCTGGAGCCGGTAGGACCGTAGGGACTACAGAGGATTGGATCTGGTGCACGATGCTTATTTTGCTCTGAACGAATGAGTGTCTGTGTCGCGGGTTGATTAGCTCGTTCCGAGCGAGGCCTCGGGCCAGTCAGAGCGCTCCCTGGGCCGTTTTCATGCAAGAGGCGTGTTTCACTGCTAGAGGTGAGACGGAGAGTTCTTTTTTGGTCAGGGGCGGCCGATGCTTCCATGATGCGCATTGGCCAAGGGATGTGCAGCCCGTGCTGAACTCGTATGTCTGACTTGTTTTGGCGACGGCTCATTCGAAGATTCGCTGTGTGATGGCAGACGGGCATCCCATTCCAATGAAACGCCCATCACGGTGTTTCCAAGATTGTCAGCACTGCGCGAACCCAGAGGCCGAAGAGATCATCGTATCCTATCTTGGATTTGACCAGCCACTTCGAATCTACAGATGCTCGCGCAAATTAAATATTCTCGCAGGTATATTGGGTGGGTCGCCCCGCCAGTCGGTTGTTTCTTATCGCTGCGCGCGCCCCCATTGCTGCCCTTGGCGCCCGTCCATGTTGAATCACCTTCGGACCATTGACCCTAATGATCGAAATGGATTCAGATAAATCCCCCCCGGTTCCTCAGGGGTCAGGGGTGGTCTTGAAGTCGCGCCGAAAGCCCATGCCAAGCGCGATGGGAACGTGCCCTTCAACAGAGCGTGGATCTTTCTGGGTGCCCTGATCATCTGAGTAGGGAAAACTTGTGGTTTCATATTCCGTGCGCCTCATTCATGCGTGTGATGGCATTTTGAGTTGTATCAAATATATGCCAATACTAGTATTTGTGCCTGAAGGGCTGCAGGAGAGCTCACTTGGGGGGTTTCTCTAACGGTGACATACCGCCTAGTGGTTCTTCCTGACATGGTCGGTGTGTCCTGCATGATCCAGTCTCTTCAGGCCCTCTCCTTATGATCATCATGACTGAGTACAATATCATGTCTTTTGGGCGCCCGCTCTTCCAGCCTTGGCGCGTCAGCCTGAGTCAGAGCTCAGCCACATCGATCTTTACGACGAAAAGACCAGATTTTCTACTGGTATACATCGCGTATTTCGCTCAGAGGCTACAAAAACCCATCAAGCTCCTTAATCATGGGTCCGACTCTGAATTCGCGCGCCCAGGGTGCTATCTGGGGAACTTGCGTCGGCGATGCACTAGGCGGCCCCGTCCAGTTCTCGGACTACGGGACGTTTACTCCCATCACAGACCTGGAGCCTGTGCGACCGTTCAAAAAGCCAGCAGGGTATGTTTCGACCGGCGAGGATCAAACGTCGAATTAATCAACCTGGCACAGCTCTTACTCTGACGACGGCGCTATGACGCTGGGTCTAGCCCAGTCCTTCATCGATGCTGGTGGGCGATATGATCAGGGCAAGTCCATTCGTAATTATCTCGAGTGGCTGACGAGTGGTTATTTTGGTACCAGCTCGGAGCCTTGGGATATGGGGGTGGCCACCCGAGAGGCACTTACCATCTGGTGGCAGCACGGGATCTCCAAGACCAGTCAAACACGAGTCATTCGTCATCTGGACAAAGAAGTCCGTTGTGGCAATGGAAGTTTGATGCGCATTGCCCCGGTAGGTGTGGTTTTCTGGAAAGACAAAGATTGCGCTTCAAACGTGGCTAGGGAAGAGAGCATGGTTACTCATCCTGCGCTTGCCTGCGTCGAGGCTTGTGTGCTCTTTACCTCGTTGATAGCTGGCGCTATGCAGGGTATGTTCGCAAACCTAGTCCCCTTGTTTCTGGATATCAATCTCATGATGGTTCAAGGGCAACTAAAAGAGGATCTCTTTGGGGTCTTGAAGAACGAGCTGCTCAAACTCACCCACCCGGCCCTGTCTCATCGTCTCTCGTCATATCCATTGATGGGGCATTATTCCCTGAAACCCAGCAGCGACGTGCACAGCAGCGGCTGGGTCGTGGACACGATCGAGGTAGTCCTTTGGGCGTTCTTCAAGTTTGACACCTGGGAAGAGGGGGCCTTGGCGGTTGTCAACCTTGGAGGAGACTCTGATACTGCTGGGGCCATCTATGGTGCCCTCGCAGGCGTGTTTTACGGCGTTGAGTCGATCCCGCAGCGGTGGATTGATAAGATGCAGAATGCAGATTTCATCCGGAAAATTGCGACAGATTTTGCTCGGGTTGTCACTTGAGGACCGAGGGTGGATTCAGGATTCAAGCGAGAACTGGAAATTACATGCTTGAATCAAAATTCGCTTCGACGTGTGCTCTTGGCCCAATCTCATCTCCTGGGTGGGAACTGTACTCAGGCCGGTAGGATGTCCAGGCGGTTCAAATTCGTCTCAATCTAGTCAAGTCGAAGGCCTTCGCTTAATTTATTTCTTGATAGCGTGATTAGACTGACCGCTATTAGCGCAAATTGGCCGTTCAACATGGCCAACCATTAGCTTGTTCGACCCAAGAATAGCTTTCTGTATTTGTCAATTCCCCGCTCTAAGTGGAGACTAAAACCGTTTTACACCGCTATGCGACCGACGCTTCTTGGAGCTACAGAGAGAACGCACGACATAGAGGGCTAGCAACTGGCAATCGCCAACAGCCCCCAGATACGGACGCCGCAAGACCTTGACGTGTGTAGAATTGCGGATCCATGCAAGGCATCCGGCCATATTACGGCGCCGCAGCCGCTGCTATGGACGCTGTCCAGGTCGACACGATGGGCGAGAGACAGAGGCTAAATTATCTAGACTTGGAGATGGGAACGAATAGCCTGGAGAAGACTAGAAAGCACACAAACTACAGCAGAGAACAACAGATGACCCCCGTTCCCGAGATCGACGGAACCAGCAAGTTATGGCGGGGTCTTATTTACCGCCAACACCGAACCCCCACTTGACTCTCACAACTCCTCCTGATATTTCTTCCCCTTCGACCTTTCTCTCTTTCCACACACACATCTCCTTTCACAATGGGTGCTCACTCCGCTGTCTGGCAGGGTAAGCGATCTCCCCCACCACCTATAAGCCCCTCACTAACTGGCTCCAGGCTACGTCGACTCGAGGTAAGCCTCCCGGTCCCCCGAGCTATGCGCCTCCCCTCCTTCCCCTCATCTCGCGCGAAGAGGCCTTCAGTCATTCCCTAGAAGGATGACGATCCGATGCTGACTTTTCGCAGCTTGATGGGCTCGGGTCAATTCGACAAGGCCGGTATCCTGGCTGCCGACTTCTCCGGCTTGGAGGCCAAGTCCCCCACCTTCGAGGTACGCTATACCCAGCTGCGAGAGGGCAATCTCGCTAGTTGATACACCGGAGATTGGAATGCGGGGCTCTACCTGCCATTAGGGCAACAACGGAATCACTAACTCTCCACTTCTACATAGCTCTCCCAGGAGGACATTAACAGCCTCGCGGCCGCTTTCACCTCCGACGCCACCGCTTTCGCCAACGGTTTCTCCATCGGCGGCGAGAAGTTCCTCTGCATCCGTGCTGACGCTCGCAGTCTCTACGGCAAGAAGGTATGAACAGACCGAGCCCAGATCAAGGCCCACCGGACCCCTCTCTTTTTTTCTGAACACTACTAATTAGAACAGGGTAAGGAGGGCGCCATCGTCGTCCGTGCTTCTGCCTGCACCATCATCGCTCATCACGGCGAGAGCGTCCAGACTACCAACGCCGCTGCCGATGTCGAGAAGCTGGTCGACTACATCAACAACCCCCAATAAGCGTGTCATGCATGGTTAGTGTGGGTGAGCCGAGAAACCAGGCTGTGAAGAATAGCAAATAAAGGAGCATTGAATTTTCCTACCACATTGTTGACCTTTTTTTTTTTTGCTGCAGTTGCTTCGAGCGAGTTCGGCCACAATCGAGTCTCTTGGTCCGGCATGTGGATTACCCTGCTTGATATCATAAGGCCTCAAGCAGCCACAGTAGATATATCTTTTTTCCCCTGAAAAGTGATGTTGAATTCGTTCTATGTCCGTTCTAGCGCTGCTATGCGCCATGCAGACGCCAAGCAAGTTGTTCGGGACGAATGAGAGAAGGAAAAGTCATTAGTAATTACATGATATTCTAGACATAGACAATATCGTGTCATCTCAGCTCCTCGCGCAAGCGCTGCAAATAATCAAGTAGCCTCACAACGGCTAGCAGGCGGCCGTACAGAGGAGCAAACGGTCTCGATGTGGCGCCCCCGCTAGCGAAGCGAGAGGCTGGATAACCGCGCGAGGCTATACGGGCAACTCAGCGTTGCTTCGGCCGCCTGCAAGGATCTCAAGTCCGCGCTGGATATACGGACCCACGACTGGTACGTTCCCGGCGAATTGGCCAATGGTGACGAGGAAGTCGCCGAACAGAATGAACAGTCCGTATAGTTCGACCAAGAAGCCAATCAAAGGCCAGCGGAGGAGGATGAGAATGATTCCCGCCGAGAAAGCGGCGGTTCCCTTGAGTTTCTGAGGACGAGTGAAGAATGCGATGGTTTTTTGGACGCCGATGATTAGGGTAAGGCCGATGATGAAGAGGATCTAGTGAGGTGAGTCTGCGGCCTTGCTATGGTTGGTAACCAGGGACTAGGAGTGGAATAGCGTACATTTCCCATAGCAAGTCTGATCATAAGCGCTGTTAGTATATAGTCATGAAAAATATTTGGATCTTTGCGCGAAAAGGCCAGACACTTACAATGACCGATCGAAAAACATGAGCACACCACCAAAGAAGAACAAGCCACCTATACAACCGGGTACTGTTGGCGCGCTGCCATTGGCACGAAATGATTCATGGGATTTCTCATACCAGCGGAACAGAAGATAACTCCATACTCTGCGCGAACCGAGTCAGTCAGTCATTTTTTTTCATCTCGCTTCCTCCAGCATGTTTGCGATGCGCTGTGTCGCGCGATCACGGCTTCGGCTGCCCATAAAAGGAGAACTCACTCTGGTTTTCTGAAAGCCACATGCCAGGCATTTTGATTACCGCAGCGCAAGGCTTTTCCCTAAAAAAGAATAAAAAAAAAACTGAACAGGTGATATGAAAAATAATAATTGGGAAGGGTCCCCCCCCGTTCCCCGTAAACAGAAATTCGTGTTCTGCCCGCCACCGAAGGCGGTCGGCGGGCTGGCTTTAAGCGGCACTAAAGCGGGATTCTCTCATTTTCTCTCTTTTCTGCGTGGATGAGAGGCCTACGGGTCTACTGGATGGATTGGTTTGGCCAAATACAGTGAAATGTTGAAACTGTCTTGATTAAATCAATTCTGCCCTTATGATCAAGCTATCCCTCCGGAAAAGAGGAGGCTAGTACCTTCCTCCCTTGATCCTACCCTAGAACCTCGGACGCAAATTGCAACTTTTTTGTTTGAAACACGCCGCGACGACAACACCCTCATGGTGTTGTAACTGATGCTCTCTCCCTTGGAGTTTCGGTAATAGTCGAGTGCTTTGCACAAGGCGAAGAATAGCCACGGTCACGAATAAGCCGGAGCGTTTTCTTGAGCCTGTCTCGAAAGGGGCAGGTGGGATGGAAAGGGCTTGACTGTGTTGGTCGGACATTCCTGTATAATCTTCATACGTAGATGGACGCTGGTTTTTTTTTGTCCGGTTGAATCCCATGCGAGTAATCGAATAATCATAAGATCCACAGACGGTTGTATGAATGTAAAGATCGCCGGTAGGCGGGATTCGCTGCGGATATTCAAATGCTCGTCTATTTGAGGATAGTGTGAGCACCGCGAGCCTCCAGGTAGCTTTCAGGAACCCCTTGAGCGAGAGACCGGATCACTCCGAATATTTCCTTGTTATGGTATCGCAGCCGCGTCTTAGGATCGGTGTATGGACCAGAGAGACCGGTAATATCGCAATAATGGCGCTGGTGAGCCGGGTTGAGCGAAGGGGCAGACTCGATGTTGGTATAGGTTACCGCGGGGCCCGACAGGTGTCCTGCGCGGGCATTCTTTTCGAGAACAAGGGTAGACAGGCTTTGGGCTGCCTGTGCCAAATTTGGCGTCCTGTCAGATCCCTCGGCAGGTGTCTGGGCTCCATTGGTGCTGCCAGGGAAAGATGCCCCAGGAGTGGTTGCGCCGGAGTTTGCCTGGGTGGCGAGCACCGAGGCTTCTTTGCGAGCACTTTCGGAGATAATTTGCTTCAAGTTCTTGTTTCGACGCTGGGACGGCTTCCAATGGGGGTTGCGGAAGGGCTTGTGGAGGTTGGCAATGTCCAGTTCATTGAGAAGGAGCTGGTGCGACTCATCGTTGGCAGGTGCTGGGGGAGGCATGATGCAGATAATGGTGATAGTAACGAGGAGAGATAGTTGGGGTCGAAGAAGGGATATATAAGTATGAGAGGGTGTGGTTACAATTGGAACTCCGTTCTTAAGACGCTGGACCATCACTGGCTGGAGATCATGACTTCAAAGGACATCTTGGCGCGGATCTCGGACTCACATGACCCAAACAAAACCACCAACACCCCCCCCCACACTACTCGGTCAAACACACAGTTCTGGACTGCTCTAACGCTGTGCATGATGGTAGGATATCCTTCCCCTTTATCTTTGCTGATATAGATAATTTTGGAATTGCCTCTAACAACTGCACAGGAGAGTCCCCACGAGCACCAGCAAACGGTGCTGCTCTCGCGCATTATCACGAATGTGGTATGTTGCCTTGGAGGCCCTCGGGGCTCAGAAACACGCGCTGACATTTGTTAAAGGAGAAGCTGAACGAGGCTGTCATGGCCATGAACAAAAGCCTCCAGGTAATATTCCCCCGCTTCTCCCGACTCGGGACTCTTATTGACAACAGCATAGGAGGTCAACATCCAGAACATGAACGTGGAACTGGTCGCCCAGATGTTCAAGAACTACCAGTCGAATGTTCTATTTCATCTGGAAGGTGAGTTTCTTCCTTGTCGAACTCCTCGAACTCAGCTAGTCCTCTTGCTGATTCCATTGCAGCTACGGAGAACCTGAAAGAGCCTGAATCATCATCTTGAGAAAGTTCTAGTGGGGATGACCAGCTAATACCATGATAAGATGTTATAATGAGCGCCGACAAAATACCAGGAGTTAGACTTGTTTCCAGTTGACACAATTTCATATCTCAACGTAGAAGTCACATGGACAACCGCCTTCACTATCGATAAGTAATTCTTGGCGGAGAACCTTCGATCCCCAAACGAGCCAGCGGCTCCGCAGTTGCTTCACTCTGCCCCTTCCAAAGGTCGGCGTATGCACTGGGTATATACAGCTCATCATCCGCGCTTGCGCGACTTCCAGCTTTGATTTTCTTGCCATGCCCTCCACCCTCCTTTAGAAACCTGATCACCGACCCCGAAGCTCCTGCTTTGCGCAACCGCGCACATCACCATGACCATTACCTCCGTGCAGACCCTCCAGCCGGGTCATCTTGCTGCCAATTCGTCCGAGAGACGTGTTGAGAAGCCTGTCCCTGAGCCTTATCTCGTTCAGGACTTTCCGTTCAAGGGTTACCAGCCTCCACAACCAGACGGCTTCGAGCAAAGCAAAGCCCATGCAGATACCAGCGCGATCGTCATTGACAATGGTGAGATTGACAAGAATGATCCCTGGCGCCTCTCTTGCGATTTTTACTGAACAGTTTTGCTCCTCCTAAAGGCTCCCATCTCGTCAAGGCCGGCTGGTCTTTTGACAAAAGCCCACGATTCATCTTGCCTCCCGTCATGAGCCGTTACCGCGATCGTAAGCTCGGTCGCCAATGCCACTTCATTGGATACGACGCTTATGTCGATGCTACTACCAGAGGCCAGCTGCGGTATGCCTTTGATCCTGGTTCGAGCGTGGTCGGTAATTGGGATGTCATGGAGGGCGTCTTGGACTATGTGTTTCTCAAGCTCGGCGTGGACGGCTCCAACGGCAGCGTGGATAGGTCAATTCTCATGACCGAGCCCATCGCAAACCTGAGCTACCCGCGAAAGAGTAAGACCATCCTTCAATTATTGGTATACCGGATCACCACGACTAATACCCTCCACCCTCCCAGTGATGAACGAGATTCTCTTCGAATGTTACGGGGCTCCATCTGTGACCTACGGAATCGACTCGCTGTTCGCATACCGGTATAATAAGGGAACCGATGGCCTGGTCGTCTCCTCGTCGCATACGTCAACCCACGTCATCCCTGTTCTCGATTCGAAGCCCCTTCTGAACAACTGCTCCCGACTGAACTGGGGTGGTCTCCAAAGCGCGGAATACCTGATGAAACTGATGAAACTGAAGTATCCAACCTTCCCCGCTCGGATGACAGAGAACCAGATGGAGGATCTGGTACAAAAACACTGCTACGTCTCGCAAGACTACGACCGTGAGCTTGGCGGGTATCTAGAGTGGACTGGCCTCGAGGACCGAGACCGTATCATCCAATACCCGTTCACGGAGCATGTCGTGGTCGAGAAAACTGAGGAGGAGCTCGCTCGGATCGCCGAACGCAAGAAGGAAAGCGGTCGCCGTCTCCAAGAACAAGCGGCGAAGATGCGGCTCGAGAAGCTTGTCAAGAAGGAGCAAGAGCTGGAGTATTGGAAGGATCTTCAGCAAAGGTTGGCATCCGAGACCAAGAAAGAGATTCGGCGAGTCTTGGAAGCCGAAGACCTCAAAGATGAAGCTCATCTCGAACGGATGATTCGTGATTTGGAGAAATCTATCAAGCGCTCGCGCAATCGTGATCTTGGCATCGAGGAAACGGAAGAGCAAACAGAGGAAATGTCTTTCCCTCTCCTTGATATCCCTGATGAGCAACTGGATGAGAATGGATTGAAAGAGAAACGCCACCAGCGTCTGATGAAGTCCAACGTGGAGGCACGGGCACGTGCCAAAGCTGAAAAGGAACGCGCCAAAGCTGAGAAAGAAGAAGAAGAGCGCCTTGATCGCGAGAAGCGGGAGAATGACTTTGAGAGCTGGATTGCCGAGCGACGGAACAATCGCCAGGTAAATTGATTTGACAGCCTTTTTCTTTTTGTCTTGATGTGGTACTAAATCAAAATACTCAGGCTCTCCTGCAGAGAATCAAGGACCGTGACCGCCTGAAGGCAGACCTCGGCAACCGAAAGTCTCTTGCTTCCCAGATGCGAATGAAGACCTTGGCCAATCTAGCCTCGGATGGTCCCAAGAAGCGTCGACGTGGAGGAGACGACGACGACTTTGGTGCGAATGATGAAGACTGGGGTGTGTACCGCAGTGTCGCAAAGGACGAGCAGAGTGACGATGAAGAGGAGGAAGACCTTGGCGAGCTGCTGAACGGCGTGGAACAAGAGCTCCTGCAATACGATCCGGAATTCACGGAGAACCACACTCTCGCTGCTCAGTCGGACTGGACTAAAAGTCTCGTCCATGCGTTCCTCCGTGGTCCATGGCCCTTTGACCCGGAGAGCCAGCGGGAGGCACATCAACTGCACCTCAACGTGGAGCGCATCCGTGTGCCCGAGGTCGTATTCAAGCCTTCTATTGCCGGCGTTGATCAAGCCGGACTCATTGAGATTGCTGCAGACATTGTCAACCAACGATTCTCGAGTACCCAGGACCGCTCTCGTCTTCTCAAAGATGTCTTTCTAACGGGCGGTAATACTTTGTTCTCTGGCTTTGAGGAGCGCTTCCGCAACGAGATCCGAGGCTTTCTGCCCGTGGAAGCTGAGCTACGCGTGCGGCATGCAGCCGACCCGGTCCTCGATGCTTGGAAAGGTGCCGCACAGTGGGCTTCCGGGTCTGACTTTAGAAAGTCGTCTGTGACACGCCAGGAATACCTGGAAAAGGGCAGCGAATACATCAAGGTTTGTCTCTGAGACCTCTCAGCGCGCTGCCACGGTGCTAACAACCCATTTTCTATAGGAGCACGACCTCGGCAATGCGTCCTTGTAGATACAGTCTTGAATAAAATAACTCAGGCGCCATGGAGTCAACCGTTGCAGGGGCCGGTCAGGGTGGATAGCATGTTCTTGATACGCTTCTCATGGGTTTAATATAGCAGTCTTGTCCGACACTCGGCCTGGTTTTTATCGTAAGAGGCATGATCATGATGTAGCCAATGACTCAAAGGAGGTCCGCTAGGGGATCTGTACTCGTATCTTGTGAGGGCTGTTCCCCCTTGTAACACTGTCCTAGTCGTTGCTGGAGGCCACTTCCCGTTGTATATCTTTGGATACCATCCTGAACGGCATGACCCATAGCAGGAGCGTCAAAGTATTCAAAATTCTGTGACGCTAGTGCGAGAGTTGAGAATGCTGTTGACTTCAAGGAAGATGTCTCTTAGCTCACTACAGAAGCTCTTCATTCAGACCTCCGCCATGTTTGAAAACCTGTTCTTAACGCTTTCGCCTTGACGCGACGGAGCTTACAGTCTGAGGTGATCTGATACTAGTATGATCCAAGAACTTGAAACCGGTTAGGAGGAGCAACCATTACCCCATTGGGGGCATTGCCGCTGCTTTGGAAGATCCAGGCTTTCATCGAATTCAACCATCCAAGTGCAAATGTCTCCCAGAATTGGGTATTCGCGCTTTCTGTTCGAGCGAGACTTCGCTGGAACTTAGTAGGCCTCTCCGCTGCGCGCACCTCTGGCCGACTGATGTATACACACAGCTCACCGCTGTCCGAACCGGTTCCATTGGCATGAAGACCCGATAGAGCTGGCCCATGGGCTGATACAAAGCGTTTCGGCATTCAGGGGCCGCCGAAAATCGGGACAACAACCTTGTCCGGACAGGATCCGGGCACAGTCACCCTCGGATGTAAAGTGGGCAGAGCAATGGTACCTGCAGATGCAGGTAATCAACGGCTGAAATGACGGCAGTTGGGCCGCTTGACCAGCTTCTACGCTGTGTAAAATCCCATTCTGCTCTCCGTCTGGGCCTATGACCGAATCAACCAAACCACGTAGTCGGAACCTGATCCAGGGCTGGTCGCAGCGATCTTACTAATGGGGAAATTTTCAGGGTTCAGACGATATCCGGCATGAGCCTGACAGGATTTTTCTTTCTTTCTGCGGAGTCGAGCATCGGCGCGCTGCGGAAGAGCGCGAGGGTCACCAGGTCACCCGGATCACCTCTAAAGAGTCTGAGATCCAACAGCGCGCCATGAGAATCAGCTAATCATACAGACCCGCGTCACGCCACAGGAGCAAGAAAACAGGGCCGAGGGCCCAAGGAGAGCAGGGCCCACCACCGCTAGTAGCTCGGCATCACCCAATAAGTGGGGAGCGCCCTATGTGATTCGGGATCGACCGCTTATCCTTGGGCCCACAGTTTTTTTCGGCCCTTCTTCAGCCTTAAGGTTTGATATTACCTCACTAACGCATACGTCGATCATTCTAGGGTTTTCGACATGTTCGACCATCCAGCCGTGCTCCCGGCATACCTGGGCCAAGCGCGAAACTCCATATCTTATCCCCGCGAATAATTCTACGCTTCCCACCTCTCCCGAAGAGCTGCGACGCGATGCGCGCATGGGAGAAAAACGTGTAGTTCGGAATATCTGGGACGGGATATGTTTTCCAGGTGCTAGCCCTGTGGGGCCACCGTTGGGTCGGTACCCTGGGAAGGGCCCTCTGCCCCGTAGCGTGGCACGGCAGAGCTTAGTCGATGAAATCATTCCAGTCACGTTGTGCAATGACAAGCCAGAGGTGCTCTCATCGGGACATCATAGCGCAGAGTCCCGCAGAGCCCAACACAGTAGCGCCGGCTCGATCGGATTCAAGAGCGGGGGGGGGGTGGAAGGCGTGACTCGTTGAAAGTCCTTAGAGCTCTAGCGCACGAGGTCAGGCCATGCCGATCATAGCTCTTGTCTGATACAGCGAATTTCCTAGCCTTGGTTAGCCTTGGTTATGGAATCTCTTCAAGCCGGATGTACGGAGTATGCTGCCGTCTGAGTCTTGCTAGGTCGTGGTAGGACAATCGAGCCAATCCAAGAGGGTACACCTAAGGGATCAGCCCAATTTTCAGAGCCGGAGATCCTTGGCATGAGGCATGAAAATTGGGCTAGGCGATTCTTGGCAACGCTTTTGCTATGCTGCAAAGCTTTTCTGAGTTGCGAATGACGTCGGACCAACGACATTCCACTCGCTGTTTACTTTACTTCCGCATTCGGAGGAACTTTCCATAGAGTTCTACATCGCTGATTGGCGTCCCCAGGCTTGTCCGGCAAGACCGGGACTCCCTGGAGGGTTCGGTAGCTTCATAGAAAGCTATATAATAGCCTTCATAATCCCTCGTGGTTGTGTAGTGATAATCTCCAGAGCATTCTCCGAGCCATTCGAACCCTCCTGCAGTGGAAGCCTTCCATCAATCCTAGTATCAAATCTTCGAGGTCTTATACTACTTCCATTTCGGTGAATCAAGGCATATCTTATACTCCAAGCTCATCATGGGGTTCATAAGTGCGGTCGCCCGCCCTCTCCAGCTATGCACGCGGTGCTTCCAATGGTCTAGCGCTGTCATTGTCATGGGTATCACCTCGTACTTTATCGCTAAGGGGCCCCATGGACAGCACATCATCTATCAGGAAGTTATTGTACGTTCCCTACTACCCCCCCCCTCTCCTTGGCAGATATTTGCTGTCGACCGGGCAAGCCAGGCCAGCATGTATCCCCGATTTTTATATCGTTCACTGCTAACTTTCGAATCAGTCCGTTTTGTCGGTAGCCTTCTTCCTCCCAGCTTTCGTCTCGCCCTTCCTGCCCTCCGCCTTGAGCAAGTTCGTCCTTCTGATTGACGTGGTATTCTCTTACCTGTAAGAACCTCTCCCCCTTACCCTATGAGAAGGTATGCAAAGAAAAAAAAACTCAATTGCTAACTTTTCTCTCCAGCTGGTTAACTGCCTTCATCTTCGCCGCCCAAGACTACGACAAGAACCACTTCCTGTGCGACGCCCGCGCCCCACCCGGTGCAAGCTGCAGCAAGAAGAAGGCCAACGAAGCTTTCATCTTCCTGGCATTGTAAGTTTTCTGTCCCACCCCCTTTTCCACCCCAGTGCCCGCCCAAGTTCGGGCCACGGCGCACGGCCCTCCTGTATGGGACCATGGAGCTAACTCTCTAATCAGCATCTTCACCTTTTTCGGTGCTTTCATCGAGGTTGCCAGTCTCTGGGCTTATCGGAAGGAAAATTCTTCCGGCCCTGTCCATGAGAAGCACGACGGGACTCGCGCTCCCTTGGATGCTCCCGCTCCCGCTGCCGAACAGCCGGCTGCTACCGTCTAAGATGACGCTATGGATGGTGGATTCTAATATACACGTGGTGCCAACTGTGGTCTGGTGAGAACCATAAGAATCCAGTTTCCCCAATCTTGTATTGAGAGGGGGAACCTGGAGGCTTCGAGTGATTCTTGTGCGATCCTGGTGATACGAACCTGATGTTTTAATATCTGTGCACATATGTTTTGGATGGATGTTCGGCGGTTTCCTATATCTACTTTAATGTGTTAATGTGATTCTGAGTCTGAGATCAATGTCTTTCTTCTTGAGTATATTGTAGAAAATTTAAGCTGGCTGTGCCAATGTACGCGATGGTTTTAAGAAGAGGTTGGTTGCCGGTGTTCAGCAGATGGGGAGATTCCGAACAGCCGGAGTGATTGGCGATTACATCACGCGTATCTTGTGCTACGTTATCGGTAGTAAAAATGGCATACCGCAGACGTCATCAATTCAGCTATTTTTGTTGTCTTTTTGCTTTTTTGCTTCGGGGGATTCTAGCGTTTATTCTATATACATTTCAAATACATGCGGGCGCGTTTACTACACGTCAGACCACATACCTACTAAACTACTCGGATCCCGCTTAAGCTGAATCGTTACACCCGAGATGCAGGGGATAAGCTACACCCCAGATGCATGGGGTAAGATATATCCAATGAACCGAAAAAAAAAAAATGGTACGCTCCGATAAGAAGCTATATGCTGGCCCGTCGGGGGGCCATGGTGCGCTGTAATTTCCGCTTCTCCTCCGTCTCTTCGGGGATGGGCAGCGAGCCCTCATTCTTGAGACGATTCAAGAACTCCTTTCCGTACGCATAGCCGACCTGGTAGATCTCATCGAATCGGCCAAATTCCAACGTGCCATAGGGATCAATCGGCGGACGCATGTACAAGCAGCCACTCATATTCTTGGCGCGCTCGAGGTTGTCGATAGAAGAAACGTAGGCAAGACGGGCCTGAATCTCACCAAGGGTAGGCGGGTTGGGAATGGAGGAGAACGGGTTCCAGCGGTTGATGGTGGCCCAAAAGCCGGAGAGAGAGTCACCGAATTGTTGAGGCGTGTTGTCATCGAGCGATCCTACGTCCACGGCGAAGATGACATCCGCGCCGAGGCTCTTCATGTGGGCCACCGTGAGGTTATCAATGTAGCCCCCGTCCAGCAGCATACTGCCTTCATCGCAAATGGGAGGGATCAAGCCTGCCAAGGACATGGAGGCGCGCACGTAACGCCATACATAGCCGGAAGAATGGTACTCGATTCGCGATTTGCTGATGTTGGTGGTGTTGCAGTAGAACTCGAGCCAGAAATCCTCGATTTGACTGTCGCCAAAGGTTTTGAAAATCCCCCGGTTGAACTCGTGGCCCGTTGTGTACGACACCGTGGGGTACGTCAAGTCCAGGGCAAATCGCCACATACTACCCATGCGGCCAGAAAATTTCTTGGCCCGGCCGTACATAGGCACAACATCGGCATCGCGGGCATAGAGCGCTCCAATGAAGGAGCCGATTGAGGTCCCGCCGATAATATCAATCGGGATTCCGGCTTCTTCCAGGGCCTTGATCACACCCACATGGGCAATGCCTCGCGCTCCTCCACCACCAAGGACCAGGCCAACAGACTTCCCGCAGAGGCGACGCGCAAGCCGATGGAAATCCCCTTTGAAGGGGGTTTCAGGGGAGTAAAGAGGAGTCTGCTGGATGCGACGAGAGGTGTATTTCTGAATCTCTGCTTGCAGAATTTGCACGCGTTGCTTGAGCGCAGTACCAAATTTCTTGGTCTGCGGATGGGATGGTTCTGTGGTTAGACGGAACGCCATCTGGATATGATGGTGGCCGCCATTGATCCACAGACGATTCTTCAGCCATGTGCGAGTCAGGCCAGGAGGGCAGTACCGCTCCGCGTGCAATAACACCAGCTCCTTGCGAGCGGTGGTTTTCATACCAAGCAGGAATCGCTCGTATTCGCCAATCCCCGCCGACGACTCCGCCAAGCCAACCAGCAAAATTGTGTCAGCTTGGCTAATGCAAGTCTGCGTCCAAGGGCGTTGACATTGGTATCAGCAATATACAAAACCAAGCCATACTTCTCTTCGAGGTCTGCTAGATACTGGGAGAGCTTGAGTTTGCCCATCTTGCTGAAGGCGTGCCGGCCGAGATGGTTCAAAATAGCCGCTTGATTGAGCGAAGTGACACCGCGAGTCACGCCGATCTGATGAAGTGCGTTGAGCAACCGATGGCCAAATTCCACAACCGGGACACCGGCCGTCACGGGAAGAATAGCCACGGTGCGAATATTGACCGTCGACGTCGCTGATTGCACACCACTCATCGCACCAGGTTCAAGTCCCCTGTCTCAGGACAGTGGGTGCTCCACGAGGTCTCGCATACGCTGGGCGATCAGCTTCGAAACCTGAATGGTGATCCCCGGGTGTTCTTGCGCAAGGCTATTGAAGAGAGAACGCGGGAATTTGGCGAGCTCGGTGTCTCGGATCGCATGCAGAGTGGATGGGCGGGTGGATTCGGTCATCACTTCAAGTTCGCCAACACTCTCGCCTTGGCCGTGCTCTCCAACCACCGTCATCTTCCCATCTGGTCCTTCGTGTACGGACCTCAGACGTCCATTGAGAACCAGGTAGATCGCGTCACTCTCATCGCCCTGGTGGTAGATGACCCCGCCGGCATTCACTTGCACCCATTCAAGAGCGAAGTCGATGTGCAGAAGCAATCGGGGGAGAAGGCGGGTCAAGCGTTTAGCCAGGGTAAGCAGGGCAATCGGGTAGCGGTCCGCAATACGCTCCAGGGAAGAGCGTGGTAAAAAGCCCACGTAGACATCCGTTTTCGCTACAACATCAGTGTAGGAACGATAGGATGCGAGGGCACCGACGTAGCCCTGTACGCCTCCTGGCTTAATCAAATACAGAGACTTGCGTGACTGTCCCTTTCGGCGGCCATCATTGGACCCTGACGCGCCGGGCACCCTTGAAGAACTGGTTGCTGTACGTCGCAGTTTTGGGAAGAGTTCTTCTTGAGCGGTGGACCCGGACGGGCGTGAGGCGCCAACCAAGTCTTCGCCACTCTCATTTACGGGAATTCCCACATCCAAGAATCCATCAATCACATAGTACAGACCCGGGTGTCGCTCACCTTGTTCCACAAGGACAGAGCCCTGGGGGAAGTATACTACTTCGATGTCATGGCGCAATTCCTCGCGGAGGTTTACGACAGGGGACGTTCCGCCAGCACTTGTCACGGACATGGACATCATCGAGTCAGTCTCGCCTTCTCCCGACCCCTCGTACGGATCGATGAATCCAAACGCATTGGAGAAGACAGCCTTTTGTCGTCGAGAGTCATACGAGAGTAACTTAGGAGAAAGATCGCCGGACACATGGCTGGGCTTCCGGAGCGAGTCGCGCGAGCTATCTGTTAGTCCAATCCCCTTCATAATACAATCCAAGATGGATTCTCGGAACAGTGTTTCTTCATCGACAGACTGTTTCCTTTGGAATGGTGAAATGGGGTTGTTCCCCAGGTCCGCGAGGGATTGAAACGGGGGTCGCTCCCGCTCGGTCAAGGGGAATGAACTTTAGGTCCCGGAGTATCAAAGCGAGGGCCAAACCGAGACAGTTGGATGGTAGAGAGAAGATCCCCGGGGCTAACGCCGCCGGTGTCACGCTCGGTCTGGATATTGGCTGGCCTTTGAGGGGTCACTGCAAGCGGGTGGCCTCGGCCATTCACGCGAGCCTGTAACACAGCGTCTTTGCGAAGGGAGCTGCTGGACCTTCTACGTCGTCCTACGGAAGGATTATGGAGGGCAATCCCTTTCCCAACTTCTTCGGGACCAATACGGTCTCTCTCCTGCATAAATTTGTTCTTGAGGCGGTCCAACGCACCGCCCCGCAGATCATTAGGTAGGTCCCATGTTGTGAACTTGGCGATCTGTCGTTCGATTCCCAGGACGTCGCTAGTTAGACCTAGATAGGAATGTGCGGTTGAAAAGGTTACTCGCTGCAGACGAGTGAGAATCACCTGCACGATGTGAGAGGTAGCTCGTGGGTAAACTCTGGTAAGCCGCCGGAAGGCGCTGGCTGGGATGATCGCGATGGTGGTATCCACTGTTGCTCTTGCAACAATGTCCGGATGCACCGACTTCCGCCGCTTTTTGCGTGAGTGGCGATGGTTGGGCGTTTGCGGGTCCTGTGTAGCATGACTATCATCTAAGTGTAAAGGGGGCACCGCCGGTAAACCTGTACCCTGGCCAGGAGACCCAGGCGTTGATTCTGGACCCTCCTTTGCAGCGGCGGACATAGGGCTGCCCATCATCTCAGCACCTGGGCTCAATATGGGGGTATGGACCTGATCAGCAATCGAAGTGCTAGAGCTAGAAGGGTGGATGTTGCGTAGCTGGACGTCTTCAGTAAACAAGGACAGAATGGAGAACAAGGAAGACATCGAGGCGCCGTTCTTCACCTCGGTCAATAGCTGGTAGCCCTGATGGCCATGCAAGTTGTTCTCCTCGTCCTCAGAAGTCTGGTCATCGAGATGCACGCCATCATCTGAGCTTGGCTTGCCTTCGCGAGTGGACTTGACGAAGATCTGGACCAACCCATCCACCACTAAGCAAAATCCCTTTTCTTCCTCGAGCATGAGTGTTTCACCAGCAATGAGCTTCCTGGTCTGCATTGTGCGAGTCAATTCGTGGAATACAGGCCGTTCCAAGTACCCAAATACTTTGATAGCACTTAGGAACTCGTCGAGGTAGTTGGCGAGACCCGGCTTCGAATCCCCATCTTGGATATCGGGGAACAGGTCGATCTGGGCTTCTTTTCGCGGGGGCTCTGGTGGCAGGCGACTGTACATATTCAAGAATCGATACCGAATAAACCAGCTCACCGTCGAGACGAGGGCTAGGGCAATCAGCAAGCTATGAGGGAAAGGAAGCAATGGGTTAGCTACGTCATTGGACCAGAAGCCGCGGAAGCGTACAGTGTGGTGAAGTTCATGGTGAATGTCAGGCTCATAGAGAAGAGCGTGAACAGCCATGTGGGCAAGGTAATGGTCGTGAACGCGATGAGCCAGTATAGACAACGCGGGATGACCTGGAAGACGAAGGTCAACACCCAGCCGAACCACCCCGCCATGGTTGCAGGAGTCGGCGGAAGGAGAGGCGGGGGAGAGGGGGAGAGGACTGCGGTAGCAGCGCTTGTGGGCGACGAGGTGAAAGAACTAGGTAAGGCCGTTAGGCCCAGAGCCAGAGACGGTGCCAAATTCGGCATAATGCGAGTGGGTTTCGTTCCGACTGGAACATGGGCAGCTCCGCCTGGATCACTTTTGGTCCAGCGGTCCAACCAGAGCCCAGGAATGGCCAAAGAGGGGCTCAGGACAGGTCAAAATGGAATCTTCGAGTCCAGGTGGGCATGGTATGGGGAACGTGCGGGCCCTGGCATCAGAGAGTGGAAGGATGCGAGGGTTTAGGAACGAAGGTGCTGGCGGACGCTAACGGGGTTGCAGCAGGTGGGTAACATGTGCCCGCTGAATGGACGAATGCCAATGGTCAACCAACGTCAGGTCTTTTACGCAGGTCTTCTGCGTATTGATAGACGCCGTTACTCGTCCAGGTCATATCCATGTCGATCTTTCGCCAGAGCAAAGCTAATCATAAATGTACCAGGTGGGAGAACGGGGGGATTTCCAACGATTGAAGGGGGAACGTGGCGGAGACGCGGCTGTTACTCGGGACAAGCTGATCCCGCGAACCAACCAAAAGTCCATATTACTGGCGCGCATTGGGCATATTCTACATGGTCTACAGTAATAGCATTCAAATGCCATTTCCAAGTTGCTATTTTGCATGCTATTGGAGCAAGCTGGTACTGTGCAGCGTACATTCCCACGAATTTCAACCCCATGGGCGTACGTCATAATATGGAGAACCTTGGAACCATGGAAGTGGACACGCACACAGTAGCTCACTAGTTCGGGAGGACAAAACAAGCCTCACCAATCTATGTCGCCTATCTGTACCTGTTAGTATCCTAATGATCTTCAGGCACTTCAGTGAGTTATGTAGTGGCCTGCGCGCGCATTCAAAGTTGACACCCCACCTGAATACTGCTCAGTATCTAGGTAGAATACCTAGCTGAATCCTAAACCATGGTATACTTTCTCAATGCCGTCAACCTAGAAGCTTAGCCTGCACTTGTTCCCGTCCTTTATCTGTAGTGGTGATCTGGGATGAAAGCTCCAGCAAGTCCCTTTCCCCGTTCGAACTTTGTTAGGATTGTAAATTCGAGCACGAATCGTGGGAAAATCTCTCATTAACAGCATCTTTGAGGGTCAGACTCCGAAATTTGAATAGTCTCTTCCATAGTTCCACCAGTATATCCGATGTTTGAACTTTGGGATTTCAATGTGTCCTCCCATCAAGATTTGACTTTGACAGAAGTACTGAAGGTCTTATGGATCCAGGGTTCGGCAAGCTACCATCGTGGCTACTAGCAGGCGATAAGATTGATATTCAGGCCTGTTAGTACTACTTACTCTACGGCTTTAGGTAGAGCAACTCTTGCTTTGGCTAGTGCTTTTTAAACCAAGGAATTCAACTTAACTTGGAGCTACGATTCGTACTCGGACTCGGACTCGAATTCGTACTGCTGAGGACTCGGATAGTTCTGCCTTCAATGTGGGTTTAGCGCTCCCGTGGTTCTAAATATGTTAACACCTTTCTAATGTTATGAGCGACACTAAACATGAAAAGAGTACAAATATGCCTGAAAGTTTCACAAGATTGAACTAGTTTGAAATGAGAGTCTACTTAGGTATACAGACATCTTGAACCATGCAATATATCATTGAACATCAATGGCGCTTCTGTCTCGCAGAAAGACATGAAGGGGATAGGGCTGCACCGGGACTCCGCTTCCGAGTCTTGGCTGCGGCCAAAACATCGAACGGCGTCCAAATCTGCTTACATCTTCTCTCTCGTCATTTCCACGTTCCCTAACTTACCGTTGAAAGGCTGTTCTTCAAAAGTCGCTGGTAATAGCCCAGTGACCTGTTGCGGCCATGTTCCAGGTGCGCTCCCCTTCCTCCGCAATCTCCTCTATTCCGCCGTTCTGGGGTCTGGGGTTCGCATGACCACGCACCACTCCCACGAATGTTATGCTAATGCTCTACACAGCGCCTCCGCGACGCCATCGACTCGCGCATCGCAGAGGAACAGGCCCGCCAGAAAACTGCCCAGGAGAACCTTTCTCGATCCAACTCAAATCGTCGTCCTCCGGCCAGCCGTCGCCCGCCACGTACTCCGACAAGTGGCACCCCCGTTCGCGGCCCCGACCCGAAAGAGTTTGAGGCGGAGTTCGCCATTGGGGATGACGATGAGTCAAGCCGGGTTACCACGCCCCGTGTAGAGACCCCGGAGTCCGGTGCGAAAGAGTCTCCTGACACCACGGAAGCCGCCGACCGCAAGGAGACCGATGCATCGACATCCACTACTGAGCCTGCGGCTGATGCGCCGGAGAAAGAGAAGGGAAAGGGGAAGGAGAAAGACGCATCTGCACCTGCTACTTCAGGAGAATCGGGTGAAGCGGCACCGCAAGAGCTTCCCTCAGATGTCAAGGCAAGATTAAGGAGGCTTGATAAATTGGAGTCACGGTATCATGGTACGATGCAGACCTTCGGAATAGATCCCTTCCGCACGGTGGAACTCGAATAGCAAGGCTGACATGGCTTCTCTTCCAGAGCTTCTCAAAGCATACCGAACGGCGCACTCGCGCGTACTCTCAATCGAACCCTTCGAAGCTGCCCTTCGCGAGAACACACCGCTCACCTCTATTGGCGAACCTAAGGCTTTCACGGAGTACTTGAATCAGATGTCGCTCAAGAGTGATATGGTTCTAGAGGAACTCAAGCGTGTAACGACCGAGCGAGACGACTTCAAGAAAAAGGCGGACGAAGCTCAAAAATCCGCAAAGGATGCACTGGACGAGGTTACTGGCCTGAAGAAGCAAGCGGAGGCAAAGCAGACAACTCCGCCTGACGAGAAGAAGGACGCCAGTGAGGAATTCTTCTCATTTGATAATGAGGTTCCGCGACTGGAGGGTGAATTGAAGGAAAAGCAAGACGAGGTCGACAGCCTGACTTCCGAAGTTGAAAAGCTCAAGCGTGACTTGTCAGTCACGCGAGAGTCGACAGAAGGTATGGCTCAGAACTTGGAAACTGCTACGCGGGAGTTAGTCGAGCTGCGTGACGCCAAGGACAAGCTGGAGGGCGAACTGGACAACTTGCGTACCGCCCACGGCACGGAACTCGCCCAATCGAAAGCTTTGTCTGAGAAAACCACAAGCGACCTCGAAGCTGCTACTATATCTCTCGACCAGGTCAAGGAGGAGCTCGCGACAAAGAACAAAGAGATCGAGAAGTTGCGCACCCAGCTTGATGAAGCTGAGAAGGACAGCTCGGGCTCCCAGGCTGCTGAACAGCTCGAAAAGATCACCAAGGAAAGGGAAGCTAGTGAGCAGAAGATGGGTGTCCTTCAAACTCTTGTAGACAATCTTCGATCCCAGCTGAGAGACGCCGAGTCTTCCTTGACAGACCTGAAGGCCGAGGTCAGTCAGAAAGCTGAACGCTCGACCCAGCTTCAAAAGCTGGTTGACTTTGTGGATGAGGGTCTGAAAGGCAACGATGCCTGGAAGGCCGCCAAAGAGTCTGTGTCTGCAGGACACACCGCCGATTTTGACACCATTCGCAACAGCATAGCCCCTGCACCGACCCCTGCGGGTAAGGAGCCTGAGCCTATTGTTACTATCCCCGATGATGATGCGCAATCTACTGCAGGTGGAAATACAGGGGCGAGCACGGGCGGTGGCAAGAAGAAGAACAAGAAAAAGAAGAAGGGTGGCAAGGCTGCTGAAGACCCAGTGAAGCCAGCTGAACCAACTCCCGCGGAACAGCCCGCAAAGAAAGAGGAGTCTGCAGCAGATTCAGTTCCTGCTGCGGAAGTGAGCGAATTGAAACAGAGAATCGATTCGCTGACTCAACAGTTGTCTGAGAAGGAGTCAGCAATTGATAGGTTGAGCGCAAAGCTGAAGGGCGAAGAGGACCTAAAGGAAGAGATTGAGTCTCTGCGAGAGGATCTTGTCAATGTCGGACAAGAGCACGTGGAGTCAAAAGATAAGATCAAGGTGCTATCTGCTGAGAAGTCTGCGCTCGAAGAGACCATTAGCAGACTGGAGAAGGAGCTTGTTGACCTTCGAACGAGCACTGAATCAAGCAGTGCCGACTCGGAGAAGACACATAACTCTCTCAAGGAGGAATTCGAGGGACTCAAGGTACGAGCGGCCACTCTGGAGACGGACCTCTCCGCTGCACAGCAATTGGCCACTACGCGATTCAAGGACCTCACGGACCTTCGTGAAACCCTTCAAAGGATCCAGCCCGAGCTGCGGAACTTACGGGCTGAATCCTCAGAGCTCAAGTCATTGAAGGATACGCTCGCCGCTAAGAATAGTGAATTGAGAACTCTGGAGACTAAGCACGAGGATTTGCGAGCGGAGCTGAAGTCTTCCAAGGGCAAAATCTCAGAACGAGACTCGGAAATCAGTACTCTGAACAAGAAGATCCGACAGGAGACCGATAGTCGGTTGAAGGCTGAGGAAAACCTCAGCGTTGCGCAATCCAATCTACGAGCGGCCGAGGCTCGGAAGCAAGATGCTATCAATGCCAAAGAAAAATGAGCAGTGACCTCAACAAGGCCCAGGATGGGCTCAAGAACTCCCGCGCTAAGATCCGCGACCTAGAAGAACAGATCTCCCAGTTGAACAAAGACCTGTCTAGCCTCCGAGAGGAGATGCAGCTCAAGACCGCGCAGCATGCCAGCGCCCAGAGTTTGATGAACAACATGCGGGACCAGACCGCTGAGATGGCGATGCAGATGAAGGAAGCGCGGGAGAAGTGTGACAGCTTAGAGGAGGAGCTCGCCGATGCGCATCGTCTCCTCAGCGAACGCACTCGTGAAGGAGAGACCATGCGCCGTCTGCTGAATGATATCGAGGGTCGGGCCGAGGCCAAGGTCCGAGATTTTAAAGAGCGCATGGAGGCAGCGGTTGAAGAGCGGGATCGTGCCGAGGATGAGGCTAGCACTCAAGCTCGTCGCCGAGCTCGAGAAGTAGAAGATCTCAAGGCGAAAGTGCGCGAGGCAGAACGAGCATTGCGCACCGCCGAAGAGGACAAAGAAGATCTGGAACGTTCCCAGAAGGATTGGCGCCGCCGTCGTGATGAGTTGGAGGCGCTTTCGGAACGATCGACTCAAGAGCTCACCGAGGTTCGGGAGGCCATGTCCATTCTGCGTGAGCAACTCGATGGGAGCGAGAAACAGGTCCGTGACCTTGAAAAGGAGAAGGCCGAGCTTCGTCGCTCCGTGGAAGAGACCAACAACCGGCTCGAGAAACTGCGCCGGTCCCACAAAACACTCGGCGAAGATGTCCGTCTGCGTGGGCTGGATGTTTCTGGCCGCCAGTCTTCGCGTTCATCTATGGACTCTGGTTCCCGCCGTGGTCCTGTTTCGCCTTCTCCCCAAGACCGGAGTGGATCCCGTCCGGGTGAGGCTCCTTCGGCCGGAGGAGCTAGTACTCAGTCCATTGACTACATGTACTTGAAGAACGTCTTGCTTCAATTCATGGAGCAAAGAGACAAGAACTACCAAAAGCAGCTTATCCCCGTGTTGGGCATGCTGCTTCATTTCGACAGGTTCGTCCCCCTCGTAATACAGGACAACACGTCAATGCTAACTGGAACAGAAACGACGAGCAGAAGTGGATGTCGGCCATTATGTCTTCTAAGTAATGAAACTACCACAGAATTCTTTGGTCCAGTGGGGCCGGTTTGGTAACTTTCTATTCTTTTTATTGCATGTATATTATCGGAGTGGCTATACTATCTATTGCAAGCTCGTTGTAAAGAGATTACGTGTCATTTATAAATTCTATGATGCTTTGTGTACAAGAGATAGTAAGCCACATGGAGATCGAAGCATTGAATCATTTACCTAGGTAATTATACACTCGCTGACCGACCAAGTCGGCACGTGACTACAGATTAGTCCATTGTGGCCTCACCGTTTTAGGCTGCACGGAAACAGATCTGCCGCTATTGTCCGCCTTCATTTACGGAAATACCGGGGCGGAGTATAGTTGGTCCGGCAAAGAGACTCATCCACCCGGGTCCGCGCCTGTCTGAATAATCTCGCTTACCTACTCAATCTCCAAAACACTCATACAACTCGATTTAGATCGCGAAATTACCATTTTGGGAGGCAAGGGTAGTGATTCTAAATCATTGCCTTGTACTACAGGTGCTCTAGACACCTTCCTCATTTCCATGCAACCTGTCCTGGCTCCAGGACACCATCTCACCATGCAATCTTCTGCTCAGGTATGTACCATATCGGGTCCATTCATCACTGGATTTGTCATCATACGGGGTATGCGGATCGTGATAGACATGAGCAGATTCGTTTCTCATGATCTTGACGCGTCGCCAAACACTGTTTCCCTTTCCGCGTGTGCCGGCCGGCTGGTGGCGTGATTTCGGTGCTAACTCGTATCGATAGGACCACGCTGACCAGGGTAAGAGAAACTACCCCAGACGCACCGTAGTAATGTTCTCGCGTCGCAACTCTTTATGAACTCGTCGCATGCGTCACTTGTTTAATTCCCCAATCCTTGTCGCCTCTTGAAACGGGGGAAAGCGCATTTGCCATCTTTGTGGCGCGTTGACGAGCTCCTACTAACATTGAGTCATAGTCCTCCATGACCAACTGCTTGCTGCGCAGCAGCACATGCAGCGCCCGCAAGGCAATGCGGTGCCTCAGCACCATTTAGGCGCCAACGCAACTAGCCCTCGTGACCAGCCTAACATCGACCCTGCTATCTCTGGCGCGGCCTCTATGCTGAGTGCTCCCCCGCATACCCCAACCCAGCCCCAGCAGGCTTCGCCTGAAGCTGAAAGTGCCAAGTCATACGGCAAGCGCGAACTCTCGACTTCCAAGCGCGCCGCGCAGAATCGTGCTGCTCAAGTAAGTCTCTCTTCTCTTCCAGGGTGTTTCGTCGATGGCCTTGCTAAACCTCCCACCCCTAGCGTGCATTCCGTCAGCGTAAGGAGACATACATCCGCAAGCTCGAAGATGAGAACCGCAGTATTCAAGAGTTGCGAGACAATAATGCTAAACTTCTGAATGAGAATTACTCTCTCCGTGATCACATTATCACTTTGCAGTCTCGCCTTATGGATGCGCAAGCTGAGATTCCTGACCTGCCCCCTAACATTGACTTGAACCACCGCCATGACATCAACATGGGCAATATGCCCCCGACTGCCACGGCTCAGCCAACCCAACATGCTGCCTCGATGAACGAGGACCTGAACTCCTTGAACCGAATCGCCGTTGCGGGGCTAGACGGTTTCCAGCAGAACAAGCGAGGCCGAAGCGACGAGAACCAAGCGGCCGGAGGCATAGCGAAGCAGGACGGGACCGTCCCACATGGTCTCCCGATAGCTTAAGTTCCCCACAGTCCTATCTAGCAGTCGATTTTGATTCCCTGCCCTAACCTTTCTTGCCGCTGTACGGATATCCCCTTCGATTTCGTGGGCTTTAAAGGCTCTATTAACGATCTATCCATCTGTCTTGACCTCTGCTTTGAGCTTTGCTATTTTCCCTTGCCTGTTAGTGATGGAGTGCGGCGCGTTCTGATGTTCTGGCGGCTCTATGTTTTGGGTTCCTTTTCTATATCTTATCCAAGAGGAACCGGCGTCTTCGGTACGAAATAACCTCCGTCTCGATGTTTCATACAATAGTTTAGTCTTCGAATTCGGACTCATCAATTGTAATCTTGGTGTTATGGTTCCAGGCTTCCGTTCCAACTCGCCTGTTCTATGAAGAGTGGCGCATCGTGCCCCTGTGGATCGAAGAGATCATCCAAGCGCTCCTCTTTCCAGGATGCGGTCTTACAAGGTTTTTTTTGCTTTCAAAAGCCTGTCTGCTGTTCACTTCTGCGACTGGGCTTATGGAAGCAGTGTTGAAGAAAATTGATCCAACTATACAGACCCTGCCTATACGCCATACCACTACCTGCAAGAATGGGATATGCTGGCAGCTTGCTCATGTGTCCAAGGTCTCGGTGTTACGCGTAAGAACCCCGAAGCTGCGAGAAAATCGTCTCTGACGCCTTGTCCAAGTGCTGGGATGTTTTGAATCACCTGAATAATGGAATTCTGGAGCCCCTCTGCCCGACTAGCAGCTCAGCAGCGGTGGTTCGACGCCCGTTCGCGGCAGATCCACATCCCCCTCCTTTGCATATCTGATGCGGAAGTCTCCCTCGGTTCCATGGTCTTGTGATTGCGGACGGCATACTCAGGATCTCAGTTCGACCCTTCGAAGGTCTCGAGGTCTTTGAACTGCGTTTGCATCTGTCGTCACCCGTCTCATTATCAATCAGCAATGCCCATTGTCCGTAGTCATCGGAGTTGGATAGCAATGTTGCGTCCGCGGGTCACTTAGCAGCACGTCAGAGCTGAAGACTGAGTAACGGAAGCTGAATATCAGAAGGAGGCATTCTCCCGACGACCACGGAATCAAAGCTATTGCTTGTGGTCATGATGCGGGGTATCGATGTTTTATGGGATGGATGTTTAGTTAGGGGGACTTGATTACAATTCGGGGTTAAATGTATGAAAGCTAGAAGATGCGTGATCTACCCATCTACAGGAACGAATGGATCTGCGATTTGAATTCGCAGGTCACGGCCAGCAAGGGGCTGTCCCCGCGGATTTTCGCATTTCCCCGGAGTTTGACTTCCCGCCCAGTCTAGAGCTCGATTCACCGGCACCCGATTCATATTTCCTCTTCTTCGATGGGCTAGACATTGGCATGGGCTAGGCAGGTCATTTACTTTCGGTGAACGCTCTGAGAGGCGCTCTTATGCGATCGAGCGTGGGGCTTGCATCCTAAAGCCACTCTAGAAGATCCGGGTTGCCCTCGTAGGGACGTGTAGTCCGCCGTTTGCCCGACCGGCCAGGTCCATCCTACTTAAGGACTGCCTCGGGTTTCTATATCGAAAGTTTTTCCTGAGCAGATCCAATGCCTGCCTAGGCGGGTTGGATCAGCCAGAATCACACTAAGAGTTTATAATTATTGTGGACGGTTTCGGCGATTCCGAGCTCCGAGGCCATGCATATCCCTTGAATTACCCACGCTGCTACCAGTTCGATGGGGTTCAGGAACGAGGCCACAGAGCAAGTTTTTGTGAAAACGGACGGGGTTGTGGGTCAAGGCCCGTGCTGTAACACGAGGACGGGGTGCATCCCGTGCTGGTCCGAGTTCAGGGGTAAGAGGTTGGGTAGATGTTCTGCCACCAACAGAGCGATGTCTACACTAAAGCCCGCAGGAGTGTCTGCCAGTGTCTGCCAGTGTCTGCCGGTGTCTTGGGTCTCCAGGGTTGCCACTTGACCTAAACACCGTCACTTACCGGTACTAGTCCTTATTAGTTCGTGCTAAGTATAAGGAGCCGAATCCTGCCCCTCTCCTCATAAGCAGCCTAGAGGGTTTTATTGTACCCCGGATATCAACCTTGGAATCGAGCGCATGCATTTGTAATCCTCATATGTCAGGATGAAGACTGGCATTGAAGTAGAAGGGGCTTTAAGGATCCTGTGCGGGATACGGTGCTCCTGTGGCCTATGACAAATAGAACCCTTGCCGCAGCATGACAGGGTTTTGACAGCAGATGCCATTGGGCCCAGCTATTGTTCTGAGCCTCATGGGAAGAATCCGTAACCAGTGGCGAACGCCCAGCCGTTCCAAGGAAACCGTGGGCAGCTGCCCGTTGCAGGTTAGCGCACGGCCAGAACGAAAAAGTAAAAAAAAAAAAAGTTAAACGACACCGGTAGTCCGGGGATTTCTTCGCCCCGCGATGCCTTTGGTACCTTGAATTTTTCTCGATATCCTGGAAGTCCTGGACCCGGGGATTCCTTTCCTGAGCAGTCGCCGGATTAGAAAAAAAAAAATACTGGAGAAATTGGAGAATCGGGATCTCTATCGTCACTGAACCCGCCTCCTTTGCGCCTTGACAGCCACCTCGACCCGCTCCAATTCGCCCGAAACCACAACTCTCCTTGCAGGTTTCCTTCTCTCCCTCGACTCGGTACAGCTCGACCTGTATGGCTTGACCTCTTGCACAACACCCCCGAGGTCCCAAGTCTCGTCCGCCAACTCCAAGAGTTACATCCGAACCACCGCGATTCCGTGCGGAGGCAACATTACGACATTACGTGACTTGTGAGCCACTGGAAGTCGGTCGGGCGACGCAGCATAGAACCCCCCCCGGATACAGCAGCTTCTCAGACGCGCTGCGAGTGCTCCTCGCGATTGCGGTCGTCGGAATCCGCCTTCGAGGACACTGTCGGAACTCAACTTCGCCGCATGATTTACCGAGAGTAGGGCGCCGACGATGGCGGTGAATTGGAATTATTGAGGTCTACAGCTATTCAACCACGCCCTCTTTCCCCGAGCGGCCGCTGTCCACTTCGTCTTCTTGCCAGGGATACAGTCTGTGCGGTCGAAGGAGGGCTGCATCCTGACCTGGTTCAGATGGACGGCTTGTCGCAGCCGCCCGATGGGCTCATCGGAGGCTACCACGGCCATAGTTTCACCATGCGCATTCTCATGATTGTTTTCTCCTCGATCGCGTTATACAATGCGCTTGAGCTGTTCATTCTCTTGTTCTTGACTTTCCAACACTACCATGGGCTTTACTTTTGGACCATGCTGCTTTCCGTCGTCCTGGGCGTGATCCCGCACACTATCGGCTACCTCCTCGAATTGTTCTCATTGGCCCCGCTGTGGCTGGGTTTGGTCCTTTCGACCATTGGCTTCTACTTCATGGTCCCTGGTCAGTCGTTCGTGCTTTATTCACGACTGCATATGGTCGTCCAGAATCAGCAGGTGCTGCGGTTTGTTCTGTGGCTTATCATTGTGGATTCAATCCTCCTTCTCATCCCTACTACCGTACTTACATTTTCCACGGCTTATGTCCAGACCGTCCCCATCATTCGAGGGTATAATGTCATTGAGCGCCTGCAGCTAGCCTGGTTCTGCGCACAGGAGTTTTTCATCTCGGGAATCTATATTTACGAGACGGTGAATCTGCTCAAGATGATGCCGGACAAGGATCGCCGACGGTCAAAAATCATGTACCAGCTCTTGGTTATCAATGCGGTCATCATCCTCCTTGACGTGGCCTTACTAGCCGTGGAGTACACTGGGTTTTATGCACTGCAGACTACCTTGAAGGCGATGGTTTATAGCATCAAGCTGAAGCTCGAGTTTGCGGTGCTTGGAAAACTCGTTTCGCTGGTGCAAACACATCGGTCCCAGCCAACCTCCGACGAAACCGATCAGTACCCCCAATTCGTGGATCCAACTCAATTGACTTCCGATGTCACCCATGCCGCTCCTCGGGAAGAATCTCGCGTTCCTAGAGGAATGATGCCATGGCAAAGCATCTCCATGGAAAGCCTGCCATCAGCGGAGCGACGCGCCAGACTATCCACCCGCTCTCGGGTATCCAGTGATAGCACCCACCCATCGTGAGAATGGCGGCGATCATCTGTGTCACATTCCGTTCCTCGGTACTATACGATACCGTCATGAGTCCAAGCAGATGGACCTCTGAACAACAAGCCGCTCCTGGCTATAGCGACCCAGAAGGCGTCACGCTTCCCTGGCATACATGATGATCCGCCGACCGTGCTCTTTCACGAGTCATTCGGCGTCATTGCAGATGTACAGGCTGTGCTAGGTGGCACTGGCCCATACCCACGAACGCGTTTAGGGCTATGTTATCTGCGGTCATCCCGCTATATATCTGGCTGTACATTCTTGTACTGTTACCTTCTCCACGTGTTATATCACTTTGGGACCAGTGCTACTGGTCAACTTGTGTAAATCTACTCAAGATACTTAATCCAACATACATTGATACTACCATTCATATTCTGATGTGCTGTATTTTGTTCCATATAAATGATCTTTCTGCCAGATGTAGATAGTACGTAATAGTTCGCACCTGGAGCCATATCAGGCTGACGACTCATCTAGCGGCCAACCCAAAGTGGAACTGCCTTAGACGGCTTATATTACCTTCCTTAGCCTTGGTTGTTTTACCAATATCTCCTCTTGTCCATTTCTGTTCTCTTACTCTTGCCCTCACTTCTAAAACAACGCACAGATCCACAGGAACTCAACCCATTATATACCAGTTTTCAATACCCATGTCGCTCACTGAAACTCCTCTGCACCGATGGGGAATCTCAAACCAGGAGGGGACCGAGGAGGCCAAGCCCAATAATCAACCAATGTCTCGACGTCTTTGCGGTATAACCCTCTAACGCTTGAGAAACCAGTCAGGTCTAAGCCTGTCGTAAAAGCATCTGCCTGATTGCAACGTGCGTGTAGACTATGCCATATCTCTGCAGACTACTGCTTTGGGGAGTGCAAAGAGACCACAGAATGAGATCCCATTGTTGACTTGGGTACCGTGCTGCTCAGCGGGTACCGAGGCGTCATACCCCATTGGCTTCGTCGGCTGCGGGATTGCGATGAGAGCTTCTTATCTTGCCGATCGGCAACGGCCGCTGGTCTTCAGTAACGCTTTAAATGGGATCGTTCCTCCATATGGCGGATTGCACGATGAAGTTCAGAGAGCGACTGGCACTGGAGCTACTATGCAGTCTACAGACAGCCAGCAAGAATTCATCCCGCGAGTCCGCCAGGTGCTGGACAAATACGAGTCGCGACTGAGCGAGATCAATCACAAAGTAAACTACATCCTTCCACAGATCTGTCAAGGTATTCCCGGACTTATGGAACTCTGCAGATCTGGTCCAACCCGGAGCTCGCTTACGAGGAACACGCTGCCCACGACGCCATTTGCGACTTCTTCGGCTCTCTAGCTGCAGATGGATACCACGTCACGCGCCACGCATACGGCGTCAACACAGCCTTGGAGGTGAATTACACCAAAGCCAGAGGAGGCCGCGTCGTAGCGTTCAACGCGGAGTACGATGCGCTGCCGGGCATCGGGCATGCCTGCGGCCACAATCTCATTGCGACGAGCTCGATCGCCGCGTTCCTCGCGACGTGCGAAGCGATGAGCGCGAAATATTCAGACGAGACGGGTTTCTCGGCGCGATTACTGGGGACTCCGGCCGAAGAGGGCGGGGGCGGGAAACTGCGCCTTATTGACGCGGGGGCGTACAAGGGCGTGAATGCGTGCTTCATGGTCCATCCGTTCCCGGTTCTAGCGGGCAATCCGGGATTGTTGAGCTCCAGTCGCTGTACTGGCCAATACCTCGCGAACCATAAGGTCGAGGTTACTTTCACGGGGAAGCCGGCACATGCTTCGGCGGCGCCGTGGGAGGGCGTGAATGCTTTGGATGCGGTTGTTTCGGCGTACGTGAACATCTCGATGCTGAGACAGCAGATATTGCCTACGCAGAAGATTCACGGGGTTGTGCTCCGGGGCGGGGAGCGTCCGAATGTGATCCCGGCTTCGACAACCCTTGCCTACTATGTTCGATCCGAGACCGTGAAAACGCTGAAGCCATTGACGGAGAAAGTGCTGAAATGCTTTGAGGCAGCGGCTACGGCTACTGGGTGTACAATGGAATATAAATGGTATGGACCTGGCGAAGCCATTACGGATTGCGATGAGGCTGACTCTTTCCCGAGGGAACCGTCTTATACGGATATGAAAGCGAACGCGCCCATATGCGAAAGCTACACGTCTGCCATGAACGCGATGGGATACACGACGATTCTCGATGCGGTGGGACAGGAGGGTGGGCTTAGTGGAGGATCTACTGACATGGGTAGGTGACATGTGTTTTCCCGATCTGGGGCACAATGGCTAATGCTAGCGCCAGGCAATGTCTCCTATGAAGTCCCTGGCTTCCACGGCGGCTTCTATATTCCGGCTGATGGAGTCAACCACACGCCGCAGTTCACCGCGGGAGCTGGATCTGAGGAAGGATTCCGACGCAGTCTGTGCTGTGCAGCGGGGATGGCTGTCGTGGGTTGCCGAGCGTTGGCAGATGCTGATTTTGCTTCGGCTATCAAAATAGAATTTGAGAGGGAAAGAGTAGATTCACAACCAATAAAGTTTTGGATTAAACGTGTCGAATGCCTCTGAAGTGGCTGATTGGCTGACTCGGCAAATTTAAACGTTGCCGACGCAGGCGAGGCCAGAGGGCCTTCGACACTATCGCGGTGCTCTGACTTTCCAGAGGCCCTCTGAGTGGTGAACTTCTAATTAAACTCCACAATCCCATCATGAGTACGGAAGCTAGTGCCTTTCCGTGATCGCCAGGTCTGGCTGCTCTGGGTTCTACTCTGCCGAAGGTTGCTGCCGAGCACACCTCTTATAACCAATTGGATGATTCCGCTGCTTCCCCAGAGTCAAGTGGGCCTCCAACTCCAGGAATTTATGTTCTATTTCCCCATTCTCTGGGGTGCGGGGAAATAAAGCTATGCTTGTCACTAGCAGAATGAAATACCCTGGTTGGGGCCCTCGTTATCTCCTGCCCTCTAGTGGATGTATCATCCCCACTGCGGAACATGCCCGGTTCCCATAGTCGTAGGTTCAAGCGGCTCCCTGGAGGTCTAGATTCGAGTTGCCGCCAAAACAGAGCAATTCTACTCTTAACGCTTTGCCGGAAACTTGTATAGATTATGTGCGGGGTTGATACTTCCGGGCTGATAAAAGCCCGGGGTCTGGTATCTCAAATCGGGAACCCCCAGAGCTGTCCAACTTTAAGTCTTCGCCTCGGTTTCAAATTTGCTTTTTCCTTTTACCAAAATGATCGGCGAAAATGATATTAAACACGACGTGGTACCTCAAAGCCGTAATCTCGACATTGGGGAGATGCTCGCCGTAGAGTTGACCCCAGAAGAGGAACGAAAGGTGCTCCGGAAGCTGGATTTTATGTAAGTACAGGAACCTTCACCTGGGCATGGTGAAGGCGTGCTAATTTCGGTATAGTTTGATCCCTTTGATGGGATGTGCATACTTTCTCCAATTCTTGGATAAGCTGGCCTTGAGTCAAAGTACCCTGTTCAACCTGCGCCAGGATCTTGTATTCCCCCGACTTCCAAGATGGATGACATTATCTGACGTGTTCTAGAATATGCATGGCTCTGAATACTCCTGGGCCTCTGCGATATTCTACTTTGGCTACTTCTTCTGGAGTTGGCCAAGCTCCTACGTGATAGTGCGCCTTCCCATTGGAAAGTACCTATCGGTCTCGGTGTAAGCTTTGAAATGGTTCCCCTTCATGCTTTGACTGATCGTATAGGTTCTTATGGGGCGGTATTCTGATGTGCCATGCTGCGTGTACAAACTTCGCTGGGCTGATGGTCGCTCGGTTCTTCCTTGGAGTTGGCGAGGCAGCTATTGCCCCGGGCTTCACTCTGTTGACCGGTATGTTCTACAAAAGAGAGGAGCAGCCACTTAGGTACGGTCATAGCCAAACTGCTTTCTGAATACCATCTTACATATTCAGACAATCCGCGTGGTTCTTCGGCAACTGCATCGCCGTTCTGGTCGGAGGGCTGATTGCATATGGCATTGGCAGTATTAGCACAGGGGCCATCGAACACTGGAAATTGTTGTTTTTGATACTCGGTGCGATTACCTCCACGTACGGCATCGTCCTGTTCCTGCTTCTACCAGACTCTCCCGCCAAAGCGGTATTCCTCAAGCCAAGCGAACGTACGATCACTATCAAGCGGACTTTGCAGAACAAGACAGGTGTCATGGATAACGGGGTTTTCAAGTGGTCCCAAGTCAGAGAAGCATCGATCGACCCACAAGTCTGGCTTCTGGTCTTGAATTCCTTTGCTTCAAATTTGTGCAATGGAGGAATAACGAGCGTGAGCAACTCGGAGGTTCTCTATCGCGCTGGTAGCCTGTTGACTGATCCCTAGTTTACGTCGATCATCACGGCCGGTTTCGGGTTCACAGATCTCAAAGCCCTCCTCATGCAAATGCCCCAAGGCGCTGCCCAGATCGTGTTCTTGCTTATCACATCCTTGGCAGCCACTTTCGTCCCGTCTTGTCGGATTCTTGGAATGATCTTGAACACAATCGTCTCCGTCGTTGGAATGCTCTTGATCTGGAAGTTGAACCCAGCGGAGCAAGTTGGCCGGATGGTCGGATTGACCTTGGGCGTTGTTTATGCGATCAATCTCCCGATCTCACTCAGCATCGTGACATCTAACGTTGCTGGGTTCTCCAAAAAGAGTGTCACAAGCGCATTACTGTTTATTGCCTATTGTGTGGGGAACATCGTTGGTCCACAGTTCTTTCTCGCGTCAGAGGAACCTTCCTATCCGGTGAGTCTTTCAGCGTGACGATGGCTTTCCTGTTCTAATATGTGTAGACTGGGATAACAGCAGCGATGTCGGGGCTTGTGCTGAGCATTTTCTTCCTGCTTTGCTTGTACGTCTATTATACGTGGGAGAACCGACGCCGAGACAAGCTATACGGGTCTCCGGCGGACATGACAGTCGGGGCCGAGCTACGAGAGGAATTATCGAACAAGACAGACAGGCAGATCGAAAGTTTTCGGTATTTGCTGTGACTGGCCCTGGATGATTGTGTGACATGTTTCATATTGCAGGAGAATCCCTGGCTACATTGGTGTAGGCAAATCCCAGTCAGATTCAACGACACTAAGAACAAAACAATATAACATTCAATTATGCCATTCTTCCTGGACTATTTGCTCTTTCTTCCAGGCATCCAGCTTCTTTGCAAGACTGTAAGGGCAACCGAGCGCCGACTTGGGGGTAGTAGCCTTCGAACGTTGTCGCGCAACCGAGTATGAGCATGGTACATATTCCTGAGGTCTCTCGAAATCCTCCAGTCAGCTGCATGTTTTCAGAATGTATCTCTGCCCGGATCCAACTGGATCGCATGTCGCGAGGGGCTGAAGTCGGTCTATTTGTATCGTCCCATCTAGAAACCTACTGATGAATTTAGGCCATAGTTAAAGAAGACGACTGGACCGGAATCCAGGACGTATCGAATCGTTGAAGACAATAGAATCGACCAAATGTTCGAGCGCCCTGTTCGTCATACCAGTCATACCACTGGAATATAGACTTTCCCTCTTGTTAATCAGTATCAGATCCACGCAAAGTGGTTGCGAATCATGAGAAAGCGGCCGCATTGTGTGTGGACGGACCAAAACTCTCTGACACTCTATTAGCAGTCCAGGATGAAAATGGAGAAAGAGACCTGTCCCTTGCTTGGTCGAGGAGTAACAGGGCATCTCAATTTTGCCTTTTATCTCGCGCGGGCTCGGTTGATAAGAGCAAACCCTCGATCCTGCGACCAGCCACGACCATTATTCTTTGATGTTCCCCTTATCATCCGATTATCTCGTTGTACTGCCGCAGTACGGTGCCCTCTGTCTCGGGCGTGTCTGACCAAGCAGGTATTCGTCCACTATATTTCCAAAAACACACACCGTGCATAACGAATGCGAGGGCTTTCTGATGCATGTTTTGCCAATCCCTGTGTCCGAAGATTTTCCTGGCTTACACCATGAATCCAATTGGATGGGGAATATCCGGGGATTCTGTTGGCCTCACAGGGGATGGATGATAAAGGGAGGAGATGTGGTGGTCGAACTCTGCAATAGATGGAGTTTGCGGAACGATTAGTCGCTAGTGATGATGGCCAAATGATCTGGGCTGCAGTAACTCAAACATTGCGATCTGTGCACCGGCAGCCTTTCCGTTCTGAGGTTGAAGAAGGGCTCGTATTTGATAGATGTGGGTGAAATCGGGCATGGAAGTATCCATTAGTTATCCGTGGAAGCGGGTCCTACTGGCGCAAACTGGGGCTGTTGGCAATGAGCGACCGCGACCGCGACGGAACTGGAGATGATCAGATTGAATTTGAATCGACGAAGGCAATCTGAGAATCCATGAAGTTTGGTAGCTCGCCAGGCAAAGTCTGGATGGAACCATAACCTCATCTACCGCCATGTAGGTCCTGTCGGGAATGGTTGCGCGAGTGTTATGGTTGTGTGGCATGTTGGGTGATAGGACTTGGAACGTCCGGGATACCTTGAGTACTTCGCAGCGCTTCGTAGACCATCGAGTGCATTCTACCGTCATCACGAATATGACGTGGACGGTGATTAACTCTTCGTTACGGCTGGCACCGCGGAAATATATCAACGGCGTGGCGAATTTTTCTTGGTGGTGGAGTATCCACTATGACTTCACGGCCCTGAGCAGTGGTCTCCCACTGGCCATGAGGGATACTTAAATATTCTGACAAAACGTGGCGCCTAAGGTAGACTACGAATCGCGTCTCCTATGTCGTGGCGTATGATTGGCTGTTCCAGAGCCCCAGGGCTACTGGCATTTCGGTCGAGAAGGATTGGCGATATGATGTCATGGATGATGCTCCGTGCCTTTCTGCACCACCGAATCATCAAGCATATACACAACCACAATAGAATTACGCTGTGGCATGATGAAAGGTCCACATTTGATCCAAAATGGAATGCATGTACGCTTATCTATGATTCTACTGTCGTCACCAGGCGGAAACTACATGACCAAAACACGTGCGCTTTTACTGCCGGAACGTTTCTTCCGTAGAGCCTCGAAAGCAAATTCAAAAGAAAGCAGCGAGTAGAATATAGAACAAAGCCGAGTGTCAACTGGCACAAGGGATATCTGTTTCAGGCCTGTACCAACTGCGAGGCAAACATGAAGTTTCAGCAGTTCAGATCCTTTCGAGAAGCGGGTCTCCAGTTGTGCGACAGCCGGCCAATCAGAGTGCAGAATGACCGATCAATGCCGTATTCCGAGGGCGCCCCACTCTGCAGAATCGCGAAACGGGGCTCACCGCCCGAATACCAAGATTCCCGCTTGAACCCGCTTGGAGGTGCCCCTCCACAGGGCTAAACGCCTGACACTCCACCTTTTCTTTCTCTCCAGATCGTTCCATTCTGTCGGTTCGGTTACTCTCCCTCGCTCAGCCACTCCCGGGATGCTTTAGTGATCGGTATCTCACGGCGTGTACTCCATGCCCTTTGGGACCCACCTCTATTTTCGTGGCTTTTCCAGTCCCTATGATACCCACACGGTGCCTCGTGTAATATAAGCCTCTCATACCCGCATCGACCGAAATGCTGGTTGAAATTGTCGTTTCGTTTTCAGATCCCAGCACCTGAATCGGAGAGACCCGAGTCACGAGAATCAAGGGAACCGCCTGGATCAAATCCCCTACTTCGAGCACGCTGCGCCCGTGGGGGCTGTGATCGCCATACACGATAACTAGAGACTCAAACCTTGCCAACATGTCGAAGGAGTCGACCTCTCGTCCGGATCCTATCCGGAAAAGATCCGGGAGTGATACAACCGCTGGCCGAAACACAATGTCAATGGCGGACACGGCTCAAGGAAATGAGACCAGAGACCGGTCACAGTCAGTGACTGCGGAAACAGCAAGGCCTTCAATTCCTCCAAGTACTGGGTTCGATTCTACCGATAGAGTGTTCCCGATTCGCTCAGTCGTTTCAGTTGCCCCAGCGCCTGCCTCAGGTGCCCAATCCTGGGGCGCAACATCGCCGGTCCGTGAAGGTGCTCGGCAATATCCGATCATCGATTCGAGAACATGGGATGAAATGCAGGCCCGCGCCCGATCTCCAGCAGCCTCACCACCATCGAGCACAGAGCCAACTGCCCCCACCGCCACGGCACGCCATGAGACCCACACAACCCACGAAGAGACAGATCTAGCCGCCCACTCTATGGCAACCCAGGTCGTTCAAAACCCAGAGGAATATATTGAGGAGGAAAGAGATGGCGATAAGGCTTCAATATCAAGCTCCACCCCTCATGCATCGGTTCAACGAATACACCCTGAGGACCCGTATAGTAATATGACAACTCGATTCACCCATAAAGTGACCGAGGATGGCCATGTTGTAATCACAGGTCGAGACGGTGAATTCCAGTATTGTGAAGATGAGCCAATCCGCATTCCCGGCGCCATTCAGAGCTTTGGTGTGATGTTAGCACTCCGAGAAGAAATGCCAAATCAGCTCGTGGTCCGCATTGTCAGCGAAAACGCCCATGATATAATGGGGTATACGCCACGGGACCTGTTCAACCTTGAAAACTTCTGCGACATATTAAAGGAAGATCAAGCTGACAACTTATTGGATCATGTCGATTTTGTGCGCGACGACGCATATGACCCGACGGTTGACGGCCCTGATGTTTTTGTTCTTGTTATTCCCACCCCATCAGGCGAGGACCGCCGTTTCTGGTGTGCGGCACATGTCAGCCCTTCCCAGAAAGACCTTATCATCTGTGAGCTAGAGCTAGAAGAAGATGAAAAGAACCCCTTAAATGTGGAAGGTAGAGCCACCCCAGCCACCCCCGCGGACACACTAGGTGCTGTTCCAACTGCGGAACAGTTTGCAGCAAGCATGATCAATATCAGCCAGCCTCTCCGGGTCCTCCGCAACGCACGGCGAAGGAAAGGCGAGGCCGCTGCAATGGAGGTCTTTAGCATCTTGAGCCAAATACAGGAGCAACTAGGCCGCGCCAATGATCTCGATACGCTGCTGAATACTGCGACTGGGCTGGTAAAAGAGCTGACTGGGTTTCACCGAGTCTTAATCTATCAATTCGATAGCAGCTGGAATGGGCTGGTGGTTGCCGAGCTCATGAACCCGGATGCCTCGATTGACATCTTTAAAGGGCTGCATTTTCCCGCATCGGACATACCGGCCCAAGCTCGTGAGCTGTACAAGATTAATAAGGTGCGCATCTTGTACGATCGCGATCGTCAAACATCTCGACTCGTTTGCAGGACGCTGGACGATCTGGAGACCCCTCTTGACATGACCCACGCATTCCTTCGCGCCATGTCGCCGGTCCATGTGAAATACCTCGCCAACATGGAAGTCCGCGCCTCGATGTCTATTAGCATCAACGCCTTCAATGATTTGTGGGGTTTGATATCGTGCCACACTTACGGTGATGCGGGGATGCGAGTTTCATTCCCGGTGAGGAAAATGTGTCGCCTGCTTGGAGACACTGTGTCTCGGAACATCGAGCGCCTGTCGTACGCAAATCGCCTCCAAGCGCGGAAACTAATCAACACCGTGCCAACGGAGGCCAACCCTTCCGGGTACATCATTGCTTCTACAGACGATTTGCTTCAACTCTTCAACGCAGACTACGGTGCTTTGTCCATCCGGGATGAAACCAAAATTCTCGGAAACGGCTCCAACACGCAAGAGGTCCTGGCTTTGCTGGAGTTCATCCGTATGCGGCAGCTTAACTCGGTCCTTGCGTCCCATGATATTATCAAAGATTTCCCGGACTTTCGGTATGACCCGGGACTGAAAGCCATATCTGGGCTGCTCTATGTTCCCTTGTCAACTGGTGGCAATGACTTCATTGTTTTCTTCCGCAAAGGTCACCTGACAGAAATCAGCTGGGCGGGTAATCCGTACGAAATTAAGAAGCAAAAGGAGACTGCTGGTTATCTGGAACCTCGGCAAAGCTTTACTACATGGAGGGAAAGTGTGCTCAGCCAATCGCGGGAATGGTCAGAGACAGATGTCGAGACCGCTGCAGTCCTGTGTCTTGTGTACGGTAAATTCATCAAGGTCTGGCGACAGAAAGAGGCCGCAATGCAGAATTCTCAACTCACACGACTTCTCCTCGCCAATTCCGCGCATGAGGTCCGCACACCCCTCAATGCAATCATCAACTATCTTGAGATTGCACTAGAAGGCGCCCTGGATTCCGAAACTCGTGATAGCTTGACGAAATCTCATTCGGCTTCAAAGTCTCTCATCTATGTCATTAATGATCTCCTTGATTTGACCAATACTGAGAAAGGCAGAGAGCTCATCAAGGACGAGTCATTTGATCTCCCAGATACTTTCCATGAAGCAACTGATATGTTGTCTGGTGAGGCTAGACGCAAACAAATCTCATTCACCGTGTCCGCCCAACCTGGAATTCCGAGGAGGGTTCTTGGCGACCAGCGGCGAGTCCGGCAAGTCTTCTCTAATATCATCTCCAATGCCATCCAGCAAACCGAATCCGGTGCTGTGACGGTAGAACTGTGGCGCTCCGCGATAAAAGCACTTCCCGATCATGTTGCCGTGGAGATGATGGTTATGGACACCGGCGCTGGAATGTCTAAACAAAAACTTGAAGCCCTCTTCCATGAACTTGAGCAGGTGTCTTCCGACGATGACTACTATCCGGAGGAAAACAATAACAGTACCCCGCCAAGTAGCTCTAAGCGTGTGCTTGGCTTGGGGCTTGCTCTCGTAGCGCGGATCGTTTACAACATGCATGGTCAGCTTGGAGTCAAATCTGAAGAGGGTAAGGGCAGTCGGTTCAAAGTTCTCTTGCAGTTCCGACTCCCAGAGGGTGAACCAACTGCAACACCCGCTGAAGCGACTCTTCCTGGTCATGTTGCCGCGCCGCTGAAGCCTACGATATACGATCGGGAATTCACTTTGACACGGGGGCACCAACAAAGTCCAGATGGCCGAAGACGGAGCTCCGAGAGTCTTCGCAGTGGAAGTAGCTCTCGTAGCGCCCGAAGTCAAGCGGATCGCCTCATCAGTGCTATGCAAGAACCTGCACTTGGCTCCAGATCGGGCAGCGAAACTGGAAGCTTGAGCAAGGTCAAGCTTCCAATCAGCCCGCACGGCAGTGGAGAGGTGCCTTTGTCTGTCGGCTCGCCACCTCTGCCGCCTCCTTCCACAAGGCGACGATCCAATAGCTTCAGGGTGTCCGCTGGGCATAATCCTCATGCCAGTCTCGCCACCGTTTCGCATACACCACCGCTTTCCCTCCAGCCTACATCCGTGCCTTCCCTTCCAGGGACGACAAATGTGACAGATTCAGGTGTACCTCTCAGGTGCATTAAAGGTGTCTCAGAGGGCGAAGGCGCAACAGATGGCTGAACAGAAACAAGACCAATCCTATTTCCCACCGATGCCGTCCGGGCTCAAGGACGAATTCATGGGAACATGCCTCCACCATCGGATCTTCTACCACACCCACCTCCATCGCCCCTTCAAAGACTTCCGGGGCCCCCTTATTGAGTGTGCTTGTCGCCGAAGACGACCCTATCAATTGTAAAATCATCCAGAAGCGCCTGACAAAGCTGGGACATACCGTTGAAGTTACGATGAACGGGGAGGCTTGTGCAACTGCATTCGCGACCAAGATGGATAATTTTGATGTTATCTTAATGGACATACAAGTGAGTCTTCTACGGAGCCGGGCTCGACAGACGTACACTGACAATTGTATGCAGATGCCTATTGTTGATGGCATGGGTGCGACTCGCTCCATTCGTGATTTTGAGACGAAGGTTGGTACAGGACAGCTCTCTGACAAGGCAAAGCTCAACGATCGCGTCCCAATATTTGCTGTCTCGGCATCATTACAAGAGTCAGACAAGCAGAAATACATTGACACGGGCTTCGATGGCTGGGTCATGAAGCCCATCGACTTCAATCGTTTGAATGTTCTGTTCAATGGGTTGACAGATGCGGCCATAAGAAAAGATTCAACATACACCCCTGGCGAGTGGGAAAACGGCGGATGGTTCTGAGCACCACCCACCAAACCACACGACCTCTTCCTCTCCGACCCAAGCATATGACTGGCTAGCTATAGGCAACATTGCATCGCTCTTAACATGTTGTCCTGATTCTCAATTCTTATTCCCTACCCCCCAAAATACCCACACTTATCGACATGTTGAAAGATTATCATGCATACGACGATTTTAATCTCTCTTGTGCGATTTATTCCCCTGGCCTGTATACGATAGTTGCCCTGGTGGTTCTTTTGTTCGTTTCATTTGGTCTGATTTTTCTTTTCTTTTCTGTTTTTTCTTTTCCTTTTTGCCCGCGGGAGCGAGCATTATACACAGATACCCTTGTTCCATGTCCTCTTGGTGTGTTTTTTTGGGAGGACAATAGAGACGGGGCGTGCTTTCCCGTCCACATGTATCATACTAAAATCGACGGTCTCCGCATTCGGCGCGAGACCACGTAAAAAATCTAGTACATTTATGAAGATCCATTGGCACAGAAGGGTTACAGAATTCTTGCCATTTGAAAGATTAAAACTAGATCTTACAAGTATCGCAAAAAGGGTATCTAACGAAAAAGAAAATCCCGCCCAATGAATGTTATCGACAAATGAAAAGTGAGTATGAGGCGCCCGCTCCGAACGTTCCACGATGTTGGACCTTGAATTGGCCATAAAGAACATATATGTTCTTCGAGTTTTCCCTTTTGGTCAAGAGTGAAGAAGCTGCTTCTCAATTGTAGAGGAGGTATCCGAGGATCCGATCCTGGGCCGCGAACACCCTTCTATGCTTCCCTCGCTTGTCTGAGATTGCTGGTCACACCATGGTGCCGCATGTTCGGGAAGTGTTGTTTCCTTCAGGGCTTGGTGAAAATCGAACGTGCTCTTGGGGACAGAATCTGCGCAAGGGGTACGGCTCTCGGCGATGAAGACGGTGGGGGACTTGGTACTCGGCCTGGTGCGGGGGTGACGGTCCACCATGTCATGAATATTGTCCGAGTTCTTTTCGTATTGCGGTAAGTGACACGTGCTGGACGGGGAACTGATCAAATTGCGTAGACGAGTGAGGATCATAAATTCCAGTTTCAGCTTGATACTGTACACCACTGCCTTGAAGCTGGCGGTGAGAGAAGAGTCCATGAAGACCACAATGATCAGGGCAATGTTCAAGACGACGACAATCATATTGACGATGAGCAGGTGGATGATGACCCGTCGACCCTCCCGACCTCGCACAACCAAGACGGGCTTGAGGGCTCGGATGGATTCGCGCATGTATATAGCGCAGATGATGAGATCTTGAACGCAGAACCCGACGGCTTCGACGCAGTCGTAGACAATGCTTCCTTGGACGATATGCACATTCGCGGGTTGGACCCGGAGCTCAGAGAGTAGGGCTATCATCGGGACGTGGAACACCAGAGCACAGGTGACGATCATGCACAGCACGAAGCGCAAGATGCGTTTGTCGGTTACAACCAGATGGAGGCGGGAATACAGGACCACGGCTTGTCCGGTCACCATGGCGCACCAGCCGATTTCGTAGAAGACGGTTGCAATAAGCTCGGAGCCATAGGATATGTAGAGGAGTTGGGATGGAACCGCGAACATGACAATGCCCCATGATGCCACCTGCATGCTCCAGAAGTAAAGACCCCGGTATTCTTTGAAATAATCGAACGTTTTCAAGGCAACCTCTAGGCCATTCCACGCCCCGATGGAGAACATGGCGATTGTTTCAAAGATGCCCATATTCCTGACTATGAGCAATCCCACGTCCGGTGGTAGGGCCGTGCTAAACTGAGAGCGCATTGTGGAAGTCCCGCTGGAAAAGACATACGAAAGCCAGCAGGGATAGAAGGTCAACAGGGAAACGGGGAGAAGAAGTTTGAAAAAAAGGAAAAGACAAAAGAACAAGGAAATATCGATTCATAGATAGCTCAAAGATTGGGTTGCACCCAAGGTGTTACAATGCGGATGCGACACTTGATAGGCCATGGGGGACTGAGGGGGGTAGGAATTGCACTAATTCCCGAGGCCATCCTGGATTGAGATTGCGTCGGTAATCCTGACCCATTGGGGTGATCTATCAATCTACGGCAGGGTCAGATAGAGTTTGACATGACGTTGGATCGTGGCTATCAAAACGGCTCGGCCTCGTTATGTTGCCCTCTTGACCTTCGTACAAAGAGCAGGTCAGGGCTCGCAGATAAACTACAAAGGAGACCAGAAGAGCCAAATGACGCACCAGTCAGCATGGCTGAAGCAATAGTGGCTGATCCCAAGAATCCGAGGCGCCTCAACCGAGGTTAGCTCATGGGCGGGTGCATCTGTTCGAGTCTGGCTACGCCTGACATCAGCATGAAGGTCGAGGATGAAAGAAAGAGCGTGCACAATCCTCAAAGCAATGTCAGTGGGTCATTCTCTTGATTAGCATCTATTGGCTGCGGAAAAGAGTAGGCGGGGCCCCGATTGCGAACGATTTTCAAGCTACTGAGTGGAACGACCGGGGTGCCGCAAGGCAGAGCGCCACCAGTCTCAGTAGCAAGTGATCATATTCTTACTGGCCAACTTTGCCGGCCTTACTCCACCTCAGACTGGCAGTAAATTATAATACTGGGATTATAGGAGCGCCCTCTATACAAACTCTTGTATTGGTGTTGTAACAGCCCCTATATCTGAGATACACGCATGGTACCTCAATAATAACATGAGGAGGGCGCTTTTACAGGAGATATCGCAGGCACTCGGGCAATATATCGAGTATATAGGGGCTTTGTTGAACTGCTGGCTGACTCCTGAGAAGGCAGCCTAGGGGTTCATACAAGAGACCTCAACGGGTTCACCTCCAACAGATCAGATTGTCGTCTCAGCAATTTGGAAACGCCTGTTACTATCAGTGAGTGGGATGGTAATAGAGCCAAATCATAAGATATCATCCCGTCCATGCCGTTCTGTTGGTGGTTCCGGTAATCCAGATGATAAGGCGTTGGATGGGGTCCGTGCCTTGGGGGAAGGCCTGCTTATTATGCCTGGTTCGAGGTCAAGGTGTAGGCGCTCCCAGTCGAGGGACTAGAGGCACAGCCCTTCAAAGTATCCTCTATAATCTCTTCTGCTAGTCTGCTGTAATCCGTTGTATTCCTCTCCATCATTTTCTCGGCTTCCAAACCTCCCCTTCCATGGCCTTCTCCTCCATCACCTCCATAGCAAGAGCAATCTCATCTACGACTTCTTCCTCTATGCCATTGGAATATTGATCCTCTCCACTAGCATCTCACAACTTATTTCGGACAACAGATACATGCACATGTGATTAAGGAGTTATGTATGTATATTGATGCAAGTTGGGAGCTTGTATGGCATAGTACTCAATAGGTAAATTACCATCCTAGATCGTAAGGCGGTGAGGGATCAGTGTATGCGTCTTTGAGACGTATGGTGTTTTGCCTTGCCCCTAACCCGGGGGTGGCTCCTAGCGCTAATTTTCAGACAAAGAAATCGAGATGCTCACATGCCCATCAACTCGAGCCTGGTCGCCGTGGCGCTTTTATGGATCTGGCTGGATCCGCTTTGTTCTCATGAAAAGCAAATTTAGCGCCATGGTTGCTGTTTTGCCAGTGGGTGCTGATAGCACTCGATCGGGGAGAAGTCGGGGCGTTAAGTTGGGCACTGATGCTAAATATCTCCCAGTGGATCTAGATCAGTAGTCCATGGGACTGTGGTGATATGATGAAGGCATGGTGACAGGTTGCTCTACGGAGCCTCAAAGATCGTGTATATACGTGCAACGGACCAGGGCCATGCTAGCGAGAGTTAAAGCAGACAAGATATAATGAGAACGGAAGTCCGGGCGGGCCATCGGCTAATCATGCATGCAGAGCAGCCCTCCCTCTCCTTTAGAGAGACCTGACAGATCCGTGTATAAGAAATGCATCAGCCAATCAATCAGCCCATCCATCCACCGGCAGAGATATGCTTTGATCCTCATGGAGGTGGAGTTCAAATCATGCAAATTCACGGTCGAAGTCTCGAGCTGCCAACATTGATTGATGGGTTGATTCTTCATTCGCAGATCTGTCACATCTCTCACCCGATTTGCCGGCAAGTCTCCCTTAGCACAGTGGGAAGGTCTGCATGCACGACTGGCCGTTCGTCTGCTCGTTCCACTTACAGTTTGTCTGGTTGAACCCTTGTTTCAATTGGTCTATTGAACGCAAATACACGATCATTAGGTCTCCTCTAGGCTCTTGAATTGGCTGAGAAGCTTGGTGCGTAGTAAGGGGTGAGGGGCCTTCCGGACCAGCTCCGCTTTGGTGAGCCAGGCCTTGCTGCGGTGAGTACGCTTGAGAGGTCGGGCATTCCCGGTCGGAGGAGTGGCGGTTCATCTTGGAGTTTCTGTTGGAGGTGTAGCTGGTGTACCTCGCTCTGATTTTGTCCTATCGGTGAGGGCGGCTGGCTGTTTCGTCGGTATCTGCGCACGCAGCACGTGAATCAAGTGTTTTGGTTGCAGAGCTGGGCAATGTATCCATCCCCTGAGAATGGAAGCCTTGTTGGAGACGCAAGTGGCCATTGGGAGCTGCTCTTTAGCCCATCCCTTGGCCGATTGGACCAGTACATCTTCGTCCTCCGTGGCCGCCAATATCTCGACCACCGTGTTGAGGAGACTGCCCAGGGCCTCTTGGGCAAACCGGTCACCCGGCCGCAGTATTCCCCTCCATACTGTAGCTCTTTGTAGAAGTGTCTCTCTAAAGGAAGGCCGTCATGTTGTCGCCCTTGAGGGGTTGACACCTTTTCGCGGGTTTATGTTTCCAAGTTACGGCGGCCGCTACAAGGGGAAGGAGTGGTGAGGTTAGGATCAAAGGATTCAGGGAACTTTGTGCGTTACGGGCCCAGGAACGCCGCGGCTGCGGAATATGTGTCTTGCAAGTCGAGGGCTCATCTAGATGTGATAAAATGGGAGACAAGCTTGGCAGCCTCGGTGCAAACACAACAAACAAAGCACATCCATCTTAGCTCCAAAGCTGCTTGTCGGAGTATCGCGCATCCAACTATGGTCTCGTTTTGGCCCTGGAAGGTTAGATTCATATCCTCAAACTTGCTACCTGGTAATCTAATGCACAGCTAGGGCGAAGACAACTCCCCCGCCTCCTTCGAGAAGACGCTGTCGACTCTCTCCACGAAGATCACCCAGTCCACCGCACGACTCGATCAGCAGCGCCAGACCTCCCGACGCTTCAAAGCACTATGGACGTTGTATTCAATTTTTGCGTACATACTGTACTCGATTATCCTGGCCCTCGTCCTTGGTTGGGAGAGCTGGTCCATTAAGGAATATGCGGCAGTCACAGGCGGGCCTGTTCTGTATGGTCCTTTCCTCCCCCACCTTCAGAACAAATTCAGCGGTGCTAATGAGGTATGGATGGGCAGGATCTATCTAGTTCGGTCTTTAGGCGGCCGCTTTTTTGACTATCGCATTTCGAGATCCCAAAAAGGCTTGGACGACTTGCAAAAGCAACGCGACGAAACCATCGAAAAGCTCAAGGTCGCGACCAAATATAACTCCACACAGCAGTTACTCGAGAAATATGGCGGCGGATCCCCTGAACAATCACCAAGCCCCAAGCCGAAATCCCAGGATGCCCAATCAAAGCCGCCCAACCGCCAACAGCCACCTGTCGGCCGGACAGGACTTCCACCCCCACCCACCGCCAACATTGTCCGCAATCCTGTCCAACCGCCTCGTCCCGAAATCTATGATGCGCCGCCTTCACCAAATCCTCCTTCGCAGCAACAGCCCTCGTCAAATCCCCCTCCTTCCCCTCCGTCTCCGCAGACCCTAGTCGATGAGCCGGGCTTCGCGCCAAATGCATTTTCCACCGGGGCCCAGTACATCGAACAGCCACATTGGTACGACCGACTCTTGGACGTTTTGCTTGGCGAAGATGAGATGCAGCCCCGCAACCGCATGGCTATGATCTGCTCATCTTGCCGGCTGGTCAATGGTCAAGCCCCTCCTGGAATCAAGACGCCCGAAGAGCTGGGCCGCTGGCGGTGTGGTAGCTGCGGTGCGTGGAACGGGGAGGAGAGCGAAGCCACTCAGATCCTGTCAAGCTTGCGCCAGAATCCAGGGCGCCCTGAGGGCACATGGGAATCCCAGGCACACGCGGAGACGTCGCCTGAACAGCACGTGCGGGATGAAGCAGCGGATGCAGCTACAGAGGAGGTCAAGGTAGAGCCTGAATCAGATCCAGAGACTGGGGAGGCTGATGAGGCCAAGCAAGAGCCTGTACGGAGATCTGCCCGCGGCAAAGCAGCGCAGTAGATAGCTCTTCATAGCGGGTTCAGTTTTCGGCGTTGTCGCGTGTTTAGGGTGTTTAGGGTATCATAGCGAAACCTCATCTTAGGTGTTTGCGCATACTGCCACGCATTCACTTTTGGAATCACAATCAGCCAGTTACATGAAGCGTCTCCTGGAATTCTTCGCCTATCTACTAACACTCTTAATGCGTCTACTACGGCAGTTTGATCTGGCAATTCCCCGGTCACTCTTGGGTATAAATCCATCAGATGAGGCCTTTCCATGGTGTGAGATCAACTCCTTAATATTTCGGTAAGACCAAGTTGATCATTCTGGTTGTAGGAGACGCCACCTGGGCACCTGGGGAGCCCTATGCCATGCTTATGTGAGCCATCTTCGATTCACCTGGGCATGTCATTACTCCATTACTATTAGGTATGCGACTCCAGTTCGGTCCATGAGACTGAGTTGCTTGCAGCTTACCATGGACATGAGCTCCTTCATGATTTACCACCAGTCCTACGAGCACTATCGCTGATCGACAGCTTGAACTAACTGCAGTTGGCTCCATCGTTTGCCCACCCGGCATTGATGCAGCAATGGGACCATTCATTTGTATGCCCGAGGTTGGCAGATAATGCCCAAGAAGATGCTGGAAGAGAAGATTAAGTGGGTGGGGACAACTTGGAGTCAGTTTTGGAACCTGTACCTTATCGGCGCCAATTTCTCCACAGAATCGGCCCCTCAGCCCCGATCCTTCGTAGTTAAAACGGTCGAATATAGTTTCCTAAAGGATTTGGGGCCATGGCAGCAGCGTCATCCTGTCACTTGGGGGCTAACAAACAGTAACATAAATATCTTCTTCCGGCGACCTTATCTAATTCATTCCTTTGGACTTGACCTTGAAACGCTTAGACCCTGGCATCAAATCTGGGAAAAGTTGACTTTCTTTTTCAGAACGAACCGCCAGACGCAACCAACTCCGTGTTTATTATTATTTCAGCCTTTTGTCCAATAAGGTGCATCCTAGTGTTACAGTGCCCAGGTGCGGCGTCTTGAATTAGAAACAGCTTGCAGCCCGCAAGTTCTTCAAGCAAATACACGGGCAGCCACTAGTCATGGTGATCAGTTACCGAGGATATCGAGATGACCCGAGGCTGAAGGTGAGATTATATCCTGGAAAGGCCTGAAATGACAAAGACATGTTCTTTATTCATAACTGAGCTTTCTATACCTGCATTAGCCCCCGAGTTATCCAAGCAACTGCCTCCACTTCTTACGCTTGCTCCAGACCAGGAGCTCACCTGAACCAGCGTCAAATGGCACCTGGATCTCACTTAATATCGCCGTTGTTGGGGCAGGAATATGTGGACTGGTGGCTGCTGTTGCGCTGGCTCGTCAGAACCACACGATCACTATATACGAGCAATCCGATGAACTCTCAGAGGTGGGGATGACCTCGGTGAAGTTGCAAAGGCCAACGTAACTAACAGCCTTGAAGGTGGAAACAGGCATTCAAATCCCGCCTAATTCCGCACGTCTTCTCTTGAAGCTGGGACTGGGTCCTTATCTACAGAACTACGTCACGGAGCCCCAGCAGATGTCCATGCGCCGATGGAAGAGCGGAAACGTAATTGGCTACACTCGAATGGGGACCGAGCTCCGCAAGCAATTCGAGGCGCCTTACTGGGTCGTCCATCGTGGGGACTACCATAAAGCACTTCATGATTTGGCTGTTGACTTGGGCGTCACTATCAAACTTGGCTCGAAGGTTGTCTCATACGACAGTGCTGCACCTAGCATCTCTTTAGAAGATGGCCAAATAATCAGCGCAGACCTAGTGATAGCGGCTGACGGTAAGTATTTTTGACACACTATGATCAATCTTCAACGAATGAACTGATCCCTGTATTCAATAGGTGTGCTTTCGAAGGCCCGAAAGATAGTTTTGGGGGATGCAGACCGACCGCCTCACCTCACAGGCTTTGCGGCGTACCATGCTGTAGTTGATATGGATCGAATGCGCGAGGATCCCGAGATTTCTTGGCTTTTGGAGAAGCCGTCGCTCAACCTCTGGTCCGTTGAAGCCCTGCATTTCCACATCGGTGATCATTAACAAGGATCACAGGGTTGGCGATAACCGGCATGTGATGAGCTATCCTCTCAGCTCCGACAAAACCTTCAATATGGTGTTATCTCATCCTGATAATTCGGACGGCACAGAGTGCGGCGATAACTCTGAAAAGCATCTACCGGACATGCAGGAGGAATTTGCCGGCTGGGATCCGGTGTACGTCCTGAAGTATTCCCTACAAAAGTGACCGAACTGACTATGAAAAGCTTGATGAAGATCATCGGCCTGATCGATAGCACTATTAAAAGGCCCCTATACAGCGGCTCGCTGACCAGTCGACTGGTGCGTGGCAAGCTGATAATCCTAGGCGACGCGGCTCATTCCATGCTGCCATATATGTCGCAAGGTGAGTGCAGTTCGAAGACGTGATAACCAGTCCGTTCAAACTAAGAGTGTTATATGAACCGTCGATAGGTACCGCGATGGATGTCGAAGACAGTGTCGCTCTCGCGCAAAGCCTAAGTAGAATTACAGCAAAGTCTCAGATTCCGTTAGCATTGTCGATCTTCGAGACTGTTCGCGTTGAGAGGGCCGTGCAGGTCCAAGAGGCTAGCCTTCTGAATGGGAAAATTTGGCATTTCCCAGATGGCCCTGTCCAGAAGGCTCGAGATCTTGCCATGATGCCGGAAGTCAAAGGGCAGTCATTTTCGCACAGCCCAAACCAATGGAGCGATCCCACGACGCAAATGTGGTCTTATGGGTGAGTGTTATATCAATCGATACGAGCATAGATCTTTTCAATGCTGACAGTGTCCAGATATAATACAGAAAGGGAAATAAATCTGGAATGGTCTAGGCTGCAGGTATGATACTGGGTCTGCTATGAAGGCTCAGTGTCTACTCTGGCACACCAGCATCCCGTTTTAGGCAATGATATCTCTTTGTAGCGGCTGTCTGTCTTGCTTTTCTGTTGGACGTAAAGCACTTGGTTGACCTAGTCACTTCGAATCCAAAGATATTGTACTATTTTCATGATCTTCGTGAGTGGGTTGGGGATGTCATGAGAGGCAAGTTCGTACGCTTGATGATGCGAATAGCTTCACGGAGGGAAAGACAGGCCTACCACATCCAGGTAAGTAAACTGTCTGCTGGACATACAATCTGGTAATCTTGCTTCGCTCCGCTCTTCTCCAGGTCGCTTTGGTAGTGGTCAGAATTCTGGAAACAACCAATATTCCTGATTATAAGACTCGCTCCTTTCTGCTGAAGGAGATGGCAGAATCGTTCTTACCATGAGTTTCCAGATTGAGCAGGTGGAACGCGCCTTTTTCCTTAAAATGATTTTGCAATTGTTGTCAACCTTCTCCATCTGCACGCGTCGCTCTTCCACCTGCAAAGTCTCCCACCTGCACCTTACAAACTCTCATTTCGTTCATCCACTCGAAACACGAAGATTACCCCCGCATAACAACACATCTATCATGGATCTTAGCAAGCACTCTTCTAAGGGAAAGAAGGAAAAGAAAACCTTCTTCAAGACCAGCTTGGCCAAGAACGCGGCTGCGTCGTCCCGCGACCCCTCGGACAATGGTGGATACGCGTCTAGCCTTGCTGATGAGGCTCCTCTTCTGGGTGGTTCCCCCGCGGTGTCTGACAGCGGGGACCCTATCCCCGAGCCCGAGCCTACCCCCGAGCCCGAGGAAGAGCTTGTCTGGAGACTGGTAAGCTTCCGATACCGGATTGACAAGGACATTCATGTGGGACGTATGATACGAAGGCTTCGGGAGAAACAGGACCGTCTTGAGGAGAAGTTCGATGAGGCCCATGCCAAGCTTTAGAAGGCCCTGGCAATGGCCCGCGAAGCCATCTCCAAGAAAGTAGCAAGGGCAAAAGAGAAGGAGGAGGGGTTTCAGAGTATGTATTCCCTCCATCCCCGAGTTTCGATCCAGATACTAACTCAGCTTTGTAGAACTCTGACCCCCATCAATTTGCCCTCAAAAGTTGATCACTCTCGAATGTGATCTATAATGGATTTGACGTGGCTTAGACCACATCTAAGCGCGTTATTGCAGCCGAAACATACCGGCGGGGAGCATTGAGCGGGCTTACGGGGATTCCCAAGCCATGTAAGGCAGAACTTGAGAACAATTTTATTGTTCCATCAATCCTTCTCCACGCCCGACTTCTTGTAGGCTTTAAAATTAGAATTATCCGTAAAAGACGACTCTGTCTCCACAGGGGCACACTAGGAACGTTTCTCTACTCAATACTGCACGAGCTAGGCTAGTGTATTATGGCGAATCTCAACTTCGCGTGCCTCAAGGCTGTGCCAGAGGATTTTCATAGCCACTCAGAGTCGTTCTCACTTGCGTTTGACACAGTTGTGATGGCAGAGGATTACTGTCGGATGGTGTTTGGGGCGCGTATAGTTCACGGCAGGAATGTTTATCCGATGAGGCTCAAATGCCCGGCGCTTGGCGCTTGGGCCCTTTCTCCCAAATTGCAATGCTCAGTATCTCCCTGCAATCTCCGCATTTATTAGGACAAGGATGAAGACCCTCTTCAATATTCCCAAATCTGTCTTCTCTTCTCTTGACAGAGTCTTGCCGTCGTGGTACAAAATGCCCCGCCTCTACCGACCTGGGTCCGTCAAGACCCACAGAAGCCCCTTTGTGGTCAAAGTGGCTGGCCCCCACAGTGAACAGGACCCAGATCATGAAAAGAATCTACAGAAACAACTCGAAAATGTACCCTGCGATGCAAAGTGTCTCTACGTGGATGAGAACACCCCTTCAGATCTAGAATGGGCAGTGCTCGGCGCTCACTTTCAGAGCGTCGAGGATCTCCAGCTAGAAAGTGGCTTTGACGAGAATTTAAACGACAAAAACATCCCATTACATTGGCCATTAAAACGACTTGAGTTCTCGAGCGCTTGCGCCGAGCTTGTGCAAAGCCCGTTCATACGCCATGGTCTCGTCCCTCATCTCAGGCTTTACCTCACGTGCGGGCTTCGATTTGACGGCCCGACCAGCATGGAGCTCAGGGCCAAGCACCGGGAGGCGATCGAGAAGGGAGAAAAAGAGCGCCAATTTCTCAGTCCAGAAAGCAAGATTGAATTCACCTTCCTCCCTGATCTCGTAGCCGAGGACATGCAGCAACGGTACGGGAATCCAGATCGCAAGCTAGATCCTGAGAACGAACTTCCATCGCAGTCGATCAACATGCACACTTTGGAAATCATTGAAAACGACGCCATGGAGACGTTCTGTCGCATGGCATTAGGTATCCCACGTGTTCTGGAAAACCTTCACACTCTGCTTATTCATTCTACCCGTGGATTAGACTTTCCATGTCTAGGTGAAGAGATGTTTCTCGAAGCTCTACCGCAGTTGGACAATCTCAAGACATTAGATTTCTCAATTGGCGATGTGTTTTTCAATCCCTCTTCACTGCCTAGTCTTTACAAAAATCTTCCCCCAAACCTTGAATCCCTAACATTCCGTGGGCCTGCATCACTCACGATGTCAGACCAATGGGCTGACTGGGTCGGTGCGTTTGGATCAAGAGACTTCCTGCCCAGTTTGAAGGATCTAGTCTTTGTACTGGATCTTCATAGCGAAAAGAATAAGCAGACCAACTTGGAAAGTGCAGGGTTTGACCCAGACATGCTACTCCTGCACTCGATTCGGGCATGTGAAGCTTTGCATCAGGCAGCCCACGCGCGGGGTATTAATGTCATGAGACCCTCGCGGACTCGAAGTTACAAAACGGAAAGGCCAATTGATGACCAGTGGTGAAAAGACTGTTTAGAAAGACCCCGAAGGGGAGGACCTCTCTGAGTTGATTGTGAAGAACTCAAACGTCCAGAATCTCGCATTAAAAAAGGCTACTCGCAAACACGATACAGCTTTCACCTCGTTTGTCCACCTTCTGGGGAGAGACCTGTAGGTAGTGAAAGAAAAGAGAGTTATGGGGAGGTTCGCAAAACGAGGAAGTACAGAGATTGCGGAGTCGCATCAAACCGGACGATCCTTAGCGATGCTTTCCTACATTGCGGCAAGTGAAGCCTTGGGACTATATGTTGCGGTGGAAAGATGGGGCTATCACTAGGTCATTACAGACCTGCCTTCTTGTCCCCTTCCGAGTTCTGCGGACCGAGGGATGTTTGTGTCTTCCATTTGGTGACATTGGTGACAAGATTGAGACCTTGGAGTCTCCAAGATCAGGACTGATCCAGAATGTGGGGGCAACCCGTACTCGCGGAGCAGGTTCCTGTCCAGTCTCTGTACGGTCAGCGGATGTCTGGGGGAGGTATCCAAGACTGGAAACACAAAGACCACGACTGGACACTTCGCTCTCACATCGTCACTGACGCACCTGCCGTTGGACGCTAGGTCCGACAAAATTTTACCACAATTACCTTTCAGTTTTGTATCCCCTCATGTAGTCCTCTTACATTGTATTCGATTTGCTGGGTCATCCATACAGGGCCGCTAATCCACCTTCAAGAGCATGAATTCGGGATTTCAAATAGAGAATATTAGATATGAACAAAAACGACGGGCAGTAAAAAAGAAACTCTTCATAGCTTCCCGGCTGTCTATTCAGAAGTCATTAAGTGATATTTCAGATTTGATTGCGACCAGCTTAAAGATACGTGCGGACGTATTCACCAAGCGCCATGATCGCCATCGCTTGGCCGTATGGCATGGAGGTCAAGGGAATCTCCTTGTAGAATTGAACAGTGTCCCCCATGGGTGTACCAAAACTGGTATTCTGAAGTTCTCCTTTACTGTCGATATTAGCCAGAACGGATTTGATCGCCTTCTCTGCCACCTGTCGATATTGGGGCCCGAGGTATCGTTTCCGAACAGCTTTCAGGATGCCGTAGGCAAAACCCGCAGTCGCCGAAGCCTCGAGGTAAGAGTCTGGGTGATCGAGGACGGTGTGCCAGCCACCGGATTCCGACTGCATGCGCTCGAGCGCCTCGCACTGGGCGTCAAGGCTGGCAATCAGGTGCGACCGAATGGGGTCTGCTGGGTCGAGATCCAGTAACTCGATAATCTCGGGGATAGCGATTGTGACCCAGCTGTTTCCGCGAGCCCATCGGGCATCTGCGAAGTTGTGGCCGCCGTCTTCGAACGTCCAGCCGTGGAAGAACAGCCCGGTCTTCGTGTCGAATAAATACTTGATGTGAATGAGGAACTGCCTCTTGGCTTCAGCAATGTACTCCGGCCGACTCAGTAGCTTCCCGATCTTGGCTAACGGCAGGACGGTCATCATGAGCGTGTCGTCCCATAACTGCTGGTAGTTCTCGGTGTTGTATGTCTGGTGCTGCATGCCGCCGTAGCGAGTGCGGGGGAGGTCGTACATCGCCCACTCGGCCCACGCGTCCAGCCAGGGCAAATAAGTCGGATTGCCTGTCTTCTCATATACATATGCCAGAGTCAGGAACGGGGCCATCGTGTTGATATTCTTGGTGGTACCGCCCTCGGCGAATCTCCTCTGGAACCAGTCCTCGATGATCTTGAGCAGGTTGGGGTCTCCGGTGATCTCGTAGTATTTCCACACGCCGTACAGGCCAATCCCATGGGTCCATTCCCAGCCATGCCACGACTTTGTATCAATGATACGGCCGTCGTCGAGGTGAAGGAGGAATTTGCCCGTTTCATCTTTAATTTTGACGAGGTTGTCAATCAACAGGCGCACCGCGCTGTGTATGTCGGCCTGGGACGGCCGCTCCCAAGCCATGGCAACGACTGGCGCAAATTGGCTTAATAGGATACTCTTCTCTGTCAGTGATAAGATGTGGCACGGTTTATCTCTCGGATAGATATGTATAGGGAATTCTCAATACTGTTAAATACTGCGGATGGTGTCTAATACGTGATTAGTAAAGAATTTCAGGCCCCCCTCAACTCAATTTCCCCCGCAGAAGATTGGCAGCGCTTCGGGAAAAAAAAAGCACGAGCTTATCTCGGAGCTGCGGGTTGTCAAAAGGTAATTGGCTAGACCGTTCTGCCTATGGCTAAATCTCGGGGGGGGTTTCCCCGCGAGTTCAGCTGGCGTGGGGGTTGAAATGGCCGAGTGTGGGGAGGCTTACGTCCATCTGGGAATAAATAGCTGGAACTCTAACTATGAGTATCTTTGTAACGACAATATTCCGCAGTCTCTCATTGCCCCATCGGATAATATGCAGCCCGAGTCCCCCTGTTTGAGCTAAAACAGACACCAGAGTCTTGGCTGGTTGGTGGGCTTGAGGACAATGCGCCGTAGCACGAGGACTATCCTGGCACAAAGTGGACGAGTGATATTCGGAAAGGGGATTTGCTCTTCTCCATTCTCCTAGTCTATGCCGTATATTTAGAATTATCCCTTCGGGATTTTTAAACCTCCTTGCTATCATAATCTGGCTCAGCCGGATTCGCAGCAGGATCTGGGGATCGAGATGGTGAATTCTGCCGATTGGCGAATTGACGCGCACGACTTTAAGATATAGCAAGACATCTCGCATGTTTAACGACTTTCATGTTCGGTAGACCATACCTAGAAGTAAGATATCGACATCTCGCGGGTGGACACGGAAACCAAATAGATGTCTCGATGGGGCATGTCGAAATTGACTTCGTTACCAACAAATGGCTCAAATGACAGATCGTTAGATCCGGTCGATCATGATTGGTACCAATTTACCTACAGGCGTTGGATAAGGGCACCCTGTCATTTTTCATCTACCATGGGGATCGAGACTAATGCGCACCTCGAAGACGGGCAAAAGCTACAAAGCTATTCCTCTCATGCAATTGCTTGGTCTAACATGGAATCTTATATCCTGAATTAGCTAGTAGTCCTGGCTCACTACCTGCATGTATATTTCCGTTCTCGTCGAATATCCTACGAATTGGATCATATAGAGAGTCCCGGTCACCAAGTACAATATATCGAGATATAACTTCGTTAGTCAGCTACGTACCTGGCAATAAGTTTAGTCTTGGATGACGCGGTGTATAATCAGAAGCTTGCATATATTAGTGTGCAATCGGTAGGTTCCGTCGCTGTTTAGACCGACATCCGCGCATTGTTCCTCGACGTGGGGAACGCATGGGCTGCCTTCCTCGATCGCGGATCGACTCTAATGAATTTCATTTTCGACTCTCTGCCTCTCAAAAACCCTTTCTCTCGAGAGGCAAAAAATCATGTGATTCCGACCATCGGCAATGACCTTCAACTCGCCCGCCGGTGATCATCGTGGGTCGGCGGTCTCCGCCTGTGCGATAACCAGGAAGTGGGGAAAGAGGCAATCGTGTACGTACAGCAGTACGATATCTCTGGGCTGATATCTATATGCGTTTACTCGAATTTACCAAATAGTCTCTGAAGATCCCTTTGTGCTGCTTGCGAATTCAATTCGTAGAGTGCTCTCACACCATGCTCTACGTACACGCTACCATCATCACGGTCGACAGCACTCGACGCATTATCAATGATGGCGCCATCCTCGTCCGTGGGGAGAAGATAGCAGACATTGGCAAAGCATCGATCCTGAAGACGCGATACCCCACCGAAGAAGAATTTGACCTGTCGGGTCGAATCATGATCCCCGGACTGATCTCCACCCACATGCACACTGCCCAAACTCTGCTCCGGGGTACCGCTGACGATCTCGAGCTGGTTTCTTGGTTATGTGAGAGAATATGGGTGCTGCAAGGCAATTTCACGGAGGCAGATGGCTATGCCGCCGCCCGACTCAGTATTGGAGAAATGCTCAAGTCGGGCACGACGTGCTTCTTGGAAAGCATGGTAAGGCGAGAGCCCTCTCAACTGTATAATCTGTGTTGCTGATCCGCTTTATAGTTTGCCAATCGGTACGGCTTCGACGGTCTTGCTCGCGCCGTCGAAGAGTCTGGAATCCGTGGCTGTTTGGGTAAGATTGTCATGGACATCGCCAAATATGCCCAGGATGATGCCTGGGCAATGCATCCCGGCCTCGTGGAGGATCGGGAGACGTCTCTTCTTGGCACAATCAAGATGTGGGAGAAATGGAACGGAGCCGCCAATGACCGCATCCGGGTGTGGTTTGGAGCCAGAACTCCGGGAGGGTAAGTGATCAGATACCCGTTGTCTGGATATCGCTAACGGTTTACAGCGTCTCCGATGCGCTGTATAAAGAAATGACATCCGTGTCCCGAGAAAAGGGCATTCCGGTCACAATGCACTGCGCCGAGGTCAAGGCCGATCGCGACTTTTTCTCTTCAGTCTCGCATACCCCAATGTCGTACTGTGACTCGGTTGGCCTGCTCAGTCCCTCCACGGTGCTTGTCCATATGGTCCACCTGGATGACTCCGACATTGAGCGACTTTCAGCTTCAGGGACCCACGTTGCCCATTGCCCAACGTCCAATGCGAAACTGGCCTCGGGCATTTGCCGCGTTCCCGATCTACAAAAGGCCGGCGTGAACATTGGGCTTGGCACAGATGGAGCACCCTGTAATAACACTTGCGACCTCTTGCAAGAGATGAAGCTCGCTGCCATTATTCATAAGAGCATCTCCTACGATCCGACGGCTGTTCCCGCCGAATCCGTGCTGGAAATGGCGACTATTAACGGCGCCAAGGCTTTGGGCCTTGAAGATTCTATCGGGAGCTTGGAAGTGGGGAAAAAGGCTGATTTTGTAGCGATCGACGTGCGTGGGATTCATAATCAGCCCTGGCATTACGCAGCGAGCGCGGTGGTGTACACTGCAACTGGCCGAGACGTCGATGTTGTGGTCGTAGACGGCAAGATTTTGGTCCAGAACGGAGAACTGACCACGATGGACGAGATGGAAATTGTCGAAGAGGCCAAGAAGCGCAGTAAGGAGGTCGTTGAACGGGCTGGATTGACCAGCCAGATGAGCGGTCGCTGGCCGGTCGAGTAGCCGACACGAGTTACAGTCGCCCTTTTACGACGGTGGGAGATTACGAAGTAGGCTTGAAAGAGTATGTTCAACTTCGTAATCATTATGTACGTAAAATTCCCGTCATGTTCCATCCTCTCTCCGCTAGCCTAGGCCTTGTGGAGCCATAGCATCTGAGTGTTGCAATACCCTAAAAGACCTGTCAGTCCCCATTCAGAACCAATTCCACTCTGCTTGTGTCCACCAAATGGCGCATTCGGGGAAACCTGGAAGTGGGAGTTCACCCAAACGCTACCAGACTGCATCTGGCGCGCGATCCGCGTTGCTCGGTCCATATCTTTGCTCCAAACCGACGAGGCCAGGCCAGTCTCGTGGGCATTGGCCCGCTCAATGACATCCGCCTCATCAGACCATTTCAGGACGGGGAGGATTGGCGCAAAGGGCTCTTCTTGAACCACTCGTGAGTTCTCGGGCGGGTTATCAATGATGGTCGGGTGGATGAAGTACCCGCTGGACGTGGTGTCGTCAATCGGTCCGCCGAGTGCGGTCTTGAGGTTGTCGGATGCAATGGTGTCGAATAGATCCTTTGCTTTTTCGAACTGCACCTTATTCTGCACTGGGCCAAAGAAGGTGTCGGCCTCCATCCCGTTTCCGACCTTCAGTGTTTTGACGAAGCTGACCAGTTTCTCCAAAAATTCATCATAGATCTTCTCGTGGACATAGAGCCGTTTGATCATCATGCAAATCTGCGCACTGCATAGATACGACAAAATCCCAATCTGTGGTAGATTAGCGCCATATCCCAGTCTCAGGTGTCGGAAATAAAATGCGAGTGCGCATTACCTGTGGGACAATTGCATCCACGTCCACATCGTCGCACACAATGGCCGGGTCATTCCCTCCAAGCTCTAAGGTGACTCGCTTGAGCGTCTTGGCGCAACTTGCCATGACCCGTTTGCCAGTCAGAATAGATCCTGTGAACGAGATCTTGTCGATACCCGGGTGCTCGGTGATCATAGGGCCCAAAGTATCATCTCCACTCAGGCATTGGACCACGCCAGGCGGGAAGAACTTCGTTGCGAGCTCAACCAACTTCAGGCCACAGTAAGGGGTGAATGGCGATGGCTTCACAATGACGGTATTTCCAGTGTATACGGCCGGCACAATTTTTCCTACGGCCAATAGAACGGGGAAGTTCCAAGGACGATGGCACCAGCGACACCGATAGGGGTGTACCGCTGAATAATCTTCTTGTCTTCGGACTCCTCAATTACAGTCTCCGGTATCTCGATTGCGCTGAGGCCTCTGACCCATGTGCTCGCCATGCCTACCTCTGTGGCAGACTGGCTGAGCGGCTTTCCCTGCTCCATGGTTAAGGTCTGGGCGAACAGAGCCGCGTTAGCCTCGATGGCATCGGCGTAGGCCGCTAAAGCGGCACGGCGCTCAGCGAAACTTGTTGTGGACCACCTTTTGAAAGCTTCGCGGGCTGCTTTCACGGCACGGTCGAGGTCTTCCTGGGTCGAGACAGGCACTTCCGGATTAGGCTCAGAGGTCGCTGGGTTGATTCCGTGACGGGAAGTGGCCGTGGAAGTCAATTCGTTGTTGATGACATTGTGAAATGTCTATGTAGCTTGAATGAGCATATTCAAAGCGGACCGGTAGAATATCCCCTACGCACCGTGAAATCAAGGGTTGCGTTCATCATGGTCGTGTTGCTATGGTGGCGGTTGCTAAAGGGTCGGTTGTATCTGCAGGGCGGAGAAGAAGACCGAAGGAGACCAGACAGTAAGAGAACGGGGAGGTCGAAGAAGGAGCCCACCTTAGAGTAATGATTCCATCTTTATAAGTTCCCAAATCCGAGAGGAATGGATCCCGCCAAGGTCAGCAGTGCTCGCTTTCCGAACGCAGCGGTAAGGTTTGTCTTGTTTAGGATAACGCTATCATCGACTCCGGGACCTAGGTATTTACTCATAGTCTACAGCGCAGTCTTACAGCGGGGACACTCAGATTAAGTCGGTCACCTTAGGCGGCCAATCGTAGTCGAACAGCCCGATAGCCTATGGGGCCCTGGAGCTTCGTTTCTGGACGGGGCGAATCAACAAAGGCCGGACCATCAGAATCACTCAATGATCAAAGCCAAGCCAGGCACGTTGCTATACTCCAAAAGGAGGGGTGCTTACCACAAGATGCGACTTGATTGGCCTTGGAGGGCCGAACAACGAGTGGATCAGCTTCCCCAGATGCAGAGAGCTACTGCGGGGGACCCCGCAGATGCGTTTTGGCTGGGGAACAGAAAACTTAAAGAGGCTCTCGGGTTGTAAAGTCGGCATCCAAGCTCGTCTTCGGGACTGACGACCGGCACGCATGGCTACATCAAGCAGCATGAGTTTCGTGGTAATCCGGGGCTGGAAAGCGAGGAGATTCAATAGGTTGAAGCGGAATCATCGCGGAAAGGAGGTGTCTCCTGTTGATTAGCGATCCAGTGCTCTGGGAAAGGCCTTCTAATGGCTTCCAGGACGACTTTGTGCGACGTCCATGACCTCTCAAGGTATACGGACAAACAAACGCAATGAATCCGAATCATATGCCATCGACTGCATGCGCGGATAACACGCAGTTTGCGCAGCACAATTCGGAGGGGCACGGACCCGGATGGTGTCATGTGATGTCTGCCAGCCAGAAATCGCATTGGAACCGAGAAATCATTCTAGGCCTAATGGTCTGTACGAGGCTGGAATCGATATGATCACTGCCGGCGCCGTTGCATATTCTAATTCCTATGAAGACTCTCCCTACGAGAGCTCGCCGACCGCCAGATACAGTGCCAGAAGGTGGTTGAGCTGAAGAAAGATGATTGTCACTCTTGGAAAGCGATTCCCAGATAACTAGCACGACCGTCGAAACTCACAGAACCCATGGGGGGAGAGATAATGGCACCCTCTGGAGCAGCTTGGTTTGTTTGTGAACGTGGGTGGTCAGCCTGGCACTCCTTACGTATGATGGAGAGGAAAGCAGCTTCGAACCTCGTGGTGTCCCTCTGCGTACGTGTATATCTACTTCTTAGGTGCAATCTGCTTATCACTGGCGTGCGGCAACTTTTCGCTTCGCGTCCAATCTGCTTCGCGATCGCAACAAATAAAGACGTACTGACGTCATACCCGCCTAACTGGCCATTATAGCTTCAAGGTCAATGCTAGGCACGACGTATACATGCGCTACTCCCTGTGCATGCTTGACCAAGCCACACCGTCAGCCCGCTGGGACGATGTGGCGGATTCCTCGTTTCGTGATCATGCAGAGTGCCGATCATCTCTACGGATGACGTTCCCGCGTTTAGTGACTCTCCACCCAACAGCTGTCATTTCTTATTCTGTCTTTAGAGAGGCGAATTTGATGCTTGGCATACGTTATTTTTAATCTACCATGCGGGCCCCTTGCGAGAGTGATGAAGCTGATGAGAAGAGCAAAGGTGAACATCGAGTCCATATCGTAGAAGCTATAAAGCTGGCCTCTCGCACCGCCCGGTTCGACTATCCTCTTTCCAGAAGCACAATCCACCGTTCCAGTTCTTTACAATTTCTTTTCCAGACATCCTTGACAATATGCTGGGCAGCAACCGTGGAACCACGACTACTACGACCACCACCACCAAGCCGAGCATGATGACTCGGCTGCGTGGCCACAACACGAAACACAAGACTGTAAAAACAACCACCAAGACCGCTCCCAAACCCCGCAGTAAGAAGACCAACTACGGCATCCACAAGACACACCACCACAAGCGCAAGCCCACCATAGGAGACAAGGTGTCGGGAGCTATGTTGAAGATGAAAGGGAGCCTGACCCACCGCCCAGGAGTCAAGGTACGTGCGACGAATCCGCCACCCTTGGAATGGAACTGGAACTGAGATGAGCTAACAAACTGGTCAGGCTGCGGGAACTCGTCGCATGCATGGGACTGATGGACGCGGAAGCCATTATTAGTTTGGATGGGCCGGAGGCTGATGTGACTACGACTTTTTTCTTGGAGTTGAGGGAGCTTTTCCAGTTTGTTCAAGCTTATGTACTATTATATATTCCCCAGTTATTGATGAAGATTGATGTTTCAAGTCCTACATGGTTCCTACTCTCCCGAGGCCAATTCTTTGCAGACCCAAGTAGATCAATCTCGCTAATTCCTCACAGTAGAAAGGATCCGTTTTAATGGAAAATTGTGATAATGGCAATCAGTGTTTCTTTTTGCGTGTCTTCCCACGATCGGTAAGGTTGACATATTGACGTGTTCATATAGTTACGTCATCGGCCATTGGATCCAAAGCTGAGTCCCTGGAGCATTTGAAGAAAACGCGCAAGGGGACCTTGCTATGTCCATGGATGCATGATCGTCAGCACTGGAAGGTTGCTGCTCCGTGCACATTCATGTTCTTGCTCCTGCTTATCGGCCTCGCGATTGGCTTGATACCAGGGCAAGCGCCCTTACCCCGATCGGAGATCGTTGATCTGACGTATGCCCAGTACCAAGGGGTATCGCTCTACAATGGCGTCGATCAGTTTCTCGGCATGAGATATGCACGTCCTCCGGTTAAAGGGCTGCGATGGAGGGCGCCTCAAGATCCGGAACAAAGCGACGATGTGCAAGATGCAATCTCGGTAGGAACAGAGATGGGTTGTCACGCGTGGATTTTACTCGCTAACTCAATCCTAGTTTGGTCCGCTGTGCCCCGGTGTTTCACAGGCGCTGAGTGACACAGTGGCGGAGGACTGTCTGTTTGTGAATGTTTGGCGACCGAAGAACGCCTCGGTCGATTCGAACTTCCCCGTCTGGGTGTTCATCCAAGGGGGCGGATACGCGACTCTCGCCAACGCGAACTTCAACGGGAGTGACGTGGTGCATCAGTCTGGCAATGGCCTGGTGTTCGTGAATTTCAACTACCGCGTGGGCGCGCTGGGTTTCCTTGCCAGTTAAGAGGTTCGTAGGAATGGCGACCTCAATGCCGGCCTGCTGGATCAAAGGAAGCTGTTCAACTGGGTGCAGCAACACATTCGATCCTTCGGTGGGAATCCAGATCGTGTCGTCATTCATGGAGACTCCGCAGGGGCCGGCGCTGTTGCTCATCATCTGGCCGCCTATGGAGGCATGGACATGAACCTCTTTGTCGGTGCAGTGGCGGAGTCGAGTTTCTGGCCGACCACGAGGACAGTGTCGGGGATGGAGCTCCAGTTCCGAAGATTTAGCGACAAGGTTGGCTGCGGCCATGCGCATGACAGGCTCTCATGTCTTCGAGGGGTGGATATGAAAACCATCCAGAAGAACCATGTCAATGCGCCGTTTCCCGGGGGCAGCGGCAGCCCGGTCCCCTTGTGGTATTTTCTCCCTGTTGTAGATGGCGACCTGATACCCGACCGTCTCTATCGGTCTTTCAAAAAGGGCGAGTTCATCCATGTCCCTATCATGGTCACAGATGATAGCAACGAAGGGACGGGCTTTGCATATGACGCCACCAGCTCCGAGGATGTTTCGCGGTTCCTTCGAAATAATTACCCGGGGCTGGGCGATGACCAACTAGAGCAGATCGAGGTCGCGTATCCCTCGCTGCAGAATCTCCCAGGTCACGGGGCTTATTTCCCACTGGCGGCAGCGGCTTATGGGGAATCCACATTTACCTGCCCTGGGAACTATATAGCGGCAAGCGTTTCCAAGTTCTTCTCATCCGACCACGTGTGGAACTATCGATGCAACATCCGCGATCCGACCGAGATCTCAGAAGGAATGGGGGTGCCTCATGTATTTGAGCTTCCGGCTATCTTCGGGCTGAATGCCACAAACCAAGCCGCAGACTCTCTAGCTACCACCAACGCTGCGATCGTCCCCGTCGTCATGAGCTATTATATCAGCTTTGTCAAATCGCTGAACCCCAACAAGTTTCGATACGAGACCGCGCCTGTTTGGAACAGCTGGGGAAATGGAACTGGCCACCGATTACGCGTTCAGACGAACGCAACGGCAATGGAGGTAATTCCGTGGGCGCAAGCTCAACGATGCTCCATGTGGCGAGCTCTGGCGGCCCACATGGAGCAGTAACAGAACATTATATATGTCTAAAGTTAGAATCTTAATGCCACCCAAAGCCATGACATATGACCTCAGTCGCTGGGCCTGGATTGGAATAGGGCCAGGTCACTCGTCTCGTGCAAGAGTAGCAACCCGTACAGGCCACCCTTCTCTAGTCTAGACCTACCCCGCATGATTTCACGTATCTATGGATTTCTTAGCTCCTTTTCCAGCCGAGAATCATACTTCAGATGTACATCATTTGTATTCCGGTCAGCTCCGCAATAAGTGAGGGGTAGCCTACCATAGCTTATTTCCCTGGAAATCCGGGGGCGGCTCCACTCTCTGCATCATCACTCGAAATCCCTTCGAATATTATCATATTGCATTTTGATTGTATATTGGAGCCTAAATTGGCAGCAAAATAATGGCGCAGATCCCCGCTATCTTCCCCTCCCTGGCGGTCGAAATCATCGAGCTGATTACCGACTCCATGGAAGGCCAGAGTCTACTACAGCTCCGTTTAGCCTGTCGTGACCTACAAAGGAAAACCTTCAACTGCTTTGCGCGCCGATTCTTCACTTCCATCAGGACTGATCTGTCCGATGCCAGTCTGGCACGGATACATCTCTTGTCGCAACATCAAGCGTTACGTCCCTACGTGAAGGGTCTTGCCTTTATGCTCCAGAACGGCATGGGCCGGGGATTAAGCCTGACTCGCCACTCGTGGGGACCTCTTTCAGCCCCGATGGAAGTGGAGGAAATCCAAAGGTTTCGCGACAACCTCCTGAATGGCCTCACAAATTGTCGATCTTTCTTTATATTTTGTCGTTTCCCCGAAGGTCGCCCCGAGATGAGCCATGTTACTGTGACAGATGCAGTCGCAGTGTTCTTTGCGCTGTTGGTCGATGCACGTCTGCCAGTTTCGTCTTTCCATTTGATTTATGCCAATAAGCACTCGCGCACACTAGTCATGGACATGCGCCGTATCCCAAAGATGCTGTGCCGGCAACCTAGGTTTCAAGCAGTGTGGTCAAATCTGCAAACCTTGTCCCTGGAACAGTATCTGACGCTGGATAACTTTGGATTCCTCTTAGAGCTGGTGCTGAGCGCAACCAATCTGCAGACTTTATTGTTGAATCTCGGGTCGCACGATCTTGCCTGTGAATTTATGCACGAACTTGCCGAAACAGCGAAGTTTTCGAAACTACGCGAACTTGCGCTGTTTCGGACCGCAATAAAGGCTTCGGATCTCCAGAGGTTACTCGAGAGCCTCCACACGACCCTCACGACCCTCACTTTGTATCATGTATGCCTTGCTCCCGAGGGAAGCTGGGCCCCCGTTCTTCAAGACCTAAGCTGCGACTGTACCCTATTGCGACGCATCTCATTGCATTACTTGTGGGCTAGTTCTCCAGCGAAAGGACTTCTTGAATTTCCGGACTTGCGAAAGAGTTCGGCGGTTTGTGAGGCGGCTGATCAGCGCCTCCAAATGTTTTACTCGGAGAACAAAGCCCACGCGGTGTTGGGGGTCGAGTATTCTGGTGCGGACATGTCGCGGATTCTAACCCTGCTCCAGAAGACAGTGGCTACTACGTGAAACATGTCACTTCGTGGGGCAATGGATCTCTTTCCGTACGACTGTCAAGAAGCAGGATGCTATCCAATCATGAGTGGAATGTCTTAAAGTACGCGAACATGACTTTAGCCTGATTATGCAAAAGGTCGACCGAAGAGATACTCAGGCGCCCGCTTCCAGTGTAAAATGTCCCAGTAATTGTAATGCAGACGTGAATGCTCGTTCATCCCCCCTAGTAGAAGCCTCCGTAGATTCAAAACAGACAGTCCCGCTCTCCACCAAATTGAGGGTAAAATAATGTCATGAGAGTATCTAATATCAGAAAAAGCTACGCCGCGTCACGCAAATGCCCCGGCTATCGAGTTAAGGATACCGGGACTTGCGCCGCTCGAAGTTCAACATTCCTCCCGGAGATTTCGAATCCCGTATCCCTGATATCTCCTTTCAGCAACACGCTCAAGGTCATCTTCTCCTTTGGCCATAGCGTCACGTAGTTATCTGACCATACAACTGGGGAAACCTCTTCTTTAGTTGTCACATTCCTCGCAACTACACGCAGGAAGACAGCTGGTCGCTTTGACTTGTTTTCCAATTGAACTTTCAGGTGGTGCCAATCCGGCCGACCATTGCCCACTGGTTTCTCATCCGGTATCGTGACCTTGACATCGGCCTGGGCCAGAGACTCGAGTCTGGTGTAGTTTGCGTACTGCGTGACGGGGGTAGTATACCAGTTGGAATCGTCCCAGTCGAGGACATCGTTACGAGGTGAGATCCAGTACACATTTCGGCTCAGGTCTTTCTTACCCTTGGTGTCACGTAGGGTCAGGCGGAGGAATGCGATGTCTTTGATCTTCTGGATCCCAGGTACGGTCTGGAGCTGCTTGGAAGTGGTTGGGTGTGTGATGACCTTAAGTCGAGTGCTCGAGATATTCTTCCCATTCGCATCAATGAGGTCGATTGCAACTTCTCTTTCACCGTGGTTAGAAATAGAATGGTTGATCAGCCATACAGTTTGAGTGGCAGGGTCGTACGCGACGTGTTCCGCGCGAGTCCCGACTTTCGTCCCGAAATAGGCTCCAATGGGGCGAAGATAATAGTCGAAGAGTTGCCAATGGAGGTTTGGCCACGCACTGTTCAGCATCCAGTAGATAGCGCCAGTTGCGGGTCGAGTTGCGTTCTGACGAATAGAGAATGCTTCAAACTGGGCTCTGGTTGCTTCGAAGTCGGCCATCTGGCATTTGGCTACATAGTCCTCCAACCCAGTCGGCTCTCCATACCGTGCGTAAAGGGCCTTGTTGTAGATGGACCGATCGTAGAACGAAGATGAGTTGCTGGACATGTGATACAGGCCGGCGTCTCGCTCCGACCAGAACGTTTCCAGATCACCGGGCGACATGAAGTTCCGCAAGCTGTCCATTTCTGGGGTCCCCACGCCCGCCCCAAGTTCGGACCCAAAGCCAAACGCAGCGCCCTCTTTGTCTCCATACCAGTAGTCGGGCGGGACCCAGTCGTACGGACCATCCATCTTCATGCCAGAGGGACCTAAAGCTTCTGGATATCCGCGCTTGCTGGCTGAAGCAATTATCGGGTTAGTCCAATCCATCTCCGTTAGTGCATCGAGGTAAACTTTCGTGGCGCGATCATTTGGCCAGTAGTCCGATCCCACTAGGAAACCGAGGACTGAAGGACTGGATTGCATCATCTCTGCTTCGTGAAGCATCTGCGCCCTTGCAATGGGATAGTCGGAATCTCCCCATTTCACGCCATCTGCATCATCATTATACTATCGTTCGAGTCAGATACCTAATGAACAGACGAGGGAGTGACTATGAGATCCTAGCACTTACCGCCCAGCCTTCCCATTTGTCACAACACTCCCATCCGGCCAGCACCATCAATCCCATCCGGTCTGCAAGATCATAGAGCTCCGGATGCTCTTGCTTTCCTTCGAGGCGGACCGTGTTCAGCCCCATGTCTAACACGTATTGGAAAATCGTCTCGACCCGCTCCAGGTCAAACCGCAAGAATATGTCGGGGGTGTAGCCCGCTCCTAGAACTTGGAATGGTTTCCCATTTACCTGGAATGCGGTGTCGTTATAGCCATTAACATACGATGACACATGACGAATTCCGAATTGGCGAGTCGATGTATCGGAAAGACGCAACGTAGTGTCTTGGATCATTGTGTCTACAGTCGCCTTATACAGGTCCTGCTCTCCCCATCCCGCAGGCCACCAGATGTGAGGACCATTTACAGTGGACTCAAGCTCCACAGTTTTCCTCTCACCTGCTCGTAGGGTGAACGTACCGCCAATCAGGACTTGGTCAGCCCCGATAGGATCAGTGATAGTTCCGTTGACAGTCACGGGGACGCTGTGTGTGGCTTTATTGTGGAGCTCAGTCTTCAGGGTGATATTCACTGTGTCGGTGCCTTTGGCCGTGGGGTTGTGGAAATCCGTGATCACGCGAAGAGAGGACATGGACACGGCGCCTGTTTGGAGCACTTCCACATTGCGCCAGACTCCAGTTCCATTGTCTGCGGGATAAGGATTCCAATCCACAAAACCCATGGCAAAGTTGCGAAGATAGCTTGTCGGATACGCCCTTATGAGGATACAGTTGGTCCCAGCCGTGAGGTGACGGGTCACGTCGTATCGGTGTCCTCCGTATGACCCTTGCTGCTGCTCGCTTGTCGCAATCTGGACCCCATTCACATAAATGTCAGCTTTTGAGGTGATGCCGTGTGTCCTCAGCGTATAATGTTGTCCAGCCATGGGCTTCACGGTGAATTCTTCTCGATAGAGCCAAGGAGCCCGAAATGCGGCATGGCCTGACAAGGCTTCCATGTTGCTTGAGTAGAATAGGTCGGTCTCATTATACACGCCATTTTCGATCAACCCTGCCATTACGGTCCCTCGTGGGCCAACACGATACCATGAAGATACATCAGTGCCTGGCTGCGACAAACTAGCTAGGTCTTGGGTGACCTGCGTAGAAGATTGCATGCTCCATCTTGGGATGATCGACCTTTGACCCGGTGACGAGACCAGAGGCTCCGCACAAGCTGCTGTTGCGTGCCACAGCGCGAGTAGTGCAGCGCTTCTCATCCAACAATACATGGTGGACATGCGGGCTCGCCTGTGCTTATTAGTAGATCGATCGTCCTTCTAGGGCGCCAGGAGAAGCTTTAAGTATTGAAGCCACCTTGCGCCAAGATGGGATTGTAGCATTGTGGTCACACATTCAAATGTTACATAGTCGATCAATGGCTTTATTAAACCCTCTCGTGTGAGTTTGCATGGAGTTGCGCTGTTAGGAGTCGGCGAATCCGGCGAACCATGGAATTTGCCGGTCCATTGGTTGGGGGCGAAGGATCATGCACCCGCAGATCGGGGTCAGGCACTAACCCCTCTCAGGATATCCTCAGATGTTCTGGGGTTGTGTAAAGATGAAAAGAAAAGACCTCCGGGCCATAAATCGCTACTCCTGGGGGCCCTGGGCGGCATCTCTGCTTCAGTGCCTCATAACTTCTATACAGACAAAGATTAAAATATACGCGTTATCGTAGGATCACCTACGACAAATCCTGGAAAATTGCAATTACCATATTCCCTTTTCGGTGATATTGTCTAAATCACCCTTCTGTGAACAGAATACTGATTCATTTCTCCCTCTTCCCTTCAGCGTTCTCCCCTCTCGTGTCCTGGCGATATTTCAGACGAATTACCCGTCAACCACCTCGTTTGCGGCCCAGACATTTTGTGCAGACCACTGACTTTATTTAGAGAGATGATATTGATTTGTCACCAGCTCTGGCGAGATAAACATTACATTATGCGTCTTCACCACCATTACCGACAGCAGAATCCAGACATCTTTCCCACAATTCTTTAGATGCAGACTGCCTGCTGGGGAGTCTACGCCATGCTGGTAAGAAGGAGCACCATTTTGAAGCTGCCAATCATCTAAGCATGCCTGAGTGCTCACTATCAATACGCTCTGACCTGTGCTAGAGTTGGGCATATGACTCAAGATAGGCCTGACGCGAGTTCCTCCTGGGCAGAGAACCCATTTGGTGCCAGAGTATATTCCATCCAGTCATGCAGGGCATAAACTGGAGCAGGCGGGGCCGTGGTTGCAACAGCCGGATTAGCATTGTAGGAGAGCACGTTGGAGTCCTCCGTGTTAACCCACTTCTTTGAGCAGAAGCTGACGTTCCGTCCAGGTTTCGCTCGCCATTGGAAGGACGAAGGGTTTGCTTTCCCGATACATCCATTAATGTTCCCCGCAGGACTCTGTTGCTTAGATCTACCTTCTTCAACAACCAGAAGGATTCAAAGTTGACCTTCCCCCTGGGCAACCACGGTAGTTTTGATTGGCGGCATCGCCTCCGGAGCTCTTACTGCTGATTCGGCTCGATCTGCCCAAATGACCAGAGTGTTCCATTCGCCGCTAAGATCTGCACGAGATCGCCCGATCCAGTCCCAATAGCAACCAAACCCGCGAGCAGAAAACGGATCCGTGGATTAGCAGTCATTAGCGAAGGGGACACCTGAGCGTCCACATCGGGAGGCTCCAAGTCTTGCCCCTCTGCTATGTCCATCAGAACCAAGGATGGTGGTTGGCTGGTGTGGCTTTTTCAGCCACTGACGTGTGGCTCCAAGTGGTGACATCGTCGATCTTGCCGAGGCCCAGGGGCAACTCTGGGGTTCCAACCTTTGCCCCGCTGCATCTTCTAGGAAATAACTAAACATAACAGAGTGATAGAGGATCAGGCACAGGTGCCCTTATCGCCCCTTTGAAGGGTTATGACGACAGGCTAGTAGTAGATCCGTCAAAAGCTTAGGTTGAAGTTGACGCGCGTGTGCTGAAAGGGTGACATGAGCACCGACCCCACTTTGAACCGCACTTCCTTGGTTCTGCAAAGATTGAAGCCGGATAATACAGGCAGGTCCGTTGGGGTAAAACCACAGGAAGATCTGAGATGAGCTTGGAACACCATGACGTACTATAATCTCGCGATAGAGACTCGCAACAGGAAACCATAAATAGGAGCAAAGCGCCCACCGCAAAATGTTCCCTTCATCACACAATCAACTTAAACTACTCAACTCTTTCTCAAGAAACTCTTCTCTTACCATCATCCACAATGGAGACCGTCAAGGTATGTGAACCCTTCCAGTGGCATTCTGACTCGCCAGCTCGGACTCCTGTCTAACATCTTCATAGAACGCCGCCAACTACGTTACCGAGACCGTCCAGAGCGCTACCTCTGGCGCCTCTAAGGAGGCCAACAAGGAGGTCGCCAAGGACTCCGATGCCAAGCTGAGCACTCGCGCCAACGCGGCCGTCGACGCCATCGGTGACAAGGCTGACGAGCACAAGCACGATGCCAAGGCCGATGTCAACAAGGGTAAGTTCCTTAAGGACCAATCTTTCCAAACACACGAACTTGAAGCAGTATCTAATATTCGAACAGAGGCTGCTAAGCACTAAGTGCATTTCATTGGAACAGCCGGTCCGATAAGGCCCGTGTCTTGCTCGCGAGGGCCTCTTATTTTCGACGTGGATATATTATGCTTTAATGATTTAACGCTTAGTACCCATTACAAATACTAGCATGATGCTCTCATATGCACTTCCCGATCAGATGTAGTTTGTCCTTCCGAGGAGAAGAAACATAGTCGTAAACAAGGTGGACGAGGCGGATGTATGCTGGTGGTATTAGTACCAGGCAGTAGTACTAGCCTGGGGCTCACTTGTGGTAGTGCTGGGCTTGGTGTGGTACAGAAGAACCAGGCGCAAATGTAAAGAACTCGCTTGGCGAGTCTCCAGCCGCTTCAAACGGATCAATCATTAAACTGGGGTATCCACATCCTCCATCCGAGGTCGACGAAAACACTTTTTATGACCGCAGCGCCCTAGTACGTTGAGACCGTAATGTTGACTGTTTCACAGCCTTCCATTGTGTCGTCGTTCTTGCCGCCGGTGTTACGGTAGCGAAGTTCGGAGCCGCAGGCTAGAGAGAAGAAAATTGTCGTTAGACCCAATGCCTTCTGCGAGAATACCAAGCATGCGGTGGAAGAGACTTACCGAGCCACCCATCGAAACTGGGGTTCGTGGTACCCACGTTGCCTTCCTCGTCAACCGTGAAGTCCGGGCCTTGGGCATGGTCGGTGATCATCACGCGGCTTGCCTTGTCTGTAGCCGCATACCCGCATTGTTAGAGTCGGCCGATCATCATTCCAGCAGATCGCGATCCTACATACCATTGTTCATAAGGAGGGTGATGGCCCACGGGTAGAAGGGCGACATTCCTCCGTAATTAAACAGGGATTGAATCTGGTGGTCGCTCCCATTCCCCAGAAGAAGGGCAGTGCCGAGTTGTGGTCCTTGGTGAGCATCGCATAGCTTTCGCTGGTGTTGATATTGTCGACATCCACATAGAAACTGTCATCAGTCGTGTTGCTTGTCGTCTTCAAGTAAAACGGTTTCAAGGCTTGGGTCGCAGCGGCCGTGGCAGCCAAGAGGAGGAGGCTCGCAAGATGCTTCATTGGGTCCAGCGTTGATCTGCGATCTGTCGCTTGTCCGGGTGGATGGAGGTTGGACCTGGAGGAGCAACGAAAATCAAAGGAAAATCAGATTAAAATCAGATGACAACCAGGGTCCAGCTGGTCAAGAGCCGCGAATTCCATTCCCATTAGCTAATAAGACTCAGCCCATTGGGACCTTGGGATCGCCCGCACCTTCGTAAGTGGACCCGGCTCCGCACGAGGCTCGTTTTCTCTTCGCAAATCTTGTGTTTTGCCGCCTATTTTTAGGCGATTTGCTATTTGCTGTTAAATTGCCAAGAGCACTGCCCGGATTCTGGCGGAGAATTGAAAGGATGCCAAGCTGTGCGATGCTGGTCTTCTCCGAGGATTCTCCAAGCCTACTCCGCTTCTTAATGCCCTTCATGGTCGCAGCGTACCGATACCACTGAGCGAATGCATATCTATATGATCTCGTCCAAAATGGCTTTCTTTACAGCACGTGACTCATTCACGACTGGCCGGAGTTGGGCCAACCACGTTGCTGGGGCCTTATCGACCTTATCGAGGATCGGCCAGTGCGGGGGTGTCAACCATGAGGGGAAAGGTGTTCGCTTCTCATGACTACTGGAGTGCTTGGAAGGAATCTCGAGTAATAAACGGCACCATAAAGCAACATGTCATCTACATACCTTCTATGGATCGCTGGCAAAAAGGGACCTGGAGGAGAGACTCCGTACGTCAAGTATGCCCCGCGTTAGACACGAAGGCTCATTAGCGAAGGATCCCGATCGAAGACCCGTCCACAAAAGAGAGATTCGCTGAGTGAGTTGCTGTCTATGCAAACATCTGGCGGTCCTGATCTCACAACCAGCAGGTGTCACGCGGCGTCCAAGGAAGATGTCGATCGAGCAGTACGTGCCGCCCACGAGACCTTCAAAGCGGGGATATGGTCCCGAGCTAGTCGACATCACCGGGCAGATGTCCTGGACAAATGCGCGGACCTGCTTTCAGCGTCCTTGCCAGACCTCATCGCATTGGAGGTAAAACAGACCGGCCGCGCCATTCGGGAAATGAAAGCTCAGGTCCCATCGCTTGTCAAATGGTTCAAATACTACGCCTCGCTCCTCCGTGTCGAAGAACGACCAGTACTTCCGACGACTGGCAAGCTACACAACTTTATTGATCGAGTGCCGCTAGGCGTGGTTATTCAGATCACCCCGTTCAACCATCCCCTGCTTATCGCCGTCAAGAAACTCGCGCCGGCCCTCGCAGCCGGCAACAGCGTGATCCTCAAGCCAAGTGAGCTAACTCCACTCACTTCTCTTCTCCTTGGAAGTATCCTCCATGAAGCCGGGGTTCCCGCTGGAGTATTTAGCGTTCTGCCGGGCTATGGTGCAATTACTGGTAAACATCTCGTGTCACACCCCCTTGTCAGGAAAGTGGATGTCACGGGCGGAACTGTGGCTGGAAGAGCCATCGGATCAATTGTAGGCGCAAATCTTTCAAAGTATACTGCTGAATTAGGCGGCAAGGCCCCACTGGTGGTTTTTGAAAGAGCTGATTTGGATGTCGCCGTGAATGGCATTGTATTTGGGAGCTACATTGCAAGCGGGCAGACGTGCATTGCCAGCACAAGGATAATAGTGGAGAACAGCGTCAAGGACGAGCTTCTGCGAAAGCTCAAAGCCAAAGTCGAAGGGATCACTGAGCGTATGGGTGCACCCACGAACCCAGATTCTAGTATGGGCCCCTTGATCTCAGAGAAACAATTACAAAACGTGGAGCGGTTAGTCAGTGACGCTGTCCAGAGTGGCAATGCGGACGTTCTTGTTGGTGGGACGAGAATGCACGGTCTGAGCTCTTTGGATGGAACCGACTTCGATCGTGGCTACTACTTCGCACCGAGCGTTTTACAATCTGCGGGCGGGGCCAGTAGCATTTTAGAGACAGCCATCTGGCGCGAAGAGGCCTTCGGGCCTGTCATTGTGGTCATTGGCTTCGATAGTGAGCGCCAGGCTATCGAACTCGCCAATGACACCCCATTTCGGGCTGGGTGCGGGAATATGGACAAACGATCTCTCCCAAGCATTCCGCGTATCTGATCAAATCGATGCAGGGATAGTCTGGGTCAACACTCATCATCGCAATGATCCTAGTAGCCCCTGGGGTGGTGCTAAGAGTGCCAGTGGGGTTGGTAGTGAAAACGGAATCGATGCATACCATGCATACACTACCACAAAGAGCACGATCATCAATTACGCCTCCCCGAGGAGTCATTGGCATCGGATGATTGGTTTGGTCATGCATCGGACAAAGTCCGATATGGTTGATCAACTGGACAGAATCACTTGCAGGTACTATACTCTGCTCCTAGCCCCTGTGAGTATTCTCAGTTGAATAGGACCAATAGACGCCAGCTGGATGAAATAAGATCTTCTACTAGGATAAATCTAAATAATAACGCGCCACGCGAACTTAAGGAGACAGCGTGTAATATGAAATGGAACCCCTGACGAACCTCCCTATAAAAAAGGGTGCCTACTCTAGCTAAAAGGACAAGCTTTAGTCTTTGTTCAGACCGGAACCCTACTGTGAACGCTCCACTGCATACTACTATCTGCCTGGTCAGCTTGTGCCACCCAAATATGACAATTCCCTCACAGGTTCAAAGAGTACAAGACTGAGGGAGGCCAATACTACTACGAATTCGGGGTGAAACAACTCAATTGTAGCAGGATAACCAAACTAATCGCTGGGGAACCCTTCGGTTCCCTTCGCGGTTTGTTTATATATTGTGCGATTTGATTAGCGAGCTATTATGTGGGTCTAAGTCGTACAATGTGCGCGCCGAGCCTCCGAGGGCTCTCTCCGCGATTCTCGGAGGTGCCTTCGTAGCTAAACAAAGTGTGTCGTGACAATTATGATCCAATAAGAATTGGTGGTGTAGGATATGTTATCATGGATATATATATATATATAATGGGGCAGGTAGCGAAAGCGTTTTGGGGCACCGCGGATGGTTAAAGGTGGTGAAAACACGACGCGTCGAAGGTTAAGATAGGGGCTGCGGAGCTTACAGTGGGATTGCAAAGATGTGGACTTGCCCACGATCTTAGTACGAATAAATATGTCGAGCTCACGATGATGACGACAAAGGGAAGCGATATGTTCCAACCGCTCAGACACTGTTTCAATGCGTGTATCAGGCTTTGCAGGTGGCATATTTGCAGTTACCTTGGCGAGCTGACTGCAACTGCTACTAATGGTATATGGAACTAACTAGTAGTGATACTTTATATCCTTATTCGCGGTTGGTTTATAACAGACTCTGCAGTTCCTATTTCACCATGAAAAAAAAGGCCCCTTAAATCTCTTAGGGTTATTAACTAGGCTCAGTCGTTTCTTTGGTCTGGAAAGAATGGGCGCGTTCTCCGGTGCTGTGCTTTGTCTACCCACATCAGTCCCCACATCCATGCATGACGGTGGAGCGGGGAATTACGTTGAGAACTGTAATGAAAGTACCAGAAAGCGGGGAAATCCAGCGACAGTCGTGATCCATCAGCTAGGTAATTCCGCACTCGAAGAGGGGGAAACTGACTTGCCGGTGATCCCTGTCTATTGGGCCTCGGGTGCCGGCTATCATGCCCCCTAATAGTCAGCCTTCTAGTAGTGAAAACCGCTTTCATACCATTGGTAATCTGCTATTCCAAGACTACACTCTGTGGCCCGAAACATGGACAGTATGAGATCGCTATCGCCCCAGTTTGAGATTCCTACACACTGCAAAGCCGGTGTCGTTGTGAACGAAGGACCTGACTTCCATCTGGAGGTACAGGAGGTGCCAGTACCGGAGCCAGGTAAGCTCAGTCGACAGTCATTCAAGCAAGAGCTATCTCCGACAGAGGGATTCCTGCAGGCCCGTACGATGTACTTATTCGCTTGAACCTCACCGGCCTATGTGCCTCCGATATCCACATGATGAGAGGAGATCTGGGCCTTCCGCCCATGTCCTCCTTCGGTGTACGCTCCCCAGGTCATGAAGGAGCAGGTGTGGTAGTCAAGATTGGGGCCAATGTGCGGAACTTCAAATTAGGCGACAGAGCTGGCATCAAGCCACTTGTGGATACCTGTCACGCATGCACTTTGTGTTGGGATGACAAAGAGACATACTGCAAGGATGCAATCCATTCTGGCTTGATGGTACCAGGTGAGCTGGATACTCAATACTCAAGGCCAGTCTGGGCAGTTCTAATCGACCGTGGAATACCTTAGGGACGTACCAGCAATATGTGGTTTCCCCCGCACGCTACGCTTCGCCCATTCCTGACGGGGTCCCTGACGAGATCGCAGCCCCGATCATGTGCAGTGCAAGTACCATATTCCGATCGCTGTTCGAAGCGAACCTGCAGGCAGGATCCTGGGTTGTTTTCCCTGGCGGAGGGGGCGGCGTAGGGATCCAGGGAGTCCAGCTCGCAAAAGCGATGGGACTACGGCCTATTGTGGTAGACACCGGGGATACTAAGCGTGCATTGGCCCTCAAGATGGGAGCGGAGGCCTTTGTGGACTTCAAAGAGTCCCCCGACCCTACAAAAGACGTGGTTGATATCGCCGATGGCGTTGGGGTGCATGGGGTCTTCATTACAGCCCCTGCTGCCTACAAAACTGCCGTCTCATTTGTAGGCGACCGCGTCGGGTCGGTGGTGATGTGTATTGGGCTGCCACCCCGAGGCTCGATGCTTCTGGGGGCCGATCCATGTGACTATATCTTCAAGAACTTGAGTATCAAGGGAACTTTGGTGGGAAGCCGCCGGGACACTGCGCGTGCGCTGGACTTTGCCCGGAGGGGAATGCTACATCAGATCAGCGAGGTTTACCCCGTCAATCGATTCCCCGAGGCTGTGGAGAAGCTGCGCCGCGGTGAAGTCGCCGGCCGCATTGTGGTTAAGTTTGACTGGGTGGAATAGCCATCCCCTGTCTTTAATTCCACGTATGTCCTATCTGGGGTTAGCTGCTATCCTCAACAATCCTCACTACGTGCTATGCTGCGTGAATGAATTTGATCCGGCTTGCAAGAACCCCCACGTTTCGGTGTCTCCACGTTTTCATGTCTCCACTTGGTGGGGAAGGGTCTGACCACCGCGCAATGCAACCCAATCAGACAATATAGACGGCTGTACCCCGGATCCAGCACTCCCTGCCCGATTACCCCGTTATTTGCAGGTCTCCGTATCCCAGGGGCTTAGGGTTCGGACGACTCCATCATTACAGGAATCCAACCCGCTACCCCGATATTTAGCCGGCCCTCTCCACAAACGAGGCAGCAGTGGGGTCTCCCTACGGCGACATCGCCGACTGTAGATTAATTCCGTGCTTAAGAAGCTTGGAATTTCCGTTCAGTTGTAAGCCCCCTCTCAATCGCCTTCCACTATGTCTATGCACTTGCTTTTGACTGTCCTCGCCGTGGGCGTAGGCGCCCAGGAGGTCTACATAACTAAGACTGGCGGTTCTGCTCGACCACATTGCACAGCGCCAATCGACTCGCCGAGCTATTTCTTTCAGCCATTTTCTTTTACCTTAAATGAGACGGTCAGGTATATCATCACGTTCTGAGATCCACAATCCTAAGCTGACAGCTCAAAGATACGCGACATCGGTGCCTTCTCTTACGACTACTCGGAAGTATGGGCCTGCGCCCACTGATGCACTCAAACATTTCACTACAAGGCTGTCCACCACCACTTGGGGGAGTTGGCTTCCTGGTCACACCGCGGTGGCTGCTAGTGACACAGCTGACCCCTATGGCCAAGCTGCCTGGTCGTCCATGTGGCTGAGCGCGGATCTGCAAAATTATGTGAGGCTTCTGCTCCTATACTCGTCGCCGTTATGTAAAACTGAACATGCCCCCCAGACAACTACAGGGATCTACTCTACGACTGTCAGCCCCACCCCGGTGCCGAGGAAGGAGCTGGTTCTTCCGCCGGCTGATTATTTCAGCCCTACCGACTGCTATGACTTTCCTAAAGACTTTGTTTTTGGTGTTGCCGGTAGCGCGGCACAGATTGAAGGAGCCGTTGGCTTGGAAGGTCGTAGCCCTTCCCTTCTGGAAAAACTCATCGCGGACGATCGTCCAAAGGACTATGTGACGAACGAGAACTATTTCCCTATACAAGCAGGACATTCAGCGACTGGCAGCCATGGGTGTGGAATACTACAGCTTCACTATCCCCTGGACCCGGATCCTGCCATTTGCCCTACCCGGCACGCCTGTCAACAAGCAAGCCATCGACCACTACAACGACCTCATCGACACGGTTTTGGACGCTGGAATGCAGCCTGTTGTCACCATGCTTCACTTCGACAGTCCTCTGCTGTTCTTTGCGGGCGATAACATCAGTAAGTTTGCATGTGTTCAAAAGGAAGGTTCCTTGACTGATGGGAATGCAGCGCGGCATCCGGACATTGGCTTCAATAACGCCGGCTACCAAAACGAAACCTTCGTGGATGCGTGAGTTACTGACCAGCATGAGCTCGAGGTGCTATTTACTAAGATCATCCCATCTAGATTTGTAAATTATGGCAAGGTTCTTTTGACCCATTTTGCGGATCGCGTGCCAATCTGGATCACCTTCAATGAGCCGCTTCTCTACTCGTTCAACTTCCAAGGAGTTGATAACGTGGTTCATGCGCACTCTCGCATCTACCATTTCTACCATGACGAGCTCAAGGGCTCCGGGAAGATCGGGATCAAGTTCAATGATAACTTTGGAGTGCCCAAGGATCCCAAGAATGCGAGCCATGTTGCAGCAGCCAATCGGTTCCAGGAGCTACAGCTGGGTTTCTTTGCCAATCCAATCTTCTTGGGGAAGCAGTACCCTGATTCTGTGCTGAAGACTATGCCGGGGGCGCGAAAGCTAAATGATTCTGAGCTAGCCTACATGAAGAATACGTCGGATTTCTTCGGCATCGACCCCTACACTGCGACAGTCGTATCCCCGCCGATGGAGGCGTTGATGCTTGTGCCTCGAACACATCCACTGCCAACTCACTCTTCCCGTACTGTGTGAAACAAGAGACCACCAATAGGTACGGGTGGAACATCGGCTATCGATCTGACTCTTATGTTTATATCACTCCCACGTAGTGAGTACTGGCAGCTGCTTGTGGGCCGGAGCTTCGACTAACTCTGTCCTTAGTCTGCGTGAGTACCTATTTGATATCTACAATACCTGGCGCCACCCTGTGTTTGTCTCGGAATTTGGCTTCCCTGTATATAGCGAGGCGACCAAAGATCTACCCGATCAACTCTTTGACTCGCCCCGCAGCATTTACTATCTGTCATTCATGTCAGAGATCTTGAAGTCCATTTACGAAGATGGGGTCCATGTGATGGGCGCCCTCGCATGGAGCTTTGTGGACAACTGGGAATTTGGAGACTACGCGCAGCAATTTGGTATCCAGGCTGTCAACAGAACGACCCAGCAACGCCATTACAAGAAAAGCTTCTTTGATCTGGTGGACTTCGTGAAGACTAGACAGCCCAAGCAGTAGATCAAGCCGCCAGATATGTATCTAGGAGTGACCACTAGTATCAGCTCCGAGTCTGCGAAGAACCAACAGCACTTGCTTGGGTTGCATTGCCCGTACAATTTAACCTCATCCAAGTTCCTCTAAAGCTCATGATTACCCCTAAGTACTAGTTCCCTCCTGTGCGACCATTCACTCCTTGAAGGGCCGCGGCACTCAATGGGTCACGTGGTAGCTCCCCACGCGGGCAAACCACCGAAACCCGTAGCTTCCTGAGCAGCAGCTTGATCTCCACCGGGTCGCTTTTGTCAATTCTTTGTGTCCCTTTAGCGAAGTCTGCAGTTGATGGGGATTGCTCCCAGCCATGGCAGACTCCTTCACCCTTCCCTCCGCGTGACCGCGGAGAAGAAGGATCAACCGGACACCTTGCCGGTCGAGATCGCGCAGATTAACGAGCAATGGGGTTCATTTCGAGATGTGAACGAGGATATCCTTCAGGCAAAAATCGCCCAAGAGCAGGAGCAGAATGGCGCACCACCATCAGATGAGGAGGCTGAGGAGACGGACCTGGACACAGCCGAGCGCCGCGACCGTTTATACAAGAAGCGCAATGAAATAATTCAATTCGCCGCGTTGGTCTCCTGCACCCTCACTGATTGCTTTCGCTAACCTGCATACCCTTAGACAATCCCATACGGAAGCTATGTTTGCTCTCGATTTCGTGTCCCTCCTCTTATCGAAACACGCGCCGCGACAGGCCGAAACGTCCATGTCCCCTTTCCTGAAGCAAGTCGCACCCCTGGGCTCTCTCAATGGCGAGGTTGTCAACCCCCCAGCGAAATCCGAGGCGGCGCTGAATGATATTGCGACCGTCTCTCGGGGATGGAGAATTCAGAACTTCAATTCGGCCTCTTCAAAGCTATTAGATGCCGCGTCCAGGCTCGACTCCGAGGTGACTGCTGAATCTCGGTACTGGAACGAAGTGCTAGCAGTGAAGGCGAAGGGTTGGAAAATTGCAGGTTGCCACAAAATCGTCAAGCACTCGGAGTTCAGTACGGCTTCCCTGGAGGCTACACCTATCTTCCGAGACCGTGGCCTGGCTTCTTTGCGACGATCGGCGGACGGGGCTTTGCTCCTAGACAAAGGACTCATTCCAGCTGGATCTAGATTCGTTCGTGTCCGCGTGAAGGAAGGTTCGAATATTTCCAGTAGCTCGCGACCTTCTGAACAGAATTCGAGCAACCCGGATTCTGTGGAGTATCAAATCCTTCAAGCCCGTGACTCTGTGTTTGAGGAGGAATTATACCATGAGCTGGTACGGGAAGCTCGAGCCATGGCACCATCCGGTGTTACAGTCCGTCAAGATCATATCCGCGTTCCTGCATCTGATGATCTGGAGATTTTGCTGGATCTTGTCGACTCAAATGATGAAAGCCTTGGCTGTGGTCGGAACTCAAGCGATTCAGAGAATCTTCTCGCGGATGGCCTTGCTCACTCAATCCGAATTCTTCTCGCCTTCGCTCATCGCCAAAACCTCCACCGCCGTACGCAAATACCATCACCATTAACCGGCAAGAAACGTCCTAATCCCGAATATCCTCTTCTCCGCCCTGCCCTTGCCTACTTCCAACATCTATCTTACGTCCGGCGGCTTGAATCATTTCTCCGCGATATCTATGGCGTTTTGCATAAAGCTGGCTTAGAAACACCGGATTTCACCATAAGTAGCTTCATCAACGAGTCCAAGAACCCAGGCCACCCGGCCCCCCCAACCCTGGAGGTTCTCTTACAAAATTCCTTGTCGCCCGTTAAGTCGGTCTTCCGTGGGGATCTTCTCAGCTCTGGTAGCAGCTTCGAAATTACCGTTCGCACCACTTTACTAGCGCCGCCACTCGGAACTGCCTACAAAGTTACCGTCAACTCTCCTGCCCCCGATTTCAAGTCACCTGGCCCCCTTGGTCTCAGAGAAGAAGTAGAGGCTGCGATTATACACATTTTATTGCTTGATGTCGTCGGGTCTATTCCATCTCTTGGCGAAAGCGGCCCGCCGACGAAGACCAGAAAGCGACCCCTGCGGAGGGTCACTTCTGGGAGCCAGTCTACCCTCATCTGGGCGAGCTCGTGCTAGCCGGCCAGCCACGAAAATATAAGAAAATGAAGGTGTCGTTATCCCGCCACGAACTGTCGCTCTCAGTCCACAGGGTGCGCAAATTCGACGCGCTGGGGCATGGCGGTCAGGAACCAGAATCACAACCGTCAAGACTGCACGTTTGGATATGCAATCCTTCCGAAGGCACAACCGCCGAATCTTCTCTCATAGATTTTGTGTCGAGTCAGACATCGTGAAGTTCCTTTCCTGATGTGGCGGTGAAAGAGGAAAAAAAAGCATTTAGCCGGTTTGAGACAACCAGCCGCACGTCTCTACAACGCATTCCCAATTGAGGATTTGGAGACAAGAGCTATATCTCAGCATTACAGTCATCTGGCGTTCAGCGGCATTCAATCGGCGCTCGATAGCATATACCCTTTATGAAATGAAATTCAAACACATGCTAATCCTTTTGAGAACTTCCATGTTGCGAAATAGTCTGTAACCGTTTGAGTTTCACGTCGGCCACCCTCGGTCTCACTATACTATCAGATAGCGCTATCAAAGGGCTTCCATACCTGGATGGATGACAGATCAGAGCTTAGGAGTCAAGGCACTGATCGATTCAGAGGTTGCGAGAGTATTTTGCAGCCGGCTCTCACTCAATTCATATGCGCCAGGAAGCCACTCGTTCGAGCCCTCGCCAAGTATCATCGAAACAAGGGCATCCCCACACATCAGGCAGTTAGCCATGCCATACCCATTAAACGCCGCAGCAATCCATTCGCCTTTCCCATTCCGGCCCGTCAGCGACGATGAGAGTCTGCCAATGAGAGGCAGCCCATCAGCCGAGAATCCCATTATCCCGCTCCAGGAGCTCACCAGCTTCCATTGCGAACCGGGCCTTTGGCCAAAGAACTTCGGCAGAACAGATTGGAGATGGAGCACCGAGTTGCTCCCCACGAAACTGTCATCTGCAGAAACAGCATCCTCGATCCGCGTGTTTTCGCCGCCAAAGTAGAAGTAGCCCGTCTTCGCACTCTGGCCGAGGTAGTACAGCCCGTAGCCGGATTCTTTGGTGGTGGGATCGTAGGTCGGTGGGTAATGGAAGCCCCAGGATAAATGTTGACCTTGATTAGGCACGGAGTTCCCGGGATCTTGAACTGTCATTGTGCCTTTGAATGGGTGGATGTGGCCCCGGAGCTCAGGGATCAGATGGCCACTATACCCATTTGTGCAGTAGACCACATTGGCCACTCGCGAGGGTCCTCGCGGGGTCTGGATGGTGTACGGAAAGACCGACGTAGTTGGCGTGATGAAGCTGGAGTCATTCTGGACCGACTCGACAGGCGTGTGGGTCTCAATGGTTAGCCTATTCGGGCTTCTTGAGGAGGTCGGCGAAGATCTTCGTGACGAGTCGATAGGGCCACACGGTTCCTGCAGGAAGCAGGGCTCCCCCTGCTGCTCCGTGGATGCCATATTCCTGACGTCGGTCAGCTTCACCACATATCTTCCAAACATCAATTCGCCAACCTTAATGAGTGTTTCCTTATCCAGTATTGTATACAGCCCTTTCCAGGAGGGATGGTCGGATTCCAGACGAGCGATACTCTTTTGAAACCCCTCGAACGAGTCCTCGGTTAAAAACGCTCGTAGCTTCTTCAATCGCTGCATCTCGCTCAGTTCTTCGGCATCGTATTCCTTGATCAGCTCCTGCATTTTCTGCAAGTTGTGGAATGTGAACGACACAATCTTGCCCGCCATTTCAGGACCGTGGGCGTCGGCGAGATGGGCATACTCTTCGCCCACGTTGGCGGCCATTTGGCCTCCATTTCGGCCTGTCGCACCCGAGCACAGCGTTCGGGCTTCGAAGATGGTTATCGTGGCTGATGGGTGTCGCTCTAGAAGGCTTTTGGCGACCGACATTCCCGTTATCCCCGATCCGATGATAGCATAGTCGCGTTCTGTTGGCAATGTCGCAGACTGTACATTTGCCAGTTCATGAGGGATATGTTGCCAGTAGGACTGGTCGGATTCGCCGAGGAAGCCCCGGATCAGCGACTACCAGCTTCGAAACTGCGCAATGGGTCTGTTAACTCGTCTGGGGGTTCCCCTTTGCGCCATTGGACATGAAATGCTACGTGAGAACGTACCAAGCTCTCTGTTAGGCTCCATGACCTCTGATGACGGGTAATTCGGGCGGACGCCCTGCTGTACATTCAGGGGGGGTTCTTATCTGGGATTGAACCCTGATATGAAATTATTCTTAGGCTGTGCGGGGTTTATCTTATCGAGACGGATATACATGCCTGGTTGGGATGAGATGGTCCTAACCCACCAGATAGATTATCGGGCAGTTCCTACTAGTATTGTAGGATTGACATTAAGCAGGCTCATCAGAAGGCTAAGGCGTACGCTTTATAGTTCTCCTAGGAATCCCTTGGTATAGTTATTGATCGCAACATCTAGCAAAGCCCCAGGGCCACTCAGAACGGGAAGATGATTAGCGTGCCATAAAAACCCAAGGCATATCAAAAATTCTGAAGATATACAATGCCATGAACGTTCGTACCCTTGGCGTTTTCAAAAGAAATAAAAAGATAAAAATGTTCTAGCAAAGCTGACCGAAAAGTATGTGGAGCCAATCTCCGGATACTCCCCGTCACCGCTTGAAGGCGATCCAGGCTTGTGCAACATTAGTATGCAGAGGGGGCGCTATGTAAAGCATTGACCTACTTTCTGAAGATGAACTTCCCTGGTTGGATTCTTCAATGACGTTTTCTGGGCGATCGGCACTGACTAACCAACGTGTCTCTCTGTGGAGTTGCTTCCACCCGTGGCTCCAGGAGACGTCCAATTGGATCTACAAATACGGTATGAATTGTCCGTGTATTTTGTATTGCAATTAATCTCTTGAAATTGACGCATGGTACTAAAGATCGAAGTGGTGGATGTAGGCGAGCTCATATGCTGAGGTATGCATGGACATACCAACCCGCATTCCACGATGAGCTGTGGCCACGCTTTCTGCGCGGACACTGGTATGCGAGAGATTTTATAGATTCTTTCCTGTTTTTACCTCCTTCGCACAGAGAGTTATATATGTGTGCCCTGGACTCGCTACAGGGCGCACCGTTTTCACACCCTTTCCAACCTTTCGTCATGAAGTTCTCCTCTGTTGCGCTGGTGCTCGTCGCGTTGGTGTCAAGTGGCTTTGCCAAGAAGACATGCACTCCAAGCTTTGATTACTGCGCGGACGTGTTGATCAGCGATAAAGGTATGATGCGCTTTGCTCATGTCCTTTGACTTTGACGCCTTCTAACTTCGCACAGGATTTACCGAGGCCGACTTGAAAGATGTGCTCAAGGGAACCGACTTGGAGAATACGCCTCTGAAGAACGTCCTTTTCCACTGCAAGAACCCGGGTGACGTGGGACATCCTAAGAAATGCGACAACGGATGCCAGGATCCCAAACAGGAAGGCAGTCACTCATGCTCGGTGTAAGCAGTCTTGTCATAGAATACAATGTTGTGTGGAGGATCTGACCATTTGGCAGCTAAATTCTGTTTGTTTGGACTCCGTATCTATTTTTACCGGGAGATGTCAACCACGCAATTTCGATACACCTTTCAACTGAAAATAGAATTCCACCTAATGTCGGAACCTGGTTAGAATTGAACTCATACGTCAAGTTGGAAACTCGGAGTCGGTTCCTCCCTTCTATGCTATAATCTCAAAGCTCGCGAAAGGTACTTTTAGGAACCCGGGGTATTCAAGCCCCCTGCTTGTTGCTGGTGGGACACTACCAAGCAACTTCCTTTCCGTCATACTGATTTTTATTCTGGCCCCGGGGTTCTTCCCAGCCGTCGACTTGGATGTTCCAGAATTTTCCGTTGACTTCCGGTCCAGCCCTTTGAATGATATCCAATGTCTTTTCCGCGCCGACCTCCACTGGGAGGTCGGCGTACTGCGATCCCAGGTCCGTTCGCAGCCACTATTCAACGTTAGCAATCAGCGCAACAACCCTGGAATCCTCTACAGCGTTGGAAGAACTCACTCCAGGGCTAATCGCGAGGAAGGTAAATCCTTCGTCCTTATACTTGTAGGCATACTGCAAGCCGAGCATATTCAGAGCAGCCTTGGTAACTGTATATGCCGGCGATGGCATAGGCTGATATATGTGAACCTTGGAGAAAGCACCCAGAGTAGTGGAGCTACAATTATAGTTAGATCCCGCTCTCTCGAAGCTCCTGAACCATGACCGCGTCACTCACATGTTGATCACAATCTTCTTTCCCTTGCGAAGCAGAGGCAGAAAAGCTTGTGTCACGTAATGAACTGCAGTAACGTTCGTATGAAACACCTCGTCGAGAGTATCCCTAAATAAAAAGGATTAGCGCTCTTCACCTGCAGACTTTGAGCCATCGTAGACAATCCAACTCCTTACATTCCCTCCAGTCCGTTAGGATGGTAGTCCATGACACCCGCATTGTTGATCAGGTAGTCCAGTCCCTCGCCCTGTAGCTTCTTTTCAACTTCGTTGGCGGCCTCCTGGGCACTTTCTTTGACGCCAACGTCCAGTCGAACCAGCTGAACCCGTCCGTTGGACGCGGCTGCGAGCTCTTCAAGCTTTTGTGGGTTACTCGATCGGGCAGCCGCAAAGACGATACGCACTTCAGTCACGGGCTTCGCTGCCAGCTGGGTCACAAGTTCTAGACCGAGGCCTCTCGAGGCACCGGTTACTAAATACGAAGCCATGGCGGTCGGCTGGGGTTTGGTGCTTGCGTCGTTGAATTGGGTATCACTGATCACTGGATTGAGTGGGAGAAGTGATGATGGGAGGCAACTATTCTTATACGATGAGCAGCGGACCTAACTAATCTCCGCTTAAGCCCGCGATCCTGAATGTGTAGCTTCTGATTATGGCAGAGCTTGCTGGCAGGAATCCAGAAGGTTTGGTCGCCAGCCTCATGGGATTTGTCATCGGAGCTTCAGATATTCGGCATGTCGGTGTTAATTCAAGCCTGGTGGTATCATCCACGAACCCGATATTATAAATCGATAGGAATCCTCATACCACATTGAGGGCGACGTATTCGAGGAGATGGGTCCAGGGTCGCCCATTTTATGCCCAAGGCATCAATATTTCCTATTTAGGTCGGCATTCCGAGCATTGTGGGGTTGGACGGAGTTTGCCATTTCCTTCTATCTTCTAGCTGCTTCTCGACGTTATCGGACATAACAAGGAAGCCGTTTTGCTCTGATAAAAGGCTGGCAAAATCCTCTAGCGGAAAAAAGGATAGTGGAAATATATTAACGGTGTTATACATCGTATGACTACTAGGTCTGACGTCGCTTATCATGCCCGTTCGGCCATAGGGAGTTGTGAATGATTCCCATTACTGGCCCCATTTTCTATTGCATTGTCTTCGCGGTAGACACAGGAATCTTGGTCACCCCCTTTACTCGAATATGTCCAGCTGTCTGTCCCTAGGGAGCTTGGGAACCCCAGTCCTCGGATGAAGGCTCTGTGGGGGCTGCGTGGACCCCATGCCCAACCTGCTCCACGCTGGATGGGGAGATGATACATACGGAAGCCGATGAAGGCAAAGAAAATGCCCATGGCAGATCCGAACAGGACGTCAAAGCCATGGTGACGGCAATTCGCCCATCGAGACGCAGCGATAAAACACGCGGTCGCGGTAGGTACGAACGCCAGAACCATCAGCAGAACTGGAGGGGCGGCACCTCGCTTTCGTGCAGACTGTTGATCATCAGTGTGCGTCTCATTTTTGACTGGATACACTGAAAGATAAGGGAATCCGATAGAGAGCTTGGCGGCGAACCACAAGGTCAAGTATCCGAGACCGGCGAACGAGACTGGATGGAAGGAGTCAGCAGATGTTCACAGCCCTGGAGGAAGTGCGACGATGTGCGTTGCCTATACCGCAACTTACAAGATGCATGTCCGCTCGGGAAACTGGAAAAGCCATCGATTTTGACGAGGTTGGTCTTGACCTGGCAAATACCCCACGTCACTAAAATAGGGGCATCCTGGATGTGCGTTCCCAGGCCGCCGACCATGTAATCTGTGATTTTCGACAAGTCTGGTTTACAGCGATCCAGCAGGTCGGGCCGCGGCTTTCCGACCAAGACCTTCAGACCTTGGGTGGACATCCAGACGCTAGCCAGTGCGAGACCTAGCCCCATCCAGCCCGCGTTCCATTCCCAAACTTGCGACGCAGGACCTGCGCGGTAGAAGGCTTGATGCCCGCCGGGGCAGCGGTTCCGGGGACGATTGTCCATGCGCCGATCAGGATAATGGCGGCGGGGGCCAAGAGCGATACCAGGATCAGGGTTTTCGTGCTCACGGTCTCTTTCTTGTCGTATGGATACGAAATGGTAGGATCCGATAGAGAGAAGGGGTGTTGATTCGGGCTCTCTTTGTAAAATCCGTAGCCGATCAAGGCGACACCACTAGATACGCAAGATTAGAAAAAGTGGAGGCGGACGGGAAGAATGGGGCATCATCTCCATAGATCGGAGAGAAGCCTGAGAGTTTATGTTTAGACGTACACGATGAAGACCCAATCCACAACATATGAAAGGAGCAGCACCTTTGAGATGTGCACCTTTGAGATGTGCGCTATCGCCTGTTTTGGTCCCATGTTGAATTAACGGGGCTGGCCTCCTCACGCTCGACCGATGGGCGTCTCCTTGAAACAGTTCGGCGGCCTTGACCGTTCGGTATAGAGCAGGGACGGTGTCGGAGGGCTCAGATGATTGGCGCCCGTGGGCTGTGAGATGATGGGAGTGCGCAAGAGACGCGCGAGATGGAGGACGGAAATCGGGGATGAAAAGGCCTTTTAAGCCAAACAGGCGCGACGCTGAGTGTGGTCGTGTGGCCCCGTTCACGTCGTGGCGGAGCGCGTGGCCCCGCGGCTACTGAAGTTTAATCGACGACAATACGAGGATAGCACTGCTTATGGGCGCTTCCGTGATGATCATATCAGGGCAGTATCTTGCTGCCTAGCTTCATTGTCCTGACCAGCTCTGTCTATTAATACGTGAGATCCAATGGGTTGGCATGACTACCTGCAAATTGGTCCACGGGTGTTGGCGTGGCGCTTACCTACTTGAGTAGCGCTGATCTGGGGCCGCGATCCCCCAGCGTGGGCTGTAATCACCCTGGGATGCTTGATTTTCGTCACAGAGGGGGTCTTCAGGCGCTCATGGAAACTTCGAGTACCCCAGCACTAAGTAGTTGTTTAGTCGAGGCAATTGGCGGGGTTGGCACAAGAGGTCATGCAAAGTATGGAATGCCACCTCATAGTAGCTGTGTGCCACAGAGAAAGGCGGGGGTGGTTGCTCTCGAAGTACTGGCTTCACGGGCTCTGTTATAGATTCCAAGGCAGGACGTACCATGTTCGACACGGGTATCCAAGCTCGTTGGCCCTTCTAACTGACAACTGGTGCGTAGAAACAGAGGGCAACACCCCATAAGAAGGAAGAGGATCACATACTTCGAGGTCAGTTTGGGGGGGGGGGAGGCATGGGAACCTTCAGCTGGGCCCGCTACAAGCCACACACGCCTGGGAAGACTCATTGGATGGTCCAATCACATACTGTGTGCGCGAGTCACAAAATGGATGCTGCTCTCAATTAGGTCTAACAAGGACAATCTCACTCCTCATAGCAAGGAATAGTTCGGGCATGTGGGCACGCATGCATAGTTCTAAACAATCGGGTCCACATTTGAGCGAACCACAGTTCGACTCAGCCGCAGGTGAGGTCATAGGTTGTCTCGGAGCGATGCTACTACGATGCTATTTAAAGCGATGAATTCCTCCTTAAAGGTGGCCAAATTCCAGAAGTCATTGTCTCTGCAACGATCTGAACAATCGGAATCTACAAGATGGCTCTGAACGGTAAGATTTGCTCTGGTAACTGGAGATTTGAAGAACCTAGGGGCAGAGACCGCTCGAGAACTGGGTCAAGCGGGCCTCCAGCTGGCATTACATTATAACTCGGCCAGTAGCAAGGCGAGTGCACAGGAATTGGAGGCTGAATTTAGAAAATCCTTCCCCCAGACATAGTCACCTTTTACCAGGGAGATTTGACTACGGCGAATGGGGTCGACCGGCTTTTCGAGTCCGTGCTGGAGGACTTCGGCCACTTGGACATTGTTGTCAATACGCTCGGAAAGGCTCTGAAGAGGCTGACTCCATGTTTGCATGAGTTAGTACCTTTTGACAACAGGGGTGGCGGGGAGTTGGCAATTCGCATCCAGGATCCATTCCAGGCAACTTTTTTCATACTACAGGCGGCCGCGCAGCATGTGGCGGACGACCGGAAGATCATGTCGGTTGTCACCGCGTTGCTGGGCACCGTCACGGGCTCTATACCTCGTACGCCGGCTCCGAAGCACCTGTCGAGCACCTCGCGGAGTCTGCAAGGAACTAGCAGGGCGCCGAGTGAGCGTCAAAAACGTGGCTCCTGGCCCAATTGACACTCGTAAGTGGAACCCATGCATGTCTTCCCGGGAAGGAACGGAGCTGGTCTCCCCACAGTGTTCTTCGATCCGCAGGAGTCGCGCCAGGCCGATGGAATTTCACAAGAGCAACGGTATGGGCAATCGCCTGACGGTTGTCAAGAACATTGCCCCATTGATCTGATTCTTGTGCACCAAGGGGGCCTAGATCTCGGGTCAGACCATCGACAGAGGCTACACAACACGTTAGAAACAGCAGGAAGTAGCAGCAGCGGCCCTCCAAGGCGGCAGAAAGAAAGCTGAAGCCACAAATCATAACCGTTGCACGTGATCTGACAACCGTCGCTAGTCCCAAAAGGGAAGTGGGCGGTGACATCACTGCGTGTCCGCCTTTTTTTGGCTCTTTCCATGATTAAATAGTGATTTGATCGATTTGACCATTTTCCAACGTAAAAATTGGAAACTGGAAAGTGGGACGACAATCTCTCATTTCCAGTCTAAACGCCCAATCCCGAAGCCCCCATATCTTGCGCTCAAAACGGGTTTGGGGTCTCTTGATATCATTCGTGTCGTCACTCCCCATCACCCCACTTCTACTTTTTCTCACCGAATTTGGTTATAACCCCTCCCCGGTCTGCTCAGCTCCGCAACTTTTCCTGGTCAAAATTGACCTTCAGTTCCCGTTTGCTCTTCATACTATCTCAAATTGGCTCTCACTGTTTTCGACCCCAGGTCGGCACCCTGATTCCAATATGGAAGCTCCAAAGATCCCGGTCGAGCCACCCAAGAAGCGCCGCATTGGTGTCCTAACCTCCGGTGGTGATGCCCCGGGCATGAACGGCGCCGTGCGTGCTGTCGTCCGTATGGCAATTCACAGCGAGTGCGAGGCCTACGCTGTCTTTGAAGGCTACGAAGGCCTGGTCAACGGCGGCAACATGATTCGACAGCTACACTGGGAGGATGTTCGAGGCTGGTTGTCGCGTGGCGGTACCTTGATCGGTTCTGCGCGTTCCATGGCTTTCCGTGAGCGGGCTGGGCGTCTTCGTGCTGCTAAGAACATGGTTCTGCGCGGCATTGATGCGCTAGTGGTCTGTGGTGGTGACGGTGGGTCAATTCTCTCCCTATGTCCCAGGTGATGTTTTGCCCTACGGACAACGACTAATCCCGAGGTGTTTTCTATAGGTAGTTTGACTGGTGCCGACGTCTTCCGTGCAGAATGGCCAGGGCTGTTGTCAGATCTCGTTGCTGCTGGCGAATTATCCAAGGAGCAGGTCGAGCCCTACAAGGTTCTTAATATCGTCGGATTGGTGGGCTCGATCGACAACGACATGTCGGGCACCGACGCTACTATCGGGTGCTACTCCTCTCTCACACGAATTTGCGATGCCGTCGACGATGTCTTCGATACGGCCTTTTCACACCAGCGAGGTTTCGTCATCGAGGTCATGGGCCGTCACTGTGGATGGCTTGCTCTAATGTCCGCCATTAGTACTGGCGCAGATTGGCTGTTCATTCCTGAGATGCCCCCGAAGGATGGCTGGGAGGATGACATGTGTGCCACCATCACCAAGAACCGCAAGGAACAAGGAAAGCGCCGCACAATTGTGATTGTGGCCGAGGGAGCCCAGGATCGCCAGCTCAACAAAATCTCAAGCTCGACTGTCAAGGATATTCTGACTCAGCGTCTGGGCCTGGACACACGAACCACCGTCCTCGGGCACACCCAGCGTGGTGGTGCCGCATGCGCATATGATCGATGGCTATCGACTCTGCAGGGTGTCGAGGCCGTCCGCGCCGTGCTAGAAATGAAGCCCGACTCTCCTTCCCCCGTTATCACCATTCGTGAAAACAAGATTTTGCGTACCCCCCTCATGGATGCCGTCAAGTTGACCCAAGACGTCACGGCAAAGATCAAAGCTAAAGAATTCGCAGCGGCGATGGCTGAGCGAGACGCCGAATTCAAGGAATACTACGACGCTTACCGAAACACTGCGACGCCCAATCACCCGAAGATGAAGCTCGCTGAGGACAAGAAAATGCGCATCGCTATCATCCACGTCGGTGCACCGGCTGGTGGCATGAACCAAGCTACCCGGGCTGCCGTTGGATACTGTCTTACCCGCGGACACACTCCATTGGCTATTCACAATGGATTCCCTGGCCTTTGCCGCCACCATGCCGACACCCCTGTCAGCTCTGTTCGCGAGGTGAGATGGCTGGAGTCGGATAGCTGGGTCAACGAAGGTGGCTCTGACATCGGTACCAACCGAAGCCTGCCCGGCGAGGATTTGGAAGAAACTGCCAAGTGTTTCGAGAAGTACAAGTTCGATGCTCTCTTTGTTATCGGTGGATTCGAGGCCTTCACCGCAGTGAGCCAACTGCGTCAGGCACGCGAGAAGTTCCCCGCCTTCAAGATTCCCCTCGTTGTGCTGCCAGCTACCATCTCCAACAACGTTCCAGGCACTGAGTACTCTCTGGGAAGTGACACTTGCTTGAACACGCTGATTGACTTCTGCGACGCCATTCGCCAGTCTGCTTCCTCTTCTCGCCGCCGTGTCTTCGTCATTGAGACCCAGGGAGGCAAGTCCGGCTACATCGCCACTGTAGCCGGTCTCAGCTGTCGGTGCAGTCGCAGTCTACATCCCCGAAGAAGGCATCAACATCAAGATGCTTTCCCAGGATATTGATCTTCTCCGTGACAACTTCATCAAAGACAAGGGCGCTAACCGTGCGGGAAAAATCATTCTGCGCAATGAGACTGCGTCGTCTACTTACACAACCCAGGTGATTGCTGACATGATCAAGGAGGAGGCCCAGGGTCGCTTTGAATCGCGTGCCGCGGTCCCAGGTCATTTCCAACAGGGTGGCAAGCCTTCGCCTATGGACCGTGTTCGTGCCCTGCGGATGGCTATTAAATGTATGCAACACATCGAGTCTTACGCTGGTAAAGGCCGCGATGATATTGCAAATGATCCTCTGTCTGCCGCTGTCATTGGTGTGAAGGGTTCTCAGGTTCTCTTCTCACCAATGGGTGGCGAGACCGGACTGGAAGCCACCGAGACCGACTGGGCTCGTCGTCGCCCTAAGTCTGAGTTCTGGCTTGAGCTGCAGAATGTTGTAAACATTCTGTCTGGCCGCGCCTATCCTCGGACCGACGAGACCTGGACTTGCTATGAGAGTACGTAATATCAACACGCCTCGCCCTTCCAAACCCCCCTCAACTTTTTATTCCCCCTTTGCGACCAATCGATGCTTGCTACATGCGATGAGATGCGTTATTTCCTGAGCTTGGAGTGTTAATATTTCCTACTTTTCTTTTTCTTTCACCAGATCCTACAACGGTCCACTCTGTTCCGTCCGTCCCTAGCTCCCCATGAGTTGGTTATTGGGGTTTCTGCAAGTCCATATTGATCTAGACATGGAAGCACTGCATCGCTGGCGTTTTTCCCGCTCGGTGAGAAGATTTCATGGCTAGAAGGGAAATGTTGATTTCTCAACCTATGGCTATCATGAAGGTCCTGCCCAATGATACAAGGATCGATCATTTATCCATGCACGACGCTACGCCACCCACGAACTCCGCGCAATTCAACTCCAATCTCTGCCAGACCAACATAGGATTGAGACGTTCCCGAATTGTGTTTCATGCGTTACTTATCATCCTTGTGTTTTGAGAGAGCTTTTACAGTTTCTAACTTCCAGCGGAGTTGAAGAGACTTGAGCCAACAAAGCAAATACAGGTGATTCACATGAAGAAATTTCTGTACCATGATTGTAGCTTCCAGACATAGACCCCTGTCCTTCAACGTAAACTTGTAAAAATTTGTGAGCCGCATTCATGCGTCGCGAAAAATGTCGGTGACGTGGTTCACCAGACCGCTGGGGGGTACAAGTCCGAACGCTAGGGGTTCACAGCTGCTTCCAATTCATCCAGCAGATCGACCGTCTCGGAAGGGCTGGCAATCCAAGCCGTTGTCGAAGCAAGACGAGCCTTGGGGAATGACATGAGCGATGAACATAGGAAGATGGATGGTCAACATACCTTGAAGTCGTTGGCCCCGGCAGATAAGAACTGGTCGCCAATATGCAGGGTTTTTGAAGGGGCGATGGGCTGCCCTTTCCCGAAATACTGCTGGCAACACCGGACACCCCAGGACTTGTCACCAATGTCCACGAACACGTCGTTCCCACCTAGGATCAGGTCAGACAGATGACAGGCGTAATATGAATGAAGAACAGCCTACCGTTGAATGCGCAGAACGGCAGCCGGGAGCCGACAGCCGACCTCTCGACTGCATTCTGAACAGCCAAGACCGTTTCCTCCAGTTGCTCGCGGCTGATGCGGACCCCGTTGACAGGGTACACCCCCACCGCTCGATCCTTGCGTAGTACGCCAGCCGGGAGATTGAGGTTTGCGGCGCATGTTCGTAAAGCCGACTCGGCCAAGTCAAGAAGCTCTTTGATGTCATTATCGTTCCATGCGCGCATCTCTTCCAGGAGCCACTGGCTGCGGGGAACATAGACCAAACGGCAGTCGGAGCTTGGGTCGAATCGGAACAAGAAGTTGCTCTCCCCGCCCATGACAATAATGCCTTCTTTCTGGGCGGGAGACAAGGTGGATGAGTCGTAGACGGCGTCGAGTAGGCCGTACAAGCGCTCGTAGTATTTCGGCGCTTCGGAGTAGCCTGCCGCTGTCACGATACCTACTTTTCGGTCTTGGTGCAGTAGACGCAGAATCTGGGGGATGACCGGGTTCTCTGGCGTAAGACAGGCTCCATCGTCGTAGAGAGTTACGTCGCCATCGAAGGTGACCAGCTCAACCTCGCTGGAGCGGACGAGTCCGAGGAGCTGGGCCGAGTTCAGGATAAGTCGAATGTCGTTGAACGAGGGCGCCACAAATCGTCGGCGGCTAATGAATCGGCGGCTATCTTGGTATTTGAATGCCTCTTCCAGGTGCAATTCCGTAAAGAACGTGCCAACGGAGGGGACTAGCAACTTGAGCTTTGATTTTCCCGGATGGTTACCGGCATAGTGGCGGACTAGTTCATCACCGGTGAGCGAATGAAGGATCTGCATGATTCTCAACAGCCATTGTCTTACTGTGATCTGTGATGAGACCTCCGACATCTCGCATAATCTCTGCATAGCGCTGCTGGGTGTCAGCAGCGACGACTTTGAGTGCGTCGCCCGATTCTTGATAGTTGACCGTCGGCTGAGAGTGCAGAACAAAGGGTACGGCCAGAAGACCCTATTCCATGGTTGGCTTCGAATTCAGATTTAATTTTAGAGCCACAGGGACATACTTTGATCCACTCAATCTGAATGATAAATTAGCCAACCCCCGTGCATAGGAAGAGAGAACATACCAATTGGTCCCGTCGATGGGTCTACCCCTACGAGTTAGTTATGTAATAAGGCCCAATTGGGAGTGGCGTACCTTGAGAGCGTCTGATATGGTGAGCAGAAGTAGCTTATTGGGCAGATATCGACTTACATTCCACACGATAGCGAGTCGTCATGGTGTTTGATGAGGCGAGGTGGCTTGGAGCTGTCAACCGTCCAGTTGTTGATACACGCGCACGGTCCCTCGACTCCGAGTCACGCGCTCGAGCGTGGACCTCTCGATGCCTCAGGCAGGTATGAGGAGTGCCGATGGCTACTGTCTCCCCTGGAGAGAACGGGGGTACACAATGATGAACGGGCTGAAGATCGCACTTGCTTGTTCTTTCGTTTTATTTTTGCTTTTTTTTTTTAACCGGCCGAAGGATCTATGCACGGGAACGCCTGTTCACTGAGCACACCGGATTAGATATATATTCGTATATTTACGGAGAGCAGCGTCACGAATTTAGTCATTAAATCCTATCATGTCTCATTACTAGCTCAAAGATAGCCTGAAATACCAGAATTAAACCAAGCCAAGCGCAGCGTCGCTCCTACACCCGCGCAGCCACGTCCTTTGTTTCAACGTGCTCGCTGGTCCCCATAACCTCCATCTTGGCATCCACCTCCAGGTCCTGCTCCTCGGCGTCCTTGTTTCCATGTCGCCCGATTTTGTACCAGGGAAGCGAGAACAGTCGGTCCATGCTTTCCAAAGAGCGACCGGCGGTTTCAGGTACACTGAACCACACCCACGCACCGCCCAGGACAGTCACCGCCGAGAAGAACCAGAAAGTCCCTTTAGGGCTGAGACCCCCTTTGGAAACAGAGAGCAGCATGTTGGGCACTGCACGAGAGTTGCCATATTGGTTGGCAAAGTGCAAGGTCATAGCTAGCGAGGTAGCAAAGGCACGAATGCGCAAAGGGAACAATTCGGCCGTGAGGAGGTACTGCATCGAGTTCCAGCCAAGAGCCCATCCGACACCGGAAATGTAGATCATAGCGATAGCCCCCCTGCTCGCTCCTACCTTGTTCTCTGGAAGCGTGAACCCGTCAACGATGCCCATCTGGGGGACAGCGGTCAGGAACCCGGCGACGTAGATCATGGAAATGGCCTGTAGCGCAATCCCGAGGAGAAGAGCTCGCTTGCGACCAATGACATCCACGAGGAACAAAGCGCAGACAACGGCGGCGACCAACTTGATGATTCCAAAGACAGCAGTAACCAGGAGGTTCTCGTTGCTTCCAGAGATCCCAAGGAGTTCGAACAGGTCGGTGGCATACACAGTGATTGATCCGGCACCAGACCACTGCGAGAGAATCTGTGCCATGACCGTGAGATAGACACGGTAGAGGTTGGATGGGACGAGGAATGTCTCCTTGAGGATACCCAAAGGTCCAGCGCCCATGGTGGCCTCCATCTCCGTTTGGTGTGCAATTTCAATGGCCGCGATCTCACGCTGGACGTATTCATGATCGGGCGGCAGGTGTCGCACTCGGGCTAGAGTGTCCAAAGCCTTTTCGTGATGGCCCTGTTTGATGAGGTACCGAGGGGACTCATATTGGAGAAACGAGAGAAGGAAGATCAGGCCGGCGAAAATGATGTGAAGGCTGGTGGGCACTTCCTGGGACCAGTCAGTAACAGCTTGAATCCGCCCTTCTTTTGTATCTCTTACCCATCGCTCGTGTGAGTTGTCACCTCTCAATTGCATTCCATAGTTTGCAAAATAGGCGAGGACGATGCCTGTTTGACCCGGATTAAAGATTAGAATAAGAGCTACGGGGAGACAGGAAGGCGGATTTAACAATACGTACCCAGATAAACGAAGCCGGTGAAGACACAGGTACAAAGACCACGAATGGATGCAGGTGCCTGGCGCATGCATTAGTATCGCGCGGGAAGATGGACGTGGGAGGGGGCTTTACAATCTCAGCAAGATAGACTGGGGCAACAACGACGGTCTGGCCAACCCCAAGGCCCGCCACGAATCGACCGGCATAGACTGCTCCCAGGTTACCGCCATTTCCCATGAAGATGGCAATGCCAACAATCCATAAGAGGCAGAGCTGACGCGTAGCCCAAATACGACCGATCCGATCACAAACTAAGAAAGCACTGGGAGGGAACGATTTAGATGTGAGAATCAAGGCGGCGCGCGGGAAGACACATACAATAGAGCACCGCCGACGGAACCAATCTGCACCATAGCAGAGACATTGGCCTTAATGTTGGTTCGCTCGACTTCACTGTAGGACGCCAGGTTGATGTAGCGCTGGAAATCCTTCGAGTTGAATGCGCCGGAGATGAGACCTTCATCCACACCTCGTGCGGCGCCCATCAACCCAAACGAGATGACGGAGAACCATAGGCGCCAGTTAAAGATCTCACTGGGCTCACCCAGGTTCCTCAAGCGGAAGATGTTCACAGGCTTCTTTGCTCCGCCGGCCATGGTGAGGTCAAATGTACAGGTGGGCAAAGAAGAACCGAGGAGACTTGCTAGGTACTTATAGGGTTGAGAGAAAGCGGAGCAAACCTGGGGAAGGAGTGTGCGGGGGCAAACCTCGGGGCTCGAGCAGACAAAGAGCAAGTATCATACGAGAGTTTCGTACGGACATACCCCGCTAGCACCAGGCCGACTACTGTCGCCATGGGCCCTTGCGGGATCGGGATGCCTTTCACTGGGTTCCCATTCCTTGTCGGGATGCCCAGCCTGCCCAGCCTGCCCAGCCTGTCACATCCAAGATCCGATTACCGACGGCAGATTCGGGTCTAGTGGATCGGGCCAAGCACGGAGTGCAGTGCCAAGTGAGCTTGGGTCGCGAGAAAACCCCCGCGCATCCTTCTCATTCGAGGATATCGCCGGGGCCATTCTGGTCTTTTGTCTGCCCGTTGGAACGGGGCTCTCCCGGGATCACGAAACCAAAAGCACGATGCGGGAACTTTTCTCCTTTCTTTTCATCTATGCATGGAGTCCCTCTCTTTGTGAGATTATGCACTGGACTTTCAGGGACCACTGTGGACCCGTGGAACCACCGAGGTCGTCTAAGGTCTATCGTATTGATACGTGCCTGGTCCGATGACCAAATTCTCCTAGGGCTTTCGGAGAGTGTCCGTTCAGAGCGGGCGAGGGCCGCCAGCCAAGACCGGGGCACCCCAGTGGACCGGGAGATGAATGGAGGCGAGGCATTTGCAGCGTGTGTGATTGGCAGCCGGAGCAATCGCCATTTGTGGAACAGCTCGCATCGCGCTCTTGGCGTGGGGAGAAGCATGGCGAACGTGGCTTGATTGTGGGGAAATTTGAGAGAGTTGGGGGACTTCCGCTTAACAGACCATCCCTGCCACTTCATGCCATTCCTCCGATTACGGATTCTCCTCCTTATCTCTTCCTCCAAACCCTGCTTTGTTTGCCGTGTATCGGAAGTCTGGGCCTTCGGTAGGGGCCCCCGTCATGTTAAACAGTTCAACTTCCCAGGAGAACAGACACTACGAGAACAATCCGAGAACTCGGTCATCTCGCTACCCAGTTGTAAAGCGAACCGAAGTCCTTCGAGATGAAGCACATTTCTCTACCGAATCCGCGACATGCAGGTCCCGAACATCCATATGCATTGTGGACGTGAAAACGCATAGTCCAGATTGCGCTCCGCTGTGGCCAACGGACTGTTACGAAAAAGAAAGAACAGCCCGTAAACTCCCGCAAATCCCTGTAAGCCCAGTGCGATCCCTGTAAAATCCTTGCGGCGGATGGGTCTAGCTAATCTCCGCCGAAACCAGAGTCTACCCCTCATTACTTAATGCCTAGAAAGAAGGAAAAAAAAGGAAAGAAAAAAAGAAGAAAAAAAAAAAGGCGCAAACCTCAAATTTCTACTAGAACGTCCATGAACCCATGCGTTTCTCCATAGGTATAAGTCATAAGTGATCATGCAGGAGGTATTCACAACGTAGTCCCATGCGATCATTGAACGTCAGGCCTCTACAAGCGAGGGGGAATCAAAACACCCATAGCCTTTGACTACACTCATCTCATCGACCTCCGAATACTTCGTCTTGAATGTCCAGCCCGCTACGGAGTTATCAAGCATTTCGCAGCGACCGCGCGCGACTTCGCTTGTCCGCCACAGACAGGTCCCCAGGATGCCTAGTTCGGAGACAACGTCACCCTCGGCCACACCGGCGGGGCTCATAAGCAGGTTGGACGAGATGGGAGGGTCGATTCGCTCCATCAAGACATACGTAGACCACTGGCGTTCTGGCACAGAGCGAAGGAAATCCGGGACATCACTGCCATAGATATTGTGACCGCCTCCCTCGAGAGATGGCTTCAAAATATACCGCGTCGCACGCTTTGGGTCGCATGCGAATCTCCGCGCTTGCAATCCTTCGAACGAGTCATCCAGCGGATAGATAGCAGCAAACGTTGGCCGAATAGCGGCGGCTTCCGAGTCAGTGAGGAACCGTTCGAGTGCACCGGGAACCGTCAGAGCTTGCTGAACTTTCTTGAATGTCGCAAGGTGGCAGAGAATGGATGGACACTTGATTGCTCTCGACTTTTCAAGTTTCTCCCGCGCTTCTCGGCCCGTTTTGTCGTATTCACGGGCTTCGTATCCAGCTCGCATGTATACTACGGATATCTCGAATGGACTCGCTGAATCTAGCCACGGTGGCTTGAATAGGAGCTCCCGCGACTCGGTAAGCCAGGTGTAGTCGAGCACGTCCGGTCCAAACTCGAGTCTATGGGCAGGTACAGGGTCATCCTTGTTCCACAGAGCATACTCGAGGGGTCGCTCGTCAGCGACATTGAACTGGTTGCAACAAGTTAGTCCCGGCTAGTCAACAGAGTCACTTACTGGGCAAAACTTGCATTATATGGCTGGACAACGAAAAGGACGGCGGTCTGCTTCGCTAGCTTTGAACGGGCCGCCCCGTACAAAGCATGTGCCGCGGAAATGCTGGATACCAGAGACTCGATATTCTCATTAGGAGGCAGCGAAGCGTGATCGAATTTTGTGTCCTCGGTATCATAATGGCCGGTTCGCGCGAGGAACCGATGCATATCAGCCACCTTGTTGGCATGGCTGGCCCCTGAGCACGAAAATGAGTTGAATTCCACCTGCTTCAATGTACAGCCAGCCAATTTGTCTTCATTGATTCCTCCTTCCTGTGCCTGAAGCATATAATCTGAGCGGAATATCCCCAGGCTTGCGGGTTGGACGAAGCCATCCTTTTTCACCGACTGATAGATACCCCAAAGCACGGCGGCGAGAGGCTCTGTGGAAATCAGGTCTTGAACTGCATCGAAGATCCAGTCCTCGTCTTCTGAAATTGCACAGTACAGTTTATTGTAGATACGCTGTATGCCCTGGGCTTCTTCGAACCGCGCCCGTGGGAATCGAGTGGGAAAGCACTGCAAGATCGAACAGGATCAGCCAACACCCACGGTAGATGAATCATTTGCTTCTGACTGACACTCACTCCCACCGGCTGGGATAACACTGTATGTTCGTCCTGGGTGCGAACCAGCTTCAGCAAGGATCCGTGATTGAGCTGCCAATCCTAGACAATGGTCAGCTAAGTTTCTTTTCCTATCTTCCTTTCAGCTAAGCAGACCTTTATATCTTCCACTAGGGTGAGCAGTCTCTCTTCGCTCAGCTCAGGGGGGGTACTTCATCTCCAAGACGAGAGGGACCGGTCGATTGAAATGGGGAGCGGCTCAAGTCCTTCTACGTGGGGTTCTACTCCACCCCTCATACCCCCGCAGGAGGAGCCTCTATGATACGATGTCACCCCCGACACTTTCTATGCCAATCGATGAATACGGGGAAACACCGTGCCAGACCAGCTTTGCATGAGCCAGTTCTTGGGGACCCCCCCGCAAAGGAAGATCAATAGCCCCTGATTCTTCTTTCTGGAGCGGGAACGTATGGGCCTCTGCAATTTCAACTCGTCGGCGAGTCTCGTTATCTACTGCCCAACGTGAAGTATTTGGGCGGATTCTGCGTCTCTAGCATCGTGGGACTGCATCTTCGATCGGTCTACCTGATTATCCAAGTCACATGACTGGAGGGGGCCGAATCCCACGCTGTGACCATTTCCCCCCCCCTCGAGCCAGGCCCAGCGAGGTCGCCCAGGTCCTATCCTCACAGAGGTTCAAGGTGTTCCCAAGAGCTACCGGAGCAGCCTTTGAGATGAGTGCATCCCTCCCCACCGGCTACAGCCTCCACGCCGGTTACCCGTCAGTGCCACAGTACTTGCATCTCCGTGTTGCAGCGGGGCTCTCGGCCAGAACAACATCCCAAGCTGCCGCAGTGGCCGGCGGAAGTTGGTTCGGTTGCTATATCGCGTTCAAGGGGGGAGATGGCCAAGAAACACCGGTCGCAATGGGTCGCGTCATCGGGGATGGCGGGTGGTATTTTCACATAGCGGACATGGCAGTCGACCCTGCCCACCAGCGAAAAGGCCTCGGGGATGCAGTCTTGAAAGCGCTCATCCAGCAAATCAAAGAAGCCTCGCCATCTGATGGCAAGCCGTACATCTCGCTCCTCGCAGATAAACCTGGACGCAAATTATATGCAAAGAACGGGTTTGTGGAATCTGCACCGGAGTCACTGGGGATGGTCTTGCCTTGAGAGCCGCTTGATCCGGCCCTAGATCCAGCTTTGATCATGTGAAATATCGTGGTGCTGTGCACAGTAGACTATGCTGCCGTTCTCCGATCGCCATGCCAGACTTATGCGGCACTACTCCCTCACATACTAGGATTAGACGAGTAAATCAATTCGACGGGGTCGAGAACTTGAATAGCGCGATTACCGACTGTGGGGCCGTAGACACGCGTTATCTGATTTCGCTCGGCAAATGCGCCAGTGGGCGCTGTAGGCGACGACACGTGAAAGGGGGGGTTGGACATGCGCAATCTATGTGTGAGCTGACGGTCACCTCGCTTCGATCTTCTCATTGAATCTGAGTGGTACCTGTTCTAGTCTCCCCCACCGCGCATTTGCACCTGCATTACGCGTTCCCAGAACAGTCAGGATCGGCGGGAAAGGATGGCTGGTCTGATTCGTCTTCAGGTTCCACCACCTGAGCCAGCCGAAGGATCCGGGCTTCGCCATCAGAAGTATCGGGGAGTTGAATATTAATATGAAGGTCTGACCCGGGGTGTGGAACAATCGCTGCGTCAAGCGTCTCATTGCCGGATCTAAGCTGAACTTGGCTCCCCTGTTGCCAGGATGCGATTCACTCCATTCGCTGCTCTCGCGGCCTACCTTGCTCTCGCAGAGCATGGATACGCGATTAATATCATCTCCTCCAATGACGATGGATGGGCGGAAGTCAACATCCGCACCTTCTACCAGGCCCTAGAAGGAGCCGGGTACTCGACAGTTGTATCAGCCCCCGCCGAGAACCAGAGTGGCACTGGATCCTCTCAGAAAACACCCACGACGCTCACTGAACCCTGTGAATTCAACAGCTGCCCCGCTGGCAGCCCGCCCGTCGGGCACAACTCTTCGGACCCGCGTCTGAATTATGTCAATTCCTATCCGGCTACTTCCATCCAGTATGGGATCGAATCAATTGGACCCGCGATCTTCGGAGGCCGTCCAGATCTCGCGGTCGCCGGGCCCAATGTAAGTCCGACCACGGTGCAAGGCAAAGATTCTTCTAATACCTCTTCCAGGTTGGCAATAATATTGGTCTCGCAGTCTACTTATCTGGCACAGCTGGAGCGGCGACGTATGCCGCTCACAATGCAGGCATCCCGGCCATCGCCTTCTCCGGGGCTTCGGGGTCTCAAACTGCATGGAATGCCTCTGCGACGCCACCACTGTATAGTCAGATATATGCAGACTTGTCAGTCAATGTGACTGACACACTTGTGTCCTCGGGCACTCCCTATCTTCCCGACAATGTCTGGCTGAATGTCAACTTCCCGGATGTTTCGGATTCGGAATGCAATGCCGTCGAAGATTTCTCATTTATATTGACTCGCATTCATGTTGCTGTGCCGCTGGTCACCCCAGATGATGTGACCACCTGCGGCAGCTCTCGTTTACCAACTGAGTTGGAAGTGTCTTTGAAATCGGGCTGCTATGCCAGTATTTCCGTCGGCATCGCTAGTACTAAGTCGGATGCAAATGCTAGCATCCAGGGCGAAGTGTTGCACAAGCTTAGCGACATAATCACTTGTCTCCCCTGATCAACACCGGGCTACTATTGGATATAATCGTTGGATATAATTAGTGCAGTATCATCGCAGATGAAATTTCACCTCGAACTCGGCGTAACGCTTTGAAACTTCTAGTCAAGTTATGTGAACATGTTACTGGGATCGATCGCTCGTCTGGGCTGGCGGGTCAGGATACATCAAGTGCCTGGAAAGAACGAATCAAATGCTCCACGGTCCGCACGAGGATTCCCTAACGAAGCGTTCCTTTCGCAGCCGAACGCGGGACGCACGGAGATTAAGCCGGCGATCATCCTCCTTCTGGGATTGAGACCGTTGCGAACCATTCCGCATCTCCACTCTTGTGGATCAGCCCCCCGAAGTTTATGCGCGAATGAGGAAAGAAAGGATCGGACTCCGCATCTCCCAAAACATCCCAGCGCTGTTATACCGATCTCTCCATAACTTATATGATATCGCTTATAAGGATTCGCCTGAAGCCCATTAATCCCTTATCATGCCGTGTTCAATCGACCTCGCTCGCTTGACGTCGATCAATTGGTTCTAACGAGGTCGTCGGGGTCCCTTAAACCATCCCTTCTAGCACGACGGGGATGTCTACTTAATCTATCAGCCATACCTCTGTGGTCAATGGCTGTGTGCCTTTCTCGGGGATTAATGCACTGGCACGAAGTCAGATCACCACCAATTCGCCGATATTCCTTCTTCTCTATCAAGTCCTGGCCATTCTCCCAGCCGGGGGTCCAATGGTGAGTGCAGTAGATTCGGCCAGACAGAGTGGAGGCATTAATTAGATATGAACGTATATGGCCATTGGACCATTCATGTGGCTTATGACCACTGTTGGAGGAATCAGCCCTTGTTCGCATGGGAGTCACTGCCTACCTCGGCGCATGCACTGAGCCAAACGGATCTCGGAACGGGCAATACACCCTCCATCAATGACCACGTTGCCACGAACCTAGCAGGGGCTACCGTTTAAAGAATAGGACTCGATGGTCTGACTGAGGCCCATTGTATTCTAGCTTTCGATATAGAGTCCTGATTCATCTTTTTTTTATACTGTCACTTAGTGTGTCACGCAAACGTGCTTGCGATGATTATAATGGGCGGAGAAACGGATCGCGGGACCTATAGCTTGTGTCTTAACTAGGGAGCTGAACATTACCCTGTAGCTACAAGCACCACACGAACTTTTCAGCTCGTCCTTCATCCACTCATATTCCCAAAAGGAAATGTCGAAGCAGATGACGGATAAACCGAAAAGAATGCCTCGAGATCCATGGTTGAGAAATCAAAGTCCCATCCCATTTCAGACTGGGTGAAGTCCGGCAAATCATCGCTCGAGCCACCGGAGCGACCAGTCTCAGGGCCTTCGGGCGCAGGATAGGACCATTGGGATGTGCGGGGATCAGGTCGCGGGCCCAGTCGATAATTCGTCGGAATTGCTAAGTCCTCCTGAATGGGCTGTTCCTGGCTTGGTGCACGAGGCTCTGGCAGCATAATCTGAAAAGCGCCTGTCTGGACAGGTTCCTTGGCGGAGTTTGGGTTTGGGGACCATTCATAGGAGGGATCTATGTTGCGAAGCGTGGTTTGTATAGCTGAGATGGTACTCGTCGTCGGCTCTTCGCGCTTCATCGTGGACAGGTTGTGCAGTGCGGCGTATACCCAGCGAAGATGAGAAGGCGCAGAGCTTGGATCATGCATAAAGTCATAAATCAAAGTGAAAGCGGAGCTACTCATGAAATAGCCGTTATATGGCATTTGCTGTACCAGGGACATGTGATCAGTATACACAGCGTTGGTCTGGACACGCAGGTCTACCCACCTTGACAAGCTCGTTTATGCGAAAGATGCTTGATAAGAAATGAATTGACTGCCGAGCAGCAGTCAGGGAGTATTCGCAGGCCTCGTTCAGCCAAGAGGGCATCTCTGCCGGTCGCTTCGAGGTGCGGCTGTTGACGTTGTGGGCGTCCAATTTCATTTCCCGCCGCCAGTGCCCCCGAAAATATGAGGAAAGGTCGAAAGGTCAGTAGCATGATATGGTAATATTCTTGGAGAGTATCAGTAGGGCCCTCGTAACACTAATTGACGGGAACTCACGGGTACTGAAAATCATCTGCTGGACCCCTAGGACTCCGGCTTGGACATTGGAATCTAGAGTCAATCCCAGGGCTCCTTTCAATTGCTCTTGGAGAAGACGGAGGTCCCCCGCGATAGAGCGCGAAACTCTCCACATATGCAATAGTGACTCGTGTCTACATCCATATATTTCATGAGCGGAGCGGGATATTGATTTACATAGATTGCCCAGCAGCCGGATGAAGGGGTCTCTGGGATATTCGATCGCAGCGTCCTTGAGGGATAACGCGGACGGACGGCCTGCGTGGAAGCAGAACCAACTTTGAAGCCCTGTTAGCACTGGGGTATCAAGCCAAAGTCCATAATGCTCACGTTTCATAGATGTAAAGAGACCAGAAAGTCATTCGCCGTTCTTCGATGATCTCTGGTGTTTGGACTTCATTCCCAGGGACTTCCTTATGCAGACCAGCTGCCAGTGCTTTCCGGGATGCCGTTCCGAGGTGTAGAAACGCCGAATTTGGTCGACCTGACTCGTTTTGAAAGTTGGCGTACGCTTGCTGTCAGCTTATTGTCAAAAGGTGCCGGGAACGAGAGACTTATCATGAGTAACGATATTTGGACAGTCTGAATATTGACCACGTCATCAAATGGCACCATCAATGCCTTGGTGCGGTCGTACAACAGATCCGCCCAGGTATCATGTTCTGTCCCAATGGAAGCAATTCCCAGGATGATCAGAATGATGGCTTGTGTCAAAGTATCTGGATGTGCAGATGGAGAGTGACTGTACAGCTGCTCTAGCCAGGCTTGTAGCTTGTTTGGTGGTTGGAACGGCATGAGGATATACAGTGTGGACAAGAACCCAGAGAGAAGAGTATTTGCGAGCCCATATGGCAAGAACATGAGGGCCATGTCCCCGCTAGCAGTGGAACGCCCCGTTTCATGCGATTCGGGGATCCCAAAAAAAATACGGCGAAAGCTAAACAGATCTAGGCCTGCTCCGGCTTCTTCGATGTCATTCGCTGGTCTTGAAGGCGCGCTGGGATTCGCGACCAGGTCACGGTATACATGCTGCATAAGAGAAAAATGGGACGTGGGTCCATAATAAAGTTGAACCTGACATGACGGAGATGCCATGTGTGTCGCCGACACGCTGTTGGGATAGTTCTGGATTAGCGATGCGCCTTGAGGCCGTGGAAGGCCGCCCGACTCGGGCGATGAGCGAACATCCCGCTCATCGCGACGGGAATCGCTGATTTCGTGCTTTTTCCTGCGATGGCGAGTGTAATCTCTGTAAATGCAGGGGGTGTTGCGCTGATGACACGTTTTGCAACTTTAAAAGACCTATTAGAACAATTCCAGCTACAGCAGCGGGCCAGAAGACGCGGAAAATAACCTACGGATTAGCGCCGTTACAGCGGATCTTGCGCTTGCGGCACTCCTGGCAGGCTTTGGGGATCCGCCAGTTAGTAGCAGACGTGCTGGAGGCTTCTTGCATTTTATTTCCGGGTCCGACCAGGATACCTCCGCAATGGCGAGCTCGTCAGCATGACCCAGCCTTCTCAGGTGTTCGTCTAGATTTTTATCCGCGTATATCCGAGTCAGCTGACCTCGTTCGCAGCCCTGCTTCGTTATACCCCTTTTTTGTTTTTTGAGTTTTTGTTGGTTGTGAGCACATTGCTGTGTATAAAGGGATACTGGGACTTTATTTTCCAGTGATTGGCCTGCTATAATATGATCCTAGCTGCGCGATCCCTTGTTCAAGCGATGAGTTGGATGCTCGGCACCTTGAAATATAGATATGCAAGCAATTGGTTCGCCTTATGGCATTGGCGTCCACCACATTACCTCTGGAGAACTACGCATGCTTCTTGGTGTTTCTATACATTACCACCTCTCTCACTGGCAAGAACATCGTGGAAGGGACTTTTTTGATTATTGGTAGTTTGAAACGACAGAAGCTGACTGATTCTGGCGAATTTGAATGTCCTTTTGCGTACTTCGGATGCGGACTCGGCATCATGTTTTCCCGACGCCAGCTATACCGAAAGGGAAACCCGTATTGAGGGCGTACATCACGTGCTCAATCAACGTGTCTCAGCAGTCCACGCAAGCATTTCCCAGCCAGGGCTGGTTCCACTTCAATCTAGTGCTTGTACCGGGAGCGGGCCGTTACTGGCTCCGTGATAAGGATTCCCTGCTTTAAGCAGAAGCAGAACACAAAGTTGGCCGTCGTGCCGGGGCTGCATGGGGTCAGCATCTCCACGGGATCTAATCCATGGAAATAAAAGCATTAGAGGTTAAGGGGGACAAGGCTAGCGCTGGCACACTCGACAAGCACACGGACCAAGTTAAGACCGAAGAGGGAGTCCCGAACACCATAAACCCAACGAGCAACATAGTCGATGTTTCTTTTAGTGTTTCCTCCAACCCAGAGAAAGCATTCGTGGTGTGGCATTCCCAGGCATATGCCTGGGGATTGTTGGCAATGGCTCTGTGATTCCACCGCGATGGAACCGGCCCTTGTGGGCGTTGGTTCCCAGCTTGTGCTATCGCAAACCCCAAATCTCGCCCGATTATTTATCGATCCAGAAGCTGAAGAGGCGACCGAATTCCATATCGTCCTCGCGCATTGCCAGCGAGAGGGAATCAGGTTTGCTTATATTGTACGGCGGGTTCCTGTACGTGGGATACATGGTTTTTCTCAGCACTCTTTCTGGCCCGCTAATCTGAATTCAATTCGATCCAAATGGGTCTATGCTACTTACGCTCGGGATTGAGAGCACCAGTTCTCGGTGGACGGTTGGGAGGCTTCTTGATTGGACTTTCCGACGCGAGGCCGGAATACAGAACGTGGTTATCAAAGAATCGGCAGCAGAACTTTGCTTATTCGAATATCGAGCGTGTTCGCCTGCCTACCAACACACGCATGGTATATTGCGCCTCTGCGTGCGATGTTGCGTACGGTGTAGCGTACGGTTGGGTAATGCACTATCTGACTACGCTAGCAGGCCGGTCCTGACACTATTTTCCGTTGGACTGTCGACTTCAAAATAATGAACACATTGGCCGTAGACCTCAATCACGAAAGTGCTGCGACCACTATAGCCGCGAATAATCCTTGTCGTTGTTTGATGGGTGCTAGGACGACGGCGTTGATCAACCCCCCTCGTCAATCCGATCGGGCTCGGATGTACGGCAACGCTCTTGGCTGGTCTGTGGGTCATCTTCAGTCCCATTTTGTGGGCAATCTATTTCGGGGCCCATGAAATGGAGAGTGATCAAAAAGTCTAAATAGCTGCGGCGCGAGAGTCTTTGATAAATCGGGGTTATAAAGTCGATGAACTGAAGCCGCAGCTAAGACAATGCCATAGGTCGGGATGTTTCTCTGTATGTTTACCTGCTTCTAAGGTTTAGCTGGTGCTCATCGAATCCGGCCGGACTCTGTATTTTTAGGCGACAGAATTTCACGCAATTAGGCTCCACAAATCCCCTTTGTGGGGTTTGCAAGAGGGGTCGGATAACAGCCCCACGTCAGGATTGAGCCGGTTAGGAAATTGCAATTTTATCTTATTAAAGGTGCTGCACGAATAGGCTGTAGTAGGATAGCCAAGGGGTTAATGTGGTTTTCTACGCGTTTTTTGTCTCCTTTTGTGGGCTTGTTTCGAGAGTTCGGGGTCCATGGCAAATGTGTTTCAAACTACCGGGGCCATAGCCTAGGGCCTCGGTCGTGAATGAGTCTGGCGGTCTTTGTGGTAGGTAGTGAGGATGTCGCTGTCCCAAAATCATGTTTTCCCCCATCGGTTCGTATTGCGATAAATGAATAAAAGCTGAGACAAGGCTGTTGTCGTCCGTTCGCACAACAATCGACAGATCAGCATCATCCAAAAAGCTTGGCTGAGCTTGGCGCCGGCTCCACTTTGTATGGCGACGAAGGTGACGACGCTAGCGTCGACGCTTACGCATGCTCCGGGGCATCCACAATAGTGCTGTTTCTTTAATAAGGAACGCCTTAGATTTGTCGGTTTTCTCTGCAATACTTGTTGGCAGATCACTCGACTCAGGTGTAATAAAAGGAAAATGGGCTGGCTTCATGATCATGTGTAGAGCACCCGGTCCAAATTGTTTCGAGCTATCTGATGAACACTCGAGTCAATAACGACGCCTTTCATTCATCCTGGTTTTTCTTCAGGCACCGACGATGGGGCTCATCAACTTTCCAGCGGCCTTGCGAATCGTTGCCCTCGCTGGCATCCTCCTCGCCGACCTAGCCTATAGTATTGATTTGGATATCAATGATGAGCGTACGTGGCAAGACTATATATTTTTCTTATTTCCCACGCCAGACCTGTCAGGGCCCGGAAACAGAAATGAAACCTTTGACTAACTCGTTGATTCTTTCGTCCACTTAGAGTCGATCAAAGCCGCTGCCAGCACGACCACCTATGCGATGATGACATACTATAAAGGGAACGAATCGGGCCAGATCCCGGGCGCCTTTCCAACCAAGTGGTGGGAAGGATCAACCCTTTTCCTCGCCTTGCTCCAGTACTGGCATTTCACTGGGGACACCACCTATAATGACGAGCTGCGCGTGGGGCTGGAATGGCAAGCTGGCGACGACGATTATATGCCCTCGAACTATAGCTCTTTCCTGGTGAGGCCTTCCATAGACCGCAGTCCATTTGTTGTTTCTAATGTGGGTGTCAGGGGAATGACGATCAAATGTTCTGGGGATTGGCGGCCATGACAGCTGCTGAATTACAATTCGCAGATGCAACCGACGTCGGAAGTGGATACTCCTGGCTCTCTCTGGCACAGGGTGTGTTCAACAGCCAGATCAAGCGCTGGGATAACACCAGTTGTCATGGTGGTATGCGGTGGCAGATTTGGGAGTGGGAATCTGGGTACACCATGAAGAATGCGATTTCAAACGGTGGATTGTTTCAACTGTCAGCGCGCCTTGCTCGATACACCCACCAGGCGATATATTCGCAATGGGCTGAAAAGATATGGTACTGGTCCTTATCCACACCTCTGATAAGCAATTCAACGTGGCATGTAGCCGACTCGACCTCGGCCATACATCACTGTGATGACCAAGGCGATACGCAGTGGACATACAACTACGGCACCTATATGATGGGCGCAGCATACATGTACAACTACGTGAGTCTGGAGTTCATGGGTCATTGCTCGGAGCCTAAACCCTGCGAAAATTGACCTGCCCCGCCCCTCGAGAATGAAAGGCTTTGACTGACCTGATATTGCCCCCCTGCAGACCAACGGCAGCACAGTATGGCTGGACGCGGTAAATGGACTTTTGACAAAAACATTTGACACTTTCCTTTCGAACAATATTTTGGAAGAAATCACCTGCGAACCAACGGAACAATGTAACGACAACGACATCCTTTTCAAGGGCCTTCTGTCATCCTGGCTGTCCTTTACAGCTCTTTTGGTCCCATCAACGTATAATAAAATCATGCCTGTCCTGAAAGCCTCAGCTCAAGCAGCTGCCAAGTCATGCACTGGCCACAATAACAACACCTGTGGAGTTCGCTGGTATCTGTCTACTTACGATGGCTGGATCGGAATGGAGGAGCAGATCAGCGCCACCAATATCTTCGTTGCCAACATGATCGCTTTCGACCGGTCGGCTCCCGTGACAGCCTATACAGGGGGCGACAGTACGAGCAACCCATCAGCTGGCGAGACTAACAGCAGTGACACCAATCCAAAAGAAAGCCCTATCACTGCTGCTGACAAGGCCGGGGCTATAATGCTGACCATCGCCTTCGTAGGAGGCTGGATTGGTATTATGGGATTCATACTTATGGGTAGCTGAGTGAGTTGTTTAATAGTACTTTTTTTGTTGAATGCAAAGCGTTTTCATACGAGCTTCGAACAGATGTGATCGGGATGTCATTGCTCCTTAGCCATCCGATTGTGAATTCTAAAATCCAAGCCGGATAGGCTGATTAACTGCAAGTGCTCTTGGGTAGAGGGATTAGGCCTTCAATCCGGCCACCAGTTGATCGCCCAGGTCCTTGATGCTCGCCTCGAAAGCGTTGCGATCTCCCGCTTGCCAGTCCGCCGAGCTTCCAGGAACAGCATCCTGTCCAGTGAAGCCAAGGTACAGCACATCGTCCGGACCATGGCCGTTGTTCCCGTTAATGCCATCATCGGGGAAGCACATCTGAGCCAGGGCAATAGAGGCCTCGCCCGTGGAATCTGCACCGTTGGTATCACCCCAAACGCCGTAGAGCTGGACGAGAAAGACAAAAAGAAACAACGGTTAGCGATGCTCAGCCCTCCCTGTCGGTGCCGATCGAAACATACCACTTGGTTGTTACAGACAACCGCCATCACACTCAATGGCTCCATGCCATATTGCGATGGATCGAAATTGGTGTTTCCAAACACGACGTACGAATGGATGTTGGCATCCAGGTCCTCGATTCCATACTGGCTGAGTGAATCCTTGAAGGCGGTCTCGTCCTGGCCGGTCTGATCCGAGCCACAGTCCCCGCCCTTGTCGTTCAGCCCGTCGCAGTCGACGTCCATGTTATCGTATTGGCCCCCATTTCCGGAGCTGTGCAAATAGATCACACCATCGATATCACCGCAATAGGCAAAGGTCGAAGCACCACCAATGCCGTCGGTAAAGCCCCCGGCGAGCTTGTTGTTGCATTTTCCCGACTTGCGACCGTTAGATCACTGATTCGTGCTCAGGTATAAAGAGCCATACCTTGTGCGCATCGTAGATCTGCTTCAGATTGTCGGGTAGATCGTACGCATTGGCGAGCCCAACCGCCAAGAGGGCAAGGAGTGTCTGTGAGCGCATCTTTGCAGGAGTGCCCGCGATTGAGTTCTGATCTCATGTCACCGCGCTCGCATTTATACTTCTTCGACCCTAGACTCTTGATTGTTCTGTTGACATCATGCCCCTGAAACTCATTTGTTGTGGAGAGATCGGTTCGCAGCGGAATACCATATCGGGAGTATGGATACCCCAGAAAAGGCCACAGCCTATTCTCATTGGCGGATTGGCCTGAAACAAGCTGCAGAAAAATGGGGCCATTCGCCCCAATTTCCCACAAGATGGCGCTGGGGCTAAATAACGATTCCCGTACTCTTCAGGTTTCATTTTGCAGGAGTAGCTTGATGCTCCTCGATGTGGCATATGATACACTGCGAAACGGCTAGTCCCCGAACAGCAACTGGTCTCTAGTGCCTATCCTGAGCGAAAGCCGAGGCGAGCTGTTTTCTTGGCTATTACGTCGTTTCTGGTTATCACCTGGTCATGATCCGACTGCCTGCCATCATTTGGGTACAACGACACCTCCGGGGCCCTCCTGCGGATTGGTGAAGGCTTGAAGACGCGAAAAATGATCCATAGAGAAGGTGTTGGGCAACATGGACTGAATACCCATTTTTCTCAGATATTTTCACGAGGGCAGATTCGACCCCCAATTCTAGGGGCCTCGAGCATTGGCCCCTCGGAACATTGAAGAGAGTTGGAAGATTTGAGTGTAGGCCTGGAGTTACCAAGCGCGAGGAATTTGGAGTGGAAAAATGGATCCTTTTGGTGTAAAGGCATTTTTATCCGAGCATTCCTCTCCACGCGCCATGCACCAAGTCGGTTTGTGCTTCAGGCCCGATCGGACTCTATTTGTGGATGCCGAAGACGATTCTTTGCCCATCCATTCCAGTCTAATTATTGGCGCCATGTTCTGCATCTGTGGAGAGTAATGTGCTGGCCCGTCGTGGTTGGTCCGCCAGCTGATCCACTCGACGGAGCTGAAGACCTCCGAAATGATGCAGGAGGCCTGTCGATCCGTGAGATTGCCAGTGACTCTAGGGGGCCTTGCCGGCAACGGGGAGGCTGGATAATGTTCAAGTTGCGTATATAATCTTTCAGGCCCCCGTTCTGGGTCTCGTTAAGGGACTCTTCCCCGTTGCTCGCTGACCCCGACATGAAACATCCCCCATTGAACTTACTCCTTGCAGGCCTGCCGGTCGCGCTTGCCTGGCTTCCCACCGACGCTGGGCGAAGCTTGTCGGCATTCTCGAGCAACGGCACCAGCAAAATCCGAGGTGTCAATCTAGGATCCTCCTTTGTGGTGGAGCCATGGATGGCTTATACTGAATGGCACAAGAACATCGGCTGTGGCCAATACAAGGCCGAGTGGGAGTGCGTGCAGGGAATCGGACAGGAGGCGGCAAACACGGCGTTCAAGAAGCACTGGCAGACCTGGATCACCCAGGACGATATTAGCAAGATGCGATCTTACAGTCTGAATACCATCAGAGTATGTTGAGAAGACCTCATCGAAAGTTTGTGGTCTCTGACGGGGAAAAAAAACAGATCCCAATCGGATTTTGGATGGACGAGGACCTTATTAACGACAATGAGTACTATCCTCGCAACAATGCCCTAGAGGACTTTACCAATATCTGCCAGTGGGCAACTGATGCAGGAATGTATATCATCGTTGACGTACATGGGGTCCCCGGAGCTCAGGAAGCTCATCAGCCCTTCACTGGCCGGGTGAGATCAATTGATGGTGTTTCCCAAACGCTCTTCTAGGAGGCTAACGTTATGTAGTACGTCGACAATGCAGAGTTCTATCAAAACGATGAGAATGCCGAGCGGACTTACAAGTTCTACGAATACTTGATCGACAACTTCCAAAACAATACTAATGCGTTCAAGAATGTCGGCGCCTTGGAACTTGTCAACGAACCGTTTCAGAACACCAGGAACGCAAGCACGAAATGGCTGGTGCAGACCTTCTACCCGACGGCTATTGACCGTATCCGTGCCAAAGAGGCATCCCTGGGTGTCTCCAGCGCGGATGCCTTGCATATCGTCACCATGGTACGAAACAAGATCTTTCCCTTCAACTCAGCTTTTATTGACCTGAGCGTGCTGAATCCCGTCAAATAGGACGATAAATGGAATTCCGGTGGCAACCCAACGCAAGACCTCAACGCTACACAGAAGACTCACCTTCTTTTCGATGACCACAATTATGAGAGCTACCTAATCTCTAATGCCTCGTCGATCGATGAGTTCGTCAGCGACGCTTGTGGAGATAATCGTAAATCGGCTGTCAGTCCTAAGGTTGTTGGCGAATGGAGCTTGACATTCAACAACAAAGGCGACAACTTTACTCCCATGAGCAACCATGTCAGCTCTTATTCGAAGTGGTTTTCAGCCCAGCAGAGACAATATGAAGCTTTGAGTGGATGGGTCTTCTGGTCCTGGAAAACCGATGAGGGCCTCGTCAACGTGGAACAATGGAACTACCAAAGTGAGTTGACAATCAAGGCCTTAGAAGCTGTGGACTGTTGCTCACCAGTATTTCACAGAGGCTGTCGAGGCGGGAATCATCAACACGGACTTGAATTCCCAGTACGCCCAGAACCCATGCTAATGGATCAAACCTGAAGAATTGTGGTAAACCGTCGGGATTGTTTCTTATTGAGTTTGGGGGAACGCAACTCTCCAATGAAAGTGTTCTTACAATCAACATTTCTCCAATGCGACATAGCACGAACCGCAATAATTAGCTCGAACCGGTGGCTCTAAACGAGACCCTTATAGTAAACAGTGCCAAACCTGGTGATACGAGTAGCAAGTCGGATCTTACGCAAACGGCGAAGAAGCAAAACCATGGCGCGCAAATTGGAGTATCTCTAGATGATTTTCAAACAAGATAACTACAAATGGCCAACTGGTTCCCATCAGTCCGGTGGGCCAAGTTAGCCCGGCGCTTCTCCGCCCAGAATCATTCGCGAATGTGCTGATTGCCTATGATGTATCTTCGTGAGGTGCGAGATAGGCAAAGCGAATCAGGACGCGGAATCGCATGGTGTGGAGGATCAAAATAAGGCCCGCCTTGCCCAGCCCAGGCGCTCAGGTGCCCAGGTGGACATCGAAATGATTACGTAAGATATGCGCTGTTGACTCGGAACCTCGGGGAAGAGGGGCTGTATATGTGCTTATCAGAACGACCACAATTGCACTGTACTTTGCGTACTGTGTCATCAAGTTCTCTCTGCGCCAACAGGCATTCTCCGAGGCCGGAAAGAACGAGCGGTCCTGAATCTCCAGTGGAGGATCAGCTTTTCTGCTTCAACTGCCTTGATTCTCTTCGAGGTTTCCCTGCCCATAACACCCGCCCTGTCGTTCTCCGATCTACCAGTTGGGTGATATTATGGTTTTGACCATCTCCGTAGCTGGAGACTGTCTCTGTAACTGTCGCTTTATTTAATCCACCCAGCCGCCACAGGAATCCTCAAGATGGGATCTGCAGTTGATTGGTCTCAACGTCCCACCTACTCGCCAGAGCAAATTGGGAAGTACTTTGACCGAATCAAGTTCCCGACAGAGTCCCGGCAATCACCAGTCGTCCTGGCAGGTGCGAATGGTGACAACGAGAGGGCGTTGTCGTTCTTGAAGGTACTTCAGCGCTACCAGGTGGCAGCGGTGCCATTTGAGAACCTTGATTTGCATTACTCGGTACATCGACAACTTTCCATAGATGTGCAAAAGCTTTTTGAGAAAATCGTGGACGGCACGTCTGAGCGTGGAGGGTACTGCATGGAAAACAATACCGTTTTTGGAACGGTACTGCGAAGCCTCGGATACCAGGTAACCTCAGTCGGAGGGAGGGTGAACGAAGCTGCACAGCCGATATCCGCTTCCAAGAACTGGAGGGGCCCCAAATACGATGGATGGTAGGGTTCGCCTTGGGAGCTCTCCTACGCCGCACCTGCGTTGCCTGTTAGGAATGCATCACTAACAGGTCTTGTAGGAACCACATGGTCAACCTTGTTACCATCGGCGAACAGAAGTACCTGGTTGATGTAGGTTTTGGTTCGAATGGACCACATCAGCCCGTCCCATTATCTCCGGATGTCGAATTTCACAACGTGGGCGAACAATCTGGGCGCTTGCGTTACGGATCCATCACGCAGCATACCAGCTCAACCCAGCGCCTTTGGCAGTATGAAATTCAGAATAGCGGTGCAGACTGGATCCCCGCCTATTGTTTCACTGAAACCGAGTTCATTCCTGAAGACTTTACCATGATGAACTATTATATGAGCACTAGCCGGGACAGCTGGTTTACGTTCTCAGTCGTGTGCGTTCGGATGCTCTTGGATGATACGGGTGAATCCCTTGTGGGCGACTTGACACTGTTCAACAGCTCGTTGAAGAGGAGGATTGGAGCCACAGCAGAGCATATACAAACGTTCTCCTCCGACGAGGAGCGCGTTGCGGCATTGGCGAAAACATTCAACATCCACATCGGTTTGGCTGATCGAGAGAGCATCCGTCGCACCATTTCGGAGATTCTCTAGGCTTTCTGGTGGCAAAGCCTCACAAGTCTAACATGGCTGAGATAATATATTTTCAAAAATTTCGACCGATCATATTGTGCCCTTGTCCCCTTCTTTACCTCCAATCACCCTTCGCACAGGGGCCCAGGGTGATTGTTTTTTTCGGAAGTCACACGTTTAACGTGGATTACATTAGTAGAAGGAGATCGGTGACGGTAAGCTCTAAAGTCTGTATTCGATTAAAGCAAATCGGCTGCCGGTCCCTAGAGTGCTCAGTCTCACAGAAGGGTACCTGGAGCCTGAAGAACTATATGAAACTCCAAAGATCAACAATGGTTCAACGAAGCGAATATCCCTTCCAGTTAGGCCTATTTACAGACCCGCAGGGTCGAAGTGCCATACTCCTTCACACGCAGTTGGCCTTCCCAATCTGATGCAAGCTGTCTTTGCGTTTAGATCAGCTACAAAGCTATACAGCGTCTCAGTTTTCCCATGTGGGCTAGTTTTCCTGTTGATGGAGGTGGGGAAGCCGTCCTCGTCCTCCAACATCTTGTCGAGACTCTCCGTGGGTGTCAAGCCCTTTTGTACTTCCTGTCGTGCTTCCCTTAGCAGTACGGTGATGCGTTCCTGGCGATGAAGAGAATCTGGGAAGATTAACGAATCACTCACGGCAGGATCATGCTTGACCAAAAAGTGGTTAGTGTGCGCGATTTGTCCATCGACCATCTCCAGCTGGGCAATATCCATGTGGCTGAACTCGATGGACGTTCCACCTGTCTGATCTGCGATCATGATATGCCCAGAAGTGCCTAAGGTAAGCGACCGCAGCCGAGCAATCGCCTTAAGACGACTTTCACAGTCTAGCACCGTGCGGAGGGCAATATGGATAGGGAGAGCATCAAATTTGATGCCCTTCGCCCGAATGGCGTTGATGAAGACTGCGACTCCAGCGGAGTTTAGTCCGCTTTTGCTCAGGATGCCTGCTTCGGTAGCCAGGCTTATCTTGGGTCGAGGCACTGTGCCATCTTGTCTTGGTTTGATATGGAGAATGACCAGTCGGGCCTTCTGTCCTTCTTCCCACTGTTGGATCATTGTTAATGGTGAACGAAGCAAAAGATCTGCAAGCCACATACATCCCAATTTTGACCTGCAACACTGAAGCTATCGGTCTTCCATGCCAGGGCAGTGCAGCCATCATTCATCATCCCCATGGAAATTTCCGATCTAGCGTTCAGTGTCAAAATGGACGAAAAAGAGACACCAGCTCCGACCGCAATTCCTGAGAGTTGATGGTGAGTAAGTTGAGTGCATATTGACGAAGGCGTCTTTTGAAGGAGGATAAGCTCTGGATGGTGGCGGGTATCGAGATACCTTTCATTTCTTCAACAAGATGAGGAACGTGTTTTTCGAGAAAGGGTTGGTATTTTATCGCGTGCTCTTCTGCAGTTTCCCAATCCATATTGCTATTGCGTTGGAAGTATTCACGATAAAATAGAATGCTTCCATGTACTAGGGCTTTTGCCTGGCTTCCATGCTGGAACCCAATCTAGAGATCTATTTGTAAAGATCCTGCGAGAACAACAGATGGGTGATTGCGACTTACCTCGTAGGGAGACCCGGAGCAAGAGATCTCGATCATTTTGCAGTGAAAGAAAGCTGAAATAGATAGTAGGTACTGATAACGGAGTTTATCGCCTCTTTATGGTCCAGTAGAACTAGCGTCGTCCGGGCCAGGACGGATAGACAGAGCATTATCATCGGATGAGCCGAAGGGTACCAATGAAAAAGTAGTTAGTCTCCATGCAGTCATTCGGAATGAGCCTCCCATAACCGGTTAGTTTCCGGGGAAGCTTCTTTGATTGCTCCGACCCCGCATGCCCGCATGGACCGCCGGCTATCTTGCATGATAAGCCATCATACTATAAAGTAGACCCGCAGGAGCTTCGCTTATGTTTAGTTCGCATTCAAGTTTTTCTATCACACCCAAGACCTCTTTCTTGCTGTTCGGGATCGACCACCGCCATGGCTGTAGAAATTCAAACCGAGAAAACTCTGAAAGACAGTCCGGATTATGCAAGGGAGGTCGTGGAGAATGGTGGGATCTACGACCTGTTAAGTCCAGAAGAAGACAAAAGGATTCTCCGGAAACTAGACATACGGTACGGGCTCTAACGGCCAGTCCGCTTTTTCTCAAAGACGAGGACTAAATCTTCCCTAGTTTGCTACCTATCTTAGCTTTCTCGTATCTATTTCAGTACCTGGATAAGTCCGCGCTTGCATCAACTGCAATTCTTGGCCTAAAACAGGATTTGAATCTAAGTGGGGATGAGTATTCCTGGTCGAGCGGAATATACTTCTTCGGATATTTGGTGGCATCCTACCCAGCAGGCATAGTGATGGTCAGATGGAGGGTTGGGAAAATGATCACTGTGTCAATGTGAGTGGCCAAATTTGATCTTGCACTTTGGTCATGAGCTCTTTACCATGACGAGGACAGGCTAATGTCGAATTTCCCCTACTTTGAAGTTTGGCTTGGGGGGCCATCCTGATGCTGACAGCTACATGCACAAACGCCAATGGTCTGCTTGCGGCTCGCTTCTTCCTTGGTATCGCTGAAGCTGCAATTGCACCCGGTCTCACCATCATCATATCGATGTTTTACAAGAGATCTGAGCAGCCACTACGCCAAGGCGCATGGTTCCTCGGCACTACGTGCGCAGGACTATTCGGGGGTCTCATCAATTATGGTATCGGGCATATCAATAGCATTGCACCTTGGAAGGTAAATCCCTCAGTGTCCAAAAGCCTCCACACACCTCAAGAGACCATTTTAATCGTCTGAGAATAGGCCGTCTTCCTGATTCTGGGTGCCGTCACTATTGTCTGGGCGCTCTGCACCATTCTTTTGCTACCAGACACACCATCCAATGCATGGTTCTTGACGACCTCGGATCGGGCCAAGGCAGTCACACGAGTCCAAGAGAATTTAACGGGCGTAAAAAGCGACCATTTCAACTGGGCGCAGTGTCGAGAGGCATTCGCGGACATGAAAACTTGGTTTCTTGTTCTCATCCAAGTGGGCGCTAATATTCCGAATGGCGGGGTCTCAGCAGTGCGTTTCCCCTCCTTGATGCCAAATTGTGCTTGGCGCCAGCTTGCGTTTGGGCAAGATCTGATCGGTTTGCAGTTCCGACCGACTATTATCAATGGGCTTGGGTTCAGCACGTTCGATACCCTACTTCTTCAGTGTGTGCCATATCTGGTTCAGTTTACTGTAATTCTTGTTACCTCAGGTGGAAGTACTTACTTCCGTAATACACGCACATATTGGATGATGGCTGCATTCGCTATCGCCCTGCTTGGAGCATCGCTCGTTCGAGAACTACCAGCGGACCATAAATGGGGACGTTACGCGGGGACTTGCCTCATGGGAGCTTTCTCGGCTGTGATTCCATTGCTTCTGTCGATGGTGTCTGGGAATATTGGCGGTTTCACTAAGAAAACGACAGTCACCTCATTGGTAAAAGACACTCCCCGTCAACTCTAGACTCGATGACCCGCACAGGGTGCACTAACAAGCACGGAATAGAGCTTCATTGCGTATTGTGCAGGAAACATCATCGGACCACAGCTCTTCTTTGAATCGGAAGCGCCTTCTTACCGGTCGGGTTTCATCGCACTCATGGTATGCCAAGCGGCATGCTTTTGCTTATGCCTCATCTTTCGATTTTATCTGATCTGGCAGAATCGAATCCGAGATAACCAAGGCGAACATGCTGCCGCTGCAGAGCCGAGCGAAACGGAGATAGAGATGATGGCTATGATGGATAAGACGGACAAGGAAATCGTGCAGTTTAGATATGTATATTAGACTGGCTTGAGTTCCTCCTTATGAGGTAATGAGAGAATATTCCACGTCATTCTTGCAGTTGTGGGTGGAGTCACTGAAAAGTGGCCCAGAGCAGCTGTTAAACATATTCACATCGTTCATCCAGGAAAAGTCCATCTCGAAACCGACATCAATCTCTTCCCCCCAAGTCTCAGACTGAGTTTCAACGGCTGCGAATGAGTCGTTGGATATCCGTGACAACATCCTACCGAGTTCAGGTTGCTCATGGACCAGGCCAGTTATGAGACGGATTTTGTAGTATGTTGCGTGAGGGATCCCCAAGAGCTCAGGAAATCTATGGCCATCATATCGAGGAGCTGGGGATGCAACTTCAGACTCTATGCCTCCATCTGTATCTTCTCCAGTCCTCCTATTGAAAGTGTATGTAGTACCTGGAACAGCGCCACGCTTGTCAACGCCGCGTAGTGTCTGATAAAACTCGTTGAGAAGTCGGATGGAATTTGCGAATGATTTGGCCAAGCTCCAAGTCCTGGCCCAACCATCAAGCAACAAAAGTAAGTAATCCACATCTGACGCGGCCTGATCAATATCACGGTCTGTGAATCGCATCGCTCCCGTATGCACCAGACGACTGCAATGGTGTATCCATAGTAGCACACTGGCGGAAGTCACCATTGGAATTGCAAGACATATTCCAGGTGGGGAATATTCGAGTCTGAATGGTCGGGTGTCAATCAATCGCAGCATTTCCACCACACGGTTGGCACCCGCTATAGATATTGAAATATGGTCGGATCTCAGACCCTCGGCATCAAGTCTTCCGATAGGCGTGACTGATTCTAAAATGTCGGCATCTTCCAGTTGTGGAAGATACTCGTGGTGTGGCAGGAACAAAGCATGCTGGAGAAGAAAGTGCATACCGATGAAGTGTGAAAGCTGTCCAAGACATCGATGCGCCCGTATGTTACTTTCAGACCATTGCATTTCGTCTGGGAGAGATCGTAAGAATTCTTTGATCTTTGCTTGATCATGCCATGCCTTCCCTGTGGGCTCGAAAAGTGGGCATTGTGACGACCGTCGGCCGCGGTCCACATATGCCTGCGCAACGGGCGACCAAAGGAGAAGAACTTTGACAAAACAGGCGAGCAGTGACTCTGCGGGATCAGGCGGAGCGATTACCCCCAGTTCCACCTTGGGGCCTGGGCAGTCATGCCCAAAGGCAAAGGCAATGTCATTACATGGGAGATGTAGGTTTATCAGAGACACATCAATAGTTTGTGTCCGAAATGTGCAGTATGCTACCAGGCGATCGAGGATAACACACGCCCAAAATGTTCGGCGTCGGATCTCACGCTTACGCGGAACATAGCGCCAGTTATACTCATTTCTCATTCGTAGCATTTGCGCCATTCGCACAGCGAGGCCGATATGCAACCATGCCTTTGATGTTGCCATGGTTAATATCTCGCATAGGCCCAAGACTAAGTTCGCTTGTATATTGATTACTAGATTTGTCAGTGGTCGGCCGAGGGCGCAGGGACCGGAATAACACAACTTGTTGGATTGTCAGATGACTGACGAGATGAATCTTGTGCTCTGGCTCTATAGAAGCGCACAATACTCTTGGAGCTTGTAAAACGAGGGTCTATCCTTGCTTCGGCGTCGCTCAGATACAGCGCAGAGAGAGAGACGATAGACTCCAGGAGAAACCGATTCTCTTTCGTCACAGGCTCGGCCTGAAGTGCGTCTAGAAGGACACAACCACAAAGCTCGGACATATGATGAGTTTGAATGAACAAGTGCATCAACCTGTGGTGTAACTGGGCGGGAAGTGTATGCAAGGCCTCGTCAACTGTGTGCTGATGGTCGACAAGTGGCCCTGAGATGGCCGCTTCGGATTTGTCTGGAACCCGGCTTGTCGAACCGGGTTCTTCCCAAACCAACACCTTGTAGCCACCGGGCGCGGGGGCTTCTGACCAGTGGCATGGCCGGCGTTTTCGAAGACACACGTCACATCGAGGTCTTTCCCCGCTGCATCTAATCTTATGCGTCCGACTGGACCAGAGATATCACATATCAGTAAATCAGAGTGGTTATCAGCCTCCTTGGAACGAAGTCTACACACCATTCTTGGCAGGCTTGTAAGCTGCGAAGGCGACGGGCTCTGGGCATTCTGGCATGTGGGATCTGCACTGGGCGGAATGGAGACCGTATTCTCTTCTCTGCGGCAGTACCTTCGATCAGTGTGCAAGGACGCAAAGTTGGAGCGATGCTGTAGTTGAGTGGAGGTGGGGAGATAAAGAAAGTTGTCTCTACGGTCGGCGGCTAGTTCCGCTTATGGTACTAAGAACGCCCTTTTGGTTTGGCGATTTCACTTTCTCAACTTGTTGAATCCCAAGAGTCACGGTGATAGGGCCTCGCATGGCGCACGGTGGAGATTATTCCGAACATACCCCCATGGTAGCAATTTCGTGGACTTGAATAGAGATCCACCCGACCGTGGAGTTTTGGCCTCCCTGATACTTGCATGCACTAGTTCGCGGGGCAGAAAATCAACAGAGGGAGGAAAACGCAACGTGCAATAACGGCGCAGATCATGAAACTTGTTCTCAAGGCCAACCTTCGCAGCCTGCCTGCATTGCGTTTTTATGGGCAATAGGATGTGGTGGGTGGGCTTTGGATGGGGCTGTGATGACGGACTGTCTATTTCGGAACAGGAAGTACGGTGAGAGTGAAGCATTCCTTAGGAGTACGAGCAAGAAATACGACCCAGAGGACCTCTTTCAAAACGGCGTTCCCGGGGGTTCAAGCTTTTCAAATAGGGACTGAATAATGTCACAATGTGCAATAATATTATGAAGGAGCTGCCAGATTCGGCTAGCACTAATTGGCCAGGCAAGAGGATAAGTATCAGAAAATAATTCACGATAGCCTTACAGTCAAGTAAGGATTGAACCTTATGCCTTTTGCTGAAGAGATCAACTCTTCTTATATAAAGCTCCGTTACTGGGGCCACCACAAGTTAGAACTCAATGCCATTCACGCCGCTATATGTAGGGGCATCCCTCATATTCCATGATCCAGCTCGCCATGAAGAGAATCGTTCCTACCCGGAGTCAATTCGATTTCGCTTCAAGGATAATTTGGTATAACTTTCAAGGAAATTCAACATTGAAATCTATGCTTTTGGACAAATGTTTCGTCATATAGAAAAGGAAAATCTCTTACTATTTTACAGGTAACAATGAATTTCACTAAATAGAATGAAATATTATTAATTGTATATTGAGTAGTGATCGTCACTCAATTTTGCTCTCTGCTTACATAGCCCCAGTATCAAGGACATCGGGTTCAATGTTAAATTGCTGTTAAAGTGATATTTTATCGCCTTTAGCCAAAAGCAGATCGATTCAATATGAGCTAGAATCGCTCAATATATACCGATACAAGGTTGAACCGAAATCCCTTAAGGATACACTAATGAACCTCTCTATAAAAGGAGTCAATCTGTTCTAGCTAAGAGGACAATATTTAGTCTTCGTTGAACTAGAATACTATGGGGAACTCTTCACTAAATAATAAGTTTCTGCCTGGTCCGTTACTGCCACCCCCATCTAGCAATTCTTTTACAACCGAGTCGTGTAGAAAGCTAATCATGTATGAGATAACAATGCAGCTACTCCCGCAAGGAAACATAAATGTAAATGGGAACACAGATCTTTTAAAGTTAAAAATTCATTATTATTGAACCTAAGCGACATTACCAACGGTCTAAGCTCATACTATAACCACCACCTCCGATGTACTAGCAGTATTCCTTGTGGAACATTATTACCCGTGTCCCTCGTATGATCTACTGGGACCTGTCCGGGTAGGCATCATACAAGCCATCAGCAATTCGAATATTACTGAAGGATGCTTGACCTTCCCCGTTCTGGAAGAAGCGAATCTCAGTTGAGTTTTCATACCAAGGCCTGTCCTAATGTTAGCTTGCATAATATCGAAAACCAGATCAGAAAAGTAAAAGGTGAAGGAAACATACCGAACCCAAGTAGAGAGTACGAAGCGAGAGTTGGCATAAACCTCCAGAACAGAGTTGTCGACCACAATAGTGAGATTCAATGGTTCAATGTACTCTTCACCAGATCCGCTCAATTGAGTTTTGTTGCTGTCAGGTTTTGACATATGATCTGGCTTGCAGTCAATGAAACCATTCCCTAACTGCGAGTCACTATTGCCTCTGCCGCATTTGTGACCCCCATGGCCTCCATGAGCACCACAATTGTCCATCACATCAAATAGACGAAGACGACCAGATTCTGGTGACTCATCGATGCCGGTGGTTGTTAATGCAGCGGCGCTTGTATTGTAGCGATTGATCATGATTGACTCATTAGAAAACTGATAGTAAATTGTGGTCGACTCAAGCTCGGATGCCAAGATCTGGAAGCCCGTCTGCAAGGTAGGCGCACGCGCAGGGAGCGTGATCACAGCACTCAGAACGAAAAACCTAGTTTCCGGAGAGCGACGGAACGGTATAATACCTCCACTTGTTAGCGTCCGGTCAGGCTCGGTGAAGCTAGGAGCAGCAGTCATAGCATTGTAGGTCTCTCGCGCAATGTCAATTCCGAGGGTCTCAAGCTCAACACATCGGCCTGTGGAGGTTGCATCAGCGGCTACCCGCCACGAGCCGATCTCCTGCACAAGATCATTATTGACCACATTAGGTATAGTCTTGATGTACAACTCCCGCGGCAGCAGCAACGTGTTTTGCCATCCTTGCTGCGCGGCGGGAAAGCCTACAACTCCTCCGAAAACATCCCCAGTCAACCAGACATAGCTGATGTAACGGTCTGGAGCGCCGCTACCAATGGATGCTTGAGAAGATTTCGGCAGGAATTTTCCGGCTGCCGCATAGGACGCCAATCCCCAATCAAAAACACCGACCATGTTAGGGATAAATGTCACATTTCCACCCTGTTCGGTCGAAAGGCCTCCCGCTGCCCAAAGCTGGGCATGCAATGAGGAGACGGATGGCTGTATGGGGACATATGAACTTTCCACGGCAATTGTCATGAAAAGGCTGCCGGTGTAGCTGTATCCCTCTCTATCAAGCCCGAATGCATTGCTGGTCTCCCAATTGTAGCCGAAGACCTTAGACCAATCCCCATTACCCCACGTTGAATTAGCAGGCTCGTGGAACCATTCTCCAAGGTATTGCCACTGCTCATAGTCGGGATTCAGGTTCTGGTAGAGGAACATACCAGGTCCGACGTCGTGAAGACCACCGGAAACTATGGTGTACCAAGTGCCCTCGGCGTTGCCTAGAGATTCATCGAGTTGCGCATTTTGGAAGACAAAGGGGTCGCGGAAGCCCGTTACGTTCAGCCCAGCTGGAGGCTCGGGAATAACAGGAGGAATTGGGAGCTTGGTGAAGTTCTTTCCCCCATCATAGGTGACCGCCAGAGCTTGAGCTTCGCTTCCTCGGACATAAGGAAGGGTCCAATGAATCGGCAAGTGGGAGACAGCGGTGTATAGAAGCGTCGGTTTTCCATCAACTCCACTGGGGATGACAGAACCATCAAAAACCGCTACAGGGTCGTTGGGCCCTCCCGGCACGATTGAAAAGTTCCCACCCGGTCTCACATCATAATAATGAACAAGGTCGTCTGTCAAAACAAAAGCAATCCCGGTACCGTTATGGAGAAATCCGACGTGGAAGAGCCCAGTGGCAGGATCATTGTAGTGCGCACATGGATCACCGATCTGGCCGTTTGGAGGAAGAACGTGAATATGAGGTCGCCACGTTTCAAACAAAGAAAGCGGAGGAAGAGTGGCGAGATTTGGGGGTGGGCTATTGTAGTCTTGGGCGGCAACTCCCGCACAAGCTACAGCCAAGCATGATGCTACCGCTGTAAACTTCATCGTAATGAAGGATAAGGTACAAGGGCACAAAGAAGCATCAAGGTGAAAAAGCAGAACAATACTTATACTCAATAAAATGAGTCAATTTGCTTCATTAGCTGTGTCGTGGTCCAAAAGAACCAACGAACATTCTGACTCCTAGACTCGCTATTCTAGGGGCATTGCCGAGGAATGTTAGTGCCAAGGACAAGGAATCTATATCCATTGTGGGTTGAGCTAATCCTGCGGACCAATGATAAGACGTGGATGAACTACAATATGTTCCCACTCTGCCAGGTACTTTATACATTCCACAAAGTTTAGAGCAGCAAAGGGAGGATTTTTGTTTTCCCTTTTTCCCCGCGACGCGCGGGAGACCTTGAATGGAATGTGACAGTTGGTTTTGTGGGGCCGTAGGTGGGGATACCGTTGTAAACCATGTAAAGATAACTATGTGTTTCCCCGAGCTATGTAACAGTAGAAAATTCCCGGGTAGGGCCTCACTGCAATTGGTTCATTAAGCAATGGTCAATTGGTTCATTAGCTCGTTCCATTTGAAAGAGATCCTCGGTTGGGTAGCCTCCTTATCTCTCTCGTCAAGATTTAGAAAGCTGAAAGTATTAATATTATTTAGAAGCCCTGTTCTTCCTCGATGATGGGGACGTGAAGACTGATTTTCTGGTACTTGCGGTACAATTCAGAATTCATAAGTATATTTAACAGACCTTCTATTGCCTTAAATATCTAGAGCTCTCAGTCATGCCGTGGTCACCATGTTACAATAGCCGATGATAGAGACAGAAGTCAACGTCGCCCAGGCGCAAAATGCTAGCTATTATGGGTATTCAGCGTTAAAGATCTCATCGATGTCCTGATTCCTGAATTCAAGGACGACAAGTTGTGTTCTCCCTAGAGTCTATATAAGTTTTCTGCTCTTTCAAATTATATATGTACTCTCGTATCCTCTAGAAATTTGGCGGATAACTAACGGATATTAAATAATATTTATATGACAAGACTCGTGACCCTGAGGGTAGCATTATCATTATGTTCCTTTTAGACTAGGAGAAATTATTCGCAAGCTACATTAGGATTATGTGAAAGTCTCTATTCGGACAAACAAGCTTAAGATATTGTCAAGTTTCACAGCGTTTCATAAAGAATTTTGGTCATAAAAATAGCCTGCGTCGTCATACTCTCCACATACGTCTGCACATGAAACCATCAAAATAAGAGGTCACATCTTGCAGACTATCTAGACCAGTAACGAGACCAATATAAACATCTGGTCTGATCACAACCAAAGCACCGGTTTCTTCAGGAACGCCTAGCTCATTTTGAGCGGCACTGAGGAAATCAGAATATATCCGCATTTGCTATTTGGTAGAAAATGGAGCAGGAATATCTTCCGATGGCATTTGTCAAGGGGAAACCTAAGCGGAGTTGAGACACAGCAACAACGGCGTTTCAATTTGGAATACTAAAGCTAAGGAGGGAAGAGGAGAAGGGAAAGAAGGAGGAGCTACGACGACCGATCTAATACCCAACTCTAACGCGATCCTCCGTCCCATCTTCACCAGTCTCGTAGTTCAGACGGACCTCGTCGACTCCCAGGGCGGTATGTGGTGGCAGAATCGGCCAACGGCTGACAGTATTACTGAGAACGGAACCAAAACTGTCGTGAACATGGTAACTAAAGTATATGGATTAGTTAGCAGCTTTATGAGTGGTTTTTATGCAATTTTATGCAAAACTGGGTCGAATTGGGTCTAAACTGGGTTCTACTGGGGCCCCAGGAGCTGGGTCCGGGTTGGGTTCTGGGTCGTAACCTTCGACCCAAATTGGGTTATGCGGAAGTCTACTAGCCGGTAACCTACAATAAATTGAACCGGGGGGATCTTGGCTAAAAACTCGAGGCGCAAGGGGGGAGGCTCGTAGTGATTATCAACGAGCGGAGCACGACAGGGTGAAGCCTTCGCGAAGATCAAGGATCTAACCGCAAGGCGGGAATCCCCGCAGTGGATGTATATGATAGGGGCCGGCCGGCGATCAATGGTCTAGACGCATGGTTGTCGGACGTCGGCGGCCGGCGATCGCCGCAGGTTCAAAACGATGCTAAACCAAGCCTTCAGGACGTTGGAAGCTGAAGGATTTGCCAGTAGCAAGCCCCGTGGCAAAATCAATTACCAGATCCATGTTGCGGCGCAGCCTCGGAAGTTCGGAAGATTAACCCCACACGGGAGGCAGGAGCCCTAGATGGGACCCGCAAGAATCCTGTTGGTCATAATGGCGCGAGGGGACTACCAAGGATAGGGGGAGATCGGCATTCCCCGCAGAATTTATAGGGGAAGTTACCGAAGGAGTAAACTTTTTGTCGCAAAATCTTATCGCCGGCCCCTCACGTCAAGTTCAATCAAGACGGCGGGTACGATGAGCCTAAATCGGAGTAATTTTGACCCCCCAGCCAGCCGAAAATTCACGTGGATCACGCTTATCCATCCTGCAGAAAACGTGACCCTAAAAACCAAGGTGGCCATTGACGGTCGGTCTTCCAAGCGCAGTAGGACGATAAGGCACAAGCTTATACGCAGACAAAGACTACTTCAGCCGCCAGGCTTTTCCTCGGCAGTGAAATGCACTTGATTCCTCTTGATACAAAAGGGGGTTAATAGATCCAGTATCTTTGTTGGTCACGGTTTGTGTGCAACACCTCCGCCTTTAGAATCCGTCGCTCGTACCATCAACATGGAAGAGAGAAAATGCCATCCATCGATTCCACAAGACTTTTTGTTAAGGGAGCCACAGAACCTGATCAAAGAACCAGCTCCGGTATTTGTACCGAAGACCTTGGCCCACGAAATCGAGACTGTTCCAAACGGTGGTCTGAAAGCTTGGTTGCAAGTACTTGGAACTTTCTTTATATTCTTCAACACTTGGTGGGCCTTTTACTCCAGTCACTTGAATTTCTGTTCGAATGATGCATCCATTGACATTTGTGCTAGGGAAGTTTTGAATACATTCGGCGCTTATCAAACCTATTACGAAACAGGGGAGCTGTACAATACATCTTCCTCAAACATCTCTTGGATTGGCTCAGTACGGTCTTCTCTGCTCTTGATACTCGGTCTCATTACTGGCCCGTTGTACGATGCGGGATACTTCAACGCGCTACTATATAGCGGGTCACTTTTGATAGTTCTAGGCTAAATAATGACCAGTCTATGCCATGATTATTATCAAACCCTGCTTGCACAAGGGTTTTGCATCGGAATTGGAGTGGGCCTAATCTTTATACCCGGCGTCGTAATATTATCGACCTTTTTCAGCTCCAGGTTGGCCCTTGCAAATGGTATAGCCGCTGCCGGAAGTGGATTGGGTAAGTATGAGCCCTAGAAAGCAATATGGAATATACGATCTCTAATATTCTCTCATCAGGGGGGGATCATATATCTAATCATTTTCCATACGTTGTGTGGTCAAGTAGGGTTTGGGTGGACCGTGCGAGCAATAGGCTTAGTGATATTGGTGACTCTTCTCATACCGCTATCAGTCTTCAAAGTCCGGATCACATCCTCTAGCAAGAGAAAGCTAATAGACTTGCCTGCTTTCAAAGAACCAGCCTATGCCTGTTTCGTCATGGGTGGCCTACTCACGTTTATTTCTCTGAACATTCCGTTCTTTTATATCCCATCCTACGCGCAACAGAAAGGAATACCAGCTGATGGAATGGCATTCTACCTTCTCTCTATTATTACAACTGGATCGGTTTTGGGGCGCATATTCCCCAACTTGTTTGCAAACCAGGTCGGCCCCTTCAACATCATTTTATTATGCACCAGTGTATGCGGAGCTTTGATGTTTGCTCTGGTGAACCTATCCAGCCTGGCGGGTATGGTAGTTGTCACGCTGCTCTATGGGTTTTTCTCGGGGGCTCTCGTTTCCTTACCGCCGAACTTTTTTGTGCGTCTTTCTCCAGATCGAAGCTTAATCGGAACCCGTATGGGTATGGGCTATGCGGTCATGATAATTGGCAACTTGATAGGTACGCCTGTGGCGGGCACTATTTTGCAAAGTAGAGGCTTCAACTTAATGTGGATATTTGGGAGAATCATGTCGATTGCCGGCGGTTTGACTATGCTGGTCAGTCGTAGTATACAAGGACAGTGGAGCCTATTTGCGAGGGTCTAGAATTTACTCAAGTATACTTGTTAATGTTTCGGTTTTTGTTTGCTAAGGATGCCAAACATTGTGGATAATAGAGTCCGCATTCAAGCGCAAATTTCAGCAATATCTTGAAGTAGGCATGTCAATTCGACCCTGTGTATTTTACTGATAGATTTATTACTCATATTTATTGCGCCAAATAAAGCACTACATGATATCAGAAAAAATGCGCTCATCCATACCGTCATTAAAGATTTCGAGGTGCTAGCGGTTCATTTCCGGTGAGCCCTCTTTTTCTTAAAGGGGCAGCCCTGTCCTTTAAATATGCTTTGTAGGGCGCTTTCGGGACAGTCTTTTCTTCGTCTTCCCATACTTCATACCTGACCTCTTCCCAAACTTGAAGTTGACGAGTGAAATTCGGGTTCAGTTTGACATTTTGCTTTGATTGAACAAATCCTAGCACGTCCGCTTGTTTTATGCATAATCTGTGCATAAGATAGGCAATGATGATTGTTGATGAGCGTGATATTCCAAGATCACAGTGGACTAATACGGCCTCCGGTGGCGCTTCGCCCGGCCTATTATTCGTATCGTGTTTGTGCTCGACGGGCAAGGATGACAGCGAGGAAAGAACCAGGCGGGCTATCTGATCGATAAAGTCGCAAATACCGCTTATATGAGCAAGGAGGTCTTGCGTCGAGGAATCTGCACACTGGATCTATTTATGACGATGTGCTGGAATGCCTGTCTCTCTTGTTGTGGTGTTCCACCACACCTATCGAGCATTAGTAAGAGAGAGAATTGCACTGATATGATTCTCTTGAAGCAATTTCCGTTTGTATGATGCTTGGACATTTCCAAGAAAGAAACCAGGGACGATTTGCCTCATCCTCGCCACGAACGCCATCTCCCACTTCTTGTTCCTGTCATTCTCCATGTTCTTTCCTACTATATTTACGTCCATCGTAGCTTGTCAGGCTATTCTCCTTCCGTGGGATTTCCGAAAGACGAGTGGTGGTAAGTGAGAGATTGCGACGGCTAGTCAGGCTTCCAGGCGACGCCGAGCTCCTCTGTCACGTGATCGGGCAGATAATAACCCACAACTATCCTGAGCATATCACTATCTATCTTGGGGTCTTCAAGCCTTGTGTTGTATATTAGTACCATAGGAAATCAATAGCCTAGATGGTGGTCTTGAGCTGGTTTGTACTACGGCTTCAGTATGTCATCAATAATCGGAATTCGAGCTCTTTCGCCAAGAGCGCAATAAAATACCAGCCGTGCTCCGGTCGTACGGAGTCATCCACAGCGACAGTGAATGGCTTAATATACTATGGGGTGAAACAGGTGGCAGGATAGTCGTCATTGGGGTGTAGGCTGTGGAGCGGCTGAAGTGCCCTCGAACCCTTGAACTAACATCTGAAAATGCGCGGTATGGTTATCTCGTGAAGGCATTAAAATCCGACGTAGAGTGCCGTCCAGATCCACCGCTGTCTGCACATAACGCCTCCAGTCCCCGTTTCTACGTCTCTTCTGAGCTGGTTCAATTTGACAATCCCAATTCGTCCTAATAAAATACGTTTCGGTCGAAGGAAATTAAGACTAGAGCAAAGGTGTTTAGTTGCTTCGGCTCTGTCTATATATTACACCATATGAAGACAGTGTACTGCAGGTGATTTGTACTAAAAATCCTCAGCCCGGCAGACCTCCGGCCGTCCGCGTCGCCTAGTCGGGGTGGCATGCTTCTAGACATAATATTGCCGGTGGATAGATCTGGGCTAGCCGACAATATAAGGACAGTCTCTCTCTAAGCACCTGAAGCCCTAGTAAACTGGCAGTTCAAGGAGGGCTAGGGCCCCTAGAGGGGGGAGAGTGAAGGACTCATTACTGTGATCGAGTGGGAAGGCTCATTGCGCTTCCACGCTGATAGCCTCCCGGAGTCGTACAGGGCGAGCGTGTGGATGGGATCGATAGCGTTTCGCGGCTAGGTGGGTGGGTATGGTATGCGGGGGCACGCCGTACTTGCAGGCCTTGCAGATCCAGGTTCTCCAGGTCGGGTTGAAGGTGAAGAATTTCTGAAATAAATTGCTGCTTTGCCGGGCTTAGTTTGGGACCTGCGGATAAGAAAGGGTATTGTTAGATTGAGATTATTGAGATTACCCTCTGTGCAAACCTGATGTGGTGTATCTATGGAAATATATATAGAGAGGGGGAGACATAGCCATCAATATGCACCTCTTAAGACCGGGTCTCGACATGCAGGAAAGGTCTCGGGGTCTTCTGGACAAATGGTCGGGATCAATACAGATGCATGCAGGCGGGGATATATTTAGGGTGACCATCGTAAGCTGAAATTAGTGGCCCTCAATCTATATGGAGAGAGATTCAGGGAGGCAGCAATGATCGGAGCAGGATACCGCTACGCACTCCAATGAGCGGCGGAAGAAAGGAACTGGGCCCTGAGGGCAGTTAAGACTAGGGTCTAGAGCCTTTAGGGGACAGACACTATTGACGAACTACTATACACGCCCTAAGTCTAGGGATATATACAGGCAGCTAATAAGGGCCTAAGGAGCTGCTCTGGGCCTGAATTCCCCTGCTACTAAGGTATAGGCATGGTGCAGGCTGACCGGATCGGCTACCTGCTGCCGCATGCTGTGAATTACTATACCTTGGCATTCCAATACATTTGGCTTTTACTGTGGGGCACTACAGCCTACGAAAGGAGTCTCACCAATGATTATCGGACCTAATGGGTGCTGCAGAAAAAGTAAATTGAGCCATTAGGCAGCGCAGAGAAGCGGGGTAACTGACACAGCCCCCACACAGCCTCACCACCACCCGACATTATAAAACATACCGAGGAGCCCCACAACCCATATATCTTCTTTGGCTCGCCTTTGATCTTTCTCGAATGAACGGCAGATATGAGTTTCGGCTTTAGTATCGGAGATTTCCTCGGCATCATCAAGGATGTTCATCATATTCGAAAGGTTTTTAATGGTGCGCCTGCTCAGTTCAAATTTCTCAACGATGAGTGAGGCATCTCCTTGTAATTCGAGCGCGATTTACATTTTTATACTGACCCGGGGGCTCATAGAGTGAGAAGGCTCTCCATTCTTATACAGGACGTCGAGACATATATACCAAACGCAGCACAGAAAGACAAATTACAACAGATAGCAAACGACTGTAAGAATCTAATCCAAGATATCTGGAATGTCATTGGTAAATACAGAGAGATAGACCAAAAGTCTAGCATCAATCACGTCTGGAAACGCCTCAAACTGGACCCGGAAGACGTTCGAGAACTTCGGGATCGGGTTTGCAGCGTCATTGATGCCCTTACTGCTATCAATGTGCGCATCACCCAAGATCAAGTTCAAGAGCTTTTCAACTACAAGAATCAGGAACAGCACCAGAAACATCTGGACTGGTTATCATCAGAAAGCTTTGCAGCAGATCGGGGCAAACCAATCTACCAGCCAGGGACTGGGAGATGGTTCATCAAGTCACCTGGATTTCAGACTTGGATACACAATCCAGGCCAAACGTTATTCTGTCCCGGGATACCTGGAGCAGGAAAAACCAATATGGCATCAATCATTATAGATGAGCTGAACCATCGTCATGGCAACGATCCTAGCGTTGGCATTGCCTACAATTTCTGCAGCTTTCGCTATTGTGACGACCCTCGCCAGTCCCCAGATAATGTATTAGCAAGCATGATTCGACAACTAGTTCGGGGACTCCCGCTACCTGTATCGACTGTTCACCTGTTGTATGAAAAACACAGAAGCAATGGCACTCGGCCTTCATTCAGAGAGCTTTCTAAAGTCTTCAGAGATGTTGTCCAAATGGCTTTGAAACAAACTTTTATTGTCATTGATGCACTTGATGAATGCAAGGCTAGCACAATATCTTGTATCCTAAGACAAATATCTGAGACTCAGGCGTCTGGGAACTTAAACTTGTTGGCAACCTCAAGATCTGTCCCCGCGATAGAAGCGAGATTCCACGGGGGACTTTTCCAAGAGATACGAGCAACCAAAGAAGACATCATGAGATATCTCAAGGCTCGTTTGGAAAGCTGCGAGGACTGCGCCTTAACCCGAAGACCAGCTCTGCAGGAGAAGGCTGTACTTGTCATCGCAGATTGTGTTAAGGGAATGTAAGATTCAAGACCTCATAGTCAGAATTACTATTCCGCCTCACTTATTAACGATAATATAGGTTTTTATTGGCGCAGCTCTATTTGAATTCATTGGCTTCGGCTCCCAGAGCCAAAGAGATAAATGACGAATTGGAGAGATTGATCAATAGATCATACCACATTGATGAGGGCAACATTGCCGTTGACGATGCGTACCAAGACGCTCTGGAACGCATCAACAACCAAGATCCACGTCGCGCAAAGTTGGCCAAAGACGCGTTGTCATGGGTTATCTGCGCCAAACGACCACTCACTACGTTGGAGCTACGTACCGCTCTTACGATAGAACTGGGAGACTCGGATTTGAGTGAAGGAGATCTTTATGATCTTGAAGACATAATTTCCTCGTGTGCAGGACTGCTCACTGTTGGGTCCGAAAGTACGAAGGAAGTGGTTCAACTGGCTCATTACACAATGCAAGAATATTTCACACGACATCAGGCTGTCTTATTCCCAGAGGCAAATAAAACTATTACAGCAAGCTGCCTTACTTATCTTTCATACGATACCTTTTACCGAGGAATATGTTCGAATGATACCGAATTTGAAGCTCGACTTAGCCAGTATCCGCTATACTCTTATGCTGCCAAGAATTGGGGTCACCATGCTCGAGTGCATTCAACAATCGATGATCTTTTACTGCGGTTCCTAGGGAATGGCCCCGTACTAGATGCGAGCGTTCAAGCGCTGTTTGCCATGGAAGGATACTATGGCTTCGAAAGCTATTGCTCGAAATTTCCCTCGGGATTTACGGCATTTCACCTGGCCGCATGGTTCGGATTGGAGAAAGTAGTGCGCTTCCTTCTTAGCCAGTGGGACGGGTCATGTGCCAAGGACTCTATGCACCGGTATCCACTCGCATGGGCCGCTTTGAATGGTCATCTGCCAGTTGTGAAGATGTTTCTGGATAATGGAGTTGAGCCACTTCAGCATGACGAATATGGCCAGACACCAATTTCTCTAGCCGCATTGAATGGCTGTACCGAGGTCGTGAAGCTCTTCTTGGACTACCATATCGACCCAAACCTTGGAGGCTTTTGGTATCAATTTCCCCTGACAGCGGCATGCTCTCGAGGGCACCATGATACCGTCGAACTTCTTCTCAATAGAGGCGCACACCCAGACCCTAAGGACATTTGCGGGAGGACCCCTTTCCTATGGGCATGTTACAATGGCTCAATTGAGATAGTTCAGACTTTACTCAATTACTCTGTTGTTAAAACGGAAGCTTCTGGCGCATTCAACAATTACTGCATTGATTTTGGCCAGAGAGATGATCATGGAAATAATGCTATTTCCTACGCTCTAGATCACGGCCACCATGATATCATTCAGCTCCTGCGCGAGAGAGGCATTATTTCAGAACAAGAATCTCACATTGATAAATTGTTCTGCAGCTGGAGCTCTGATACTAGAGGAGGCGATGTCACTGCTACTGTGCCATATACTGGACCCGCAATTGGCTGGCCATTCATCGACGGACAAGGAGTGTCGAACAACGAGCGTAAACCTCATCGACAAAACTTCAAATGTCCACTCTGTACTCACAAACCATTCCGTAACCCTGCCCTCTTGTTAAAACATGTCCAGAACCTGCATTGCTCGGATACCGAATGGAAGTGCCCATATTGTGAGAGATCATTTGGGAGACGGGACATACTTTATGAACATGTTCGCGTAGGCCATGGGAAAAAACGAGAAGACATGTCAGTCTGCAAACAGAGATTGGATCATCCAGGAAGGTGTCTGGTTTGCGCAACGCCTCTCAGTTCTTGGGCGGCATTTAAGAGCTGCATCGTGAAGCATAGCAAGTCTATAGAGCAGCTAGAATGAATAATCCTGTTCCTTATGTAGAGTTAGCTTGGATAAAGTATATAAATGAAAATAGTTAGTACAAAGGTGTCACGGAACAATGGGATTCGACGGCTCTTTGCCGTCGAATCGGCGTGGAAAGCACCTTTGAGGCTATATCGAGGCCCTTTGAGCCAAAGTCATGTTATTCAATGTCGACAAGCGGGGTGGTCTGGATCCTCTTGCATTCCTATTGGTTGGATTAGAGTTGAAACCTGAGCTGGGCCCAAACCCCTGGCGAATCCCCATATAAAAAGGGGCTGTTTGTTTAGAAGAAAGATTAAGCTTTAGTCTTTGTTCAGACCGGAACCCTACAGTGGAATTCCATCGAATATCATTATCTCGCCTGGTCAACTGGTGCCACCCAAATCTGGCAGTTCCCTTACAAAAGGGCTAAATGTGAAGCAAATATAGAGCGGAGTTAGAGATCGTAGGCGCCAAATAATTTCAGTAGAATATTATATAGATATAGTTGTATAAGATTTCTAGTAGTATATAGACTATAGATATTAGATACAAGTTTATATCTATATCCTTAATAATAGATGTTACTATATATCACGACTAGAAGACAGCACGATCTGCAATATCCACGGATATCTGCAATCTATATACGCAAACTGTGAAGTACTAAAGCAAGACTTCATCCGATCTGTACTAGGCCACGAACTATATTCGATAAACTTAGGGGAAAGAGTTCAATACGCTGGTCCTCCGTTTATTAGTACACCAAGGTCACATGTTCTACACAATCAACAACGGGTCCTGGCCCGTGACACAAACTGCAGATTTGGGTACCATTTCATCTCTATAATCCACAGCTTTATGGATTCGGATATCAATCTTATATCCTCTAGATGTTTACAGGTATCTAATAGATATCAAATAACACAAATATACCACGACTCGTGATCTCGAGTGATATACAGAGAACTTGTCAGGACCCAAGGCCTCCGAGCTACCGCCGGACACCTCAGGCCCTGTCCCACATCGAATGATAACGATGAGGCAACGCGCCATACACCAAAGACGAGTAATAAGGCAACTTTCCAAGGACACCCGCGTAACCTCGGAGAAAAGGGCTGTTCATACTGTATAATATATTGCATGCACACTATAGAACAGTATATAGAACATTTCAATACAACTGCCTACCCTTCATTCTATTTCCCGTATCATAGCTAATATAATTTCACTCTGCTGGTGTGAAGGACTAGGATGTGATCACCATTGGTCGACCTTCCTGGTAGAGGATAGCTCCTATTGAAATTTGGGATGTGTCTGTGTAGAGGACGAATGGGAGCTGCAGAATGACTTTGTACGTGGTGATGTGTGAGAGGGCTGCATCCTTTGTGCGCTGGAACGCTTGCTGCATGTGATAAGTCCATTCGAACGGCACCACTGAGGGGTAAGTTTATAAAGCGGTGCCGCTTTTTCCGCAAATTCAGGGGAGGAAACCACGTAATTGGTTCCCTGGTCCGAGACATTGCTAGCAGTTCGGTTCGGTTCCGTGGCCTGGGCCATTCTTGGGTGGCTGCCGTATCTGGGTCGGCAGTGACTTTGTCTTGTTGGACTATCTGCTGAGGAATTTGACCGCCTTAGCTCGGTAGTGTAGCATAATACGACTCTAGCCTGCTCGAACTGGCGCCGTACTAGAAGGAAACAGTGCTAGAGTAATTCTATAAGGGAAGTACTATTCAGCTGATTTCGGGGGCCTAGAGCTCTTACATACAGGCTTTAGGCGGGTCGATAAATCCCAAATCTGTCTTGGGCCCTAACTCTAGGCCCGAAACCCAGCTGAAAGATATAGTCGGGTCAGGTTAGGCTGAGGCTTTTGTGGGCTGTGAAGATATCTACCTGGTGTATTGATCTAATATTGATGGAGATTAGGATAGGTAAGTCACTGTTATATCTAGAGGCTCTATATTATCTCTGCCGTAGAAGTTATGAAGTAGTCTAAGGGTAACTATATCGTGGGATCCAATTTTTGATACGTCTAAGAAATTTAAAGGACGCGGAGTCTGTATTTAGCCTCTTCTGCTGTGATAAAGGCAGGAAAATAGAAGCAATATAAACCATATAAATAGGCGATTCTTACCTGTTACCTTGGGCCCACTCCCGGCAAAATGCCTCGCTGACCCCCGTAAAAGGGGTCTCTAGGGGGCCCTGTCCCCCTGGCTCGAGAGCGCTCTGGAACTGAAATAGAACATTCCTCTGCGTCATTAGGATAGACAACGGCGGTTTGGAGACCAGGCCGAGTCGGGCATACCTTACCAATGTCGTTATTGTTGTACCTTAAAAGACTCCAGTCGTTATTGTGTCAGAGAGAATACATAATGCTATATGTAAGTTTAGGACAATAAAGTGGTTAGAAGTCAACATGGTGCTTTGCATGGATATTAAAGGAACTAATTCTGACGAAGCAGCTCTGTCCCCGATCTGCGCAAGCCTCATATCAACTCATATCACAGCAAGAATGCCAACGAGATTCTCTGTACCTTGGCCGGCAACATGGTCTCAGCTCTCTATCTCACCCCTGAGCAGAAACGGTTATGCCTGTTAGCAACATGCTAACATCTCGTGTTCTTCTGATTCTATCATTGAACCCAGACCAATATCGGTCAGTCCGAAAGCTGGATTGTGTCAGTTGGAGCGAGAGACAAGAGCAAGTGAAACGAAAGCCTAGACATACCTCCAGTTGAGATTCGCCAACGCGACATTCTGGATCCCAGAGATATACCGATGAACTTCATAGTCCATGGTTTCTCCCCAAAATGGCAGTTGCGCCAAAACACAATACCACTCTCGGTAACGGGAATGTAACAAGTTCTCTGCCTCTTGAAACGCAGATTGAAGACTCTTCCCGTTAGACAAGTAGATAATCACGAGATTGTGATTCTCCCCCATGTCCTGGTGCACCGAATACGATGGTGTTAGATATGTCAACTCACTTATTTCTTGAGGCCCGAATATAGCAGCTAAGACGTACCCGTTCCTTAAAATAAGAGACAATATCGTTTTGACTACCCAGGTAAGAATATTGTCAATCAGTGTAGGTCTTGCAAGTCTCACATCAAAACAATGTCCGTGATGATTTCGCGGAGTTTCTCAATGATCGGATGCTCTATAACTGAGTCCGGTAGGTCTAAATCCAATGCGAATCTAGAACGAACTATGCGTTAGAAAGTCGCTTCATCATGATTTTTGTACTGAAAATTGATAAGCATCTCACTCAATCAGTGAAAATATAGGGGTTGTCCCAATAGAATCTCGACGCATTCCAAGAAATCTGTCAATTGGCGGGATCGTCCTGCTTGACTGTAGATTAACCTGCTGGATATTTGCTTGACAGAAATTTGTCATGTACTTGACAAACCGCGTCCTGCTACCTTCTATCTTATCAGCTGAAGGGATTTCTTAGTCAGAGCAGAGAAGTCTTCACCTTGAGGTGCCTAGAAGAATGAGCTATAAGAACATGTAGATCTATCCGGGAACTTACTTTGGCAAGTCTACCCCATATGGATTGGAATGCCTGAAGAAGTGGCAGCTCAGGCTGAGCTTCTTGATGTTGAATAATAGACAAGAGATCGTCAACCATCTTTCTTGCTCCGACTGGATCATTTTGAAGCGGTCCATTGTCGAAATCTAAGGATCTGTTAGCAAGACCCATGTTCCAATTTTTGTGAAGGGTTCGGGGAGTTGGCACAATCATCAAAGGGGAATATCTGTGCATCGCTATCAGAATTTTATAAGCACTCAAGGAAGTCCCGCGGCGTGAACAAACCCAGTTTCCCCAATCACACAATAAACGTAGTTTTGTAGAGCTGGCCGAAGGGATGACAATGGAACAGAAGTAGGAAAAGTCAAGATTGTGGATAGTGCGCTCGAGCTGGCGACTGAACTGGCACTCCCTACGCTCAGATAATGCGTTAGAACGTGGATGCGGAATAGCTATCAGGTCTTCTGGTATACCTGGCTAACCAAAGCTCTGATTCGATACGTATATCCTCATAGCATGGATTCACTTCTGGTGGCAGGGCCATAAATGATACAAACATATCTGGTAGGAGAACAGACATTGCTGTGTTGAATCTGTACCCGGGTCAATATTCAAGAGATGACGTTTTATTCGGTCTGATTTCAATTTTGGGTATAAAAAGGAAAAGAAATAGAGATATTTCAGGGGCTGGCGCTTCCTCTTATGGTGGTACTCTCAAGAATATCAGAATACGTCATAAATTTATAGGCCAAGCAGCACTAGTAAACACACTGCGGGGTTCCCATGATGGCGCCTTGCGTCAAAACACTCAGATAGCGAGGAGCAAACGCTGATTGGAAGCAGCGACAATGAGCTGGCCGATAATATGACGTAAGAAGTACAAGATAACTACCATAGCATTAATACGGGTATTATAGGTCAGGTCTGGCTAGACATCTTCATGGCCTACGAAAGCCTAAGCCCGACCCGACCCGACCATACGCATAAGCTGGGTTTCAGGCCTCGAGTGGGTTACAATAAAAGCAGTTCATAACTGTAGAACGCAGTACATCGTATAGCTTTGCTGCCGCATGCATTAATTTAATACGACCATCTTTTATGTAAGGCAGAGCCAATAGGGTCTTTCCTTATTGTCTGGCATGTTGGCGAATTTTTAGTGCGATTTGGTGGCATGGTACGCAGTTGAATGAAGGGAGGGTATTAGGAAGGCAACTTTTGGGTAAGGTGGCCAGGTCAACTGGGGACTACGCCCGGGCTAATCAACGTGAATTACCTACATATCACGTGTTCTGAGTCTAACCCATGCAAACGGAGTCAGTATTCGTTGAAAGGTCGAATGATGGTAATCAAATAATTTTGCAGTAAGTTACTTCCTTTCGGCTTCCGAACCTTTCTGCAGTACGCAAGCAATGAAAAGGGCAACTCCGTCGGAGTATCATCCTCTATAAGTAAGCTATTCCCAGCATAATATCCCTATTCTTGTTGGAACGATGGAATAGCCTTTCTGTGTCTTAGTGTGGCTCTTCAAATGCTAAGATTGACTTGTCATTTCCGTTGCGCAGCCCCGAGACTTTTACTCTTCACGTTCAATCTAGGGGTTTATTCATCGATACATTTGATTCAATTCTCCGAGTAAATCCTAGTATCGTAGGATTAGAGGTTTAGTATTAGCCTATGATAACATGACAATCGGTATATGTCTATATCACTGTTTCCGGTACTATAATCAAAACCCCTGTTTAGTACATAACGGCTAGTATGTAGTTAGTTTTCACTAGGCTCAATATTCGACATTTTGTTCTATACTACTACATAGGCGGCTCTATTATCGAGATAATATAGCACCTTCCTTGCCGCATACATACCTTTTTTTTTGTCCAAATTGCCTGGAAATATAGCATCAAATGAGGAGCCGACTAAGATTATCATTGTCGGTGATGGCATCATCGGCCTTGTACTCTTACTCGGTTTGATGCAACGCGGACTTAATTTCCGGATTTATGAGCAAGCGAGTAGCTTTCGTGAAATTGGAGCTGATGTAGTGTTCACAGCCAATACAGTGGAGTGCATGCGGAGGACAAGCCTAGACATCGTGGAATCTCTGCGGGCAGTCGCCACAGCTAATGTCGATGGCAGTAATGTGAATAACTGGCGTTGGTATGTAGAAGGATATCATGAAGTCCCCAACGGCCAGAACGAAGAGAAGCCGCTTTTCAAGTTATATGCTGGCTACATAGGCTTCGAGGGCTGTCACCTCTCACACTTCATAGCCGAGCTGGTCAAATTTATTCCTGATTGCACAGTGGAATTCGACAAGCGACTGGATAAAATTGTTCAGAATAAAGGTAAACTCGGGGAACCTCACTTAGACACGGAAGTGTTATATTTAGAGCATGTTGTGTAAAGACAATTAGGGTATATACAGGTCGGAGCATATTGTAAGTAACCGTTTACCTGTATTCTGGGCGCATAAGGCTAACAGATTGACTATTCATAATCTATAAATTCCTTATGCCCGCATGCTTCGGCCCGCCCGCTGCAGCCTACTCAACATAACTAAACACCTTCAAGTCGTTATTGTCCGAATAAAAAGCAAATATGGAAAGAAAGTCCCAGACACGTTCCTTGAATGAGAACATGTAGTATATTCTATCTCTGTGAATTCAATTGGCATCTTTCCCCACCGTCTTTCCGCACAGCCAAACTCACGAGACCGCCCAGCCCCAGCACTCTTTTTCTTGTCCTCTCAACCTTCCTGTACGTGACGTAGCCGGCTATTACATATCATGGTATTTCATGAAGTCTCTTCCTTTGCCGCCCATGCACCACTCTGTCCCAACGCAGTGGACAGATCTCAAAGCTCCTCATAGGGGGGATAAGTAGATTTATCATCCACAATATTGACCACCTTACCCTCGTCCACGTAGTTCTCTACCCACGAAAGAGAGACGACCGTGTGTGCCCGGTTGACGAATGGTTCTTCGGAGGCCTGCAGTGCCTGGAACTCCGGGTCGCTGTTGACTCTGTTGAGCTCAGCAAAATTGCGGAAGTAGAACTCAATCGTCACATCGTGATCCTAGATTGATAAATTAGAGATGGTCCTCGTAGAATTCATATTTTGAAAAATGGTCGAGGGTTTCATACGTCAATCACCCAGCCACGGTTGTTACGGCGGTTCGTGTCGTCCACAAAAGTGCGATACGCCGGGGGGAGTAGCACTGCTGGTGTCAGTATAGTCAAACCACAAAACAGTCGACATGATAGATAATGTGGTATCTACCTGCTGGTATTTGTAAATTCCGTGCTTTGCGTGCAGCTTTGCTGCCTTGACGACATACTCTCGGGCGAAATCGTGGCCCTCACCACCCTGTCGGGCCTGGCCCTTGTAGAGCTTGATAGTCAGACGAATAAGACGAGGGGTTTGGATGGGGGATGTCATTTTGATGGTATGATGGTACAAATAATAAGCGACAGGAGAGGAATTACGGTTGTTTAATATCTCGATGTAATTAGATAGATATCTGGGTAGGTAGACGGCATGATCCTATATAGTGGGAGGGTGGGACAGGGATGGGATGGAGTTAACGGAGAAAAGAAATTTAACTCAGAGAAAGATGTTTCATCGGACGGGGATCTAAACTGCCTCGTATCATACCACATCATAATCCCTGCTGCTTAGCATCATCGGTGGATAATTACCTATTGGGCGCAACGCCGATTCATACAGTCGGCAGTCGGGATGGGTGTGAAACAAAGACCATTGATATATTTGACCGAATCGGGGTAAGCTTCAACGCCGAAAACTAGACTATACGACCATCTTCCGGTCGATCTCGAACACCTGATCCAGCCAAGCAAACGCCTTGGTGTTGAGCACATTGAAAGCCCCCACCTTCGACTGCAAGCCCCCCTGACTGACGTCTTCGGCCACCCACATCAGCTTCCGGTCCTTTGGAACATTCACTAATTCCTCGTAAATCCGGTGCGTGCTTATCTCCGGTGGGGAGTACAGCGAGTGTCGTGCCCCTGTCACCATCACCGGACAGTGGACTTTTTCCAGGTACCGGGATCCATCCGGCGCAGACAAGGTAAAGCGCTGCATGGTCCGTAATAGATCGGCGGCACCAGAAGCCCCAAGCATCCACTGCCCGAAGCTAAACTCCCACCGAGTCATGGGGTTCAGTCGCCCGAGAATGCCGAACACGTAATCCCATCCCCATCGGGTACAAAGCCGCCAGCAATGAATGTGTTCAGTACGGGCGCAGGCATCCTGCTCCGCAGCAGGTCAAACATCGTGTAAAATGGATCAACAGCGATGCACGCATGGATCCGAGGGTCTGCTGCTCCGCGCAATGCCAGGTAGCCGCCCATCGAGGACCCTACCAGAGCTACACGCCGCGCCACGTCTAGCTCCAGCTCCTGGTGCTGATGTGCATATTCTTGTGCAAAATATAGCACCTTGCCAACCACTGCCTCCCAATCCGGTCGGAAAGGAACCCTGTGGCGTCGTAGAAAAATGCCCTGCCCGGGCCCTTCGAAGGTAAGGACCGCGTATCCCAGCTCCAGCGCCGCCATGGGGAAGATGTAGAAGATCTCCTCCTGAGTCGCGTCTGCGCCCACTGTCTGGATCAGCAGCGGTATCGGCCCACGTAATCTCTTGGAGGCTTCGGGGAGGCACAAATAGCCAGGAAGGACCAGGCCATCATCGTAACGGATCTCAATCCGTCTGATGGAGGAGTCAAGGAGGGTCACAGCGCGCCAGAAATTAGATATGGCTGTCTCCGAAGCAGTCAGGAGGCGCTGGTCTGTGCCTGAGAGGCCGTTGAGCATGAATTGAGCCGCACGCAAATAGTTGGATGCCCGAAAGTAGGCTCGCCGTGCTGTGATGCGATTTCCTGCCTGCTCAGCTTCTGCGGCCAAACCTTCGACTTTGCTGGCGGCTTCAGCCCATGCGGAATACCAGCTCTCCACGTCCCCATCTTGAATGTTTTGCAAGGCTTCAAAAAATTCGGCAACCTCACCACCGTCGTGGGGAGTGAAGCTCAGCAGACGCAGAGCCTCAAAATGAAAGAAATCAGACTTGAATAAACGGAACATGTTGACAAACAAAATATTCTCTGTGCAGTGGATCGTGAACGTCACCTTAGAGAACACTAATAAGTGATGAGTTTAATGTAAACGCACTTCGCCGGTGAATGATGATCCTGAGCTCAGATCGGACGTTAGATTCTAACCCCGAAACTATTCGGAGGATGTTTTGTGGTACACTAGAAATCAGTCCCTGTATAGACCATGTCAGAATCCAGCTCTTTATCGCCAACCAGATCCTCCAGAGGAACCACCCCAAAAAACACCCAGCGCATCAGACAAAGACCTAAATGTCGTCCACCACCTACATCCCTCGTATACACCGAGCTCTCGTGGCCCCAGGCCCTGGCTCTATCGCCCTCAAACCCATCCCGGTACCGCCGATTGCAGATGACCAGGTACTTGTCCGCGTGGCCGCAGTCGCTCTGAATCCATCTGACTACAAGCTACTCGACCAATCTACCACTCTTGGTGCTGTCAGCGGTAGCGACTTTGCCGGCACCGTTGTTCGGGTCAGCAGCAGTGTCAGCCATCGCGTGAAGGTCGGCGATCGGATTTGCGGGTTTGTCTTCGGAGCCAATCCAGGATGCCCCGAAAATGGGGCCTGGGGCCAGTATGAAGCGGCCACGCTTGATCTATGCATGCCGATTCCACCGGAGATGGACTTTGCCACAGCCGCATCTCTGGCTATGGGAACCGCCACAGCAGGACTCGCGTTCCGGTCGCTGGGGCTGAAATGGGATGGGCTCGCAGTGGACTCGGCCGCCCAGAAGAGTGCATCCGATTCGAGCGCGAACGAGGACACGGGCAAGTTCGTGCTAGTTTACGGAGGTGCCACAGCCACTGGTACTCTCTTGCTGCAGTTCCTGCGAATGGCCGGGTATGCTCCACTAACGACCTGTTCAGCTGCCAATTTTGACATGGTCATCGGCCGTGGAGCACTGCATGCCTTCGATTATAATGCTCCCACGTGCGTGGATGACATCCGCACGTATACCGGGGAGCGGCTCGCCTACGTGCTGGATTGTATTGGTTCGATCGATACTATGACTCTGTGCTGTAGTGCAATCGGCGATCAGGGGGGTCGGTATTCGGCGTTGGAGCTATACCCCCGCTTATTAACGATTCGGCGTCGGGACGTCGTCCATGATTGGATTCTGGGGTGGACGTTGTTTGGGGCTGAGGTGCAGTTGGCTGGGGCCTATCACCGACCCCCCATGCCCGAGGATTGGGCGTTTGGGAAACAGTGGGCAGAAATGGTTAGCCAGCTAATTGCGGATGGCCGACTGCAGGCACATCCTCTGGAAATTGTCTCGGGGCACTTGTCGATGGTAATCCCAAGCCTTGACCGGCTGCGTGAGGGGGAAAATGAGAGGAAGAAAGTGGTGGTCCAAGTGCAAGCTTGAGTCAGCTTTGCCCCTCACACCGAGTCATTTGAGGGACATAAGATGGCCAACCTCGTACAGATCCCCTGGGATATTCCGCTTGGTACTAGTAGCTTTAAACTGTATGCTAAACCATGCTATCGTTTTTCCATCTCTTCCCTGAGCTTCTCTTGTTGGCTCTTGTTTCAGGAGTTGCGTACTATGTAGCAACAGCTATTTACATTCTCTATTTTCACCCACTATCGAGGTTCCCTGGCCCTAAGCTCTGGCTGATCACCCGTATTCCCAACGCTCGTTCTCTTGCAAATGGCCAATTGATGCATCGCATCCGACAGTTCCATGAACTGTACGGTCCCGTGGTCCGTTGGGCCCCAAACGAGCTATCTTTCATTGATGGGCAGGCTTGGAAAGACATTTACGGTCACCACCCCGCTGGACGTGACTTCCCCCGGAATCCTCTTTATTATAACCGAGCAATCAACGGCGCTCACACAATCCTCTCCGCCGATAATGTTACTCATACGCGAATTCGAAAGTTGATCTCCCGCGGCTTCTCCGAGAAAGCTCTGCAGGAACAGGAGAGCTTTATAAAGACGTACACGCGACTGTTAATCGAAAAGCTTCAGGTCCATGCCCAAGCGGGCCGCTCAGTCGATATTGGTGAGTACATTCAGTTCGCCACGGTGGATATCGCGGGCGATCTGATATTCGGCGAATCGTTTGACTGCCTGGCGCGCGAGGAGGCCCACCAGTGGGTAAAAGTGACATTCGGCTTCTTCAAGCGTTTGCTCACAATTGCTGCATGAACGGTGGTCATCCCTTGGGCGCGCCCGCTCCTGCCGCGACTGGTCCCCAAGCGTATCCGCCAAGCGAGCCGACAGCGGTTTGCTTTCTCGAGTGCAAAAACGGGGAAGCGTCTAGCGCTGGGTGAGGCCCCGCACCGCTCAGACCTTATCACATACATCTGTCGGTATAATGATGATAAGGGCATGAGCCGGGAAGAGATTGATGCGACAGCGGATATCTTGATTAGTGCTGGCAGTGAAACGACTGCCACCGCGCTCACGGGAACACTGCAGTATCTTTTACGCAATCCCGAGAAGATGAAAAAGCTCCAAGACGAGATTCGTCAGTCTCTACGAACTGTGGAAGCGTCCCTGAGCATTCACCATACTGCCAAACTGCCCTATCTAAATGCCGTCCTCTTGGAAGGACTTCGAATGTGTCCGCCAGCACCGTCAAACCGCCCTCGTCTGGTACCGGAGGGCGGAGCGCCAGGTCTGTGGGAACTGGGTACCTGCCCAGGTATGTTAGCAATAAAGACGGTTCAATCTTCCAAATTCTTGACTGGGCTGACCTTATATCCGGATACAGGCGTCAGTAGGCATTCCTGTCTGGGCCGCATTTCGCTCCGCTCAGAATTTTGCCCAGCCCGACTCGTTCATTCCAGAGCGATGGATGGAGCCAGAGGAGGGCGGAATCTCTCTATACCCACATGATACGACTGTATTTCAGCCATTTTCCTATGGTCCGCGAAATTGCATCGGCCAACGACTGGGATGGGCTGAATTGCGCGTGATCATGGCGAGCCTGATGTGGCAATTTGATATGTAAACATGAGCCCCGAGAATCGTTGGGAAGACCAAGTGGTCTTTGTGATGTGGGAGAAGAAATCACTCCATTTAAGACTCTCTCAAGTACAGCACTGAAGTTCATCGAGATTTCTTGTCATGTCGAATCCAAGTCGAGCGAAGGAAGCAGTAAAGCTTAGGACTAAAGAACGCACATTAAAAGAAGAACCTTTCTATCCGGTGATTACTATATCTAAGACAAAACGATGTATCCTAAAAACTTACTATTACAGTTGATCAATTGCCGTCCTTCCTAAGGGTTAGTCAAAGTAGGAGCCAGCCTCGAGGTAGAGTCGGAAATAATTAAAGCGGGTATATTAAGCACCATAAGTGTGTCAGTGATCATTACGACGAAGCCTCCGTGAAGACTTTCCATAAATGCAGAAGCGCAGGCCTCTCTCCGTAGTACGGCACATGATCCTCTTCTGGCTCCGGACCCTCAATTACCTCCAACTATTGATATATACGTAGATGGATTAGTCTCAACATGCTTCACTATAAAGTTGATCCCTAAAAGTGCATTAAATCCAAAATGATAGTACATAAAAAACCATTCATAGATTACCTCCTGGTCAGAAGCCTGGGGAAATATATAGGGTTGCCCTGAATACTCTCCAAATACGCCGATACAAGCTCAGGAAGTCCGTTGGCCGTGGCCAACTTAGTCCACTCCTGTATTGAGAGGACCCGGAAAATGAATCCCGTCTGTCTTTCGAGATACTCCTTCGCTCTGTCGATTGGGACAACACGCTGACCTTATAGAGGACAAATAGGAGCTACAGATCGACATTGTACGTGGCGAAGTGTGACACGACTGCATCCTTCGTGCGCTGGAACGCTTCCTGCATGTGATAGGTCCATTCGAACGGCACCAGTGGGGAGGCAAGTTTATAAAGCAGTACCGCGTTTTCCGCAAACTTAAGGAGGAAATCGTGTAAGTAGTTCCCTAGTCCGAGACATTGCTGCAGTTCGGTTCGGTTCCTTGGCCTGGGCCAGTCTTGAAACGCTGCAGTATCTGGGTCGGCAGTGGCTTTTTCTTGTTGGACTATCTGCTGAGGAATTGGACCGCTTTGGCTCCGTAGTATAGCATATACGACTCCAACCTACTCGAACTGACGCCGTACTGAAAGGAAACAGTGCTAGTACTATTTAGTAAATTTCCGCGGCCTATATAACTCTTGTGTATAAGGTTTAGGCCTAAAGCCTAAAGTCTGTCGTGGGCCCTAACTCTAGGCCCGAAACCGAGCTTATATATATATAGTCTGGTCGGGTTGAGCCTAGGCTTTTGTGGGATATGAAGATATTTATCTGAGGCATTGATTTAATATTGAGGATAAATAAATCATTGTTATATCCAGAGGCTCTATATTATTTCTGCTGGTAAAAGTGATGAATCAGGAGTCTCCCACCCCGGCAAAATGGCTCGCCGACAAGGGGTCTCTAAGGGACCCTGTCCCCCCTGGGTCCAGAGCACTCCGGGACTGAATTAGAACATTTGTGTGTGTCATTAGTATGGACAATGCTTGTTTGGAGACCAGGCCGAATCGGACATACCTTACCAATGTCGTCATTGTTGTACCTTAAAGAAAGATTGAGTCGTTATTGTATCAGAGAAAACGTAACGTTATATATCATCTAGGACACTAAAGTGATTAGAAATCAACCCTGTGCTTCATATGGGTACTAAAGGAACTAAAACCATTGCAAACTCTATGAAGTCTTATTAGCTACCATTGTCACATCAACGCTATCGCCGAAGAGTAGAATGTTCCACTTGTTGCATATTGGTGTTCGGTGTAGGGGCAAACCACGAATCTCGGGTCGGGGGTAGCATCGGAGTTCGCATGGCCGTTGTCAAAAGCAAAAAAATCTCGACTTTCTATAGTGGGGCACACAAGTATCTCATGCGGATTATTTTTATTTTTGTTTTATTTCTCATTGGTTTCGGACGTGCTGTCAAGGGGAAACCTAATCGGAGTTGGGGCACGGCAACAACGGCGTCTCAATTTGAAATACTAAAGCTAGGGAGGGGAAAGAAGAAGGGGAGGAGCTACGGCGACGATCTATCTACCCCCCAGCGCGAACCTCCGTCTCATCTTTGCCAGTCTCGTAGTTTAGACGGACCTCGTCGTTTCCATGGACGGTGAGCGGTGGCAGAATCTGCCAGCGGCTGACACGTGCTGGTTCTCGGAACTAGAGGATTAAGCCGGACTTACAAAACGGCGGCATCGCCGTCTTGTAATCGATTCACGAGCCTCAAATTCTCGAATTTCACAAAATTCACCTAACATTGATAGTTTTGGAGTATCAGGAATGACCCGAGAGAAATTGATATTTGACTATACCACGATCCCGCATATCACTGATCAAGGTGTACTGTGTTGAAGAGTCTATGTCCAGTGTCTGTACTACCTCTTCCGGTAAATTGATTATCCGATAGACGAAGAGCGATAAAAGACAAACGCCGGAATCGCGAGAACTCCAGCGCAACTCTACTAGTAGAGACTGATTTCGCTTGAATGACACCAGCAACCACAATAATGCGAATAGAAGCATGAAGGTGTCGAATGTGTCGCACAAATTCCAAAATTGACTGGCCGGTGTTGATCACAGAGTCAACAAGAAAGATTGTGACGCGACCTTGAAGATGCTCGTACTGGACATCGCTTGGGTTTTTGGCATGAAGAAACATGGCAAGCGGCAAAGCCTTGTTTATCCCCAACGCCATTGGTTCACCGCCTCGCATCAGAGGCACGATCAAAGTCTTCTCTTCATGAAGAACTCGATAACCATCTGTTTGGTGACCCTGGACATGTGAAACTTGGTACGTCTCAACACCCAGAATTTGTGTACAGAATTCAGTGGCAAGATACCATCCAACTTGGGAATGTGCATCTCGCAGTGCTGGTCCAAAAACTGATGCATCACGCGTTGGTGTCATGAGCAATTTGGCCGCAAAACGATCCGTAGCATGAAGAAGATGAAGGCTTTGGCGCCTGATAAATATCGAGTCAACGAAAAATTGATCGGTCAGTTGTACTAAAGGTAGCCGGGACGCATCGAGGCGAGCTGCTGCATTTGACGGAAGCACAGCCTGGCGTGGCAGAAACCCGGCCTTTCCGATAGATCTTGTTAAAGCCTCGTCCATGCTAGCGCTTCTCAATGTCTTGTCGCCCGTCACAACAATTGCTTGGTTGGCCACTTGAAGCATCTCTATATCCAGTGGACTGTCCCCCAAAAGCCCAAACATAAGAGTTATGCACATCACGCAAACGTGTCACGAGTGCAGCTTTCAGTGCAGGTGTCATAACAAGAGCGTCTGACAAGCGCCCCCCGCCAACCACCGTGACTGTCGTTGCCAGTCCTTCCCTCTTTAGAACCTTTTCCCAGACTCTGCGTAGCCCACAAGTCAATACCAGAGCGCGGACATGGGTCTGGCCTGACGCTAAGTGAAGAAGATCTAAAAGCTCAGAGTACATTTTGATCGTGAGAGCTACTTTCTCGCAGCGATCATCGTATTCTTCATCGTCGCCAATGGCTTCTTCGCAGAGTAAGGTCGCTTGGCGGAAGGCAGTATACGAGTAGTGCAAACGGCTGCTAAACAAATTCTTCAAGGGAGATTTCGCGTCAGCCTCCGCCGAAGATGTAGAAGCCAGCTCCCAAAACAATTCACTGCTATCCTGTGGTGCTAGTGTCTTGTCGGCATCAAAGACTAGCACAGTCTCCGGCCGTTCGGGTCCGTTCATTATGAACTCGTCAATGCGTTGCTGCGCCAGTCTGGTATTCATGTCGTCTGTATGGTTCCTGAGATCCTGAATAAGGGAACAAGCCTACCCATGGATATCTGGCGTTGAGTAATGGTCGTGAAAAGGATGTCGTGGGACCTGCAAAGTTGCCGTAACTGGCTTTTCTCCTCTTGCTGCCATTTGCTCAAATGAGCAATTGACACTGCGGGACGACTTCGTTTCTGATCACTCGACCGATATTCCGCGATGTCCCTAGCCGGCACATCCAGATATATAATGTGAGTGTAGGTGTCTAAATCAGCTTGTGTGCACACCAGTTGACCAACACCTTCTCCTTCGGCCCAAAACATAGCATGGCCCGCGACTAAGGCACTTTTCCCACTTTGAAAGCTCTCTTGCTTGATCTTTCGAATCGCTTGACCCCGAGCCCTTTCTTGATCATCTTCGTTCAAGTTCTGGAATGCTTCAAGGCCCCCAGGCGTGCCCGCTGCGATGACCTGGCTGCCATCATAGAAGGAAAAATCGGCATGGCTCAGGCCAAGTTTGAGAATATTGAGCAAAAACGATTTGCCAGATCCAGGGAGGCCATAGATGCCGATGATGACCGAGTTCGGACAGTTGGCTGACGTCGGGTTGGTAGACATGAGATCATGGTTGCCAGTGCCATTAAGACATGGTATATAGGGAGCTTGCATGATTGAAGCTTTGGTGGAATAGAAGTTAATATCAAGCAATGTAAATCTGAAAGTCGGTTCTTGATGAAGAAAGACGGGGACGCCCCCTAATAGCAAGATTTATATCATCTATAGAAAGTAGCGGCCTAACGTCGCACGTGAGCTAGTAGGCAGAGTAATAAGGAGGAAATATCGGAGGCAGAGAAATTGGGAGAAAAAAAGCGAGCGAATCGGCGATCACTAGGTGCCAATCATTACCAGCAGGCCATGCGAGATCATGTAGTATGTGGCGCAATGTATACCCCGAATCCTTAGCTGCAATGCGGTGATCAAGGTAGAAGAGGCCAAACACGCCGGAGGCCCCGACTGACTCGCTGGAACTTTTCAGGGTCTATTTGATGGCGACACGCCACAGAAGCGACCTTTTCATCTTTGCTCGGGTTCACCACTTCACGTATAGAGTTCCAGCGTTTTTCCATGCATATAAGAGTAGCTACTTTGAAAAAGAACCAGCGTGAGGTGAACTTCGCCAACATGTAAATGCAGATTGGGGCAATTTGGTACCCAGAGAAAGGAATCCGGCGAGATGCAAATCCGTCATGTTGAGCCCGTGTAATTGAAAAGATGACGTCAGATGCTTCACTCAATTTAGAGAAATGGGTTTTTGCAAGTCGGAGCTCCTGAAGCTCCTCGCGAAGTCTGTCTCGATGCCAGGACGCTTTTGGCTGCCGAGGAAGATTCAAGCTCTTCAGCCACAGTCGTAGTGATGCTTGCACCACTGAATGCATGCTTGAATCGAGCGGTACGAGATTGCAGTTATCCAATCATTAGGCTGTCAACGAGGAGTGTTCGTCAACGGTTAACTAGAAAGGGGGCCGGTAAGATTTCAGTCGTCATCGGAGACGGAACATCTCGGTCTCCGGTTCTTGTCCTTGCGGCAAGCGCCGTCTACCAAAGGTATTTCCACGGCGTCCTTGGTTCCGGAACTTGCGGCCTCCTACATGCTGGCCTCCTGCATGCTGGCCTCCTGCATGCTGGCCTCCTGCATGCTGGCCTCCTGAATGCTGGCCTCCTGCATGCTAGCCTCCTGCATGGCTACATTATGTAGATCGACCCATTAAGGATATAGCTGACAGCCAATGGCTGCCTTGCCATTATCTGGTAGGTTAGAACCTGTGATATCCGGCTAAAAATATGTGGAGTTCTCCGTTGGCCCTTGCCTATCTATGTTTACTTGTCATCCTTTTGACAGACAGTTCAAACTTGCGCTGAAGTGGGAAAGACCGAATATCAGAAAGTTAAGCCCGGCAACTCTAATCAGAGATTTAGATACTGATTCAGAACGTGTCGGTCGCTCAAAGACTTGACCGTACCAGAGGCTTCTCGGCCGGTTTTTCGAGCAACTATTTCTTTTGGATGCACTTGGACAAACGCGCGCTAACCACACAACTTCGTAATTCGAGTGATCCACGGTACGCGGTGGTGCAGTGGTATTTTTCACTCACGGCATGGCAGACCAAAGCAAGAGTATGCCGCATCAACAAGGAGAAGGGAGTGTTGAGGGTTTTTGAAAATTCTATGCATTAACCATCGAATGGTACGGTAGCGTTTACAGAGTGACTCCCTATACCTGGCAGCATGTGGCAGAATCTCTTTTTTTTGCTAGCAATAGCAACGCTGCTCTTGAGCTGGCTGGATGGCTCGCAGCAGGGGAGAAATGGAGCGTTTGTACTCGACTGAGAAATAGTTTGAGCAGCTTATTTGTTATGATATGCCGGATATAAGCGTTTAATGATTCAAATCAGTTCGAAGAATGAGAAGAGAAACTACGTCATACTCAATGAGCAAGTGCATGAGCGATAAGATCCGTACCCACCAATGGCGGACTCATCACTTTCAGCTTCTACGCTGACATTACTAGGGAAATAGAGGAAACCCCACCGATTGATATCCGAGTCTATATGAGCTTTTCTAGAACCACTGCCAGCCCACCTTGGCGATCAAGCGTCTTCCGTAGTTCGTCAAGGGAGAGCCTAGCCATAGAAGGAATTAGATCAGTTCCGATGTCAATAATGGTTGAAGTGCCTCGAGCTGTCGAGTCCGCGAAGCCCATTCGCCTACCGACACTGGTAGCGATATCGTTTGTTAAATCCCTCCTGAGACTCCCGACCATGCAAAGCAGAACATCCTGTTGATGCTGAAAGCGCGTGGCCGGCGTTCCGTTAGTCCTGTCGAACATCTAGAAGCTGCCAATTCAGATACACCTTCATGGGGAAAGGGGGCTCGCATAGCCTCCCGGATGACAAGAGATGAACGAGTGACAGAGATAGCAGGCTGGCTTACTGCAAGCAATATACCGATGTCTCCCGTTCAGAAATCTGCCGCCGGTCTGCTTTAGAATGGTCGAGGACTAAAAGTTCCGCATGCACGCATGTTTTGTCTTTAGAGATATCCTTGCACAGGACACGGTCCAACTCCTTACCCGAGTAAATCTATTGCAATTGTTGCAAGAATCTATTTTGCTTCCTCGGACCAGAGAATATGCAATGACTAATGTTCTCAATCTTGTAAGGCAAACGATAAATTTCTCCCAAAGCCAATACATACTTCAGGCATAAACTAAGAGTTCGTAACAGAGCCACTACGAGCATTCCACCGGTCTGCCAAGGCTGGCGGCAATACACTGTTCACAATTCCACCAGGAACTCGAATGTTCAGAACTTCCTCATCAGCACCATGCTCAAGCTCAAGTCTTTCATTCTCTGTGCTACGAGCGAAGGATATGATGGTCTGCAGCAAAGTGGCAAATCTCTGCAAGTCTGGCTGTTCTGATTCTTCCCATTGTTTCATATTTTCCCGCACGTCCTGGACTCGGATATCATCGAACTTCCCAGACTTGTGGTAGGCAAGAATGAAGTTGGGAATTTGTCTGATCCACAACCGACCCATCTCTTCTGAGAGGGTGTCAATATGTTCTTTCTTAACGGATCGCGTTTTCAGGTCAAAGATCGCACATTGCGGAATATAGCGGCCTCCCTTGGAAATTTTCAGATCAATTGCCTCTTGTTCACTGGTTTCCGAGGGATCAATTGAGATTGAAGCTGCTTTGATAGAGGAAAGGAGATCTTCAGGCTCCATATGACTCTTGATATGGACAGGTTCTTCCTGGGTCTTCAAATTTCCGGGAATCAAGTCGGGAAGATAACCATCAGCTTCAAATCGTACTAAGAAATTCATGTTGGCAAACTCAAACTTGATGAGACGTTGATGAGACTCAGAATTCCAAACCCCCCTCACTCCACATTGTGTATGTCTCTGGAAACGTGTGTCCATATCCTTGGACATTCCGGAGGGTTTCTTTGGGCGAATTCTCTCTTCTGCTGAAGAAGACTGAGTTCCCGACGACCTCGATCAGCATTCTAAATGCAGGGCTTTCGCGGCGCGCAAATCTCAACAGATTCCCCATTGTGCTACCGCACCTACAATATCTAAATCATCCCCACAAAACCTCGGTATATCCTTCAATATAGCTCGAACCATCGGCTCTAGTGGATATGTGGGATACCGCGCCATGTTTAGGTCACGAAAGTATACGCTGGAGTCTGGACGCAGCTGAGTGGGTTCAGAAAGTGGCGTCCATGCTGGGGGCTCACCTTATGGAAGCCATTCGTTAAGTCAGATAACTTTGCAGTTGCTGGGAAGGTTCTTCACCTGGAACAATGACCTCGTGGTTTCCTCTGACCCAGTTGTAAGAAGTCAAATACTTCGTATTGGTGATTTGAAAAGGGCAATGGGATTCAGTTGTGCAATCATCTAGGTCACGGTGTTGGATGGTTGCAAGAACGTCGCCGAGTGGTGGAGGTACTGATGATCCTCCCCTCCTGCCATCTCCCAGGGCCCCTCTGAGCCTTCGGCGATCCGAATGAACACTCCTTCCGCGGAATGCCATGTCGCTAGTTGGGATATATACGAGTTTCTTTGAAGAGAAATGTAGAGGCACCCGAGAGAATTGCAAAGATGAACTCAACGATATCAAGTCATTACCGAGGCAAGAATCGGAGCCAGAGGTTGCTGATCCCGTTATTAATTTCTATATTTCGGTGAGAATTGATTCCGGCTCCGACGTCAAGCTTCAGGGAAGACGCCGTTTGCGATAGAACGGCACGAAAGAAGAGACCTACAGGAACGGCTAGGTAAGCTAGGAGACGCATACGACGTGTCAGATGCAGCGAGAAAATCGAGAGCAACAGAACATATCACCCGAGAAGACCCGCAGCACCGACATACTATAGCCATTCTACGGACGATAGCGAGATGATTGACATTTTCTTTTGGGGGTTAACGAAGAATTAGCACAAGACAAAACCAGACAAGCTGCATTCTTCGCAGAGACAATCCCAGCACCTACTCTGACGTGGTTTGCCTTGCGAAGCAATAGGACAAAGACACGCTTCTCCGAAATTACGCGCTACCGAAAGAGCGGTGTGGAACGAATTGGGATGCCACGATAGCAACATACCCCTGTCATTGTTCCATGTCCTCTCATTCTGTATTGGCTCGGCGCAGGCAGCCACCGTAGCCTCGTGAACATTTAACAGGTGGCATACACCTAACCAATAGTCAAAGGTGGGGGCATTTCTCGTTTTACCCCTCACCTTGTACAACTTGTCCATTTTGCTGTGCTTTCGAGGCCGAGCGAGGCGGAATCCGATAAAGCGATCCGAGATACCTCTGCCAGGTTCATCCGTTTTAGGTACCATCTGCCACGGAAAGAATTCATATCCTCTATTTCACAATGTCTACAAATTACCGATCAGATCGACTAGCCAAATACTTTGCGGCTGTTCTTCATGGGAAACAAGAGGTCCGAGATCTTAACGACTTCAAGAAGCTCATAGAAGCTATTCTGGACACGAAGAATCCTTGTCTGACTGTTGAGAGACTGATAGCCAGCCAAAATGCCCTGAATGCGCTGCAAATGGGTTTGAGGTTCAACCTCACACCAAGTTTTACTAACAACTATACATCAAAGTTCATCAATTTTTTAAGCAGCCCAGGGATCAAACTTTTATGCAATGGTCTCTTCCTTACACAGCTCCTTCTTATTATCTGGGAACCTCGGTCACTCTGGAACTCGCTTTTAAATGCCTTTCACGCCCGACAACTGGATGAAAATGCTACCCGAGCCTTCTGTTGGCTGACCACAGAGCTCCTGTCATTGCCAACTTCGTCCGCGGTAGATATAGTGCCCGATTCCCGGACTATACTGAGTGATGGATATCTTCTTTCATCATCTTCGAATGCACTACGCAATATGGGACAAAAGATCAAGTATCTCATCGATATGAAATCTTCCGCATCCACTCTGCTTACATCTGAAGAGACGGCGGGTGGTCGCCATGATAACGATTTCACCGACTTCCGTCTAATGGCAGTCTTTCCTACGACGGGTGAGATGTGCTGTACCGATAAACCTTTCTATCGACGCGCGGATGAGATTATAGAGCTCTCTGGCAGCCAACGTATCGCTGCGCATGTGGACAACCAGTTCCGACTTTTACGTGAAGATATGTTATCAGCACTGCGTGATGATATTCAGATTGCTACAGGCGCGAAAAAAGGACGACGATCCGCTCTACGCCTCAAAGGGCTCTCTTTGGCTCATATCTCGTGTACCTCAAAAAATCAGAAATACCTCCGTCCATGTACCGTTGGCGTCACTGCCAGGTCAGGCCTGGAAAGGCTGAAAGATCTCTCCGCAGAGAATGCGAAGGAATATCTTAGAAGTAACACGCAGTTTGTCAAACACCGCGCCTTTGGATGCTTTTTACGGAATACAGAAATTGTGGCCTTTGCTACGATTGAAAGAAACATCGACGATCTGTTATCTACTCCACCAGTAGTCATGCTCCGAGTCGCAGGAGAAGAAGCTGTGAGGAAGGCCATTCTCTTTCTCAAGCTTTACGACGACGTCGAGTTTCTGGTGGTTGATACAGCGACGTTTGCCTATGAGCCAATTCTGAGATGCCTGCAGACGAGATTTGAGTTTCCTCTTACCAAAGAGTTGTTTCTTTACAAAAGAGGTGATCCGGTGGAAAACTCCTCATTGGCACCTTGGAATGTAATTAACAAGCTTCACGAAAACTGTCGACCTAATATTCAGACAATTCTGGGGACAGCGAAACCGGTTGCATTGGATAGGTCCCAATCTGAGTCTCTATTGGCAGGATTGACTCAAAGGGTCAGTCTGATCCAGGGGCCCCCCAGGTATGAAGACTCGAAAAGAAATCCCTTTTGGCTCTGTGATGTTAATAGTGTAATAATCAGGTACTGGAAAGTCTTTTATAGGGGCACTTTTGGCCAAGATTCTTCATGATCAAACCAATGATAAGATATTGGTGATGTGCTACACTAACCACGCTTTGGATCAGTTTTTGGAAGACTTGCTGGATATCGGCATTGGCCCTTCCAATATCGTTAGATTGGGGTCCAAGTCAACAGGTAGAACCCAGCCACTAAGCCTCCAAGAGCAAAATTTCACCAGACGAAGGTCTCAGTCAACATGGTACACCATCAATGCTCTCGAAAGCCAGGGTGAGGAGCTACGAAGCGCTATTGACAGCTCCTTCGCAGCATTTCAGAAGCTTTCAGCGGATTCGTCAGCAATTTTAGATTATCTGGAGTTTGAAGCGCCTGAATTTTTTGAGGCCTTTACGATACCCGAGGATGAAGATGGAATGAGCGCGGCAGACAGAGATGGAAAGGCAATCAAGAAAGGCTACCTTTATGACCGTTGGATCAGAGGACAGGCTGCAAAGCCGTTCGTTGAGCTCTTGCCGGCTGGAAGCCAACATATATGGGCGTTGGAGCAGAAAATCCGAGATGAGAAGATTCAGTCGTGGAAGCAGGCTTTGTTAACTGAGCAAGCTGCATCTCTCGCAGCACAGATGGAATTGCTTGACAAATGCCACGAGAAGCTATCCACGGCTTTACGGGAGAAAACACGCGAAATCCTGGAAAGAAAAAGAATCATAGGGTGTACGACAACGGCAGCAGCAATGCATGCCGACGATCTCAAGAATGCATCACCCGGGATTGTGCTATTGGAAGAGGCAGGCGAAATTCTAGAGTCTCACGTTCTTACTGCGATATCCCCAGCCACGAAGCATTTGGTACTTATTGGGGACCATTTGCAACTTCGGCCAAAAATCAACAACTATGCCCTGAGCATGGAAAAGGGAGATGGATATGACCTGAACGTTTCTCTTTTTGAAAGACTTATTCACGCGGGGTACCCTCATACCACATTACAGAAGCAGCATCGAATGTGCCCTGAGATTTCGAGTCTCGTACGAACTCTCACTTACCCTCTTTTAGAGGACGGAGAAAACACGAAAAATCGCCCTGAGCCACGAGGGTTATCCGACCGCGTGATTTTCTTCAATCATCAAAACCTTGAAGAAAGCTTGTCGGGGGTCTCTGATCGACGGGATGAGGGAGCAAAGCAGTCTAAGCAAAACCTTTTTGAGGCGGAGGTCGTCTTGAAGATCGTGAAATATCTTGGACAGCAGGGATACGGGACTGACAAGCTCGTCGTCCTCACGCCATATCTCGGTCAACTTTCGCTTTTGCGCCAGACATTGAGCAAGCAGAATGATCCGGTCTTGAACGACCTTGACTCTTATGATCTAGTACAAGCGGGCTTGCTATCACATGCGGCTGCTAGTCATTCCAAGCGACCGATCAAGCTCTCTACCATTGGTAGGTGGTAAACATGGCGGATCAATGTTCGGCAGACAGGCTGACCATCGAGATCAGACAATTACCAAGGAGAGGAAAGCGAGATAGTAATAGCGTCACTCACGCGAAGTAACAAGTGTGGTGATATAGGGTTCATGGCAACTCCAGAACGACTGAACGTGCTTCTCTCTCGTGCCCGAAGTGTACTTATCATGGTGGGCAATTCGCAGACATTCGTCTCTAGCCGCAAGGGGCAACGATGTTGGAGGCCACTGATTGATCAGCTCAAAGACAATGGACATCTTTATGATGGATTGCCGGTTCAATGTGAGCAGCATCCTGACAAGACTGCTGTACTTCGGACCATGGAGGACTTTGACAGAGAGGTCCCGGATGGTGGATGCTCAGCACCTTGGTAAGTCTCTTCTCTATCTCTAAGTACGCTGCTTTCGATCAAGCGACATTACTGCCAAGAACCCTCCAACATTTATCATTTTCAGACTAACGTTGTTCGTTCTGAAAGTGGTATTAAACTAAGCTGCGGAGCCCACGAGTGCCCATCCAAATGCCATCCACTGAATGATCACTCTAGAATGAGGTGCACCAAGATCGTCAAATGGACATGCCCCCGTGGTCATACATTGTCTTTACCATGCTCAATGGCCAAGGGTTCATGCCGCTTCTGTATTCAGGAAGACAATATAAAGAAGCGAAAGCACGACCGAGATATGGAGCTCGAGGCAGAGCGACAAAGAAAGCAATCTTTATACGCTCAGCAAATTGCCGAGCTTCAGAGCGAAGCTGCACATTTGCGACGTCTTAAAAGCGACGTGTGGGTAGATGCAGAGCGAAAAAGAGTTCTTGAGCAGCATCGCGATGAAATCAAGGAGCTGCAAACGCCCCAGTCTGAAAGCACCACCGGTAGCCAAAGCGGCCGGGAAAAAGTACCTATGCCAATTGAACCAGGGCCAAGGCCCTCTACGCCTCAAGGGATTAGGGAGCGGGGGATTCGATCTGACAATCCTAGCGACGACCCCAGTGTAAAGCCCGAGGCCCGTGAGATCATGCCTAAGAAGTCTGCCTCGAAGGCCAAGGCCGATTGGGACTACCAGAAATTATACTTCAATTCCCAGAGTCCAGAAATTGACGCTTTGATGGATATGGTCGGACTGGAGTCAGTGAAGTCGAAGTTCCTCACGATGAAAGCCAAAGTTGATATCGCGGTGAAACAGAACGTTGATTTGGGCCGCGAGAGATTTGGAACCGTGCTTCTTGGTAATCCAGGAACTGGCAAGACGACGGTAGCCCGACTGTACGCAAAATTCCTAGCAGCAGTGGGAATCATCCCCGGCCACACATTCATCGAGACAACGGGTAGTAAGTTATCGAATGAAGGTGTTTCGCAATGCCAGAAGACAATCGAGCAGCTACTCAAAGAAGGCGGAGGGGTCATGTTTATTGACGAAGCTTACCAAATGGTACAAAGCAGCAATTTTGGCGGTCACCAGGTACTTGACTTTCTCTTAGCTGAAGTTGAGAATCTCACTGGCAAAATTGTGTTTGTTCTTGCAGGATACCAACGTCCGATGGAAAAATTCTTCGCTCACAACCCTGGACTACCGAGTCGTTTCCCTCATGAACTGAAATTCGAGGATTTCGACGACTCGGAGCTGATGATGATCATCCAGAAGTGGATTGAGAACACATGGAGGATGCAGATGAAAGTTGATGGCGGGCTGGATGGACTTTACTGTCGCATTGTCGCACGACGAATTGGGCGCAGGCGGGGCCGAGAGGGGTTTGCAAATGCAAGAGCTGTTGAAAATGCCATGGCAAAGATCACTGAACGACAAACTGAGCGACTGATGCAACAAAGACGACATGGAGATTCGCAGATTGACGACTTCTTCCTACACAGAGAGGATCTGATCGGCCCAGATCCTTCTCAAAATCTCAAATCATCGAAGGCGTGGCAAAAGCTGCAAAGTATGATTGGTTTAGCCGCGGTTAAAAGCACCGTCGAAAGTCTTATAGACACAGTCCAATACAACTATCGTCGCGAGATACTTGAGCAACCAGTGGTTGGCTACAGTCTCAACAAAGTCTTCCTCGGAAACCCCGGAACTGGCAAAACGTCAGTCGCAAAGATATATGGTCAAATCCTCGTGGACATGGGGCTTTTATCAAATGGTGAAGGTATGCACGACATTTTTAACTATATTAAAGCATATTAAATACACTGACAAAAACCATAGTTGTTGTGAAGAACCCCTCCGATTTTGTCGGGAGTGTAATTGGGGAGTCTGAGAAGAACACGAAAGGTATCCTCGCAGCTACTTTGGGAAAGGTCCTTGTCATAGACGAAGCCTACGGACTCTTCGCGGGAGGAACTTCCGACGGCACAGGAACCAAATCGGACCCATATAGGGGTGCTGCGGTTGACACCATAGTAGCTGATGTCCAGAGTATACCCGGGGATGATCAATGTGTTCTACTTCTGGGATACAAAGACCAGATGGAGCAGATGTTTCAAAATGTCAATCCTGGTCTTAGTCGGCGTTTCCCAATTGATCAGGCTTTCATTTTCGAAGACTTCACGGCACATGAGCTGGATCTTATTCTTGATCTCAGACTGGTGCAGCAGGGATATGGGATCACTGATCAGGCTCGCCTGGTCGTTTTGGAGATGCTTGAGCGAGCTCGGAATCGACCACATTTTGGTAATGCGGGGGAAATTGACATTCTACTCAACGCAGCCAAAATGCATCATCAGAGGCGCGTTTCTTCGAATAAGCCTAAGGGCCAGTTCCTTGATTCTGTTTTGGATGCTGTTGATTTTGATGAAAACTTTGATCGTGCAGAAAAAAGCGAAAACAGTGTTGCGAAGATGTTTGAAGGGGTGGTTGGCTGTGAAAGCATCATTTCTACGTTTGAGGGATATCGACAGCTGGTGAGGAACATCAAGGCGCTGGAAATGGATCCTCGTGAACAAGTGCCATTCAACTTTGTGTTTCGAGGGCCCCCAGGTGAGTGGAGATTTTTATGGCAGATTTGATCAGATGGCCCAAGAGGACTTCACTGATGAGGAAACCCGCCATAGGGACTGGGAAAACAAGTACAGCTCGAAAGATGGGCCAAATATACTACGATTTGGGACTCTTGTCTTCAAATGAGGTCATCGAAGCGTCTGCTACAGAGCTAGTGGGTCAGTATGTCGGGCATACAGGGCCGAAAACCCAGAAAATGCTGGAACGTGGTCTTGGAAAGGTACTCTTCATAGACGAGGCATATCGCCTTGCTGAGGGTCACTTTGCCAAAGAGGCCATAGACGAGCTTGTCGATTGTATCACAAAGCCCAGGTTTTCCCGCAAGCTAATAATCATTCTGGCTGGCTATGATGCAGATATTAACCGCCTGATGTCCATGAACCCTGGTCTAACCAGTCGTTTCCCTGAATCTATTCAGTTTAGGTCTCTTTCCGCAAGAAATTGTATTCAGTTACTGAAGGAGCTTCTAGAAAGAAAGAAGGTGGTCATTCTCAACAAGTCAAGAGTGGACTTCGACATCACCTGTCTGTACGATCTAGATTCTGATCTCACTCAGAAATTGACGGATGGATTTGACAAATTGTCCAAAACTTCAAGCTGGGCTAACGCTAGGGACATTGAGACACTAGTGAAAGCGATATTTGGAGAGACCTTGAAGAAACTAGGCACTTTTGGTGTATCAAATCTGGTCTTGAATGGAGAGACAGTGCTCGGAGAGCTTGAGGACATGATCAATGAGCGCCACAGTCGCGAGCAGTTCCAGAAACAATGTTCCGCAAAGGACCAGAACCTGGGGAAGGTCCCATCATTGCGTATCCAATCGTCGGATCCACCAACGAGGAACATCGAAAGCCAGAGCCTAATATCGGGCATGAAACCCAACAGCAGGGCAGGTTCGCCAGTACAAGATCAGAAGAAGCAACAGGTTCCTGTCCCGCAGCGCGACGCAGGTGTCACGGACGACGATTGGAATAAATTACAGAAAGCCAAAGAGGCTGCTGAAAAAAAGGAAAATTACTTGCAGATGATAGAGAAGGAGGAAGTGAAACAAAAGGAGTTACTGAGACTGAAAGAAGAAGGTCAAGCGGTCAGGGCAGCTGAAGAAGCGAAAGAGCAGCAAAATGAGGAATTGAGGAAGCGCCTTGAACAAGAACAATTGCAGCTTGAAATTGAACGAAGGCGGCAGGAAGCGATCACAAGAGAACTTGAGACCAGGAGAAAAGACTTAGCTGAAGCCCGCCGCAAGGAGCAAGCTATTCAGGTGAAACTCCGCAGCATGGGAGTTTGTGTTCAAGGCTATAAGTGGATCAAACTTCCTGGCGGGTATCGATGTGCAGGAGGCAGTCACTGGGTAGCAGACGCCCAACTCTAATGAGAGCAGAAAGGGGTTTCTAGTGATCTAAGTAGATACGAACTAATCCATGGTCACTGAAATTTGCTAGAGTCTATTGACTCATATTTATCGCCTAAGGAAGCACGATCTGTAATGTCCAAGGATATCCGTAATCCATATCCGCAAACTACAGATTTGGATATGATTTTATATTTGTAGTCCGCTGTAAGGGAACTGCCAGATTTGGATGGCACCAGTTGACTAGGCGAGATAATGATATTCGATGGAATTCCACTGTAGGGTTCCGGTCTGAACAAAGACTAAAGCTTAATCTTTCTTCTAAACAAACAGCCCCTTTTTATATGGGGATTCGCCAGGGGTTTGGCACCAGCTCAGGTTTCAACCCTAATCCAACTAATAGAAATGTAGGGGGATCCAGACGAACCCGCTTATCGATATCGAATGACATGACTTTATTTTACTACTAAGATATATATGTCACGGGCCAGGGCCCAATGTTGATCATGTAGGACACATAACCTTGGCATACTAATAGCGGAGGACTAGTATATTAAACTCCTTTTCTTAAGTTTATCGAACACAGTTCGTAGCCTAGTACAGATTGAATCAAGTCTTGCTTTAGCCCTTCACATTTTTTATTGATTGATTGATCACAATACCAGCATCGTTATCTCAACATCCTAGCCAGCCAAATCTCTAGTCCATGGCCGTGCTAGGGACAACCTTCGACACCCGACTCTCAACCGTCAGGCCGTTCTCCCCAAGGACAAACCGCCCATTACCCATCCAGTGGGAGTTTTCCAGCTCTTTCAACTCAGGGGTCCCCGTCTCAAAGGTATGGATAGTTGCTGAGGAATCAACAAGATCAGTCACAATGTTACGACAGGTAGGTTGTATGCAGGCCACTCGTGATAATCTTTATTGAAGGGCGCCACTTACTCGAGTTACCAAATGGAATGGTCTTTGCGTCGGGGCTGTAGGAGAAAATCTTGGCGATGTCTTCGTTGACTGTGACGATGCCACTGTAGTAGAAGGAGAAGGGGACACCTTCTTTCGTCCTATGTTCACAGCATTCCGTTAACCAGCTGAGACTGACGGCACCAGCACTGCCTTGCTAGCTAGCTACTTACTTGGCAATGCCCTTGAAATTCACACGGGCACGAGACTTGTCCGGGTCGAAGTAGAGCCAGTCTCCGCCAAAGACCACATCAGAGTCGATTTCGGGCTTGAAGCCCGATACGCTTTTGATGGTGCCGCTGGGGGTTTGCTTTTTTCAAACTGAGGTGAGCAAAAGATGAAAGATCCTGCCATGCAGACAATTGTGGGAGAGGATGGCCTACGAAATGAATGAACCGGGGGCCTGTCGAGACGTCGCCTAAACGAGACGGAGGGTTAGAAAGAGGTGACCGTGATAGCAGGTGGTCTCTTGATAAATGGTATGACATACCAATAGGGTTTCCTTCACCAACGTTAATCTAGTTGATGTTCGGTTGTGTTAGTCCACTTGTTCTGTTTCGCCACCAGGCCATAGGGCGATGAGAATCGGACGCACCTTGCAGATGAGGGCCGGCTGCAAGGATGGGAAGCCTGTCAGTTCGGAGCTCATGTTGACTGATTTTCTGTCTATCAGTCTTCTAGAGGGTGTTTTCCAAGTCACTGAGTTGAGATGGCTGCAACAAAATGTTGTTCAGTAAATGGTGTAGACTATGTTTGAGATTAAATGAATGCGGTTGCCTACTCGGCGTAAGCGGCCGATCTACATCAACTTGCTCATACTTCGGTGCTCTCTCCTAGTGTTGTTGTCCCTGGCTGTCGATGTCCGAGGCTACTCGGGGGGTGCGGGCCGGACGTGTGTCGAAACGGAGATTCGGACCGACCATACGACAATGGACAGGGAACAAGAAGGTAGAAATAGTCAAAACAAAAATGGAATAAGGAAGAAAATATAGAAAGAAAGGAAAAAGAGAGAGAGGAACCAGCCGAGCTTGTCAGGACTGAGGAGTAGAGAAAACATAATTAGGGCTCTGGAGATGATCCCAACCATACCACTTCATAGCACACTCAATCTGGCCTATTGACACTCTCACTAGCACTTTTACTCTTGCCTATGCATCCAGTCAACGAGAGAAAGGCGCGACCCTTCAGGGCGATCGTGGTGGGGGCAGGCATCGCCGGCCTCACACTCTCAAATGCTCTTCAAAAGGCCGGTATTGACCACGTCGTTCTGGAAAAGCATGCGCAGGTAGTCTACCCCTCAGGCGCCAGTATAGGCATGTGGCCAAATGGTGCCCGACTGCTAGATCAGCTGGGGTGTCTGGCGTCCATTGAGGAAACCTGCTCTCAGATGACTGTTTCCTACACTCGCAACCCGGATGGAAAGGTGATTATTGTCAGTGAGCTTTTTGATAAGATTGTTGAAAGGTTAGTTCAGCAGGGCTTACTGCTTACATGAGCTCACGATTTGTCGCAGACACGGGCACCGCTTTCTTCTCCTAGAAAGACGACAATTCATTCAAGCTTTGTTGGACTGTCTACCTACCAAGGACCCAATTCGAACTAGAGCTGCGGTGAAAGATATTGCCGAGTCAGAGGACGGAGTACGGGTATATCTCAATGATGGGTCCTACGAGGACGGTGATATCGTCGTTGGTTGTGATGGTGTAGCTAGCCGAGTACGCCAGATCATGTGGAATCACGCCAACCAAGCCGTGCCCAACACGATCACTCCCAAAGAGATGCAATGTACGTGAAGACAGCCACTGAGAAACTTGTTGTTTGGACCGATAACTAATGCAAGCAGCTTTGACGGCGTCCTATAAGTGCCTGGTCGGACTCAGCCCATCTATGCCCGGGATTGAATCCGGATCCATGACTGTAGTCCATAACAACGGCTTTAGCTTCTTGTACGGCACTGATTTCCTGGGGCCATACGATTAGTCAACATACTGATGTTCGACAGAATCCTAACTCAGCCGCAACTTATTTTCTACTTTGTCTTCATCAAGCTGGGCCAGACCTATCGCTGGCCGTCGCTTCCCACGTACACTGCCGAGGACATGCACGCTGAGGCTGCAAAGATTGCCGCTCTTCCTATCAATGACAACCTGACCTTTGGGCAGATCTGGGAGAAGCGCCTCCGCGGTGACCTGATCAATATCGAAGAAGGGGTCTTCAAGCACTGGCATTCAAACCGCATTGTTCTCCTTGGTGATGCAGCACACAAGGTATTCAACGTCATCCTGCTCTACCAATTCCCACCCCAAGTTCTCCTATGCATGTATAGCGCTCACACGTTCCACACTTGAACAGTTCACACCCAACATCGCCTTTGGCGGAGGCTCAGCCATGGAATCCGCCGCCACGTTTGCCAACATCCTACGAGCGAAATTACTATGTTCCAAGGGCGAGCTGTCATCCCACCCAACCCAAGCAGAACTATCGACCATTTTCCAGGCGTACCGCGAGCAGCGTATAGGAAGAGTCAACTTGATGTATCTGCTGAGCGGCTTCATGACCCGCGTACAGGCGTGGGCCAACCCCGTGTTCAAATTTCTGGCGAGCCGTTGTTTCCCCTGGATGAGCGATAAGATGGTGGGCGGGATCTTCTCCCTGGCTATTCAGGGTAGTGTGAAGCTTGATTGTGTGCCACGGCGGGTGAAGCCTAGAGGGAAAGTGAAGTGGAAGGTCGACGTCAGCGCCCAGAATCAGAGCCAGAAGTGGCTGGGCGGGATGGGATTGTTTGTTGTTAGCTGTGTGTTGTATCTCTTGATTAGTCTTTACAACAGGTAGTTGAAGTGTAATTTAGGGCGTCCTAGGATAGTATCCGAGATCTTTACTTAGTATAAGAGCTTGCGATGTACTCGGACTTGCCTCTGTACTAGCTTCCTTCGGGCATACCGATTGACTGGACAGGCAGTGGCCAATGGGTTTATTTGAGGTTCATTACTGCATGCCCTTGAGAGTCGGGCCGAGCGAAAGAAACCATCACTGTTTCTCCCTTTTAGCGCTGATGTCTGCTCTAATAACGCCATCTGTTGTTAATTGTATATAAAGAAGCCTGTCAAACTCCAGCACGGCAAGACACTCATAACATGGTACATCGTCACCCAGACTTCTACACACCTCCAAACCATCCGATTGGACCAGAATGCCCCCGTCACCATCCCTCCAAGGAAAAGTCTTCGCCCTCACCGGCGCCGCGTCAGGGATCGGGCGCGCAACAGCCCTCTTACTCGCCCGCCACGGGGCCCTACTCTCCTTAGCGGACGTCGACAAGGCCACATTAGCAAAAGCCCACGACGACGTCCTACAAGAATACTGCAATGTCAACCACGTCAACAGTGAATCAATTTCCAGCTCGCCGATCTTCACCAGGACACTGGACGTGCGGTCACAAAAGGAATGCAGCTCCTGGATAGAAGCCACCGTCGCACATTTCGGACAGTCTCTTGCCGGCGCCGCGAACCTGGCCGGAGTCTTTGGCCCCAATATTGGGCGTGAGACCGGCGCCGTTCGCAACCTCGACGATACCGAGTTCGACTGGGTCATGGATGTCAACGTCAAGGGTACTCTGAACTGCCTTCGGGCCGAGCTGGCACACATGCAGACGGCGGACGGGGCCGGTCGGCCCGGGGGATCTATTGTCAATGCTGCGAGTGTGGCTGGGATTGTTGGCGGCGCACACAATGGGCCGTACGTGGCCAGTAAGCATGCGGTTATTGGGCTTACGCGGACGGCGGTTAAGGAAGAAGGGAGCAGAGGAATCCGGCTGAATGCTATCGCGCCGGGGATCATCGCCACGTCGATGATCCAGCAGATTGAACAGGCTGTGGGTCGGATGGAGCTATTTGGGGAGGGCGATCCAGGGGCTCTGGGACGTAAGGGTGAGGCTAGCGAGGTGGCCGAGGTGATCCTTTTTTTGCTCAGTCCGCAGAGCAGCTTCGTCAATGGCACGGTGATTCCTGTGGATGGGGGGTGGATGTGCTAGATGGATGTGGATGGCTATCTATTATTTAAGTGAGGGCTAGTAGAGTAGATAAATTGAGAGTTTATCTACGGCGTTCTTGTACGTGTCGTTCATGACCGTGATGTGTTTCAGAACTATAAACCTGGGATCTCTTCTCTGTTCAAGCAAGAAGCATCGCAAAACGTCCAAACTCCTCGTCTTCCAACAGCAAGTCCATCTCCTCCTCAAACAAATTCAAGACAAACTCCACCCCCCCATGCTCTGTCTTGGGTAGAACAAAACTGATCCGCGTAAAGCGATTGAAGGCCCCCATCGGTGTGCGTAAGGCCTCCGGCCTCCCCCATTTCCAAACAAGCGACTTCCATAGCTTAGACTATCTGTCGGATACATGAGCAACGGTGCCATCAGCATATCCGTGCTATCGAGACTGGAATTCCGCAGAGAAAGCTGCTGGAAATCCGGCACCCTGCGCGCCAGGGCATACGCGTCGAGCAAACTGGCCGTATGGATCTTGTTTGCGCGGTCCCGGATGGTGCGCGCCACCACTCCCAGAGGGGTTTCATGCGCGATCAAGCGGATGACTGGCATGAAGACTTGGTTGATCACCGTGAGGTTTCCCAGGTAGGGGGTCGGCAGCGCGCGCGAGAAGTCGAACCGGCCGTCCACGGTCATATCAAGGCGCGCCACAGCCTCAGGGTTGCAAATATTGCCTTTCGGGCGGTCGGACTTTCGTTGCACTCCACCTGCCATCGCCCGTGCTCTCAGGCTACAGCGCCATATTAGAGCGCAAATGGCGTCGGATCCAGAGATCCCCGAGTGCCCTCCTCCTTCTGCGGAGTCTGCGAACGCAGCCAGGGATTCTTTCTGCAGAGCAATAAATTTCTCCGACGGTACATAGAAGATAGCTGATCGTGCTACTCTCGCAAGCTGTGCTTGTTGCGCTTCTTTACCTCCATCACCATTCTCGCAGCCGTTCGTCTCCTTTGCGTCGGATTCCGCCGACTCCCCGACACCCGGGGGGTCAAGACCAAGCAACCGCCAAGCTTCCGGGTCCATACTATGAACTGTGTCTCCCCCTGTCTTCCATTTTCCCAGATGCGCTGCAGCACCCCGCGGTCCGAGCTTTCAGGTCCCGGCGGCACCACCGGCGACGATGAGCCCCCGTCCATCTGCAGGGCACAGCAATGATCAGCCCAGAGTTTGAGAACAGCAACCGCGGCAGCTCCATCGCCCGCCGAATGGTACATGCCCGAGGTAAGGATGCATCCCCCAGGAATGAAGTTCGCCTGCGCGACGAATACCTCCGGACCGGTATTGATATCTGGCATAAACGGCGCCCAGATCAGCTCGCTGTCCTCAAAGACGTCCGTGGGAAACGCGAGCTCCTTCAATTCCTCGTAGCTCATGGATGACTCCAGCTGGTGGAACTTGAGCTGGTACGGCCGAGGCCCGTCGATGTCGACTGCGCCGTGCCTGATTTCACGCTGTGAGGGGCGCCAGCCAGGCGCGGAGGGTGACTGCGGCCATACCCGGCCGGATACCCAGGGTAACTGAACGAAAGTTCGATGAAGGGCTTCATGAAGCACGTCGAATGCCTGCGAAGGGTCGACGCCCGGTCGTAAGGGGAGATAGGAGAGCGAACAGGAGTAGTTACCGGGCGGCGCATGGTCCAGGGGCGTGAGGGGAATTTTTGCAGAGATGAATCCCATTGTTAGAAGTACGAGACTGTAAACCCTTTGTTCCAGCGGTGAAGGGCACGGGTATAACTTATTCAACACTACTCCGATGATTGATCTTGATATCTCGGGCAAGACGCCCGAGCTCGGCCCGGCTCCTAACGGTGGCCGTAACCCTAATTAACCACGAGCCGTAATATCTGTCGAGGAGTCTCTACCTGTAGAAAGGTGATAGTGCAAATTTATTTGTTAACGGATTAGTAGAGATATGGCCTCGTAGCCCGGGGCCTCTGGGGACAAAATCTCCAGGAGTGAGTCTTTGCAGCTTACAGTAGAAGAGAGTGTACATTGTCTTTCTGAATTTATAACCCTTATTTCGGAGTAGATCTCGTCCTAGAAGGAGTTTCCACTAGTTGCTATCACAAATCATTACCATTGGGTAACTGGTCGTCTCTACTACAAGGATGCACGCTTATTCGACTCTTTGTTCTTCCCGTTGGCAAGATTCCCATTCATGTGCCGCCTTCTTTCAGCTTCCAGAAACTCTGGTATCATGCCTCGCCAGTCCCGGGGTCGGTATGGAGCGAACATCTCGCTCCAAAAATTGGACTTCCGGCTCGTGCGAAGCCCAAGGTCCCGGGCTAGCGTGTCCACGTACTAGGATGATGGATATCAGCGACGACATGGCCTAGGGAAAAGTGGGAACGAATACCTACCGCAAGATAGTCGTAAATTGAATACGAATGCCGGCGCCCTTGCTCGAGATATCTACTCGCGACGAAGTCAGAAACACGTCTCCAACGTCTGATGATGCGGGAGGTGAGAAGAAAAGTACCTTCGACGAGTCCACGCGCACCACAGAGCCACTTCTTTCTCCATTGTATTCTGATCTGGGAGCTCTAGTCTTCCCAGTCAGGAATGCCACGCCCCACAGCGCCTGCATCTCCGCTACAAGGGGCGTGTAGACACTATGGATCTGCCCAGGAAAGAAGACAGATCGGTCTCCTTTGGCCGCCATGCGCGGGGAGATGAGACGTCGGTAAAGTCGCCAGGGCCTGGAATGCGAAGAACTGGTTCTGGTTTCCGGGGCATTTTTCGCCAGGAATGGCAGTATTTCACACACGATCCGGTCTGCTTCGACATCCAGCTTGGTCCACTTCTCGCTCCTATCAGCCGTGGATGGAAGCCCCCACTCCTCGCGGGTCTTCTTATTGAACAGGCCCAGGTTGTCGGTCCAGCCCGTGCACAGGATGACCTGGTCGGTTTCTAGCGTCTGCTTGCTTTTCAAATGTACTTGGTTGCCGTTGAAAAACCCTGCAATTTCTGTTCGATGAACCGTTACTTGGCCGGAGTGGAATACCTTCCAGAAATCAGGGGCTGAGGCGAGCCCGAGCCCAGAGTTCGCCCAAAAGATCCTGCCGCTCACGTTAGGATCACGTCGCTAGACACCGGTGCAAACATCAAGATTAGGTACACTTACCCATAACCGCTCGGGATCGGTCTGAGCTTCTCTGCATTAGGGGATTTGTGGTATCCGGCTTGCCACTCGGCGATAAAGGCAACGAGCCTCCAGAATATCTTGGTCAGGAAGTTCCCGGGGGCTGTTTTCTGCAAGAACCGGTACCATATCCCAGAAGTGTTGAGGATCGCTGGGCTGAAGGACGCCAGAGCGCGAGTTCCCATGACATCGACGGTGTTAAGCAATCCTGCCAGTCGCGGCGGCATGATTGCCAGGGGCTAGAAGGGAAAAACGCCATCTACTTAGCAGATGCGCAGGATAGTGGTCTCTGAATCGACTTACCCCCGAGCCATCTTCACGAATGATCCATTCCACTTGCTTCCCCGCCTTCAGCAAGAGAAAGACCGTATCATAGGCAGACTTTGCTGCACCTAGAACGGTAGCACGCTGGACTTCAGGGCCCGTCAAGGATTCCAGTTGAGGGCCTATCTGTGATGAGTGGATGATTGGCTTGACGAAACCCTCATTTGGAAACTCAGGGATATAGGGACCACTAGTGACGCCCGTCGCCACGATAAGTTTCGTCCCCGAGACCTGACACTGAGACGTCTTACTCCTGTCATCGAGTTGGAGAGTCCATTTCTCTCCGTTCTTCCGTGCGTCAGTAACCGTAGTGCGCAACCGTATATGACGGACAAGATTGTATTCCTCTGCAAAAGAATGGAGATAATCGTGGATTGTCTTTCCTGAGATATATCGGTCCTCGGTAAGGCCTTCCTTCCTCATCGGATAAAAGCTGTACTCGAATAAGCCGTGGCCAACTTGGGCGAACAAATTCGGGTAGATGCGCTCTGAGTTCCAGACGCCGCCAATGGAGTCACCGTCGTCGAGAATGAGGAACTTGCTCTTGGGAGCTAGCTGGAGGTATGTGTAGGCGGCAATAAGCCCGTACCATCCTGCACCAATGATCAAAAGATCATAATCGTTTTGGTGCTGCATGTTTGATTGTGCGGTTGTATAAGATCGAATGGAGATGTAAACACGACCACGTATCCCCCTATCGCGAGAGAGGCATGGCAAGAACTTTACTATGTCTACTGTGTACAATTTGCGGCTCGGCAATTCGAGAATACTTCCTTGACTGCGTTTAATGCTGCATGGCTTCGGACCGGCACGCCGAGTGGTTACCGTGATGGGTTCGGCAAATTTCGTCCGATGATAATCTCACCACGCAGGCTCGTGTTTGAACACTTGAACAGAGATGACGGTATTCCTTTATCTTCTATGGAATTGGTCACGCTTCAGCTCATCATTGGTACTGTGTTTCATGTACCTGTTCGCTAGAAAGATGAATCGCCACGGGGCCAATACTCGAGCGCTGGAAGCCAGTTTCCTAATTCTAAGTGCCATGGGATTTACACTCCTCTGGCCAATGATGATGTATAATGGCACATTGGTATCACTTCTGAAGGCAGCTTGGGGAGGTGCTTTCCCTGATGGACGCCCACTGCGGACGACCTACACTGGGGTTTTCCCCCTTGACTATCCCTGTCGATCTTAGTAGCCTTCTTCAATGACCAAGTCAATGGAACTAATGATGGTGCATGGCTGCTCATGCTTGACCTGCTGGCGACATTACAAATTGCGAGCCTGTGGACTCTATGCGAAGCGAACCGGAAGGTTCAGAGTCGCTCACTCCTAAGACTGTAAGAAAAATGAGATAGTGGCATGAGGAGAGATGAAGCAAACTGACATCTCTAGATTCGTTCTCTGGCCACTTCTGTGGAATATGTTTGGCGCGGCTGTCATTCTTCCGATTTATTTCTATGTTCTTATACGTTCTACCGACCCAAAGGGCACAGCTGCTGTATTTTCAACGCCCCATTCGCAATACCTCCTGCCAACAGCGACAGCCACGGCTATAGTCCCAGCTTTGGTAATGCTCTTCGGGTATAAATTCGCAACCGACTCTGTTCTTCACGGCATCATCGCTAGCTTTCAAGTTTCCCCTCTGGCCCTGCTGGCATCGGGGAAGATTTTGTCGAAAATCACAAGCAAAGACTCCGCCGTTGCCCTGAAGAGCGACAGTAATGAGAAGGGCGTGCTCTTCACATATCTCTCCGGAGCTATTCTCAGCGCAGGTGCGCATTTATACACATTGTTCGTTACGCTGCATTCTCCCAAAGACGCGGTGAACTTCAGGGCCACTTTCATCCCATCGCCGTTCAGTGTGATTGCAGGAAGCAAAAGCAACATCCACAATGGGGCATTGCTCTTCTTACAGTATGACTGGTTGGTGGTAAACCTGACATGTGCTCTGTGGAGTTTTCATTTGGGAATCGCGCATCAATTGTTTGCGACTAGACGAGAAATCTCTCTGGGGGTATTGCTATTAGCAACGGTGCTCATAGGACCGGGGGCATCTGTGTCTTGCGTATTGTGGCTTCGAGAAAACCATTTGCAAGCCCGTTATAAAAAGATGAATAGTCTATAGTTATTTGGAACAAAATCAAGTTGAGTCCCTCACCTACGATCGATTGGTGTCTATTTATCCGTAGATCTGAAGGATAAACAGGTGCCAGAGAAATCATGGAAGTATTAGGGCCGAGGTTTGTTATATTCAATGTAAGGAGGACATGGGCGAACGGTGTCCATTTACGAAGAGCCCTCCATTTCTACCATGTTCCCGGCGAACTATGGGCTTTCTGAGTTGTCGCATAAAACTAGGCCGTGCTAGGAAGACCCTGCAGCTTGCTTCTTGTTAATGGGGTCGTGGATGACTCTCCCATCCACACCAGGCACAGCTATCACGCAGTATGCGCCCTTATCTCGAGGCGATCCACAGGTCATGCAACCTAGAATGCTCATTGAGTTCAATCAGCAGGATAATCTGCCTATGCTGACGTGAGATGACGCCGATTGAGCCTTGTCATTGCAAACTATGCTCGGACCGAGCGCGCAACTAAGTGTCGGCCTGAGAACCGGGCACACCGGGCAGAAGCACCCGGAAGGAGGAGAAATAATCCACATCTATTATCATTGTAGTCCATAAGCACCAATGGAGAACAGGTCCGAAGCTCTTCGGCTTTGGTAGTGACCTATGCTGCTATATTTGGTCCGGGCGTCAGGAACTGGTGATTCCAGCGCCGCAGGCTCGATGCAAACCCATAGACACTAAATATCGAGGTAACACTGAAGTTGCAGCTCGTTCATTTACTATACCTTTCAAGATTTTCATCATGCCTTCCCTCTTACGACGCCCCTCTTCCTTGGCCAGCGCTTCCAGTGAAGAGAGTGACTGGCTGAATGAACATGCGATTGTTAGCGACAAGGAGTACAATGCCATTTACTTCGATGGATACGCGGAGAAGCCTATCAGCGAGCAATTGGAGCCTATAGCCGTTGTTGGAATGGGTAATGTCAACTTTCCCCCTGAAGCCAGGTTCAATTTGATACTAACCCTGACGGAGTAGGATGTCGACTCCCAGGGAACGTCTCTTCTCCCGCCCAGTTCTGGGATATGATGATCAACAAAGGGACAGGACGAACAGCCAAAGTTCCAGCTTCCCGATTCAACATCGACGCTCATCTTCACCCAAATAATGAACGCCCAGGATCATTTAATGCCCCTGGCGGATATTTTCTGGACAGCAGCCTCCAGGAATTCGACCCTGTCGTTTTCAACATCTCACCCGTGGAGGCGATGTGGATGGACCCTCAGCAGCGGAAACTCCTCGAGGTGGTCTACGAAGCATTCGAGTCTGGTGGTGTTTCTCTTAATAAGATTGCAAATACCAAGACCGGAGTCTTCGTTGGCAGTTTCACCAGTGACTTCCAGCAGATGTCGTTCAAAGAGCCCGACTTTCGTCACAGCTATGCAGCCACGGGGGTCGACCCCGGCATCATTTCCAATCGTATCAGCCATGTTTTCAATATCTCCGGACCGAGTATGACTGTGAATACCGCGTGTTCATCGTCGGTATATGCGATGCATAATGCGTGCAATGCACTGCGCAACAATGAGTGCAACGGGGCGGTGGTTGGAGGAACCAACTTGATCCTGACCGTCGACCAGCATATGAACACAGCCAAGCTAGGAGTCCTGTCACCCGATTCGACCTGTCACACGTTTGACGCGTCGGCCAATGGCTACGGGAGAGCCGAGGGTGTAGGCGCAGTCTACCTCAAACGTCTCAGTGATGCGGTCCGGGATGGCGACCCGATCCGAGGTGTGCTGCGATCTTCAGCTGTGAACAACAACGGAAAGGTTCCTGGGGTCGGCATCACTCATCCAAACCTGGAGGGACAGGTACAGGTAATTCGTCACGCCTACGAACGTGGTGGTGACTTGGACCCGCGTCTTACAGGATACTTCGAATGCCACGGAACCGGCACTGCGATTGGCGACCCTCTGGAGGTGCATGCAGTCTCTCAAGCGATGAACAAGAAGGGCCCCCCAGGGAATGGATTCCCCACTACTGATCGGGGCTGTTAAGACCAACATCGGCCACAGTGAGGCTGCGAGCGGTCTCTCGGCCATAATCAAAGCAGTCCTGACCGTAGAAGCCGGCATCATCCCGCCCACTCGAGGCGTCGAGAACCCCTAACCCAAACAGTGAGTTTTCCCTGATCCCTCTCCCCAGAGCACTTGAACTGATTCGTTTAATCAGTCGACTGGGAGAACTGGCACGTCAAGGTACCTAGTATGCCCCAGCCTTTCCCAACCCACCTTCCTGTCCGACGAGTCAGTGTCAATAGCTTCGGATACGGCGGAACCAACGGCCATTTCATTGTCGAGGGCGCAGACTCACTGGTCCCTGGATACTCCCATGGCCGGAAAAAGACTAAGCCAACTGAGCGAGGCGTTTTCCACCAAAAGCGGCCCTACCTGCTGCCCTTTTCTGCACACGACAAACCCACGCTGATGCGCAATATCGAGGCGTATGCAAAGGTGTTAGACGATTACAATATCGTCGATTTGTCATATACCCTGGCCAATCGGCGATCCAAGTTAGCGAGCCGCGGCTTCGTCGTCACTTGTCCCAACGAGACTACAAAAGCTTTCGGAGAGGTAGCCCAGTCTTTTGTTTTCGCGGACAAGAAGAAAACTCCCGCTTTGGGATTCGTTTTCACAGGTCAAGGTGCCCAATGGGCACGCATGGGATGCGAGCTCATGTTGTACTATCCGAGCTTTCTGCGGACAATTCGCAAACTCGACCAAGTTCTTGGGGATCTCTCCAACGGCCCCGAATGGACCTTGGAGGATGTCTTGCATGAAGATTCCTCAGAATCTCGCATCGATGAGGTTGAATTTTCTCAACCCCTGTGCACCGCTATTCAGATGGCGTTGGTTGACTTATTGGATTCTTGGGGGGTCAAGCCAGCGGTAAATACAGACTAGGGTTTTCACACGCTGCTAGATATTGACTGATGCATTCAATAGATTACAGTGGGCCATTCCTCGGGAGAGATCGCTGCCGCGTATGCGGCTGGTTTGGTTGGCTTCAATGAGGCCATCATCGCGGCTTACTTCCGCGGCAAGGCCGTCAAGGATATCGACACCGATGGAGCCATGATGGCTGTAGGACTCGGCGCTGAAGCTGTCCAGTCATATCTTTCTGGATACGAGGGAAAAGTGGTGGTGGCATGTCATAATTCCCCAGCACTCGTCACATTGAGTGGAGATGCGGCTGCCATTGGTGCTGTGAAGGGCAAGCTGGACGCGGACAGCGTCTTTGCACGAGTCGTCAAGACGGGTGGAAAGGCATACCACTCGTTTCATATGAAGCCAGCCTCCGCAGTTTACCGCAAGCTCATGCACGAGGCAGCTTCCGAGGTTGAAGCAGGAAGTCGCAAGTCCACCAGGGCCGTGATGGTCTCCTCGGTCACGAATACCCCTCTGGATCCCACACAGCCGCTGAATGCGGACTACTGGTGCGCGAACCTGATGAGTCCCGTCAAATTAAACCAGGCAGTTCATACCATCGGATCCAATGCGCAATACAAGGTCGACGTTCTCGTTGAGATCGGACCTCACTCCGCGCTCAAGGGCCCCATCAACCAGATATGCCGGACGGAGAAATTCGACAAGATCGACTACCTCCCTACGATGCAACGCGGAGGAAACTCGGCGATCCAGCTATTAAACCTGGCCGGTCAGCTCTTCCTAAGGAACTTCCCCCTGTACTATGATCGAGTCACTGCAATTGAGCAGATCTCCCCGACTGGCAAGGTCCAACTGAAGAAGGGCAAATTACTGGTCGACCTGCCGCCGTATCAATGGAACTACCCGAAAGACCTCTGGGCAGAGCCGCGACAATCGACAGAGCATCGGGCTCCCAAACATCCTCGACACGACGTGCTAGGTACTCGTATCCCAGGAGGCTCGAAAACCGAACCCACGTGGAGGAACTGTCTGCGGATTGTGGATCTGCCATGGCTAAAGCACCATTCGCTTGGCGGCGAGGCAGTATTCCCCGCTGCTGGCTACTTCAGCATTGCCATGGAAGCTCTTACCCAGGTAAATGAGGACAGTTCCAGTCCGATAGAGATAGCAGGATTTACTCTTCGGGACGTTTCGATAAAAGCGGCCCTCGTGGTTCCCGACGATGACGACGGGATTGAGACCCTGTTCGCTCTTCAGCCGAGTGTCTATTCGGATGACGCGGGGCGCGCCTGGTGGGACTTCAATGTGTCGTCGTGCTCGCGAGATGGCCACTGGAACAGCCATATGACCGGCACCGTTGGCGTCAATCCATGTGCTGCTAGACAACCCCCGCGACATGTCCCGACCTTCACCCAGCGAGCCACAGGAAAGGCGTGGAACCAGGCGCTGAAAACCGTCGGCTTCGACTATGGACCCTCCTTTCAAGACATGCAGAGCATTCGCACAGACGGAAAAAGCTACCAAGCAGCCGCATCGACCGTGGTGAAACGGAGCTCCGGTATAGTTGAAGGTGAATCTCGTTACGTTTTGCATCCGGCGTGTATGGATTCATGTCTTCAGCTCATCATTGTTTCGATCTACGCTGGTCGCATTCAGGACATGACATGTGGTGCCGTACCCATACAAGTAGACGAGGTCTCAGTTTGGTAAGTCTTGTATAGTTTTGGTTCATTGCTACCAGACTCTTAGGATCAGAGCTAACGCGTTTGTTGCACCAGGCTACCCTCCCAAACCCAGGAGGAAAAAAGTGACGCACAGGCTTATGCTTGGACCGACGAGAGAGGATTTCGATCTTTCGTCTCGGGAACACAGCTGGTGGGAAGTGATGGCCAACTTCTCTTGTCTATCAAAGGAATGCGTTGCGTTTCCTACGAGGCCGCGGTGCCACAGAGGCGTGGGTCTGAGATCAAAGAGCAGCCGTTCATGCAAATGACTTGGGACATCGACATCGACGCACTCACGGAATCAAGTCCAATTAAGGATCTCAGCACCAGTGACTTGGTGGCACTGGCTGCTTTCAAAAAGCCGGGTCTCAAGGTACTCGATCTGGCGGCCCAGGACCCAGTTTCAATCAGCAAAACCAGCGATTTGATCAACTATACGGCCACGACAGCCACTGATGCCCAAGTTGACGTGCTCAAACAAGCCATTTCTGGTTATCAGCGAGCAAGTGTTCTAAAAGTCGATCCTGCGATGGAGCTTGAGCTACAGGGTTTGAAAGGCAACGAGTTTGATCTTGTCATTTTGGGAACTCCAACGGAAGGCTCCAAGCTTGAGTGGCTACTGGCACCCGGCGGTCGAGTCATTGGAAACTCCGATAAGTGCTTGTCCTTGAATGAACGCTTCCAGGTGATGAGGTTGATGAATGGCGTTGCCATCGCCACACCCAAACAAGCGCAGAATGGTGCTGCCCTTAGCCACGGCAACGGTACCACTGGTGATTCAACAATTACCATTGTCTATCGCGACAACATCACTGATATTCCCGGAGAGCTTCTTCAAGCCCTTAAGCCACTGGGATCGTGTCAACTCGTTGCACTAGCCGATGTACAAATTGCGCCGGGCGAGCACGTAGTGATAACCTGCGACCTTGAAGGACCCTTCTTGTCGACACTCCAGGAAAACGAGCTGTCTCGCTTGCAGGAAAGTCTCACCAATGCCTGTTCCGTTCTTTGGGTGACGGTGGGAGGGTTGATCAATGGTACGATGCCAGAACAAGCCATGGCCTCCGGACTCGCGCGCTCCGTGACTTCGGAGATGGCATCGCTCGACTTGACGACTCTCGATTTGGACCTGAGTAACACATCTCTGAACTGTGCTGTCCATGAAATCGTCCGAGCTGTGGAACGGCAGATCACCCACGCGGGCGGAAAGGAATCAGAATACTGCGTCGCGAACGACCGGGTGCACATAAGTCGAGTGGTGGCGAATGATACGCTCAATCATCATTACGGGCCCCAGAGCTCAATCGTGCAGTCTGTGCCTTTCAAACAGTCTGACAAACTGGTGGGAATGCCGCAAGCCTCGAAGTTGGTTTTCACTTATGATGTCCGGGCCGACCAGACTGTTGGGCCTGATGAAGTCCAGGTTCGAGTGGCCTTGAGCGACCTAAACAAAGAAGATGTCTTGGTTCGCAACGGTACCGATCCACTAACAACATTTTCCCATGAAATTTACGGAGAAGTCACCCAGAAAGGATCGAACGTCAAGGAGCTCGAAGTTGGTGACTACGTCGTTGGATTCAGTCACGACAGGCTGGCCAGCTTCCAGACCGTCCATGCGGGCATGGTCCAGAAAGCCAACGCGGGCGACGTACCGGAGGAGCTGGTGACGTTGCCAATGGCATATGCAACCGCCTTACACGGTCTTGACACTTTGGCGAAGGTGGGACTCAACGAGGTAGTCCTCATTCTCCACGGCAGCGGTAATTGTGGTGCCGCGGCCATCGCACTCAGCAAACACATGGGCGCCAGAACGTACGTGGCGGTTCCAACGAGCACGGAGGGAGCGACTGTCGCAGCACTATTTGATCTGCCGCTGGACCATATCATCTTTGATGTTGACAACAACCTTATGTCAACATTGAAGCAACGTACCGGTGGGGTAGCGGCGGATGTGGTCTTCAGCTCAGCTTATGTTTCACCCACTGTTGCCCACGAATGCTGGAGAGATCTCGCGACGTTTGGTCGATTCATCGAGATCGGCCGCAAGAAGAGCCTGAAGCGCAGCGCTTTGGATACGGTCCCCTTGGCCCGAGGCGCGAGCTATATGGCATTTGACATTATTGAGCTATACCACCAGAAGCCGCAACTCCTATCCGCGTATCTGCGCCAAACCCTTTCACTCTACCGACAAAACGCAATTTCGCTGATCTCTCCCATCGAAAAGCGGAACATTACCGAATACGACCATGCAGTGGCAGCTTTCAGCGACGACTTTGCTGCTAAGAAGACGGTGATCGAATATGCGGAGTCGGATGGCCTGATCGACGTTCAACCTCGTCGGATGCAAATACGCTTCCGGCCTGACGCGACATATTTCTTAGTCGGCTGTCTTGGAGGTCTGGGTCGCAGTTTGACTTCCTGGATGGTTCAGCGCGGCGCTCATCGGTTCGCATTTCTGTCACGATCGGGTACTGACAAGGCGGACGCTGCGGATTTAGTCCGTGCCCTCGAAGGAATGGGCGTAACCTGCCAGGTCATTCGAGGAGATGTTACAAACAAGGAAAACGTTCAAGCGGCGATCCAGAGCATTCCGGCCAGCCACCCTGTCCGCGGCGTGGTTCATGCCGCCATGGTGCTTCGCGTAAGTAGACCTATGCCTTGTGTCTTTATCAAGTGGATCACTAATTTTTACTTTTAGGATGGTCTCTTTCATTCCATGTCCCATGACAGTTGGAAAACTTCAATCGGCCCCAAGGTCACGGGAGCGATTAACTTGCACGAGGTGCTGGCGAACACGGACCTGGATTTCTTCCTCTGCACCAGCTCGACCTCGGGTATCCTGGGAACTCCTGGTCAAGCCAATTACGCAGCAGGAAACAGCTTCCTGGACTCTCTTTGCCGGCATCGCGTGTTGAGAGGGCAGCCAGGATCGTCTCTGGTGCTTCCCATGGTCCAGAACGTTGGGGTTGTGGCAGAGAACCCCGAGATTGAGGCCGCGCTGCGTCGCAAGGGTATCTACGGAATCTATGAGACACACTTGCTGGAGGCGATCGAGGCGGCAGTCTTGACGCAAAGTAGCACCCATCCGGCCGATCATCTCATCGTCGGTTTGGATCCCAGCAAGCTGAGCGAGTCGCTGTCGAGCAACGACGTCACTGACAGTTTCTGGACCGAAGACGCGCGATTCAAAGGTATCATGGCGGCAGTCAATGCAAACGCATCAGCCAATCATGGGGGCGCAGAAGATACAATCCTTAACGCGATCAAGCGAGCGGGCTCACCGGACGAGGCTCGGGGCATGGTCACAGAACACTTCACCACCAGGCTCGCTCGGCTACTTCTCCTCGAATCCGATGTATTCGAGCCTGACACGATCCCTATCGTCGATTACGGGCTGGACAGTATGATCGGAGCCGAGTTGCGCAACTGGATCTTCAAGGAATACGACCTGAATATTCCTTTTCAGCAGCTGTTAAGTCCGAGTCTCACAATCACCAAATTTGCGGGCGTTGTCTGCGAAAACCAAGGACTGGCCTGACGGGGACATGCCAGAACACAAGGGATGATGGCATGGTAGGGTTAAAGCAAAGCAGATGTACCTAGAAGAGATTGCGGCAGCGGCCTCTGCCATACCATAGCATATAGCCGTCGAAATGGTAATTAATGGATACCCGGGAGATGGTGTTGATTCTTAGTTCTGAATGATACAAAGAAGTTGCAATGCTTGCAGAGGTTTGTATGATGTGCATTGGTTTGCCAAGACCTTCAGTAAATATTTTTAAAAACTTATTATTACTTCAGTTTTATACTATTTAATTAGAAATAAATACTATATATTAGAATTAATTATATTTGAACCCTAATTTATAAAGTAATGGTAACAGTAATTATCAAAGTATAGTTAAAATCTATACGGAGATGAGGCATCTCCATGCCCTAAACATAATATATACATTCACACGTTGACTGAATTCTATCGAGGTAATATTTGGAAATATTCTAACATTCGTGTAGACGACGTCTTCAATTTCGAGCAACGTATTGACTATATATTGACTATCTAGAGTACAAAACTGATTGCTTCTCTATTCCACGGTCTCATCTCTCCGCCACACAAACAGTACCGCCGCACCCCCAGGGCCCAGCAGGGCAACACACACAACCATCTCCAGCGCTCTCCAGAGCAACGCTGCCTTCGTCTGCACCCTCATCCCACCTTCCTGTGTTATCTTCAGAACCCACACCCACAACGCTGCGTACCCAACTAACTGGTCCCACTGCATGAAGTTCAACACTCCAGCACCAATACTTTCTAACAGCAAGTTCCTGGGAAATAGCAAGGTCTGTGGTGCCAGCGCCTCCCGAGCGGACGCCACAAAGAGAGAGGGGAACACTACGGTGCTCAACGAAGTCACGACCGTCCCGATGTGGACGATAGCGCTGCCGATGACAGCGAAGAGATAAACCGGTCGGGCCGCGTGCAAGTAGATCTTGGATGACCTTTCTGCCGCGGGCTCCGGGGAGATGTTGTAGATGTGGCCTCCACACCAGCTCAATAAGCTGTGAATCAACCCAACCCACACGGGAAACGGCGTCCATAGGGCGATGGTGGCTTGTTGGGCCGGGTACGAGACCACGTTTGGAGACGGGAGGCCCAGCATGATGCTTGGGACGACGTACCCCAGAACCATCGACCACGGGAGATACCGCAGTTGACGTGCGGCAGGGGCTCGCACGTTATGGTTGGCCTCGAGATGGAGAGCAAAGTAGATCGGGCCAATGCAGGCCAAAGTGAAGTTCTGCATCGCTAGGGCCCAGAGCGTCGCTCTAGAGAAACATCAAGTCAATCATTCTGTGTACTATACCTGGGTATACTCGCCTTGGAGATGCAGGAGCCCACATCACTGATTACTTACTTGGCGACCATGTGTCTCTCTCCCCTGCGGAACCCCTCCACCCACACCAGGGTCCAGATGCCCACAAGCTGCCCAAGGAAGTATATCCCGCTCATACTGGTCGCTGGGTGACTGCCATCGACCGCTTCCCAGAAGAAGAGCACCATGATGGTGCACCAGTAGTCGATTGGGGCGATGCCGGTGAATCGCAGACGCAAGGGCTCATGGGTGCCAGGGATGCAGGGGACCGCTGCGCCCCGGATATGGAGCATGCGGCCCAAGGTGCCGTTGCTTAAGGATGCGCCCCATGTTATGTAGAAGGCGAATGCAGAGAGGCCGAGGAGGGCCGGCACAACACGCGAGGTGCCCATTGCAGCAGGTCGTTCGGTGCAAGGTGAAAATGCCCGATGGAGAGCTCTTACCAGACACACGACTATTATATTCAAGAATGTACTAGCGTCCGGTGTAATTTGGGTATAACACTCCATTATTGGCTTCAGGTCCTTCGGGGTAATCTTGAAGCTAATGGGATTTTTGCCCCGGCACAATATCAATCGGCCCGAACGACCGAGCTTCAGTTCACCTGCGGAGATGATGAGCTACTAGCCAACGTTTGCCGTGATAATTGGATCATCTCGATAAAAAGTTGAGTCAACTTAGATAAGCGTAGGCAATTGCAAAGAAGATTCTATGTTTATCCATCCGCTGGTGAATATTGTTGGATAGAATACCGTTAGACCTACCGGGCTACCACCATCCAGCTGGTGTTTTCTGGTCGAAGGATCGAAACATGCTAACAAATATTGATTGTAGCTATATATGCCTAGGGTATAAACTTTAAGTTGATGGTTTGGCATATATTCTCTTGACATTCTTTGTTGTTTAAGCAGTCTGTGAACCTATGTATTGGAGAGGGAGGAACGCGCGGTGGCAGCCATGAAACTGGCGTATCGACGGAAGCAGGACAAACCACCCACCAGAGCTAAAAAGTCCGTGGTGAGAGTCGTAGCGATGCATTGATGGCAGATAGCAAAGCGAAACTCATATCAAGCAGGGGGTTCACTTCTTCATTCTGTCGGGGATGTGTAGAAGCTAAGTCTAATGCTATGAGCGAGACAAGCCTATTTTTGTTAAGCACCAAGGCAGAACTTCGTCTTTAGGAAATACCAAGGTCAAATTGCAATCCCCCACTACAGTAAATATATATAGGTGCGTGTGTGTAGATGGTTATATCTTTGACTGGGAGCGTAGCGATGGAAAAGCAATAGACACAACCGCGGGTTGGAAGATCCAAAAAATACGCCTTGACCTTTTACTGGTTAATATGTATATTTGCAGCAGAGGGAATCGGATGGCTAAGATATAAGTTAAAGCATTTGATACGATATTTTAAAGTGCACCTGAGTGCTAAGTTGAGATCAAATTATCTAGTCTGACTGACGAACAGAATATATAATTGCTGAGCGAGTTTGCTCGAAGCAGGGCAGAGACGTTATCAAGGCATATTTCCGTAAAGAGACAATGACCTATGATTCCAAGGCCCATTCTAGTACTGTTTACAGGGCAGGAATGAGCATCCTCTTCGCGTATCGTCCAGATACCAAGAAGACATCCTGCCAGTGTCTGCTCCTATTTCTTCCCACTCAGTTTAATTTCCACCAAGAATAGACTCGGCGATTTTCTCGGCAAACATGTCTAGGAGAGCGATATGTTAGTAGTGAAAGCTTACAAAAGGATGCCGCTAGCAAACTCACAGACAGACGACATGGGATGGCCAGGAGGACAGAACGGAAAGGCGCTGGCATCAACCACGCGAAGACCGGTAACACCGTGCACGCGAGCTCGCGAGTCCACAACGGCCGAGGTATCCTTCTTAGGTCCCATTTTGCCTGGATGGAGCAAGGGAAGTGTCAGTCTCAACTCTACTTTCGGCTCTGTTGCACCGCCAGATAACAATTCGATAAGCAGCTTTAGTACTCACAGGTGGATGTCCCGTGGAAGATCATGTTCATATCCTTTCGCATCCACTCGAGGATCTCCTTCTTGCCGGTGAGCTGGGGGCCAGGCGAAAGCTCGCCCAGGAGGACGGCAGGATCCCAATTTGAGGCAACCTCGCGGAGACGCAAGAATGCGGCGTAGGCTTGCTCGACATCCTCATCCTCTTGCAGCCAGTTGGGGCTGATGAGGGAGGGTCGAGGATACTGTTGCTGGAGATGGTCATGTTGCCGCGCGACTTGGTGGAGAGGAGGACTGCGGCGAAGGTGAGGAGGTTGTCGTTCGGACCGATAGAGCTCACCACGGGGCCGTTCTCAAGGGGCAGAATCTCGACGTCAGGCCAGTCTGAGGCATATGTATCCAGGTAGGCCCGAGTGGATTTGCTGAAGTTGGCCCAGTAGGATGCGGGGAACTTCTCAAAGGCTGGATATGGATTGTCAGCGTCCCGCAGAAATGTGTAAGGCACTACGTAGTGTGAAGAGGACTCTTACCTATGCCCTGGCCTGTGCCGATGCCGGACAGAGGGCCCGATTGATGGTTGATATACTCGGACAAGGCAGATGCGACGCTCTCGGGATTTCCTGCCTGTAACTGGGTATTCGTAGTGACATTGACTGCTAAGACCGTGCCCACCACCGGTTGGTCCTGTCAAAAGGGTCAGTGGCCGCCCAATGATGTGATTATTGGCGATATTCATACGCACATGTTCATTCTGGCCGACGCCGGGCAGATCGGCGACAACATCGATGCCGAATTGCTGCAGCTTCTCAGAAGGTCCGACACCTGACAGCATCAACAGCTGAGGCGAATGCCACTGATGAACATCAATTAGATGATCTTTGACGATGAGTATACGATTCAACCATGGAAAGACTCACCACTCCCGCCGAAAGGATAATTTCTTTAGTCGCATTCAGATGGAACTTGAAGTCTGACGTGGCAATGTTGCTCTGCACCTCAACTCCTGTGGCTTTCTTCTTATTGTCGAACAAGATCTTCGTTGTCAGGGCGTTGGGGTAGATCTTAATACTAGAGCCCCGCGCAGCCGCCTGGAGGAACGAGGATTCGGAGGTATCGCGAGTGGCGTAACGGGGGGTCGACTGTCGCTGTCGCCGTTCCGTATCCGATCAGCTTACCGCTGTTGAACCCCTTTATGGGGCTCAGGCCTGACTTGGCAAGTGCCTCACTAAGAGATGGTCCATATGGGCCTTGATAGTTGCCATAGGACACGTGGAGAGGCCCGCCTTTGTCGCTGAATGCCGATGGGTCATAGGTAATGTTGAGAGACGGGTCAATTTTGGTGAAGTCCGGAGGTGTAAAGTGCACGCTCTTCTTAAATGCTGGATAAACATTGTCCCAGGCCCAGAAGTTGTCGCCAACTTCTTTCGCCCATTGATCCATGCTTCCTTCCGAGGGTCTAATGAAAAGAGCAATGTCAACATTGGCCAGACGAATAGCAGGAATCAATCTTCCTTCTTACCGTTGATAGCCCATGTAGTTTGCCGCGGAGCTGATGTCAGAACATTGTTAGCCATTGATTTCGTTAATCCTGGCATTCTCTGTATTTGAACACTCTCTCACCTGCCGCCAAATGTCTGGCCTCCAGCGTAAAAGATTTCCCGGTTATCGTAACCCTTTTGGGGCACCGTGGTCAGACCCCATGTTGTCGGTGTGGTAGCAGAACCAAGGGGAAATGAGATCGTGTTGATATAATTGTATCCAGGCACTTGAGTACGGTTGCCGTCGAGGATTTCGTAAAAACTTCCTGCCTCGAGGACAGCAACAGTATAGTTGGCCGGGTTGAGCGCTAGCCGAGCTGCAATCGTGTTTCCAGCATTACCACCTCCAACAACCTAACCGTCCATGGGTCAGCAATCATGAAGCAGCCTAAAACAATCACTTGCATAGCAGGAACTGCGGACTCACAATGTAGTCATAAGTTTCATTGTAGCCAGGCCTGCCAAACGAATTACCGTAGATGTGTGTAACGCCTTGCGCATCGACAAAGACGCCAACCGTGTCCTGTTGTGTGTCGGACACCGCTTGCACGGTGGCCAAGATGGCCGCAGTCCAAGCCCACAATCGAACCTGCATGGTGACAGTGATAAACAAGCTAGGTTTTGCAGCTAGCAAGCGCACTCAGGCAATACCTAGATTCTCTTCGAAGTGGCTGTTTGGAGTCTTCTTTATTTCATTTATTAAATTATTCCCTTTATAATCTAAGATTAGTCGGGCCGAGTAGATTGAGGCTGTGAATGCCCAGGTCCTGCATACAAGATTAAGTCTTCCAACACAGCCGGACATGGCAATACATTGTTGAACGAGCAAATCAACATCTGTTCATGCACTGTCTACTGCCCCTGATTTTCCATGTGGGGTGTACCTAATTATCGACTACAACGATTGAGATCCTGTCTAGCTGCGATATGCATGGGGCTGTGTAGTGTTGGCCCCTGCGATGCCGCCAATCGGTCCGAATTGCCCAAGCACGGCCCGAGCCGCCCGCCATTTTCTGACCAGTTAAACTGTTGCAGTTTTCGGACTCCAGGGCTGAGAAATTTAGCGGATCTTACAGTGCCCTATCAACATCTACCTCCGATTATTGGGCAGATGCAAGGTCCAATTAGGGTATACTAATCCTCTGATGCGCTGTAAGCTAGGAGGTAAGAACCATGTGCCATATCAAAATCGTGGAGCTGCCGGAAGGCCCCATGTAGTACTTCTAGTGCTCATAGTGCAGGATTTCTCAAATCCCTTTAGCAGCCATTGCTCCCGTCGTATGCTCTTTGCGCCACCAAACACAACGCCATCACCAAATCCTCCGCCTCCACCACTCTGTCCGTCTTTCTATTTTTGCTTATTTCGTTAGGTCCAGCCATACGAGAGCAATGACTGCGCCATCGCAAGGGCGCCACCCAACCGGGACTGCTACCAGCCTTGCCGCCCTCTACGCTCCACAAATCAAAGGGAAGATCATTCTGACGACAGGGGTCTCGCCTTCTGGATTGGGGGCTGCCTTCGTCAAGGTAATTGCAAAATGGGAGCCTTCCGTGCTTATCCTGGCGGGTCGCAACGCGTCCAAGGTCCAGGCCACTGCGAAAGGCCTAGTTGAAGAGGGGTCACTCTCACCTAGCCAGGTGCGAACGCTCGAAGTGGACTTGGCATCACTTGGCGCGGTTCGGGCGGCTGCGACAACAATAAACAACTGGAAGGATATTCCATCCATTGATATCCTGGTAAACAACGCAGGAATCATGGCGGTGGAGCATGCAGTGTCTCCAGACGGCTACGAATCTCAGCTGGCGACCAATCATCTCGGTCCATTTCTCTTTACGAACTTGATCATGGGTAAGGTTCTAGCTTCCGCTGCGCCTCGTATCGTTATGGTCAGCAGTGATGGCCACCGGCTCTGCCCATTCCGGTTCCACGACTACAACTTCCGAGTAAGTTGACCCCACAAATCCCACATCAGTCGTTAACGAGGACAGGACGGCGAGACGTATAACCGGTGGCAGGCTTATGGCCAATCCAAGTCAGCCAATATGCTCATGGCCCTCTCGCTGGCGCAGAAACTGGGATTGAGGCACAACCTTCTGGCCTTCAGCCTGCATCCGGGCGTCATCAACACCGCTCTAGGCGACCACTTGGATTGGAACACGGCGTTCCCTGCACTGCGTTCGTTTCCCCAACAAATCCACCCTATCAGGTAAATCTCAAGGGCTCATTGGCGGATGTAGTGGAGATCGATCGATTCTTTGGGAACCCACAAGCGTGGATGACGTCCTTTCCCTTCGTCTCGCCGGATCAAGGGGCCGCCACGCACGTCTTTGCTGCGTTTGATCCAGATATTTCAGGTCAGATTATATGTTATTTGTAGGTCGATAATGTGGCTAATATCAGTAGAACACAACGGCGCGTACCTTCAGGACTGTCACATCGCAGACCCATGGACGGAGACAGTCAAGCCCTGGGCGACAAGTGCGGTAGAGGCGGAGAAGCTGTGGAAGATGAGCGAGCAGCTTGTTGGTCAGAAGTTTGACTATTGAAAGGTGGAGCGTGAGTCTAAGTTAATTACCTTATTGAAGAAACTATACTTTCCTAAATTATTGATCTTAAGCGTGCGAGATATAGAAACGATCTATATCTTTACGCCCACGTAAGCCCGAGGTACCGTCGCGTAAAAGTCGTTTAGTAACTCATCATATTAGGCTCGGCTAGATATATATATATATTAAATAAAGCATTCTTACTATATGGTCAAAATTTTAATAAAAGACAAGTACAGTATTTGGAAGGGAACTATAAAGAGACGTTTGAATTGAGATCTGATATACTTGAACCTTATTTTGGGACTGGGCGCCTATCCATGGGCCCTTCCCTGGGTTTGGCCCGGGATGTCTGGCCCGTAGTCCAACCAGGCCCATTGCGGAGGCCTAGGTTCCGCCTTGTGATCAATCATTTGCTCGGACAATGCAGAATTAACATCGTAACACTCCTGAAAAAACCTCCGAATCTTTTCCGTCCGCTCGTGCACCTGTCCCTCGCATGTATGAAGCACCCCCTCCAGCGCCTCCGTACGCGGCATATCATTCATCATCCCCTCCCAGGCAGCCCAGTTCCTTGTCTCCGCCATATCATGCACCTCACGCACCCGCATCTCTAAAGTCTCGAGCACCCCCATCCAGTTCGCGTCCGCCGCAGCACCCTGGCCCATTCGACCAGGGGTCTTGCGCACCCACGCCAGATACTCCGCCACCACGGAGCCGATTCCTGCGATCTCCGCCTGCGTGGAGAACGCTGCGGTCGCGAAGCCGGTGAAGCTCGATAGCATGCGCTGCCGCTCTTGGTGATGCGGGTCGTCGTGCTCCGGGGCTGTCTGGGGGAGAGAACTTAATGGGGGCAAGTAGGAGGAGCCGGGCGCGGAATTCAGGGCGCGTATCTCGCGCAGTGGGGGGATGTGGGAGTGAGATGTTGAACTGCGTCTTGGTGCTGTGGTGGGTGAAGGAAGAGGAGGAGGAGGAGGGAGAGGCGCGTCCACGGAGAAGGGCAGGGAGTCGGATTGCGGGCCTACGTGCTGAAGGCGCGGGTTATGAGGGACATAAGAATGGAAGAAGCTCGAGTTGGTGGGGTCTGGCCCTAAGAGCGGGTCCCCACTGCTTCGGGGCGACGGGAGGCACGGATCGAGACAGTTGGCGTATTCGAGGCTCATGGCGGATTCGGGCATGGGAGGGGTGAGGTGGGGGCTGCCCTTGAGCATCTGCTGTTGTCGAAGCAACGAGGTTTCCGTCATATCTAGACAGGAAAGGCTGGTCAGTCCTGAGTCGAAACGGATGAGTTGAAAAGGACACTTGCCCAATCGGGCTCTCAGGCTTTCGATGGTTTGTAGCAAGTCAGCTTTGGTGGGACAGCTGGTTGGCGTGTAGACACAGGTCTCGCCTGCACGCAGGCATCGTTGGCACGACGGTTGCTGGCCATCGCAGCGTACTTTGCGGTCTCTGCACAGCTTGCACGCGATTCGTCGGGAGCTATTCGTGGTTTCGCCTGTCATTATTCTTTGCGATCGTCTGTCCGTGGTAGGTGCTGGTTAAATAGGAGCATGGCGTATCCCCCTATGAGTGATAGGCCGGCACCCTGTGAGCGATAGGCCGGCCCCCTGTGAGTGATAGGCCGGCCCCCTGTGGGTTATAGACCCCCGGTAGGTTATACGCCCACCTGCAGGCGATGAACGAGTTGTGGCGACCAGCCAATGGTTCTAGGAGATGGATTCCCAGTAGGATCGCACTATTTAGATCGAGACACGTGGCATACGGTTTGACATTCCTGATATCCGTGCCCTTCGCTACGCTGCAACCTCCCCACTCGCTTCCGCTCGTGGCTGTCGAAGCCGCTACTATAATCTCAAACGTGTCAATGGTAGCCTAGCACTATCTGAACGGAGCGACAGTGGCGCGTGTATTCGAGATACTAAGCTGGAGAGAGGAAGAAGAAAGAAGAATAAACTCTAAAGCAGCAGCCTAAATAGCCTCCAATCTTCGTCCGGCGCGACATATCCCACATATCCTGATGACGGTGACAGAAGGATGATTCCTACATTCAATTGCCGAAATACGTCAAAACACCTTCCGGCCCATACAATTAAGCTTGGTTTTAGATCAAATGGCCTCTGGCCTATTAATCCTAAGCTTATTACTGATGCATTGGAGTTGTACGATCCATACGATGACAATTTACCCCGGCCGGATACCCCATCAACTAGCTCTCAATACACTGATTTTAGCACTCCTGAGCAAATACGAAGAATCAGTAACCGTCTCAATCAATATGATCCCACTACTCAGCAGTTTAAAGAAGGGCTAGCAAAGCTTGCAAAGGGTGCTGAGGCCCGGGCTACTTTAGCGCTCCAGCTACAGCGGGAATTCGATAGTACACAAGCTATTATGGGGGCACGCCACGCTAAATGTAACAATTCGCGCCGCCATATACGAATTACCGGTATCATCAGTTCCAGCCAAGTCAAATAAATGAAGTATAAATATAAATTGACCGAGAAAAGGACCAAGAAAAAACAAGGCGGAAATGGAAGAAGGTTTTGATTGAAATCAGGAAGTATGGAAGGGCTAAAAAAACGCGCTAGAATTTAATTTCCTTTTGTATATAAATGGACTAGTATCTAATCGATTTGTTTAATATATTTAATTATTCATTTTACTAGAGTGTAGGGTAGTAAATGATGGTTGAAGTAAAAAGTAAGAAAAAAGTTGCATATGGGTGGCGGACCCTCGCTTGCGACGGTCTGTAATAAATGTAATTTATAAAAGGGCCCGTTACTGTACACGCGGTTAAAGGTAATACCCGTATATTGGATCACGAATCCACAGCGCTAGAGGACACTAAATGGAGGTAAGCTGGTCGCCAAGACGTGATGCGCAGGGGTAGCGCGGCCAATCGAGAGTCCGAGACAAAAAACACACTTTGGTTGAGGCCATCCGGAGGCCAGCATTCCGGAAAGACCAGCCGCATCAGCCACAAGGGGGACTAAAATCTCACGCACATGAAGGCTCTCCTCGAACACCTTTTGGGATTGTTTTCTCGGCGTTCTGGCCAGCAGTGCGAACCTCACCGAGGCCTGACATCCCCGCCCCCAAAGCCACATCGATGGACGGACAAGAAGTACCGAGTTCGATCTACTCCCAATGGACCCCTCGGACCGTGCCGCTCGGGATATGCTCCGATGCGATGGCCTGTATTCCACGGGCAAGGCATCAAAATGCGATGAGAGAGTGTCTCGAGATAGACATTTAGATCGGAAATGTTTTAAAAGCTCACGCGGTTTGATTTGGGTGGATTGATTACTCACTGATTCTCCCACCAATTCATCCTACCCTTAGAATAGAATCACAGTGACGATGTCGAACGGCTTACACACCGCGAACATGCGCCAGCATGACACCGGTGCTGCGGGCAGCGCCAGCAATAGTGGAGATGGGAGACCCGTCCACCGCAGTGTTCCGGTTGCCATTGTTGGCATGGCCTGCAAATTCGGAGGAGACGCTACCAGTCCCTCGAAACTGTGGGACATGTGCGTGGAGGGTCAAGACAGCTGGGGGGGCCATTCCCCAAGAGCGATTCGATCTGAAGTCTCTCTATCATCCTGACCAGCAGAGATTCGATCGGGTCAGTCATTTCCCCCGCAGATGCATATTATTGAGTTGAGCAGAGAAGCAAATAAGAAGAAGAGAAAGCTGACTCGTCAATCAACAGCATCATGTCCGCGGTGGGTTCTTCTTGCAGGACGACCTGAAACGATTCGACGCAGCGTTCTTCAACCTTTCTGCCGAGAGTGCCAGTGTTCGTGTGCCTTGATCCCGATTGCATTGCAAACCACTTGCAGCTACTAATGCACGAGGCATACATAGGCGATGGATCCGCAACTGCGGCTGCTCATGGAATCTGCATACGAAGCCATCGAAAACGGTCAGACCCCCTCATCGGACCCAAGGAGTGAGTGAGCGTCACTGACAGACATGACTGGGTAGCGGGCATCCCGATGGAGAGCTTCTCTGGGTCCAATGCGTCAGTGTTCACTGGGACATTTGCACGGGACTATTTCGACACGCTGATCCGCGATCCCGAGAATTTGCCGGCCTCGTTCATAACCGGGAATGGAGGGGCGATGCTATCGAACCGCATTTCGCATTTCTATAACCTCACAGGGCCCAGTATGACGATTGATACGGGCTGCTCGTCGAGTGCTGTCGCTATTCACCAGGGATGCCGGAACCTCCAAGCGGGGGAATCAGACCTGTCTTTGGTTGGTGCATCTTCTGTGTTATTGAACCCCGACATGTTCATCGCCATGTCCAACTTGAATGTGCTGAATGCAGAGGGACGGTGCTATTCATGGGATCACCGCTCCAATGGGTACGGCCGCGGTGAGGGCGTCGCAACCCTGTTGCTGAAGCGCCTGGACGACGCCCTGCGGGATGGGGATCATGTCCACGCCGTCATCCGTGAGACTGCGCTGAACCAAGACGGAAAGACAACGACGATTTCTTCGCCCTCGATGGAGGCGCAACAACAACTCATCGAAGAGTGCTACCGCCGCGCTGGACTGGACCTTGCACAAACCGCGTACGTCGAAGCGCATATGACGGGTACAGCCACAGGCGACCCCATTGAGGCGGAAGCCATCGCGCGAACGTTCGGGCAGCATCGCAGCTCGGACGACCCGGTGCTCGTGGGCTCGGTCAAGACTAATCTGGGGCATACTGAGCCCGTGAGCGGGCTGGCGGCCGTTATCAAAACCGCCTTTGCGCTGCAGCACGCATGCATCCCCCCCGAATCTGAACTACGAGAAACCAAATCCGAAGATTCCGCTGGATGAATGGCACCTGCAGGTCCCGACGTTGCCCACCCAGTGGCCCCAGGACAAATCGCCGCGTGCATCGATCAATAACTTTGGCTACGGGGGGACCAACGCTCATATCATCATGGAAAGAGCTCCCACCCCCGCGCGACAAATCAACCGCGCAGTTGAACAGGACGAGAGTCTTTCCAGGGTCTTCCTCCTCAGCTCTCGTGATGAAGCCGTGACCAAGGCAATGAGTTCCCAGCTAGCCAGCTACGTGCGCGAGTCCGCTTCTTCCACGGAAAAAAGCGTGAACTCCTTCCTCCTCGCCGACCTCGCCCACACTCTGGCGGAAAGACGGTCACGCTTCCCATGGTCGATCGCCGTCAAGGCGAGAAGCGTGAACGAGTTGGCGACGAGGTTAGAGGACCCGAGTTACCAAGCGACAAGGGCCATTCGAAACCCCCGTGTTGGATTCGTCTTCAACGGCCAAGGGGCTCAATGGCACGCGATGGGACGGGAGCTCATCTCCACATACCCGGTGTTTGCATCTGCGATTGAACAGGCAGATGAAATTCTGAGAGATTATGGCACTTCATGGTCCCTTAATGGTGAGTTCACTGATCCCAAACCTAACATCCCATAGTGATGGCAGCTAACAAGAATCAGAGGAGCTTTTGCGGGACGAAGCAGCGACGCGTGTGCACGAGACCGCTTTCAGTCAACCGATCAGCGTCGCACTACAGTTATGTCTCGTAGACTTGCTCAAGTCCTGGGGCATCACTCCTTCGGCAGTGACCAGCCATTCCAGTGGTGAGATCGCGGCTGCATATGCCGTTGGAGTGCTGTCATTCCAAGAGGCCCTGGGCGTGGTGTACCACCGCGGCAGACTCGCGCAAAAATACCAGGAGCTCTCGTCACTCGCAGGGGAAATGCTGGCTGCTGGGCTGTCCGCGGACAAGGCCGAAGCCTACCTTCAGACGACCACTTCTGGTCGCGTCGTGGTGGCGTGCATTAACAGCCCCGACAGCGTGACGTTATCAGGCGATCTGCCAGCACTCGAGGAAGTGGCGTCGCGTCTCGAGCAGGACAATTTCTTTGCTCGGAAGCTCAAAGTGCCTCTGGCCTATCACTCGCACCATATGCTGCTCATGGCCCAGGAGTATACGGAGAGTCTGTGGTACATTTTGCCTACCACGCGAAGTTGGACAGGAGCTGTGTTTTCCTCTCCTGTGACTGGCGGTATCATTACGTCTCCGGACATTCTGGATCCCGAACACTGGACGCGAAACCTCACCAGCCCCGTCTTGTTCGCCGAAGCCTTAGAGAACATGTGCTTCGACGGGACTTCGCAGTCCGCACCCACTCCCCAGGTCGATATCCTTGTGGAAATCGGCGCACACAGCACCCTTTCAGGCCCGATCCGACAGACCCTCCAGCAGCGAATGATTCCGTATGTCTCATGTCTAAAAAGAGGCGTGAACGCTGTCGACACCATGCAAGATACAGCGCGCGAACTTGTCGTCCGGGGCTATGCGGTGTCCCTGGCCGCGGTCAATTCAAGCAACAGCGGTCAGGAAACAGGCCAGTGCCTGCATGACTTACCCTCCTATCCGTGGAACCACACTGCCGAATATTGGTCCGAGCCCCGAATCTACCGCGAGCATCGGTATAAGCGCTTCCCGCCTCATGAGTTGCTGGGGACCCCCGTCTCCGGAGTCAACCAGTTGACGCCGACCTGGCGAAATTTCTTACGCATCGCCCATGTCCCTTGGCTCGCGGACCACCGGGTGGATTCGAAGGTTGTCCTTCCTGGCGCGAGCTATGTCACAATGGCGATCGAAGCGATCCGACAGCTCACGGACAGCTCCGAGAGTAGCATTAGCGGGTATCGGCTGCGAGATATCGACATCACTAATACACTGACGATCCCCGAGACTTCGACGGGCGTGGAGACACAACTGTGTCTCCGCCCATGTAGCGACCAGGAGCTGGACCATAAGGGCTGGTATGAATTTGAGCTCTGCTCCGTTGGGCAGGACGATACGTGGATCCAGAACTGCAAGGGCTATGTTGCTGTCGAGACCGTCCATCCCAATCAACGGACAGAAAGACAGACTGTGAGCGCATCCTCCTACTGGCCTGCGGGCGAAAAAGCGGCCCCTGTCGATCCGGAGTCGATATTCGTGAGTCTGCGCAAAATGAACTTTCACCACGGTCCGACGTTCCAGAACCTGCTTGCCAGCCAGGCTGCGGGCAGTCGGTCCATCACCACGATGGCTCTGTCTACTGCGGTGCCGGGCATAGACGAGCAAAACTATGTCATTCATCCGACGACGCTGGACTCTATCGTGCAGTCCTTCTACGTCGATGTTCCTGCGGAGATGAAAGAGCGAGCGCAAGTGGTGCCCCGGTCCATTGGCTCCATGTTTGTAGCTCGAGACCTCAAACGACGCGCCGGGGACACGCTGCACGTCTTCACTGAGCTTATTCAAGCTAACCAACGCGGAACACGCTCTAAAGCCATTGTTGCCCATGGCCTTGACGAGTCAACCGGGTACCTGGAAATCAACGGCTTCCACTTCCAGGCCATCCCCCAGGGTCACGGAGACGATGCAGGACCCGAAGACAAGCGACTGTGTTCTCGGATGAGCTGGGAACTAGATGTTCTGCACAACTTCCCAGCTTCTCTACGAGACTCTCTGAAGATCTACCTCTCAGAAGCGGAGGTGGACTTTGAGAAGAGAATCCGCCGTGCATCCTACTACCTCATCTCTGATGCCGTCGCGGAGCTTGAAGGCCAAAGCCGAGATGGCTGGCAATGGCACCACAAAATCTTCTATAACTGGATGAAGGAGATCGTCGCTCAGGGTAAGGCCGGGACCCTAGCTTGCGGAAGCGCCAGCTGGTCCCGCGCAACAAAAGGCATCAAGCAGAGACTCTACGATCAGCTCTCAGCAGAGCAAGCAGCAGGCCGACTAACCTGCCACGTCGGCCTGCAGCTCGCCAGTATCGTTCGCGGCGAGGTCACGCCTCTGGAGCTGATGATGGAAGGCAACCTTCTCAACGAGTACTACGAGGTCCTGCCAAAGCTCAAACACCGGACTTACCGACAGTTGAAGCAGGTCGCCGAGCTCTACGCGGTCAAGAACCCCGGGGCGAATGTTCTCGAGATAGGAGCCGGGACTGGAGGCGCCACGACCGTGATTCTCGACGCCTTCGGAGCCCGGTCTGGAGCCGAGTCCGGCACTCTTCTGGGCCATTACGACTTTACGGATATTTCGTCTGGATTTTTCCGGGGCCGCGAGGCAGAAGTTCGCGGCTTGGGATGGCATGATCGAGTTCAAGAAGCTTGACATTGAGACGGACCCTGTGGATCAGTCCTTCGATACAGGGAAATACGATCTGATTGTTGCGTCGGCGGTCCTCCATGCCACTAAAAGCCTTCACCGGACCATGTCCCACGTGTGTCGGCTTCTCAAGCCGGGCGGAACGGTGCTGATGATCGAAAACACCACCGATACGCTGGACATGCAGCTGATCTTCGGCACGCTTCCTGGGTGGTGGTTGAGCGAGGAGTCAGACCGAAAGATGAGCCCGAATGTGCCGCTTGAAACATGGGACTCTGTCTTCCGCGCCACCGGCTTTTCGGGCGTTGATTTTGAGATTGCCGACTGCGAAGAGCCAGATTTCTCGTCTGAAAGCATCATCATATCGACCGCTAAGTCCCAGCCAGCCTATCCGCCGTCGATGTCGATCATCTACTCCCAGGCTGCACCCCCACAGGAATGGTTGAACGAGCTGGCAGAGAACATGCAAACGCAATGCGGCTACTGTCCGAGCGTACAGTCCCTTGAAACTGTCGAACCTCAAGAGAACTGCGTGTATATTACTTTACTGGACATGGAACGCCCCATCCTGAATGACATCGACAGCATCACTCTAGAGCAGGTCAAGAAGCTCCTGAGCAACAGTCTCGGGCTCCTGTGGCTCAGCAGCGGCAGCGTGATTGACGCCAAAAAGCCCCTGTTCGCCCTGGCACAGGGAATGCTGCGAACCCTAAAGCAAGAAGACACCGACAAGCGATGCATCCAGCTCGACTTCGAGTCCACTGGCTGTCCCTGGACCGCGGACAAAATCCCACACATCATGCACGTCCTCCACCAAAGCTTCGACTACCGTCGCATTCCCACAGAGATTGAGTGGGAATACGCAGTCAAAGACAGCCTTCTCCATGTTCCTCGCCATTGGCCCGACCGGACCTGGGACGAGGCCTCGAATGAAGCACACACGTCGACCCTGCCCCAGAACCCCAACCTTTCTGGCAGCCTGGGCGTGGCCTGATGTGGGAGCCGTCCCGCTCGGGCCTCCTGAACGAGATCTACTTCACGGATGCACCGGCGCTCGAGGGCGTGATCCCTCGCGGCATGGTGGAGATCGAGCCCAAGGCCTTCGGGCTCAACTTCCGCGACGTCATGGTCGCGCTGGGCCAGCTGGACGAGACTCTCGTCGGCCACGAATGCGCCGGTATCGTCCGGGGCCTTGGCTCCGGCTCCCACGAGAGCGGGCTCAAGGTGGGAGACCGCGTGTGTGGCATTGGCGAGGACCGCTTTGGGAGCACAACGCGCGCCGCGTGGACCAGCGTCGTCCGGATCCCAGACGAGATGGCCTGGGAAGAGGCTGCTTCGATCCCGTATGCCTTTATAACGGCATATATCGGGCTGTTTGATATCGCACGCCTGCAGAAGGGGCAGAGGGTACTTATCCAAGCTGCCACCGGCGGCGTAGGCCAAGCGGCTCTCATACTGGCGCAGTGGGCTGGTGCTGAGGTGTTCGCGACTTGTGGAACAGCAGCGAAACGCGAGCTCTTGATCAACCACTATCACCTTGCGCCGGACCACATCTTTTCGAGCCGCAATCCGTCCTTCGCGGCAGGCGTCATGGCCCAGACCAACGGCGATGGAGTGGACGTCATTCTGAACTCGCTGGCTGGGCCCCTCCTGAAAGCGAGCTGGGAGTGTATCGCGCGCTTCGGCCGCTTCGTCGAGATCGGCAAAGTCGATCTCGAGATGTCCCGGCGCGTAGACCTGAGTCCGTTAGCCCGGTCCGCCACCCTCGCCGGCCTAGACCTGCTCCAGTACCTGCGGTATCAGCCGCAGATGGTGCACCACGCCCTGCAAGCCTGCGTGCAGCTGTGCCACGCGCAGCAGAGTGTTCGGGCTGTGCACCCTATCACACTGTACTCCATGGCTGACATGGACCAGGCCATGCGGTCTATGCAGGGCGGTTCGCACACGGGCAAGCTGGTTCTGGTGCCGGGGGCAGAAGACCAAGTGCGCGTGGTCACTCGGCCGCGTCCGCTACGGCTTGATCGCTCGGAGAGCACGTATCTCGTTGTCGGAGGACTGGGCGGCGTTGGCCGTGCCATTGCGCTGTGGATGATTGAGCAGGGCGCGCGCCATGTGCTGGTTGTGTCTCGCAATGCCGCCTCGCATCCTGATGCCGCACAGCTGATTGACAATGCCAGCGCACATGGATGCAACCTTTATATCCGTGACTGCGATGTTGCGGACGAGGCCGGCTTCCTGAAGCTCCTGGATGACTGTGCAGAGACGATGCCTCCGATCAGGGGCGTCGTGCAGGCCGCCATGGTCCTGGATGTAAGTTCTCCCCCATTGACTCAACCTGTATCTATATTAACGGCCTCTTAGGACACGGTGCTGGAACGCATCACGCACGAGCAATGGCAGCGCGCCATTCTCCCCAAGGTGGCCGGCACCATGAACCTGCACCGCCATCTGCCCTCGCTCGACTTCTTCATCATGCTCTCTTCCATGACCGGCATCACCGGCCACGTCTCCCAAGCTAACTACGCTGCCGGCAACACCTTCCAGGATGCGCTGGCCCGCCACCGCACCGCCCACGGCCAACCAGCAGTCGTTCTGGACCTGGGCCCTGTCTCGTCCGTCGGGTTTGTCGCCGAAGCAGAGGACGACGTGCGCGCGCGGGTCGCCCGGACTTTGGGATCGACTGTGCTTCCGCTCTCGCGCATGCTGCGCCTGATCGGGGAGGCGATCCGCCATCCACTGCGTGGACATCCCGATGACAGCCAGATCGTCACTTGCATTGCGCAGTATGATGATTTGTCTGATGACATGGCAGCTAAGCGGGACCGGCGCTTCGGGACCCTGCAAGTCGGCACTGCGGCCGTAGGGTCTGCGGGCATCAAGACCACACCCGCAGGGATGGATCGGCTGGACGAGCTGGTGTATGAGCTGGCACACCAGGCAGGGGGGGGGGACGAGTCCAGGTCAGGGGAGCTGGTTCAGTCCGCACTGGTGCGGAAGATTGGGGCCATGTTCCGTGTAACAGATGCAGAGGTGGAGGTAGATGTGCCCTTGTCGCAGCAGGGGGTGGACTCTCTGGTGGCGGTGGAGTTGCGCAACTGGCTGAGCAGTGTGATGAAGGCGCGGGTGACGATTTTTGAGATCTTACAGTCAGGGTCGGTGGCTGATTTTGCGCGCATAGTGACGGCGCGGAGTGGTTTGATCATGGCGTAGATGTTGATATACCAGACATGAGTATAGACTGGGATTCAAGGAGATTACAACTGTATATCCATTATTAAACATAAACTTATTATATTCGTTTCCATTATCTTCCCAAGCAGTCTGAAGTTCTCCTCATGTATCTTGAGATGTGTTAGAGTGGAGAGCTATTCCTCATTAATATCCCTATCCTATCTACTCATACCCCTGCAGCTCCTTCTCCGTCCATTCCCACACCTTCAGCGCCAGCACATCATCCTCTCCCTTCGGCGTCTGCGGGCCCCCAATCCCAATAGGCTCATAGTACTCCCCGCTCTTCACCTCCTTAGCCACAGATGCCCACAGCTGATTCCTAACGCCCTGGTCCACCGGCGTCACGACCTTATTCGCGACCTTTCCCAACACCCTAATGACCCACGGGCTCCCCGTCGCATTATTCATGAGATTCGTGCGCACCACGCCCGGATGGATCGATGCCAGCGTGAACTGTGGGATACTTGCGCGCCATCTGGCGCGTCCACAGAATTATCGCCAGCTTACTCTGCCCGTAGCGACCGTAAGCGCCCAAGCTCTCTCCGTCGGTGCGCAAGGTGTCAAACAGCACGCCTTCCTTGGGGGCGTAGACGTGGCCGTGCGACGAGAGCGAGACAATGCGCACGTCCGCGTCCGGCATCGCAGCCGTCTTTTCCAGGACAGGAAGCAGCAGTTTCGTGAAGAGAGCGTGCCCGATGTAGTTCGTGCCGAACTGCAGCTCGTAGCCATCACTCGTCAGGCCCGGCGGGGCGGCCATGATGCCGGCGTTCAGCATGAGGATGTCGAGACGAGTGGACTCGGCCACGACAGTGCGGGCCGCGGTGGCGACGGACGAGAGCGAGGACAGGTCCATGGCGAGAGGCTTGATGGGGGGCGCGTTTTTGACCTGTTGGCGGATCTCGTCTGCCGCGGTCTGCGCTTTGTCGATGGTGCGCGCGGCCAGCCAGATCAGCGACGGCTGGTGGCGGGCGTATTCCAGGACGCATTGCTTGCCCAGGCCGATATTGGCGCCGGTCACTAGGATGACTTTGCCGGCGAGCGAGGGGATGTCCTGCTCGGGGTTGAAGGTGAGGGATTTGCCGAAGAACATGATGATGGTAAGACGGCTTATTAGATGGTGTAGCGTCCTGCACGAGTGTTGGAGGGGAGGTTATATACCCAGACAAGAGCTCGGGGGGTTCGGCCCGAAAAGTGTATTCGAATTATCAAGCTAGTAGACGTTTCTTTGTCCTTTTGGCCCTATCGACGATCATTACTCATTACTCCCGACAGCGTATCCACATCCTCTCCACAGGGCGATCTGATAGGCAGAGCATTGATAGACCACGCTCCCCAAGACAGGAAAAGTGGGCCTTTGAGACAATACAGGGCCTATCCTAAAAGGGACAAGGACAGGTTGCAATCTTGTATTCGTAAGTTAGTTGATGAAACTCCTAAGTTCTCACAGAAACCTCCCGCAGTGGGTAACTAACATAATTCACTACCGAGTGGCCACCCACCACCGAGTGGCCACCCCACCTAAATATAATTGATTAAAATGCATTTATCTCAACCACAACGCTATTAAATTCAATAAGCTAAATTCGAGTTCTATTAGGGCACGCGGTCAATTTATGCCCTCTAACTCCACATACACTACACATCGGCGGCGCCCTCGTACGTGGCTAAAAAGGTTCCGGATCCAGCCTTGTTTCAGATGATATTGGAGCTAAATTAGCTAATTCTAGCTCTTTTATTAATTGAGATGCCTCTAAAACTGAGAGGCCTTTATTAGAGATAATTTGTCTTATAGAACAAGTCATTTTTTGCTTCTTTTTCTTGTTTTTACCACATAATTCGTTTACTTCCTTCCGGAGTAAAGCAGTCTCCTGTATTATCACTTGACAAGCTTTTAAAACTTGATTAATTATAGTATTAAATAGACTTGGTGGACTTTTTAAACATTGTTTTAATAATCTTTTTATCAAAAAGGCTTGATTCTATTATTAGATAAAATTCGAAGGATTTTTAGATATCTAATTAATTTCTTTGTTTAAAAAAGATAATAGAGTTCGAAGTTGAATATTTAGTTTTAAAAGAACTTAATCAGGATCAAAAAATATTATACTAATAATAGTAAAGCTATTTTTGATAATATCTAGCTTAAAGGCCTCTTTTTGTATAATTAGATAGGCTTCAAGAAAATCTAACTTATTAATAAAATTAGTTCTAATCTATATTTTCGATTTAACTAGCTGACTATATATATATTTTAATACTATAAAATAACTAATATTAAGAGATTATAAAAGATATAATAAATATATAGATATATACATTATAATAATATTATTTTCTTTATATATTTAATCAAACTTTCTTATCAAATAGCTTCTATAACTATCAAGAATCAAAAGTTGATATTTTTCTTTTATATATAAAAAAGTAGATAGAATAAAGATTTTTTTTAAGCTAACAAAGATTAATTTTATTAGTGTGATGCCCGAACGTTAATAGGCTCGGAGTATTATGGGATACGACTGAGGGAGGCCGATACTACTACGAGTTCGTGAGAGAGGAGACTCGATTGTAGCAAGATAATCAAACTAATCGTTGGAGAACCCTTCGGTTCCTCCCACGATTATCCTATATATATTGCGAGATTTAACTAGCGAGCCCCCTTTATGTAGACCTCGTCAAAAACATTTCGAGGGCCAGTATCTCCCGCCCTCCGCCCGGCCCTCGCGGGCGGAGGGCGGGTTCTTGCCTGCCCTCGCCCGGCCCTCAGCCCTCAGAGGGCCGCTCGCGGGCGGCCCTTATCCGCCCTCATTTGCATAAAAAAAGTTGGCTATTCCTCATTTAGATGTATAATTCTGCTGATTCATTCTATTTAATTACTGTTTTTTAAGCCTGTTCCTGTTTATAGTTTATTCTCCATGGTATCACTATTTAAGTCTTATGAAATTATAAGAAATTTAGTTGTATTGTAATAAAGCATAGTAGGTAATGATTATATTACAGGTTTTGAATCTCCAAAAGTAAATGGTAGAGGGTGAATAGAAAGGAGATGATTTTTGAATATATTAGTTCAATATGGTTGGGTTAGATATATATATTTACAACGTCATGTTGGTAGGAATAACAAGAACATTAAACATATCTCATAAATTCTTGATTCTTCACCAAATATCATATAATTCTTCTTTATAAGGTGAGCCCCCCGATAAAGTCTAATCATACTATATTTACTAATAGAAGAGCCCCCATAATAATCTTTGAACTAAAAGCATCACTAGATTTGAGGGGATACACAAGTCAGCGAAAAACCGAGGGCGGATTGGTGATTCGAGGGCGGCCCGCATGTTTTCGAGGGCCGTTTGGGGGCCGCTCGAGGGCCGCTCGAGGGCGGCCCGCACATTTCGAGGGCTGGTTGAGGGCCGCCCGCATATTTTGAGGGCCGATTTGAGGGCCGCCCTCAATCAGCCCTCAATAAATAACCAATCATAGGGAGATTAATAAGTTAAAGTGGGTCAATAGTTGATGTGTTCGATAATAGTCAAGCTATATTGGAAAGCTACTCAAGCTAGTCAATAATTCTATTTACCAGAGCCTATGGGCTTTCTTAGTAGGTATCTTCTCCAGAAACCAGTCGCTTTTCCCTTTTCAAATCATGCTTTACTAGCGATCATCTGATTAACAATGTCCCAAATGTCCCAGTTCTCAGATATCTATTCTTCATCAGTATATGATGGTGATCCAGTTGATGCTCTTCTCTCTTTTTCGAATGATCAATTCCCAACGCCTGATATTTCTGGAAGTCAGCACACACTTGAATCTGCATCAAATCCCGATTTTCTCACTCCAATTACTCCACCCTTGATTCCTTCTTCACTTCAGCGTGTTGGTCCTGGTCGATCACCAGCATTCATCCTATACTCCGAAATGTCAAAGGATGACTTCGTCGCTTGGTGGTTGGAGACTGAGTTTGGGAAGAGGAAAAGACTTAATTGGGGTGGTAACCGTACAGCGGCATGCTGGGAACAATTTGATCAAGTTGCCAACGCAAAAACTGGTAAACCAGGGGTAAAGTGTCGCCAATGCCAGAAAGTCCTTGATCATCCAGCAAGTGGGCGGTATGGAACAACTGCCCTTAATCGGCACTTAGCTGGTCCAACCTGTCGCAAATCTACTAGCCAGAAGGCTAATATCAAGGGATTACTCGCAAATGCAGTATGTATCACTTAGGACATATAGTCTAATGTTTTACTAATCATTCTCTTTTATAATAGGCACAGAACACATCAAATATAACAAAAGTCTTTACGCAAGAAGCATGGGAGCAGAAGCTTCTACAATTGATCACCTTATCACGTCTTCCCTTCCAATTCATTGAACATCCAGAGTTCCGTGACGTTATTACCTTTGCCCGACTTGCCCCTACACAACCCCATATCCCTTCAGCAAAAACAATACGATCTCGGCTACAAGAGTACGTCCAAAAGCAGCAACAATCTATCCTTCAGAAGCTTCCTCCAAACGCAAAACTTTCACTAGCACTAGATTGCTGGACATCTCCCTTTCGACAGGCTTTTATGGCTGTTACTGGCTACTTCCTAGACCAACACTGGCAATATCAAGAGGTGCTTCTTGGATTTGAACCTTTATCTGGATCCCATTCTGGTGTGAATCTAAGTGATGTGGTTTTAAAGCTTCTCCGACAGCATAAAATCGCAGATCGAGTACTTGCCGTGACAACTGACAATGCATCAAACAATAACACGTTAATGTCAAGTATACAAGAGTCATTACAGTCACTTGAGCTGAATAATGGTTCTACAATCGTTCGAGTTCCTTGCATTGCCCATGTGATTCAGCTTAGCTTGAATGATCTTCTTGGGAAGTTAAAGGCAATTCCAAAGAATGAAAATGTGGAGATGGATTGGTCTGACGAACGATTCCGTTCTCTTCGTGTAAGGCAACAAAAAAGAGAAATTGTTGATACACTTAACAAGGTATGCCCCTACTTTCTTACCTTATTAACAATACTAACTCTTTTATGATTATATAGGTCCGAAACCTTGCTATCTACATCAACGCAAGCCCGCAACGGCGCGAGTCATTCTACAACCTTCAGAAGGAAGAACCAAGGCTTATTCCTATCCAGGATGTTCGAACTCGCTGGAATTCAACGTTTTTGATGCTCCGACGTGCTAAACGGCTTCAATCAACCTTTGATGACTTTTGTTCGCAGTATGATCAGGACCACTTTGCATTGAGTCAAGAGGAGTGGCGACAAATTGAGTATCTTCTCTGGATAACCCAGCCTTTCTTCAAATTCACCACTCTTCTTTCTAAGACTAAGGATGTTAGTATTCATCTAGTCTTTAGCATCTACAACAAGCTCTTCAATCATCTTGAAAGGTCAATGAGTGCGTTAAGACGGAAAAAGGTTGCTTGGAAGCAGCTTATGCTTTCTTCTCTCGAGGCCGCAAAGAGAAAGCTTTCAACTTATTATGGTATGACGGATACAATTGATGGCAATCTCTATGCCATTGGCACGATACTTTCACCGCAACAAAAGCTTCAATTCTTTGAAGGAAAGGACTGGGATGATCCAGATAACAACTGGCGTGCAATCTACCGAGCAAGTCTTGAGGATTACTTTCAATCCTATAAACGACACCATGCCGATACACAATCAATATCTAAAGCTCAATCACCTACAGTCGCTATCTCAGAGCTTGAGATGGAGTGTGGAGCGGAAGAGTCCCAGCCTTTAGCATCTACTGAATTTGATGAGCTTAAGGAGTATCTTGATAGCGGTAAGTTAATAATATCTCACTTATAAAGTCTTTACTAACGTATATTCTAGGCATTGTACGAACTCCTGTCTGTATGTTCTGGAAAGATCACCAGCATCAATTTCCAGCGCTTGCAAACCTTGCACGCGACGTGCTTTCGATTCCTGCAACAGGGGCAGGTGTAGAGCGCCTCTTTAACTCTGCCCGGGATGTCTGTCACTACCGGAGAGGCTCGCTAAAGCCATCAACAATTCAAGATCTGATGATGTTCATGTGTACATCAAAGTTTGAGATTGAAGAAGGTCAACGA